ATAATATATACTAGAGAAATAAACCTATATAATATATATCTTATAGGGAAATATAACTATTAGAAATACCTACTAAACTATAGGAATAGATTATAATAGACTTTATTATAAAGCTACTAATATCTAATAGATATAATATAATTATAGTTATAGTTAATAGGCTAATAAAATATACCTATATAATCCTAACTATAGAAACTATTACTACTAACTAAATAGCTAATATTATCCTATAATATATAATCGCTAATTATAGATTACTAACTAAGATTATATTAGATAGAGATAAACTATTTACCTTAAATATATAGTAATTATTTATAGACTAATTAGATTTTAAGCTAAGACTCTCTACTATCTACTACCTATAAATTAATAGATAGACTAAGAGGGTAAACTAGACCCTAAAATAGTACCTAAGATACTATATAAACTACTAGTAAGATAATCAGGTAGGACTATTACTAATAGTATAATTAGTATATAATAACACTATATATATAACTACTAATAAATCACTATTCTATATAAACTTTAGGTACTATCTAAGGGTAATTAGAACTCTATAAAAAAAGACTACTATAGCTAAGTTAGTATAACTTAAGGCTATAGAGCTAAAATAGCTATATCTATAGCTATTAAGAGATATTAATTTTATTAACCTCTATATAAAAAAATACTATAATAACTAATATAAGGGAGGGCTAGATCTAAAAAAGGGGGAAAAACTCTATCTCCTATAATAAAATATTAAAACTAAGTAACTAAGCGATAAGCTAGATTATCTATAATTAGGACCTTTTAAAATCGATAAAAAAATCGGATAAATAAATTATCGATTAAAACTCCTATATAGTATATAAAGACTTTATCTAGTATTTTATATCTTATTACTTAAACCTACACTAGCTAATACTAAAATCGCTACTAATATAGACCTTAATATAGAAACTAAAGAAGAATATAAAGTTAAATATATCCTAGTAGACTAATAGTATAATAATTAGTAGTAGCTTTTAGTATAATAGAAGGGATACCCTACCTCGGAAAATATATAGGAACCTATTATAAATTTAAGGGGCTACTACTAGCTTATCTAATAGTACTACTAGAAGGTAAAGCGAACTCCTATATAGCGAGTAGTAAGGAAGAAGGGTTATTTAAAAAAGAAAAATCTATACCTGTAAGAATAGAAGGAGATAATAGACTAAATATCTATATTAGAGTAGGACTGTTTAATATAGTAGTAAGAACCTAAGTATTATACTTATTAGCGAGATAATCTAGCTTAGTAAGATCTATAGTAGATAGAGGATCTTCCTTATCTAGCTAGACTATTATATCTAAGTTATAACTAAGTATATAACCACTCCGCTCCTTTAAATATTTCTACTATTTTCTTAAATATATAATTTTTATCATAAGATCTATTTATTATTATTTAGCTAAAGCTAACTCCTTAGCTACCTTCTTCTCGTTTTAAAGAATAGTATCCTACTCTATATTACTATAAAGTTTCTATTTATACTAGTAACTATAATAAGTATGCTCTATATAGTTATAGTTTTTCAGAGCTATTATATAATAAATACTATAGGAGGTATAGAAGTTACAAGGAAAATTAATAGAATAACCTTTTAAGAGGATTAAATTATACTATTTTAACCTATTCTATTTATAAGTTATATTATTAACTAGTATATTATAGGAAAAGTATAACTAAGGGAAGAGAAATCTAAAAAAGAGAAAAAATAAATAAAAATATTATATACCTAAGGGAGTTATTAGCTTTAAATAGCTTTAAGGATAAAACCCTAGGAGAGGGGGAGATAATATTATAGACCTATCTATCACTAATTACCGGTAACCTATATAGGTATATAGATAGGCTACTAAGAGCTAACCGATCTACCTACTAGGTTACGTAACCCTAGGGGGTAGAAACGCTAAGAGAAGTAGGATATACTCTAGGGAGTTAATCTACTATATAGAGTAGGGTATACTCCTTAGATACTATTAACTCTAGGAAATAAAGGATATATAAGGATACTTATTTATATACTTAGTTTAGTTCTTTATCTTTAATTAACATATTATTACTTATATCTACCTTTAAGACTACCGACTCTTAACTTAGTTATAACTTAATAACACTATAAGTTAGACTAATACTTCGGTATAGATCTACTCGGCACTCTACCTAGTATTAATTCCTCGATATAACTTCTAGGGACTTCGGCTAAAGTAAGGCCTAAAAGACAAGGCAATAGCTTAGTGACAACAGACGTATCGTTGACGTTAGAGAACCCAAGGCGTATTAAGGTAACTATACCCTGAACCGTCCAACCTAACCGTGACTAGTTAGCTAGTGCGTAACACTAGCCTAGCTAGCTAGGGGGTAGGGGTTCGAAGCCGAATATTAAGCTTCGAAATCACTCTCTCTAGTAAGAAAGGGACTAAGCTAGCTACTCCGAAGCTATTCTTAATAGTCTCCGATTTAAAAGCTTCACTTTATATAAGAGGGTATACTTCGAGGAAATCAAGTTTATTAATATAATATATCCTAATCTATATTTTTAATTTAACTAGCTAACTATATATATATTTTAATACCGTAAAATAGCCTATATTAAGAGGCTATAAAAGGTAAGAAGAATATAGAGATGTATAGATTAGTATAATCTTATTTTCTTTATAGATTTTATCGAACTTTAGGGTTAAATAACTTCTATAGCTATTAAGTATTAAAAGCTAATACCCCCCTTTATATATAAAGAAGTAGTAGGAATAAAGAGCTTTTTAAGCTAGCGAAGTCTAATTTTATTAGAGGTCTATCTATTAGGACTAACCTTAAATCGCTAATCCTCTAGGAGACTATCGAACTAGGATTTAATAAAGACTTTACCTTTAAAAATTATATATAGCGGGAGGGCCTAGCTAGTAGTATTTGTATACTTAATTACTATTACCTACTCGCGATTTCTAGGTTATAAAAGTACTCGCCGACCGTAGTATTCACTCCTTATTATAACCTTCGCGGTTACTATTAATCCTATCGCGAAACTAGTCTTATTAAAGTTATAAATATTATTGGGGTCGATCCTAAATTAAAGGATCGTTTTTTAAACTAGTTTAAACCACTCTATAATCACTTTTAGATCCTTATATTTCGTACACTTAGAGTTATACTATTTCGAAAACCGAGAGTGTAAGCATAATAGTAATTTTAAGATATATTTATATACTATGGTGTGTGAGAATAAGATATATATTTTACTGGTAGTATCTAAGAGAACCTTAGATATATTATTTACGGTAAACTATATTATGACTCACAATATATCGCTATAAATCTAGGATATCATAATGAAGTCATTCTATTACTAATGACTTTCTATGATATTCTATACTACTAGAGCTTGCCTATATAAGGAATGGAGGATTTATAGCTAGATAACCATTAAATACAAATTTTCCTACCTACTCACATCATCATCTACTTAAGCTAAGTATAAACCTTTCTATATCTTATATAATACAATATTATATAAGATAAAGCTTACCTAATACACCTTCCCCTATGAAATATTATAACCTACTATTAGGCTATAATATTATTTCTGCTAAAGTGCTCACACTATTATTACTATTATAGTTAATTAAAGCTAAGTATAATCTATAGACTAATACTATATTAGTTTACTACTAACTTTAATCTTTAATATAAGGAGCTAGGGATCATTAAAGAGTATCTATCCTAAGGTAAAGCTACTTTACTAGATTAAACCTAGAGATTATTACTATAGCTTAAGGTCTTAGAGCCTATTAATAATAATAAGGAGGAGGATTAAGAGACTAGACTTAAGACTATTTAGTACACTAAGAGTAGTAATAATAACTTAGATAATAATAGTACTAAGTGATATAGATAGGTAAAAGGAAAATAACCTTAAAAATAACTATATAACACTATTAAAGAGGATAATAAGCTTCTAGAGATACTAGTAGATAGGAGTATACTAGGCTATTTAGGGTAGATTTATTTAAAAATAGCTAAGGTTACTAGATAGCTTCTTATAGATCTTTAAATAGTAAATAGGGCCTAGAAGATTTAAATTTATAAAAACCCCTAAAAAAGTATAGACTATATTTCTAACTATAGTCAAAAGACTAGATTTACGACTATAATTAGAGATTCTAATTATATACTACTATAAGTAGAGTAGTGCTTAACCTTCTATCTATAATTTCTAACTAAGGTTAGAAATTATACTTACCTAGTGATATTTAATAACCTAAGTACTAAGTATTACACAAAAAATATATAGGAATATATAATAATAATATATACCTCTTAAGGTTACGAGTCTAGGTATATTTATATTGTTTGATATCTATTAGATATCTATAGATATCTAATGTATATAAGGTCTATATCTAAATCCTTAAGGCTACGGATATTGGATATCAAAAAATATCTAAATTTGCACTTTGCGGATATAGATTGCGGATATCCGCGGATATTGCGGATCGTGCCGCAGTCTAAGTATATTAAATAGGTATACTACTTCGCGAATTAAAGTAATTTCTTACTTCTAAATAGCCTAAATAGCTAATAAGATCCTACCCTCTTACTCTATATATTTTTGAGAGGATCAAGTACGAATTGGTAGTAAAATGGGTGGTTAAAGAAGAGAGGTCTAATTAACTAACACTTTTTTAGGTAGGGTGGCCAACTTAGGGGTGTGGCTAGCTCACTAGTGAATTACGTTAACACAAATACTCCCTTCCATGTAACAGGTGTCCTCGCCATGATCTCCGAGCACATCTTGGTTTCGTTATAACCTCATGCCCACGCCGGCGCTGAAAATATTTAGGTCGCTTTAGTTACCCTATTGAAGCCCTCAGTTCTTTTAATACTAAGACTCAAGTCTTCTTCGCAGAAACCAGCCCCTTATTGTCTGCACATTCTGCTTACAGCGCATCTTGATGAGGTGCAAATGCCTCTCGTGCCACCTCTAGGGAGGATAAATCAGTTAGCGAAGCGCGCGATTTTGTCCTTTGTGAGAAAGCCGATCTGGCATCTGCCTTCCAACTCCGCACTCTCCATTCCCCAGGATGAACTTGTGGATGAGGAGATTTGTCGTGGATACAATGCCAGGCACTTTTACTCGGCCAAACCTGGAGATGTTCTTGCTTGTCATTATCAGTTACTGGTGAAGATCGGCTGGGGAACTCGATCGACGGTTTGGCTAGCTCGAGATATTACAAGGTATGCCGCTCCAGCTTTTCATCTTATGGATCGGCTAATCGATCAAGACTTCAGTGGCAGTCCGAAAGAATGGTATCCCTGAAAATCGTGAATTCCTTTCATGATCAGGAGGCATACCATAAGAGAATCATTGAGGAACACATTGCTCAGAAGAATCCATCTCACCGCGGCCGCGTGATTTTACGCACATGTCTCGAAAGTTTCGAGGTGGCTAGTCCGGAAGGAGACCACTTGTGTTTAGTCTATGAACCGATGCGAGAGCCTCTCTGGATTCTAAAAAGGCGTTTCGTTGACGGGAGACTTCCTCTCCCGATCGCGAAGGCTTACATTTTTTTCCTCCTGGTTGGCCTTGACTATCTTCACTCGGATTGCGGAGTCGTTCATACTGGCAAGTACCACGTTCTCTATATCCCTGTAATATCAATAACTAATTTAGTGAACTCACCTCAGATTTGAAGCTAGATAATATTCTGATGAGTTTCGAGAATGAGAATATTCTTTCCGCATTTGTCAAACGACAGATCAACGACCTACCTATGCAATACAAAGTCGACCCAATGACTGGTCGTACCGTTTACCGCTGCCACAATGATTTTGGGGCTCTTGACGGGAGAGAGCTGAAGAATGTGGTACCCATAATAGCTGATTTTGGACTATCGACACGTCTTAGCGATAATTCTTCAAGAAAAGGAAAGGGGGGGAGCAAATTGGCATATATCCCATACAGCCGGACCACTACCGTGCACCAGAGGTAATCTTCGGCTGTGGATGGGGTTACAAGGCAGATATTTGGAATTTTGGTGTAATGGTAAATACTTATCCGATGTCCTCGTCCTTCTATCCGCACCAAGAAACCAAATCAGAGCGTGTCTTTCTCTGCATGGGTAATGCACAAAGCTGAGTATGCTTGAACTAGATGTGGAATATTGTCGAGCGCACAGAATTATTTGGTCAAGTCCATGATATACAAGGATACGATACGAAGTCATATCTAGCTGAAATGATTGCGCTTCTTGGGCCCCCCCCAGAAACATTACTTGCCAAGGAGAACGCTATGGCACAGCACGATTGGCCTCATCCTATCAGTAATGAGGCCGGTATTCCCTGCAAGAACGCACGAGAATACTTTGGTGGTCCTTTCTTCAACGGAGAAGGTTTGTGGTCAATGACGTGAGTGGAGATATCTCCCTTCTCGCTAACTTACTCAGGGAAATTCCTTCACAATGACTTGATTCCCGCCCGAACTCTAGAAGCTTCACTCCCATCTCTAGAAGAGGATGAGCGAAATTCCTTCCTATCATTTGTCCGTGGAATGCTTACCTGGCTTCCCGAGGAGAGGAAGACCGCTCGTCAATTGATAGAGCATCCATTCCTCAAACTCAAGAAATGAGCCTGCCATGGCCTCTATGAAAGGCCGGAGCGCTCGTTTGAGAACCGCAAGAAAGAAAAATGTATAAACCATCTTCTCAACCAGATAAAATAAAACGTTCAAAGACTGATATGCAATGTTATGGCAAATTGAGGGAAAATTATTTGATCAGCAGATGTTTCCGCATGCCAGCAGTCGATTTGGAAAGAGACGGACTGGTGATAAGCATCTACTCAGGATGGGTTTGCGATAGCGACAGATTCCGGTTGGGTTTTGACATTCCATGTCACATCTGACAATGATCTACTTAAGGAGTTTCCGGGGCTGGCGGAAGGCCTGGACTGCGAAGAAATCAACTAAGGCAATCGATAGAAAGGAACATTGAATTTATCGGGCCTCTTCTTGGTAGTTGCCATTCCATGAGGTCAAAGGTCGTTCGCGAAGAAAACTTGAATGAGTACTATTTAGTACCTACGGCCATAACCATGAACAGACTGCATAGCATGTTTCAACTATTCAAAAAAAGGTCCATCATATATCGGCTGCGGGACTTGTCAGGGCCTAAGTCTCTTTAGCTTAAAGTTTAGAGGGAGCTATCTAAGACTATAAAGATATTTTAGTACAGCTTAGGTTTCTTCGTAAAGAATAGTGTCAGTCTAGTATTGATACTTCTCGATTTAATCAGATATATAGGCGTGTATACTATGGAGGAGTGCTAAATGAAGACTATAGTTCGAAGCTAATATTTCAGGAAACAATAAAGTGGAGGTTATTTTAAGGCGTGTATAACGATAATAAGAGAATATGAGTTATAAGGATATAGGAGTGGAGGGAAGGCGAAGTATCTTATAGGCGCTAAGATAGACCGGGCGAAAAGGGGAGTGACTTAAATTCAGCTAGTTAGGAGCCATTTTTGGCGACGATTCGGTCACCAGTGGACACAAGGAGGACAATTATACAAGTCGAGCGCCAACATTACCTAGGATAGGAGGATGACTTAAAAGTGCTGGGCGAGTGTAGTATAGCGGTGTTACGGGGCAGTGGGCGGTCAAGGGGAGGCTGGACGACCAAAGTTACAGGTGGAAAGGGAGCCGTTTCTGGCCTCAAAAGCGGTCATTTTCGGCCTCAATTCCACAGGTCCCCATATTCTAGATGTCAAATAGGTACGAAAGGAGAGAGATATAAACAGGGTCGAGATATCAGACACTCGAGAAATGCGCAAGGTTTCAATAATGGGCATGTAAATTGAAGATTTAGATTTGGACTTAGATCGCTTGTAAATGACAGATTTCGTGCTCACACTTTGCTGCGCGGGGAGCAAAGCGCGAGGTTGTATGCAGAGGTTGTGAATGGGATTATGTATTTTTCGTTCGTAAACTGTTCTCGTGAGGTGGGTTCAGCTTGGATTTATATTCCAATGCATGCTGAGGGTCGCAAGGTAACGGGCTTAGCGTGAAGATGCTTGGAAGTGTGCGATGTAGATCATTTGAACAGATCAGGTCATAAATGTGTTTCGCTCGGTGGGATTAGAAAATGACGAATCGTTTCTGCTTAGTAGGCTTATCGTTTTCGGTTTCTGGTCAATCAGATATGATTAGCAAGATGTTGTTAGATATAGATCCGGTTCAGTTCACCTACCCTGTCCATGACTTGGACTCTGCTCCTTGCGCTCAGCTTTCTTAAGCCGGCCTCCATGGCGCGTCGCTCCAGTACGTCCACCCGCGGTTGGAAGTGAACCCTCTGCCGCAGCTCGGATTGTAGCGATTCGATGCTTGGCCCGTTCATCGCCCTGGTCCGCTGCCTTGACATACCAAACGTTCGACTCGAGAGGATCACGACGGCAGCCAATACCCATTTCAGTGAAGTAGCCGACAGCATACTGGGCCTTCGCGAGGCCGAGATGCGCAGCCCGGAATGCCCACTCATAAGCCTCATTCTCATCCTTCTCGAGCACAGGCTCCGCACCAACAAGATACCACGCACAAAGCGCCATCATCGCCACCGGATGCCCATTCTGCGCGGCATTGGTGTAAAAATGGATACTGAGTGCCGGGTCGCGTGGACAGTTCAATTTCCCATGCTCATACGCATCACCGAGTCGATAGCAGGCTTCCACATGGCCCAGCTCCGCGGATTTGGTGAAAAGCTGCGCCGCATAAGTCTCATCGGGGAAGACATCGTCTCCGAATCCCTTTTCGTGCATTAGACCCAGCTCGTATGGGCCGGCGTTATACTGCGTGTCTGCAGACTCGGTCGCGCGCTTCATCCACTTCACTCCCTCGCGGTATCGCTTACCCAGCCCAAGATCGCCAGCAATACAGGCGTTGGCCATACGCATCATGGCGCCCGGGTGATTTTTCGACGCTGCTTGGCGGTAGAATTGCACTGCGCGGGTGCCGTCGGCACGGCATCCCCAGCCAAACTCATAGCACAGCGCTGTGCGATAGCAGGCTTCCACGTGACCGTGTTTACTGGCTGCGATGAAAAGCGGGAAGGAGCGATCGTGGTCCTCGACGCCTTTATTGAACAGACCTGATGCGTACCCATCGCCGAGGTAGTACTGTGCAAATGGGTAGCTGCGGTCCGCAAGGCGTTGAAGGATGGATTTTGATTCGCGGAGTAAACGGGCACGCGTTATTGGGCTGGAGTCGTCGAGGTCCACGGCTGGCATCTCGCGCATCGAGTTTACCATGAAGACGGCAAATTCATACAGCACTGTCGGCTCGTCTGTTTTCTTTACGTTCGCTAGGTACATTTCGAATGTGTCTTTGTGGCTAAGAAGAGAGGCGTTGTTTCCGACTGAGGCTTGGAGACGCGAATTGTCAAACCGTGCTGCCGTTGGGCCCGGCTGTGGGTATGATGTGTTTAGCAAGTCGAGGAATGATGAAGACCTGTTGTCGGGGGTTCCAGACGAGGATCGCGCATGTAGATAAGGAGACGCGGAGAGGTTCCGTCGGTGGCCACCTTCTGAGGTTACAGAGTATGTTGAAAGAGGCCGTGAAAGCCTTGGTCGCCTAGCGGCCAGCTTATCCGTTGAGGTAGATGGGTGATCTCCAGCATTCGGTGCAGGTTTCCTCGCATTTACCCCAGCTGGCTGTTGCTGGTGGTGATAGGTCAGAGGTTCGTAGTTGTCGGATGCCAGCGCCACACTATCTATGCTTCCACGTGAAGAGCCATTATAGCTCTGACCGTCCCGCTCTAACGAGGAGGCGCTCTTTTTCGGGTTTCCGTGTCCTTCACCCTTCGGCTCTACCACCGACCATGAGCCGCTGCTTGCTGGAGTGTGACCGTACGGATGCGTGTGTGTGTAGTGCGGGGCTTGTATTGAGTCCCGCCGCGGGGGGTGGGCAGGATTCCAGCTCTGCTGAGGTGGCTGTACGGGGCTTTCAAGGGACATGTCTGCGAACCCGGTGAGTTCCAATTGTGGTGTGGTGGGTCCACTGTATTCGCTTTCGATGCGCACGCTCGAGGCATCTGGAATTTCTGCGGTATGTGCGATTTTGACTGGTGAGCGCGGGGAGTTTTGTAGGATGGGAGAGGTTTCGGACTGAGGAACTGGTTTGCGGGTGACGTTCAAATTCTGGGGTTGCGGGATGGTCCGTGGTGATTGCGATGGGGTGAATGGAGGCGATGATCGGAGGTAAGCTGGTGGGGGAGAAGGCAGGGCCTGTCCCGAGGCACTGGCCATGGTGGAGAGAGAAAGGTCAAAGGAGTTGAAGGTCCATTAAAAATTGCGAGTTAGGAGTTTATGAGGGAATCCATGGGAGAACCCATGGGAGAAAGCTAGGGTAAAAAAAAGAGTGGACACGAGACTATTGGGGATATTTTGAGGCTAATGAAGAGTCAAGAGAAACTAGTCTTTTTCAAATACGTTTCTTTTTCATTTTATATGTTTCATATGTCTGCACATTCTCGTATAACCAAATTCCTAATTGATGCCTATCGGGTCGACGAACAGGGTCCGAGACATAAGTCTAACGCATAAGACACGCTGACCTACCTTTGATCCCCTCTTTCTCTGTGCACAACTCTAAGCGGCAATTCACAGTTAGTCTTTGGTCTTGGGTCTTGGGTCTTGGGTCTTGGGTCTTTGATTAGTGGTTTTAGTGGTTTTAGTGGCATTTATCTCCGATTACTCCGGCTGTGCGTGGCAGATTGGAAGTGGAAGTATCTCCTTATTTACTCCGTACAGGATTCTTATTAACTCTTGATTCCTACCTGAGAGAGGTTTGAGCGTAACTACATAAATGTATATATTATTTCTATTAATAATTCTATTAGCCATATTTCCTTGTGGACAATTGAGTTTGAATTCCTTGCACGGGTCATATCCATCTGTCATGGTACACTCCTTGCAGCAGTCAACCACACCGTCAATGCCAGACAAAAGCAAAGTGCTCTCTTGTATGACGGCATTCAACATTAGCTGCGTGGTGAGTCCATTACCCACCTAGGCAATACTACTAGACATCCCTCGCGTATCAGATACTGGGCACTGAGTACTCGGAGTTGAGGCTGTACTACATCAGCTGATGCGGAGAGATATTGTCAGCATTCCAGTGAGAGCCGAAGAACGTGGCGCGACAAGGATACCGGACCCCATCGTAGACCTAGAAAATCCGAGGAGTTGGATTCTCAATTGGGTGATTTTTGAAAAAGGGGAATTGCCCAGAAGTGACACGTTCGGTTCATGATTCAAGAACGTCAAGTACGGGGTAGGGAGCAGGGAGTATAGAACAAAATCTGGTCTTCAAATTTGAAACGGCATGATGCATATGCACTATGGGGACCAAAGGCTGTATGGATTCTGGGGATTGCCGTCATGATCAGCCGCCGGTTGTCGATCATATTGGTTGAATTGGCATTGACATTGGCACTTGGGGTACCTACATACAGGGATATCCTAGAGTTTATATGTCTAGACAATGCTGATTTTTGACTTCGTTTAGGTACTATTCACATCACATAATGCATTCTGTGCTGGCTAGAATCTAGACCGGTGGTACAAGTGGTTTAGTGTTTTGTCAAGTGTTCTATGGCGTGCAGTGCCTCCGACTCTTATGTCCTGTTTTCCTTGATTGGAGCTCGCTACATCGTACTCCGTACGGAGTACACCGACTCGAATCACAATATTGTTCGTATAAGGTGTAATTAGGGTGCACTTTCGAGACATATCACATAGCTGTTTACCGGATTTGTCCGGATTTTACAGGGGTTGGGGGATCGACTATAAGGAAGCTTAATAGTTCTATTTTCTCTTGTTTTGTTTCTCTGGTGTTACTATGCCTCCTATGAATGATTTTGTTACTAGTTATGCTTGAATTGGAGTTCTCAAGTGGCAATTGAGTATTCGGCGTGGCTATTATTCGGCTAAGACCACTCAGCCCGTAGAACTAAGCATAAACCGTCTTAGTTGGCCCAAAATAGAAATCGAACCCCGTGATCATAAGGGAAAAATCGTCTCGGCTGCTTTTTCCTCTATCAAAAACCAATCTCGCCATCTTCTGTCTCATTTTATTAAATGAACCTTGGATATTTGGTTTCAACCGTGGATTTAATTGGGTTATGAACTTGGTGGTTGACATTGCCCCTAGCGACAAAAGAAAATAGATTATTTATTTTTATTAGTTGACAGGGTAAAACAAGCCTAACCTCTCCTAGAGTCCCGTGTACAGGACCTTTGTCTCAGAACTTCTCTTTTCCTTTTGACCTCTTCACTGCCCTATTTCACAAGATCTTCGATTTTCTAGGTGGGGACTTTGTTTACTCTCCACCTTGCACAGACCGACCGTATCGCTCTCGAGAGCTCCCTTGAAACCCACTTTGCTGGTTACTAGATCGGAGAGTTTAAACCGCAAAGTCCCATAGGTCGCAATTATCGAGGACCGGGTGCACGCATTTGACATGTTTCAGGCGGCAATTGGCAGATCCATATTTTGAACAGTCGGACCTGCTGTTGATGAGCAATAATTAAAGTGAGTGCGCCTACAAAATGACACCCAAGCAAGCTTGGAGTCTGATCTGACATGGACGTTCGTAGAAACGATATGTCTTTGCCGCAGAGGCCAGGCAAACCCTCACCTCGACGCGAAGAAGCACGCGCATTTCGCGAACCCTCTCGCCGCCGTCGACGTGATATCGACTCGGGCACTTACAGCGACGACCCCACTTCTCCCTCCCACCGACACCGTCGTCGACACTCCAGTAACCGAAGAGGCATGGATACAGACGAAGAGCGCATGGAGCGCAGCGGCGATGTGAGACGCAAGAAGAGCATGGTCAAACCAGAGCGCAGGCGAGATGACCGTGAACAACCCAATCATCACTACCGACAGCGATCAAACCAGATGTCCACGTTCCCTTCGACGACAGGAAACGATCCGTTATTGGACAATAGAGATGGCGAGGTGGAGACGAACAGCTCGCGCAGCATGGATATGAAGAGCAAGGATGGTCTATACGGCGCGCGGGGTAATGTCAACAAACCCATGGAGCGGGTTCCTAGCAGACATCGTTCGAAAAAGAAGAAGAGAGGCTCACGAAGGTCATCGAAGGGAGCTACGGAGGAACGGAGACGTCAACAGGCGATCGAGCAGACTGGCCCGCCCGAGTTGTGGCCCACATATTGTGCAGTGATCACATTCTTTATTCCAGACTTTGTGCTGAAATGCTTCGGTATGCCAGAGAAAGAACAGCGCAGTGCTTGGCGAGAAAAGATCGGTCTTATCAGTATCATTCTGATGATCGGCGCTTTTGTTGGTTTCTTGACTTTCGGTTTCACGGCCACCGTCTGTGGCTCGCCCCCGATTCGATTGAAAGCCGACGAAGTCAGTGCTAACTACATGATCTTCCACGGACGAGCATATGACTTGAGCGGTTCCAAGCATCCCGCTGTTGCTGGTATCCCCGGTGGTTCGAATGTTATCTACGACCTGCCACACAGATATGGTGGACAGGATGGCAGTTTCTTCTTCCAGCAAGTGAACGGTGCGTGCAAGGGGCTGATTAAGGCCAAGCCTGGTAGTGATATTCCAACAAACTCGGCCGGAGATCTCGGATGGTACTTCCCCTGTACGCCTTTCAACCAAGATGGTTCGTCCTCGCCGAATTTGACGGTTGACCATTACACTGGCTGGGCTTGCCATACCAGCAAGAGAGCTCGTGAGCCTTTCTACTCCCTGAGAAGTGATGGTGATGTGTTCTACACATGGGAGGATACGAAGAACAAGAGCCGAAACCTGGCGATATACTCAGGAACTGTACTTGACCTTGACCTTCTCGCCTGGTTCGACCGTAGCCAGGTCTCCTATCCCGAACAATTCGATCAGCTCCGCAAGAATCCCGATGTCCGGGGTGTTGATCTCACCTACTACCTGCAATCCGGGGAGGATAAGAAGATTGGCAAGTGCTTGGCGCAGATTATTAAAGTCGGCAGCATCGACACCGATACCGTTGGCTGTATCGCGTCACAAGTCGTACTCTACGTGTCCTTGATTTTCATTCTCGCCATCGTGGGAGTCAAGTTTGGATTCGCCGTGTTCTTTCAGTGGTTCCTGGCACCCACGTTTGCGGCGCAAACAACCAGTATGTCTTCAGACTCCAAGACTCGCAATCAACAGATTGAAGACTGGTCCAACGATATCTATCGACCCGCTCCTCGAATCACTGAACCCATTGTTCCCGATCGTATGAACAAACGCGCGAGTTTCCTCCCGACCACTTCCCGTTTCTCGAGCCCGTACAATGTGAGCAGCACTGGGAGCAAGCAAAGGCCGGTTTATGTCACGATGGCTAGCCAAAATTCGACGACTCATCTCATGCCCAGCTCCAATCCTGCCACTATGTACAAGTCAAGCCATAACGGTAGTGGCGGCTCTTTGAGCGCTGAAAATTCTCGTCAGAACCCTACTGCCAGTCGGACTAGCTTGGTTCCTCACGGTCAGCAAGACCCCAGTCACTTTACGCTCTCTACCGATCACGATGGCTTGGGTCCCGCTGGTTTCATCCACGAAGCTGTCGTTCCTCAGCCTCCCCCTGACTGGCAGCCGTTCGGCTACCCTCTGGCTCACAGTCTTTGTCTAGTCACTTGCTACTCTGAAGGTGAGGAGGGTATTAGGTCGACTTTGGATTCCGTTGCCATGACCGACTACCCCAACAGCCACAAGACTATCCTGGTCATCTGTGATGGTATTATCAAGGGCAAGGGAGAGCAATTCTCCACACCAGAAATTGTATTGGGCATGCTCAGGGACCCTGTTATTCCCAAGGACGAGGTTCAGCCATACTCCTACGTGGCTGTGGCTACTGGCTCTAAGCGACACAACATGGCAAAGGTCTACACTGGATTCTACGACTACGGCAATACCTCGATCATCCCAACAGACAAGCAGCAGCGTGTTCCCATGATGGTGGTCGTCAAGTGCGGAACTGCCCAGGAGTCGACCCAGTCAAAGCCTGGTAACCGAGGCAAGCGAGACAGTCAGATTATTCTCATGTCTTTCCTCCAGAAGGTTATGTTCGACGAGCGCATGACAGAACTTGAGTTCGAGATGTTCAATGGCATGTGGAGTGTCACAGGCATTCCCCCGGACTTCTACGAAATCGTTCTCATGGTCGACGCCGACACAAAGGTGTTCCCAGACAGTCTCACCCATATGGTCTCGGCCATGGTGAAGGATCCCGAAATCATGGGTCTCTGTGGAGAGACCAAGATCGCCAACAAGACCGACAGCTGGGTAACGATGATCCAAGTCTTCGAGTAAGTTCTCCACTCTTGCTGTTGTCACCAGCGTAGTCACTAATTCCAACAGGTACTTCGTCTCTCACCACCTAGCCAAATCATTCGAATCCATCTTCGGTGGTGTAACTTGTCTTCCTGGATGTTTCAGCATGTACCGAATTAAAGCACCCAAGGGCGGCCAGAACTACTGGGTACCCATTCTCGCAAACCCAGATATCGTGGAACACTACTCTGAAAACGTCGTCGACACCCTTCACAAGAAGAATCTGCTTCTTCTCGGTGAAGATCGTTACCTCACCACCCTGATGCTCAAGACCTTCCCGAAACGCAAGCAGATCTTTGTCCCCCAAGCTGTGTGCAAGACAGTCGTGCCGGATGCATTCCTGGTTTTACTCTCTCAACGCCGTCGCTGGATCAACAGTACCGTCCACAACCTCTTCGAACTGGTCCTCGTCCGCGATCTGTGCGGAACCTTCTGTTTCAGCATGCAGTTCGTCATCTTCATCGAACTCATCGGTACCCTCGTCCTCCCTGCCGCCATCTCATTCACCATCTACGTCGTCGTTGTTTCCATCGTCAAGAAACCAGTCCAGGTCATTCCGCTGGTTCTCCTCGCCCTGGTCTTGGGTCTGCCTGGTGTTTTAATTGTCGTCACCGCACACAAACTCGTCTATGTGCTCTGGATGCTGATTTATCTCATCTCGCTTCCAATCTGGAATTTTGTTCTGCCCATGTATGCATTCTGGAAGTTCGATGACTTCAGTTGGGGTGATACCCGGAAGACCGATGGTGAGAAGGACAAGGGACACGGTGATGCCGAGGGCGAGTTTGACAGTACGAAGATCACAATGAAGAGGTGGCGTGATTTCGAAAAAGGTATGTCTTGCCGTTCATTCTCTTGAAATGATTTGATGTAGTCGATTCTAAGATTCTTGTCAGAACGTCGCCTTCGCAGTGCTTGGGCACAGTCCCAGTCCCAGCCTCATGCGTCGACGGATCCTTATCCATCGCCGTATGACACATATTCACATTATTAACGAGAGCGATAGCCCTTATTCCTTTTGATTTTTGTTCTTCGCTCTTCTGTTTCTTCCGGATTCATCTGGTTTCGAGGTGATTTATTGTACCATTTACATACCGGCGTTCACATATTCTTATAATATAGTTCAGAGCGAGCGTTGCACGACTGACGAGTTGATTATTTCTATGCTCATATTTCGCTTTGGTTGCTATTCTTTTTTTTATTCTTTTATTCCAAGGAGCGATTTTGACCGTGCGCGTTGTCCTTTAGGGCTCGGGTTCACAAATAAATCGTCATACTAATCGACATCGCGTAATCGAAATGGCATGACCCCAGTAAAGCAATATGAGCTATCAACTTTCTGACTTTTCACAAGTCTATATGGCCCCATGTTCAGCCTAAGGTGTGCCCAACAAGATCAAAGCGCAAGTCACCTGGCTTGACCGCGTTGGATCTGCGGTGCATCTGCATTCTGGACATATGCGAGGAGATGATAAAGGCGTCGATTTCATTTGCATAATCTATATCTTGATCTTTCTTATTGAATGGGGCTGAAGGGCGTACAAATCCCTGCAATTCTACTATGTCTTGGCCGTGGTTTCCTTTGCCCTCATTAATTCAAAATACGGACCTCGGGAGTAGTCCATGGAGAGTGTCTCTCACGTTCGCCATCTGCATCCCTTTCTGCGGAAAAGGCTACCGCGCGTCCGCACCTCCCCTCTATTTCCCTTTTGATCAACTTACAGGTCCTTGACTAAGCTCCATTCCCGTGTTTTTAATCTCTCCAGGGGCTCTTCGGCTTTGTGGATGAACTCGGTATTTCTGTCTTTTTGATCTTTTATCAATCAACGCCACGTAGTGTGGAATCGACTGCGAGTCAGGTTGTGTGACTTTGATCCTGGAACGTGTTACTGTACACTCGGTCCAGCTTAGCTGATTACTGTTACTGGGTTGATTTCCTCCGGTGCGACCATCCCTGCTCAATTTGGACCTGTTCTGGACGTGAGCATCCGGTGCCTGGGAGTTTGAGGTAGAATTCCTCGAGTCCATGGAGGATCCATTCCGGTAACTGTGAATCACCCGACTTCCCCGCCTTAGATCCCGCCATGTGTCATGTGATATCGATTGTCCTCTACCGCATGCCATGAATCCCCCTCATCGTACTGGCGTGTCTGGTAGCGCAGATGCGACCTTGAATTCGACCCTTGATACGGACATGTTTCCCACCGATCCATTTGCTTCGGGCCAAACGAATATGACGGCCGAGATCGACCGCCGATTACATGACGTGGGCGTTGCAGCTCTTGCTGCTGTGTCCCATTACCCGCGTGCGGAGAATGATGCGCACCCGGATTCTTTCCTGGTATCCGAGGTCGTCAACGCCGTTACGAGTGCTGGCAGTCCTCCGCATTTTTATCGACATTTGGAGTCCGGCGCTACTTTGCTGCCTGGCCATCCGGCACATTTTCAACAATCTGGAATGGGGGTTACCTCTTTGGCTGGACCGGAGTTTGGCTTTGGTTCGAATCCGAGTGGCGACATCGACTTGGAAACGATTGTCCAGGACTTAATTCACCGCACCGCCCAACGGCAAAATATCGCCGTCGTCCCAGACGACATCGAGGATGGTCACAAGGATATGGTTATGGATTACGAGTCGGTTACTATGGAAGACAACCGGTCGCCTGAGTCAACTTCCGACGATGAGCTTGAAGATTTTCTCCAATTTTATCCGGACGAAGAGGAGTATTACCATCAGCGCAAGGATCGCCCGACCCGTGAAGCCGATATGCCAGACTGCGACCTCGATGAATTCTATAATAGTATGAGTTATGACGATATAGATGTGGATCTCCCTCAGAATATTGGGTTGTCTATTACAGAACCTTTGCACAACTACGTCGACGATCAAATGGACTTCCCTGGACCGCGTCCGGCATCTATAATCCACACATCCAGTAAGGCGCTATGTCACTTCAGATAAGACTTGAGCTAATAGCCCTCTAGCATATGAGCGAAATCTCACCATTGATGAATTCATCAAGCATTGGATGGTCTCGATAAACACTATTCCCCATGGCTTCCATACTGAAAGTCGGATTCCACCTCAGCTCCGTCCACTAGCAAAGATGATTAGCTGGCAACCACCACTTGAGGTTGTTCGACCGTCTCAATGGAAACGCGACTTTTATGATTTGCAGCAGATTCCGTGGACAGAAACTTTACGGGTGACGCGATCCGATGCACGAGCCGTGCGTGACGCCTGGTACATCCCGTATCGCAACCTGCATTACCTGCATCCCGGTCATGCAAAGCACCTTCCACAACGTGAAACCTTTTTCCGCGAGAGATCCATGCATACTTCACACAAAGCGTCTATTGAGCACTTCCAACTTCGCAATCTAATGTCGGCTCCTGCGTCTAATACCGTCCACTTTGCCTCCCATTCAAAAGTGTATTCATGGACCCCAACAACCGGCGACGCACAATGTCTCATCGACATGAGCCAACCAGATCCAGAATCAGGCTTCCTTGGCCCAGTCAAAATCTCCACCATGAAAACGGCACACGGCCTTACAATCGCAGGCGGGTTCTGCGGCGAATACGCCCTACGCAGCACGAGCGGATCCAACCCCGGCATAAAAGGCCTAGTAACCCCAGATTTCAACGACGGAATCACCAACCACGTCGACATAATCCCCAATCGCACAGGTCCCTCCCCAACGGGCGTCTTCGCTTCCAACGACCGACACCTCCGCATCCTCGACACAGAAACAAACATCTTCATCTCCGACCAAGAACTCGCCCAACCAATCAACTGCACCGCCACATCCCCAGATAGCCGTCTCCGCGTCGTAATCGGCGACTCCCCAGACGCATGGGTCATAGAATCCGACACAGGTCGTCCAGTCCACCCCCTCCGTGGCCACCGTGATTTCGGCTTTGCCTGCGCCTGGTCCCCAGATATGCGCCACATCGCAACCTCAAACCAAGACAAAACAGTCATCATCTGGGACGCGCGGACCTGGCGTCCGCTTGAAACCATCGACTCCGATGTTGCGGGATACCGCTCCCTGCGTTTCTCGCCTGTCGGCGGTGGCCCGCGCACCCTCCTCTGCACGGAACCCGCGGATCGGATCTCTATTATCGATGCACAGCTCTTCCGATCAAGACAGGTGCATGATTTCTTTGGTGAAATCGGCGGTGCGGATTACGCGCCTGACGGCGCCGAGATCTGGGTTGCTAATACGGATCGTCATTTCGGTGGGTTCATGCAGTATGAGCAGAAACAGTCTGGGCAGAGAGTTGGGTTGACGGATTTGCCGTCTGAGTGGCTCACGGAGGATGAGTTGGCGTTGGATCCTCGGTGTGTTTTGAGTAAGAGGGAGCGGGGATTGCGGTTTTTGAGGAATTTGTCGGATGAAGAGCATGATGCGTTGATTCTTTGAGTTCATGTTTCTTTTTTTCCCCCCTTTTCCCCTTCTGGGGTGGTATTCTTTGCGCCTTTTTATCTGCACCTGATACCCTGGGTTATGGCGTTGGAGGTTTATCTTTGTTTCTTTCTTTTTAGCGTATTGGATGTGGTTTAATGATATGCTCGTCTCAGTGATTCTATCCTTCGCTCTGCTCAACCTACTTCAGCTTGTCTGATCAAACCTCCATCGGGCCTGGGTCTGTATTCTTAGATCCAGGGCACGTGCCCGACCTGAGTCACATGACTGCGGTGCACGGCAGATATTTAGTCCGGCTCTGATCTCATATCCACCTGAGCATGGATGCCTAAGTGGACCTCCCATCTGGTAGGCCAGTTCATCTGTTTACTGTGAATTTATTGTTGGATTGTTGTATTTATTCCAACTTGAGATACTTGCTTTGTTATATCCATTTCTAAAGTACTGTAACATCTATTCAGCCGTAAACATATATGTTGCATGTTCCTACTCCTATCTAAATTACACTAAAACACACTAAACACAACTAAAACATGCAAAATCGATCAGACTAGAGCACCAAGCCCACTCATTCGTCATTGGTCTCAGCTCCGATCGAACCAGCCCCGCAACCCCTCAGCTGAATTCCATTCCATTCTCTTCTTTCTCGCTATATACTTCTTTCTGAGTTTTCGATCTCATCTTCCTCGTAACTTCTATTTCTATTCACTTCCAATCCAACCATGTCTTACAACAATAACCAGTACGGCGGCGGCGCCAGCAACAGCTACTACAACACCGACAACAACTCCTACGGGGGATCTGGTGGTGGTGGTGGTTACGGCAACTCTTCTAACGAGGGCCGTTTCAATGAAGGGTACGGAAATCAGAATCAACAGGATAACTACGGTCGTCAGGAGTCCCATGGCTATGGAAAGAATAACTCTGGGTATGGTTCCAACGAGGGCCACAATAACTCTGGCTACGGAAACAATTCTGGCTATGGCTCGAACTCTGGTCACGGCAACTCGAACTCTGGCTATGGTAATTCCAATGAGGGATACAACAACAACAACCAAGGCTACAACAACAACAACAACAACAACCAAGGCTACAACAACAACAACAACCAGGGCTACAACAACAACAACAACAACAACAACAACAACAACAACCAGGGCTACAACAACTCCTCCAACCACCACTCCAACAACGACGACTTCAGCAGCGCCGCCACCCACGCCCAAGAGCACGATAGCAACGAAGACAAATCCCTCTTCAGCAGCGCCTTGGAATTCCTCAAGAACCGCAAGTCCGATGACGACGTCGACGAGAAACAAGCTGCCAATGCGCACCAGGCTATGTACGGCTCTGGCAGTAACTCGAACCAGACGCACGATTCTAGCACTGTTGGTGCCGGTGCTGCGATGCAGGCTCTGAAGATGTTTACCGGTGGTGGAAGTGGCAGTGGAAGTGAGGGAGGTATGGATAAGAATAAGCTGATTGGACTTGCCATGGCTCAGGCTGGGAAGTTGTGGGATGAGAAGAATGGATCCGGGGGTAATGTGGTATGTTATACTTCTTTTTCTTCCTCTTTACTCTTTTTTGGAGGATGACGATGAGGTGCTAATGCTGATGGTTGTTTAGTCTGGTGATAAGCAGTCTGCGATTAACTCTGCGGCAGAGGTTGCGCTGAAGATGTATATGAAGAGTCAGGTTAGTGGTGGTGGTAGTAGCGGTGGTGCTAGTGGACTTATGAGTCTTGCGAGCAAGTTCTTGTAAATGCTTTGCGAGTACGAGAGCCTATGCATGTGCATATGAATGTTGAAATATGAATAGCATCCAGAATGACATGACAATTTCCATATTTTGACGCGAAACGGTATATATTGAACTCGGCTCTACTGTGGAATGTAATGAGATAAAAAAAACAATGACTCGCTGACCTGCATATGCACATGCCACAGCCCTCACAAACGAAAACAAAAAGGGTCAACGCTAAGCGCAGAAATGTCCAACACTGCGACCGACCATAAACAATTTACTTCTCAACTCTACCACTCATCGTCGTCGTCGTGTTTGCCCTGCATCGCGCTTTGTCGGGCACGCAGTGCCTCGGCCAAACCACCTGCCAGACTGGCGTTCGAAGCGCTGTTAGGTGTGCCGCGGCCGCTGGCGCCTGATGAATCGCCAGACTGCAAGCTTGCGACGCTATCCCGGGGAGCGGGTGGAGGCGCGGGTTTGCGTCCAGCCATGTTGGGACGCTTGGCTGGGGGAGCTGGCGGGGCGGGCTTGGTCTTTGCAGCTGCTGCAGCTCCAGCGCCGTTGGGAATGGGGCTGGGAGTTGCGCGGGGTGCCATGGGAGGTGGGGGTGGAGTGGGCTTTGGCGCGGGAGCAGCGATTATTTCTTCAAGGTAGGATTCAGGGGTCCATCCTTGCGCCGATGTTGTTGTATTCTTACACAGCCACCATCCTAGAACAAGTTAGTCATTATCAACACAACATATGCTTTGGGTACGTACCATTTCCTTCCTTGGATACAATTTCAACAATTTCACCCTTGACGATGGAAAGCTCGTTGGCCCGGTCGCTACTGTAGTCATACTTGACCTTTGCGGAGGGCTTTCGTGAGGCTGGGGGAGGTGCCGCAGGGGGAGGCGGTGGAGGTGCCCTCGCGGAGCTAGAAGACATCATGGAGCTAGTAGACTCATTGCGAGAGTGTGCTGCGGCGGCGGCAGCCACAGGTTGAGGCACGATGCGTGGTTGAGGAACAACACGCTGCTGGGCAGCAGGTTGCGGTACCGCGGCAGGCTGTGGGGTAGATCGGGGTAGAGGCTGGGCGGCAGGAACAGGTCTGCGAGCAGCCTGAGACAATTTCGAAGGGCCGCCACCGGGGCCACCAGGGCGGAGTAGCTTGCCCTTTGTAACCGGGCGAGCAGCAACAGGCTTAGGTCGCGGGGTAGGCTTCGAGACGGAGTTGGGAGGCTCACCAGCACTGGTGTGGATTGTGCTGCTTTTGTAGCTGTCAACATTTCCAGCAGCTGGGTCTTTGACTGCCTTGACTGTCGCCAGTTTTCCAGGCTTCTTATGGTATTCGATTGTTTCCCCGACCTTTAGGGTCAGAGATCCACGCAGGACAGTGGAGAGATGAGTAAAGAACTCAGTTTTGAAGACACAATTGATTAGCGGGTCCGGTTCCTGAGCCCCAATAATCAACGAGAACCAGTCATCCTTGAGATTCGAAGTGCTAACACTCTTAATGGCTCCGACTGGAACTGTTCGTTCCGCTGAGATAACAAGCTGGTTGTTGACAATACTCTGTGCAACAATGTAGACATGCCGATTCGTCAAGACAAGGATCCGGGGAACAGGTTTACTAGAACGACCAAACTTGGACACCAAAAGCTCAGCACGGCAAGAGAAAACAACCTCATCTGAACCACTGATGCCTGCACCGTTGCGGATCATTTCACCGGGGCCACCGGTATTCCCAACACCAAGATAATCGCCCAGGAAGCGGCGAGAACCGAGAAGACTCATTCTCCGGCGTTCCTTGCGGCCCTGGAGAATTTGGTGTCCCTGATCACGGACCTTGATAAATTCGAGTCCACCGGTCATGCGACGCCAGAAGCGCTGGATGCGGATCGCACATTCAATGCGGTACCGGAGATAATTTCTCCAAGCACGCTGAATGCGAATAGCCATGTTGTGCCAGTATTTGTCTCGCATGGCTTCTAGTGCGAATAGTGTCTCAGGAGTCTTGACGAAAACCTTTGTGATACCCATCTGGTACTCCTCGGTAGGAATCCGGGTATCCTTCAAGATTTGTCTCGCACCAGATTCCACGTCGCCGGTCCATGTGTAGTCACCGGCATACGAAGTCTTCGGGGACAAGAGGTAAAATCGCTCGGTGAACTTGTCGAAGGTCTGACGGTAGGCAAAGCCAGCACGTCGGATGCGGACGTTCTCCTGAAGACCCAGATACTTGATCTGGTGCAGAACATTTCCGTGGTTGTACTCCCTGGGGGCCTTGTTATCATTGGGCTTGATGGTACGAATGTAAGATGGCTGCGCCTTCATGAGCGTGGCCACAAGGTCATTTGCGGATGCCTTGATCTTATCACCGGCGGTAGGTGGACGACGCTTGTCATCCTGGTTGACCTGCTCGGGGAACAGTGTGTGGACGAACTCGTTGCTGCTAGATTGAGCAAGGTTCAACAAGTCCTTCAATAGCTGATCCTTGTTCTTATCCGTCATTCCCTCTACGGCGTAGCTGACATCACCAGCGTAGTGCTTGATGATGAACTGACCCTGGCGACCCTCGAAGTTGGGGTTCTGAGAGAGGAAGTTAAGCCTGCCAACGAAAGTCTGATCGGCCGCACCGGAATCGGCGTGAGCAGTTGCGCAAGCATCGTTCAAAGCGGCGAAAACACCAGGGGGGCGCTTGTCCTCGATCAACGAGCAGACCACCTTGTTGTCAAAATACTCAATAGGAGTCCACTTGATCTGCTCGCGGGCATACTCATCTTGTTCCGCCTTGAGGGTCAACTGAATGAAAATCTGTTGCAACTTCTCGTTGACATAGTTGATGCACAGTTGCTCGAAAGAGTTCTTCTCAAAGATTTCAAATCCGTAAATATCCAGGATACCAATCGAATTGGTGATGGACCCCCGAGCAGTCAATGACTGGTTGACGCGTTCCACAATCCAATCGAAAAGATTGAAGTAAATTGCCTTGGCCAAAGCGTCCCGGACAGCTGAAGCTTGAACTCTGTTCAGTGGCACCTCATATATGGAACCCCTGCGCCCTCCTCGGGCAGTCTCCATCAGACGAATAGTCAAAGCTTTGTTCACCTGAGCAGCATCAACCTCCAGAAGGTAGGCGACGAAATCAACAACTGACTGGTCGCTGATCATAGCATTTCCAGAGTCATCCTCGGTGAACTGAACATTACCAATCCACAGAATAGCTGCCAGCATGCGGAACACATTGTCCTGCTCGGAATCGCTCATTCCAATCACCCTCATCGCATCCAGTGTATCCTTAAACTCCGCGACATCATCAATTCCAGGCACGTCGTAACATTTGGAACGGCTCGTGTACAGGTAAGACTGGGGTTGCTGAAGACCGAAACTGTCGCGGTACTTCTGTGGGGCACCCTTTGTGAGTTGGTAGAAGATGTGGAAATTTCGCTCATTCGTAATCTGTCCCACAACTCGTGACTTCTCCAGCAGATAGTTCGTAATGTTGGCTCCTACCGGCTCACCGTTGGCATTGAATTCCAATTCCAGGTACTTTCCGAATCGGGACGAGTTGTTGTTGCGAAGTGTCTTCGCATTACCGAATGACTCCAGCAACGGATTCGTCGCCAATACCATTTCCTTAGTCTGCTGGATTGACGAATCGCCACCACCGGAGACACTGGCAATGTATTGCATGATCCGCTTTGCGGCCTCGGTCTTTCCGGCACCGGATTCTCCAGAAATAATAACACACTGGTTGTCCTTGTAGGATTTCATATTGTAGTATGCAGACTCAGCGACTCCGAATACATGAGGAGGGACTTCGAGACGGTTCTTGCCGCGATACGAATCGAGGACGGTATCTGTGTAGATACCCACTATGATGATCACACGTCTGTTAGCAAATAGCAAACCAAATCCTCTTCGCGAAACAACTCACAGTCTCGGAAAGGATTCACTGAGACCAACACATGGCCAATATAAGTCTAATAGTATCTCGTCAGCCTGTACTCGTGTTCGCGCACAACCCCGCAGTCCGCGTGCGACAGCGACCTCTTACATAAATCTCGTCATGCTCGAACCGGAGCTTCAGGTTATCGTTGATGGCCTCATTGGAGATCTTGCTGAGTAGTGTAAGATCTGATACGCCAATCTCCTTCTTCTTGCTGCTCTCGAAAGCGGCCTTCCTGACCTGCGGCTTTCCCCCGCTTGCCGGCCATCGCCAACATCGGCGACGGCTTTAGAGCGCCCGAAGCGGCTCTTCTTTTCGCCGCCAACGGGGCGTCGTGACTGACCCTATTCGGCAGTCATAGTGTCAGTTTGGTTCTTATCTGGCAAGTAGGCCACCTACCATCTTGTGTTAACTGATCTCGCGCCCAGGCGAGAAATGTGAAATATGACCTGTCAACTGAATGTAGTAATTCTATTGACAAGTTAAGCAGGAATTGAGAGTGAATAGGCAGTCTAGAACGAGTTCTAGGTAATTGTAAGAGGGAAGTGCCCAGGCGGACTTACGTACAACGAGTCAAACCGAAGCAAACAGCTGCGCCACAGAGGGTCCTCCGGTTCCGTTGCTGCCTCAGGGGGCGAATGGAATATCCCGATGTCAATTTATCCGGTTACTAAGAATCATCTTTTCGGTATAGCCATTCTCATTGCTCAATTTGATTTTGTTCCATGGCATCTTCCTTTTTTCCATGAACCCCATCAGTCAGCCACGCGCGTCAGGGGTGTGGCTCATGCGGTCCAGAATAGGTACACCGACGTCATTGGGCATATTAGGACGAATATACTCCTGCCTAACCGCAACTTTGGACACAGTCCACTGGAGATTAAGAGAAGCTATATCGTTTATGATCATGCTATTGGAACTGTTCATAAGACACAAATTTTGCTGTCCATTCTTGAGCCTATGTAGCCCAAATGTAGGGAGAAAGATAACCGATGGAAAGATATAAAGGTGTGCATTCTGTGGTAATCATACATGCTTACATGAATGCTCGACGGATGAAACGGTCCACCGATCAGAATACTGTGTTGGCTATCATCAGGTGCGAATTCCCGGAATCAAAGACATCCTCTCTCGGCACAGGAACAGCCTTTTACAATGCATATGCCTGGGATTTCACTTGTTGGCCTGGTATGCAGAAAAATGGTTTGCAGGGTTAAACTTCGACTGCGGGAACGATGCAGACAAAAACGAAGTAGACACATGCGTAGGCACTTTCGATACCGAGGACTTATCTCCAGGAGCGTTCACCGGAACCTAATCGCGATAGATGAGCAGATACTCACCACAAAACACTACCTCGTCGTTCCACTATAACTCACCGGGTTTGCCCGTGAAGCGTTCTTCATATATGTGCCTATGCAATCCAAGAGGTAGGATGCATCCGACACAACAAGAACGGGGGGTGGTTCTGAAAAGCCCAATGAAAGGCAGTGGTGGAGTGCCCCGAGAGACTGCACTGCCTCGATCTGTTCGTTACCCGACGAGCTCACATCCATCAAATACACAATCACCCCCAATGAATTCTTGTTGGCCTCGGTAAACTTTTGAATTCCAATCGCAGTCTGGTGTCTCATGGTCACGTGGAACCGTTTGGGAGTCAACAGAAGCGCATTGAGTTTGATCGAGTGGACTTGATGAAGGACATCAAACGTCGATAGGGTTCGGGCCTGGTAGGTAAGCTCAAAGCTAAAGTCGGCATCTCGCGCACCCCACAGAGCTTGAAGGAGAGTCAGAACTTGGACCTTTTGTGAAGGAGTGAGAGGGATTTACAACTGAAGTCTGTACTCGGCGCCGGCGAAGCTAGAGGATACGATCAGCTCTAGATGTTAAAGAAACGAAGGAAATTCAATTACCTTCTTTCATTGTCCCCAGAGCAGTGAGGCTGGGACATAGCCTGCCCCATTCCTCACGTTTCCGAAGTTCTGAATTATATTCACCCCGAAGTCCAAGCGTTAGAGGTGTAGACATTGTGAGAGTAGACATGAAGAGAGATGCTGGAGGGCTGGCACTATCTGCAGTTCGAGGAGCAAGGGTAGATATGGGAATAAATGGAACTGAGGAATTGAGCGGGCATGCAGAGGAGCCAGAAGAGGGAGGCAACTTGTCAGGAGATGGAGCACCCATAACGACAGAAACAAGACAACCAAACTGCAAAGAGACGTGTCAAACCGACAGGACTAATGAAAGAGAAAATGATCAAAGAGAAGAGTTGTTGCCTCTATGGACGTCATGTGTGTGTGTGTATGTACATTTCGAGGAAGGAGCGGAGAGAATATCAACAGGTGACTCCGCCTTGCAACCTCTACTTTCTCAAAAACAAAACTCCTTGCTTGTATGTCCAGTGGTCTTTCAATGGGGGTATTTCGACCGAATGTAAATGGAAATGCGCGCTAACCATATGTGATAGGATATCGCTAGACATTGGTGGAATATTAATCAATCAAGAATCACGAGGCTTTCGATGCAGATGATGTCATCTGACTAGCTGATGAGGTAGACTGGTTCAGAGTTGGAGGTGTCGAGTCAGCCTTTTCTGTTGTGGGCTGGGTATTAGGCGCAGACTCGGTCGTGTTCGCGGCACTTTGACCAAAAGAGATGTACGAGGAAATGCGTGAGAGCCACCCCTGTTCGGCTATTGGCGTATCCGGCTCTGGTGTTTGTTCATATATCTCAGGAGCCAGAATCCTCTTCGTTGACAACTTGGGCAAGTCGCCGTGCTTAGCTCTTAGCTGGAGCAGCTCCTTTTCGAGTGCCACCAGAGCTTCACGCGCTGCCTCTTCGGATTTTTCCAGCTCTGCCAACCTTCCCTCCACGCCTTCCCGCCGTGTGCTTTCCTTATTCCGTGACCGCCAAGACTCAAAGAGGATCAGGCTTCCAGCAACGAGGAAGAGGAAGGATTCGGATATGAAGTTCGCACCGGACTCAATAGCTTTAGATTCGGAAAGGGGGCGAATATGATAGTGGTGGGGTTTGGCTGCTTCCTCTGCTGCAGCCTTGGCCTTGGCCTCTGCCTCTTCTGCGGCTTTCATGTCGGCGGCATTTCGGACGGTGGGCATTGAAGGCTTGTGTTTCCGAGCTTCGGCTTCGGCGGCGGCTCGACGTTGCGCCGCGGCGCTATCACGGAGGGTGCCTAGTCGGAGACGCATATCAAATCGGTGAAGAGCCTGGGCCATAGAGACGCAGATCTTGCGAAACCGTTCATGTTCACGGGCCTGGCCTTTGATTTGAGACTGTGTGGGTCAGCATATGGATTTGGCAGGATTGAGTTCGAGATGCAAGCTTACAGCGATGGGCTTGGACAAGGTCCTGATTACCAGGGAGGAGAGCTTCAATGTTAACGACATGGCTGGGGTATGGAAAACGTGAACACATGAATCTTGAGTCACTTTCCTACCTCTGACGCGGTGGGTCCCGAGCGCCGCGTTGTGATTACTCAGCACCGTCTTCTCCCCGCCCAGGAAAAGCGCAGAGCGACCATAAGAGGCTTATTTCCCAGATTTGCTTGGCAATAACTACCCGGTTACAACAGATTGGAGTTTGATGCACTTGAACGATTGGATTTTTTACCTACAAGAATTGTTCAGAGCAGTGCCTCCATTTTGAAATTTAGAGGTGACAGAACTGTTGAGCAGGGAACAGATAGTTTCTTGGTCTACACGCTGAACAGGATTTCAGCATCATAGCATTTCACTCTTCGATATTCCATATGCTGATACATTTACCCATAGATGGAGTAGGGGAAAGGCCGTTGTCAATCAAACATAGGGCTAGCCGTCTTCAAAGTCAAAAGGCCAAAATGTGAAACCGTGGAACAACGTTCGGAGACTCCCCGAGGGAAAATAATCTGTACGGAGCACGGAGTACGGAGTACACACTCCGTTATAAATGCAAGTATTGCGTGTCCTTTGATTCTAAGTATTACTTTGCAATCGCATTGAGCCAATCAACTCCTGCATGAGATTCAACCTGCAATCCCCCCGCCCCCAAGCTTCGGCTGCGATGTCGCCTTTAATATAAATTTTACGCGAAAGCTTTGGACCCAGATAAGCAAAAATTAGCTCCTCATCAACCAGTCAAATGGTGTGATTAGCGATTTTTTGACCCTAGCGTGGAAATATTTTCTGCTTGGTAGCTTTTCCTTTCCTGCAACGCCATGGCAGGGGTATTCGAGGAGAACCCTAAGACAGGGGGTCGATATATCGTGCAAACTGTTCAGGATGTGGAAGATCAGCACTTCACCCCACAATATGGTCCATCGAACCCTGTCATCGCCGACGACGGGCAAATCGTTACCCAGTATGAACGCCAAAGCTTGATCCGGGGTCTGGGGCAACGCCATATTCAAATGATTGCTATTGCTGGCGCAATTGTATGTAGACTATTGTGAAGACACCAGCCAACTCATGTCTAACCTACTATAGGGTACAGGTCTCTTTCTTGGTCTAGGCGGCTCGATCGCTACCGGCGGTCCTCTGGGTGCCCTGCTAGGCTACCTGTTCATCGGCCTGGTAGTCTGCAGCATTCAATTTGCATTGGGAGAAGTCTCGGCTCTGCTACCAGTCACTGGTTCCTTTGTGCGACACACAGAGATCTTATGCGACCCCGCGCTAGGGTTCGCTGTAGGTTGGAATGTTGTTTATGGATGCTTTATCAGTGTTCCGAGTGAGATCTCCGCCAGCGTGGTCCTTATTCAATACTGGACCGATATCAGTGCCGCCGTCTGGGTGACTCTCCTAATAGTGGTCTCTGTGGTTGTTGCTATCTCATTCATCCGCGTCTATGGTGAGATCGAATTCGTTTTCGCCATTCTCAAGATTTTATTGGTCATCTTCGTGGTCATTCTCGGCCTTGTCATTGATCTTGGTGGTGTGCCGGGTGTGCCCCGGCAGGGATTCCATTACTGGAAAGACCCCGGTCCATTCGTCGAATACATCACTACTGGGTCTTTGGGACGCTTTCTTGGATTCTGGGCTGTCATGACCAATGCAGTCTATTCATTCGCCGGTGTGGAATCTTTGGCCATGGCCGCTGCCGAAACAAAGAACCCGCGACAGAATATTCCCAAGGCCTGCAAAAGGGTGTTTGCACGAGTCCTGATCTTCTATGTCGCTGCTGTGCTGGTCGTGGGCATGTTGGTCTCTAGCGCCGATGAACGTATCAGCTCAGACTCTGGTACCGCAGCTACGAGTCCATTCGTCATTGCCGCCGGCGATGCAGGTATCAAGGCTATCCCCTCCGTCGTCAACGCCGTATGCTTGACGTCTGCGTGGTCTGCATCAAATCAAAGTATTCTGGCGGGAACCAGAACCTTATATGGTCTTGCGATCAAGGGCCATGCTCCGAAGATATTCCTGCGCACCACCAAGTGGGGCGTCCCTTATATGTGTGTGCTGCTGCAGATTGCCTTCTCTCTCTTGGCTTACATGTGTGTTTCCAACAACGCCATGAATGTGTTCTGGTGGTTCGTTGATCTGACCGCGGCTGGTACCTTGGTCTCGTGGATCACCATCGCTTTGAACCACATTCGTCTGTTGAAAGCGATGGATAAACAGGGCATATCACCAACCGAGTTGCCGTGGCATAACCGCATTACCAGTATGTACCGCAGTCTGATATTGGCAGATCGAGTCTTTTAGGATTCTAGTACTAACATAACCAAGGATACACAAGTTGGTTCGCATTGGTCTCTTGTGTCCTGATTCTCCTGACCGGAGGTTTCTCGGTTTTCACGGCTGGAAACTGGGACCCTGCTTCCTTCGTCTCGTCGTATCTGTGAGTCTACTCCTTTGCGGCATTGGGTTCAATCCACTAACCTCGGAATCAGGGATATTCCACTCGTTCTATTTGCGTACGGAGGCTATAAGTTAATCCGCCGGACAGAGATCCTTCCTTTGAAGATGGTGCCGGTTCAACAAGCGCTAGATGAGGCCAACAATGACCCGGATAACGTGCCTATTAAGAAAGACAGCTGGCTGGCAAAGATGAATATTCTTTGGGGCTGACATCCTTTTACTCGACGCCTCCTACTCAACGCTAGGAGACTATCCATGTTGTCTCAAAGACGAATGAGGCTGATAGATATTTAACAATCTATAATATTTAATAAACATGATACAATATCAATGACATTCTATTTTACTCCTGTCCTGCATGCCGTGTCAACTTGCTTGCATCGGTGCCTTATATGCTAACCTTCTTTTGCTAACTTGAATGTATATATACCCGTCTGTCAGGCAACGATCTTGCTTTCCCCTTGATCGCTCATCAAAAATGATATCTACCAGTTGTCATCGTCGTCTTGGCTGGAGGCCCTATGTGTCATCAAATTATGATCTGAGGGAAGGATACCATCTTTATACATGAATGCAGTTGTCCGCATTTCAGCATCACGCCGTGTGAAGCTGTGTAGGCAGATCAATGCTTTTCCTTTCTTTTGCATGTCTTCAAGCTTCCCGGGGACATTTTGTTTTCTACTTCTTTTATCATCTCTCCTCCGCCTCTCCCTACGAGTCTATAACTACATATATATAATAGAACAAAGCCTTGTGTACCATGGTCAGCTGGAGTCCACTGCGTTATACCCACCAATAAAGTCAACGTGAGTTGCTTCTATTCCACTTCCTGGGACCCAAGATATGATGACTGATTATTCTTCTAAAAAACAGTCAGCCCTCTCATATAATTTCAAATCTCCAGAGGAAGGTCTGTTTCACCAATTCATCCCTCAAAATTCAGCCCAGTTTCCCCTTTATCCTTAGCGCTAAAGGGAATTCCACGCTTCAAAACGTATATCTCATCATCTTCCCCCGCCGGAGTGACCCTGAGTACACCAATCAGGTGCTCTGGTATTCCAGACTTGCGACATGAATGCGGTCCAATTCGGGCGAGAATCTGAAGCCCCTGTTGGGAGGTCGCCCAGAGAAACATAGCTTTTCAGATGAGCAAACACCGGGGAAGCGCAAGTCTCATCAACGACACCACCATGCAAAGAAGGGTCATAGCACGTCGACGGCCGGGATTGGTAGTATCTTCTTCAGTAATCGTCCGGATATTTGCCTTCCTTCACACATTGAAGTAGGCTTGCCTACAATACCACTGTCCGGGCCTTCCAGTCAATGAATCAAATCTCGACTTCGATGATCGCGACGTTGAAGCGGGAGAAAGCAAATCATGGAAGATATGCCTCTTTGGGCTTTTTTGACGGTGGCTCGGAGTGCTATGGTTTCAACAAACAACATTGGAGTGGAAGTAGGATTATATAACCAAGTCTTTTATACGTCAAAGAAGAAAACGGTGTATCGGAGAGATTAAGTGGATATCTGAACGAGATACAACGTGTCATGAACATCGACACCAGAGTCAGCAATAGAAAGAACATAACCTTGCCACTTCCGCGACGACCCGCGATTGGTACAAGCATGATTGCCCGATCATCCTGGTCATTCAAAGCCCTGTTGAACTGCTTGTGTTGTAGGTGCGAATCAGTTTTTATCATTCGGGACTATGCCAACAGATACTCTGGGGCGGTATCCCGGTGGTATGCACAGCAAGAATCATCAGTCGTATCGTGAATGTGCAGTTTAACTAACAAAAATCGGACACCATTGCTTCCCCGCCGCCAACTATGCCTCCACCCTGCTCCTCGCCGCTGCGAACTTCGCGAACCTTGCTTCAATTACCACAGAAGACGCCTAGCGCGATGAAGAAGCCCTGGTGAAATCGAGGCCCATTTTCCTCAGTGGATTGGCCGCACGGAATACCTGGCTCTACCAACTGCTTTGTGTATTATCTTCCAATTTTATATTTTATCCGCGTTGCTACCAGTCAACTCCCTTCCTCCCTCCATGCTCGGCATCGAATCTCCTGCATTTTGTGTCAGATTAGTGGTAACCCTGCTTGCTCACTAGAAGAGAGTCACGTATCTTTGCTTGTATACTATAAAAGCCGCACAACAGAAGTCTCTTGCGGTGAGCTTCCTGCGGATCTTCCTGTCTGCAAGGATGTTATTTTTGGTGCTTGCAGCCGATCATTTGCAGATGCTGTTACTATTGCAGACTATCAAGTCGCCTCTGCTCTATCAAAAGCAACGCAATGGTCTTAGGATGATTCAGAGATTAAGTATCAGCGTTTGGAAGTCGGGTACGCCTAAGCCTCTAATTTAAGGTTATAGCATTGACTGATTACGCGTGAGGTTTTCACAGACTCTAGGGACCCATGAAGTAGGTTGAGAGTGGCAGCCCTGATATAGTGGCAACTGGCGATTTGAAATATTTTGGGAGCTTTAATAGATTATGAAGCTTCCTTTAGAGATTCTGACACTTCTTTGTGTGTTTATTAGTTGGTAAATTATGCCTTTCTTTCACATAAGATAGGAACGGCAAATGGAGACAGCCCGGGTTGCTTCCAATGGGCGATAACGAGAGTACAGTATTTAAGCCTTCAAAAAGGGCTTCCAAATCTCTTTCAAAAAATAGCTCCAACTAGTTGCCACGTCATTGTCGTGAATCTATGATATCAAAATATATATGGCGTGTGTGAAGGACGGAATTAAGAAGTACCGAGTCTAAGATGTCTACTGACCAGCACCCCAGCACTATATGCTACCGTAACAAGACAAAACACACAGTGCAGAACAGTTTAAAGCATGGAGACCAAAAGAAAATATCGAGGGAGGAAGGGAGAAAGCCTTTGTAGTTACCACCTCACAACCCACGACTTAGGATTTTAGCCTGTAGTATAAGGCACCAACTGCACGTGATCCGGGATGCCAAGACAGTCTCGCTCTCCTTCGACATTTGCCGATTCAAACATTCATCCAATATAGCCCATTGAGGTTGTTTGCGTGTCTCTCGAGATTCGATCTGCTAGATTAGATGACTCATGGTGTTTCGGGGATGAAATTCTAACACCAGACGTGCAGAATGCCGATTGAGGCTCTTCCCCAGAAAACAATCCGGGCGATTGGCTCCACATCTGTGATTTCGGATCCCTACTCTGTTGTCAAGGAACTTGTAGACAATGCACTGGATGCTTCCGCTACGTCCTTGCAGGTTGAGATTTCCCAAAACACCGTGGATATCATACAACTCAAAGACAACGGTCATGGCATCTCTCCAGAGGACCAGCAACACGTCTGCAAACGAGCTTTCACCAGCAAGATCCAGACTTTAGAAGATCTCAAGAATGTCGGTGGGTCATCATTGGGTTTTCGTGGTGAGGCGCTTGCCAGTGTTGCAGAGATGTCCGGAGTCCTCGCTGTCACCACTAGAGTTGAGTCTGAAGTTGCTGGGTTATGTTTGAAGTATGGAAGAAACGGAGAGCTTACTGGGTATGCTGTCCATGCGGGCGTTTTGACTGCCTTTTACACTGCTGACCTTTTGTTGCAGAACGCAATTAACGTCACATCCCGTGGGCACAACTGTTCGTATCACGGACTTTCTTAAACACCTCCCTGTCCGCAGACAGACTGCCTTGAAGGGTGCTACGAGAAATCTCACGAGAATCAAAAAGCTTCTCCAGGCATATGCTATAGCTCAGCCATCAAAGAGGCTCTCACTCAAGGTTCTCAAGGCCAAAAATGAAACCAGCAATTGGACCTACGCGCCAAGCGCGGACGCCTCGCTCTCGGATGCAGCTCTCAAGGTAGCCGGCACAGAAGTTTCTTCTGCTTGTATTGTGAAGCAAATTTCCTCTGATAGCACCAGTGGGAGATATCAAGGTTCATCAAATCAGACAGAGTATGAAGCTATCGCGTTTCTTCCAAAGACAAAGTTTGGTGAGCTTATCTTACTGCTTATCCGGTGATGTTGTTACCAACAAAGACAGATACATCCAAGATCAACAATGCAGGCCAATACATCAGTGTGGATGGCCGTCCCCTCTCCAGTAGCAGGGGGATTGGCCACGATATCGTCAAACTCTTCAAATCATATATTCGTGCCGCTGCATCTAAAAACGAATCGTCCAAATCGGCTATCGAACCTTTCCTCTGCTTGCAAATTCGCTGTCCACGAGGAACATATGATGTCAACATCGAGCCAGCGAAAGATGATCTGCTTTTCGAAGACCGAGATGTGGTTTTGGCCTTGGTGGAGAATCTATTTCGCGACCATTACGGCGAAATAGATAGCACAGCGACAAGACCTTCCACCAAAAGCAAAGAGGATGCTAGAAATTCCAATGAGACCTCAGCAGAATTTGGGCTTTTGATGGCTAGAAAGCCAGCTACAGAACTTGCGGCACAGCCTCACGATCCTGGAAACTCATCCAGTGTGACTATACCCCACACGCCTCTCTCACAGAAGCAGGTTCCGTCTCAGTACGCCTTTTCGCCTGTGGTTCCTTCCAATAGCAAGGGCCCTGAAAGTACCAACAAATCGGCTACCGCTAGAAATAGGCGGTCAAGTTTTGTGAATCCGTGGTCTATCTCTAGAATGAATGCCTCATTTCAAACACCACGACGCGAGAGCAATTCTCTCGGCCAGAAAAGCCCCGTGGGTCTGTCTAGCAGTAGCATGCAACGTGAGAATGTGAGTATATCGCAGGGCTTCCAACATTCGCCAAACTCAGGCTTGAGAAGCCCAATTACGTCGCCTGTGAGGCGCCGTCTAGACCATCGGCAAAAGTCCACCGAGTCCTCCCCTGAGACTAATCGATTCTCGAGCGCCCGACATGCTGAGAGAGAACGCGATCGAGAGCGGTATGGGAATGGAGCTCTCGACACTTTGTTTCAGAGAACCACTCAAGTCTCACTGGAGCGAAACTCTGCTAGGGAAGGACCGGCTCAAGAACCGGATTCACCACTTTCTTTTCTTGCACAGCAACGATTTGGCACTTCGTCAAATACTGCACCTCCCGTTGGGCAGAATGATGATTGTTCGGACATCCCATCGAATAATAGCATCACGCCAGAAGCCACCGACCATGGGTCTACGCTACGCGAAGACCAAGGCGGTCATCTTCCCGAGTCAATGGATAGTGGTCGAGGATTCCCGGTCCTTGAAAAATGGGCCGCACAACTTCACCAAGGCGTCAGTCATGACGAAACATCTGATCTAGAGAAAGCACTTGACTTCGAAAGGCGTAAGAAAGAAGCCATCCAGAACAGTCGCACACGCTTTAAGCAGAATGGTAAACCATCCGGTTCAAATTCTGTTGCAGTGTTGAATTCGCCTCATAGCAGTCGTTATCTTGCTGCAAAAGCTGCGTTGACTTCGTCGCAAACGTCGATCGGCGAACCGGTCTCTGCGACAACCCTCTCACCTCACGATCCACGGGCATATCTCATCCGTAAGGAAAGGGATAATCCTACCGTTAAACCCTCGGCCAAAGATGGAAAAACTCGGAGACTACCTACCAATCGACTTCCCTTCGAACGTATACCCGTTGGCTTCGACCTGCATGATCTCGGGTTGACATGCTTGGTTGACTTATCTCCAAACTCCAACTCGTTCAAGAGGAACATGCCCGAGGATCTGTATTCTGAGAACGGTAATGAATTCACAACATTCTCAACATCTAACCTTGAGACTTGCTTGCCGTTATGGAATGAACGGCTGACGCTTATCATGAGGCAACAATACAAGAGCAAGGATGAATCACCCTTGAGTACTCAAATTGATCTTGCAGGCATTATCTCGCAGCATTTGAGAAATACCGCGGACAATCAAGATACTTAGGGCTGCCTAGTGCGACAGAAGCTTTGAAAGAGGTACTCTCTGCGGAATTGATGTCCTCAAAGATTATTTGTTATTTATTCTATATCTCAAATATCAGAGCCTTTACACTTTATCATATATGACCGCGAAAAAAAAACATTTTCGACAATCTTCTGAAGTCCGATACATTCCGTTTGTCACAGCAGGAAGATCAGTCGGTGTGACAATTGAAGTTATAATGCTCTTTGCCAGTATTTTTATAAGAAGGAGGGAATCCGAGTCACGCATCATGCATCATGCCATCGCGTCTAGTGCACAAGGCCTATGATACTCAGGACTGCGTACCTTGAGCTGGCCTGTGTATGTAGGCTACCACGAAATACCAAGAGGCACTTTCCGTTCACCACCATGACCCAGAAGCCGTGCGATCTACATCTTTCTCCTATCCAAGTATCTGGTATTAGTTACTCTGATCCTAGCCTCAATATCAAAGATCTTGGACTACAATTCATTTTTAATTTCCACCCACTATCATCTACCACTACATTCTTTTTGCAAAGGGGAAATCCATGATTCCGGCGATACGTTCGTCGATCACCGACATAAAACTCTGTGTTTGGAATTAAATTAAAAGAAGGAATAGGATTGAGGATATGACGAAGTAGAGGGAAAGGAGAATAGCTGTTTCTTCTATTTATGAGGTAACGCAGAATGTATCACAGCCCGCGAATAAGGCTCAACGACCTCGCCAATCTTGATGATTTATGTTTTTCTACTTCCCATAATGTTCTCATTTCATATACATTGCTTTGAAGTATTTAATTCGAATTCATTGGAGAATTAGTTCGACAACATCCGGGGATATCCTCGACTTGTCCGTTACATAATCTTGACATCAACACCCATGACCTAGACAGCATCAAAGCTATAAAAGAACCATTGATCCCCTAATCAGTCCCGCAAGAACCCAGATAATGCGCCAAAATGGCATTTCTCATCCCTCCCTCAACTCTAGAGAGCCAGGCCTATAGCCCGCTCCACTCTCCACCCCTCAGAAACAGTATAACACCGGGCGATGTGGGAATTCTAAAATCAACTCTCCTACCATCATTCGGCCTCTATTCATCCCTCTCACTAGCAGCATACATTGCAGCCAAAACAACAAACCGAGTGGAACTGAAAGACTGGCTTTGGCCATCCTCGCAAGTCCTCAATGCCTGGTGGACCGCCATCGGGCAACCGATGTGCAAATATAACATCTCAGTCGGAGCAGCTTTCCAGGCTCTACCATGGACCGAAAGGGTTCTTCTAAGCTGCGTTACTATGTGGGGCACGAGACTCTTTGCCGGGGTAGTCTGCCGGTCCTTGTCCCGCGGGAAAGATGATGCGCGGTACGACGCGGTCAAAAAAGAGCCCGGTTTCTGGAGAAGTGTCTTTTTGAAGACCTTTTTACCGGAAGCGGCCATATTAAGTGTTATCTCTTTGCCGTTTACGGTTCCGTTCACTATGGGCGAGACTGCGCTTCCGGTAGGCGAAGATGTAAGGGATATTATTCGGGCGCTTGGCGTTGGACTTTTTAGTGTTGGGTTTGCGATGGAGACTATGGCAGATACGCAGCTTGCACTTCATCGTCGGGAACGGACGGATTTGTGCCAACATGGTGTTTGGAGTTTGGTGCGGCATCCCAAGTAAGTTTGGTCGCGATATACGTCCATACCTTCGGGTGAGATGACATATGCTGATGGTGTTCTAGTTATCTCGGGGACGCATTGGTACATTTCTCATTTGCTTTGCTTAACATGGCTGGTCCGTTCAATCCAGCTGTGATACTGGGTCCTATTGCGAACTACTTATTCCTTCGGTTTGTGTGTGGTGACAAGGAGACTGAGGCTAGCCAGGAAGAGCGCTATGCGTCTCAGGATCTACAAAAGTATGGGCAGCTGAAACAGTGGCAGAGAGAGAAGAACAGTTTCTGGCCTGCTTTGCGCGATCTGGTGAATCCATGGGGATTGGCTGTTGCTGCTTGCGGGCTTATTGGTGTGGTCATCGAGGAGGGATTCAGAGGTGCTTATGATATGTGATGGCATAGTCAGGAGACGGGTATTTGCCAGACCGACAAGATTGTGTAGGAAGGTCGATTGTCGAAATTGAACGCCAGCATAGTATGCGGTTTAAATACATAGCGCCAAGATAGTTGGCGAACTTCCGGTCTATAGTGAAGTAAGATGTTGAAAACACACAATAAGCTATGATCTTTGATCCATTGGTTTATTTATCATAGCGTATGGTAGGCTTCACAATTGCGCCAACCAAGCCCCCATTTTGACTGGCAAAGAGATGGCTAACTAGGCACAACCGGGGCCGCCCTCGCCCCGGGGCCTGGGGCCCTATAGTGCTAGACCCAAGCTTTGATCCACATGTAGTGCAATCGATACCGTGTCACTATAGAGATTAATGATCCTCATCACTGCGTGAACGTGTAAATATTGCTGAGGTACTAAATATAAGCTTGAAAGGCCTATACGGGGAGAAACTAGGTGGCGATCAAGAGCGATAGGGTTTCATAAAAGCTTTCGTATATATATGCCACGAGTGTAATCTTTTACAATTTTACTAAGAAAAACAGGCAAGTCCAGCGGGTTCAAAGGATATGAATATATGGGACGCGGTCGTTGAATGGGCTGCGATTTTCCTACAGAAGGCGGATACTTGGCAAGACTTGATCTGTATCAATTCACTGAAACAAGGCTGACAGCGATGCAGATTGTAACTCAGCTGGCGGAGCATGCGTCAAGGAATCACGGATATATTAAAAAGGAGTCGTTATCAGTGATATTCTCGGATGCAGCGATATGGCGACGGCAATGCGAATTTGAGGGTCTGTACAAGTCGGCCCAGAGGGACTTTGACTACCGGCTCATATATATTGACAAGCACTGCTTCGATGAACTAAACCAATGCATACATGCACATATGCTAATACCCTTTGCCCCGTACATATGAGTTGATCAGCGGCTCACCCCGAGCAATACGCCCCAAATTCGCCTTGAGAATATCAAGAGAGCGCGGGAACATCTCCTCCCCAAGGCCACTGATATGTGGACTGATCTGAACGTTAGGTGCATCCCAGAGAGGATCATCCTCTGGAAGAGGTTCAGGGTCAGTCACATCAAGGGCGGCACCGCCCAAAACCCCAGAATTCAATGCATCAGCCAACGCCTTCTGATCGATGACCTTGCCCCGCGAGATGTTGGTCACGTAAGGCTTGCTCGTATGGTGATGAGAGTTCTCAGATAGAAGGGCGAATTCCTCTGCGCCGAGAAGACGGGTTGTTTGTGGAGTCAGCGGAAGTGAGACCACGAGATGATCCAGTCCGAGAGACAAGAAAGAGTGGATAGCTTCGCGGTCGGTTCCATGGTGCCACGATACCGGGATCGAACCGTCTGGGTCTCCAGTTCCAGGCACGATATAGCCTGTATCATGGCGGGATACGAGTGTTGGGCGTGGATTGGCCGTGTGTGCGTAGACGGTCATGCCTAATGCGCTTGAGATGCGGGCAACTGTCGATGGTAAGTTTCAGGTCTGGCTTTCATGGAATTGACAGCTCGTCTTTATATCAAGCGACAGCCGACGGAACTTACTTTGGCGCCCGATACTTCCATATCCTAGAATACCTATCTTCTTGCCCACTTGATCATGTATACCTTTCATGTACCCATCTTTCTCTGCCCAGGTGCGTGATTTCTGTGCCTCATAGCTCAAGGCATATTTCCGGGATGACACCAGCCAGTTCATCACGGTCCATTCTGCAATAGGGGGACCGTGGATACCCGAGCTTGTCGTGATGGGAATATCACTTTCCCGTAGAATCGGGTGTTGCAATATATGGTCCACACCAGCAGAGAAGGCATGAATTAGTTTCAGGCTAGAATAGTGGTTAATGTACATTCAAATTGACAGTGGTTGGGGTCGGCGCTTACTTCTTCGAGTCCTTGAGATCTGGCAGATCCGTGAAAGTTACAAGGACTGTAGCACTTTGGTATAATTCTGCGCGAGATTTTAGTTTCTCCTAATTCGAGCCTTTCACAATGAAATCCGCTCACCCGATGGCACAGGAACACCTGGCTGAGACTGATGAATAGTGACCTTGGCATCAGAGAATTTGTTGCGGATAACATCTTTCAGCTCTTCTGGCATTGCCCGGTAGAAAACAACGAGCACATGCTCCGGTGAGAGTGGTGCGTCACCCATTACGATGAATCAATTTGAGAATGCTGGACTTTCAGGATGTTGGCGTATTTAAGTGAAAATGTTATAAGGCGCGGGCATCGGTCAAATTGAACTTCCCCGCCTCGGTCTTACAAAGGCAGTCCGACTTCACGAATAACATTGCTATGGATGGGTCGAATGTCGATTTCTTATTGGAACTGCCCGTCATTTTTAGGGAGATAGCGATTTATGCGAGATGGCGTGGTATGGCGACACTTTGCTTAGATATGATCTCAGAGCATGTCGAGTCGCTGTGGGACAAGGCTTTCCCAGGCATTCATGGCGCTCTCTTGGGCAAATGATGACATCGATCATAGCATATTCTGTGATATGATTATCTTAGCATAGACTCTACATCGTTGTAGCATCTACACGACTTGGTGGCTTGAGGGTCGCAATTGATACCTGGATGCCTGGATGCCATATATGGCAGATCACTCGAAACTCGCATCAATCTCTAAATGGCCGTTCTTGAGCGTAACATTAGCAAGAACACTCATGTTAGTGGATTGCGCTCCGACCTGAAACTCAGTAAAAACCAGTCGCAGACTCGCAACGTTGCGTATTATCCGGACCAATCTCCACTCTCTAGATGCAGGGTTCTGCGCCTTGCACAATCAAAAAAGAGCCGTGGCCCCCAACTCTCTGAACACAGTCTTCTCCAGCTCCGACGGAACTTATTCATAATGTATTTACCTAGTCCAATAGTAGGGTGGGATAAGAAGCGCCTACCATGTCCTCAAATTATAACCAAGCACGAACAACCCATGGGCGCATTCGCGCCAAATTTAGCAAGTATAAAATTCCTGCTTCCACTATGCATAGATAGTCAGAGCCATTGCCTTCAAAGAGATCGTACGAGACCCTCATTTTTGTGGAGTATTGGTAGAGCGATTCGAGTAATCCACTCGGCCTTTCCACCACTCACCACGATCTCCCAATCTCAAAATCCAAAAGAACACCAATTCAACACACAGCTTGCTTACCCATTGAACATCTTATAACCTCACTGTCGCGCCCAGATTCCAACTTCCACGCAAAATGTCACTGGAGGTCTACCCCGCGTCCCCTGCCGACGCGCCCGCACTCACGCAAGTCTTCTACGCCGCCTTCCGTAGCCCTGTCGACACGGCCATGTTCCCAAACACACCGGACGGGACAGAATGGTGGGAGAATGTATTTAGCACTGCAATCACCCGCTCAATTGCAGGAGAGTCCAACGAGATATTCTTCAAGGTGACGGAGGGGTCGGAGAGTGGTCCCATTGTCGCGTTCGCGAAATGGAAGCGTCTCACGTCCCCTGCAGATCACGATCGGCACGAGGAACAGATTGTATGGCCTTCTAGTAGCGATAAGGAGCTTTGCGATCGGTTTTTCTGGGGCATGGAGACGCAGCATGAGAAGTGGATGGGGGATCGGCCTCATTATTGTACGTTTCGCCCCCCACCTCCCGTCTCGTTTTGTGGGTTTTGTGGTTTTTGTGATTTTTGTTTCACGGGTTCTTATTTTGATTGATTTTTGGTTCAATTGCTCGTACCAATAATCCAACACCCACCACTAACAGCGATGTATAGATCTGGATATGCTGGGCGTCCACCCCTCCTACCAGGGGAAGGGACTAGGCTCGAAGCTCCTCAAATGGGGTCTCACGCGCGCTGATGCGGAAGGTGTGGAGGTTTATCTGGCTGCATCTCCACTTGGGAGACCTTTGTATGCGAAATATGGGTTCCGGGAAGTTGATACCTTTTTACCAACCCCGGACTATGTTCTGGTGATGATGATCCGCTCGCCCCAGGGACAGGGGAAAGCCGAGTAACCGAATCAAATGTAATAAGTATTTCGAGCATTCGAGGTCAACACTAGCACATCATCTCATAACTTTCCCTCCGGAGCAACTCCAAAGCAAAATCATCGTTCTCAAACTCCGCGGTCTGGGCTCCCTCTGGCAATTTGCCCCGCTTGCTTGGGAGTGGACATCCTCTCGAGGCGCACGAATCGAAGTCAATGATCACCGGCACATCACTTTGATCTGCAAACATCACATTGTCTGAATGAATATCATTATGGACAAGATTGAGGGTATGTAGATAATCGATACCTGCCTTGACTTGCCGCAGGAAGCTATCGTTATTCTCCGAACGCCAGCGCGTATTCTGTAGACGTTCCGCGAGGGTCTCCGTATATCTTTCGAAACAAAGGCCGGTAATCCGACCGGCCTCTACCACGCAACCGAGATAACGAGCAAGGTTTTGGTGAGGATTCTCAATCAAAGTTTGGCAAATTCGCGCTTCTTGAACCAGATATAAACCCAGTTCGTCCGAACCGGTATAGCTAGTGAGTCGGGGTTGCTTGACATAAACGTCAGGTCTGTCGGGATTGGGACATATTGTGAGATGACTTTCGTACAAGGGCCAGATATGCTCGTTTGGAATTTTTTCGAAGCTGGTTGGTTCTTGATCGAGGACAGGGATGTCCTCTGGGTTTGTGACACGTTCAGGAGTCTTCGCTGAAAAGTAGTGGTTTCCATCATGGTAAATGACTTGTGTATAAAGGAATTGTGGCCCGTCATCAAAACTCCACCACTCCGCCATGCTATGGAATTTCATCGTCGAATTTTGATTTTGCAAGGCCATTAGAGAGGAACATGGCGATTTGGGCGAAATTTGTTGCCTTAAGTAGGCAAGCAACATGCACCACCGAGTTTACCCCCTGCAGACTGACTCGATGACTTGGACCAATAATGACAATTTGACACATTCCATTAACGACCGCAATAGAAGTTGCAGAAAAAGCAACAAAGTGCAGGCAACTTCCTACAAACCATTCCACTTAAAACACACAAGACAATCAGACAATTTATATACAGCATGTTGGTCATCTACGCCGCCGCTCTAGCTTGAGTTTCAACTGGTAAAGCCACCCACGCACCAGCCATAAGGATCCAAACCGCACCGCAGAACCAAACCGGGCCCCCGCCCGAGACTGCAGCGCTATTGAAAGTGGTGATAATATAGGCAATCAATCCAAACAGACCCCAGCAGAATCCCATCACACCTAGACTATATCCACGCACTGTACTAGGCACAACCTCAACAGTATAAAGAGTCAGCGTAGCCATGCCAGCAAACCGAAGGAAGCTGATGATGCACTCAAAAGCCAACGCAGAATTGTGAGATCGGGCCACAGTAGCGAGGAGCATGAATAGCCCAGTTAAGACAGCAATCCCAGCTCCGGTGCGCTTCCGTCCTACGCCCTTCACTTCGACCAAGATCGCCGCCACAAGTGGGCCGGGGATAGCACACAGCCCAACATATAGGTACCGGCTGAAAAGGTAGGACCTCGAGACTGTTGTCGCGTTGACTTGGGCTACACCATGTGTCGCGAGATAATTACCGACATAAGTTTGGTGAAGGATGAAGCTTAACCCCATCACACTCCACAGCAGGACAAGGGACACTGTGCCATAGATAGTAAGAGAAGAAACGAGGCTTTGGGATCGAGACTTTGTGCGTAGTTCAGCCTCCGAACCATCGATAGTGGAATCGACCCGTGCAAAGGATGCTTCCGTAAGCCACGTCTGGCGCTTGTTGAAGAGCGCAATATCCTTGACAAGCTGGGTTGCTTCTGCGTCGCGACGTCGTGAGAGGAGGAACTTTGGTGTTTCGTATAGGTTAAGTGCGAACCGACACAAATACAGGAAGAGAGTCATGCACCCGAATGTCCACCATACGTAGCGCCAGCCTTTGTTGCTGACGTAGTGACAGGACGAGGAGCTGCTAGATGAAGAACTGGCACTGCTTGAATGGCTGAGAGCGCGTTTGTGGCCCATTGACTGAGATGTGCTCACTTCGTCTGGGCCGGTGCCACATGTGTATAGAGCGATGAAAGCCCTGCATATTTATTAGCCAGTGTTTCTGCTAAAGAATCTTTATATTGCTTACCATCCAACTGCTGTAGCGACTAATTGTCCCAATCCCCAGAAAACACCTTGTAGGGCTACTAAGAACTGATGTGACGCAGGAAGTGATTCCAGAAGAATCATTGCGTCGACAGCTTGATTGCCGGCAGCGGCAAATCCGACAACGCAGCCGACGACACACAACCCTGTAAACGAAGGCATGCCTGCGCCAACTAAGCCACCCATTCCCATCAACACGATGGTACTAGTGAACATCCACTTCCGACCCAGTGTATCAGACATCATGGGCCAAGCTGTGCCGCCGACGGTGAGACCAACAGACAAGCTGATGAAGAGGTAATTTGTGTTGTCGCCGGTAAAAAAGAACTGAGCTTCGTTCCCAGCGGATGGGGCAATGACGAGGAAAGACATTATCCAGAACTACCATCGAACGGAAATTTTTAGTACCTCAAGGATGTTTCTCTGTACAACGAAATTGAACTTACACTATCCAGAAACCACCCAACGCCAGTCATCAAGAAAAGCATCCATTGATACAGCCCCATCCCCATGTCCAGCAGCGCCTGGTTCAATAGCTGAGCCTTGGCCGCGAAGACAGCATCACTTCCAGGATGGGTCTTGGGGTTTTCAATTGCAAGCCCGAAGAGGCTTTTGTGCTGTTTATCTGGCACGTCGCTGACCTTGTGTGGCCCAGCTTTTTCAACATCATTCACTAGGGTAGACGCGAATGCACTCTGTGCCTCGAAGTTTCTAGCAGCTCTGATGTGATCATCATCGCTCGACATTGTGGGTCAGTGTGGGTATGGTGACAGTCTCAATGGACTCATTCAAGGAGTGGCAGATATTAAGGCTAGTATCTGTATTTGGGAAGAAATTCCAGCACCGGGGCCTGCCTTTGATTATTTATTGGAAATCAACTCCGTGTTGAGTCACAGGAATTTTTGCGCAGTGAAAAATAAGCTTGATAAGCAATAGCCTCACCTGGTAGCACGGAGGTAGACCCATAAATTATATCTAAGCTGCTCAGGGTGGACGAGTATGGGCAACTTATCCACGGTCTTTCCAGGCCACGCCCTATAGACAGGGAAGTCTACATAACAAGCGGGACTTTCTATCCCTCTGGTCAGCTTGTATTGGCCCAATGACGGGATCCAGTATCAGACAATCAATTGGATTAGGCAAACAAAAGAGCGTTGAGTGGCATTGGCAGGGATAGGTGCATAAGCTAACGCCCGCGGAGTCATATCAATACCAAACTATTACCAATAAAAAGTCTTGAATCAACCATTCGATAAGGATTGCGTGGATTGCAGGGCTTTCTCCGAGGACAGATTCTCCTCGGAACGCAACACATACGTTTCTTGGCACATAGGGATTGGGGTGATCGTCTTGGGGGATGGAATAAAGCCGCCGAGGCAGCCATTGGCTGAAATAAACTCCACATCGGGGATTGAGGATTTATGAGGACTTGGCTTGATATTGAGCCACGTAATTTTATCTTGCACTGCAGATATGAACCGATGGATATCCGCTCAAGCCTCCCAGCCTTGGTTTTCTGGGGACAGACACTTGCGCGGTTTTCTTGCATGAAATCTCAATATTCAACATACAGCTGTGAGTGAGCGAAGTTGTTAAATCCGAAAGTCGGGGGAGATTTCTGAATTGGGGATCGCGCCGGAAATTTCGAAAGTTGATGAGGGAAAGTTGGGGAAACAGGGACTGATATTCTCATGGGCCACCTGCAGAGAACTTCTCTACATTGAATCTTGCAGTCAAGCATACAATCCTGTCATATTTATGTTTGCATTCATGTGGTAGTCCCTTTGGCGAAACTTGAGATAAATCTAGCATTCGTGTTCTTCGAGTAGGGTGAGGTATTGGAGAAAGGTTGGAACAAAGCAAGATCTCTCGTGCGAAGATGGAAATCAGGGTCTCTAAATTGTAGAACCCAATTTTTCCATTCAATTCATAAATATAGCAAGGCGAAGGAGCGTAGTTTTATTTGAAGCGTCTGGGGCGAACATACAGATGTTGAAATCGGGTAGATATCCAAAGCGGGACTAGCAGTAGTGCATGGACCTAATCTTGAACGTTGATCCAGGTCCGCTAATCCATATCTGGCAAACGATACGAGTACGAAACTAGATGGCTCATCATTTCTTTGCTATTAATTCAACTTTCCCGGATTTTAGACGAAATTTTATCACCAACTTTGAGCTTTGCAAGATGGGAGCCTTCAAGATTTCTAGATATAGGAAAGAACGAGTGGAAGAGACCCCTCCTCCTCCATATTCATTGCTTGCCGACGGTGGACTCGTGGTAGAGTCAGCGAATGTCCAAGGTAGGTTGAGCCAGTTATCCATAGATAACTGGGGATGACGACTGGGCAGCCTTTTCTGATAATTGTTTTAGGGGATGGCCGAATTGATGTGAATCTCGAATCCAAGATCGCGAGAACGCTCGCCAAAATCATCGACTTGCAACAAGAGGACATCCACAATCCACCTCCCGACTACATCGACCTAAGTAAGCAAGTCACTACATGTGAATATAAGCTCAACATTGTTATTCAAATTGTGGGAAGCCGTGGGGATGTGCAACCTTTCATTGCGCTGGGAAATGCATTACAGAAACATGGTCATCGGGTCCGAATTGCCACACACGGTGTCTTCGCAGACTTCGTACATGAATCAGGATTAGAGTTCTATTCTATTGGCGGAGACCCTACAGAATTGATGGCATTCATGGTCAAAAATCCTGGATTGATTCCACAAATGAAAACACTGCGCGAGGGGGAGGTGCAAAGAAAACAGGCTATGGTAGCGACAATGCTCGATGGGTGTTGGAAGTCCTGTATCGACGATGACCCAATAACCAAAGAGCCATTTGTTGCAGACGCGATAATTGCCAATCCTCCTAGCTTTGCACACATCCATTGTGCACAGGCTCTAAGCATTCCTGTTCATCTCATGTTCACGATGCCGTGGAGCAGCACCAAGGCCTTTCCCCATCCTCTCGCCAATCTGAACTCTTCTTCTATGGATCCTCGGACTGCGAATTGGGTTTCTTACGGAGTTGTCGAGTGGCTGACATGGCAAGGGTAAGACTATTCACGATGTGATAGGGCCAGGTGACTGACATGGCGACTTAGGCTAGGAGATGTGATCAATCGATGGCGGGTCTCAATAGATCTGGAGCCTATCCCCGCCACAGAGGGGCCTGCTCTTGCCGAGGCATTGAAAGTACCATACACATATTGTTGGTCTCCTGCCCTTGTGCCGAAGCCACAGGATTGGCCAGGGCACATTGGTATGTCAGCATTTTGGTTGCGTATCGCAAGGACAAAAGCTAAATTACTCAGATGTCTGCGGGTTTTTCTTCAGAGATCCCCCATCATATTGCCCACCCTCAGATCTGAGGGAATTTCTACAAGACGGTCCACCTCCTGTCTATATCGGCTTCGGAAGTATTGTGGTTGAGAACCCTCAACAGCTGATAGACACTGTTGTCCTCGCAGTGGTGAAGACAGGGGTACGTGCAATTATTTCAAAGGGTTGGAGTGGGCTTGTTGGAAGCCCAAACCCAAATATCTACTATATTGATGACTGTCCGCATGAGTGGCTCTTTCAACATGTCAGTGCGGTAGTTCATCACGGAGGTGCTGGTACCACTGCGTGTGGTCTCAAAAATGGTCGACCGACAGCCATAGTGCCTTTCTTTGGCGAGTGAGTTATCGATTCTTCCACTGGCCCATGGCTCACCCGGGAATTTTTATCAGTGCTGATTCTCCTAGTCAACCTTTCTGGGGCAACATGATTGCTAGAGCCGGTGCTGGACCTAAACCTATTCCATTTGCATCTCTCAACTTCGAACGACTGGCTGTTGCTATCCGATACTGCCTCACCCCGGAGGCAACAGAAGCTGCACGCAAGGTAGCCTCCAAAATGCAGAGTGAATCGGGTGTAATTGCAGCCGTGGAGTCTTTTCATCGAAATCTTCCCGTGGACAGAATGAGGTGCGATTTGATGGCTCACCAGGTTGCAGTTTGGAGATACAAAAAGGGCAAAGGCCACTTGAGTCTGTCGAATGCAGCAGTGCAGATCTTGATCGAACATCAAAAATTGAATGAAAAGCATCTTCAGTTGTACGTACCCGGACTCGAGCTAGGATCTGAACCTACTAACCAATGACCCTCATGCTCCATCAGTCATCCGGTCAATCCGATCGTCATTGAACATCGCCGCTGGGATCCCATAACCGCAATGTTGTCCGCAGCTACCACAACCGGCTCAACTATGCTGTACTCAACTGCTGATATGATTTATCACCCCTACAAAGAATACAAACGCGGCCGTTCTCCAAACCCATCGTCAAGAGCCTTACAAGCTAGAGCACTCCCTGGCAGCTCGCGTTCACGGGAGCCCTCGTCAACAAGAATATCTGCGGCTGACGAAGCAAATTCTCAAAATTGTCGGTCACCATCCGTTGAGCCTGGATCTGAAACTGGACCAGAGAAAAAGAGAAACGGTCTCGCTGTCGCAGGTAGCATGGCAGGTGCGACGATGAAAGGCTTTGGCAAATTTACCGGATCATACTTCAAAGGAGTGGTAGTTGACATTCCACATGCTGCCGCCGAAGGATTCCGACAGGTTCCTCGGCTGTATGGAGAAACGCCTAAGGACTACGGCGTAATCCAGGATTGGAAGTCCGGAGCTATTGTTGGTGGCAGGAATTTTGTGGACGGCATGAGTGATGGTTTCACCGGTCTGTTTACACAACCTGTTGATGGGGCAAAAGAGGAAGGTGCTTTGGGCGCAATCAAGGGGTTTGCTAAGGGCACTATTGGGCTTGCAACAAAAGTTCCCTCTGGTAAGTAATCATCTCAATCCATGCAGCTAAACAGATCTAACTTGGATTGTGTTTAGCTGGGATCGGACTGGTGGCTTATCCTTTTCAAGGAATTACTAAAAGTATCGAGTCGGCCTTTCGTACACAAACTCGCAAATCGATTGTGAATGCGCGGCTCAAGAGTGGATTTTATCAGACAAGTAGAATGCAGATCACCGATGAAGAGCGACATGAAATTCTGCAGTCATTTGATAGATTTTTGTGGTCGGCGGATACTTAGACCGACTTCGATTCTGGTCGTGGGAAGTCAAATCAAATAGAGTGACTTAGACGCTCAAGCTGGCAGAGCCACGACTCTTATCATTAATTGATAGGAAATAGTCCTAATAGCTGGCTTTCTCCAAGTAACGAGAGTTATCGTCAAAAGAACATATTCATTACCATCCTCAAAGTAAATAACCAAACTGATACAAATCATTTCCACACTGAGATTCGTGACACCTGTCCACTGGACAATGCGGCTGAGTTTTGAGAGGATCCAAACCCATCTGTTGAGCTTTCAGGAACCATTATAAATTTCAGTAAGGCGGTTGAGCCCTTTTCGTCGGCTCCCTTCCGACCGGTCCAGTCGCCAAAAAGTCCATTGATAAATTTCACAGGCATGCCACGGGGTTGAGATTTGTAAATAGCTTCCTACCATCTGCCACGGCAGCAAAATGATTGATAAATCCACGTCGAAAGTAACAGGGCCCTAATTCAGCTCAAAGCCAAAATAGACTTCCCATGTGGGGCTGCGCCACAAGTGGGTCGTTTAGCTTATTTCACAGCCAATGAAATGCCAGAGAGACAAGATCCACCCGTGTTCGTGCCCATCACACATTCGATCAAGCGTCTCAAGCTGGGCGATCTAAATATGTGTTGAGCCTCTTTGACTGTGATGCTAGAATTTCCTAAGTTCGACAAAGTCAAGACCTTCTGAAATGGTAGTACGTTCATTGAATTCAAGCATGGACATTCTGGTCAGTGGGGAATTGACTTCGGATCTGTGCCGTACGCTGAGAAAGCTCATCTCGACGCTTGCATCCCCCTTAAAGGAGAAAACAAGATATAACAATATCTAAATCAAGTAAGAGAGATCAGCTATCTAAGGCCTATCATCATATTCGTTTCTATCGAGGGTTCCCCATTAAGATACTGCTTATAAATCCAATATTGTTCTCCTGCAGGACTGCGGAATTACGTCATTTCTTTTCTTTGAGCATAAAACCAATGTCCAAAGCTTTGAAAGCATCATCTTTCAGGTCATCTAACTAAGTATATTCTGCTTGTTCCGTTGAGAACTATTCGACATCGAGGTGATCTGTGACTTCGAGCCTCCTCCTTTCACCATCTTAAATTTACGCAAAATGACTAAACTGTTCATGTGAGGCTTGACTTTAGCTTTAAAAGCTTAGTTCTGACACCACAACAGCACTGGCGCCACGGGCTACCTCGGTGGCGACTGCCTAGCCAACCTTGTCGCTAACCACCCAGAGTACTCATATTCTGCCCTTGTTCGCAGTACCGAAAAGGCGGAACAGGTGAAGGCCCAGTACCCATTCGTCCGTATCGTCATCGGAGACCTAGACGATTCAGCTTTGCTGGAGCGAGAAAGTGCCGCGGCGGACATCGTGCTGCGTAAGTAATCAACTCGACACTAGGTACCTATGCGAGAAGCATAGTACATACCATCCGGACTCTGCTCAGTGCTGACCGCAGCACAGACACCGCAGATGCGTCAGACCATGTGGTAGCCGCCAGGGCCATCCTTGCAGGTCTGGTATCTGGCCACACCAAGGAAAATCCAGGCTACTTGCTACACACCGGAGGAACTGGCATCCTGACATGGGAGGACAGTGACAACAACGAATACGGAAATAGAAGCGAGCACGTGTATAATGACTGGGATGGGGTTGATGAGCTACTTAATCTGCCAGATCATGCATTTCATCGAAATGTCGACCAGCTCGTCCTCAAGGCTGGCACCCAGCATGCCGATGTGCTGAAGACGGCACTCGTTTGTCCGCCTACGATCTACGGTATGCATCTTAACAACGACAAAGGAGAGAGCTTTTACTAAACCTTAAGCAGGCAAAGGACGAGGCCCAATCGGCCAACTTTCGCGTCAGGTATACATATTAGCAAATATGACGCTTCGTCGCCAGAAAGCCCCGATAATCGGCGCCGGCCAGTCTCTTTCGAACCACGTCTATATCCACGATCTAAGTGACGTCTACGCTCTTCTAGTTGACGCGGCAGTTGTAGGCCGAACTGATGACGGGTTATGGGGTCCAAAGGCCTACTACCTGGCCGAAAATGGGGAGCACTGCTGGGGTGAGCTAGCTCAAGCTACAGCAGAGACAGCCGTGAAACTGGGGTACCTGCCCGAGGCAAAGACCGAGGCACTTGATCCTGACAGTGCCAAGGAGTATGCAGGATATGAGTCTCTTAGTTGGGGGATGAACTCTCGCGGTCGCTCGCAGCGAGCACGAGAGATCCTGGGATGGAATCCCTCGGGCCCCAGTCTGCTAGATGAACTTCCGGAAATTGTTCGCGTCGAGTGGCAACGACTGCAAGATGCTTCATAGAATCTGGGACTAGTTTGGTATTGACATGTCACTCTACAGTCTAAGAGCATGTATTGATTAGCATTGATGGGGATGATTTAAGAGAATTAGGAGAATGCAGGGTGACGCCGAGAGCCTCTTCAGGTCTTATATTGCAAGTCAGCAGAGAATGGAGTAATTCCTGCGAGTCCCAGCTATTGTAGTGTTGACTGGCAACATTTAAATATGGCTAGATGTCAGATCTTTGCAACCGAGCCATCTTTCAATCCTTTCTATATCTCAGCACTACGGCCTATTCACGCGACACAAGCGGAAAGACGAGATATATCGAGATTCGCCGCTTAACTACTCGAGCCTTTTCCACAACAAAGCTAAGGCTTATGATATCATGATGCATAGCAGGTATGTTAGTCTCAAATGAAGTCAGCAGATGTAGAGATGGCTGTGATTAAGATCCCACCACATCGGCCTTGGCCATCAGAATCTCAACTAAAAGACTGCCTAATCCCGGACAGAAACAACTAAATTCGAGCAAACGATCCGTAATCATGAAGCTGATGCAATTACCCGAGCCTCGACTGGAGACGGACGAGGAATTGTCCCGGCCCTTGACAAGCCAACTGACTGCTGCAGTCACATTCACACCCCGACCAGGGCTATCGTGGAGACCCTTGGGCCAAGTTTCCCCTTGTATAACAGGAGTATTCCGATTAAAGCCAGTGTCTTCGAAGTTTCTGGACCATGACGGAGTAATGGTTCGTCCTATTTTTAATTCTATATGTGATCTTGTTAATTCCGCGTGTAGTCGACGTGACTAGCTGATATTTATCTATCTGCAATGCGGATCCCCATCTCAATGTTTTTTTTTTCTCTTCTCTACTGTATTCTCTACACTATCTAGATTAATCCTTAAGGTTCTATCGATCTTCTAATTGCTCAATTGTCATCTCTTTCGTTGATCTTCGCTATGGCGGACTCAGACTTTCCATTCTATAGACCCGGAAGGTCTTTTTATGATGATAACATGAGCAGAGCATCCTCGGATATCAAACGCAGAAAAAAAGTCGACGATGAGAAATTTGCTTTGGGTCGAAGGGGCATCCTAGTCTTCTTTACTTTGTCTGTTCTCACCTTGATGGCTGCTTTAGACGGGACTTCGCTATCTGTTGCTCTACCTGTGGGTGCTTGAAAGGCCAGATTTGACGCCTTGAAACTTATCGATTCCAGGAAATTGCAAAACAACTCAATGGAACAGCCATCGAAGCATTCTGGAGTGGAACTTCATTTCTGCTATGCTCGACTGGTAAGTGCTACTACGTTACTACAAAAATGAAATCAATCTACCTAACACCGACATAGTATTCCAACCAAGCTTCGCCTCCTTCTCGAATATTTTCGGCCGTCGACCCATGATCTTGATCTCCCTCTTGTTCTTCACTGTTGGCGCTGTGATCGCAGCGATTGCGAATGATTTTACCTACATGTTGGTCGGTCGATCGATTCAAGGTGTCGGCGGAGGTGGCATTATATCCCTAAGTGAGGTTGTCATAACTGACCTTGTCCCTCTACGCTGGCGTGGTCAGTACTTTGGTATTCTCAGTGCAATGTGGAGTGTTGGATCCGTGACAGGACCCATCCTTGGTGGTGGGTTTTCCGAAAATGTGTCTTGGGTTAGTTAGTCTGTGGTGAATCCGCAATGATTCATGCTAACTACAAGCAGAGATGGATTTTCTACATCAATTTCCCATTTATCGGAGTCGGCGGAATTCTCGTGATCTTATTCTTGAACCTCAAGCTTGCTCCGAGTTCGTTGATCGAAAAGCTCCGTCGGATTGATTATTTCGGCACTGTTCTCTTTGTGGGAAGCATGTCATCCTTCTTGATTCCTCTCAGCTGGGGTGGTATTTCCTACGACTGGGACTCATGGCAAACGCTCGCACCTCTTTGTGTAGGAGGATTCGGGCTGATTGTTTTCGGATTCTACGAGTATTACTTCGCCTCCGATCCGATTGTTCCACCCGTGATTTTTCAGAATCGCACGGCAATAGCTTCGTTTATTGGAAGTGTCTTGCAGGGTTTGATTTTATGGTGTGCACTCTATTACCTACCTCTGTATTATGAGGCAGTGAAAGAGTATAGCCCCATCATATCAGGCGTTGCTCTATTCCCCGAGAGACATTCACTGTGGCTCCTAGTGGGATGGTAGCTGGCGTCCTGATCACAGTAACGGGTCGTTACAGATGGGCTATCTGGATCGGATGGGCTTTTTCAACTATCGGTTTGGGATTGATGTGCCTGATTAAGGTGGATACTAGCATGGTGGGTTGGATCTTCCTCAACATCGTGCCCGGCCTTGGACTAGGGATCCTCTTCCCATCTCTTGGTTATGCAGTGCAGGCCTCGACAGACCCAGAAAATCTCGCCATAGCGGTTGCCATGTTTAGCTTCTTCCGTGCTCTCGGTCAAGCTATTGGTGTTGCTGTCGGCGGTGTTGTCTTTCAGAACCGCATGTTTACCAATATCTCAAGATACCCTGCCCTGGCTCCTATGGCTGAGGCATACAGCAAAGATGCCGCGGGTTTGGTCCAAGTCATCAAGGCGATGGCCGATGGCGCCGACAAGGCAAATCTCAAGGAAGCGTATACGGACAGTTTACGCACGGTGTGGATAGTGTGTTGTGGGGTATCGGGCGTGGCGATGTTGATTAGCCTGTTGACTGAACATTATGACCTTGACCGTGCATTGGAGACGAACCAAGGTCTGCGTGATGATTACAATGATGATGAGTCTATTAATAGTTTGAAGGACCTAGATATGCGGAGAGACCGGAGGATGGTCGCAGAGCCTCGACCTTGGGCGTGGTAATCGAGGGTTTTTCTTGAATGATCGATGAAGGACCATAATGTACAAAGCAGTGGCGCTTACTGATGTTGATAAATGGAGTTCATTCATGACAGTTGATTATCTTGATCGATGTTTAACTCGAATCAGTGTCTTGGGCCCTTTGCCTCTCTTTGTACTCTCCCATGCTTCGATAACATCCTCGGCGCCAATGCTGGCTTCAAATCTCCAGGCCCGCGCTGGAATAAGCCCTGAACGGTGATCTCATTTCCCAAGAATATCAAATAGGATAATCAACATTTAGGTTCCCCGACCCAGTCTAAACAAGCACCCCCAGCCCGAAGCAAACAAAGAGCAGTTTGCAGGCACGGTTCAGCCCCAGGAGTATCAACGCCAACATCAAAACCGATGAGCTCAAAGGCTCCGTTGCCAAATGTGCAAGCCACTTCCGCAACCTGGTTGCATTTTGTTACGCAGTTGATAATTTACACGCAAGGTTAGTCAAGAACACATTGATCTGACCCGCCAAGATCGAGTTCTCAGCAAAATCCAAGGGAATGTGGGTTGGAATGTACGTATTGGCAGTCTACAATACTTTAAGCGGTTTGTATCTTTTAACTTTAGGAGGTGCTAGGCGTAAGTCAATCCAGCTTTTTTTTACGTAGAGTCGGGAGTTCTTAGACAGGGCGGGAAGCAGAAGACCAGTCTCCCGAGGGACAGCGAGGAAGCAGTGCAGCGCGCGTGGCCCGAACAAGGGGAGGTTTCAAGTGTACAAGCTGAAAGGTCGAGGATCAGCACATGGGCAGTTATCCGGAACAGTGCATGACATTTTCATTGCTGCAAGTAGCCGGAAAGAAATCAAAAGCGGTATTGGACAAATATTATCGACAACTTGGGAAGCCGAGCTTGAAACATTCGTGATCTCGTCCCACGATAATGAACATGAAGCATTACACCAGAAAGTAGAACAAAAGGTCGTGACATCATAAAGTGGACATGATAAATAGCAAGAGAAAAGGGGAAGATTTAATCAGCGACCAAGTGCACGTAGCCGGTCCTTGATTAGGTCCATGTCTTTGTCGTATTCCATTGCAGCGCGCGTTTCTCCTAGCTCCCGATCACTATCTTTGAGCATCATAGAGCGATAGTGACCATCGCCATCTGGTGCTCCGACAGTCACCCAGACAAACTTCGTCCCAGGGCTATTGGGTTGCGAACGCTCCTGCGTTCCATGCCAGAACGCTTCGTCGGGCATGGATTCTTCAGAAGAGTCGATTGAGGGCGGACGACCCCCGAGTCGGCCAAACTTAATCCAAACTCTGAGGGTATCTTTAATGAAGGCAATTTTCTGAATGAAGGCATTCGCGTCGAGAATATCGCGGATCCGGTCTTCGGTCGAATTGATGGAGTCTCCGTTCGCGATGCTGAGGAAAGTGGCAGCCTCGTCGGAAGCCACAGCTCGAGTGTCGAACCCTGCCGGATGCATCTTGCCTTTTGCGGTGAAGAATCGAGCGGCGGAGGATGAGAGGTGGTAGAAGTCAATCCAGGGGGATGAGCTACGGGTACGGCCGGGTGAGATCACTAGCTTTGTGTGGTCCGGGAAGTTGAACTGGAAGGCTCCGTCTCCGAAACCCCAGATGCCAACATTACCCAGGCGCTGATAAAATTTGACAAACTGGGCACTGTTGTGTTCAGGCAGGTCTTCGTCCATAATGCCTTCGTCACCATGTCGACCAAGTGCTCCGATCATGTATTTACCGAACTGATCCACAAGTTTCATCCGCTTTATTTTCTCTGCATCCGCTCGTTCGAATTCGGTTCCTGTGTTGGAGCGAATCCTCATTGCTTTGGAGGTCATGACATCGAAGAGTGATGGAGGGATCAATGCTCGTCGGATGCCACGACAACCTAGCAAGTCATCGTCACGATTCTCATAGAACTCGACCGCGTTTCCAGTGCGAGGAACTAATTGATCAGCTTCTGAGTAGTAAATCGGTTGCTGTTTGCCGTCCGCGACGCTACGCGCTTTCCGACGGATGTGTCTCTCGCCATCTCGTACCACAACACTCGTTGCCGGCTGTCCATTTTCTCCTTTGAAAACACATCCAACACTCCCATCGTCCAGAACATACCCAATACCGTAACGGTTGGTGTAGTCAACCCATTTGATGACATAGGCATGAGGCTGTTTTCGTGCTCCCCCTCTGCGCCTAGTCGGTGCATGGTTGACCAGGTTGGTCAGCATAAGACGCAAGTCGGTGTTGACTTCGGTCAACGAAGTTCTGGGCAAAAGCTTGCATGCATCTTCCATGTGGAACAAAGGACTTAGCCCCAAGCTAGATCGTGCCCTGCCACCAGCTGTCTTGCTGTTAGATCGAGCGATACCATTGGGATCTGATCGACCTAGTCCATTAGATTCGCCGGAAAACTTAGACTGTGCCAGTGAAGATCGAGCGGACTCTTCGATAGGGCTGTCTCTCCGCCTTTCGTCTCGTCCGACACTAGCGTTGAGATCTGCTCTGGATGTAGACCGTAAAGATGTCTGACGGGTGGTCACCTTTCGCTCTTCCGGCCTGGTAGTTGATTGCCGTTCTCTGGTTGGGATGGAAGGCTGCATCAACTCAGGGTCAGCGGCTGCCAATCTGCGAGACTGAGAGCGTGTTTTGCCTACAGTCAAGCCTGCTGGCATGCTTGTGGATTTGGCTAATGTTGGGACAATATCAATATCCTTGCTACGTAGCGTGGTTGCTTGTGATGCAGATGCCATTCTTCGTGTCCGGATAGGACGATCTGCCAAGCCTCCGATTGGTACGTCCGCTGCAGAAGGAGGTTTTGACTCGGCTTGTGGGATATCTCGATATGGCCTGGAGTGTAAAGCAGCGGCGTCGCTGATTCCAGGTGCCCTCCGGGGAGAGATAGGAGGGACTCGAGCTTGCTGACGCAACGTTGCTGCATGGCTCTGTCCTTCCATTCGGCGCTGTTGAGCAGCGGCAAGGGCCACATTGGTCCGTGATGCTGCCATGGGGTTGGGACGAATGGAAGCACTTCGCTGAGACATAGTACTGCTGCTAAGCATTGACTCCTCGCTGCGGATTACCCTTCGGGAACTCTCCAAAAGACACCAGTCTCCTTCGTTGTCATGGGGCCATCGGTAAACATAGTCTGGGGACAGGGGGATGACAGGTCGTAGACCTCTAGAGTCCTCCACATCACATTCAGAAAAGGCCGACTTTGAGCAGTTTCTCCCTACAGATTTCCGAGCCGTACCGTCAGGCTTGCGTCCCACGCCGCAGAGTGAATAGAAGGCAGCTTTGCAGGAATAATATCGCTGGGCGGGGTCGTCCACCTGGTACACATATGCGCGGAGCTTCTCATCCGAGTCCAAGCCGTATCCACTTACCACACAGTCTCCTTGAGGTGAGGCGTCCTTGAGCCATATTGGCTTGTTGAATCGGCAGGAGGGGTCCAGCTGACGAGGAATACAACCATCATACATGTTGAAGAATGGGTGTTCAACAATGTCGTCTGGGTCTGGTCTCTCTTCGTCCACTAGGTTCAAACAACGACTGACTAAGTCTTTTGCTTCCTCGGGGATGTAGTTGCTGGAGTCTGATTCCTTGGGCCAGACATAAGTCAAATTCTGGACTTTCTTGTAAACCTCATCTTGCGTTTTAGATTGGAATGGTAAGTATCCGGCAAGCATAGCAAACCTAACATGCAAACATTAGTTCAACGACTTGGTAATTATATCACGGCGTTCTTACAGTATCACACCCACGGACCAAATGTCAACTTTCTGCGTATGGCCACCTTTGCTCTTATCCAAAACTTCGGGAGCAATATAGTTGGGCGTGCCGCATAGCGTATTTCGTCTCTTGGCGTCCTTGTCGGACAAAATCATAGCCGCCAGACCAAAATCCCCAACCTTGATGTTCATGTTGTGATCAAGAAACAGGTTTCCCATCTTCAGGTCACGATGAGCGACAAAACGTTTGTGTAGGTATTTCACCGCTGCGCAAAGCTGAATCATATACCGGCGGACTTCAGGCAAGCTGAAGCAGCGTCTTTTCCGAAACATATCCATCACCGACCCATTTGGACATAACTCAAGGACGACATAGGTGCTGGATTCGAATGCAAATGCGCGGTAAAACTGAACGATGAAAGGATGGCGCATTTTCGAGTGGATCTGAAGTTCGGTTCGAAACTGCAGCAAAATTTTAGGCACTGTCAAACGGTCGGTCTATATCCGGAGGCTCGTCGTACCTTCTCCTCCATCTTTTTCTGGGGCATCGCTGACTTGACGACCTTCATGGCGTACACCCGTCCATTGCGAGCCAACGCACCCTCATAACAAACAGCAAAGCCGCCTTTTCCCAAGAATGCACCTATCGAATATCGCTCCCCACCATCTTCCGGCTCTGAGATTATTGACGGCGGCGGATCGGCGTAGCTCTTGGATGTCGCAAGCTTTTGTTTGCTACTCGGCAGCGCAGCATTTTTATCAAACGCTTTACGATCCATAGCAAGCTTTGGCTTGATCATCTGGTTCGTTGTGCGCGGAGAGAGGGCCTCCATTCTTAGCGGGTCGTTCTTTAACGACCGTCAATTAGGATAATGTAGCTGAGGCGTGTAGCGAAGGATTATCGAGCAGTGAGATCATTAAGGAAAAGCGACCATATAATGGTCTGCGAAAGGGTATCAAGTTCCAGCAAATATTGCTATCCCTGCAACGATCAAGTCAAAATTCGCTCCACTGTCGGGAAGCCGGAGCCGCTCTCAGTTGAGAACGGAACATAGCAAATGAGAGATAGGACTTACCGAAATGCAAAGCGCTAAAGAAAGAAAAACAAACTGTACAGAGCTCCGAAAGCAAACGGCACCTCAATCGAGAGTTGTGCAAGGATGGAAAGTAGAAAGAGTCGGACCATAACAAATTGCTCAAAGCGGTAATCGATAAACATTGGCCGTTGGCCCGTGGTGTCACGTGAAGGCCACCCACTGCATCGCCTTTCAGACTTTTATTCTTTGAGATACCTACATATGTTATTAGATGGTACATGGCATTATTCAAGACTTTTCAGGTATCTATCTTTACAAAAAGATGTCCATATTTTGATATTTGTGTGTCAATTTTTTATTTTGGTGTCATCTGTTGGCGCAATATATATTCTAGCCTTCTAGCGCATACTTGTTGACACCGAACTTTAAATTCTTATTTGACAGCTTCTATATGGACAAACGAAGCGTACATGCCCTCAAAGGAGTATAATGGCCTGAGGGCCCACCGACATGACCTTGGCATGCTTTCATGTTTTCTTACCTACACCTGAGAGATAAGCAGTTTTGTTCAACGAGGTTTGCGTGTCAGGTGAGTATGTACCTACTTATGTATGCTGAGCGGGACCAAAGAAGCACCGAAGTACTCCGTACTCCGTATACATATGCCTATCACCACAAGGCTTCGTCATACCACTAGGCCCATGGCGCCTATATAAACCTTTCCTCGTAGTCTAGTGCTTCTAATACAACATCTTGCTACTGGAAGAAGGTTTGAAATGAGGAAGTCCTAGCCAAGAGATATATATTCATATAACTCAGAGACGTAATCTATGATGCCATGTCAATGCAAGTGCTCAACATATTTACTCCAAATTGAGGCATACCTACTGTCGAAAATTCTTACCAGTCTCTATCAGCAGCAAATGATTGAGTAATGAACAGATGTTGGCTGTTGAAATAGAAGCGTAGCATACTTCATGTCGCAAGACTTGAACTGGCGACATAAACATGTTTAGCACGGGGTAATCAACAAACTGCTTGGTCTTGATACTGCGTTCCTCCAAAATAAATCCTATTAATATTGTTTAGTATTGACAGAAGTGTAGACTGTATAACTAACTGCTAGCACAGTATGAAAGGTCCTATCTAGTTGACTGGAAAACTGTCATTCCACACCCCGGGCCCGGACCGGCACAGCCTCGTTAGTCAGCACAGCCACATCTCGGGCTGGTCCCGATAAACAACACGTCCGACTTTCACGCCTCTACAGCTTCTCAGCCTTGCTCACTCAAATGGCTGAAATGTTCGGCGAGGACTTTTCAATATCTAAGCTCGCGATTCCCGCAGTTAGTGTGCTGATCGCCTTCCTCGCCTACACATCACAGTACTTCTTTCTGCACTTCGAGTCTGTGCCACTCACAAGAGACGAAACTTGGAAAATCAATATCTTCGCCTTGTGCATCTGGATATGTTATTATCGAACATGCTTCGTAGACCCGGGTCGACTTCCCAAGGATGAAGAGCGACCGAAACCGAAAGAGCAAGAAGGTGCCGCTCTCGCTGGTCGCCAGCGATGGTGTCGTAGATGCGAAGCTTATAAACCGCCTCGCGCTCACCACTGCAAGACTTGTCAAAGGTTGGATGAGGAATGCCTGATGTGGAGACTTTTGCTGATCTTCTTCCAGATGCATTCCGAAAATGGATCATCATTGCCCCTGGACCTCGAACTGCGTCTCACATTTTACCCTTCCGCATTTCATGCGATTCTTATTTTATGCCACTGTTGGTATGTCTTATTTGGAGACTCTTCTTTGGCAGCGTGCCTCATTTGTTTGGAGGAACAGCCATCTGCCAAGCGTAAGTAACTCAAGTAATTGACAATTTATGTTGCTAATGATGAATAGTACCTCGGCCCCACATTGGGGCAACTCATCCACTTGTTCATACTGCTTGTGGTAAATAGTCTCACAGTTTTCGGTCTCTTTGTTCTTCTGGTTAGGAGCCTTTGGGCAATTGGATCTAACACCACCACTATTGAAACATGGGAAATCGAGAGACATGCTACTCTTGTCCGTCGAGCCCGTGTGCTGGGCGGGTATCTTGAGGGCCCTGGAGGAATTCGAGTCCAGATAAGAAAGCAGGAATACCCATACGATATTGGGATTTGGGCCAACATCAAGCAAAGTATGGGCGGGAGCGCGAATGTGAGGGAGCCTGTTTGATCCAAATGTTCTAGCCACGCCAAGGCGTCAGCTAATGTTTTGCTAGGTCATAAGCTGGTTCTGGCCATTGGCTGCAACGCCTGATCGTAGGTCTGGTTGGGAATTCGAGACCAATGACTTTGAGGGTGAGTGGATCAGTCAGTATTCTAGGTTTTCGATTACTGATCATTTCTGATAGATCCTGGTGTGTCATGGCCGCCTCCGGACCCAGATCGAATCCCGATGCCGGTCAGTGCAAGACCACCCAGCAATGTCAGCATGCCTACGTATGCAACTATCCAGGATGAGATTGATGCCTTCAACCGTCGCAAAGAGGAAGATATGAAGCGATTCCAGCGAACTTCAGGTGTACAACGTCGGAAACCATTCCATGATCGGTACAGAAAGGACGAAGATGCTGGAAGTGAAAGTGCCGAGTCCGAATCTAACTCCGAGGGTGAGTCAGACGAAGGCGAAGAGTCCTGGCGAAACGCCGAAGGAGAACGACTACGTGACTTCGGGGTGGATGAGGAAGCAGAGTTCTATGACGAGGAGGACATTCCTCTTGGCGTTCTCATTGAGCGACGAAAGCAAAAGTCTGCCAACTGAACCATTTCAATAAAAATCATCTAAATGATTAGATTTTCTTTGCAATACCCCTCAGTCGCACATATCCCAGCCACTGGCTCCCATCCTCACCACGAGTGACTACGTCCTGGAGCACATCGCAAATCTGCTGCACTGCAGCATCTCGCTTTTCCTCGGGCAGCACCTCTAAGAACTGGGCTCCCATCAGCCTGATCCATCCCGCCAATCCTCCCTTAGCGTCAGTGGTGAGTTTTGTCGGGCGGTACTCGAGCTCGATGTTTTCAACCTTGAAGCCGATCTCTTCCAGGGCATTTCTCATCCAAGTATCAGATGGGTAGAACCAAGGGCTAGTCTCTCTTGCTTGTTCGACAGGGATACCGTGCTGTACCAGTGCATAGACAAGGGCCGTCTTCATCTCGGCGACGTTACCATGTCCGCCCATTTCAAACACATATGTACCGCCCGGCTTCAGACAGCCATAAATTGCGCGGAGTGTCGACATGCGTGTCGACTCATCGCGTAAGATCCAGTGAAGGGCTGCGTTTGAGATTCTGTCTGGGCGTGAGAAGTCGAGTCACATACATATTGTATCATGTATCATAATTCAAGGCATACACTTTATCCCATGATCCATTCACAATGGAGGTTTCCTTCTCCAGGTACCGGCAATCCACAACGCGGAAACTGGCTTTAGGGCCTGCGTAGTCTTTGTTGGCAGACTCGATCATGGACGCAGACGAGTCGATGCCCAAGACGCTTTCTATGGCGGGAAGGAAGTTCGCTGTAAATTTACCATCGCCACAGCCCACATCAAGCACCTTGTCTGTTGGCTTGGGGTCTAGGGAGGTAAGCAGTTTGCCGGTGATCTTCGCGGAGTGTACGAAGGATGCGGAGGCGGAATAGGCCTAGGCTTTATTAATGATTGTACACACAAATCGTTACGATGAATACATACTTCGGCTGACCAGTGGTCTTTGGGACCCTCAGCATTGGACGCCATGGTGTATTTGACCGATGAAAGTATGGAGAAGTGGAGAAGTCGTAGTCTTGGCGTTGAGTATGAGTTAGGAACAAGAGAGATGATAGTTAATCGGCCTGTGAGAATATTGCAAGGGTTGTGTTGCTGATATTTTCAATGGTTTTCTGGTCTTGGGAGGTATGATAGGCCCTCTTATATGTTTTTCTTTTGGTAGAGAAGGTCCCTGGGGGTAGTAGAGTGAGGCCGATATCGGACCGGATCTACTTAGAAGTATGCGCCCTGTCAGGGATGCACAGACCTATAGCCACTGTAGAAATTCTAGAACCTTTTACTTGTCCAGTAATATGGTCATTCAGACTGACAGTGATATCTAAACCCGCGTAGACTTGTACAGATGTTATGAGTTTCACTAGCCAACCCGATGGAGACAGGGTATGTCCACCCGGTATATGCAAAGATGGCCTGTGATCATAAATTGCAATAACAGACATTAGTGCTTACCCTCCATACAACTACAACGCACATTTTTATTTTTTCGAGATATTGCACGGTCAACTTTCAGACATCGACTCAATATGTAGTATCGTCATGACGTAGCGGGTAGACGGCAATGACGGAACAAATTCCATTGAGCTCCACTACTTCTCAGACAAAATCCCCCCGCATCTCTGCAAAAAATATATTGGGAAGATCTGACAGGGTCGCATCCTGATACAAAGATACAGCTCTACTAGCCAATCACGAAACATGACTTATCAAGGCCATTGCAATTGCGAGAGTATTCGCATCACTCTTCCCCAGCAACCTCCGAATACAACTGTTTGTCATTGGTAAGAAATTCGCTTGAATTCGATATCTCTTATTTGATGGTAGCATACTAAAAAGATTTTCAAATACAGCGATTGTTGCAAGCGAGCAGGCGGTGGTCGTGAGTATATCAAGGCTGAAGACTCTGGAATGTACATTTTGCTTACGGCCCTAGCATTCTCTGTCAACTACTTTGTCAGCGAGGATGAGATGACCGTTGACGATCCAAATTCGGTACTGAAGATTTATGAAGACAAGAAGTCTGCCAGTGGCAATACCGCGAAGGTAAATGCATGGCTCTTTTGTCACTTTCTATACAAAACTAATCCCCAAACTCCGAAATAGCGTCATTTCTGTTCCAACTGTGGGAGGTATGTAAAGATGATGCAGATCTGGTGAGAAAGATAACTGACATCTACCAAAGTCCATTATTTACCAAGACCCCCAAGGTCCCTGGAAAAGTATTTCTTAAGGCTGTGCTGTTTGACAACGTTTCTCCTCCTATGACCGAGGTGTTTGTCAAGAAGCAATACCCGTGGGTAAACCTCGAGCATAGCGGAGAAAAGTATCAATGACACTAAGAAGAGAAAGGGGTGTTTATATGCTTAGGATTGATATGATGTTCTGGGAAAATGTAACGACAGAAAAAGAATAGATCAAGTATGACATGCATTGTGTTATGCGGTGCAATTCCTCGAAAGCTTATTATTGGTCGACAATATTTTAAACCATGCCTAAAACGACTGTAGCTCGTCCTTGTATTGTTTTTCAACTATAATAAAGCACCAATCGTGTTGATAGAGTACGTCAAGCTATTAAACGGCCAGGGAGCTAAGCCGTACAGCAATGCGGGGGGCCCCGTCGATCCGTGGAGAACCTGCTCTGACCCTTCATCCCTACCCCAAGACACTCTCCTCACAACAGCGGTAACAGCCAAATTCTGCCGTAGCCATGCTGTCACCACCGGGCTGAACAATTCATGAAAAGATGACAGAAGTCCCTACTCAGACTTCCGGCCCTAGACGACCATCGGATGTCGTGTTGCGGAACATCCGACCGCGCAACAACAATGACTTACATCCCCACGAAGCGCACGAGCTCCAAGAGATCCAAACACACGAAGACAACGAACTAGACTACTCAACGCCTTCTGCTTCATCCGGTGATGGATATCGCATTGTAACGCGTCGCACCACAACACGCGCTCTCGCATCGCGTGCCGAGACGCGACAGCGTCGCCAAGCTCGGAAGGGGGTTTGGGGAAAGATTACTCGGCTGTGGACGCATAATGTGACTCTGACGGTTCCGCAAAAGAGTAGTCGAGACTATTTTGGTGCGTATCCTGTAATCGCGTGGAAACTGCTGATCTACACACTGATTCTGTCTACAGCTTTGGAGAGGACCTTCCTCGCGTATATCCGGACGTCTGTTGCTGTTACTCAGCATGGTGTGTTGATAGCGCAGCTGTTCCGTCTGCAGGCGGCGGAGGCGTTGGCGGATCGTCTTGGGTTACGGAAGGTCGGTACATCTATCTCAATTACGTGTTACGGTGTGGGTATTCTGGTGGCTTTGGTTGGGGCGTATCGGTTTTGGAGGCAGCAAGATGCTATTGCCAAGGGTAGGATTTATGCTGGAGGTTGGGAATTGAATTCGGTGGGGATATTATTGGGTTGTGTGAGTGATGCGAATATTTTTTGGTTTGGGGGATGTCACTGACACTGGCCAGATTATTTTAACGTTGTTGATTGCATCCAGTGTATTGAGGCTGATATGAACTCGTTTGTGTTTATTCGACGAGTGTTGGGCAGGCGAGTGGGCCTGGAGATACAAATTTTTATTAATCCTGTCCTGGAAACTAGCCATCATCAGCATTACAGCTTTGCTAGGTAAATATAATTCTAATTCTTTACGTTATATTGAGCTATGGTCACTGAGATTGGGGAGACTCGCTGCATAGCCCCCTTCAGGCTACAATATAGAAACACTACTTGATTGACCATGTCCTTTTACCGCTTTCTATCACTATCGTACTTGACGTTCTCACTATACGAAATGATCATATCCAGTGCCTTAGTGAAGACTTGCACCCTATGCTGCGCGTTAGGTAAACCACCATGAATCAAAAGACCAACCTTTGGATAGGACTATATCAGAGGCCTATACTCAATTACTCCGACCTCATTTATTATGACATAATGTACATCTGGCTTTTATAAACCCTTCGTTCGCTGATTTCCCTCTCGTGGCATCATCCTCAAATATATTAAATACTATGAAGGGAAATTTCAATGCGAACCAGGTTTACAACGCCCTTTCTATATCGAATGAAAATTTCCAAAAGTGTTCTATTGTAGTGGATAAAGATAAAACGTAATGAGGATAGCCTGCTGGTTGATGCCGGATTCATAGACCATGTATCCAATCCTCATACCAAGTAACACCCCATTTAACCAATGACAAGCCAAATAATAGTCTAAACGTCCGTCGAGGAAATCATCTCTGTGTGCTCTGACCGAGAGTCCTTAGACGGGCGTTGTCGCCTCGATGACCGAGAAAGCACCTTCGATGGGTGCAAGATGCTCATAGCAACCATGGCAAAGAACATAAGCGTTGAATCAAAAACATACATGAAAACCTCATGGCTAATGAGATATCCACTATTGCCTTGGGCGTACTCGATCAAGCGGAAGATCGATCGAACGAGGATCAGAATGCTGGCGACATACAGTCCGACCATGGCGATTTCCCAACTAGTTGTGCGCGATCGACTGACGGATTTCTCGGTGGGGTTATTGCGAATACGATAGTGAAAGATCGAGGAAGCAACGATGAACACAGTGAAAAATACTAATTGGACGGCAAGACCGCCGATCGTGATGTGTTCGCCGGTGGTCATCGCGCTCATCGTTCCGCTGGCCATGATACCACCGCCTTGGTTTAATATTAGTTTGAAACGGAGCTGTGCTTGTGGGGGGATGATCGTTTACCTGCTGCTTGCATCAAGAATGCGATTACATCTCCTGTGACGAAGATTGCAGTGAGCCATTTGACTGGCACTACACTCAGCTTCTCGGCATCCAGATGCACGATAAGTCGACCCAGAGTCATGTAGATCGACGCGGCGTATAGCGGAGGAGCGAGAAGAATCATGATCGTGCCAACTGAGTAAATCGGGATGTTTTCCTTGTTGTCGTGGGCTAGTGCGCGGCAGATGTAACCTATGATCTGAACTACAATATTTGTCAGGAATGCTCTGGGGTATTGTCCAGATCAAAGTGAAAGCGGGAAGAGACGTAAGCTCAGACAGGTCAAACTCACAGGCTCCGCCAACGACGAAGATGGTAAAATACCAGGATCGCGTGCGAACCACTTGGTACAGGTGATAGAGAGTCGCAATGACAAATAGAATAATGAAGATGATTGCTGCAACCAGAGAAGGCGTATAGCGGTAGAGCTTAAAGCTCACTTCTCCGTTCTCACTCATCTTATGTGGAGGTTGGGCTTGAAACAAGCGACTTCAAATGGTTAGGTACAGCTCAAAAGAAACTTGGGGATGAGAAGAAAGAAAGACCAAAATGAGGAGAAAATAAAAGATTCTAGAGCAAAGGCTATAATATTAAATCCTGGGGCCAAACGGTAGAATTCTTATACAATCTTGCCCCCATGCTTGGTCGGCCCCACCCGTATTCGTTTTCGCGGGTCCCTGGTCTAGCGGCTCTAGTCCGACTTCGGGACGGAATTGGTCCTGAATCGTCCACGGGTTGGATTCAGATTTTTTCCGTTGGTCCATGGAATCCATTTACGTATCCACTCTGGATGGTTTTTACTTGGCATTAAGGCTCATCTAATTCCAATCTTAGGTGGAATGAGTAAACTTGTCCCGTATACGTGGATCTTCTACACATGCACAGATATGCAGTGAAAGGCGTTGGTAGTATCATGCGAGATCTTCCTGTTCCTATACCTTAAGATATACAGCTCAGTGGCAATGCCACGACTTCGTTAGGCCAAAGCATGAATGTTGACAGTTGACTCTCATTCAAGGATCCGACCAGCGTGTTGACTCTGAGTAGCTCCAGTTCAAAGGACCCCCTCATATACCAGGTATCAACCAGGGTATTCACTAGGTAAAAATGAGCAAGGATGACGAGCGAGTGTCCGTGAAGACTGTTATGGTCGCTTCGCTCAAGCGATGTCAAGAAAGCACTGGGGAGCAAACACGGCCAGGACAAAATCGCTGCCTCTTCGAATTCTATCTGTATCTCCTTGTCAGAGGGAAACTCGGTCGCCGTGCAGTGCAATACAGATAAAATGCGCAAGTAAAGTGATTCCAGGATACGTATGGTCTCAAAGTGTGCATCCATGGCCCAATCTAAAGTCGTGGACGGTGAAGGTTGGGATGTCGGTGTTCCCGAGCAGCTGGATAAATCATCCCGGGTGGGTTCAACCATGTTCAACAAAGTCTTGATAGACGCGACGGCTTGACGAGCGCCTTCTGCAAACTTCAACAGACGGGGTGGACAACGAGAAAGCCGAGACGGGGCATGCAATGATGAGTCCAACCAAGTCTCATCGGTGTGTTGTAGTGACAGTATCTGTCGGAGCCGGCTAGATTTCAAGGTTTGCCATTGATCACCTATCACAGAAGTCACACCTCGGTTGAGGTACAGCCAGTTGAGGCGCGGTATTTTATTTGTGGAATGCAGATTTGCCATTGAGCTATTCATCTCTTCGATAGGCTCAGTAAGTGGGTCGAGGTCCTGAATCTTGAGATAGGCAAATGCGAAGGCAACAACAAGGATTGAGCCTGTGAAAATAGCTTCTGCGTTGAAAGAAGAGATGCGGGACACGTCTTCTCTGAACCCTTCTAACCCTCTTTGATGATGTTCCATGATGATGGCCAAGTCCACCGTATCTGAACCTTCCACAGGTCGACTGGCATCGGCCTTTTGTTTGACCATGTGGATACCCCCCAATGCTAGCAGGAGATGCATCAGATATCGATTTTCACTTGCTAATTCAGGGATAATCCGCTGCCAAACATCAGATCGCCTTTGGTGTAAGGTCATCTGTTTAGCGGTGTATAGATGATAGAACTGAATGAGTCTCAAATCATTCATCTCTAGATCCCTATGCTGGTGTTGGTGGGGTTGGCTCGAGATGGTCGCCGTGACTGTCGCCTTTATTGCTAATGGCTGAATGTGACCCAACACTGGACCCTCACTAGACGGATCGAAAGAGTCTGGTAGGAGAGATTGGTCATCTTTCTCTGAATCTGCTCTTGACCTAGGAGGTTTCCTCGCAGTCACGCGTGGGAGACGATAAGAACAAGGTTCCCCCTGGAAGAACATGTGCCACACGCGGGCTGAAGCTCGTCGCACTTGAGGAAAATCAGCATTTCAGTGGTCAATAGAAACTACCAGGACCATTACTCAAGATATGTACCTTGACCCTTCGGATTTTGCAAGGATAGCAGCCATTGCGAGATTTGGTGTGGCGGGCGCGATGTCTTCTCACAACTGGGTAATTCACTGGTGTATTGGAGACTGATATGTCTCCGTCCATCTTTTGGCTAAGAGAATTTTCCGACAAAGACTATCCACCATGATTGAGATCATTTACGCAAAGTTGCAGCCTATGAGCTGTGGAAGTCAAATCTGATGGGGCTTGTCGGGCGGTCCACAGCAACCAAAGATGTAGACGACCCGTCGAGGATATCAACATTGCGAGACTGATACAATGGACACAGCAAGTGAAAAACTCTATGGGATGGAGACACAACTGAAAATGCATCATAGAGGCGAATGGGATCAAAGTTTCAAAATATTGGACCAGGTAAGTGAGAAAGCCCAGACTCATAGAGAATTTGATCGCGATTCGTTCATGGTAGCCCCTTATGATTATCAGGACCCACCCGTATTCGTATGGCAAATGCGAACACGTCTAGACTTGATGTGGACGTGGTTGAATTTAGAATTGACCAGCCAATCTTCGATCTTCTTTAAGCTTAATACCTACCATGGAAACCGGAAAGAAAAAAAAAAAAAAAAACACAAATCCGTTGCAGATATGACCGAGAGCATCGAAATACCTAGACACCGTACGGTTTGACATTCAAATGTTCGGGGTTGCTAGTCAAATCGTAATCCGAAATAACCCCCAGGAGTCGAGTGATTTCATGGGGATGTGCGACATTGAAAATAACCATGGCAATGAAAATAAGCAGCGAGTCAAAGACATATAAGTAAACCTCATGATGCAAAAGAAACCCTTGATTCCCCTGTATGTATTCTACCAATCGAAAGGCCGAGCGGACGAGAATCAAAAAGCTAGTCACGTAGAGAATGTTGAGATATCTCCGCCATGGAATCTCCCCAGAGACGCACCGTGGGATAGGATACCTGCGCAACTTCAGATCAAAGAGAACAGTGACAACAATGAAGAAGCCGAAGAATATTATCTGGACGAAAAGCCCAGCGATGATAATGCGCTCTCCAGTCTTCATGCCGTCAAGGCTTCCGCTACTTTGAATGCCGCCGCCTGGATAAAATATAAGTATCTGCTTGGATCAAGTAGTTGGGAAGTCTTCTGTACTGACCAGCACCTTGTAGTAAAAACGACATCACATCGCCCGTAACAAAGATTTTAGTGAGCCACTTCTTTTTCAAAATCGCATGCGACTCGGCCTGTAGCACCAGGATGATTCGTCCGAGGAGCATGTAAATTGATGCTGCTAAGAGAGCCGGGGCGAGGAGAAGACAGAGTGTCTGCACAATGTATGGGCCTAGCGTCCAATCTGGACTCTGTTTGCTTGACGCGGCACGTCCGATATACCCAACAATCTCAACTGCTTCTGTTAGCTGATATACTGAAGCGTAAGGAACTGGGTGTCTCATACGAAGGCCTCCTATTGCGAATGGAATAAAGAACCAAGTCCGTGTTTTGAATAACTGGAAGATGTGATAAAAGGTGGTTCCCATAAAAAGGATGATGAAAAGGACAGCACCGCCCATGCTGGGGTCGTAGCGATAGAACGCAAAAGCTAATTCCTCATCAGAGCGATTTGAAAGCATTTCAGTGTACATCTTGACACGATTTGTCGTGCTAGAATAGTGGAGTTTGGAACGGATCTGATCTTCCAGTATGTTGAGTACGGATTTTGAATTTCGTACATCTTAGATTTATCGGAAGAGTTCTTATAGCTGTCCCATAAAGCTTTTACCAAGCAACAAAACAATGCATACAAAAATAGCTCGGCTTCGGAGGGTGCATTCCGTGGGTTTCTGTATACTGGAAGGGCCCCAAAACGAGTACGGGTGGGTCGGCGGCAAAGCCGACAAGAAGGACTTTCTACAGGTGCCTGATTCGCCAAGTTCACGAGCTTAATGGGGAAATAATAAATATCTATCACTAGAGAAACAAAAAGTGGAGAGGTCATGGAATGGAAAAAAAAACTAGCAAGCCTGAATCTCAAATCAAACCGAGCTAGCACATATAGTTTCAATTGCATAGCCCGCGTCTGGTTCAACGGGGTCATCGGTCGTTTACGCTTCAAGAACTATATGATCAAGCTAATGGAACCGAGGCCCTCGAGACTGATCAAGAATGGGAAAACACAGGCCATAATCGCGCGCACAGAAAGTAAAAAATGGTATACACGCCTCTCGGCTTTCGTGTAGACGATGATCTACAACTACATGAACCTTTGTACACATTTTTTGTGCTTGTTTTATTTCCGCACCGCTAGGTGATAAGCCTATTAAACTTTTATAACGATATGTATATGTACATGCATGCAATTCCTCCACTGATATGATACATGAGTAGACGATTAGTACGAGAAACGAGAAGAGTCATGATGAACGCAATGTGGTGCAAAAGCTCGACAGGCATGTCACTAAGCGGCATGAAGTTCATCTTTGAGAATATGCCATTTTCGAGCAACCTCGGCGCGTTCCTCAGGGGTAGACGCCTGCATTTCTTCAATACCTTGCGCTATTCGAGATGCGATGATACCAAGCTCCTGGCTCCTGCCTAATGACCTTTGAAGCTTCCTGCGGATCCCAACCAAGGGATATCCAAACAGCCCCCAGAGACCTAGAAAGAGTTGAGTTAGAATAACTTGCGCACGGCGCAAGAGTGGTCCAAAGATGCATAGTGAAAGCTTACCTGCTGGTGGCTTCAGGAAGACACCGCCAATCCCTTTCCCAATTCCTTTAAACACTCCTTTTGCTCCTTCCTGCTTGGCACCGTACCGGGGCTGCGTGATCAAGCCCGTGATACCGTAGTAAAACCCATCGCGGAATTCCTACACAAAGTACAAGTATTAGTTGGCACCTTTTGATCACCAGGGATGGGTGAAATACAATTCTGGCTGCCGCGAGTCCACTCCGAATTCCAATAACCTTTGGCAGTTCTGTGATCATTTGGTCATGGTATATCCTCGGCGCATTGTGGAATCCTTTGGACATGCTGAGAGTCAAGTCCGTTGGGAGCCAGAGTATGTTTTTCAAAAATTTCATCGACATTCGACTGCTGTGAGTGCGTATCTCTTGAGTTACACCTTTCTTTTTGTGTGACTCCAGATAGGTCATAAGTTCCGATCGATCACGCGGTAAACCCTTTTTCGCGCCAACTGCGCTAGCTGGTAAATTACTGTTCATTTTTTCGTGTCTTATGTTGTCAGTTTCGCTGTCGTTCGTGTCAAGGCTTATTCCGTCAGCGAGATCAATACCACCTTCATAATTATCATCATCCTCATCGCTATCTGAAAGCCCATGTCCTTGGGACTGGTCAGGTCCAGGATACACGGCGGGCTCTTGGTACCCGGTGGGCTCTTGAGGCTCGGTATGTTGATGATACTCAGCGGACTCATGGTACTGCTCCTCATCACTACTCTGGTCTGAATCTTGGCTTCTGCGGAATCTCCTCCACGAAAATCTTCGTTGCCCTTCACTCTGGGCATGAGTCTGATGTATTGCACGACCGGCTGTGACAAAATCCGTAACGATATCATAAGGAACCTCGCCGAGCCCGGTCACAAAATTCGCGATAGCTCCGAGTAGAACCTGGGCTCCTGCGCTGACAGGGCCTACAGGATTACGGTATGTGTCATACTCCGATGCTCGGCTCCTTGATAATCGGTTAGCGGTCTGCAAAGATCTTTTTGGCGGTCAACGTACAGGGCAAGATTCTCTGGTTGTAAAGCCCCCATTTCAACCAGTACTGTTGCAGCAAAAGCACTGAGCCCAACTGAAGTTTGCCTAAGGTGCCACACAGCAGGACGAGTGGGACATATTGCGCATCGTAAAGTCTTCAGGTTAAGATGTCGATGAAAGCTGCGTACTCCATCTCGTGTGCCGGACTCTTTTTGCATTTTATCCGCGATTTCTTGCGCCTTCTCTTGCACAGAAGGTTTCAGCGCATTTTGAATTGCATCGGTAAGATTCTCAACTGTGAGTTGCTTGTGAGGTACGGGCTGCGGCCCAGCTCCAGCTGCTGCAACGATACTTCCCCAAAACTGTTGGTCTCCAAAGAAAGGAACAATGATAGTCGGCCGTCCAAGAGCAAGTCCTGCGGCAGTGGTGCCAGCACCACCGTGATGAATCACGCATGATACATGCTGGAATAACCAGTCATGTGGTACGCTGCCGACGATGAGGATATTATCTGGTACATCTACCTCATCGACCCCAAGGTTTCCCCAACCTTTCGAAACTATTGCGCGCTGGCCAGCGTTTTCTATTGCGTTGAACACGACTTGAGTCAGTTTGATTTGGTTTTCTACCACAATAGAACCAAATCCGACGTAGAGTGGAGTGGGCCCTGCGTTGAGAAAATCGACGATCTCTTTTGGAGGCGTGTAGTCTGACTTTGTAGGTAATACGCTGAAGCCGCAAATATCGATGTGATCATCCCAATCGCGTGGCTTTGGCAGCAATGCCGGCGACCTGCACAAAACCGTAGTCAGTTAACTGTTCATATCCGCCAACCTCGAGTCAATATTGGGTGTCAGCCCATACCATAGATATGAGAACGGAACTCCGAGGCGCTGTGGTAGGCTTGGCGCCGTGATCGAATCTAACGGATCGAGTGCCAGGCACCTCTTCCGCCATGAATTGACCAGATCTCCCAATCCCTCCCAAATCATTATATCCACAACGGTATACGATATGAGATTTGCAACGGTTGGCTTGCAATCCTGCGGATGAAGAACGGCCAGTGGATGCGGAAACGCCTGAGTAGCTGACCATGGCATTCTAGGAAATTTCCATTAGGATGTCTCGCGAGGCTCATATCTGAAGATGGACTCACGTGAACATCATATGAAGTGGAATCCCCAGCCGCTGCGCGCAATGGATATGGCCCAAGCTGGGTGGATTAGCAATTATTGTATCAGCAACGAACGGCCTTCGACGATAGTCCACCGTCTCACTCCAGAGATCCTCTTTGATCTGATGCAGCTCCGTGCCGTCACCTGTCTCAATACATGACCGCCAACAGCCGTATATGATCTCTTTCATTTCACGCCGGCGTTTCTGGATGGCTCCGCTTCGGATCGTGCTGAACGCGGGAAGTAGAGAGGGATTTTGGACCATAAAAGCCATCAGCTCCTCGGGATCACCACCGATATTGAAGAACTCCAAGCCGGCCTCAAGCACCCATTCCCGGAAGTTTAGGTGGGTTGCTAGCCGTACGCGGTGTCCATATGCTTTCAATTCCTTTCCTAGCGCAATAAACGGTTGGATGTCACCCCGAGATCCGATAACTTGAATGACGATGTTCAGCTTCAGTGGGAAGTGTTTGCCTTCATCTGGTGGTATTGCTTCAGGGGTCGGTTGGTCTGCTAAAGCTTCTAGATCTGGTGGCTTATTTGTCGTTTGAATGCGATTCAATAACCCTGCGAGCTGTGGCATATGTTCGTTGAGCTTTATATCAAGCCGGCCATCACCTACAATATGTCCATCGTTAGCCGTAATATGTGGCAACGCTTTATTTGATCACGAACTTAAGACTTTCACTCCGCCGTTTCGTTCTCCGATGTGCCTCCGCTCGCGACGTGGGGAGGGTGACATGGCGACTTCCTCAGGCCAGTCCCCCGAGCGGATTGACCCATGGCGGCTGGACCTGCGCCTCAAAATCGATGGAGTCGAGTCCCTCCTCCTTAAATGTCCGGAGGACGACATAGGAACCCTCTCCGGCCAGTCCTCTGATTGTATTGAGCCTTGGCGGCTGGACCTACGCCTCATAATCGGTGGTGCCGAGTCCGAGTCCATTTTTTCGCGGGAGATCGGCCTGATGTGGCCTAGAGTGACGCAAGTCAAGACTGGCAGCGATATTAGCGTATGGTACAACAGATTATAGCAACAATGGGTATGTTCATTTATTAGAGTTGATATGTTGGCGGGATTCAAAACCATTAAAAAGGAATATGATCAGCTTTACTTGATGATGTCAGAGGGGTCCCACAGCACCTGGTCTATTACAGCCAGTGCACAAATTCAAATTCTGCCTGCAGTATACTTTATTACATCCATCTACAGATAACTAATCTTGCACTGGCCCCAATGAAAAGCCAGCGCTGAGTCAGGCGGTAAAATATTATGGTGCAATGCTCCGTGGCGGTCAATTGCCGCACTCCCGTAGGCTTCCCGGATCTTCGTGGGTCTCGGGATCAGCGCCGGCTTACCTCGGGAGGCCGTGGCCTGGAACTATTCAGAGCTTAGTCATTGGTTCATGCCCTAGGTAGTTAGGTACATTTTTTTCCGATTTACTTACCGAGGTAGAAAACTATGGCTCATTCCGTACTTGATATTCAATTCTAGAGTAAATTTTGTATTCTTTCTTTCTTGCGTATCGCTGCGTAATGCAGGCGCCTCCTCCGCAGTAATGCGATTAGATGGTAAAAATCACATTAATCCTTGAGCCACTTTCAGGGGGTCGGAAAATTTGATGATCGAGATAATGATGATATCTCTCTATCCAAAAGCAAGACTGGGAAGAAAGGGAAAGCAAGTGTGACTAGGATACTGAGACCCTATTTATACTGCCAAGCATAGACTTATATCATGTATGTTTGATACAGTTGATCTATATCAGGCATAAGGTATATAAATGCCTATGATATCTAACATCCCCCTTATAGATGAAGCACCAATATACAGCAGAAGTATCCTTCTATTCTGACACTATTTACTATACGAAAATTTTGAACTACCCCTTCGCTAATGCTTTAGTGGAGCTGTAATCTATATTACACTATCAACTAGACGAAGCCGCTGTCAATTGAGGCTCGCTGTGAAATATTGGTTGAACAATATTGTATACTCCTTGGAAGTTTGGAAAATGTGTCAGAGAATCGGGTCAAACCCTCTGGTAGTGGACACAAGGGTCTTTGCAACCCATTTCCTGAATGAATTCAGTTTCCCACTCCTTCTCAACCTGACCATACTGTCATTCGCAGCGACCGCCTTGTTTGGGGTGTTTATTTTGGCCGAGGGAATATCATCACGGACGACCACATAATTAACTGCTTGCGTCTCCATTGTTGTCTTTCTTACGGGCAACAGCCTTTTGGGGCCGATAACGTAGCCTTTAAGGAACCACAACAAGTTTGACGCGCATTATGTACAATAGACTCAGCAGGGAAAAGGGCTAGATAATGTATATTGCTTGAACCCAGAGGAAACAGATTACCCAAAGGATGCCGCATTCTTACATACACCAACGCTGAGTACCAATACTAACGTGGCCGGTTCCATTGATTACACTGCTATATAGAAGCTGTATTTCCATTTTGGATTTGGATTTCTTATTGCTCGATTTCAACTCTCAGAATTCCGTTCATCTCTTTCTTTGACTGACTGCAATGAAAAGATCGAGGAGCGAAGAGGGAGGCTCCGTGTGAGATCCAGGTCTTAGCAGATTATCAAGATAAGTGAAGCATCCAATTAGCTTAGGCCACGACTTCCAAGTCATTGCGCCAGTTCACAGCTGCATAGCAGCCACAGGCAAATTGGAAACCAGGTTTGCCACATTCTGCGCTTGGAGGAGATCGCTTGGCTTTCGGTTAGGCACCCTCGCGTCTACTGTTTGGCTCCGTGATGCGGGGTAACTAAGAACAAGATCAATTCCTCGTCAAATTTCTACATCTAACCTACTACCATGAAATGGTGCGAGCCTTGCGATCGTTCTTTTCGCAGCCAGGAGGCCCTCGACCAGCACCTACGCGACTCACCGGCACATACTGTGGCTTTCGATTGTGAGCCCTGCAATCGTTCGTTTAGCAGCCAAGACGCCCTCGACCAACACCTACGCGACGCACCAGCACATACTGTGACTTTTGACTGTGAGCCCTGTAATCGTTCGTTTGGCAGCCAAGATGCCCTCGACCAACACCTACGCGACGCACCAGCACATGCTGTGACTTTTGATTGTGAGCCCTGCAATCGTTCGTTTAGCAGCCAAGACGCCCTCGACCAGCACCTACGCGACGCACCAGCACATGCTGTGACTTTTGATTGTGAGCCCTGCAATCGTTCGTTTGGTAGCCAAGACGCCCTCGACCAGCACCTACGCGATTCACCAGCACATACTGTGACTTTTGACTGTGAGCCCTGCAATCGTTCGTTTGGTAGTCAAGACGCCCTCGACCAGCACCTACGCGATTCACCAGCACATACTGTGACTTTTGACTGTGAGCCCTGCAATCGTTCGTTTGGTAGTCAAGACGCCCTCGACCAACACCTACGCGATTCACCAGCACATGCTCAGCTGTCCAGAACTCCTCTCGATATATTTTTTCAGTCCTTTGATGGGTTTGTATATGATCCCGTATTAGCACCAAGCGAATCGTATTCATCTTTACAAAGATATTACGGTTGGCGTAGAGGCGAAAGGGAATCTGATCAAGCTTGGCAACGATTTCAAGAAGCTCTCAGTCAAGAGTTCAAGCTCTGGTTCGGAACAGAGAACGACCTTGCCGCTTGGCATTCACTTTGCCGCGCTGTGAGGATTAAACCCATACCAAGCACTTGTCTTGATTGCGAAAAGGTAGAGCTCACCGTGATATATCTACGATACAATATTAACCTTACCTAATAGGCTGTGCGGGGTATATACGTGAATATTGTTGACTTGATCGACTGGGCTCGTAGTGGGGGACAGTGCAGTAATATACGGCTATTCCGTAACTTACAGGATCTGCGCGACTACACTAAGGCAAGCCGTAAGATTTTTCACAATAATCTTGATGAGACTGGAGACGGCAATGTAGTACTTAGGCATTTGCTTCGATTTATTTTTCGACAAAATTAGAAATTCGATACTGCAAGACATTCGCTTGGTACCTTTTTGCATTCCTTCGAAAAAGCCTACTGAACGTTCTACCACAAAAGGCCGTCTTTAAGGCGGCATTATCTCCATGACCCACCAAATTTATTTCGGCGCTAAGGCCTTGACAGTGGGGCCACCGGAGAGTGGTTGATTGTGCATCGGTCAAGCCGATTTCGAGAAGGACTATACATGGAATTTTTGGTGCGGTAGAATAATGGTAGGAAACAGCGGTGACTAAGAAGGATAACAGACAATACACTACCTATTTTGATCTAGTGGCACCCTTAAAGAGAGTAAGAAATACGCTTACAGCATTTGAACATTCTAGTTCATACTACATTTACGTAGACAAGTTCTATAACCGAGAGAAAGCCAGGGGATTGAATGTTCCCATCACATGATCATCCACAACAAATTTGCCGATACTTCACTGATCTGGACCACACCACCGGCAGCCACCGAGCATGGGACAACATTGTCCTTCACAGGAGATGGATACGGCAATTTAGTTACCCCGATATCCCAACAATTAAAGAAGACACTGCGAACTTTGATCAAAACTTCATACGTTGAGGGCTCTGAGATGGGCTCCTTGAAAACTTTCAGGCTTTGGACTGAAGTTCGCGCCCCTTCGACGCGGATCACTTTCTGCGATATGTTGAAGAAGAGATTACGTCGCAGAATGGATGGAGGTAATTTGATAAGGTTCTCAAGAGGTGGAAGCTACAATGGGATCTCAGATGTTGTGCCAAATACCACTTTTATACCTTTCCTGGATATCTTTACATGCAGGTCTATAATCAATTTTTTTGGGGAAAAAAATGATTCATACACTTCAGAAGAGGTCAGTTTATTCAAGCGGGTCCTTTCTCCATGGCTATGGATATCGAACATGATTTCCAACGACTCTCCAACCCTGTGCTTGAACCACCGAAGTGATAGAGTGAGCCGTTCGAGCATCATTCTCCCGTTACTAGGAGAAAAATCCGAGGTGTTATCTTTAAGCATTATGGGGGTTTGTTTATATGAGGGCTCCCGAGGTCCACTCCATGGTGATTAGTCAGGATGTCTTTTGCCGAAGGTCATGATGAATGTTCACGGAACATACAGCTAGCACGCACAGGAAATCCTTGCGTTTAAATCCCCGCCAGTATGGATCTAACCCCTTAACCCCCCCCCCCCTCTCTCACTCGCTAGGCAAAACAGCATTGAATTGTAAGTTTTGACACCGTGAATCTCGACGGCTGGAGCATCTACAGCGTCACACTCTAATAATTCGTTAATCATTGTCCGTATACCGGACACAGTATGGACAGCGGTGTAGACAACGAAAAAAGCTATTCAGCTGCCAATATGGTGCTTTCTTCGAGAAAATATCTTCTCAGGCTCCATGTACATGTCTCACACCGTGATTTCAGACATTTCGTGTAGCCATCAGCCTTTAACAATAGCCTGACAAGCCACCTGAAACCTTTTAGCTTGCTCAGCTATCCTAGCCTAGCGAGTCGAGAGACATCTCCACAGAGATTGTTGATCAGGTGTGCTATCAATGCTTGAAGCCTTCCATGCTGTGGCAATCAGTAACAATCGGCTTTATGGTAGGCAATCAAGTGTGTTGGACTATGATTTAATAGACACCGAGCACTTAAATTATGACACTTGTATGTTGTATGACACCCCCAAATCCCTATTCTTATCATGCTGACCACTGCTGCAAGGTGTGTCAGGTCGTTATGTTCAGGCAAGTTTAGAGAGCGAAATTCATGTGGCGCCTCACACCTATGATGACCACACAGCTCAAAATGTGATCTCGAACATGCGGCAAGTTTCTCGATTCCCGCGTGGTTGTCAGTTATTAACACTATTCCAAATTCCGTCTCTTCCTGGTCTTAATCATTACATAGGTGGACAAGTTATCTCCCATGCATCACTCCCAGTAGTCACTCAATCCCAGAGATTCGCAAATTTGTAAAGTATAGCACCAATAGTGCAGAACTGGAAGCTCATAGCCACCCGTGCAGATCACTGACCTAGACGATTATTATAGTTGTGGGCTCTCAAAACTTTGTTTTTCATCGGCTATGGAAAATGGTCTCCGAGACGGAAAATGGTGCCCGACTCAATGATATCTCGGGGCCCCGCGAACAACCTCGAAAGCCCACAGATTAGCGTGTCTTCCCCGCATCACCTCTCAGTCGATGGCGTCAGGTCTAACAATGAATGTCAGCTTCATGGTAAAATGTAAGGGGGGACTGGTTGGGGTACATTTCTGTTGATGCTCTGATTGGTGTGTCGGCTAGATGACAGAAACATCAGATACTCACTGTTTTCTTTATAAAGATACCCTGACTGTTATTTGCTCAATTAGACATTGGTATACTCTCTTTGGAAAATTATCTCATTATTGCCTCCATTGCATATCGACCCTACTTCTTAGCTACCGCACTTCCAGAAGATCATGGCGGACAAGAAAGCATCCCCAGAGATCGAACATATTGAATCCGAGATAAAGACGGAACCGTTTACTCTCATACCTCCCTCTGGATCAGAAAGACAGCCATATGGTGAACCTGGTATAGCCCCCTCCCCTCCCCTACTAGTCCTCTTCTCCATCCTCATCACAAACTAACCCATCATCTCGCAATACAGGTCTCAGGGGTATCCTCACAAACAAGTATGTCGCAACATGCGCCGCATTTGCAACATTGGGCGGAGCGATGTTTGGCTACGACCAAGGCGTCATCTCCATAACCCTAACAATGGACCAATTCCTTAAACGATTCCCAGAGGTTGGCCCCAATGCACCAGGTGCAGGATTCCAGAAAGGAATCCTCACTGCCATGATCGAGCTCGGGGCTTTCCTTGGAGCGATGAACCAGGGATGGATTGCCGATAAATTCTCTCGAAAGTGGTCTATCATGGTTGCAGTGATTATCTTCCTTTTTGGATCCGCATTGCAGACGGGTGCTATGACTTTCGAAATGCTGGTAGGTGCCCGGTTTGTCGGAGGTATTGGTGTTGGCATGCTAGCTATGGTGGCACCGCTATATATCTCTGAGATTGCGCCACCGGAGATTCGCGGTACTTTGCTTGTTTTACAGGAACTTGCTATTGTCACTGCTGTCGTGGTTGCGTTCTATATCACATATGGTACACGATACATTCCGGGTGAATGGTCTTGGCGCCTTCCGTTTCTCATTCAGGTAGGCCTTTCTACTTGGTCGCGGTTGATTCTTTCCTAATCATGTGGATAGATGGTTCCTGCCATATTCCTCGGCGTCGGTATTCCCTTCCTACCATATTCACCTCGTTGGCTCGCTGGTCGGGGCCGAGATGACGAAGCACTTCAGGTTCTCTGTAAATTGCGCGGTGTCGACGCTACCGACGAGCGTGTGATCCGAGAGTGGGTTGATATTCGCTCCGAGGTAGCATTTTGCAACGAAGTGAGTATTGTGAGACACCCAAACTGTCAGGATGGAAGTTACACTAGTCGTGCAATGCTTCATATCTGGAGCTATTTGGACTGTTTCCGCAAAGGGTGTTGGAAACGTACGCATGTTGGTATTGGATTGATGTTCTTCCAACGTGAGTACTTTTCTGTCGTGTGGACACAAGCCTCTGCCTTACCTTTCCACCTCACACAGACTAATTCATATCCTCTTTACAGAATTCGGCGGTGTCAACGCTCTTATCTATTACTCACCCAGTCTATTCGAAGGGATGGGTCTAAACTACGAAATGCAACTCCACATGTCCGGCGTCATCAACATCTGCCAGATGTTGGCATGTTTCTGGTCCCTATGGGGTATGGATAAATTCGGCCGAAGACCTCTGCTCTTTGGCGGCGCCAGCTGCATGGCTTTTGCCCATTTTATCATTGCTGTTCTGATGAGCCAATACCAATCAAACTGGCCTGCACATTCCACAGAGGGTTGGGTTTGTGTCGCCTTCTTGTGCGTCTTCATGCTGACCTACGGAGCTACTTGGGGCCCCATCCCTTGGGCTATGCCAGCTGAGATCTTCCCCTCTTCGCTACGTGCTAAGGGTATGGCGTACTCCACGATGTCGAACTGGCTTAATAATTTTATCATCGGGCTTATCACTCCGCCGCTTGTGCAAAACACTGGATATGGAACCTATGTGTTCTTCTGTGTGTTTTGTGCCCTGTCATTTGTTTGGACATTGTTTTTTGTTCCGGAAACTAATGGCAAAACTTTGGAGGAAATGGACTCTGTCTTTAAGGATAATAGTTCGAGTGTGGAGACAGAACAGCGCGCGAGGATTGAGGCTACAATCTGGGCTCATGCTGCGGGACGATCTCATGGCCTTGAAGGCACTCATCAGATTACATAGATGTGATCTGTTTTCTAGCTATTTTTTCGATAGTATACATTTGTGGCCTGGGGCTGCATATTTCGAAATGTGTATAAGGCTCTATGAGAGATCGTGTGACCTCGCTGTTGACAGTCAGATTGCAGTCTCTACCCATTGTAGATATTTTATTTCCTTTCACACGTTTACTGATTATTAAAGATTGCCCTTCCTTGCTAGACTTTGAACAATGCTAAGGCCTGACACAGGACCAAAAGGCGTGACGACGGGGCTTTCATCGTTGTCCAGCGGACTCGGCAAGTAGACGCGGCGCTGAGTTCAACCTCTCCACTTCACACGTACAACGTACAACGTACAACGTACATTAACCAATAAAGAGTTCTCACATACGATATGTGTCATTTTTTATCTCCGCTTGCCTTCGCGATTGGTGCGTGGTCTGTTAATCATGTCGAAAAAGAAGCCTGCGGAGGGCCTGACAAACAAGGCATACATGCATATTCTCTCCAGGATGCATGGCTTTACCCCAGTCCCTAAGCCCTAAGTCTAGTAAACACCCAATATATCAAGAAGATAATCACACTGAAGGGTAGCCCTTGTAGTATTCAATGCTTAAGATTGCTCATTTTATCAGAAACTGTTCGTGATGTTTGTGACTCACATATTTTGCCCATAAATGCAAGCCTTTGATTTCTCTTCCTCCTTACATCCCATCAGGTACACCAAGTAAAACCACTGTCATCACTTTGTCTAATTATGGTGGCTCAACGTAGGGCGTGGTGCGTTGACACCTATGGAACCCACTAATTGCCCCACAATAGCAAGTGTCCCGAGGTCAACTCACCATTTCTCTCAGCCATTTCTCTTCCAATCCCTTCACTGGGAATAACAACACTTCAGAAATGGCCTCCCAATCTAAGACTCTCCCACAATTGACTTCGTCCAAGCTCTTCCTCACGGAAGCCGGACTCGAAACAACTCTGGTCTACAAAAAGAACATCCACCTTCCGTGCTTTTCCGCTCTCCCGCTTCTGAGCACGAAAGAAGGCACAGAAACGCTTCTTTCTCTCTACAAAGAATATGTAAATATCGCACTCGCGAATTCAGCCGGCATCGTCCTTGAAACCCGCACATGGCGCGGCTCTCCCGCATGGGCTCCCCAACTTGATCTCTCCGTCCTAGAGATTCTCGATCTGAACCGCAAAGCAGTTAAGATCCTTCAAGATCTCAGAAAAAACGTCCAGACTCCATCCACTCCTATCATTATCAGTGGAACCCTTGGAACACTCCAAGATGCCTACGTGGATTCCACGGAAACGGTTTCCTTCTCGCAAGCCCAGGAGAATTATCGTGCCCAGGTCCAGGTACTCGCTGAAGAAGGTGTAGACATGATATCTATCATGACTGTCACCAATCTCAATGAGGCTACCGCGGCAGTGAGCGTGGCGCGTGAGTTCAATCTCCCTGTTCACGTTTCGTTTAGCATCGAGACGGACGGACGGCTGCGAGGTGGAAAGACACTTGGCGATGTCATTCGCGAAGTCGATCGTCAGACAGAGAATTATACGACGTATTTCGGGGTGAATTGTGCGCATCCTCGTCATATTATGACAGCGTTACGAGATCTTCCTCAGGATGTGAGGTCGAGAATCGGGTCGATTCGGGGAAATGCTAGTCTTAAGTGCCACGATGAACTTGATAACTCGCTGGTACTAGATCGGGGCGATGTTTCGCTTTGGGATCGAGAGTTCAATGGGCTTTTGAGTATGTTGCCGGAGTTGAAAGTAGTAGGGGGTTGCTGTGGCACGGATGAAGAGCACCTCGATACTCTTGCGAAGACAGTTTATTCTAGTTAAAAGCTAGTTAGAACTTGATAACTTCATACCCGCGTTATCGCTGTTTATAACTTCCTTAAATAGTCTGTAGCTACTAGATGATCCCTTGTCGCGACCACGAATTTTCAGCGTGACAAGAATCCAGTCGCATTGTGAGTATCTCCCTAGTTTGTATCAACTGTACAAATTTACTCGTGAACACCTTTGGTCCAAAATTCTGTGGACAATGATGATTGATGTGGGGCGTCTGGTGGATCTATAGGGCGTTGCAACGCGCCTTGGTATCGTGCACGCCCTACTATACACGCCTTACGCCCAAATCCGAATGTTTGATCCCTGTATATTAGAAAATAAAAGTATTCATATCTATTTAAGTCATGATCAGCTCAAATAATCTCAAACATGACCTCATTTATTTCACCCCAGGCCACCCAGCCTCTGGACGCATCAAAGCTAACTTACGCTTACACTACCGATCCTCGAGATGTACCTGACGAGGCCACCGCAGCCAAAAGCAAGACACCATTTGCACCGACCACATGATTATCGCACGCTGGAAGAAAGACATCGGATGGTCTACTCCAGGGCTGAAACCCTACTGTCCATTAAGTCTTCTCCCGAAGCGTTCTGCCTTCAATACGCACACGAATGCTTCAAAGGACTCAAAGCATACCGCGGCGATGATGAAAAGCTCCGACTCTTCCGCCTAGACCGCAACGGCATCTGAGGGAGAGTGCACTGAGGCTGGAGGTAGTGATTTCTTTTTGATATGGCGGCGGAAAGATGGAAGGAAGGAGATGATTACTTCACGGTTAGATGATCATCTCGTTCTGGATGGCATGATTCGTCGGAGTCACATTGAGCTAGCAAGAGAGCGACTTGGGGATGAACTCGCAATCACAGAGCGCAAGTTCACGATGGGTGAATTTTTGGAGGCTTCCAAGGAGAACAAGAATCTGGAGTCATTTGCTACAGGAACAGCGGTAAGGTACTATCTACTTTGAAAATTGGGGTTAAATTCTAGATGCTCATAGTATTCTCCTAGTGGTTTATCACCCCATTTCACACATTCGCCACAGAGAACACAAGATTGATATTCGCATGAGACAGGGTGATGGACCCCGCGAGACTGCCGGAAAGATGAAGGGCTGGTGGCCACACCAGTCAGGGACTACATGAAGGAGGTCAAAAAATCATTTGTCGATGTCTCTAATTACATGTTGCAGCCCGCGAATATCCCAGCATGATCATTGTGGCTCCTGGATAAAACCTCTATCTATGGCTTCATGAATGCCTCTCTGCCAAATCATTGCCATTTTCATATAACCCGCATCATCGGGGTGCGTGCCATCCGTCAGCTCACCGATCTGAGGTCCATCAGGGCCATGCATATCCACGAGGACGATTCTTCTTCCTTCCGCTGCTTTCACTTTTGCTAGTTCCCCGAATCGCTCGTTCAGGCAACGGACTCGTGTATCAACCTTTCCATCTAAGTTTGGAATGAGAGTAGAAAAGAGAATTGTTGAGTGAGAAGATGCCGTCCAGAGATATTCAAGCATGTCACTCATTCGCTTGCTAGCAGTCTCGATTTCGAAGTCCTGAATGCAATCATTTGAGCCAACGTTGACGGTGAAGAGGTTTGGTAGGAATCTAGGAACTGATCTCTTGGCTTTGTTGGCAACTTGATCGATTCGGAATCCCCGCCAGCCTTCATGTTCGTTGTTCTCCATCGAACCAGAATTGCGAGACCCGACCATGTTCACATTGTAGCCGCCTGACACAAGTAGCTCTCGAAGCGCTTTTCTATAGCCATTGCCGTCGGTGGACTCGGAGCCATAGGTGACGGAGCCGCCTAATGGCATTATTCGCAAACTCGGTTTGGCCCTCTCGGTCGAAGATGCTGAATAATCTACTAATACAATGGGTATATTATACGTCAAGGGTATTATACCATGATAGCCTGCCATCTTCATCTTATTTTGGTCTGAACGTGGAGGAACCTTGATCAGACGGGCAGTAGTTGGCTCGGCCACATCGATGCCACTCGTGAGAGATCTGGGTAGTTTGTTGCATAATCTGCGAGTATGAAAAGATGCCATGGTCACTGCAGTAAACCTGGTAATTGTGAAAATTCGAAAGATACATAGCGATCATAGACAAGGGGCGCGGAAGTTTGCCGTGCACTCGCCGAACCTATTCGGCAAGATTGTCAGGATGCCGAGTTACAAAATCAAGTTATCGGTATTATCTGTTCTGGCCGAATCTGTTGCTGAGACGGTCTCTTGAAATATAAAGATGACCGCGAAAAGGATAAAACAGGTACAGTTTGGTCCTAGACATCATATGACTCTTTTCTACGTTATAGGCTACCGTTTCTCTTCATGTATCTAGGGATTTCGAAGACTCTCTCACTCTTCAGTGTCCTATACAAACTTCCTTATTTTCTTAATTTCTATCACTCTATCTTAATCGGCTATATCGTAAGCCAATTGTAAATCTATTAGAGAAAGGCTACTATATCACCGGCTTTTTTCAGCATCTCAAATTTACCAGAAGAATTACGAAGCATGTTGAAAAAGAAAATATTCTTCAAGCTCAATACACAAGATCATAGATATCACAATAATAATAAAAAATCAATCATATAGAACCAACAAGTTCAAGGAAAAGTCACGCTCAAAGTAGATCCAGTATCCATAAAACAACCCAAAGAGTACAAAAAGGAAAATCGTAAAGCATCCCAAGATCAGAAATTAAACATCAGCCTTAGTCGTAGCCTCAACGCTCTCAAGATGCGTAGCATCCTCACCCCTCTTCTCCCCAGCATCAATCTCAATCTGCTCGGTGTAGTTCACGGAAGGAACCCAACCAACAGAGTTCCAAGCACGAGGAACCTTGGCATAAAGCTCATCAACCTGCTCCAAGGAAAGACCCTTAGTCTCATAAATGCATGTGTAAACAAACACGGCACAGATAAAGCAGAATCCACCCCAAATGAAGAAAACCTTAGACTGGAGATTGGCATTTCCAGGCCCGCTGTTCACCATGTAAGGTGTGGCGTAGGCAATAGCCCAGTTGAGCAGCCAGTTGGTGGCGGTGGTGATGGAGAGACACTTGGCGCGAGCCTTGAGGGGGAACAATTCACCAGTGACGACCCAGGCAACTGGACCCCAGGAGCTGGCGAAGAAGAAGATGTAGATACACACAAAGGCAATGAGAACTTTGTTCGAGACGTCGGAGTCGGTAGCTGTGCCAACAATTGCGACGATGAGTTGCGAGATGCACATTCCGACGGCGCCAAACATGAGAAGAGGACGACGACCCCATTTCTCGACCATGTAGAGACCGGGGAAAGTGGAGACGACGTTGATGATGTTTGTGATCAGGGTGATGACGAAGGAGTTCTGGATTCCGGAGTTTTGGAAGAAGGTTGTGCCGTAGTAAAAGATGAAGTTGACACCAGCGAGCTGCTGCAGACCCTGAACGGCGCAGCCGGTGGCGAGACGCTTGCCGAGGGATCCACGGACGATCTCGAGGTAGGAAGCCTTTCCGAGACGCATTTCGTATTCGTGGTTTGCCTGGATTTCGGCGAGTTCGGCGACGATGGCGGGGTCGGTCACTTCCATGCGGCGGACGCGAGCGAGGGCTTTGGTGGCTTCTTCGTAGCGGTCTTGCTTGATCAGGAAGCGGGGGGTTTCAGGGAGGAGGAGCATGCCAACGACGAGGATGATGGCCCAGGCGAATTGGATCGCGATGGGGATTCGGTAGCAGCCGGTGTCTGTGCGGTCCTTGGTGGAGTTATTGACGATGGCGGCGAGGAGAAGACCGAATGTGATGGCCAGTTGGTAAGCACCGACGACTGTGCCTCGGATCCATTTGGGGGCAGTCTCGGATTGGTAGAGGGGGATTGTTGCGGAGAGGAGACCGACACCCAGGCCCGCGAAGAAACGGCCGGCGACGAAGAGAGGGATGGAGGTTGAGGCAGTTTGGAGGATGACTCCGAAGACAAAGACGAAGGTCTCCATGATCATACCCATTCGTCGGCCAAATTTGTCAGCGATGGGGGCAGCGGCGAGAGCACCGAAGAAAGTTCCTGCTGAGAGGAGAGAGACAATCATTGATGACTCTGAGGATGTGACATCGGGAAGACCATCTTTCTCGTTGATGTAGCCAGTAGAGAACATCTCCCGCCACTTCTTCATGGCGAGGATACCGCTGATGGTACCTGTGTCATATCTAGATGACTGTTAGATGTGTCTTTGAGAATAGTAATATAGAATGTGAGCAGCACATACCCAAAGAGAACACCACCAAATGCAACGAACAATCCAATCATGATAGCCGGGGCAGCAGAGCCCACGGCATCATCTGGCTTCTTCAAAGCGAAGCCCATTGTGAGTGTTATCAGATAGATGCAAGGTCAATCCAAGTAGGTATAATATAGTGTGAGTGGAGGAGGGTGAGAAAGAAAGCTGAATGCAGTAGAGTAGATATAGAAGTAGAGTCAGTTGTACAAAAACAGAAAAGAAAAGCTGGAGGTCTGCCGCTCTATTTGTATTTCCCCGGTCCCAGCTACCACATGGCCGCCCCGGGAAATTCGCACCCGAAAACAGCAAGCGTGGGGGAAAAATCAACCCTGGATGGCGAAAACCTGGACAGCCGGGGATCCCCGGTCATCCAATCTAAGAAGAGCATTCTCCCCATTCACGGACTTTAGGATGTTTTGGGCCTGGGGATAGGGTTCCAACCGAAGGTGGAGAGACCAATGGGGGTTAGTGGACTCAGCCCCCGGAATCCTACCGAGCTGCTTATTGGTCGACGCTGGAGATTGGCTCAGTGCCGAGCCGAGTTTGTTGATTTACAAGGTTTTTTGCCCTGAACCTTGCCTGGGACTTGCCGTGTCCGACAGAGATCGGCCAAAATACACGTTGGGGATCTAGATGTGCATAGTCTTGCATAGTCTCACATTGGAGTGGTTTAGAATATCGCATGTAGTGTTATGTTAGGGAGAGATAAAAATAGCCCTTACATACCACATGACATGAAATGCCGTAAACGGGAGACCGACCGAGTTGAGCCAATGCCGATCGGTATCGGCGTCCCGCATCGGGAAAAATGGCGACACCCGGCCTTGATTTTTTTTCTCACATGATTCTACATTTTCACTTATGGGATTGTGGATTGGGTGAGTATGTATTCAATATAGCTGTGGATTGTCTCAATAGATTACATATATACATTCTGTAGTACATGTAGTATGGAATATCAGTCTTCGACGACTGCAAATACTTAGTATGTACTGACAGAAAAAATCTCCTCCATCTTGCAAACTTTTCCCCTCAATTTTTTCCCCACGGAGTACCCCGAGATTTCTAGAACCAATAACCGAAGATGTTCATGAGCCGGTCAGTGTTCACCGGAGCCCGATTGAGCAAATATCATGGTAACATCAATTTCCCCGTCCCGAAGTTTCGATTTTTTTTTACCTGAACTTCCCAGACTCGCCGGGCAAAATTGAGGTAAGCTAGTCCCGTGCGCTATTTTTCCCGAGTCGCGGATTGGACAACCAAGCCGATGCTTCCCCGACCTTAGCTCATTTTAGTCACTCCTGGAGAATCGTCGGGGATACCCGTGCCTGGCCAGGTCTCAGGCTCGGGAATTATTTTTAAAACGTGCCAGTCATGTGCTTTCTACCACAGCTCGGGAGCTAAGCCTTAGCTCTAGCCCATTCTATTTTTTTCACCTTATTATTATGACATGCTTAGTGGAAATAGACCACACAGTCACACGATGCAGCAGAAACTAAGACTACGCCACGATCCGGCAGGTTCCGGCAAAATGCTTGTCTATTATGTAGAGTCTCGCTAAAAAAAAAAAAAAAAAAAAAGACTGGCTGGCCTAGCTACCAGCGCCAGATCAGGATGAAATACATGGCTAGCACTACCTGCGCCACAAACTTGATAGAGTGATACAGATCCTGGAGGATGAGAGACACTGTCGATCGGGAGCGGGTACTTGAGGCGGGGCGCCATGCAGCCTTGTCCCTTGAAGCAACGGCCTCAAAGTGGTCGTCTGTATCCCGATAAGCATCTTCCGGGGTTTTGGTGCCGGGGTAGCGGGTGGAGGCTGCCATGCCGTTGCGGCTGGCTAAGCCACCCGCCGATGAGAGGGTAGAGCTGGACGCACCGGAGGTGTGGTGCTGGTGGGGGAGAGAGCGGCGCTCGGTGAGGGGGAGAATGACGTCGGATGAGGGTGGTTCTGGGTTGTAGAGAACGCGGTAGATGGAATGGAGAAAGAGGATCGAGACGCTGAGGCCTAGGATAGTGAGGTAATAGACGAATATCCCCAGCTGGTCTGGGAGGATACAGAGGTGGTTTTGGATAGTGGGTGGAGATCCGTCTTGGAGGGCTTTCCCCGTCTTGGGATCAATTGGATTCCACAGACTGGTGAGTACGAAGCCCGGGTGACGGACTCCCATTGCCCAGGAAATGCTCTTGACTGTGATTTCGTTGGGCGAGCCGTTGAATTCCCGATGGGACACTTCACAGTAGTCATGATCGTCGCCGGAGTACACCTGGACGACGTTGGGTCCTGCTTTGGAAACCAGTTCGGTGGAAACAGTTTGCGTTAGGACATTCTGGTATTGATAGCCTCCAGAAATTTTCAGAGAGTTAGGCTCGTCCTCTGCCAATTCCTCGTCCAATGAGGATGGCGGGTAGCGTTCGCGAAGAGGACCACACGGAGTGGCTGGCTTGCGGTAGAGAGGAACATGTGTGAGAATAATAGTAGGAAAGCCGGCGCCAACTGGCTGAGGTTTTTCATGGATGGCGGGCTCGACGGCATCGACAACCCGATAATCGAAGACAGTATGCCCCCCAGTCTGATTTTGAAGCATTCGCAGCTCGTCCGTCTCCGCCTTCGCCTTGTGGATAGCCATCTTATCCAGGAAGTCATCTGCATCTTTCCAGATCGGCCGTTGGGGACGGTTCTCATCGCTGGCTGTTGGAGAGCTGCCCGTCAATGGATCGGGCTGGTCCATCGCGCTCAGTGAGGGAGTGTCCACTGAAACGAAAGTGTGATTACCAATAACATCGACACGATTGGGGTTTCCGAAAAAAGATTCGAATCGATCACGGACGGGTTCTTGGATGCCGTTACCGAACCCAAGATCATGATTGCCAGGCAGACTGGCAATCATTCTGCGCCCTCGTCCATCGACAGGTGTTGTCACTGATTTCACCCACGGGTCCACAAATATTCTAATGAATCGCCGGAACTCTTTCTTCCAGAAGGAGTCTTTGTACTTCTTCCAACGCGATTCGGGGCTGCTACTAATAGCCGTGGCCCATTCTCTGCCACCGTCGAAAAGGTCACCAAGAAACAGCACTGAGTCCGGCTCGAGGTGATCTTGTATCAAGGAGAATGACCGTCGCATATACTGGTCGGTGTATTTGACAGTCAACGTCGAGAGAGGCCATGGTCGACCGGGGTAAGTGTGGGGATCAACAAGTTGGGGGTCGGCGATAAAGGCAATGTGGTGTGGCGTGGCGCCTTGAGGCTAGATACATTCAACTGTTAGTACTAGCTAAGTAAAGCAAATTGAATTGCGACAGGTATGCCACTGTCGACTTACCCATTCCTCCCAACTGTCCCAGCGGCATTTGTTGATGCTGTCCTCAAATACCGTCCGTTCTCCCCACCGAATCGAGAACATCCATAGTAGGATGACAGCATTGGAGATCGCGAAAATACGTTTCAAAATGTTGATTGCGGTCGTCTTGATCCCTTCACTCTCCTGGTTCCTTCCAATTACCTGGCTGACACTCCCGGGAAGCCATTGTTTTGCTGCTGAGGGAATGCAGTCCCACGCGCGACTTAGGATATTTTGCGAACGAGACGACTGGTTTTGGTTGAAGAGGGGAAGGGAAGAGGCACCCGTGCTGCGTGGATAGGCGAATGTCATGTTTGGCTTAGCTTGACAGCAAGACTAAGTAGAGTGACAAGGTGGTTTCACCCCGGACAAGACGGGGCTGCTGTTCAATAAAAGGAATGACTGGTCATGCTCTGTGCATACGACTGAAAGGAATGAAAGAGTGAATAGAGAATCAGAAAAAAAAGAAAAGGTTCATGACATGGTGTTCAGTTTTCAGACAGGGGTTGCAGGACAGGCAATTGGTTTAAGCTTCGGGTCGAGATGTGTCGATCGCCAGGAATCGGGTCACGTGCGGACCCTTAACAGGCCTATGGGTCTATTTTTAAATATCTTTAAATTTCTAAAGCTGATTCGCAGGTTTCGAATTAGAGATAAGTAGAAGTACATAACAATGTGGTTCACAGAATACAGCGGGTCAGTGGGTCTATGTCCGCAGGTGCATGCTTTGCCGTGCATTTCCCAAAAACTGGTTGGCCAAGGGAGACTATCACTTCTAAGAAAACCAGACAATTAATATGGGGAATGAGTAGGGCAAGTCTCTGTGAGTCTGCGCAAATAAACAGGTGAAGGTAAAAGATAGGGTATCTGATAAGAAAAACCGTAGGGGTGAAATGTTTGGAAATACCAAATGAGGAACGAAAGTGCGTGGAAAGTCACCACATGAGAGGATATAGTTCACTTTTTGGGGCAACACTGGCCTCCTCGGGCGCAGTGCTCGTCACACTCCAAAAGGCAAGCTTGAGGGTCACCCTCCCGGAGACTGGCAGCACGGCTAGGAACGTGATCATTGGTGTCCCGAGAAGATGATGGTTGTCCATTGTCTTCGGTGTCACTTTCCGGGGCGAACTCGGGTTGGATAGTAGAAGAGTGAATACCGTAGGCATGGAGACAGCGTCTCACCTGTCTAGCCAGACGCATGTACCTCTCCGAACCTTCGCCCTTGATCTCGGTGTCCACTTGGAGGTGAATGGAAGCCACAATCTTGGTATCACTGAGTTGCCAAACGTGCAGGTGGTGTGAACCAATGACGCCGGGGAGTCCCTCAATGTCCTCCTTGATATGATCAATGCTCATACCGGCGGGCACAGCCTGAAGAAGGATACGCGAGGCGGCTTTGCACAACGGAATGGCGGATGCAAGAATGATCAATGTGATAACGAGGGAAATACCCGGGTCAACGTAAAAGCGCCATTCGTAGTCTGTCAACCAGATGACAAGCGCGGAGACAATCACACCGATGTTTCCGAGCGCGTCTCCCATGACATGGAGGAAGACACCGCGCATGTTGAGGTCGTGACTGTGACCCTTCTTCTGGTCCTTGGGCTTGGGTTGAGCATGGTTGTGGGATTTGTGAACATCTTCATCGCGGTGCTTGTGAACCTTGGTCTGAGCTCCTTCCTCGTCTGTGTAGTTGGTGGTGCGATCGCGGTGACTTAAAAGACCTGAACGCTCAGATGGAATTTCATCCTCGTCATGGCCATTCTCCGAATCCGATGATTGTTCATTCCGGTATTGGCTAGCCGCGATAATCCCTTGTCTCAATCTCTCTGGAAGCACGGGAATATCATCCGGGCTCACAAATCCTGCGGAAGCGCTGTATCTTCTTGAGCCGCGGGTCTGGGTATCACGCCGTTTGCGGGATGGGTCTGTGTTAGAGTGGGTGAGGGAGTTTTGAGGCAAACTTGCGGGTTTGCCAAACCCAGCGGTAGCACCTGCTATGCTCTCACTCTGATCGGCGATCGGTGTGTGATCATGATCGTGATCATGCTCTCCAGCCTCGATGTCGTGATCGTGATCGTGGTCATCGTGATCGTGGCCGTGGTCGTGACCGCCGCCAGGTCCGTGGGAGTGATCATGGAATAGCGCCAATCCAATAATATTGGAAGCTAGGCCGAAGCAGCCAACAATGCAAACAAATCGGGGATTTTGCACTTCCTGGGGTTCAAACAATCGCTGAGTCGCCTCCAGGAAGATCGACATGCACAGCGCGACTAGGAACACGCCATTTACCAGAGCACCAAGTGTCTCCGCTCGTTGCCACTGCACAAAGAAATCCAATTGTCAGACCGTTTTTCGGGGGTGGGATTGACCATCAACTTACGCCATAGGTGTAAGTGTTGGAGCTGGTCTCGCGGTTTGCGACCTTCACGGCCCATAATCCGACACACAAGGATAAGACATCATTCAACTATTCTGGTTAGTTTCAGCTGGAGGGCAAATTCGTAGGTGGCGTACCATGTGGAAGGAATCGGCGACGAGGGCAAGGGAGTGGACGGCATAACCTAGAAAATTAAAGTCAGAACACGGTCGCATGTGATTAGGCTGTCAAGATACGAACCGGTGATTAATTCAAGTAGGAAAAAGGCTGTATCGATGACTAGCAGGATCAAGATCCTGTTCGTTTTTGAGAGCCCCATAGTGGCTTGAGGTCTGCCGTGCGCTCAGTCAGAGCTCCGCAGAATAAAAAACGGTAGCCTTCTAATTAATAGAGAAGCTATAATGAAAATGGTGAAGGGAATGACAGAGAGTTAGACAGAGGAGGGGTTGGAAGAACACAAAGTAGACAGCAACGGATAATCGGTGGAGCTGGTCAGGGCGGAATCAACTCCGGTCTGGTCCGTGGTGGCGAGACTTCAACTTTGTACGTTGTACCTTTTATTGTTCTAGTCACTTTCGAATATCGAACACAAAGATTTAGTTCAATTCGATTTTTTTTTTTTTTTTCCTTTGTATCTCCATAATTTGATCCCAAAGACCACCGGGTCCACCTACCTGTACTCATGATCGGCCTAGCCCTGGGGGTAATCTCCCATTGGACCGGAGCTTCATTCTTTTCATTGTTCTGACCTCCGAGCCAATCCAGACTGAATCCTTTCCTATCCTCCAATCCCAATATACCGTTATTCCAACTATATGTGGGTCCATCTCCTTTGAACCCCTGTGAAAGGACTTGAAATAGCTGCATGTGACATCTATATGGAATATAGGTAGTATCAAACCGGGACTCATTATGAAACCAACTGGTTCCTGTGGGACAGATTGCTGTAGCTGCACTACGGGCGTTATGGGTGTGCTTCGATTCCTCTGTTCTCTTCATGATACCCACTTCTATGCCCTAACTCCTAAGGTACTCAGTTCGCTAAGCTCTTAGAACCCTCGATACTGGGAGATTGCCCAATATACAAGCCCTAATTTACGGTTTTCTTTGTAAGGCAGTTCCTTCGGTGCTACCTATCGGTAATATTCAAACCTAGAAGAGTGGGGTTCCGATCAAGCAGCGCCCATGTTGGAGGCAAGCATGTATTCACACGTTCACATGATGACAACAGAACAACGTCGGTCGAGTCTTGACATGACAGAGTAAACTGCATTTAATCCCTAGCGCTACCCCTGTAAATACTCCCCTGTCTACTACATACAAAGTGATATTACGGGGGCAAAAACCATATACCGACATGTGATAAAGTTTGCCTTTCATGCATGTCTCTGCTGCTAAACTAGTCACACAAGCTATTTGACACTATTAACAGACTATGTGGGCTCTAATTTTCATCCTTTAGATGAGGGCACCGATTCCCGCTATACCAATGTCCTATGAAGAAAGACCAGACTTCTCACTCCGTGTACCTTCCCCTTTCTATACAACGCTGGCCCGGCTATGTAACTTGACGAAAACTCAATATCTATTACCATCTTTCGGGTGCTGATATAGCCCATGTCCAAGAGTTTATAGGACGGTACAGATTAGATTCGACGAATCTCGGATGAGCAGTAAGCTTTCAATCTAGAGACCGGATGGCAAAATATATAAGGCGCCTCGACATTGCCTTGTAAATATATAGTTGTAAATCGGCAACACTGACACCAAAAAAAAAAAAAAAAAAAACAATGAATATTTAGTATAACCAGAATCGTTTCATATGCCGAGCAATAGATACAAGTCAATTCCAACAACGATCAATGCCCCGAATGAGGCTGAAGACCTGTCGAGAGTGGGTCCCGCTTGGCATTCGCTTATAGCGCACATTTGGGTGAATCTACCATACAACAGGCCGGCTGGCCCAATGGCAAGGCGCTTGACTACGAATCAAGAGATTGCAGGTTCGATCCCTGCGTCGGTCAATTTTTTTGCTTTTATAACTTTCTTTCGGCTTAAAGATGGCCGTGATGAGGCTCTGTCAATTCTTTTTTATCAAGTGGCATGTGATGCACTGATTCATTCATCGATTGGACCACCAAGAGCCCAAAAGAAAAGGAGTGAGACATGCAGTTTCAATGACTATGCCAAATGCCTGGTAAATAAGCCTTGTAAGCAAGGCTAGTAAGTGAGAATAAAGTTGTTGGTCCCTGCAATTGTCCTGTCGTGAAGCCAAGAGAAGTAGAGATCAAGAGATCTTGAAGATTAAAAAAAAACCCCCAGACCCACTAACCTAGTCCGTCGGGACCGCCAACCCCCTTCGAATGTCGGCCTCTACCAATTATTCATGGGTGTGGGGGCTCGGCAAATCCGCCCTGATCAACCTTAAGAGGGGTGCACCGTCCCACACGCATCCGGGGGTCATGAAGCCCAAGACGCGATAGGGTATGCATCCTCAGCATCCCACGAGGCAGAAAGCGGATTCCCATTCCATTGAGCTAGCGGAGGTGGGTCTGGAAGTAACAGGAGTTCTTTACACTGGCCTATATAGGACCATTTCCTAATTGGGATTTTTGACTGGCCAGAGTTCGATTCATCCCACAATCCCATTTTATTTAATGCTTTGATACAGGCTGTAGACATAGTGTTTCCAATATTTCCTTTATATCTCTAACTCAATGGCCTTTGATCCTTGACCTGTCACAATTCAGATTTCTTCCATGATCAAACTTATTTACCGGGCTTAAATGGTGATCGGGATTATAAACTTCATGCCTGCATCAACCCTTTTCAGACAGGCAAGGCAGCTGTGAGGATATTTCGGTTTTTGATCCGTTCTGGGCAAAGTTTTAGGTGGATCAGATATCAAGTAGGATGTGATTTGGCTGTTCATATTCAACGTAACTCTGAACAGTACAATTTCGAATTATTAAATAATACACAAACATCTAGCATCTAAGCAAGCACAAGCTTCTTCCGAACCTCCAAGATTCTCTGAGTCGCAGCAGAAAACGCATCCCCATCCAAAGACCCATCTTGCAACGCAGCAAGCAGAGCGTTGTAAATATCTTCTCCCTGGGTCACATCCCTCTTAGCCGCAAGCAGGAGATCAACACCAGCTTGTGCAGCCAACAATCCACGAGTACCCTGATCACCGAACGCCGTGAGCGATCCCGCCTCAATAGCATCGGTGATAGTGACACCCTTGAAACCAAGTCTATCCCGCAACTCATTCTGGATGATAGTCTTGCTCAGTCCGGAGGGGTAGGTGGGATCCAAAGCAGGATAGATAGCCCACGAAGTCATGACCATGTCCACACCTGCCGCGATTGCATTCTTGTACGGTTCCATATCCACCTTGCGCAGCTCTTCGAGGGTCAAGTCAATAGTGACGGGCTGCATGTCTGTATTCTCGCCTGCCTTTGCTGCACCAAGACCAGGGAAGTGCTTGGCAGATGCGACGATATTGGCAGACTGTTGCGCGGCGATGAATGCAGAGCCGCATGTTGCTACGACACGGGAGGAGTTGCTGAAGGAGCGCTCGTAGGCATCGGCGAAGTCTCCGGCCTCGCGATAAACATCCAACACAGGCGCTAGGTTAACGTTGTTCTTGAATTTCTCGAGGGTGCTTGCGGCATCTTTGCCCATCTGTGTTGCTGCCGCTTTGGGGTTGGCGGCTTGACCGATGTCCTTAGCGCTCTCTACTGGTCCGCCCGCCAATCGACGGACTTCTCCGCCTTCTTGGTCCGTCATGATGAACAAAGGGCTGCCTGAATAGTACGGACTCTGCTTGTAGACCGCCTGGAGGTTGTCGATTGTAGTTGTGAGGTTGTCGCCGACATTTTCGCCGAAGAGGATGAGACCGCCCACTTTGCCTTCCTTGATCAGATCGAGGAGATGGGCCGGTGGCTCAATGCCAGGATAAGAGAAAATGATATGGTGGCCGATTTGCGCTTGAAGATCGCTTGGGGAGGCAGCCAAGGCTGAAGGCGCAAGAGCAAGGAAGAGAGGAGCAAGGAATTGTGTAGTGAACTTCATTTTGATTGTAGATTTGGATTAGTTAACTTGTGGCTATCATTACCTATATAGCACCGCTCGGAGTTTATGAACATTTTGAGAAATGCCATTTTATCTTGAGGTTGTTGCAGATTGTCCAAATTGTCCCTGAGAGATTGTGAGGGGTGTTACATTGATTAAATTGATCGTCACTGACGATGCCCAAAGAGGCAATTCCCCGAATGAGGTTACTATCTGACATCGGAGATATCCTCGGCACTTGTGGCATTTAGATTGCTTGTTTCATGTCACCTTCTTCATCAAGCATCAAACTTGAAAAAGTGGCTTGTTGAGGTTACTTATTCGATATTTCTCGATAGAATGACTACCTAAACTGTATGTGTATGTAGGCAGCCATTAATAATTTTGGGGTCAACTCCATCTCTCGGCCGACATAGAAAGATAAGGGCCCATCAGTCATAAGCGATGTTTGAGTCCTCAAAATAAGTACGGGTTCCTCATGGCGACGTTCCAAGCTTTTCTGCAGATCCTACCCGAGGTACTTTATCTGCCACCGGGGCCCCGGCGGGTTGCCAAGGACCTACACGGAGGCTACTAGCCGTGACATCTTTACTAGTTATTGGCCGATTTAGCTTCATTTAATTGAGTAATTGAGATAAACATCTAAAGAATTGTGATCTCCTATATATGTACTCCGTACTCTATGTTATATTATGTATAGATTCTTATTCCAGCCAGGGTCCTTGAGCCTACATGTCCCAAAATAGAAGAAAAGAAAAAAAAAAAAAAAAAGCAAAGACAAAAACAAAAACAGATCAGTGACTGTGACCTTCAATCAAATCCTTCGCAGCAACTCTTCTGCATTCCTCCATCACCCTCAATTGCTCAGCGACCTCACCTAGTCTGCTAATAACTTCCTTGTTCCCGCGCGTGAAAGTAAATATCACGTAAGGAATCTCAACCTCGTCACAGAACTCTTTGACATACTTCTGCGCCCGGCGCAGGTTATGTCTAGGGAGACGAGGGAACAAATGATGCACGACCTGGAAATTGAGACCACCATGCATGAAGTCTAACCAAGGCGGGCAATCGACGTCCATAGTCGTCCGCACCATCTTCTGAGCAAAGGACTCGTGGAGACCCCCGTCGACAGTCGACATGGCAAAGTGGCTTAGCGTGAGTTGGACATGCAGCGGGGCAGTGACCATATGCGAGACGAAAAGGAAAACGATACGGGACGACCATGTCGGGATAGAAAGGTATAGTGTTCGGTAGCCATACCAGTACCAGAAAAACACCTGACCGGTCATTTCAAGGTAGCGATGCCACCATGCCGAACCTTTGCGAGGCGCTTGCTTCGGATCTAGGAGGTATGTCCATGCTAATCGATATAGGTTGAAACGACCCATCAAAAGTATGGGATAGTAGAGGTAATGCTGGTGCTTGATAAACCACTGCGATGCGGCGTCAAAAGGCATATCGCGGTCGTAGTAGGTCGAGCGTAGGGAAGCAAAGAATCGAGAAGAGATGGCAAAGAATGGCATATGCTGGATATCTGGATCGTGCTCGGGCGAGTTGGTTTTTATATGATGTACGTTGTGGTTCCGTTTCCACCAACCGACTGAAAGACCTCCAATAAAATCTGCAACAAAGATTCCAATGCAGCTGTCCGTGTGGAACCCATGGGTTATGCTTAAATGACCGGCGTCGTGGACGAGGAATGAAAGCAGATGCCAGAGCAGACCGAGGAAAATGCTCGAAAGAGTGTAATAGGAGTAGTGAAGGCATATCAAAAAGAGGGTAAAAAGGGCGGAGTATCGGATAAATTCAACAGCGTAGGAGCTATAGGGGCACTTATAGAGTCCCTCGGATTGCAATTTCTTATCGAGTTGACGGTATTGTGAAATGACCTCGTCTTGTGACATCTGATCAAGACGAGGGTATCTTGAAAGGTCTGATGATATCGCGTGAGCTGTTGATGCTTCCGAAGATTCGAATCGCTCCGGTTCCGGTCCTGATGATGAAATTTCCGAAATAGGCGTATCATTGCATACGCGCCTCAGACGGACATCGTCCCTTGTCTCTTCAGTATCAAAGACGAGTGATGGTGGTGTCGAGCGTCCAGATGAGCTGAAAGCTTCAGTCTCGTCATCATCATTCGATACCAGCGTTCTGAATGATCCTCCCTGTATGGGGGGTAAGAAATTACTCCACCTTCCCTGCACTTTTCCTATCACATACTTCTGCATGTATACTTGTGCTTCCTCAGAGTGCAGTGCTGTGATTTCATCTGTCCCGTCCCGCCCGACCATATGCAATATTGATTTATCACCGCCTGGGTGATATGGTATCCACGTATCGACCTTCAGTACCTGATCACGAAATATGATTATCTTTCGCCCTTCTGCTATCAGTCCCTCAATTTCCCTCCGAGACCACACTTGATTTGTGCGTGACATGACGGGCGGCTCGTCCCAATTGTGGATGTAGTAGAGCACTTGTAGGTTGAGTTCAATTCTCGGAGAGATGATGATGGATGCTCGGTATCAGTTGAAAGGCATAAGCTGTTGCTTGTAGAGTGTCCACCCTGAAACAGATCAGGCAACTACCATGTACATATGACAATCACGTGCAGGTTGTGCATATGGCCCCCTGGGAAACAGCCCCTACGTCGGCTTCGGGGCAGTAGGAGGTCCCTCAGCCGCTTATTAAGAACGTGTGCGACGGAAGATAGTGCTCAGGGTTGTTTACACCAAATTGGGGCCAAAGTGCCCATATTTTTCCTGGCAGAAAAAGCACGACGGTCAATGGGCTTAACACCTGAAACTAGTAAATTCTGACACAAAGGATATATAGCTAAGTAGCCATAGTGTTGTCCAAAGTTTTATGGAAGTACTGAACAAATTTTTAGGCGCGAGATCATATTTGTACATGTATCTTTTGTAAACTCCGTGACCATAGTAACTGCCGCTGCGCCCGAAGACTGTCGTGGGTCGAAGAAGCACTGCATCGAAGGTATGGGAGTATTCAAAAATTTTCGGAGATGTGGAAGACCGTTCAACAAGGACAGGGGGTGGGTTCATGGGCGACGCTTTGGTATGAGGCGCTAGGCCTTCCTAGTTGTTGTGTCCAGTCATACCATAGTCCTTACAGCCGGAGGTGAACATCACTAGAGGTCGAACCCCGGCTGCGTTGCTACTCTCCGACACAGCAAGATGTTAAACTTGGCTCGGAAGTGAAATATTGAGCCCAAGAAATTGAGAAATCGTGGACAAAGTTGCAGTTAGCGAAGAACGAAAGTGTCCAACCTGATACGGGGCCACTCTGGCTTCATGGATCAGAAGCCTTCTCTCTATTCCTCTCCCTGTATTGTTCGCAGATCCAATCAATTTCTACGTTGACATTATGGTCCACTCCTTCAGAGAGAGGAAGGTTATGAATAAAGCATTCGCAGGACGGGTGAGGGCCCCGGAATTTGAGTCGAGTCCCAAGTTTGGGAAACATCCCATCTGTCAAATGTTCATTCCAGATTACGCGGCGAAAGCCCGGAACCACTGATTCGATATATGTTTCAAGGACCTGCGGATCTGGATCTCGCTTTGCTTCTTGCATCTTTTGCGGATTGAACTTTGGATCTGCGAAGAGATTGGAGTAGAAGTTCAACAATCTCCAGCGCTCCCATGTATTGACTGAAAGAAACCCATAGTCGGCCTCAGATTCTTTGCAGAGCAAAGGCTCGTCTTTTGAATGGAATCCGCATCGGGCGTTCTTGCATGCGCAGCTTGGACACCCACCGAGACCGTGTGCAACTTCTGACATGAGGCGGTAGATGCCGATTGTTTCGGGCGAAGGCTGACGGGGGTAGATTCCTTCGGAAACAAGAGATGACATTGAGATACCTTTAGTTTCCATGAGACCCAGTAAGCTATCAGACATCCATGCTGTTGCTATTTGATTGAGCGATGCATGGGTGGCCAGCTGGATGTAGGCCTTTGCAAGAAGTTGCATCTGGGCCCTCTTTGTGCAATAACAGAAGCCGAATCTGACCCACTCCGGATCACCGACCTTGGGAATATTATTGATGTCTCGGAGAAGGATCCTATACAAAAACCTAACAACATGTTCTGGTCTAGACAAAACACTGTCATTATAAACAGGGAACATCTTGTCCAGCTCTTGGATAGCCCACAGCTGGTAAAGGTACTCTCCACCACGATCAGGGATATCCAAAGCGCCTGATTGATGCAGACTGAGAAACCACGGAAAGCAACCGCAATCTTGCATATTATTCTGCGCCATTTGATACTTGATCCAATGCTCAATAAATCTTCCTAAGCTATAATAGTCGACAAAATGCTGAAGCATCCTTGACGGAAATCTGGAAGTGAGATTGTTGTATATGCAGAAAAGATGGACAATATCCATCTCCTGCACGCAGATATTGAATCCAAAAGCCTTACAGAGGTGATCGTCTTCAAAAAGAGTGGCTAGGAAACGAGTCCGGGGGACCAAGTCGTCCATGACGGCAACCCATTGCCTGGTCAGAAGTTTTAGATAATCCGCATCATTGGGTCGACTCTTGACACAGCAGACAAAAACGTGTCTAAACCAGTCTTTTGATTGACATCTCCTAGAGCAATAGTTCATCCGACATGCTGCGCAACGGGATTCTGATGGTTGACCACATGCCTTGCATTTATGTGAACGGGAAATGCGCCTAAGAGGCATTTTGTGCGGAGGTTCTAGCTTGAACATAGAACGAATATCCTCATCTTTGAGCCGTTCGGCTTCTGTGAAGGTCATCTCTATTGCTCGATGATTAAAGCGGGCCCCCGAAACCGTTGCGTACCCCGGCCTTCCATAAATTGGTGTAATAAGCAGGCCGTTATTGAAGACTGTGGGCATCATCACCATCCGCCTATAATTAAGGATTAGCAAACCATTGTTCATATCTAGTCTTTGAGCAGCCGACATACTGGAAGTCTCGATGGGATGAATTGTGGTACACGGGCTTCTGCTGCCATATAGCCCCCGTAGATGAAAGTGCATGTGAGGATTGTGCCTTGAGCTGAAGGCGCTTTTCCTTTGGACGACTGAGCAAATCCTGGAGTAAAAACATTACTTCCATGAGTAAACGCTCCATGGCCAAGTCGAGTTGCGCCGAGGAGCTGCGCTTCTCTGTCAGAGAGGGCGTAGGCACGTTCCACCTGTATAGTAATGTCTCGTGTGTTCCTCGCACCCCAAAATGTTCGTGAGCACGAACGAGTACATGACATAGCCAGCAACAGCGCCTACTACATCCGATATATTTGTGTGACTGGTTTCTATCGTCCGGGGACATCGAATACTCAAAGTAAGCCAGGAGCTGAGATTCTGCGTGGTAAAAATCCTTATCTCGTTTGGAATTGCGCATGTTGGTAAATTTCGCCGCATTCTGCGCTAGATAAATTCTCCAGCTAGGGTGAAAAGCGAGACCTAGAGTTTTGATGACATCTAAGATAGTTGCGCATTCATCATCTGCTGTAGATCGTCGTTTTTTCTTATGCCGGCGTCGGCTTTTGCGCTGACCTTGATTTCCGCTGTGTGAAACAGACACAATATCGATAGATCGAAAAGATCGAGAGACCTTGGCAACTTCGACGTAGATATATGCAGCATAGCATACCCTAGCCAAAAAAAGTAAAGTGTATTTGTCTTCTTGTCGTGTGAACTGTCTTCTTAGGGCAGCCTTCAGCATAAATCGAGCCCGGGACTCTCTCCAGAGTTCAAACATGCGACTCATAATTTCCTTCAAAAGGTTTTTCTGGTCTTCTGGTGTAGTATCAGGCTGACAGAGGCGATGAATTTCCTCAAAAAGCTCGGAAACACTGCCCTGAATCTCGCATATTGTCTCACCAGTGCAAGTAGTGTTTGATTTCATGTTGTCCAAGTCTTCCGCAGGCACGGGACGACCTGCCCGCTCGGAAAAGCCCAGCGGTATAGTATACAAAAACCCACTGTCGTCCTCCCACTCTCTACTCTGCAAAGATGGAATAGTCAAAACCAACTCTTCTACCAGAAACGGTTTCAGCATACTCTTGACCGAGCCCAAATTTATATTGGATTGAAACACCCGCTTCAGGGACTCAAGATAGGTTGTAATCCGTGGCCACTGATGTTCCGCAACGAGGTTAAACATGGCAAAGGTATCCTCATTAGAGGCATATTCTAATTGGAGTTCAGTAACAAACACAAGCAGATCTAATCAGATCTAGAACAGACCTTTCCTCGCGATACTTTCCATACGTAACTTCCATCTAGCCAGGAAGTCATTGTCTTCCTTATCAAGCCCCTCATTCTTAGCGCAAAATATTTTGACGTGCTCTTCGTCTTCATAGCAGACCATCATAGCCGCGGAAACATGTTTTGCATCATTTGAATTTCTGGCCTGGGCATCGTTCTTGAAGCGAGCTAGTGTTTCGGCAAGTCGGTCGAGGAATTGGTTCTTCAGTTCGATGCGGTATTGCTCACGTTCGGGATCGCTACCTAACACAGCTGGATCTTCAGGATCATCCAATTTCTCGTCGGACTTGGACTGTGACTCTTCATCAATATCCTTGGCTTCCGTCTTTTCTACTGATTCTTCAAGGCCCGGTGGTCGTTGAGTGACCAAGGCAAGAAGACATATTGCATCATCGAGGCTCTGATGCATAGACATTGAATATGATCCGAGAACAGTAGAACAAAATGAATGATAAATTGCAATACAATGTTTCAGATTCACCCTGATGTTCCAAGCGCATAGAAATAAGCAGAAAACAGTCGCTCTGGGCACCTACGCATCAAAGCGGTGGTACCTAAACATACGAAGTTGGCTGGGCAGCCAAATATCGAACCCTAAGTTCTTGGGAGAACATGCAAAATAAGAGATTCTTATAACCCTGACTGAAAACGTCCAATGCCCCCTGAAGTGTTCAACGATTTCGCCCCACTCCTGACAACTTCCTAAAAGGGAAGTTGAAAACCAAAGTCTTGGCACGGAGATTTAACATGGGAACCCACGCTAACCCGCAAATCATCTCGCTTCCTCGTGCACGAAGCTCCGATAGCATTCTAGAAACGGGTACTATTCATCAGATGTGATTTTACTGGGTCTACTAGTACAAAGTAGTTGTTAGCGCGTCATAGCTTGTAGACCGCCACCGATTCCCGAGGTTACTATGGCTATATAATTATTTCCCACACTACGCAGACAATGCCCCATTGCCCACTTGTAATCCAACACCAAGAAGACATAAACGGTTCTGATCAAGTATCATGGGCGCGGCTGAAGCTCCTGGCCCGAGCAATGAGGCCATGCCACATGATCCAGAGCAGGCCAGGATCAATCAAGAGACTGTCGATTTAGAAAAATTAGGAAGAGAGCGTCCAGAATGCTTCAAAGGCGCTTGGGCAGAAATTTCTTTCTGCCTCTCAATTTTCATGTCCCAAATTCTTGCAGTAAGTCCACGACAATGTTCCTACGCCACGAAGCAAATTACTGACATTCTACCAGGAATACTATATCTCAGGCTCGAATGTGCTCCTTCCGACGCTCGTCAAAGAGCTTGACCTCCCCAAAGCCTCAGAGATATGGCCGTCTACCGCATTATCGCTAGTGGTGACCTCGACGCTGCTCATCTTTGGTAGATTGACCGACATGTTTGGCGGATATATAATTTACAGTGGGGGAGCTATTTGGCTCACGATATCATCGATACTCTGCGGCGTCTCCCAAACATGGCTGATGTTGATTATCTGCCGAGCGTTGCAGGGCTTTGCTCTGGCCGCTTTTCTTCCATCAGGAGTCATGATTCTTGGCAGCACCTACAGACCGGGACCTAGAAAAATATGGTCTTCAGTATCTACGGCGCATGTGCGGCTTTGGGCTTCTTCGTGGGTATTTTCTTCTCCGGACTCTCGGGTGAATATCTTACTTGGAGATGGTACTTCTTCATCGGAGCGATTCTCTCCGCCATCACAGCAGCTCTGTCGCTCTTCTCCATTCCCCGCGATTATTCCGAAAAAAGAAAATTGGGTATCCGGATGGACTGGCCTGGTGCCTGTCTTTCCATCCCGGCAGCTGTGCTCGTTGTTTTCGCCATTGCGGACAGCTCATATGCACCGCAAGGGTGGAGAACGCCGTATATCCCTCTGTTCTTCGTTCTTGGGCTCATTCTCATGGGAGTCATGGTTTATATGGAAGGATGGGTTGTAAAGAATCCTCTGCTGCCTGGTGATGTTTTTCGGGTCAAGTATATGCTGCCTCTGGTCATCGCTCTACTATTTCTTTATGGCACTTTGGGCATCTTCCTACTATATGCCGTCCTTTAGTGAGTTCTGTCCATCTTGTATCGTTCTGACTTTGACTAACAACATCAACAGCATGTCCGAAATGATGGGTGCTTCGCCAATGCAAATCGTGGCATGGACTGCGCCTATGGGAGTCGGTGGTCTTATTCTCTCAGTGGGTGGAGGAATGATCTTCCACAAAGTCCCAGGAACGATATTGATGCTAATATCATGTCTCGGCTACGTGGGGTCTGGGTTGCTTTTCGCCGTCATCCCTATTGGGGGAAATTACTGGGCTTTCGTATTCCCGGCAATGATATGTGGCACAGTCGGCATTGACATCAGCTTCAATCTTGCCAACGTCTTCATCACGACAAATCTTCCAAAAGCAAGACAGGGCTTAGCTGGTGCTTTGATCAACTGCACTCTACACATGGGAATCGCCGTGATGCTTGGTTTCGCAGATATTGTTCACTCCCAGACGTCTGACCTCGGTGCTCGGGACAGCTACAAGGCAGTCTTTTGGTACGAGACCGGACTAGCGATCCTGGGACTTCTGATTGTCGTCTTTTTCGTGCGAATTAGGGAGGCTAAAAGTGAATTTACACTGGATGAAAGAGCAGCAATGGCAGCAGAGGGAAATGAAAGAGGTGGCGAGGTTTGACGCGTTTGATACCCCTCACGTTTGTCTTCAGAGATAATCTAAGGCTTTTATATAATTTAATATAAGATTTTTCTCAGAGGATTTACAGCAACTTCAACAGGTCATCATGGATCCTAGAATTCCTCGCCATGCTATTTATAGGCAGTGCTCAGAATATCTATGATTGGCTAGTCAGATCCACAGTCACATGCCTTCCCGTTCCTGAGAGATCACGTGATGTGATTCAGTCCAGGGGCTTGGCATGCAGAAAGCAATGCGCGCCGAGGTACCCCGTACTCCGTACTTGATGATCGCCTAGGATTTAGGTACTCCGCACTCTATTCGCCATCCCCGAAGTCTAGAGATATATCACAATGTGCTATCTGGACTCCGGATGATGAGTGAAATTTGTTACAATGTCAGTCACAACCATTCCGCTCGAACCCCTCATACCGACCACACGTGCGGAGTCGAGTCACGCCGGTGCAGCCATGCCAGACGTCCAATCCGACCGAATACAATCCGACAAGAAAGGAATAATGGAGATTGAGGTCAGCGAAGGCAAGGCTATGTCGACCAAGGGCTTCACTGGAACATCCTCATGTAGAGAAAAACAACATTCGACAGGCCTCCATTTCCTGACTGCAGACCACCCGCTCTTCCCACCCATGCCCTCGTACGGTCCCCCATCTGCATTGCGCAGGGTCCACCACTATATGTTTATCATCGCCTCGTTCTTTCTGTCGCTATGCTTTTTGGCGGCGGTATTTGTCGGGGCCTTGTTCCGCACAGCTGTAGTCGCAATTTCTGAAATCCGATTAAGATGCAGCGGCCAGAATCCAGATACGATGAGGTCGTTCTATAAAGAGGAGACCGAGCGCAGGAAGGTCAGGGTCAATGCAGATCGGAGGTGGGCTCTGCGCCAGCAGAAAAGGGATATGGATGAGGAACAGGGACCCGAAGAATGCCAAGAATGCCCGTCGTTGGAAGGAGGCAAGGATATTTTGGTTAGCGATGTTGCATACTATGCCCGGCGAGTTGGTCTTGACGTGGAAACATTTCGGGTTCAGACTGAGGACGGTTTCATCATCACCCTGTGGCACGTTTACAATCCCCAGGAGTATGACGCATTATCACCAGAAGAGCGACGTGAGCGTGGGCCGGATGTTTTCACCAAGCCGAAAACCCCGTCTACACCCCGTCCACAATTAAATCGTCGATATCCTGTTCTCCTGGTCCATGGACTGCTGCAAAACTCGGGTGCATTCTGCACCAACGACGAGGATAGTCTCGCATTTTACCTATGCAAGTCTGGGTATGACGTCTGGTTAGGGAATAACCGCTGTGGATCGCACCCTGAGCACACCACTTTGTCGGCCGACGACCCGCGTATGTGGTCGTGGGATGTCCGGCATCTTGGGACGCTGGATCTTGCAGCACTCACTTCACGGGTGCTCTACGAGACTGGATTCGAGAAGCTAGGTCTCGTTTGCCACTCCCAAGGAACCACGCAGACATTCGTTGCTCTAGCCAAAGACCATCGCCCTGAATTGGGTGAATATATCTCTGTTTTCTGCGCACTTGCACCGGCTGCATATGCCGGGCCGCTTGTGAGCAGACCATATTTCCGTTTCATTACCCTTCTTCCTCCGGCGATGTTCCGACTTATCTTCGGAATTCACTCTTTCATTCCCTCCATGATGACTGCCCAGCGTCTGCTGCCGTCTAGGGTATATGGAACCCTAGCGTATTGGGTCTTCTCCTTTTTGTTCGACTGGTCAGACACGCGATGGGAGCGTGATCTTCGCCACCGAATGTTCCAGTTCGCTCCTGTCTATGTCAGTGTTGAGTTGATGCGCTGGTGGCTGGGAAGTGAGAGCTTCGCAAAACATAAATGCATTCTGTCTACAGAAAACGAGCTCCTTCTTGAGACAAACACGAACTCGCATAGACGAGACACTGTTTCTGAGCATGGTGACGATCCGCGAGACGCATGTTTGGGAAGTCCGGCCCCAGCCCCCTGGTATGGGCCGAAAACACCCCCGTTTGCATTTTGGATCGGAGGCTCTGATGCTCTTGTTGATGGTCGCCGACTTCTGAATCGCTTCCAGAGCGGCCGTGAACCCCATGTGAGCCTCGTTCATTCGAAAGTCATCGAGGAATATGAGCATCTCGATGTCCTTTGGGCAATGGATGCGATCGAGCAGGTTGGAAAGGAGGTCAACCAGGTCATTTGGACAAGTATGCCCGATGACGCACGTCGGATATGTCGTGCGCCTCGCGGTGTGAACCTAGACATGGTAGACATAGGCTAGTTAATACTTGCTTGGGTACCCCGTCTATTATATATTATACTACATCTACGCAAATATATTTTCAAGCGCAAAAGCACTTCATGTTCATTCATATAGGCACACAGAAAGTGATCTTGGAAGACCCCTAAACCACGCTTGGATCGGCAAGAAATCTTGTAGCGTTTACCGTGCTCTGACTGTGTGACTGCTATATTCCTACAGTCTAAGACACATGTTGACGAGAAGCCGAGTCCAGTTTTACATTTTGCCGAGACAGACTGTGATAGATGCCTTCCCAGGTCTCCTCTTCCCGTCCAACCCGGTTCGAATCCAAGACTCGGCAGGTGCACGATGCTGTTGCTTTCTAGCGAAAGGGAAATAAGGTTCCCAAACAGCCTAGAAAAAGATGGGCTAGAAGGGTTTAAACAATGTTACTGGCCAATGCTATCCAAACAACGACGAGGTGACTGAAGGACAAATTTTCAAATCAAATTGCGTCAATATCTGGCATGTAAGTCCTCGGTATCTTTCACCCCAATATAAGGACGTACACCGCGAAATAATATCAAGACAACACATCAACTCCTCTACTTTCCTCGATGCCTGCCCACCCAAGCAGCCTTTTCTGTGACACACCATAGACAACCTTAAACCTCCGAGTCTCAGGATGAGGCTGACCGGCAGAAAGCATAGCGTTTGAGTACCAATTCGCGATCGCTCTCGTATAAAGAGAGTCCGATCCAAAGGCGTGTGTCGCACCTCGCTTCAGCGCGCCTAGATAACCATGGAGAACATTCCAGCAATCATCTTTCGAAAACAGGCTGTTTTCCCGGAGAATAGGATATTGGTCTGGTAACGAAACAAGCAGCGATATAATTTGTATCGTATCAAACAAAGAATGAACCCAGATATCGCCCACTCGCTCTCGTAGAGTGAGTGAAGCCTTCAACGAGTAGCGCAGTGCCCCTGAGATATCATCGTTGTTCTTGCAAATTCGAGCGAAGATACGATGAATAGAAGCCAGTGGTGGCATGCCATCGGGCCACGTGCCGTGTGGAAATGGTCCGCGAATAATCTTTTCAGAATCTGCCTCCAGCTCTGCGAGTTCCATATGCATGCCTGTTTGATTATGGTGATTGATCGCATTGTTTGCAAGATCCAATAGGCGCCGTTGAGCATTATCGAGCTTTTTCAACCAGTCGACGTCAGTAGGAGCTTTTTCCTCGAGTTCTTTCACTTCATCCTGGCATCTCGCACCTAGATGTTCTGTAAATATCTTTTCATTAGGAGCTTGTAAAACTCGCAGTACTTACAAGCACATTTGAAGAAGTAGTCTTTTTCGATTGCTTCCTGTCGATGGAAGACAGAAGAAGATAAATCCGCATATGACTGACAAATCTCTTCTCCGGCACGAAGTGGACGCAGAGCTCGGACTCGCATCTGTCGACCCTCAAAAAATACGAAGGCCGTCGGATTACATGAGTGGTTCATGAAGGAACCGACAAGATCGACTGTCGTACCAAGAACTGGTACCGATCCTTCTGCTGACTTGATACACATGGCGTTGGTAAGTATCTGATATGTGTTAAACCATGCTTGTAACACACTCGGATATGGTCAGTCGCATACCGCGCAGTAAATCTTCTGAATTTCCTCGATATGCATATCTGTCCTCATTGCCGCGAATATCGAAGCATTCACTATCGCCGTAGACATGGGACCTCTGAGGTGCTCTGCATTGTGGGTTTCGAGGTGATTGAAAGCGTCCCATTGTGTGGCATCTATCAAACCAGCCTTTTGCATACCAATTAGTCTGTAGAGGGCTCGTGTTCTGGTATTGAGGTCCTTTTCCTCACTTAGAATCGGACACTCATGCCGGTGATAGCGTCCCCAGGCATTCAACTGGCAGTTCTTTCAAAAAAATAGTCAGAGACGGAGATAAAGTGCTTTCGGAATCAAAGAGTCTACTTTGGAACAATAGTAGCAAACTTTGCATCTACTGCATATTTTCAAAGGAGCCATTTCTTTCAAGGTCTGACGAAATTGTCCGCTAGGTAGGATTGAGCTTCGACTATACGAGAAACAATAATCGCAAACTGTAGCCTGCATGCCGTTATCGACACAAGTAATCAATGGGTCGGATCGGAAGATTTCCTCGCCCTCGGCAATAGCTCTAGTCGTGAATAAGCCATTTCTCGCTCCTGTGATAGACGATGGCCTAATTTCTAGAGGAACAGTCGAGGTCACTTGATTCCTCAGGTAGGTGGACAATCTTTCACATTGATCTGGCGTCATTATAGTATCCTACCCGAGAAAAATAGTTATTGGTCGGGGTACTTGACGTGAACAAGTGGTATTTCCCTAGGGGCAGGTTGGTGTTGTATTTATACGCGATTTGGTAACAGGGGCAGGCTGTAGAAGTACAGTGGCTTGATGCACGTGAGACTAATATATGTCACATAATGATCCTAGTAAAAGAGAGCTATTCTTATAAAGTTGTGATCTAGGCTGTTGTGGTTTCGAATATGCGCTGGGAAAGAATACATGTGTGTGATAGGGAATGTATGCCTTTTGACTCTGTGGTTTGAAAGGGTGTCTCAGTCGCACCTGAAATTATAGCAATCCATATCCCATCGCCTCTTCAAGATCGTCTGTGTTATCTTCTACACTGTGAATGATAAAAGCCTCGTCAGGATTGATACTCTATCTACGATAAATGGCGTGAATGGGGTCACCTTAGTCTGAGTTTTGCTCTTAGCACACTCTATACTTCTAGTGAAGACAATCTCGGAATTTCTCTTATACGTATGTTTTTCGCAGATATCTAGACCTTGCAACTGATCCGAGTTACAGGTACGGACGGTGTACCTGATATTTCCTTTAGCTTTACCTGTCACTATTGAGTGAACTATACTCACCTTGATGCTCACAAATGACACTTTTTCGTGTTTAATATGAAGTAGGCTGGACGAGTCAATGTAAGCTCAGCCAGGCCCACTAACCCCACAATCCCCCCAGATTTGTGTGGGACCGGGCCAAACCCTCCGGACTCCACCACATTCCACTTTTCTCACGTTAACATAACATCTACACACACATACACACATCGCAAACTAGATATGACAGTATATAGTCCTGTTTTTAGCTTGTGATCTCAGGGGAACCTACTTCTAGGCTGACGATCTCTCTCGGCCCCTTATCTTTATGTGTCACAATGTACAGTAAATGAAGGTACACAGGTACTTGTATTGTCCTAATATACACGTATTCGTGTACTTTGAGTCTGACGCAAAACCTGGCCAATAACATTAAGCCAAGGCCAGTCAAGACCGCTTCAACACCAAACAGAATGTGGGGGAAAGGGTTAATCTGGTCAATGCGCCCCCATTATGATCGACTGGCACTGCCCACTATCAATTCGAAGGGCGGTTATCATGGCCTGAATAGCCCTACTGTGTTAAGTCTCTTCAATATTTACATCTCGACCAACAGAGTAGTAGATACTTCAAAGTAGATCTCACAAGCCATGGAACACACGGACTTGAATCACCACGACATCAAGTCGAGACCACTTCAGCCATCAGGGGATACATGGATTCTGAAACTCAGTCAACGACTCCTAGGCTATGTGACGCATCGCGATCATTGGCTTGCCACCGTACAGGGGTTAGATGTCACCTTTCAGTCAGTCCCAAGTCCTAACTGACTCCCAACCCCGCATTCAGTCAGATGATACAGTGTATATAAGTCCTTCAGTCCTGCCTTGTGTACTTGTTTGCTTCTCAGAAACTCTCCCCTCCACCATTTACATCCATCATCTACCATCACACTTGCAGCATCAACTTGACTTGTCCATTTTCAGCACACTATTCCACACACTACATTCAAGATGTCGGCAGCCATGGGTCCTATCATGCAGCAACTGCAAGCACTCCCTGCTCGCTCAAGGCAGGGTCTGAACAACCTGCGCCAGCGTATCTTCCAACAGGGTAAGTTCTTCCCTCTCGCCTTCCGACCGTCTGATCTACCTTGCTCCTTATATTCATATATAACTAACACTACCCAAAGGAGAGAGACAACCCAAGGAAGCCAACCTCTTTCGCACTTCCCTCAGTGTCCACCGTCCTGTTTGGGTCACTGCCGGTGGCGGTCTTTACACCAGCATGGCGGCTGTGTACCTCACAATGCGATATCTGAAGCGTGTTGCTCGGTAGATGGGGCAGCCTTGTCTACCTACTCGACTTGACTTGAGTCCATGATTTTACAACTCTCACGCGTATTTCCCACTACTCTTCACACACATACCCCTTTATCCCTCGTCGCCATGTATCCATCGACAACAGCTGTGTCTGATCGGTTGTGTGCGGCTGGCGGAACCCTTTACGCCCTAGATGGGACATTTCTTTCTTTTGTTCGGTCGGTCATTTGCATCTTCGCCATAGAATGGCAAGATAGACCTGGCGTTTTTGTTTTCAGGGCTACTGTACCCTAACTTGATACGATCACAATGAATAACTTACAAACATCCCTGAGTCTACATTGAATGATATCTACCATCTCTAAACTTGCCGTTATTCATTATGTGTTAGAAACGTAGAAGACCTGTATGTTATGGTAAGAATGACATCGCTCAGCCGAAAGTGCCGGCAATGACCACGAAAGTTTGAAGAGCGCATGGTAATAATGACTGAATAACAGACTGCCTAGATGAACACACCAAGAGGCTAGGCTAGACCTAGCCCTTGTCAGCCATAAAGCGATACGCGCCGTCCAACCAAGGGGTGTGTAAACAGAGCGAACCCCGTATATTTCCACCAGGGTACACACATATAAATGGTGGAACTGTATAAATACCCAACCCAATCCCCCCTTACCAGAGATCATGTACCAGTACAAGTCAACAAGTCACTCGATGTATAAACTGAGAAGTGACAGATCCACTCGGCTGAAGAATCCCCAGAATCTGAGATCCACTCCGCCATCGCCCAAAGGAATCAGGAGTGTGCTCGGCCCCCACCATACACGATACATGATACCTCAGGCAGACACTTTCCCAACAGCCTGTCCTATCAAGTATCTTCTTTTACTGAGGGCGTCGTCACTGCGCTGGGGTTGGTCCGTACGATGATCTCATTGCTGATGGGTGCATGCGCTAGTGTCTCTCCAGGGCTTGGCGACCCCGCGTTTGTGTGTGTGCGGAATTTCCTGATTGGGTCGTTTGAAATGGGTATGGGCTCGAATTTGAAGATAGGGGTAATAATTCGCAGATACAAATCAGCCTTTGGGTTATATGATAAAAGCCCTGGAAAGCATTGTCTGGAACGTTGCAATCCTGGCGTCCGTAAACTCAGTGAGAATTGGTCGTTGGCAAAAGAGCCGGAAGTGATTGGCCATTTTTTCTATTAGTAGGTAAAATTTAACCCCTAGGGCTGTGGAGTAGGAGTGCCCGCAGTAATAGGCCCCATATTCTATGCATGACTCGCCTGATTTTGTGGGAATTCAAGAGAACATGGACAGGTCTTGTCGCCCTGAGTTGCTCAAGTGAAAAGGAAAAACGACTCCAACTGAACTTTCTTTTCACTCTCATTTATTGCCCACCAACAAAATCGTCCCAAGGCGCATAGCAAGCAGGGAAAATAGTTGACTCCCACCGGAGTCACGCTCTTTCCCCAGATATGCCAAGCTTTCTTGAAACGGTGAGCCGACCTTAACTGTCAGACTACGCACCAGTGAGGTGCCATTTCCTTGTGTATGCTAGTTTTCAGGGTTTGAAAAATGCCAGATGCAAAGGAAACACGACCCTAGAAGAGAGGAACGAGGAGAGGTGACTAAATTGCAGGTTCCTGTCTATCAAGCCCCCGGCCATAAGTCAACTGTTTCAGCGAATGCGTACCGACACCCTCGCAAAGCGGAAGCCAGTGGTGCCACTAGTTAAACTTTGACTATGTGAGAGACACTGGGGAATTCAAAAGTATAGTTATATTCTCTCAGACTGCGTTCTCGTTTACGATTCTGATCAAGAAGAGCTACGCTTTGATCATTGTTGGAGGCTCTCATGCCTGACCGCATAGCATGTCTCATCTTTCTAGGGCAAGTCGCAAATTATCGATCTATCTAGCGTATCAAGCCTATCACCCGGACGCCGATATATTCATGCTGACAACTTATTGGTCGTCATTCATCTCGCTGTTGGTGGATATTCACACGTAGGACTCTTTAACAGCTGACAAACTATGATGGTCTCCGGGGTTGGATAGAACAAGGCCATAAAGTCGGCAAATGAAATATCTTAAAAAGAGAGATGAAAGAACATCTAAAAAATGAGTGACTTGATTCACCGAAAGTTTAGATCGTCTCTAGGAGTGTCAGAGTTTATTCCAAATCTATACAGAGCTGAGATGAGTGTCTGATGTGACCAGACTAAACAACCTTGGAAGTTAGTAACTTCTCACCTGCACCTAAGCAGAAATTCCGCTTACCAACCACCAAGATAATCTCGCACCTCCCTCATCTACCAATTACCTCTTATTCCTGCTGCCAACCATCTCAGAAAAACTTCATCTCCTTTTCCTTATCACCTGCCTCACATTGCTTTCAACGAATCGTCCTGATGGGGGATATCCGACTCCAACCATCATGGCATTCTCAACCTTTGGGGATTTTGACCCCCACCCACCCCATCCTTTCTCGGGATTCAAGGTCCCTGTTATGGTGATACCCAAGAATCTGGCTGTTTTGATTTGAAGCAACCATGGAAAGGGCAGTTAAAATGAGAAATCACCACACCCACATCATGGATCTTGCTACGTGTTGGCACGATGAGGACACCGGTGCTCAAGATACGCCGATATCCCCACGTATGACACTCGGGATTTCCGGCATTACCTGCCAGACTTGCGTCCCAAAAAGCAAGGATACTACTACCAGCTGGCATCGCAAGACCCAATTGATCTTAGAACCCAGATCGAAGGACAAAGCCACAAATTACCCCCCTTCGTCTTCTTCTACGCTAGTCATAGCAAGATTGACAATATATGTGACTTATTTCTTTCCTTCAAAGAATAACGCCAATCCCATGGAATGGAGTGGAGGGTGATTTGGCCTATCACGGCTTGCCTATGGTTATTTTCTTCATCCTTGATTGCTGTCATACCGCAGAAGCTTTTACTAGCAATTCAACTACCATGCAGGTGTTAGCTGTGTGTACTTCGCATGCTCTCAAAAATCTGCGGGTCGGCAACATATCCTTCACACAGAGAATTGCTCGAGCAATACGATCACTTGCCCATTCGGGTAAACCATCCACTTCAACCGATGAAATATTCAATGCAGTGCAGAACGAAACCCTGATAGTGGAATCAATCTGATCAGCTTGCCCTTAAATGCCGTGCCTATGTTTGGGATTCCTACCTGTAGCCATCCTTCAAGCTCAATGCCTACTTTTTCCCGAGCACCCAGTCACTATAGGTTTATAATCGAGAGACACAGGTGGTTTCTTTGTTTATCGCCAACGGAGAAGCCACACAAGTGATGTAAGGATTTGTGCGAGTTACGAAAATATGCCAGCAAGGTTCCAGATGAAATAACGATGCGTAAGGGCATGGGACCAGTTAATCCGCGGGTGTGTTTGTTCGCATGACATGGGAAGCATTTGTTCGACTACTGTCAACTATCGATGTGGAGTCACATTCTTCAATCATTGAACCCTCGCTTATTAGCAAGCCCCAGAAGGCTTTCACTACCTCCACAAAAAACTTCTTATTCCGAGAGGGAGGGAACAGAGCAAGAAAGATGTTGCTACGATTTCTTCTTCTCCCCTCCCGACTTCCTTTGGTGTTTCTGCTTTCTTTCTGTTTTTATCTTTCTTCCCCCCCTTCTTTCTTTCTGCTGCTTACTACCTACGGGTTATCCATTTAGTGATGAAGATGACAGCAACGAGTATTAGCTGGTTATCGAAGAGATTGGGGGAAATATTGCAAAGGACCAGAAAGGGGCAGAGCAGTCATCAAGAAAAATACTCCATTCTCATGATTCGTGGATGATGTATGTTAGATACAACCAGACACAGAAAAATTTGGTTAGTCTGTCCCGGCGGAGTTCCTGGCATAACCCGGGGTATAGCTATCTCGAAATTTCTCCAGACTTTGACTCCTTTTTTCTCAGAGGAAAATTACTCTATAGTTCAAGCACTGCTCTTGAATGGACCAGCCTGATCTGGTTTGTGTCTAGCTCGTATCGGACCCTAGATTGAGTCTGTCTCAAATCTTTGTTCTCAGTACTATCGCGAAGAGCGATGCCATTCTATCTGATAGGCGGTTTTCATATTGAACTACAAGCGCGTCATATTATCATTTTCTTTCTGCAGATCATACCTAAGCTGGTCAAGGTTTTTGTATCGACAAGTCCAGCATTTATACATGACCTCTTGGTAAGGCAACCCGTCAATGCACGGGTACTGTCCATCGGCGTAACGACTTTCAATTTCTTGATAATTTTCATCATCGATTTCCTCGTATGGGCGATGGCCAGTCGTGATCTCAAATATCAGACACCCAAATGCAAAAATGTCTGTCATAGTAGACCGCGGAGAGTCCGGAGCCATTCGATATCGATCTTCCTCCTGCACAAGAGAACCTTGCTCTTCTATTGCTGACCCTGAAAAGTCGCAAAGCTTAATCGACAAGTCATCGGCGACGAGAAAGTTCCTAGCACTGATGTCGGAATGTATAACTCCATAGCGATGTAGTATAGAGATAGCACTAGCGGCCGCTATAATCCACTGCTGTCGGATTTGACTTGGGATGGTTTGATGATGAAGTTCAAGATATTCGCGTAAGTTGCCAAGTCGTAGAAAAGGAAAGTGTATACCATCTTCTGTAATTGCGAGGCAATCAAGGATAGCTGGGTCCTTCGGTAGTATACTGTAAATGAGCTTTTCGCGCTCAAAACATGAAATCGAATGCTCCTCGTTATGCAATGTTGTTTCGGTGACTTCTGCACTGCAGCCTTGAAGATTGTGTCTGAGCGGGCCTTTAATAACCTGCTCCGGATGCCGACTGCTCTGGCACACGATTCCCGTCGTGCCGAATCCAATGATACGGGAGCCACCTTGCGGTCGGAGCATCACGGGGTAGCCATTCATGATGTCAAAATCGGGTGCAGGACAGTAAACAAGATCACGATCTGGCTGCCTTGTTTATGTAGCGTCACATGACTGCACCAGCCCCTTGCTGATTCAACTAGTTCTGTTTTAGGCATTACCAGCCTTCGATGCTATGTGCTTGACTATACGCGTGGAATAAATTTCACCGGTTTGCTTCCAGAGATCAATCTCCAATAATACTGAATACTGATTCTTAGGGAGGTGAGACACATTATCGACACTGACACCCGCAGGGCTCACTTTACGAAGTAAGCTATACCTTACACCTCATCTTGGAAGGTGGGTTTCTTTACGTGATAATGTCTCACATGGTCGGTCTAGGCCGAAGGGCGAATTGTCATGCGGGTCAACTCGAGTGCCGTAGGGCTGAATTTGGCTCTTCAACAGTTGCGGGTGTACATGGAAAGGGGTATACATTGCCTCATTGTCTCTTCGGGAAACAGTTTTCAGCCTTGTTTTCAATCTTTTTAGAGATCCAATTGACTTGAAACTAGTAATAACAATTATTTGGACTAGTTCTAAGGATGACGTACACATTTGATACAGACAAGGCATCCTTGTAAATAGATCGTTAGCCACAGGCCAGACAATGCTAAGCGAACGCCCAGACGTCCGATCATTCGAAATTCTAGATTGGTTGTGTTTCTGGGAAATGGAGTCGCTCTCATGGATGAATCTATGTCTATATCTCAATCTAAAAAACAAACAAACGTAAGAATTGGAGATAGTATATCACATGTTCATTCAGTAGTATCTAGAACATGGATCCTAGTCAATCAATTTTCCGAATTGCTTTCCCTTTTAGGATATCCTTTCGTTGCAGACTCCGTAGTGTTTTGTCCACTGATATATTTTTTTCTCGCATGGGGTCACCAAAGTGCGCCCTATCTAAGCCCAAGTGAGTACTTCCCTCCTTACGTTGGTAGGCAACCTCCATTCTCGATCGTTTCCTTGCTAAATCCGCCTGACTCGCTAGGTACAGTCTACGTTCGGAGATAATAACCAACCAGCGGTGCGCCCCTCCCGGACCTTCACAGACAACGGTCGATCATCTCCAAATTCTTTACAAACCCAAGCCCACGGAGGCAAATTCCCCGCACGTATCTCGAGCTGATTCTGACTGACGCTAAGGGGGTAGCCTAGAGTGCACATTTTGGGGGCCAGAAAAATATGCATCTCGCGTCACCGACGCACCCGCGCATACCAGGCACGGGGATTTTCTCTTTTAGCCTTTCTCGGCATCCTTGGCTGAGAAGCTTAGCACATTCTCAGTCCTCCCTCTATGTATCTCATCCCCTACTTGGGACAGCTACCATCCGGTTCATATTCCTTTGTGAAACATGTCTAAATTTCATGACGTGTCTACACCTTCGTGAAGAGACCCAGCCTAGATCCCATATACATTGTTCGAGATTTGTGCTCTTCTGGACCGTGTCCTTACCATTACCGATCGGGTCTAGTTTCATTTCAACGTCGCGGATTGGCTCGGGGTAAGCTTGCGACGCCCCGAGCCGGCGGCACTTTGTACACCAGTTAGCAGACCTAGATCCAAGCCACCTGCAATTTACCGACGGTATCACATCTATACGTAGTATAATCCCGCTTCCGGCCGGGGTTGATATTGCGACATGCATCGATCGGTGATCTCCTGACTTCTATGGAGTACCCCGTACCTCTCAGCTATTTTTAATCAATCCCCGAGAGGAGTGCTGGGTTGCATTGAAGACCTGTAGCTTGTACTGATGGCTGTCAGTGAGGGGTGATCTCACACGTGAGGCCTATCCCCAATCCATCGGCTTGTATGTACCGATCGCCTGGTCCCCCGCTTATGGCTCTACCCTCTAGCCGATAATAATGACACGTATCAGGTGCTTCAGAGCCGAGCTTCCGCTGCCTTGCGTGGTTTGGTGTTTCCATGAGGGGAACCCCAGCTATATTCCGAAATGAATTGGAGAGAGACGCCCATCGAACTGGGGGAAGCTATGATGCAATACGAGAAACACGACGGTGGATTCATAAGCCTCTACTTGAAAATATTGAACTTTTACCTACCAATTTCAAGCTTTGCGTAGACATATAAAAGGCGCCTGGTACGTGATAGTAGAACGTTCTTCATTCTAGTTCAACCCATTTTCTTCCCAGTTCCCCCCGATAACACCAAAATGAAGCTTCGACTCCTTGTTGCTCTACTTCCTGTCGTGTTACCCTTCGTGCATGGTGCCCCTGCCCGCCGGGATACCCCCAATCCGGGTCTTCGAGGAAGCGACTCACTAGTTGGATATTCACCATCCAATAATGGTGGCAGTGACTCGCCACCCGACATCAAGTATACACTTCTTCCCGGGCAAAAGGAAGATCCCAAAATTGGTTCCTACCTCGATTTTGAGAAAGCAGATAATCCCCAGCCTATTCGTGGTACTACGGGTGGTGATGATCCTGGCCCGAGTATGAAATCCGTCAAGAGTATCTCGCAGTTGACTGGATACTGAATTCGCTGACATTCTGTTGCAGGAAATTATTACTATGACAAAATCAATAGTGATAAACTGGCACCTCCTGGGACTGATCATGGGCAGACTATCAATGCGCAGTGGCCGATGGGTAAGCCACTAGCTTCCGTGTAGAAACGTTCAATTTGCTTACCATGTCTTAGGATTGAGTCATAACAGGTAATCCTTTCTTCCCGAATACGCGAATTGGAGATACTCATGTTTCTTGAAGATTTGGAATTGATGGAGCTGGCTGGGCTCGCCAAGAGAACACAAATGTTATGCCAGATGCGACGCTCATGGCTGGTGTTGATATGCGCCTGGCACCTGCCGGTTATCGTGAGCTTCACTGGCACGTGGCCGCCGAATGGTCCTTAGTGCTGAATGGATCGTGTCGAATTCAGGTACTTACTTATCTTGAATTTACTAGAATCAGTACTGACCAAGGCGCTAGGCTGTGAACGAGAACGGGGAGACATTTATTGACGACGTTGCTGCCGGCGATGTGTGGTACTTCCCACCGTGAGTAGTGTGATATGCGCAAATAAAGACCTGTGCTGATTATTTGACCGCCAGTGGCGTTCCTCATTCAATTCAAGCCCTCGATGATGGAGTTGAGTTCCTTCTGGTGTTCGACGATGGCGACTTTAGCGAGGATAACACATTCCTGGCAACAGAGGTTTTCCTCCACACCCCGGTAAAGCAAAACCAACCTTGCATAAAAAGTGAAATCTGCTTTGCTGACGCTCTACACAGAAAGAGGTTCTCTCAAAGAATTTTGGAGTTGATGTAGCAGCATTTGAGAAGATCCCCGACAATGAACTATACATTTTCAAGGGCACACCCGCCCCAGCGGATATCGAGAAACAGAATGTGACGACAACTGCTGGCCTTGTACCTCGGGCTCAGAGCTACTCATATCACTTTTCCGAGCAGCCGGCTCACGAGGTTGCTGGCGGGTCAGTTAAGATTGTTGACCCGCTCACCTTCCCCATTGCCCGAAATTTCTCTGCTGCTGTTGTTACCGTTCATCCAGGCGGCATGCGTGAAATTCACTGGCATCCAACCAGTGACGAATGGACCTTCTTTATTTCAGGCAAGGGCCGGGCAACGCTCTTCACTGCCCCGAACGCTGCAACTACGTTTGATTATGCCGGTGGTGATGTCGGCTACTTCCCCAAATCCAATAGTCATTATATTGAGAATACCGGTGATGAAGACCTAGTCTTTGTGGAGGTGCTCCAGGCGCCCGAGTTCACGGGTATGTTTTTTTCTTCGCCACATGTTCTAGTTTTCAGGTGCTGACCACTGGTAGATATGGCTCTTGGCCAATGGATCGCGTCCACGCCAAAACAAATTATTGCAGATACACTCAATCTTAGTGAGGACATGCTCAATAACCTGAAGACTGAGAAACAATTTGTTGTCGCTGGTCCTAGCAGTTAGATTGCCTCGCAAGCGGACCATGCCCATGTTTATAATCCATAGGTCTCGATGATGTTGCTGGTAATATGATAAAGCGTACTAGAAAATCTGTCCCAGGAGGATAATCATTCTCCCAAATGATACGTCCAGATAACGAGCTCAGTCCTCCTTAGTCATTCAGTTTCATCCCACTGTCCCTGCCGGATATATCAAGTCCAGAACAGAGGGGGCGTATCTCGAGGATATCTACTTCGAATTAGGGCGTATTAGTGTACGGCCACGGGCCGAACCCACCAAGCCCACGCACCAGCCCACTTATGCCCCTATTCGACCCCCTCAGTGGAATCTCGAAAACAGTCACCATTGGATTCCATTGGACGCCCATGAATCAAATCATAATGAGTAAGATTTTAGTGGGAACTCGATGGCGTGTGGTCTATGTTGCGACGCAATCTTAGCCAAGACGAATGGGGGCCCTTTTTTGACAAGGGTGATTGGCCCAAGAGCTCAATAGGTTAGCCTACTGTTGTGCGGCCGGCTGTCAACTTGACTGACGGGGCTCAGCGGGGGTTCTACCTTCCATTCCACGCGAAATCGCCCTGAGTTCAACGATTCTTTTATTGCTGATACTGCTTTGAGAGGCGATGGATGTCAATACTCAGTTCATGACCGACACGGCCGAGAGGCGACGTACCCAAAATCGCCTAGCTCAGCGCAAATTCCGCGGTGAGTGGGCATGGTGCAGCATCCCGTATCGACCGTCCTGCTGATCGAAATCATGATGTAGAGAAGAAGCGGAAGGTGGCACACAATGCGGTGCTAGAGACCCCTCAAGAACCGAGTGGAAACTTCAGAGCGTCATCACAATCAGCCTCCAGCGAGAAAAATAATGGAAATCTTGTACTTAGCTCCTTGCCTTCATTCGCAAATGCGCTTCCCAGACTCGCAGAAAATTCTCCAAATCACATTCCCATCGCTAGCACAGAGTCAGGGCCGAGTAACAACTTCGATCTCGATGCGATCGACCAGTTCCTGTACCAAACCAACGATGATTTCTCCTTCCTTGTGTCCGACCCCCTGCCTGTCCAATCGAACATGATAGGGACGGATTTTACCCACAGCAACCCCCTGACTTTGCTTTACACAAGACACCCTCCAACGCCACAACAAGCACTCATTCAAGCCCACTGTCTCGATTCGGGGATAACAATAACCCGCCATTACATCGCAGAACATCCGATTCTGATATTCGCCCGGAAAATCCGGGCCCCCAGCTACCGAAATCATACAACGACGATACAGTGTTGGAACTCATCACGTCGGCCAGACATGACAAGGGCTGGATTGGCACACTTCACATCGCCGCGCAGAAGGGCCATGAGAATATCGTTCGTGTACTTTTGCTCCGAGGTAACATGGATGCAAACAAGCAAGATAGCGACGGTCGCACGCCCTTGATCCACGCCATCATTGAAAATCATGAATCTGTAGTGAGGTTACTACTTTCCCACGGTGCTCGCATAGGCGTGTATGATTGTGATGGTCGCTCTGCATTGCACTGGGCGGTGTTGCATCGGCGGCTCGGGATACTGCGGCAATTGCTTGACCATCGTGCCAAGTACGAATGCTGGTTGGATCTTGATGCGTACGACAAGGCTGGGTGGACCCCATTGCATATGTCCGTAGATAGAGCTTTTGAGGCTGGAATCTTGATGCTTCTCCAGGAAGGCGCGGATATCGATGCCAAAGCACAGAAATGTCCGTATACAGGCATGGTCGTGCCGCTGATGGATCGACACCGATAAAGCGTGATGGAGTCTGGCACCGTCAGTAAAATTTGCTTAGAATGTTTGAAGATGAGGAGTTCAAGGGGCTTTCGCAATTCAAAGGAATAAGAACAGCATCAATAATAAGAATGACAAGTTTTCGATACGTTACCAGCTCTCGAAACCAAAACTACAGGTGTTCGAACGGGGGCTGTGCAACCGGGCATTCTATTGTCGCTACTCTTGAGAGTCTAACCTCAGTAGAGTGGCTGGACAGTATCTACCAAGGCTCCTCATTGCCATCAAACTTGAACAGCTTTCCGCTGTGAGTTTGTAGCGTAGATGCGTCAATGATCCTAACTATGCCCGTAGTACTGTCTTCCACGGTAATGGCGGCTTTTTCAACTCCGATAGCGTGGGCACCTCGGTTACCAAGATCAGTCTGAACCCAGCTATTTTGATATCAAGGTTAGCCAACCACATAACAGCACTCGGGGCTTTTTGGGATGTGAGACTTACCCTGGGTCCACGGGGAAGGCGTTCAGCCAAGGATCCTCAACGGAGATTGCCTTGGTATACCAGTGTTGGATAGCTTTAGAAGGAGCGTATGCAGCATTTTGCATGGGGACAAAGTTGCTATGCATGGTCAGTATACTTGGGCCCCGGATCTAAGTGCCATCTGCAGAGGACAAGTGGAATTGTATCGACTGGATACTTACTATGGATAATATTAGCACCTATTTCAAGCTATAACAATGATACTGATGGGGCCTACCGTCAAGAATGCCGAGCTAGATCCGATTGTCACCCAACTGGGAGCCCGAGCCTCCTTGAGGAGGGATCTGAAAGCCTGGTAAAGATGAACGAAGCCATACACATTGACGTCAATGTGTTCCTGGATTTCCTCGACTTTGACGTCCGATACCTTTGGCCAAGAAAGAGCGATAGCGGCGTTGGCGACCAAAACGTCGATGTGGGTGATTCCCTTCACAGCCAATGCTTTCACGGCCGCAGCTGGGTCAGTGGGGGAGAGAGCATCGATTTTGATGATCTCCAACGTAGTGCCTTCAGCCTTGGGAAGTTCAACCAATGCATTGGAGCTTGGGTGGGTTGGGTCACGGTTTGCCGCGATCACGAGGTGGTTGGGCTTCTTCAGGTATAATTCCAAGATACCTTTGCCGATGCCACGGTTGGCGCCAGTAATGAGGACAACAGTAGAGGCCATGGTGTGATGCAAAACCAGTCGAGGTGAAATACCAATTTAATTGGTAAAGGCGAGATTGAGTTATGGCAGGAGCGAAGTTTCCTAAAAGAGAGAAGTACACGAACCACGTCAAATACTTATACCATTCCCTCGAACATGACAATGATAAATTTGAAAAGAAGACTTGTCTAATCAACATCGCTTGCTAGTAGATGCACGGTCATGCCGAGGTCATGTTAGTATTCGTAGTCTTGGTAAAAGATTGGAGTGTTCGACATCAAAAACCAAGGGCTATAGATCTCTCCTCCCATGAGTGGTCAGGGGTTATTACTATGCATAATTTAAATGCTTAATAATCTTTTCTCATGCAAGGTCAGCAGCTTACTGCGGGGCACATCAGAATAAGCAAAGACAAACAAGGATCATATATATGGTGATATGGTGATATGGTGATATGGTGAAATAGTGAACTTGGGTCGTTCCTTGGAATTCTCTTGAGTTGAGCAAGATAGAAGAACTTATGGCCCACAAACAGCCGATTTGTATATGAAATGGAAATCCGTAGAACTGTTTTCAGAGAGCCTACATTCATTGATCCCCCGGGTTCCAGTTGCGGCTTCTTTGCTTAGCTACGAAGGGGCATATAGCGCTGAGTCGCATGCACTCATTTTCGTCCAGCCTTAAGAATTAGATCATCAAATTCCAGCAAGGATCCCTCTAGCATTTCTGCTGCAGGCTTTATAGTGGGCGACGTATTTTTTTGTCGATGAAATGACTGAATTTAAGCTGAGAGAAGAGCCAGAAGAAAGTCAGAGATCCTAGGTTTTGACGTAGGAAATGAAGCTAGGAACTATAATAATGTATATTGCGGTCCTATAGTCAACACGTAGGTTAATATACTATAATCAACCACCTCAAAATGTGGTGATCAATAAATTGATATTATGTAGAAAACCTCGCTTCGTGGGTTGACCGGATCTATTCGTTCCGTCGTGAACTGAGAATATATCGTTCGGAAAGGTGAAAAGGGGTCTAGGTTCAGGCTCAATTCAGTCATTGAGGCATCAAATGGGTGTACACGGCCCTGAGCGCTATGCGCTTTGTACAAGCCGCTGCAATGTATCCGATTCGACATATAAAAAGGGACAAAAAGTTAAACATCCTCCATTGTCAACCCCAATCTAGTTACCCAGCCGAAGAGGTTTCCCAAGGCTATATGAAACACCTAAGACTTGCGCATTACGCGGTGTTTAGTATTAGTTCTTGTAGTGATACAACATTTATTTTACATGTTAATAGATCGATATTGATACCCAGCCTTGGAGGACCCAGGTCCGGGGGCGAGGGCGGCCCCGGTTGTGCCTAGTTCGATTGCTGATTTTCTGCCAGTCAAAATCAAGGGTTGGTCGAGTCCCTGTGTCAATTTCACGGCCTTGATAAAATCGGGGAAGAGAATCGGGGAAATCGGGGAAATTGGGGAAATCGATTCCTAACGGACCTCGACAAGAGCCTCGGCAGAATCAATTCGTTCATTTTCTGAATTGTGTTTGGAAATACATACATAAATATGTATATAGCTCGTTATGGCCATCGAGTGCAAAGCGCATCTCGGTTGTTCTCAATCAATCCCATCCCTCCTACGCTGTGTTTATCTCAACGAATTTCCTCGATCAATCAATATCGGCCTACGTTCGTCAGAAAAATGTCACATTTCCGGGTCATTGAACACGTAACTCGGGGTCAGAATATACGAGAGCGCCCGGGTGCCGTTAAAGCAGGACATGAACGCGACATTAGGATTGCCGTGAAGCAATATATTCCACTCGACAATCCATCTCCACAAGAAGGGGATGTGACAATTATTGGAGCGCATGCCAATGGATTCTCCAAGGTATCATCCACTGCACATTATCATTTGGTTGACCATTAGCTGAACTAGGGTACAGGAGCTATACGAACCTCTTTGGGATGAGATCTACGAGGAATTGCGGAGCCAGAACCAAAGTATCCGATCTATTTGGATCGCGGATGTTGCTCAACAGGGCCAGAGTGGTGTTATGAACGAGTCGATTCTTGGAAACGACCGTGAGTTTTTGAAATGCGCATTCAATGGGATCGGGACTGACATCGGTTAGCGAGTTGGAATGATCACGGACGGGATTTGCTTTACCTGCTGAACGAATTCGAGATTGTTCAGCCGGTCATCGGCGTGGGACACAGTATGGGCGGGATGCAACTGTAAGTTTTCCTTGATGCTCATAGAATCTTCTTTAGTTAACACGGCTCAGAGCGCATCTTTCCTTGATGCACCCGTCTCTTTTCGAAGGTCTGATACTCATGGAACCAGTGATCCAGTTAGATAATCCTGGCCGCAAATACGCTCTCCCATCCACATATAGACGTGACCTTTGGGATTCTCGCGAACAAGCCGCAGAGAAATTCCGATCAAATCCTTTCTATCAAGCATGGGATCCGCGTGTTTTGCAAAAATGGCTCGAGTTCGGACTCCGAGATCTTCCCACAAGGTTATATCCCACTCCAAGCAACACGACACCACCTGCTGTCACATTGACTACACCCAAAGCGCAGGAGGTTTTCACCTTCGTGCGACCGTCATATATTGACGAGAGAACCGGTATTGCGTGTGGGAATCCCGCCGAGGAGATGTATCCGGAAGACATCGAAGAATACCCTCTCTATCGCCCCGAACCCTCACGAATATTTCACCGCTTGCCAGAGCTAAGGCCCAGTACTCTTTATCTGACTGGTGAAAAGTCAGATCTTGTACCCCCAGCTCATCGCAAAGCAAAACTCCAAATAACTGGCACAGGTGTGGGAGGTAGCGGTGGTGCATCTCGCGGTCGAGTGCAGGAAATTGTTCTTCCATGCGGCCATTTGGTTCCTATGGAGCTCGTCCATGAAAGTGCAAAAGCCAGTGCTGATTTCATTGCCTCTGCGGTATCTGCTTGGGAAAAGCGAACTTCGAAATTCCGAAAGGCCTGGGAGCAAGTTTCGCCTGACGAGCAGGTTAGGCTCGACAAACAATGGGAACGGCATATTGGTACTCTGCGAAAAAGATCAAAGCTGTGATATATATTTTTTTTCATTTCGGATTTCATCCTTAGATAGTTGAAGATTGATTAAACTAATCTAGAATGTCTTTACTGTGCGCAAATCTTATACCGCGATCTCTTTTCTGTAGATCAACCACAGTCTGTTGCACGGACTTTCGAGTTTGGGGTCTCCAAATTGGGGAAATCTAATATTTGACCATACTGCAGAGTAAGTGAAGATAGGAATGGGACAAGTCCCAGACGATGTGGCGTAGGGCCGTAGGGCGTGGCCCGGAAAGAATGCCGAGTTGGCTACATCCATGTCAAGAGTAGATGTGGGCCACCCTGGTTTTGTTCACCAGCACATCGAGCTATCTAAACCGCTTATGCATGTTTGTACTGCATTCAAAATTGATGCCTGGTTTGTCGTGTTTGATTGCACGGTCGATATGTTTTCCGAGACGAATCCTGCTTTTGTTCGCCCGGGCTTATGTGCCTTCTGGACAGACCGACAGGGGGAACTGCGTGGAATATTTGACCCTTACGAGTAAATTGGCTGTTTAAGAGGCTGATTTTGGAATTGGCTTCTTTTCTATGGTGTTGTAAAATTCATCACGCAATGGGTGGGTGGTTGGGGCAATCCATGTCGACATGGATTAGATGTGAATGGTAAAGCTATCAATAAGGACAGTGGTAACGGTAGCAACAAAATAATATATAGGAAGTATAGGGACAAACTAGAGGACCACGTTCTCTATGAGGTCGTGATAGGGATCAGGAATATCCTTTTGACATCACGTTCGTCGATGTCATCCATTCAGTGACAGGCTGTAATCTGTGTTGCGCAAAGCCCGACAAAGTCCGACAAAACCCGACTGAATCCGACCATTCCTACACCAGTAGGACTCCGATCTAGCGATGATTGCGAGATAATTAAATGTTGCGTTCAAATTGCTTGCTATATACTCTTGATACTCATCCTTTTGGCTTTTTGCACATGATATCGGGCAGACTCTAGGCTTAACCTATTGCTTTTGCTTTACCATAAGGCGTTCACGGCACATATCATCGATCTCAATATCACTACTTCCAAGCTCAACGTCAACAAAACCATTCCGGAAGTATAGCTTGCGTGCTGCAAAATTAGTCTCTACCACAGAGAGTTTGAGAGTGGTGACACCAATGCCGTAGGCCCATTCCTCAATAGCAGCCACTAGAGTATCCCCAACACCACGACCCCGCGCAGAGGGAGTTACCCACATAGATACAAGCTCTGCAGCCTCAGACTCAGAGAGTAGAATCCCCCCAGCCATGCCCACTATCGTGTCTTGGAGAGAAGCAACTACTTGGTAGCCACCGGGCATGCTAAGCCGGTCGCGCCACCGTTGCTCAGGGGCGTTCTCCCAGTCTGCGAGCTTTGATGAGAAAGCGTAGGGTGCTATCTTAAGTGCCGCCAATCTTTGATGTTTCCATATCTCCCATTCGTCGGGACCAATTTGTCGAAGCTCGATCATTTGAGTGAATGTTAGATAGCGAACTGGAGGTAAGCCCAAATGTGAGGCTAGAGAAAATTCAATTCGGGTAACGATAGTGATGGAGTATACAATTAAACTAGAGATCGGCTTTAGTTTAAGTGGGAAGCCTCCGTCACATAAAGATAGACAAACGTCAAAGATGTGCTGGATAATAAATGAAAGGAAATGGGTATACATCAAGTTATATTATATATGTACCGCGCTATTAAAGTTTATAGTATTTGACAATGACTCATTAGATGAAGTCCAATACGGTATAAATCGTGACGCGGGTAGGGGCTGAGATGGGTATGGATAATCCGTGAGTAATGGCCAATAAGGAATAAACGAAGAATCAAGTCATTCAAGATTGAGGTGACCGTCGGGTTTAGTCGATCTTTGCAAAGCCCGTGGTAAGTACCGAGTACTATCGAGTGGGCACCGATGAGCTAGCCTGTCCAATAAGGAGCTGCCGTGCATATAAATCCAACGCTGATCCTCAGCGCGTTGGAATATAATAATGGTAATAATAGCCTCAACAGGCCATAAAGTTGCAGGGATGCTTGTCACAAATACTATGTAAGATCATACGGTCTCAAATTTATTCCTCCTAACTCCATTTCCTTCTTTCCTCTTTCATTTCCCATTCAAGATACAATCATGTCCGGATTACGCCCATTTCCTCGAAAGACTGCCGTCGCAGTCGCTGTGGTTGGCGTGATTGGACTATGCGCAGCTCGAAGAGCCTCATTCCGCGATGAAGCCTTTCCAGAGTCTCCAAAGCCATGTGAGGGTCGGAGAGGTCGTGTTGGCCCCGGGGGAGAATGGGCTTCCAAACACTGCGCCTAGAAAGTTCCCAAGAAGTGAACGACAACACCAAACGTCTGCGCTTTCAATTGCCAGACCCAGTATCAAATGCTGGCCTGTCATTGGCTTGTAAGCTCATTGCTTTCTTCACAGACGACAAGTAAAAAGGATACACAACAGCTAAGATCAATTTCAGCATTCATTCTCACTTTCCATAAGCCGCAAGACGCCTGGTTTCCCGTAATCAGGCCATATACACCAATCAACAATTTTGGTCAGAGCATGGTCCCAATCCCCGAGCGAAATGAATAATCTTTGTTCTAACATGCATGTGCAGATGAGCCGGGGTACATTGAGCTGCTGGTCAAAAAATATCCCAATGGCAGAGCAAGCGGATATTTGCACTCGCTCCAGCCTGGTGACACACTGAAGATCCGAGGACCTATGTCGGGTTACAGATGGAAAACAAATGAATTCGAACATGTCAATCTTATCGCTGGTGGTGCCGGTATTACTCCCATGTATCAACTGATCCAAGGGATGCTGAACAACCCCGACGAAAAAAGCAAGATAAAATTGATTTTCGGAGTCAACACCGACAAAGATCTCGTCATGAAGAAAGAGCTCGACGCGTTCGAACAGAAGTTTCCCGATCGTCTTCAAGTTGTTTATACAGTCTCAGACCCAGTAGAGGGTTCACCGTTCGCCAAGGGGAAGATCACAAAGGAGTTGTTAGAGAAAGAATTGATGGGCCCAAGAGATAGCAAGACTACCAAAGTCTTTCTTTGCGGGCCTCCCGCTATGGAAGCGGCTATTTTTGGAAGTAAAGGTTGGACTTCAAGCCAGAATGGAGTCCTACAAGAACTTGGTTATGCCGCGGACCGGATTCACAAGTTTTAGCATGTCATTACCCATCATTTCTCTCTTTTTTTTTCCCGCTCGTTTGTGGATTCCAGAGTTTCATCAAAGTGGATTGGTCTGAAGTGTGTGAATATATCTCTTCTAGCTTTGGAATGAATCAATATTTCTCCATAAGACTGCGATTATGAGCTTAATACTCGACCGTTGCGAGTGGTTTTGTCAAGGTGTATATAACGTTCTTGGTACTTGAAGTCAATTTCAGACGTACAATTCCGTTTTGGACAGCTTCTCTGACAAAATGATAGAGCCTTTTTACTCATTTCTCACCCTTGGCGTGGGTATAGAATCTCATTATTGGCGCTGCCTTGTCACTGTAGTTGTACAATACCACTAGAAGCTTCTGCTTCACTTCGACCTATTCGAGTGTCTTGATTAGCCATAGGCTTTCTCGCACAACGGCGTCAAATACAATGTTTATTGTCGAAATTGGGTACTCTATAAGTCCTCCCGGACGCACTTCACGATCGGAGGTTCAATTCTTGGAAGTTGGGTGCCAAAGGCGTGGGTCTTGACAGATCTGTTGGGCCTGAGGATGCGGAACGAGTCGATCAAGTAGGAATTGCCCCATATTGCATAAAAGCGACGTCCATCGAAACACATGGTTTTAATGTTGCCCCGCTTTGACCTATAAATTTTGGCTAGGGAACTCGGTGCTCTGTTGCGACAAACATTTGCTGGTGCTATTGCAGTTCTAAGTCCCAGCAGCCGGCTCCCATCTCCTTTCACGCAGCCGGCGCTCCTCGAAACGCCTTCGTGTCGGTGTAAGTGAGAAAGAATTTGAGCCTTAAACAACAGCGATCCACAGAGGTTTTGCAGCGGACACACGTCTGCACTTCTACATTGCTCAGGGTTTTGGGAAAGCCATACAAAAGCTCACTGTTGTCCGTGGAGATGGTAGAGAGGATACGTAGTCGGGCTTGGACTGGCTCAAGACCAGTGGGAGGATGAGGGAGGATTGGGTGGCCTGGAAATGGGGTAAATGGTTTGCGCTGGTATGATCCCTATTAGTTGCAGGAGTGATGAGAAAGAGAGTTTCCCCTGATCGTCGAGTTGAACATGATGTTGCTGTCGTATAGCGATACGAATTTGACTTGTGATTTCGACCCCGCGATTTCAAGAATGACGGTCGGCTTGCGGGTATAGCTAGGTGATGGCCAGATGGGACCTGGGCGACGAGCCGAAAGAGAGAATCTAGGCGAGGCCGAGTCACTTCGGCTTGCTACAGCTATTGACTGTGGGGGAGGAGAAGGAAGAACAGGCTTGATTGATCGGACCACGACAAGCGTGGTATCTGTACCCTGAGGCCTAGCAAATAATCAGCCCAGTCTGTTAGCAAGCAATGAGAAAGAGGATTTCGGGTTGATCCGAGGCTAGAGCTTGAGGGTCGGAAGTCCTTTGCTGCTAGTGGCCACAAATAAAGACAAAGATATGCGAGGATCTCAAAGGTGGAAAAGGGGTACCTGATAGTCATGTAAGCAGGCAAAGCATTTTCCCACCCATATAACATTTGTTCAGGCATCTTTCCAGATGGCTTTTTATATGACCCTTTAGCTGCATATCTAGAATTTGAATCCTCGATTGCCTGACTTTCCCGATTTCCTTACCAGGGACCCTGGGCCCTACGTTTATCGTCACATTTATTGCCCAGCTGGCCCTAGCAGTTCAAAGCCTATTCACCCATTCTCCTGCTTTGAAAATCCACATGATATTCTTCATAGTTGATCACTTTTACTAGAAAAGGTACCACCGCAGGTCATGGATATTAAGATAACAGAGAGAATGCCTGATCGGATCAAGGCAAGCCACTCCACATCATGTTAGGGCTTGTATGGCGGAGGCAAATGACCACAATCAACTCCACTATCCCCACTAGTATACGAGTCATCATCGTAGCCAGGAGGAGGATCACCCTGTCGAGTGTGATTTTTGGGATCTAATCCAGGAATGGTAGATCCAAGGAGCACAGATGTAGATTTCTATTGCAGATCGTCAGTTGATACAGCCTCGTGTTAATGACGCACATGTAATTAACTCACCCCGGCCCGTGAGCCATGATTCCTGATAAAGACAGGATCATGATCCCCGACCTTCCCAATCAACTTGTTTCGCTTCCAAATACCATACTTGAGAACCAATCCTTGGAAGTCACTCCGCTCGATAGTGCATTCTGTGATAACGCAATTTGTCACGGTAGCTCTCTCGAGTTGACTGTTTGAGACTGTCGTTCCAGTCACGGTACTGCGCTTTACCGTGGCTTTGTCCTGGATGAGCGACTGTGTAATTGTAGATCGGCTTATCGAACTTTGTGTTTGTACAGTGCTTTCTGTGATATCGCTGCGCTCGACAGTGGCCGCTTCATGGAATTGAGATTTTTGAGCTGTGATCCGGCTCAGGTCTTCAACCTTTGATACCACACAGTCGCTGAGTGTGGATCTTTTTACATGGGAATTATCAATTGTGCAGTTGTTGAGGCAACTTCGAGTGATGGTGTTGCCATCCCCATTAAAGGGACTTGAGGCATTGTCATTATCCATAGTTCTGGATTCTGTACCTCGAGTGAGATATAATTTCCTGGATTTGACCAAATTCAAGTCGATAGATGTGGGAGAATTCGGGATTCGGGGTGGCTGAGGAAAGTTGTTGCCTAAGAAAAGATCGAAGAGGGGCTCTGGATATGAGCGGTTTATGTTCACCACTCATCCGATATCTATTCAGCCGCACGATGATAGATCCATCCACATGGCCAATTCTCGTTCTCCGGCATGGTAGACGGAGAAGATAAGAGAAGAGAAAATTCCGCCCCCAATTTTCGAAGCTCTTCAACCTCAAGCTCTATGCCTGTCTGTTCCCTCCCTACATTGGCCCCAGTAGAAGACCCCCTAAATTGAATCGTACGCAACTTTGGAAACCGCCCTTCCTTTATCTTGTTGACCGAGAGATTGAATACCTCATCCATTGAGTTGTATCCATCCAATATGAGAGTCTCCAAACTGAAAGGAAGAAACCGAGAAAGAATTGGCACGCCCGAGTGTACAATATAGCACCGGTAGAACTCTATAGAGAGGGTAAGGTGTTTCAAACCCTCCAAGTGATGAAAATCTGGGGGGTCATCTGGGGGGTCATCTGGATTCCAAATGTCGAGATCAAGATATACCACACCTGCTGAGCTGCTTCGTTGGATTTCTTTGATGTAATCACTTGTATTAAGACTGCACTCAAATGGCCCATTCGTGCGTAGCCATCGGCCTTTCATTGTGAGGTGGGTAAGGCCCTTGGGGAAGGCGAGAATCTCTGCAAATGTATCTGGCGAGACATCACAGTTGAGCAAGGCTAGGTCTTTGAGAGCTGTTTTCTTGGTCGGAAATCTTGGGCCAAAGGTCGCTCGATGCAAGGGTCTGATTCTAGCGCCTTGGATGTGGAGCTTCTCAAGCTCTTCCATGTAGAAAACAATCTCGTTGGGACCGAGTAACCACGAAGGCTCATCAGCATGGATTCTGAAGGCTTCCCCGAGATATACTGGAGAACATTAGACCCTTGCTCTCTTCCGTCGTATGCTATGACTTACAAGATCGTAGTCTTTGACCCGTATATTGAGTACGGGACTCAGTCTCAATGTTGTCATTCTTAGCAAGCATATTGAGCAACCTGTGGCTTGTCGAGTCCAGAATACCTTTGAGCGGCACGCTCCGCACGCTCAAGCTTTTCAGACTATGCATTTCGAAAATGCCATCGAGAAGAGCCTCGTGAATTTGATCCGTTCGGGCATTATGGAAGTGTACCTGTATCTCTTGGACAAGAGAGGATAACCAAGCGCTTTGCTGCATAGTGCTTGCAAGCTGCTCACACCTGACTGGATCCGTCAAACAAATCGAAGAATAGAGTGCGGGAATTGTAATATCATAGATTCTGCGGCAAGTCAACGCAAGATTATGAAGGGAATATGGTGATCGGACCAGATGCTGGAATATCATCTCCAGCAACTCGAGTGGAAGATTCTGGAAGAGGGAATATTGGACAGCCATGACGGAATTGTATACTTTGTTTAGGGAGATATTGAGATACGGGGGAGAATCAATGTAAAGAGAGGTTGTGTTCTACAGAAAGAAGCCAACTTATCTCGCTTGAGACCGGGCAGATCAGGCTTCCATTGTCTCAACAGGGCTGAACATGCGGGGCAATCCTTCCATGGATTTTGACTCTGATCTTATACTCCACGGTGTATGCAACAAAATTCATCAAGTCTAGGACACACCTCATTATGTATACGGAGTATCTGTCGACAGTCCCAGAGCTAGACCTATTTCTTCAGATCCGAGCATCCGAGAGCAAGAGTGCCACCCTAGATATGAGTCAGCTGTGGAATCTCGACTGAAGAGTCTGCGTTAAAGAGCATCACTTACAAGGAGGTTGGCCTCGGTGCAGCATTGGGGCTTGGTATCACAGCTGGACTTTTCGTACCCGTGGCCTGTGAAAGACGTTAGAAGAGTTTCCCTGTAAATCCCACAGAGTCCGAACATACATAAAAGACCAATAGATCCAACGATGTTGGCAGCGTCAATGCCGAGAGCCAACAAGAGGGGGGTCGACAATGGGGTCGAGAGGAGTGGTGAGAGTCCCACAGCAGAGGAGGGGACCGACACACTCCGAGGTATCAGGCTTGCTGCTCTCGGTGGAATCCGAGCGCTTCACGGAGAGGTTGGACTCTTGGGGGAGGGCAGACACAATGCCGGCGCCGACCAAAGAAAAGACGGAAAGGATAGAGAGTCTCATTTTAGTGGAATTTCACGAGGTGGTCGTTCGAAGAAGAGAGAGGTAGTTTTTGTTGTGATGAAGAAGGGATTGCGATTGTGAATGATATCTAGAGTCCGTGGGATATCCTGATCCTTATATAGCTTTCGTGACAAGGCACCCAAGGCATCACTTCCTTCTGGTACATCCTCCACATCCAAAAATTGAGCACGCTTATCACCGGTGTCGAATTGTGGAAACATCCATTCGTGAATCGTAGACATGACTCTCCCAATAGTTCCCATCAAGGAGATCTGCGAAACTCTAGATAGCGTTTGGCCCTGACATAAGAAGCCAATTGAGATGCTTCGACCTAGATCAGAGGTATGGAGGCGCTGAAAAAGCGAACGGTTCCTAGGACTGAATTGGACACGGTTCGTAATATGCGCATCTATGATCCGCATGGGTTCCAAGCGAGTTGTCTTGGCTGTCGATCGCTCACGCTTTATGCTCAATATCATTATCATTGATTGGAAGGCCTTGAGTCACTGGCCCCAGAGAAATGCCAAGTCAATTTGTAAAGCATATAGCCCCTGGGGCCCCGGTTATTCCCTCTCCATCTCTCCGGATGGGGGTGTTTTCCTTATCTGTGGACCCGGTTTCCGGGATGATCTGCCCTGTGGCATCGAATCAGAATTGCCAAGATGACGATCCACTGTAAGGAACTGGCAGAGCCCATTATTCCTCCGATCAACACTATCAACCAGCCGCAGTACTCAATTGATACATAATAAAAAGCAAATCATGTTCTCCACAGTGTAATTCGTTGAAATTTTACACAGTTGGTTTGTGATTTGTCGATTTCTCTCCCGTTCGAGCGCATACTGCGGTAGATCCGGATTCGATCCTGAGCACAGGAAGACATTGGAGATAAGACGAGCACCGTTGATTGCACGATGTCGAACTCATTTGCACGCACCATGGAGATAGACAGTATGATAATCCCAAGGCCTTGGTAACCTTCGATCTGGGTGCAGGCAATCTGAATGACCTTCGCTCTTCATTGGATCACTTGAATTTTGGTACATGTCGGCTTCCCCTGATTAACGTCATGGCCCATGATGATCTTGATAAGTGTGTCTGAACGAGTTACGTGAACGTATTGAATCAAGAATTGGAAGCAGATATCAATGCTGTGCCTTGGCTCAGTTTATCACCTGGAAATTGATGTCAACATCTGGAATCATCTTTTTTAGCGCTCTCGGAGAATTTGATGGTTGTCAATAATGATCGATTTGATGCTGTGCCGGGAAAGTAGAAAGGATAAGACATTCTGGTGGTTAGCTCTGGACTCAGGACATGGTGGATAACTGTTCGCCATTGAATTCCTCATGAACCTGCAATGCCTTTCTGAAACCTCGCTGAATTCAGGCAATGGCTTATATTGAATGGTCATCATGAAGATGAAAAGTGACCAGGGCTGATATGGAAACATGTGGCGGTGTATCTGTGGCGGTACGTTTTTTTGTTCACACCGCCACACCCTCGCGACACAAAAAACTTCCCGCCTCAATTAATCCACACCACATTCCCCGGGGTTATCAATCAACCACCCCTCTACCTTTTTGATTTTTGAGCAGTTGCCCAGCGCAAATTGCCCATAGATCATTTCAAAGATGCCTTCCACTTCTCTCGCCGACCTGGTGGCTTCCCTCCCTTCGGAGGACACCTGGGGCCCCTCCACCTCTGCCGATAATAACATGCTTTCCGGTGTGCCATACGCTCCTTTCTCCAAGGGCGACAAGCTTGGCCGCATGGCCGACTGGACTGCTGAGACCAAGGAGCGTCAAAACCAGCGTCCCCAGTACAACCGTGGTTTCAGAGGTATGTTTTCACTTTTGCATTTTCTCTCTCTTCACCAAACTGCTCTTTCAGTCGAAGAGCAATGGCTAACACTCTAAATAGACCAGCAGGTGTACGGCGCCGGCTCCTCCAACCTCTTCACTGTCGCAGCCGCCGAGGACGAGTCCTCCTTCTCTGTCGTTGATAACACCCGTGTCCAGAAGCGCGGCTTCGGCCGTGGCGGTGGCACCGTTTTCCGTGGCCGTGGTGGTCAGCGCGGTGCTGCCAACCAGCGCGGTGGACGTGGTGGCTTCCAGCGTGCTGGTCCTAATGTTGGTCGCGGCCAGCAGAGTGGTTACCAGTTCAGCGACCGTGGTGGTGCTCGTGGTGGCCGTGGTGGCCGCCGCTTCGGCTGGAGAGATTACGACAAGCCCCAGCGCATCCGTGAGGCCTCTGTCAACATTCGTCCTGACTGGACTATGCTCGAGGAGGTTGACTTCACCCGTCTTTCTAAGCTGAACCTCGATGCCCCCGAGGGCGAGGACCTCGAGACCTACGGTTTCCTCCACTACTACGACAAGTCTTACGACAAGCCCCCCGTCAAGAACGCCGAACGCAGAATGCAAGCCCTCGACCGTGCTGCCTACAACGTTACCACCTCCCAGGATCCCGTCATCAACGAGCTCTCCGAGAAGAACGCCGCTACCGTCTTCGCCACCTCTGATATCCTATCCATGCTGATGTGCGCCACCCGCAGTGTCTACTCGTGGGATATCGTCATCGTCCACCAGGGCGACAAGATCTACTTCGACAAGCGCGACGGTGCTTCCTTCGACATGGTCAGCGTCAACGAGAACGCCATCGATGCGCCCCTCGAGGCCGCCGAGGCCGCCGGCAAGCAGGACCAGATTAACACCCCCACCGCCCTCGCCATGGAGGCCACCATCATCAACCACAACTTCGCCCTGCAGACTCTGATCGAGTCCGACAAGTCCAAGGTCTCCTTCGCCAAGCCCAACCCCTTCTACGACGAGACCGAGGAGACCGAGCCCCTCGCCTCCAAGGGTTACAAGTACCGTCGCTTCGACATTTCCCTCGAGCGCGACGAGGAGCCCGTCTCCATGATCGTCCGTACCGAGGTCGACGCCGTCATGAAGGGCGGCCCCACCGGTTCCGAGGACCAGCAGCTCATTATCAAGGCCCTGAACGAGTTCGACCCCAAGGCCCAGGGCTCCGGCGGTGCCCTCGACTGGCGCAGCAAGCTCAACTCCCAGCGTGGTGCCGTCCTCGCTACCGAGATGAAGAACAACAGCGCCAAGCTCGCCCGCTGGACCACCCAGGCTATCCTTGCCAAGGCCGACGGCATGAAGCTCGGCTTCGTCTCCCGTGTCAACCCCCCGCTCTCCTGCTGCTCACGTCGTTCTCGGCGTTGCTGGCTACAAGCCCCGCGAGTTCGCTAGCCAGATGAACCTTAACCTCGGTAACGGTTGGGGTATTGTCCGTACTATCGTTGACCGTATCCGTGCTCTTGACTCCGACGAGCCCGCTGATAAGCTTAAGAAGTACGTTCTCATCAAGGACCCTAACAAGTCTGTCCTGCGTCTGTACAGCGTTCCTCCTACTACTTTCGAGGAGGAGGAGGAGGAGCTTGAGGAGGAAAAGTCGGATGACAAGTCCGATGCTGATGAGTAGATTTTTTGATGACTTATGTTCCTCCTTGAATGTGCATACGTACTCGACCTAAAATTTGATGCTTTTATACTCTTTATAGAGTCTGACCAATAATCAATTCAATAAAATTTGTGCACTAAACGCTTCCTTCAATAATTGTATAAATTGAACTCTACCTTCGAAAGCAAATGGCCCTGCCTTTTAGCATCTGGTCAGGTCCCATTATAGGTTGCCTACAGATGCAAGAGGTCTCGAAACGTGATGTTTATGATATTGAGTGACACGACCATATTGTGTATAACTTTCGGGGAACACAAGGCACGTCTTAGGTGCCTTCTCGGTGACTTTCTAGGCTTTCGCGGTACGCGTGGGGAAATACTACCATCGTTAGGTTTACGGCTTGTCTGTATATTCCTCCTTTGGGATATGGATGCCCAGATCATGATGATTGTTGGTTGCTGATATTTGGGTATCGTATACACCCCAGTGCTGTTGTAGTAGAGTGGTGTATTCTGATTGTTGGGAGCAAAATTAAAAAGCAATACAATTGTTGCTCCTGGAGATATGGGTGACAGGAGGTAAAGGGGCAAAAGAAGGGAAAATATTGTCCAGGTACATGCCATCTGCACCCGCGATGATTTTCGCTTATATACAACTCTCCGGGGGGAGCTAAAAACGAAACGAAAGAAGAGAAGAGTAAAAGGGATGAGCGAACGAAAGAAAGAGAGAAAGAAAAGGATGGAGAATCAAAAATGAAGTAGTTCACAAGCACAATCAAAACCGAAAGGCAGGCAGCAAAGCGCCGAGTCACTCCGCAGTAGCAACACAAAGATAAAGGATAAGATTCTCCAGGCATCAGGTCATAATTGTTTTCATCGAGTTCGACCCTCAGCGATACATCGTGTCATCGACAGCTGTGCCGTATACGCCGAGTTCAACCTTGGTGCCGAGCACGCTGCTCAGACAATCTATCAATTCAAAGTCTTCGACCACAGCGCCGAAGCCGTAGCAGCGGACCTTGGTGTTGAGAGTGTCCATGATGATCTTGATGTCATCGCGACGCAGTGTGGTGTAGAGCTCGTGATTCTTTAGACACTGCAGCGCCATGATGGGGGTGATCTGTCCTTCAGTCACGAGCTGTCGACTGAGGTTGAGGAGCGTGCTGAGGTTTGCGTGCGGGAGGTCCGGCGCCTTGTGTGGGTATGGTTGTTCAGGTGTGGTGTTCGCAATGTAGCTGGGCGGTGGACACGATGCCATCAGGGCGTGTCCGGAAAATGGCATGTCTTCATCGTCGGCTTCTGTGATCGACCGTCGGCAGAGATAGTCTGTGTGTTCGCGGCAGGGGCCTTCGAGTCTGCAGAGATGTATTCGTTAGCTTGTGTATTTGGCTAGAGCAGAATGGGCCTCACGTTAGGATAAAGTCAACCTGCAACTGGGGGTCCGTTTCGAAGACACCTCCCGGGTTAGCCGGCATGGGTTGCATAGTATCAACAGGTGCGCAAGATGAATGATCCATGCTCATAGAATGATCGCCTGCATTAGTGTGATACACTTGCTGCTGGGTCGCATATCCAATCGTGGGCAAGACCTCGGAGTGATCCATGCCATTGACGCGAGGGCTCATTCCGGATGAGATCGTAGTCGCGGGGGTTGTGTTGTGGTTGCTGGACGAAAGGGCGACAGGAGCAGTCTGCGACGCGGTGCTGCTACCAGCGACAGTAATAGGGCTCGAGTGGAAGGCCATCGGTGGGCGTTCCGCCCGGCGGCGCTCTAACTCGGCTTCGTATTGAATCCCGTTCGCTGCGAGAATTTCCTTGAGAATCTCATTCTCCTCTCGCATCGTATGCAACATAGCTTTGTGCTGTTGAATCGTTGTGGCGGCATCGACGACCTCGGTGGTGTAGGCCTCTCGTAACCGCGCTACCTCGACCTCCAGACCTCTCATGTATTGTTCCTTGCGCTCGCGATGTGTCCTGTGTGTGATCAGCCCAGCCAGATCATTATCGAATTGGAATGTGTACCTTTGCGCCTGGCGGTTTAGTTCTTGTCGCCTGGTAAGTGCAGGCTTGCTATCCGGCTTGGGCCCGCGACGTTTGGGCTGCTGGCCATCTGCAAAAACTTAATTCGGATCCAATCGAGTGACTGGCATTACCCTACCTCGCGTGGTCTTTCTTAGCCCATTGTTACCGATGTTACCGCCTCCGAAGAGCTTGAATATTTCTGCTCCGAACCCTTTGGATGGGGTCTGTGGTCCTTCTACCATGTCCCGCACCGTGCACTCCGGGGCCGTGGGCCGAGCCGGAAGTACGGTGCTATAATGTCAGCAACCGTTGTAATGCGATACAGTAATTGATAGGAGGAATCCCAGAAGGCCCAAGGCCGGTAATCGGGGAGAAAGCGCTCAGGTCTGGATAGCTTGGGTGATGACGGGGGGGGCACCTCCCATCCCATCCAAACCCACGATTGACTTCAATCGAGGGCTAAAGCTATATAGCTTAGATGAAGAAACTCACCAGAATATTCCATTGGATGATCCATGGGGTACACCCCACCACTAAGAGCCATGAGAGAGAGGTAAGGGAGAAGAGTAAGAAAAGTGGAATGTCGGAGTAAAGAGATAGGGTTGGAGAGAGAGTATAAGGAAGAAAAGTGTGATGGAGTCAATTTTGTACAACTCCTTTTTAACTCATTTTAGTTTATTCCTTTTTACTTTTTTTATGTATTATCGTCTGATTTAACTGGTTTTATAATAACCAAAAGGCGTTCGATCTGTCTTAAGGGCTCCACTGCACAAACGGCCGTGCTATGGAGTCAGTCTAGAAGTATTTTAGAATTGGTAGAAACCGGGTATATCCTGGTAGGAATTGATATGAAGAGACCCAAATCGGTATAGAAAAGGAATCGACAAGAGACAGAACCAGGCAGAAACAAGGAAAATCGTCAACCTTTACGTCCTTCACGTCTCTTACGTCTCTTACGTCCTTGACATGTTGGGGCGCAGGGAGCTCCCACTACATGGGTGGTACCACCGTCAACGGCCATTCCCACACGACATCAGAGGTACCTAGTAAGTACCGGGGACGTGCGAGATTTAGTGTGATCAGTCCAACGGGCTGACCAATCATTCATCCATAGAGACCTTCAGGTTGCATCCAATAGTCTCTCCCTCTTCATCATCGGGGATATCTTCATTTCTTTTTTGACAAATAATATGATCGGTGCCCTGATCCCACTAGTGCGCATCGAGTATCACAATGGGCGCAAAACGGAAAAATGATGCTCGATTCTCAGATTCTGGTGCACATCGCCGCCGCAAGCACCGCACAAGATGATGCACGCTATAGGGCCCAAGTTGCCGCGATTCTGGAATTCCAGTGTGCCTCACGCCAGCCACTCATGGAGATCGAGTCTTCAGGTCCCACCGATCGAGACCCGCATCCACTCTCCGATGCCGCCGAACATTCCTCGGTGCCCTTGACGACTCAACACGAGGCTTTGCCAATATTGCGGGAGGCGCTCCGGCCCGCATACACCACCACACCCTCGCCTCATTTGCTCCCTGAAATGGATGGCATGGCTCCACGCGCGCACATCATCTCAAATCATTCTTCTCTTGGGAGTCTCATCAGCGTCATCCCAGACTCCCAGCCAGAGATCGCCCAGCTAGTCCACGCCTCTCCATCTCATGCAGCGCTATCGTCTCCATCGCAGATTACTCCACCGCCACCTAAACGACGTTGCACAGCCCCGGCCTCGCCTGATCAGGCGAATCCGGTTTCAATTCACGTAACTCAACCTGCAGCGAACCAGCCCGCTGCATCTCACAGGGTGACCCCCTTCCAGTATCAGGATAATCCTCTCCACCCCACTGGTTTCCCCCAAACCCCCATCGAAACATCTAGCTTAGATCAAGAAAAAGGCCCAGACGCCTCCATCAGCCACCCTACCACACCCTCACTCTCGCATCCGATTCCCGCAAACTCCCCAACCCCTAATCCCATCCCTCTCTCCACCCTCCCCCTCGAAATCCACCCCCCAAGACCTCCAATCTCCACTTCCCCTTTCACTACCCATGTAACACCAACCCTGTCCATGCTCACAGAGCGCCTAAACCCAGCACGAACCTACAACCCTTCCACCCAATCTCGTCCCCTGGACCCCCTTGAACGGGGTTACTGGCTCGTGCATCTCTCTATCGAGCCACCCCAACACCAGACCCAAGATCCAGTCGATCTTCTCCCAAACCCCAACCCTGGAACCACTAGTCCCACTCCTCATCCAAAGCCAAACCTAAAAGAGAACCGGCCCTGGCCCTCTCCGCTCTTTCATGCCTTCTGGTCCTTCCTCTCGGACTTCGTAGGCAGGGATGGCCGGGCAGGCTGGGGCGTCTGGTGTATTCTCGAAGCTGCACCGGCCCCGTCAGCGATCTCGTCTGACACCCACGTCTCTCTTAAAGTATATGCGTGGGGAGAGGTCGCCATGCACGTTTACCTTTTGCTCTTCTTAGCGAGTGAGAGGCGGATTCGTGGGATGGGTGTTCAGTGGCGGGATTCGCGGGAAGAGGTTGTCATTCAAATGCCGTAGGATATACTCGTTGGTTAGGAAGAGGGCGTCTTGCACATCTGGTTGGAAATTGTAAACTTATGTATAACACCTCTATACCCCATACGCGTTGCATTGCGATAATGTCATTGGAAAATTTTTGATTCTTCAATTCCTTATTCGATAGAAGAGGGTTATTGTACATGCTTGGAAAGACAAAGAGAAAAAAGTTCCGTAGGGGATAATAGTAGGTAAACAACAAGCAGATAAGAATAAAAAGTAAGTTTCCGCAAGTAGAGAGAAATGGAAATGTTTGAATTCAATAAATGAGCAAGCTGGAGTAAGCAATCCTCCGATGGTCCCTCCGATGCGCCAGGTCGCCAATTGGAGAAAAGAAAAAAGGAAAGAGAATAAAAGATTGACCAAATCAGAGGCAACTAATACTGCAGCTCACCGCTGCCAGATGCGTCGACTGCATCCAGATCCTCGTAGCTCTTCAGGCTGCGGCCCTGGACGGCTTCGCGCGGTGCCATAGGACCTCCGTTGGAACCCATGGAGTCTGGGAACGGGTTACCGGCGGCCATGTTGGCGGCAGGGTGGCCAGCTGGGACGCTGGCACCAGGAGGCGGGAGACGACCACCGCCATACATGCCGGGCATGCCGCGGGGAGGACTCAGTCGACCATTCCCATTGAATCGGCGGCGGTCATAAGGGCCGGGTCGGTTGTTGCGGTTCTGGCCGCGGCGCATGGGTCCGGGCTGGTGCAGGCCGCCGTCATGTCCCATTGCGTTTCCATTCCAGCCTGCGTGAGAGCCCATCATGCCAGGCATGGCACCTGGTGGGAAGGTGGGCATGTTTCCATTGGGAGCGTAGGGCAGGCTGGCGAGGCTGAATCCACGAGGAGTGCCGGTGTGGCCTTGTCCACCTAGTGGGAAGTGACCGTTGCTGTTCGCATCAGATCGGGATGGGGCAATGCGTGCTGGGTCCAAGACATAGGCATTCACTAATGCGAGCTATGATGACTGTCAATACAAGGAGTCACTGTGGAATGGTTGCAAACTTACATCTTTCTTGATACCTTCAAACCACTCTGTATGGCGCTTCTCAACATGCTTGCGCCAGAAGGCTTCGGCCTTGAAAAGCTTGGTACAATCAGGCGCTTTGCATCTGTACTTGGAGTCATCCTCCTGCTTCATGTACTTCAAAAGTTCATCTTCAAGCGCCTGGTCAACGGGCTTGCCGCCGAGCTTGCTGAGATCGACGTTCTCTGGCTCCAGGATCTGCAGCAACTTGTCTTCAAATGTTTTCACCCAGTTAAAGGCACGCTGCAGTTGCTGTTCAGACTTGGACCCATGGCGCTGTCCGCGCTTCTCCTGGACAGGTGAAGAGAGGTCTTCTCCTTCCTCGCTAGGTTCCTTCTTCTTGACTGGGAACGGCTGGCCAAGAGCGCTGGCTCGGGCCACTTCCTTAGCCTGGCTGGAAAGTCCAGTACGTGGTCGGCGAAGGTGTCCGCCAGGGCACTTGCGACCAAGCTCATGGACCGAGTCACTTTCAAAGACACAGAAGAAGCAGAAGTTGTAGACCCGACGCAGGTACTCAACTACCAAATCCAGCTTCTTTTTCTTGACTGCAAGTTCCTCATCATCCACTTCCTCCTCGTCTGGGGTTTCCTTCTCTTCGCCTTCCTCAATCTCCCCTTCATCTCCTTCGTCGCTATATCCGTTTCTCTGCTTCTTGGCACTGACTGGTCCCGTAGGAGGGGGTTGGAGCTCACCCTTACCGCGCAGGTCGTCTACATACTCTTCGATTTTAGTGAACCCATCCACACCGGTACTCATCTCGGAATCCAGCTTGGCAGTTAAACGTTTAGCCAGCTCGAGATCACGGTCAATCCGTTCGGGCGCGGAGAAGAGATCCCAGAGAGCCTTCTTGCGCGGCTGAGCAGGGGGAACATGGATTCCCACATGACAAACAAAGTCCCCGTGGACGGAATCATGAATGGTTTTGTCATTAACAGCCTCGAGGGCTTTCTCAGCCGGGCTGGTTGTGGCACCGCCGTTGGCATCTCCATCATGGTCCATGTTTTCTAATTCTTCCTCGCGTCCATCTCCACGCTCCACTGTGCTGGTGTTCGCCGAAGGATGCAACATGATCCATCCCATGCGGTGGAACTTCTTGGAAGGGTTGGGGTCGCTGAGGCTAAGCCCCTTGAAACCTCCATCCTCCTCGCCCAGATGCTCTTTGCAGAACTCCTCAATCTTGCTGCGACTGACATTTGGTGCAAGGGTTTTAATAAGAAGCGCAGGCTGACCAAGAGCTTCGTCGCGAAGGTCTCCGCCACGGACTGGAAGTAGGTCAAGTACTCCCATGGTCTCAGCGGCAGCCGTAGTCTCGCCTTCCTCTTTTTCCACCATACCACCAGCACCATCGCTATCACTCTTGTATATGCCTTCGAGCGTGAAATCTTTAAAAAGGTTGTTCTCAAGATCATGCTCCCACTGCTCAAATGCGCCCTGTCGAACCGTCATGAGACGGGCGCGAAGAGGATCTCTGACTTCAGGAACATAGCGCTCTTTGAACCATTCTTCGTTCCGGTGTTGCTGGACGAACAGTCTAGCCAGTCGAATTTGCAGATCGACCTTGTATGTATCATAGGCAGCCTGGATTTGCGCGCGTTCCTTCTCGCGATCTTCGCGCGCCTCACGCTCTCCCTTTACTCGACGACCGCCGTTCTTGGCGCGCTCTTTCTCTTCATTCACAGCCTCCTCCAATCTCCACCACTCAGCGAACCAATTGAATCCCACTTGGAAATCGAGTGTAAGGGGATTGGGCATAGGGTTGGTATGGATAGGACGATTGCCACTGCCGCTGTCTTGTCCGGGCACATAGCGATCAATGTTTGCCACAGTTGGCGAGGGGGCACGTCGGCGATCCTCGCGCTCTCGGGCAGCATGCTCCCGAGAATTGTTGTAAAAGTCCTCCCGGTGAGAACGACGCTCTGAAGGTTCGTACCGGTCGATCACGGGCGAACGGGAGCGCGGCCGTACACGTCGTCGATCTTGAGAGGCTGGCAAAGAGTCAATTTCGCCTATCTCTTTGTAATTAGATTCGGTGATAGACTTACCGGGCGACCGACGTCTGTATGATTCCCCTGTGGCTCGTCCCGTAAAGGAATCCGATTCACGGTTCCTTCCGGGAGATCCATAACCATCGTAGGAATCCATTGTTTGAAACCTTCCGAGATGGGTGTATTGTGTCGCCTTTGCTGCGAACAGGGTATCGATATATCCAAGGACTCAGTCCAGGTGGATAAAGCACAAACGGGACAATCTGCGTTGATCGATCAAGTAGTCGGGAACCGCAGGATGAGCTAAGATTCGATATTCGTCAACATCAGACCAAGCAACTTCTTAGAGCGAAATAGCGATCGTGGCGGTTGGGAAGTTCACGAGGAATAACAGAGGCAGGGGTTCAGGGAAAAGAGAGAGACAAGGACACACTGCTGCTGGCGACATGTCGGCCCTGGAACTTGGCAAGGGCTTGGAACATCTTCGCAGCAGGTGATTTCGGATAGCAAAGAGAGATTATAAAGAAGGCTGTTGGCCAGAGCCAATGCAGTTATGCATTCAAGGAGTCATAGCTCACAAGATCCAGCAATGCGCAGCTGGCGCCACGGCTTAGAAAGGAAGAAAAGAAGATGAAGCAGGGGATTTGGAAAGCAGGGTCAGAGGAGCGGAGGATGATAGAAAGAGAAGGGGCAAGGGAGAAAGCCAAAGAATAAACAGAAAGCGAATTGGAGAAAGAAGAGGGCCACCTACAAGAAGCCTCGAGCGACACACGACAGTTGGTGATGAAGGGAAGAAGCCGAGGAGGCGGACGAAGCTGGAGAGAGCTGGGGCGCTTGACCAAAAGGGGTATAGCGTCACGGGGATGAACAGCGGCAGCTGATTGGCGGGTTGTCAGGAACAGGTCCAGATGACAATTGTCTGCCCTAACTTGGGCAACAGTTGAATCTGTAATTTTTAACAGTGAAAGTCGAGAATAAAATGTGTAGATGGAGGGGAAAGAATAGAAAAGTCCAAGTTGAAGAACGTGAGAGCCGGCTTAATCATTCCAATACCCTACCGGATATCAATGAAGTATAACTTCCTATAACAGGTGGGAGGTCCTGACAACTTCAATCTTTTCGATGATTTCCTTCATGGAAGTCTGCTTCGGTGTTGTGCTACTCGTTCTTACTCAGCCCCCTATCATTGGAACCTTTGATTTTTCTTGGCCATCCTGATCATTCATGTTTATTGCCGGGTCCCTTTTCGCTTCACTAGCGCTGGCAAACGAAGTGATATTCCGCATAGATCCCTGCAATACAGGATAATCAAAATATTCCAGATTCTTCTTAGCTTGGTCTTTACGGACATGTATTTCTCGGTACTTGACCAAAATTCAATTGCCTTGTCGATATATCACATTTGAAACACTACTTGCCAAAAAAAAGTCTATATCACTCCCGGTAATGGCTAAATTTCTAGTCATATATGGCTCAAAGGCCTGTACTCAATATATAAGACTAAGTATCGGGGGAAACAACTACATAACATTCAATGTTAAAAGAATTTCTCGTTAGAGCCAGAGGCCAATTGCCTAGTCAGTATCAAACAAAGAAGATCAGTTTCACTGGCTTTAACCTTCTCTCCTCATAAACCTACCCTTGAATAAATAATTTGGCTGAAGATGCAGCTACATACCTAGGGGCCTGATACCCAACCACAAGCTGAACTACAGGCTGCTTAAGACTCAACAAGGACGTAAACAAGCGAAAACAGGAGACACAATGCAGTAATATATACTACGAATAGGTATGAAGTACTCCAAACCTTGGCAGATAATACCTACGAAGGCGAGGGAGCTCAACTTGCAATTTCCCCAGGTCTTTCACAAGCACAAGATTTCATACGTCCATGCTGACCGCTGATTGGTTGATCAGAACCACCACGCTCGCCAAATCACACCAGCATAACACGGCCACATTTTACCTACAATCGAACGACCATGTCAGGTCTACTCAACTCTCGCTGGGCACCCGGATCTGGAGGAAATAAACGATACCCGGCGAGTCAAAATGCTCCCCGGTATTGGCCCTCTAATAACTCCAACCCCAGCGGTAACAGCAGCATCCGCCCGACGACTATCACACCCCAAGATGGCCGTTTGCTGCCGCCAGCCGAAGAATTGGCACGATTTATGAAAATTGTCGCTAGGCTGCGATGGAAACTCCCATTTTTAGCTGAAGGATACCGCCTTGCAACTCTGGAAATCGGGGATGTGATATCGGCAGATGACGTCGCACATGCTGAAATAATGTTCAAGATCGATTTCCACGAATATTATGCTCTACTAGAACGTGCCATTGTCCACTTACTGGCGGTATTCAATATATCAGTTACGTCATCGCCACGAGGACCACCTAATAATGGAAATGGCATCGGTCGGCCTGTTGGTATTCACCGATATCACGCCAATGTGCTAGAGGCCTTGCGGGAGCAATCAACCCCACTGTCCCCGGTTCTTGGTGGTGGCAATGTCTATTTGCAATTACAAAAAGCCAAGGAACTGCGGAATAGGTGGAAAACTGCCGATTTGACCACGGAAGAGAGAGAAAAGCAAGGGGAAAGAAAGGATGTTGTGACGCTTGCAAGCTTTGACTTCGAGGGCATCATCTCGGATATCTTTGGCGGTTTAGAAGAATCATATATTCGCGCAAAGGAGCATGTCGACAAGTGTATTCGCCCAGAGGAGGCCACTGGAGATGGGGCAAGCTCTGAGGCAGACTGGGGGTTCATGGTCGATGCTATGGATTGGGAAGCTGTGTGAGAGCTGGCGAACTGCAGAATTTATGGCTGCTCATTCAGTGCCCATTCAATGGTGTGATGGATGTATGTGTTGCTGGAGGTTGCTATCAAAGCCTGATATATGCACGGTTCAATAAATAGGCGCGGGCTTTCGTGGACAGATCGCTATTGGACACTGCATACATGGCTCAACACGACATTTGTGTCTTCCAGCCCCTGTTTTGATATTCCTTCCACTCGAAAATTTCGTGGTCGATGGGAAGGCTCCCGGGATTTACAAAACTTGCACTTCGCTTCCGGAGTCCCACCAGGAAAGAATTCATTTCCTCCTTGTTCCATGTTACAATCAAAGCCCACACAGCTTTGCTAAATGGAATCAAGGATGTCAACACCTCGAGTCATCACCAATCTCAAATACTTCCTCTCTCTCCGATTGTTTTCTTGTCCTGTCTTTCTCTGTCTCGATCTCATACACCCCTTTCTGTCACATCATCCATCACTTCGTCCTCTGTTGTGACAAAGTGTAGACTTTGGTAGACCAGAAAGCTCCATTATACTCACGCCCTCTTGACTCACACTCCCCTTGGCTCCCATCTTGCAATGAGCTTATAAGCGCATTTATAGTCTCAGTGACCTGCATGCTATGATGGACTTGATAATGAGATATACTACTAAATTGATCAAGTTCTGCGACCATCGCTAGACCCGTAAGTTAATACGATTCCTCGACCAGACACGAGTTTTCAAGCGTACTCCGAACATTAGGAGGCGCCGTAAATTTGACACTCTTCTGTACCTGCCCTAAAGTGCCCCTACTCACATCCTCATGTCCGCCCAGCACCTTATACGCGCCACTATAAGTCAATGCATCTCATTTCCGGTGTTAAAACAGACTACATCCACGCTCATGTCCTGCTCAACTAAATTTCCCCTTACTCGCCATAGAGAAAACCCCTACAATACAGATATTCCAGATACTGCTGATACAGACAAAAGCCAAGGCAAGACAACAGTATAAGTATCTGCATAATATGTCCATAATTTCACAATCTACAATCCAATTTCCATCCTGCCTTGCATCCATCGCCCTGCCGAATCCTAGCAAAAACATAAACAGGACGCAAGAGAAGGGAAGAAAGGAAAACGTCAATACTAAAATTCAAATGATATTCATAAAACAAACCAGTCTTTCGAAAACCGATATCCCGATCTGTTTTTCCAGTGATGGACCCTCTCTAAAATTCCCAGCCAGAGACCCATAAACCCGCAACACGAGACACCGAGACAGAATGAAAGGAAGTAGGAAATGGGGATGTAACAGGAAAAGAATATGAAAGAGATTGCCAGAAGCATATTCATAATAGAACATAAAAGTAGATAGAAGCATGGAGACAGAAAGGTGGAGATAGGAGTTTCGAGTTGGGACCTCGAATATTTAGCCAATTGCTAACTGCCGAATATTATTAGGTGGCATATCGAGCACAACCATGTGCCCTTCAAGACCCTACATATAATATGAGGGCCAGCAAGCAAGATAATTTCGAGCAGAGTAAAGCAGAGCGTGCCATGTCTCCAGTCTCACGTATCACATCCACAGGGGGTGAAAGTGTAGATGCTTGAAATGGTCATTCTTGTACAAGGTTTCTCCCATGAACTGAGAGAGGCACCGTTGAGAAAGAGGATTGAGGAGATAAGATAGGCAAGAGGGGGAATGAAGAGGAAATAGATCGTCCCAGCATAGCGAATATAAACAGACATCAGGGGGAGATGGGGGTAAGATAGGTCAAAACAAAAACAGATGAGAAGAAACACATGAGACAAAAGCATATCAGACAAAAAGCACATAAATGGGGCATAGAGCATAGAAAGGGGGGATCCATACACATCGCTCGCTAGAGAAAAGGTCCAAGACGTCCATCCATAAAGCCGTGACGACAAAAGAAAATAAGGAAAATTCAATACCGCAAGTCACGCTAGCAAGACGTGTAGTATTCACAGTCTTGAGGCGAAAACAAATGAAGATGAGGGAGATTAACCGTCCTCATCTGAGGGCTCGGCAGAGTCCCCCGAGCTTCCATCGGCGCTGGCATTGGTCTTCGTTTTCTTGGAAGAGTTGATACCATCTCCTTGGACTTCACTTGACTTGCGCTTCTGTCCAGCACCATTCTCAGTTGGCAATGGCTTGCTGAGGTCCTCGAAGGTAACAGGCTGGCCTGTTACCTCTTCTCGTTTCTCCATCGCGGCCACCTCATCTGCGGTCAGGAAACGTCCACCGGGTCCACGTGGTCTTCGCATGGCATGGTTGTGTCTTGACTCGTGCAAGTAAGGCTTGCGACCCTTTGATGTCAAACGCAGCTGCTCCTCGAGCTTTTGTCGCGCTACGCGACGTTTCAAGATTCTGTGGAACTGCTTGGCGTTCACATACAAGGGCGACTCTTCTTGGTTGCTGCCAGGCACCATGTCGGGTGAGGGCTGGTTCTGTTGTACGGGGGCCTGGGGAATTGGGGCAGCGATAGGGGCCCGGCCGACGTGGCTCATGACGGGCTGTGCAGTCTGGACGTTAGGGCTACCGACATGGCTCATGCGACGTTGAGAAAGTTGCTGGTTTGGCGGCATCTGGACCTGTGATCCCATGGGAGGCATCTGGTTCTGCATCTGGGGTGGGGACCGGGGGTCACGGTCCTGCTTCATTTGCATGCTCGCCATGCGCGGCGAAGCTCGGGAACCCTGAGGCATCTGGCCAGCCATGGAGTCTTGGTGAAGGGGGTAGAACTGCCCAGATGCAGCTGCGGTGGCCATCGCGGCAGCCTGCGTCGGCGAGATGCCGTAGCCCTGAGCCATGGGCGCAGGGACACCATAACCTTGGGGGAAATTCATTTGTTGGTGAACACCTCCGGGTCCATTCTGGGCTTGTTGGTAATGAGGTTGCGACGGAACGATAGGAGAGGTCTGGTGTGTTGAGTGAGGTTGGATTGGTGCCTGGGCATTGGTGGGCGAGGCCATCGACCCAACGGGGGCACCGGCGTTTGGTGGGCCGGTTTGGTAAGGACCGGGGATGTGAGATGGGGCATGTGGATGTTGCCCATGAGCTTGTTGATATTGAGGAGGGTACTCCATACTGGCGAGTTGTGATAGTGGATCTTGTCACACTACAGGGCGCGCCGATTCGATGGATCGATCTAAACCGACTTAAGATATCTTGAGATCACCAATCAGACCCAAAGGATTTGGGATAGTAGGTCTAAATATGTCAAAGTTGACGGCGACTTCTGTTTGGTAGATGTAAAGCGATATCACAGAGCGCGCGCAATGAGGCACAGAGTCACCACAAGTACTAGGGTAGGCAACCGATGATTCGATGGATAGTCTGCAGGCTCGGGGATTCGCGTCAGCAGAGCGCATCGCCGAGCGGTCACTGGATTGGTGGGTGGGGGTATGGGGAAACAAAATAACACAACAGGGACCAGGCACGTACCTTAAATTGTGGGTGCGTGTGAGCCGATATTGTGTTTCGTCAAGAGAAACTCTCAAACTCTTGTCAAGAATAATCTTGAATGGCTTGCGGAGGGTTTTGGCTCTTTTGTGCAAAATTGTTTACGCCCACTGTCGGGTGTAACGTGGTTGGGCTGTGATGCAGCCGGGGGGTCACCTCAACTAGATGTCGGCTTGATGCGTTGTCAAGTCAATACAGACCTGATGATACCCAGAGTGGAGGCTACGCAGTATAAATCAAGCACGGTCGGCAAGCTACCTCACGCAATTCTGGAAGGAATTGCGGTCCAGCGTAGAATCCAGGCAGTGCTGACAGCCTCGACTTGCAATAGATAACGCCCAGGGGGTTGATGTCAGAATGCGCCCTCAAGTCTCCACGCACCAACACTATGGGGCAGCATTAGCATTTCATCTAGCCAATCATTGCGATGAATCAACGACCAATGCGCTGTCAATACACGAGGTTGAAGTGGAGGGGGGTTTGGGAAATCCGGGGCGGGTCAAACCGGTCAGAGCTGGGAGGGGAGACCAAGATGTATGCGTTGGCAAAGGAGTTTAGCTGCAGGGAACCTACCTTGTCGATCGGCTTCTGCAGAGCGGAAAAGTGAAGATTCGGGATAGTTTTAAAGCCAAAGCTAAGTGATCACTTTGCGCGACTATATGTCATATGTTAGATCCAACTCACGAGGGAAGATGTAAATGCTAGCGAACGCGTGCAGATTGGATGAAAAGAAAGATAAAGCGCGGCGCGCATAGGTAAAACATAAAAGAGCCAATGAGGGAAGAGTAAGGATGTAGCAGGTGAAGACAAAGTGTGTTTTGGTTCAGCACGCGTTGTTTTGCCACGAGATAAGCAGCGCGCGCAACGTGGGGAGAGCTTAGCGATTACCTTAATAGGCACGGCAGAAAGGATATGGATAATCTCCGGGGTGTTAGGGTGACTTTCCAATCCCAAGCAATCAAGGGATCCCAGGGTAGAAGATGATTTGACCAGAGGGAGGGGGAGATCGAGGGAATCGTGCCAACGAGAGGGCGGTGATTCTGTGGGAGCCACTGATGTCAAGCCGGGCAGTTCCGCATGTGTATAGGACCGGCAGTACACAGTACACAGTACACAGTACAGGTATATAGGGATACAATTGTTCAAATGAGTGGGAGCAAAAAGGGGAATAAAGGGAATAGAAAGGATTCAAACTGGAAATGTCAACGTGTATTTACCCTGACCAATGTCAAGATCAAAGGCAATTCAAACAAAGAAGATACCAAGCAAAAAAAAAAAAAAGCATACAATTGCAGTGTATTCAAATCAAAATGTATAACTTACCCCAGTTTGAATATCACCAATAGCAAAGGAATGACCTTATGCAAGGCAGGGTTTCACCAATAATGATGTAAAAGGGGGGGAATAATTGGAGGATGAACTGGAGAGAGTGCGGGCAACCAACGAGAAGAGGCAGAGGGAAGAAAGGCGAGGAAAAAGGGCGGATGGGGCAGTTTTGTAGGAGATTGACTGGCTGCCGATAGAGAGACCGCCTTACTCCCCGCTGATGAGGCCGCCTTTTCTGCGATATTACATTCAATTACATGTAAATATGGGTGATTACTGGGTTGATTGGCCTTGATGGTCGCTCAATTGGCCCCCAATGGTATCAGCATTACAATACAGTACAAATCCGGCCGTCCCGAGCTCTCGTGTGTGTGTGACCCGAGACTTATGACGCGCCCTCCAGGCCTCTATACTTCCAACATAGGTAGATTTCAACCTCATATTTCTTTAACTTCATGTTGCTCTCTATCTCCTCATTTTCTCATCTGACGTGAAAAACTTGAAACCCAACCCGAGGATGATACACTTGCTGCATGTCTGCCCACTTCATCACTCGTCTCATTTTAATAATCGCCTCATTTCTTTTTTGGCCCTATTTCGTCAGCTTGACTGTGGCTCATGATTATCATTTCGCATACCCAAAATGATATGCTCTATCTCTCTTTGCTTTTGCTTACTCACAGTGGGCACCGCGTACTTCGGCCGTGTGCCCTATTTAGGGAAGTCTCCTCCACCTCATGTCCCATCTCATCAATGACCCTGGCTTCGAAGCTTGGGTCCAATGTATTGCCGAAAATTGAGAGCTCCACAGAAGACAGGCTTTTTGATAGTACGGTCTACTATGCACGGCATTCTCCGTCCCCACCGTAGTGTGATGACCACGGCAGTGTGATGAGATTTCTTTAGGTGGCGGCAATGAATTTATCTCCCCGGGCGGCAACATTTTAATCCTGACGGGAGTGACAGCTTGGCACAAAAGGCCTCCATCTGGGACGAGTTGACAAGGTCTGAGTATCAATAGATGTTCACTGAAAAACACGAGGTCTCCCCAGGTACTGACTTGGCACATTGAAGTATTTGTTCCAGCCAAGATCATGACGCAGTGGAATTAACCGGCGGCACATGTCCAATGTACGGAGACCGTTGTTATAGTGGACTGTACCTATTATTAAACATCCGAACTGGCGGTCGAAACGAGTTTGCTCACCGTAGATTTATCCCCGGCTGAAATATCCCCCCCACCTTGTGTGGTTGTCTCGGATATATGCTCCCCCAAATTGCCTCGTCTCAGGCCCAATTGCCAGGCAATTTAAACGAGAAAATGCTATGCTCTTATGCTTCTATACTTTACTCCGTATATACTCCCGGGTTAATCCCCACGTGCATTCTAGTCACGTTTAGTAGCTTCTCATGGGCCATTTAGCGCAGGCGACAATCCCGATTCGCAGAGACGGATGGGTCCGATCTCCGGACCATGAAACGTCCCCACGTGCGTGAAGCTTGACCGCTTAACCGCTTGGCTTCGGACCTTCAACTTCTGGTTTCTACATGGCTTTACAGAGGTCCTACACGTGTAAGGTGCTCATGTGTTATATTGATAAATTCCCGGTCGGTCCCTGGCTTTTGTATAATTCCAACCGATATTTGTGGCCTCGGTGCCAGGGTAACCCGCATTCCTTGAAATATATATTGTAGTCGTGTAGCACAACAAGCGATAAAATATATAACTATCTCGGAAATCAACACAAGTTATACCCTAACAAGCAGCTGTTCTCTGCTAATTACCATGAAAGGCATAGGAAACTAAAATAAACAATAAACAAAAGTTCCTTGTTTTGAGAGAGTATGCTCAATTGTAGCGTCCAATCATTCTAACAGACTGAGACCTTGACCTCATCTCTAGTGGTCGGGTTACTTGGTAGAGTATTAAACTGAGCTGGTTTCGGGTAATTTCTAGACAACCCTATATTACCAAAGCAAGAGCAAAAGCTGTTCGCTTGCTGACACGCGTACCGACGCACTTACAACATATACTGTGGACACCGACCACAGTAAGAATATCAAATGAGCCAAGGGCCACATCAAAAAGCAGAGACTCGTATACCTCAAATTCTGTCAAAACGCTAAAGGTCGCCTACGCGTAATCCATATTTGTTTGTCCTTCGATCCAGCAAAGTGTCCAACTCTGAAGGCCATCATGTCGATACCTTGGTTCCGTTTTCCATCACACAGACCTTCCCAGTAATAGGTTCTGATCAACGATTGGTGAGTCAGAATATAAGCACATATCCATGGATACGTTGACTTCACAGAGTCCTTACTGCGCTATGTCTGCTTGCGCACTTCGGTATACATTTCAGCTTCCTTGTTATTTGCGTATCGCGGTATGCTATATAATGATCGGGTAGCATATGCATTATTAGCCGTTTTGATCAGGCGAGAGTCCGTGGAACTCATACCTGCTACGAATCCACATGGCAAACAAGAAAACCATACCTATGGTTAGAGGGATGTCGAGACCAAGAGGTAGGCCAACAGCAAGACCCCGATTGATAGCTTGTGGACTATCGTTAAAGTCATTGCCAACCTTTGTAGAAAGGGCCTGGTACTTTGCGCTCATCATATTGACCTCTGCACTGAGGATATCATGAAGCCTGGCAGGTAGAGCTTCAACTTCCGCTTTCCAGTGATTGATTTCTGCAGTACTCTGATTGACCTGTGTAGAAAGAGATTTGATATCTGTGTGCAAGCGACCGTTCTCTCCGTAAGAATCACCAATAGATGAGATATTTGCGCTCGATCCCTCCTTGTGTGCACTGCTCTGGATTGTACTCATCTTGATAGCTCCGATTTCATTGTCCAATTTCTCACATCATGACTGTAACTCACGTAGCACCTGAGCATGATTATCTATGGCAAAATCCAAGTCAGATGAAAATGTAACACCCATGTTGTCATGAATTGAGACGATCGATGCGGGAATCCGAAAGTTGGTGCAGAATTATATGACAAAATCGATCACCATCGTAAATACTTGAAGTGATATCACTTGTAGCCACTTACACATATAAATGTCATAGAAGAACTCAGAGAGCTGCATCTACATATGGCCTGGACCTCGTCATAACTCTATTCACTCACGTCGATGTAAACATGAGGCAAAGAAGTTCGAGTTAGTATATAGTTGTGGCTGGGCCAGAGTGTGGTTAAAACGGCAGCAGACACTGAGACCGTATCTAAACAATAATCCCCTCAGAAGCAGCGATTTATCTACGAGCCCCTTCATAGGTACCTAGACATGGAGATGTACAATAAACAACCTAAAGGGCTTCAGCCCCTTACAGTCCACGGGTGGCGGTGGAGCGCTTACTCAGCATCCCCCCGGACCAAAGTGGCTTTTCCGCATCGTTGTTGACTCGAACCACAATTGCATTTTATTTTGCTTTGTGCCTTGAGAAAACCGACTCTGTGGCTGGTTTTCCTTGGTGGGCAAACTTCCAGCGCTGCAAGATCCAGGCTCCCCGCATATCGGCAAACCTCCCCCACAAAAAAAAATACATCACAGACGCGCGACATAAATATTGGACCGATACATGACGTCTTTGTTGACACCGATCTCGAATATCGCTACGAACCACTTCCAAACGATCACAAGCCATTTATCCACCCCGACCTCACGCTCATTTCCCTGCGACAGACCTTCAAGCCGCGCTCCTCGCGGAGTTTGCGCATCGGTGTACCCCTGTTACCACTAGCATCCCACATCCGGACTCCGGGTTTCATACACGTCCATTGTTGACGAACCTCTCCTGTGCATGGGTTAGAGAGCAAAGATGGCTCCAGGCGGCGGTGGAAATATTAAGGTGGTGGTGCGAGTGCGGCCTTTCAATAGTCGAGGTGGGCTAATACCGGGGGAGGGGTTATCCCTGGGACCTTAAGCTAACCAGTCTGTTCTTATATAGAGATCGAGCGAGGCGCAAAATGTATCGTGTCGATGAAAGGCAACCAGACCGTGCTCACTCCACCACCTGGCGCAGAGGAAAAATCCCGAAAGGGTGGGAAGGGTGCTATTGAAGGGAACAAAGTCTTTGCCTTTGACAGATCATATTGGTCCTTCGATAAGAAATCATCAAACTTTGCCGACCAAAATGACCTTTTCGACGATCTGGGTTCTCCGCTTCTGGACAATGCCTTTGGGGGATACAACAATTGTATCTTCGCCTATGGTCAGACTGGCTCAGGAAAATCATATTCCATGATGGGTTATGGCAAGGAATACGGTGTAATTCCACGGATTTGCCAGTCGATGTTCGAGCGCATAAGTGCGATCCAAACGGACAAGTTACTAAATTGCACGGTTGAGGTGTCATACCTCGAGATCTACAACGAGCGGGTACGCGATTTGCTCAACCCGTCAAACAAAGGCAACCTGAAAGTTCGTGAGCATCCGTCGACGGGTCCTTATGTCGAGGATCTGGCGAAACTTGTCGTCGGATCTTTCGAAGAAATCGAGAACCTGATGGACGAGGGCAACAAAGCGCGAACGGTTGCTGCGACTAACATGAACGAAACCTCTAGTCGATCGCATGCCGTTTTCACCTTGACTCTGACACAAAAGAGACACGACCAAGAGACCTCGATGGATACCGAGAAGGTGTCGAAAATCAGTTTGGTTGATTTGGCTGGTTCAGAAAGAGCTAACTCGACTGGAGCTACCGGAGCGCGGTTGAAGGAGGGTGCGGAGATCAATCGCTCACTGTCAACGCTTGGTCGTGTCATTGCTGCACTCGCCGATGTCTCTGCTGGCAAGACCTCGGCCGGCAAGAAGAAGACTGCATCCATGGTACCATATCGTGATTCAATTCTGACATGGTTGCTCAAGGACTCTCTGGGTGGAAATTCGATGACCTCCATGATTGCAGCAATTTCTCCTGCAGACATCAACTTTGACGAAACCCTTGGTACTCTGCGATACGCTGACTCAGCGAAACGAATCAAGAATCATGCTGTTGTGAACGAAGATCCAAATGCACGCATGATTCGCGAACTCAAGGAGGAATTGGCACAGCTCCGATCAAAACTTGGAGGCGGAGTTGGACCGGGAGGAACAGGTGGTGCTATAGGCGGTGTTCCACAGGAGTATTACCCTCCAGATACACCGCTGGAGAAACAGATGGTCTCCATCCAACAGCCGGATGGGACTGTCACCCAGGTCAGCAAAGCGGAGATTGTAGAGCAGCTCAATCAGAGTGAGAAGCTTTACAAAGACCTAAACCAGACATGGGAAGAGAAGCTGCAGAACACAGAACTTATCCACAAGGAGCGTGAAGCAGCGTTGGAGGAATTGGGAATCAACATCGAAAAGGGCTTCATTGGGATGAGCACACCAAAGAAAATGCCCCACTTGGTTAACCTCAGCGACGATCCCCTTCTTGCGGAATGTTTGGTCTACAACATCAAACCTGGCACCACCACGGTTGGTCATATGGATCAAAACCAAACCGTCGAAATTCGATTGAATGGATCCAAGATCCTCGAAAAACACTGCACTTTCGAGAATGCGGATAATATTGTGACCATTGTACCCGCTGAAGGTGCCGCCATCATGGTGAATGGCATGCGAGTCGACAAGCCTACACGACTCAAGAGTGGCTTCCGAATCATCCTTGGCGATTTTCATATATTTCGTTTTAACCATCCCCAAGAGGCCAGGGCCGAACGAGTCGAGCAGAGCTTACTCCGGCATTCAGTCACTACAAGCCAGCTTGGGTCGCCAGCACCGAACAAGACCCACGATCGGAATCTGAGCAAGGCAGGATCTGACATTGATGGGGATTCAAACAGGGCAGATTCGCCCATGCCTCCACAGCGAAGTCGTGAGTCAGACTGGTTTTTAGCACGCAGAGAAGCTGTCAGCGCTATGGTTGGACCTGACCAGATTTCTAATTTGCCTGATGATGAACTGGACACGCTATTGGAGGATGTGCAGAAGGTTCGAGCTGGAAGGCGAGGACTTCCGGAAGAGGAAGATTCTGACTCCATCAGCTCCTTCCCAATTCGGGACAAGTACATGTCCAACGGGACCCTTGACAACTTTTCTTTAGACACCGCTATAACCATGCCAAGCACGCCGCGACAGAATGATGATGACGAAGTAAATGGGGTTGCATCACTCACGCAGGCGCGTCAAGACATGCAGCGGCAGCTGGATCGCCGCAAGGAGGAGTTCCAAGAAAGGCTTAAGACCGTGGAGGCTTCGTCCGATCCAAATTCATCCGAGCTACGCACCGAGAAAGAGCGAATGGAGTACGCACTGCGGACGGCCAAGGAGGAATTCGAAGAGCAACTGCGCAAACAAAAAGAGACATTTGAAACCCATATCCGAGATATGGGCCACCCGGTTCCTCAAATCTTCGAAAATGGCTTCCCAAAATTGGATGAACGTGAAATCGAGATCGCGCGTTCAGTTTACAGGCATTGGTCGCAGCGAAATTATGTCCGAATGGCCGAGAAAATTTTGCAACACGCCTCCCTTCTGAAGGAGGCACAAATAATGAGCCATATCATGGACAAGCACGTGGCCTTCCAGTTTGCTATTGTTGACCACGGTCACAATATGGAATCGTCTTATGATCTTGTGCTGAACGGAATTTCCGGTGATGAAGATATCTTGCTTGATGAGGCGAAGAAGCCTTGCGTCGGTGTTCGAGTCATCGACTACAAGCAGTGCGTGATTCACTTGTGGTCAATTGAAAAGCTCCAGCGTCGCGTCCAAGCTATGCGGCAATTGCACCAATACATCGATCGTCCCGACTATATCCAACACTTCAAACTCGATAATCCATTCTCTGAACCTTGCTCACCCCAGTATTCTCTTATCGGCGATGCCGATATCCCCTTAACGGCTGTTTTCGAAACCCGTGTCCAAGACTTCTCCGTTGAGATAACCTCGCCATATACTCAGAGTGTAATCGGAATCATTCGCCTCTCCCTCGAACCATCTTCTGCGCAGGCGCCCTCTTCAACCCTGAAATTTAATGTTGTCATGCGGGACATGATCGGGTTCGCGGAGTGGGAAGGTTCCGACGTACATGCGCAGTTATTTGTGCCTGGTATTTCAGAGGAAGGAGGCGCAACTACAACTCAAATGATCAAAGGATTTGAGGATGGTCCGGTTCGGTTTGAAAGTGTGCACAGCATGAGCTTGCCGCTGTCAAGTCCACGGACAGCGGCATTGAAGGTCTGTGTTTATGCTGGTGTGACATCGGTTCATCTCGACAAGCTTCTTAGTTGGGATGATATGCGTGACTCAGCAGAGCCTTCACCGCAGAAGCGAACTGCTCCTCGAATCGCAGAATCGGAGTTTTACTCCGAAGAACGTCATGATGTCTTTGCGAGAATTCAAATACTCGAGATGGCAGAATCTGGCGAATACCTCCCCGTGGAGGTTATTCAGAGCAGCAGTCTCGATGCCGGGACATCCCAGCTTCATCAAGGATTGCAGCGCCGCATCTCGGTCAACATTACGTACAGCTCAACAGAAAGCCTTCCATGGGATGACATAAATAACATCCGAGTTGGGTCTGTCCGCCTCCTCGATCCCTGGGGCAAGATCCCAGATCAGGACTTCCAGACTCCGGACGTCCCCTTGAAGTTTGTCCAAGACCCAACGGTCAGGGATAATGCCGACGGAACCTCTCATGTCACAATTGTCGGCCAGTGGGACTCAAGTTTACATGGGTCTCTGTTGCTTGATCGAGTGACGGCGGAGAAATACCGGGTCCAAGTGACTGTTCGTTGGGATCTTGTCTCCAGTCGCTTACAGAACCCAGTTGTTTTCGAGGCAGACCAGACAATTCAGATCCAAGGCCGTACCTATGTCCGCCAGCAGTCGATGTTCAAGCAATTCTGGAACTCGATTCGTGTTGTGCACTCGACGACTTGCATGTACTCGTTAGTTATTCGGCCCATTTCAGCCAAGCGTGCTGCTGATCTGTGGCGTATGAACACCCAAAATGACTACGTGAAAGGCGAGGAACTCTTGAACAGTTGGGCGCCTCGAAAAGTATCCCTGGTACGAGACTACATTGCCAACCGTAAGCGCCGACAGCGTGCTGCAGAGCTTCATGCTGCCCGAGGCGCTCTCAGCGCGGGCTGTCTTATTCCCTCGCTGATCCGTAGTGGAAGGTCAACTCCAATGCGCGGCACAGAGCTCAATGAGCGGAAAACCAAGCTTCTACGGAAGTATCTTGAATTGTGGTCGCTCAAGCAGGACCCAACAGAGGCGATCCTCATTCGAACTAATACCGAACCCCCTTCGGACGGAGCGGCGCACAAACAGAATCCGGACACCAATAGCCTCTCTGACAAACTTTCCCTCAAACCTCGCTTCGTAGCCACCATCCAAACTCTTCCCAAAGCACCCGATGCCTTGAAAACGGGATACGTGCTTACACCCGATGATACTAACAACGTTTGGGTGCGTCGTTTTGTGGAGCTCCGCCGGCCGTACCTCCACATCTACTCGGTTCCAGAGGGGGACGAGATCAATGCTATCAACCTCCGTAATGCGCGTGTCGACCATGCGCCCGACTTCGCAAGGCTACTCGACGGTTCAGGAGCTGGAGCCGACCGTTCGCTGTCTGCCAAGGGACGGCCGAATGTATTTGCAGTGTATGGAACCCAGAACACTTTCCTCTTTGCCACTCGCACCGAGGCACAAAAGGTGGAATGGATCCTGAAGATAGACGAGAGCTACTTCAACAACAACAGTCCTAGAGCCCCCGCGAATGGTGGCTAATGATCCCATTGGAATGCCTAACTAGTCGCGACATGCTCGTGGACAAGCTTGAGCTTTTGGGCTTTGCCTGCTTCATGTCTTATGACATTACGGGTCTCAGTGTAACTTTACCTTTGCCTTCTGCTTTATTCCTTCGTTTCTTCTTTCCTTTCATGACCTGTTGAGATACCCCTTGAATATATCGACTCGCTATGGCACTCTCCCTCTTATGTACATAATAATCCGATATAGTTGGGACTATAGATCGACTGTGCACAGTTTCTTTTTGGTAAAGTGCCTTGATTCAGTTTGGCCTGCATTTCTACATATGTCAGGATCCTATATTTTAACAATATAGGTAAAACCATTCATAAAGCCCATTGATCAGTCTGCTTCTCATCAATTACCGACTATAATTAGAATCCATATCCAGGTACCAGAGCGTATAGCCCGCATCAGACCCTGCCCGCATCCGCGTTGCTGTGGAAACAATCGAAGCTGACGGTGACATCAACTCACGAAATACAAGGTCTTCATCTCTTCCAGGCTGGGAACTCCGATAAAAATTTAGATCATTGTTAAACACTCGGGCAAAACTGGAACTGTTCCAGAAAGAATGTTCACCCAACGCCCTTCATTCCGCTTCCTGGCTACCGGCGCCGTAGCGTCGCTGTTTATCCTTACATTCCTCATCATCAGCACCGGCACACCTGCGACATCAGCACGATATAATCCAAAGGGACAAACACGACAGCAATATTGTTCCCCTCCTGCCAACTCTTCCGCAGGCTGGGAGTTTGCTGTTGAGCGCGATGGAAACAACTACGGTCTCTCCGAGGACCAATGCCGCATTGCTTTTCCAAAGCTATTTCTCGAGATTGACCAGTTCTCAAAACTAAGAGTAAATAAGCCTATAACCTACAAGGATCTCAATTCCAGGCCAGTAGACGATGGCATGGTTCGGGGAATTATCGATCAAGGAGAGGTATGTGAAATATTCGCCCTCGTGGACTTGCAACACTTGATTCTAACATATTTCATTCAGTTGTATATTGTTGACTACGCCCCAATGCCTGTCACAGCATCTCGAGCACGCGCCACCCTAAACTCCCTCCACCGCGCCTTGACAGCATTCCCAGACCGCCACCTCCTACCCAGCATCGAGTTCATCTTCACCACAGAAGACTTCGCAGAACACACAACAAGCCCAGGCCCCATCTGGGCTTATTCAAAACGCGACGCGGACACTTCTGTCTGGCTAATGCCAGACTTCGGCTACTGGGCCTGGCCAGAGGTAAATATCGGGCCGTACAGTGAAGTGCGACGCCGTATTGCCGCAATCGACGATGGCAAAACTGCCGTAGACGGCACACACGTGCCGGGCTTGCAGTTCCAGGAGAAGAAAAAGCAACTCGTGTGGCGCGGCAGTTTGGCAACGAACCCGCCTGTGCGGAGCAAGCTCCTCAAGTCTGCGGTGGGTAGTAGTTGGGCGAGCGTGCGTGTCATTGATTGGGATGACAAGGATGATGTCCGATTCAATCTTCTTCCTATTGAAGACCATTGTCGGTACATGTTCCTCGCACACACCGAGGGCCGCAGCTTCTCTGGCCGTGGGAAGTATCTTCTGAACTGCCGTTCTGTTGTTATCTCCCATGCTCTTGAATGGCGCGAGGTTCATCATGGGGCGCTGGTTGCAACTGGCCCCGATGCAAACTACATCGAGGTTGATCGAGATTGGTCAGATCTATCCCGCAAGATTGATTATCTTATTGACAATCCTGAGATTGCGGAGCGTATTGCTAATAATGCTGTGCGCACTTTCCGTGATCGGTACCTGACTCCTGCTGCTGAGTCGTGTTACTGGCGTCAATTGATCAGACAGTACTCTGCAGCTTGTGATTTCGAGCCCGTCTTGTTTTCGACTGGTCGGGATGGGAAGACACAGCCTCGGGCTGTTCCCTATGATACTTGGCTGCTTATGCATTGATGAGCTCGGAATCAGTTGGCTCGTTATGATTGTGTTTTTATTGCATCTTGGTGTTTCATTTGCGATATTCCCATTTGGCGTTAAGGGTGATGACCATGATATTTTCTTCGAATTTGTACACGAAATATGGATTGACTGTTTTTGACTGACCATAACGCACATTATGCATGAACCGGAATTCTCTTATATTCTTATAATCTTTTTTAAATCGAAGAATTCATAGCTAAATATACATCAACACTTCGCAAAGCGCTCGTCAAATCAAGATGGAAAAACCGCCGACTCGCACTCTCCAATGCATCGGGCGTCGAGAAAGACATAGCCGCCAGTTCAGGCGAGACAGACATTTCCATACCACCTTTCTCTGCATCTGTGGACGATTTGGATGACTGCGAGCTTGGGTCTTCAGTCTTGGTCTCACTCTCCTCCGGAGGTGACTGCGAATACCCAAAGCCTGCCGCATGTAAGGCACGCTTTGTCCATCGACTCTTAATACTGGCGAAATGCCACTGCACAGGAATAGGTGCAGACCGACGATCCAACTGGGTGCGAATATCCATCAATCTCTGCACACAGGTCACATCGACATTATTGACAGCCGAGAAGTCAAGAATGACAGCTCGTAGCATCGGCAGATGTGAATCATCTGTATTGGAAGAGACCGGCTCATTCCAGGGACGATCGCCCTTTTTCGTATATATCTCTGCGTTCGTGCCGCGCGTTTGGCTGAAAATTGATTGGACGAGGTCGTCGAAGTAGTGGCTAGCGTTGGGGTAGTTGAAACCCTCGGAGAAGCGGTACACGAAGACGCCTGGCCGGGGCTTTTCGATTTTGATATGTGGGTTCGCTTTCGGTTCATCCATGGGTAAGAAGAGGGGGACTTGGTTGTTCTCGTCGGTTGCCCAGGCTTGGCCGAGGAATTGGCCTGGTGCTTTGGCGTGGCGGAATAATAGGACTGCTACGGAGAGGCAGACGGTTGTGTAGATGCTGTTTGGGACTGTGCTGAACAATGAGACAATTAGGCCCACGGCGAAGATGACGGCATCTAGCGGTGAGATGAGCCAGAATTGGTAGATAGTGTTGGGTGGAACGATCAGATCTCCGACTGCGTGGATGATGACGGCTGATAGGGTTGCCTTGGGGATATAGTAAAGGCCGGAGGTCAAACTGTACATGGCGATCAGGACGACGCAGGCGGTAATGATGCCGGTGAAGGGGGAGCGTGCCCCGGACTTGGATTGAATGGCCGAGCGCGAGAAAGCACCTGTTGCTGGGAAGGCACCGAGGAAGGGGCCGAGGAGGTTGGTGATACCAACGGCGATAAGCTCTTGCGATGGGTCGATAGTGTAGTTATTGACACGTCCGAATGTCTTCGAGACTGCAATGTGCTCGATGAGGAGGCAGATCACAGAGGCGGGAAGTTGGGAAACGATGAGCTTGATCACTTCGGTGTTGATTACAGGGACACCGGCTTGGTCGAAACCTTGAGGCACTGTTCCAACCACAGCAAATGCGGGATTGCCGCGGCGATGGTGGTTGACGCCAAGACTGATGAGAGCGTAAAGAGCGATGATGAACACTGTGCGTAAAGCGCCAAGGAAGAAGAAGATCTTGGCAAAGCGTGGGCACTTCTCGGCACCATAAGTGAAGCCTGATCGCAGTCCGTATAAGAGCACCAGTGCTGTAAGACCCATGGCGGCATCGTATCCTTGCGCGGTGGGAAGATATCTCAGCGTGTCGATAATTATTCGATATGTAGGAGTACTCGTCTGAAAGTCCCCCGTCTGGCCCAGCAATCCCTTGACTTGTCCGGAGCAAATACTCAAAGCAGAGCCGACCATGAAAGCTGTAATCGCAGGAACCGGGATAAAGTCGATGATAAAACCTAGCCGTGCTAGGCCCATAAATGTGATAATAGCTCCGCAAAGTATGGCGACTGCCAGGGCGATTTGCGGAGCTGGAATCTCGGGGTGTTCCGCTTGAACCTCGCGGACAATGCCACCGAGAACTGTCGACATGGTAGCTACGGGCTGCCCAGTTGATTAGCCCATGCAACCGAATCAGATATCTGGGTAGCTTACCCCGATCGTGATATCTTTGGACGTAGCGAAGAACCAGTAGACAACAACACCGATGAAAGAAGTATATAGTCCATATTGCACAGGGAGATTAGCCAGTTTGGCGTATCCCATACTCTGGGGAACCACGACAGCCCCAACCGTTATTCCTGGGGACGTTAGCAGAAAGTTGGACCCCAGTGAACAAACGCGCTTACCGGCAACCAAATCTCCCAGAAACCATTGCAAGTTATAATGTCTGATCCATTGCAGGAAGGGCAACAATCTCACGAAATAGTGTCCAATCTGCTGTTTGGAGGGAAAGCCTTCGCTTAACCATTCTGAAACCGTTGGATCTGACTCATGAGGCAGCGCATTCTTATTGTGTAAATTGGGAGGATCTTGTAAGCCAAGCGCCTTCTTGACCAAGGCTGACTTTGACCTCATGTTGCTAGATAGAAAATATCAGACCGAATGGCAAAAAAATGTAAAACCCTCTTGGTACAGCAGAAATCACTATGGGCACACTGGTCTAACGCCTTTAGGGTTAAATAGCCCTTGGCATCCACTTTTCGATACAAGTGTTGATTTTAATAGTATCACTATATTAAATGACGTAGATTTGTTCCACTTATAGCCACAGAGCATTTCGATGATACACCCCTACGTTGAGTGTACATGCATAGTAGTCACTTAATTTTTCTGTCGGGTTCATGAGGGTTGAACGACCATGTTACTATGGTATGCCAAATGACACTTGTATTGAAAAGCAAGTGCCAAGGGGGTACCATGCCCAAAAGGGTTAGACTAGTGTGCCAATAGTGAGTTAAGCCGTGCCAACAATAGCTTTTATCAGGAGAGATCGGTCCGATCGACCAGCCACGAGACAAGAATTAACCTTATTTGCATAAATAGCTCGAGAGGCAGGAAAAGAAAAGAAAATATTTTGACCGTAACGCCTGCATCTCAACCAATTTAGCCTCATAACTTAGCTACAAAGTTGCGCAATCTTACCGGCTTAATATCTGTCATGGTGTAGTCAAAGTGGAATGTGGCTAGATCATCATTTTGGGTACCGAGGATTGGTCGCGTGACCATTGGTATGTATTGGTAAAAATTGAAGTCCACAAAAGATGCCAAGCACTGCTAGACCAGGGAAAGTGTCACGGTGGAGATTGGGATAAAGGTGCCGACAGGGGCGCATTGTAGAATCACCCCTTGCATCAGCCTCAAGTATGGAGATAGCAGCCGAGACGAATGTTATCTGTAACGTTCCATGGGATCTTGAAGTTTGGGGGGTGGAAAAAGTTGGATGGCACACTTTCGACCGTTTTCACCGCCTAGTATTTTCTGCCGATCCTTATGCTAGTTATGCACAACACCAATACAGGGGTAAAAAAGAGCTAAAAGAAGAATCCAAGAATATACCCGAGAAGATACCTCAAAGACCTGGAAAAGAGACCTGGAAAAGACCATTCCAAAGACCACACAGAAAGGAACACCTGAATACGGAGTATACTGCACAAAGCTGTATAATTCTCTTTAGGCTGTACATAAAACCTTTGCACAAATGTAAGTGAAACCCCGAGACATATACCCCAAATAATATGCAAAGGAAAATCCTCCCTAAAATATAACCTAATGGCAGTCCATAATGAGGTTAACTACACGACATGCTAGATGGTTGAAAGGCTCCGGAATGTTGACTATAGAATTTGGCTTTAACTTGTTGACTTCGACATCAGGGCCCTGAAATATTTTACAACAATCGAGCAAGGAAGTAGTCACGCGTAGAGCAACCATACATCTGAGGCTGAAATGACATTATCGCTCTCCTGTTCGCATTACATCTATTTGACAAATATACCTTATCATCTGCGGAAGCGGCGGTGAAACCACTGGAGTGCTAATGGTGTCAAGCATGCTGAAAGGGTGACTTATGAGTGGCGTCGCACTTCTGAGATACCCTTCACATCCCGGGAAAGCCGAGGCCGAGCAAGGCTGGTCACCGATGCAAGGCATGCCACAATTGGGCTACACAGGGAGCGAATTGGCGGCAATAGAAGTATCTACGGTTGTACTTGGCAAACTCAAGGGTTGCACTTACAACTACCTTGAAGAATGCTCTGATGGAGCATCCGCGATTAATGCGCCTGGAACAATATCCAGCAGTTGAATGTCACAGCTGCACGCAACCTAACTGGACAAACGACACTCGAAAGCAGTGTTGCGCCATTCTTCTTGACAGCTTAGGTCCCAGCTTAGGTCCAGGAAATTAGCACCCCTTGGAGCTATCAATCGCATTCCTCCTTTGCTTTTGATAGCACCTCATGATAACAGTAGCAATTTTGCTTTGCCAAGCCTCAACGCCGGAACCCACAGAGCGGCTGCATTCTTGGAATATTCTTGGCACGTGTTTTTTTTAGTTCTTTAAGAAATTATAGATTGTCCTAGGGATTCATCACTAAGAGGGTTGGAAGACCCAGATCAATGCCAAGTACGGAGTACTAATCCCATATTCTACATGTAAATTGTCGCTTTCACAAATAAAGTCTCTTTCCCCTTTCTTTCAGCCGTCTATTCATATAGTTGATAAGGGGGGATATTATTGAAGAAAATGAACTTAATAAAATACCTACCCAAGAAGATCACTAAAAATACACCACAAGGTCGTATAAGCGGACACATATTCTTGTGGATGGTAAATTGAGTGATACACCAGATCCGAAATTTCCCACGGAAAACAGACAATATCCAACGCCACAAGCGCGCTAATTGTATTTAGAGACGGTGTCGCTTGAGCAGTCATTCTCATAAATGGTAACCTGGCTGCATAAATTGGTTCAAAGGTCAGACCGTTGTATGTAGACCTAGGCCAACCTTTAGTTGTTGCACCTATGCAGAGATATACATCCCCACTCGCCAAGCTTTAGTATAAGCATCCATTGATCCATGGGTCCGTTTTGTCACGTTTTCACTACGGTAACATCAACTTCAAGGTCTCCAGGGCGGATAGACAAAACAGTCATCGAAACAGATCATATTGCCTTTATTTTTCCGGCTGAAAACTGCCTGATTTTGGGTTTAGCCTGCGCAAGCCAAGCTACACCCATTACAGCCGTGATGAATTTCCCCGCATTCGCACCTGAGCCGGTGGCTGAATCCTGCAACATGCTTATTTTCACACAGTGAGGAAGTTTAGCCGTCTCAATAGTTTGGATGCGCTCCTCTCCGCCTAAATCCCCGACAGGTCTGATTTTAGGCTGGTTGAATCATACAGGGATCTAGTTGAGGATATGATGGATTACCGCTAATGGTTCGTAGGAAAGAAACATGGTCCGTGTACGATATATGATTAGTGCAATTGGCTAAGTATGGGATAAATGGGTCGCTGGCTAAATTGCTTCAAGACATTCAGGACATGAAACTGTTTGGAAACTCGCCCCACACCCTCCTGTCAATATAAAAAGAAGGTTTTCTCCCGAAGGAAGTGTCTACCACGAAATAGAATCCTTCAATTCAGTCATCTTGTTCAAATATCAAAGACATCTGATCCCTCATCATGATCTCTTTCTCAAGCCTCTTTGTGGCTGCCTGTGCTGCTGTCAGTGCCTTTGCGCTCCCCAATGACCTGGAAAAGCGACAGAGCATCACCACGAGCCAGCAAGGAACCAACAATGGCTACTTCTATTCTTTCTGGACCAACGGTGGTGGCAGTGTCTCCTACACCAATGGTGCCTCGGGCCAATATAGCGTCAGCTGGACCAACTGCGGATCTTTCACCTCTGGCAAGGGCTGGGCTACTGGTAGCGCACGGTACGTCGAGTCCACATACTCTCTTTCTGATGATATACTGACAAGTACGCTGTATAGAAACATCAACTTTTCCGGCTCTTTCAATCCCTCCGGAAATGCTTACCTCGCCGTCTACGGGTGGACCACTAGCCCCCTCATCGAGTATTACATCATGGAAAGCTATGGCGAATACAACCCCGGCGGAAGCATGACCTACAAGGGAACTGTGACAAGCGATGGATCGGTCTATGATATTTATTACCACAAGCAAGTGAACCAGCCTTCCATCTCGGGAACCGCGACTTTTGATCAGTATTGGTCTATCCGCCGGAATAAGCGCAGCAGTGGAACGGTTACCACTGCCAATCACTTCAATGCTTGGGCTTCTCTTGGAATGAACCTTGGCTCCACGCACAATTACCAGATTGTCAACACTGAGGGATACCAGAGCAGTGGCTCTTCGACAATCACAGTTTCCTAAACGCGAAAGTCCTGCAGTGGCTTCACGCGAGATGTGCATGGCCAAGAAAGGCTGTAGTGAGAAGGCTATTGTTGCGAAGCTGCATGGAGCAATATGTGTACCGATATCTTATTAGGATCCGGCTCATCAAGCTTTTAGCTCGTTATTCTTTTGAATAGTTGTTCTTCAAGAATCAATTTATCTAATGCCCCAACTTCAGACCCTGTGGATATCTCTTTTAGTACTATCTAGCTTAGAAGGTCTAACAAACGTAAGTCAAAAATGCCTCTCGAAACTAGCTACGGATACTGAGAAATATGTTACAATGCGGCCTCATTCTGTTCCCCTGGAGAGTTCTAGCAATAGTCCAGGCGTCATGTCGACGCATGAATCTCGAGAAAGAAAATTAGAATTGTTCCATGTTTGAGTCTCTTGAAAACAAACCTTCTTGACAGGACCTTCTTCACGGCTCAGTAAAACAATATTTGGGTGCTTTGGCGTCCTCAAAGTCCTGGACGTATGTTTTAGAGGCTTTTTTTTTTTTTTTTTTTTTTTCGCAGTTCCAGGTGTTTGGTAATATGCTCGGCTCTGGTCGCTCTGCCCAGCGATCTCAACACACTATTGACTACTAAATCCAACAAATTTCAGTTCCATTCTCCGAGAAATTTGAGATTGGATCGGTTGAGGGGCTCACGACTCAGTCAAACCTAGGGATAGGGAGTGTCGAAGCTTTAATATGACATTTGATCAGGAATACAAGGGTAGCGTATATGTCTTGAATCACTGGAATAGCTTCATCAATATGTTGATCTCCATGAAGGAGAAGTAAACTAGGTACAATAACATAACCACCTGGGCCATTTAGCTCAAAGTCTGCGGCTCACTTCATGATTGTGTAAAAACCTAACCCATGGGCAGGGGCTTCCTCGTACAGCTGGATTCCATATAAGAATAACATGCAACCGAATAGTCGTCAAGTCCCTGGAGCTCGGCGTCGATTGACCAGGATCAGGCACCGGTACACGAAAGCCAGGTTCCGAGTATGACTTTGGTGGTAATGGGGGTCGATTCATTGAGGGCAGACATGTGTGTCTTAGGCCAAACGCTTGATTGTACCCGCCCTTTCGTTATGCCGTTTTGTCTTAGTTTCGCACCGCGATTCGGAAGCAATCGATACACCACGTGATTTCCACAATGGCGCCGCTTTTCATAAACTTGCGGTGGGAGCCCGGAGCTCTAGCGAGAGGGTTGCTAGAGGCCGGAGCACGTTTTGCTATTGATGGGTGTTTGAGGTCCCTTTGTACCCGCATAAGCGTTTGATGTCCAGGCTGTCTTCTCAGAAGCCATGGCAGAAAAAAGCAAAGCAAGCAAAGGAAAGAGAATATAAGAAGAAGCAGATACCATGGGGGAAAGGGCTTCCAGCACGACCGGCTGTGAAGGGCTGGGTTGGTAATTCTCTGCCTCTAGTCGATCGCGGAGTTCGCTCTGGAATTGCACTGCTATCTGAGGAAGAATGTTCTGAGACCTTTTTCACTCCCCCGACGCTAAATAGCGTGGGATCACAAGTTCATTTGTGGCTGCTAGGGCTGCAACTGACCAATATGAATGATTTGACCCAAAGTCTGGAATAGCGAGTTATGGTTCAATATTGGTTCCATTAGGACCACCCTGTTGTTGTCCACGCATGGTGGGGGCCAGATCCCCTGTAATTGGACGTTGTTAGGAGGATTTGAGCCATTTAATCCAGGGGGCATTAGAGTGGGTGATAGCAGCAGTGCGAATCTCCCTGGGGTCCCACCGTGAAAGTTGGTACAAGCGGTATTAAGACGAAGTATGTGTGAGAATAGGAAGCGACGAGCGATGTCGGAATAATTTCAAGTCATCAGCCCACGCGCGTAGACATCTTTCCCTAAAAGCGAGAACAAGAGGAAGGTCGGTCTGGGATTTGGGATCCAGTTGGGAGCTGTACAACCATTCAGTCGGGACCATCGCTCCGTAGACAGTAGTGAATGGGAACAGTCGGGTCTTTCGCTTTGATAGACCCCTTCCGAAAGGGCTGGACTTTCCCAAAGTTATGTATAGGGATCTGGATTCTGTAGGAAATCCTCAACTTGGGTCGAGAAGTTCTGGGCCCAATGAGGAGAAAGGTGGAAGAAGTGAGAAGAGACAAGGTCAGAGGCGAGGAAAGAAAAGGGAAAGAACGAGAGTTGAAGGTCACATGCCTTTTTCACGTAATTTTTCATCAAGGGCTTACCATGAAGACATCTTAAAAGGATATACTTGGAGACATCTTGAAAGACCGTATCATCTATCAAAAAACGAATCCCAACCCCGACAATACGTTGAACAGAACAGTCTCAATTCTGTCAAGTCTTTTTATCATTAGTCTGCAGTGACCAAGAAACATAGGCACTGAACTAACAACTTCTGCTCGAAACACATATAAAAAGACCAATTTCCAATTTATTGCCAGAGTCCATAGCGGGTAAAGGAGACCACCGAGGCTACATTTTCGTGGGCAGATGCTAAGGGTACCAAGCAGCAAGCAAAGCCGATACTTCCTGATATACATGGACTCACAGACACCGTTCAGAACACAAGGCCCTTTCCAGCTACGTCCTTTTCGCATGTATTCCAACCAAGTTTCCACTCCAGAGCTGGTTAAACTGCACCCACAACCGTGGCGCCTCCACCGCTAGCTCGTCTTGTTCCCTCAATACACATCTTTTGTTCAAAAATATTCGCTAGATGTTGACTGTGAGTAATTTCTCAAAAAGAGTGATCAATGGTGCCAAGATCATCCCGAAACTAAGACACGAATGTCATCATAGAATGCGCAGGAACAGTAGACTTGAAACTGCCATCCTCAGAAATATGAAGGGACTTGAGTGCCGTCAAGTCATGGTCATTGTTCGTCACCCAAGGTTGAACTTTGTGAATCCGCCCCGAGGTGTGGACCTTGAAGCTAACTTCATACGCTTCAGTCCCGTTATTAATGACCTGAGTGGCGACACTGCCATCATGATTGAGAAACGAGCTAACGTAGAGCAGAGGAGCAGAGCTCGTAGCTTTGACACGGTGTGCTCCTGGTCTAGCAAAGCGACTGAACTGCGCGAAAGCCCAGAATCGCTTGCTGGGAATCACCTCATCTCCGATCAGATTGATAAGACCACTGTCGGTAGTTGAACTCTCAGCTCCAATCCAATAAAGAACACCACTGACATTCGCATCCACAAGCGCAATCTGTATATTCCGCGCCCACGTCATGCCCTCTCCGGATGCACCGCTCTTGAAGAATGTGTAGGGTGTAAATCCGCCTGACAAATCCGCCCATTCCGTCACCCAAGTCTTCTTCTTTGTTGATAGTGGAAAGTTTGGGACCGTCTCATATCCGTGGCCTGTAATGATACATAGGTATGCCTCGGCGGGATCAGGACCCGCTTGAAGCGCTGCCATCATCTGCTCTTGTCCTTCCCAGCCCATACTATCACAGCAATTGATGGCGAGATCGATACCAGAGGTTTTGATGGTTTTCGCAAGAACACGAATAAACTCCGCAGCTTGTGTCCCGTCAGATTGCATGCCGGCATATGATGCAGCAAAACCAGGCTCATTCAAAAAGCCGAGGTTGGTCACTTTGACACCAGACTGCTTGTAAAAGCGCGCCCACTGGACTAGGTAGTTCGCGTATGCCTGCATCCAGTTGCCAGACTCACAATGAGTATTACTCACTCCACACAAGTATCCGCCGTTGTTTTCGTCTCCATTCGTTTTCATATATCCAGGTGCAGACCACGCATTGCCATAAAGTTTGACAAGACCACGGTCGTATGCCTCTTGAGCCAACGGGAACTGGCTGCTGTCATTGCGATCCCAGATATAGTTTGGGCGTGCGTCCGGTGATCCAGGAGTGAAAGGCTCAATGGAGTTCATGAAGTTGCTGGTTGAGCTGTTACTTGCACCGATGCCATTGCGTAAAATCGCAAATCCGGCGCCTTTGTCAATACTGAATAGAAGATCAAGGACATTTTTGGTGTTTATTTTAGAGAGACCTTCCTTGCCGTAGATGTCTCCGGCGCGTTGGAAGGCTTGTGATACGCCGAAACCATCAAGTTCTTGAAACTTGACCTTTGTGTTGACCAATACTGTTGCAAAATTGGCGGAAGTAACCTCAGCAGCCTGGGTGTAAGCCACTACTGTCGCTAAGCAGAAGAAAGTCTGAATAAATGGATACATCGTTCACATGGACAGGACCAACATTTATCTGGTGAAAGAAATGGTTACAGGTGGTCAGTAGACGCTTCGCCCCTCCAAAATGTCTTGAAAAAGAAAGAGCTTTCTTACATTTTTGTTCCTAAATGCCGAATTTCTAAAACTGAGTGGAAGCAGAGGATGTTTGGACATCATTCTGAGCAGGAGTTGCATGATTAGCCTGTGTGTGATCTGTTCCCCTCATGTGGATTGAAATTAGGCTGAATATCTTCACTTTGCGCCTAAATATTTCATGCACCGAAGCTTTGTGCCAAAGGGGCTAGCTCCGAGCTAAAGGAGCGGAGCGGAGCTCCGTTGTTGGGAAGTTTGACGATGACCTTCTCCTTTGGGAACAAGCAAATGCACAAGCTCGAAAATATATCCTCCACACTCTGGAGTCTGATGTAATTCATCAGCTAGCTGATGTCGATAACGCCCGAGATGCTTGGCTCCAGCTGAAGAGTATGTACTACGACAGAAGACCGGAGAATTTATGCAGTCAGTGGTTCCTCTGGATTGCCATGCACTATGAGGGTGCTGGGCTCGAGAACAAGAGAAGCTTTGTACGCCACTTCAGACAAGCCGTGCAGGACTTGCGCGATCTAGGTTTTGGAATCAACCTTGTCGTGGAGCTTGCTCAATTGATGTGCGCCATCGAAAACAACCCCCGATGCATGTTTTCTATTGAATTTATGTAATGCTACTTCACATGGAGGACGGTGTTGAGAGGGCTTACTCTACTTTCCTTCTTCCTCGATGGGAGTAGTATTGATCGGGGCTCTAAATCTCAGTCTCTTCTCTGTGCCTGCCTTTTTCCGGTTTTGAGCTCCTATGTGGATAAATAGCAAGAATAGCAGACTTCCTTTATGATGACTTTCTTTTAACTATCTCAACACATTGAGCATCTGCATTTTAGATTAGCAAGTAGTCAGGGAGCTTTGTTATGATAAAGGAGTAAAATTAGAACACCGCCCTTCATAGGCCTCGTTACTTTGCATTGTGTACCGTTCTCAACACAATAACACAGCAGATAAAGCAACTATAATCATGAGAGTGTTCAGAATAACACTCTTTCCTGATGCGGCATTGGTAGGAGCCGGCGTCGAACCGGCTGAACTAGTCTGACTTTGTGCAGAAGAAATCGGCTGAGTACTCGTCAAAGATATTACTGTAGTAGTAGAGGCGGATACCGTTGAGGACTTGGAGTCACCAGTGGTAGAGTGGACGACAGTAGCAGTAGTAGCAGTAGAAGTAGCAGCAGTAGCCGCCACAAGAATACCAGCGGAAGTAGTCAGCTTAACACCGCAAACAGCTTCTGCATCGAATGTGAACGGCATATTTCTGATATTACATTGTCTTTGCTGCCGCGTAATGGAATCTAGCCAGCGTTATTAGTTGCAATTCTTGATCCCGTTGATGAATGGTCTAATAGACAAGGGAAGGATGACCAGATCACTCAACTCACCAGGCAGGACATTGGGATTGCAATCCTTCATACAGCAGAAGTATGCCTCGCGATACTGCTGCTTGTCACACATGCAGGCTGCATCGTCCGTGCAGGACCCACCGGGAAAGCTACTAAAGAAGCAGTTGTTCTGGCGGAATATGGGTTAGCTTATGCGCTCTTGTGATTTTAATTGAGCTTCATGCATGTCGGTGCAGAAAATTTTCTCACATCGCAGTTCGAATTCTCTAATTGAAATGTTTGGTTGAATGCAGCTACTAGAGTAGCGCTCAAGGTGGCCAAGAGCACGAAAACAATGGACAACCGCGCCATGGTGGTCAATATACGTTCGATATAAAAAACGGGAGAGACAGATAGAAATAATGAGACGAACAAGAGATTTTTTCAGGAGAGCTACAGATGCCCCTTTTTATTAAGAAGTGCTCGTATTGTGTGAGATGCACTAGCCGATTGGGGATGGCTCTTGAACCCGTCGGCCCCATCCAAGCGCGTCCGGGGGCCCCTATGGTCGAGGCGAGAGGTCAATGCACCTTCCCCGTTGATGTTTCTTTGCACGTTCTTTTAAAACTGCAATCCATATTGTATATGCCGGCAAAGCTTCCATGACTGCGGCTGTTGCATTTTTCGATATAAATGCTCGGTTTGAACATCTCCGAAGAGTTTCCTATAGGTAGCATCCAACCCTAAGCTCTATAAAGGCAAATATAGAATTATGATTTGTACATATATCACATTTAATGGACAGTGGCATGATCTGGCATTCAAAGTGTCCCCTGACCGTCACCTACACAAGAATAACAGCCCCAATCGCAGCCCCAGCAACTGCCATCAATGGACCAACACGGCTCGCCGCAATATTTGTCGACACCGGTGGAGTAGAGCTGCTTGAGTTGTCCGAGCCAGTTTCAGAAGTCTTCGAGTCTGCCGACTGCGTTGGAGGCTCCGTTGTCGAAGGAGCAGTAGTGCTGCCCAAAATAGTGTGTGAGGAAGTCTCAGCAGCTACTCCAGTAGACGATGTGCCAGTTGAAGATGAAGCCCCAGTATCAACCGTGGCATTGGATTTGGTGGTAGTAGTGGCAGATGTATTTTCAGCGGCGCTCGCGGATGCAGCTGTGGAGGGAGCGGCGGTCGAAGGCGACCAGCAAGAAAGGGTCGAGGTTGTGATGATGCAGGGCTCGGTGCCTGTGTAGGCAGGGCAACAAGGTATGTCGCGCTTGAGAGGACCGGCGCGGTCACCACCGCAATGCAGAGGATCACAGACTTCCCCGTTTGTCGGATCGTACCAGTGGATGGTCTTGTCGGCGCAGGCGGTATAACTGTTGCACGCACCGAAGGCGGTCGTCGCTAGCATGAGCAGCGATGCAGCGGCGGGAATGATTGATTTGACCATTTTGAGTTGAATTCTTGATCGAGTTCTGATGTTGTATAACTATAGACTTGGATGAGTTCCGGGTCAAGAGGAAAGGGACGGACACGAAGTTGTAAGTGGTAGCATCAGTCAAGAATAAACAGACGCCCCTTTACGCCTTAAAATTAGGGGCTGAGGTTTTCACAGATTCTATGTGTCTTGTTTACCCAGAAAAGGATAGATCCTTAGAAGCTCAGCCCAATCTAACTGGTCAGGTTCCAAAGCCGCTTGGCCCTAATCTCGCGGGTACCTGACGGGACCCACCTCCCGTTGTTCACGTTTATGTACCATATTGCGGGGCATTGATAGATTCGATGTAGTTAACGGTTGTTATGTTCATCCTTCTTGGACAGCACTAATGATGGGGACGCTGCTAAATGGAATTTGAGAAGTGGTGTCCAGTATGGTAGCATTACATGTCATGGCCACTAATAATCAGAGCGCTAAGGGAAAAGCAACGTTTCTAGTATGTATAGCGAAGTATCAAATTCAGTGTTGCTGGCTAACATATTGCTATAATTGTTTTGCCATATGACCGAAACCGTTCTTTGCTTGTAAGCCGGTTTCAGGAAATTTGCTACGTAATTCGGTTCACGTCGGGAATGCTCCCCTCATCGGACTATTCATCAATGAATCCTACTTCGACGACCAAGACCCAAGTGCATAGAGGGTCTTGTCAGGCACATTCAACATCACTTCAGATCAGTGCCCGAAAGCAGAGCTCTCAAGTTTATGCCTGGCAGCTATTCATAGTGAATTCCTTTCTGTTCTAGATCTAAATGTCTTGTCCTACATACATAGCCAGTAATGCCGCTTTATATCTTGCAGCTATACTGGCTTAATACTTCTCTTCGTCATGACAAATTCTTCAGCAATAGGCGTATTCTTCGCAATATCTTTCGATATTTTAACTCCTCACTACTGAATCGCTAGTGGTACGGGGTAACTTCAATTGGACTCACTACGGAGGCTACGAGGAAAGCATAAATGAGCAAAGTCTTTAAGTGAAATAGCATTCATTTGAGAAGGTACAAATTCACCTATTCCTGACCTACCAGGCAGTCTTCTCTTCCAGTACAAAACCATTGATATCTTCAGCCTGCAGTTATGATCTTCTTAGTCTTCACTCTTCTCACTCGACGGTCTACTTTCATTGACCAACCCCTGACTATTCTGCGTCCTCTGCTCTTTTTCATTTTGCTTTCAAGAGTGTTCGTCTCCGGACTGCCTACCTAGGGGAACCGAGTTACTAACCACTTCCTAGTCAGATAATTAGCCCTAATCTTCCTCTTTCGACATATGCAGCCCGCTGCCACTGGGCTCTGCAAAAACTCTTCATTCAGATCCATAACCCCTTTCATCTTCGCATTCCACGGTTTTTTCTACAGAATCCTTCCATGCATCGGCGATCACAGTTTTTTAGCTAGGCATTTTCTCTTTTTTCTCAGGCCAGTGCCAGCGCTCCTACATTCTCCAATCATCGACACACATAGTGCATACTGACTATTCAGAGAGTCACCATTCTATCGTGACAGTTAAAGAGATTGAACCACCGCCATAATGAGTAACCAGATACCTCTGAGGCTCCCCAAATGGCTCCAAAAGCTTGAAGGAAAATCCAACTGGTCTTCGTGGCGCAAGGACCTTCAGGAAGCGTTTGTGACTGTTGATCCCATTTCCTGGGAAGTTCTGATGAACAGAGGAGACGACAACATCAAAGCGGAGCCAGGGACTGCCAGACAGGAGGAGCCAACGACCATCGAAGAGGCACAAACTCTGAGCTCTTTTTTTGCGGAACATGATGACTCTTCTGACAACGACAGTGATCTGATGGTCACCATAACAGGAAGCATTCACACAAACCCCCCTGTACTCAACAGGAACAACCCCGTAGATCTGCGTAAGCTTAACATCCGTGCTCGCGACCTTCTCGCCTCGGGGCTTGGCACAGAACCGCTGGCTGAGATTGATCGGGTTATGGATGCACATGAAGCATACGTCAAGCTCGAGAGCCTTTACGGTAAGACCTCTGCCCAGTCCGTACACATTGCGTGGGAGAAGTTCAGTAGAGTCCGTTATTCTACCCGTGGTCTCACTCCCGCTGCCTTTGTTGATCGCTTCCAAAAAAGTCTGCGTGATGTCAAAGACCAGTGTGTGGAAGTTCCTCCTACCGTGGAGCTTGCTCAGTTCCAGCAGGCAATCAAACCGAATCCAAATTCGACTACATTCATGGCGGACATGAAAGTAGATATTTATGATCCAAATTTTATGGATCTGGTGTATGAAGAGTTCTTGAAAGACCAGTCGCCAATATGATTGATTTGGTCTGCGTGCATTTCCCGCGCGGAGGCTAGGCGCCTTTCGTGATGGCTTTTCTCTGCTCCTCATCTCAGTCGTATTTTAAGCATCATACCTTCTTTTACCTTGGATTTTGCCCCTCTGGTTTGTGTTTCTTTTGCTTTTCGGAAAGAATATCCTCGGCGCGTAGGACTATATAACATAGTCTGAAAGGTATTTGCCGGTTCACAATCTTTCCGTAAGTTATGCAGTTCATTTGATGTTCTAATCCTTGCCTTCTGCTGCAACAAAGGAGCTGTCATCCAAGAGAAAATACTTGACAACAAGACTATGCTACAGAGGATAATGCAAACAGACATGTATTAGCTTTAGGGGGCACATCTAATTATTCCCGGCGTGATCCAGCGGAAATAATACTTCGGTTTCAGACCTTCTGGCGTACAGTGTGGAATGAGGATCGGTTACGAGTCGGTCAAAGTCGAATCCACTTTCCTCAATGGTCCCAAGCGCCCATATGACGGAGGTCGCAGAGAGTATGATCGCCCCTCGTTCTTGTCTGTGGGGAGCTATGAAGGGGCCGCGGTAGATCTGCTACTAGAACGTGGCGCAGATCCGGGGTTACTAATATATCTGATCAGCCTACCCTGACACCTGGGCATATGCCGTTTGTCGCGACCATGAGGCCATACTTCAGAGCCTGCTATATCACTATCGGATTCTTACCAGGTAGAGGGAAACGGTGGTAGGAAAATATTATCTTTTCTTCAAATAAAACATTCGACATTATTGCAATTACAAAAGCCATCGATCAAATGGAGCAAGTAGTATCAGTGACGATTTTCTGTTGGTTTTTGCCTCCAGATCTCAACGCAAGCACTCTAAATGAACGGGAAACATGTAGTCCGTGATCCGTAGAGAGTAATCTTGTCAAGCGCACCAACACAGGGCGGTGTGTTGGTGGCACGATTACTCTCTACAGCACGCGCTATGGCCCCTGCGCCCCATTTTAGGGCCAATCTAAGCCCCCTTTCCCTTGCTCAAGCCTTCCAAGATTGCACTTACGTCACTGTCACCATTTATAGTACAATACAAGTAGAGCCTCGGTCATTTGGGCACTGATATATCTATGCGCTTGATCTCCCACGCTATAACTATACCTGTCAATCGCACAAACCTTTCATATCTCAATTGTTAATTGCAATCCAAGAATCTTCAGCATGACCGCCGCAGTTAGCGTAGGAGGGGGTGGGCCCTATATTCGTCCCAAAGCCAAGTCGCCCGTTCTGCCGCCTCACAAAGTGGGTATCCAGATGCTGGGAATCTTGTTCAATTCTCGCGGGCGTTGTATTTCCCTCGGCACGACAGAAAAACAACTCACTTGGCCGTCCACGATATAAGCGACCAGTATGCGGCGGCTACGGGCAGCTTTCCCATCGGGAGCACCCGCCACGTATTAGCCGTGGGTGGTATACCGAAGCCGCAAAGTAATGGACCAGATGAGACGACCGTCGCGTACGATGTGAATTTGAGCCTGCGCGATGAGCATGCGGTGGCGGGAACAGTGAAATGCCGGACACCATTAATTCCGGCTGATATAGACTTGTGCGTTGAACCTTCCTTGAAAGCCTCCCAAAAGTGGTACTAATTCCAAATAGAACGATATCAAACACCGAAGAAGAAGCTGCTGTCTTAAGTACAAGGAGTGTATATCCAACCAAGATACCCCTACACGTCACGTATCCCATTACTCCCTCGTCAACCCGCATCGGCACCGTCAAACATCCCTATTTCACCTTCGAAATTCCCAATGATGACAGTAAGCCAACCATCTTCCAATGGCAGATTCATCCCAAGGAGCACGGGCGTTTGCGGTATACACTTGTCCGCAACCCCGAGGGATCCAGCAGTCCTGATATCCAGGCTGTATACTACCACCTCGGGCTCGACGACTCCTTCGCTCTATTGTTTAGTGAGGGTATACTACTTCTCCCTGCTGGTCAAAGCTCGGTAAAAGAAGAATTTGCGGTGACTAGTGTTCTGGCGATGCTGTGGCGGCTGCGGGAACTCCATCGGGGAAAGGGTAAGGTTGGGGGAAGAAAGAGAACAAACTGAAACGAATTTTTGGCAAGAAGTAAAGCACGCACCAGACTTTGCTGTGTATTCCATTGTGTATATTATTTCTTTTTCGAATTAAGTGAAAAGGAATCAGGTTTCGTGTTGAACATATCGTCACGTCCTCCACATAACATGTTAGTAAAACAAGGGCAGAGCCACAAATTTCAAGTGGCAGAGAGTATTGTATCAAATTCAGGCTGCAGACTTTATGAAAGCTTCCAAACTTCGGAGTAGCGAAAACAGGAATCAAATTTAGCCATAAGAGTCCTGCAGTCTCACTTCAGATTTACCTCTAGTGGAGTTGGACCCTGTTGTTGGCGATCTTTTGAGAAGTCTTCTTGGCAGTCTTTTGAAATGCCTTCTCGGCTGTTTGCTTGCATGAATTTCTTTCCCCTACATCTTGTGGCTAGTTTGGGGTCTGAATGATGAAGAAATAGCTGTAAACTGCGGAATAGTCAAAGGCCGTAAATGCATCAACCGCCTTTTCTACATGTAATGCGTGATGTAACAGGTGGATAGACATGGAGATTCTACAGGTTTTAGGCACCTGCAATTCATATGGTCAAATAGTAAGAGCCACCCTCCAGAATCTGGCTTGAACGTCCCACTTCTGTATAGTCTTGAGGCATTCAGACCTAGAGGATGCTCAAATTGCCCGTCAGCGGGGAGCTATGTGAACAATCTAGTATACAAACATTTATTGCAGCCACCGGATTGCTCCACAAGGGTGTTCTTTTTTTTATGAAAAAGAACCAATTGAAGCTACAAAAGTAGCCCCTGGTAGGGGTGGAAACTCACTATGCCAAGCGCAGAGCGTACACAACTGGATGAGATTTCACCGATGAATGTAATAGACTGCGATTATTTGATCAAATAGTTATCCCTGCACAAGAAAGAAGTCCAGGGAGCCCTGTCAGGCCGAAATACGACCCAGGCACGGCCAGAAGAGCGGCAAAATGCAACATGCAACCCAGATTATACGCAGGCAATTATCTAATGACACCTCGTATGCTAGTAGACCACACTATCAGTACGGAGTAGTCCGTATGAGAAGCGATCTTTCAGTCTCACTTTTAGATGAATCGAATTTTGGTTGTGAATGGCGCCTAGACACGAGATAATAGCTTGCCTATTGGGTAGTCATACGCCAAAAAATGGGCTTCCAAAGCCCCAAAATCTGCAGCCCAACTTCAAATTGAGGAAACTCGTAACCACTATCGTCGCATTCAAGTCTCGTTCGGTCCATTAAAAAGGCGGCACAATAAACGAAAGGCACTATGTTCTACATAGCGCCGTGGGGCGTTTTATTTGCTAAAAAGGCTTTTCGGGAGTTTATGATACATGTCATCGTCTTCGAGTTGTCCTTCAAGCCCTCCATATTGGGCATCGACCATTGAAGCCTAGGCCTCCCCTATTCTGAAAGTTGTCGGATCGCACGACCTTTCCGATAATCACACAACGCATGTCTAAGATGGAAGCAGGAAGACTCGTATCTCTTATGCAGATCGGGTCGCCTTGCGCATGACACCGGCAAAATGCTCTGTATCGTTTGAAAGAGATGCTATTTGCCCCATTTGCCATTTTGGCTCCAACAACAAAGTCTACCTCTTATCCAAGCCTAGCTATGAATTTTCGGATTCTCTTACTATCTTAATTGATTGGTTTGAGTTATGTGGATTTCCAGGCTTCATGCAAATGCGTGAGTCGATTTTCGGATATACAGTCGGGAAAACGCCCGCACTGCATTTTCGTCGGCTGCGACTGACCCCAGGAGATCCCTGTCAGCCCTCGCTGAGCAAAAGAGATGCACTCAACACAACAGTGTCGGGAAAGTTGATCCGCAACCTAGATCCCCGAATTCGGCTACATCACGAATCTTTGACAAAGATGCTTTGCTGAGCCGTACTACGATTCAAGACATGATTGGTGTCCTTGCGGTCTACCTTCATGGTTAATATTATGACTATAGCTTGGGCTAATAATGCGTTCGAAATTGTCAAGGAGGATGGCATTTATATTAAGGGAGGGGCTGTGAGATCGCTCAATCCACTCGGTATTTACATGAAGGAGGTATGAAAATTCTTCCTTTGCGAGCTGACGAGTGTCCCAACTCAAAGAAAGGCCGATCGTAACGATCACTTATGGGCGAAGAACTTTCATGGTGCAAAGTATGGATATGTTGTTAGCTTGCATCAACAAAAAAATGATCCGATGAGTCTCTCATATCATCCAACCTGTGTGGGTAGCTCATCATAAACTCAACAGTATATCTGGATGGAGCGGATTACGGCCCTCTTTGTTGTACTGGATTGTGACGCGCAATATGGGATGAGGTAGCATTGAAAATCTCCTCAGATCATTGCCACTACCTGAACAATGTGCTCTGTCGATTTCCAGGGACAAATGCTTCTTACTTTGCTACATAAATTTTCATCGCTGCATAATATGTGCTAAAATGTCTGGAAACATTGATTTATGTAAATCTATCCCGAAATGTATACAAAGTAATGTCATAACTCATATCAATCATTAATACCGTTTGATCCAGGGGCCTGTAGGAATTATGCTGACAACCACTCACTATACCAATTCCCATTCTTATCACGATATTTGATGAGACTTTGGGTCTGGAATTTTGAAAGATTGGGATGTTCTGCAAAGAACACTCCAGAGATACGAGCGGAATCCGGTATTCTCTCTCCCGGTGGAATACCTGCAGATTCAATATCGTAGACACGTTGTAGAAGGAGAGCAGCCTCAGCTGTTGAAAACATTCCCTCGCGTCGATTGTAATTTCGGCAGATCGTCAACACCTTTTGCCGAACCGTCCAGTCCCGACATTTGAGCCCACAAAACATGAGAGCTGCTAGAAATCCCTCCTTGACAGAAAAAAGCGGGTCCGGCAAGTGATCGAAGCTAACCAACAAAGCCTCTGCTGTGTCGACAATAGTCTGGAAATGAGGAAAGAGAATATCCCATTGTAGCTCAGAACCTGAAAATGTTGATGAGGCGAGTACGATCTTCATCATCTCAATCTGCACCTGAATGATCATGAAGGCACGGAGCTTTGTGGGGCACGCAGTCTTTTGATGAACAGCAATGCACTCCTCCACTTGCGTATTAAACCGATGGACCTTGTTCGCCGGGGTGTCCCACGCGAATCCTCGCGAAATATTGCTGATCATCGGGTCAAGCAATACCGGGTTACTTAACATGAACGCCCACGCTTGCACCAACACCAGCAGTGTCGCTTTTGACTGTTCATCGGCATATGTAGAGATGTCGGCGAGATTATCATGGATAAGTTCTAGAAGATAAGGATACTCTCCTGCCATATAATCCCGGAGGCTTGTAGCGCTTGCCCAATGGATATGGAGCTGTATGAATGTATGTAACAAAACAGAAGCAACCGGTCTCTTCGAATTTTTCTTCCTCCATTCCCACAGGAGTTTAGTGCCAGCTTGCAGATGACAGCGCACAGCATCAACATCACCTTGGAATAAAGCGAAGGTAACTAAAACAACACAAGCCACAAGGACCTTCTCGGTAGCCGAGGGATCCGATTGGTCGTCCTTCATCATAGTCGTGCGAAGACAAGCAATGGCCTTTGTGGACTGCCGCATGGGGAAAACGTCATTCCGGTCGGAATTGGGGTTCGCAAATCTACGATGCAAGGCACCGATACCAATTGCTGCATGGCGGACCTCCGGACAAGATTCACAGACTTGATGGACAAGAATTTGCCAAAATGGGTCGAAGTTATACCCAGCACACTGACTAGCAGTATATGAACGGAATGAATACAAATAATCACGTTCCATGCGCGACAAGCCAACTTGACTCCCATCAACCACGTGGACCAAACCAGCGGATTGGGCTTGTTGCTGGCCTACATGCACAATTTTTAGAGCGCCACCATTAGTCTTCGCGGTGCGCGCATCTCGGACTTCACGGGTTCTCCTGTCGGGTGGCGCTGTATACCCTTGACATACGCGTCCAGCACGGTTGCACATAAGACAAGCGGGTCGAGTTTCATCACATTTCTTATGGCGAGATCTTAAAACGGGTGTTAGCACCGGCTACCTTATTACCCGGATGAGATCGCATGTTGTGCAATATAGAGTTGGGTAGATCTCTGCATTGTGTTTACGCGTTGCGGAACTCCTCATCCACTGAGCGTTCACCTGGCGGCAAATTCCGGGTACTTACTTGCAGGTCAAACACCCCGTGCGAACTTTCGATGCACTAGTCCTTTTTCTTTTCTGGATATCCCGTATCACCAAGGTTGATTGGCTCCCAGGCGAAAGGGCAGGTGGATCTGACATGATGGGTGTGGGATTCGGTATGGTTGAACACCGTGAAACAGGAGGATTTGTGGACTTCAGGGGGGTCGCGTAAAAGCCCCCGCTATTCCAGATGCATGACAAGGATCCTCCGTTGGCGGAAATGCCATTTTGGTCTTTGTCCAATCGTGTTTTGACGACGTCGCTAGGTAGTGGGGTAGATGCATGCGACGCCTGAGGCATCAATATAAGCTCACCGCCAAGGCCGAGCTTCAGATCTTCATATCACCAACAGCATTTGAGTGATTATTTAAAGCCCGCCACATTCCAGATGACTCCAGTACCTAGAGATGCATTGGAGTTTCCAGAGTCGGATAGAGGCTTCTTAGAGCCCCACCTGCCCCCGCAGAATGGCTCGGGAGCTCAGTCTGATCTCCCCTTCACAACACTCACATTCGCGACCTCGCTTGACTCTTCTCTGGCTCTTTCCCCTGGTGCACGTACAGTGCTTTCAGGGCCACAATCTAAGGCAATGACTCACTATCTACGATCCCGCCATGACGGAATTGTCATTGGCGTAGGTACCGCAGTAGCAGATGATCCTGGTCTCAACTGTCGAATCTCAGGAGTCGGAGGCTATGGCAAGGAGGGTCTAGATAGACAACCTAGGCCAGTTGTCATTGATCCGACAGCAAGATGGGAGTTTTCAGACGACAGCAAGCTATTTCAACTTTGCCGAGAGGGTCGTGGCCGTGCCCCTTGGATCATTACCGCAGTTGAGAAACCAGACGCCGAGAAGGTAGCATTGCTAGAAAGGTACGGCGGAAATTTCATTTCCGTCAAGATGACCAGATTACATACTGGTGGACATCAGATTGACTGGCAAGATTTGCTCGTCACTTTGAAATCGCACGGTCTCGAGAGCGTCATGGTAGAGGGTGGTGGCCAGGTCATCAAATCCCTTTTGAGCCCACATTACATGTCTTTGCTGAACAGCGTTATTGTGACCATTGCTCCCACATGGTTGGGTGAAGGCGGCGTGGTCGTCTCCCCTGCTAGGCGCTTTGACGAGAGTGGAAATGCGATATCCGCAGCGAGACTGAAGAATGTCAAATGGTACCCGTTTGGCGAAGATGTTGTCCTCTGTGGACAGGTCAAGCTTTCTGACTGATAGAATTCGGTGAACCGTCTAACTACCGATATTGATCAAAAGGACCTGCTAAGTTCATGTTCCTTCGATATACAACCTCGAAAGACTCCAGCGTACAGCTTGAAAGTCTACAGCAGTATTTCACCCTGTGGCCCACCTTCGCCAACTGGAAAAAGGTCAATCAAATACGTCATCTACCTAGCCATGTTTTCCACTCCACGGCAATGCGAGGGCCTATTCGCATATGTCAAAAACCCGTAACTGCATCTTGTCCTGAGGGTGCGAGGGATGTGTTAGCGCATTATAAATAGATTAATTGCGCCCTAATGGTACAATCCACTTCGCCTTACGAGATCAAATACTTCAAAATTGACACCTGGATAATTATTCATTTCTCACAGGCCTCGATCTCCAGATCCCCCGTGATGACTCTAACTTGATTGAATAAGAGGCCTAGTATCCAAAGTCAGGTCGCAGGGGGACTGTTCTGAAAGTCCACGGCCCCGACCGATGGAACTGAACTTCGAGCTTTCAGTTTTTTGTTGATTGATCTTTTTTTTTTCTGATTGATTTGTCCTCGAAGAAAGAGCTTTACGGCTTGTATTGCTCCTTGTAGAGAAAACTGGACTTTCCGCATAGCAAAAGCCGTTAACAATGGCATTGTGACATTGAGTATCTCATCTTAAACAATGTCCTTTGTTGTCGGATGATCCAATAGAGCATTGAGAGATGGATAAATAAGCCCTACTTTCCACATCATCATAGCTTCAGCTGCATCAACTGACTCATCTCTAATCAAGGCTCACAATACATCCCGGAACACGTCTTCATGTCCAGCTGAGTACTATTCAAAATCTACATACACTGGCATTTTTAGCACGCTCATCCAAGAACAATGCCGCCACTCAACGATGGCCTGCAGCACGAGCGTATGCTCACGGCTCTCTGTCGCCTAATCTGCGATCTCAGATCCAACCCAGAGAGCCGTTGTCTGGCAATTGCACGACTGAACGCAATTTCTCGCCTGGCACGCATCTGTGCACAATTCGGGAAAGATGCTCGTTTCACACAGCTTTGTGACACCCTTCAGAGAGGTTTGCCCGGCCAAATCGCTCTGCTCAAGAGTGACATAAACAGTAACGTTATAGTTGCAGATGCTCTTGACCGAATGATATTTCGATCGTCTTTGGTTCCTAGTGCCGTCGCTGCTCTTGACCAAGACATTGAGATGTCTGACGAAGAGGCTGACCAGGGTTTCCATGTAGATGCTAGTGACGAGGAAAGTAACATTGATTCTAGCGACGACAACTATATAGCACGATTGCTTCTTGGTTCGACATGGGCGAAGCCGATAGTTGATTTTGACGAGGAGCCATATGGGGAAGTTGAGGTAGTTAGTGAACAGGAAAGTGAGATTGATTCTAGCGATGATAACTACATCGCACGCCTCGTCCTTGGTCCCAGCTGGGCTACTCCGTTAGCTGATTTTCCCGACGAGCCATATGGGAGAAAGAACACGTTGGGTGAGTGATTGTGGATTTATGGTGGCTCACACATGGGTATATATATCAATACATAAGTAAATGACCAAGGGTACACTAAGCCATGCCTTAGTACATCGTATCTTCACTTGAATTTTTGAATTTGACGAAATTCCTGATTGACAAACGGAAATGTAGAGAATATTAGATACACAGTCTTGATTAATTCAACGTCGCCCATCGAGTAACATAATTTTGGTATAAATTTGACCAATCGTAGCAACTCGACGCATAATTCAATCTCTGTAGGCCAAGGCAAATGACGGGCCGGTGTTATCTCGGCTGGTACTTGGTCTTTCGACCTTCGGTCGGGACATCTCACGGTGAATGATGTTGGCCAACTCCGCTTGAGCATCCGCTTCCTCATTTCCGCTGTCCGAAGTTTTGCTCCCCTGGGTATCTCGTGTCGTCTCCCGTCTAACTAGATGAGCCTCTTGTTGCTCAAGGATGGTGGCCGTCACCTTCTCTTGCAAAGCCTTTTCATCCATCTCTTGCTTGATACATGCGTAATGGGCCCGTCGATACACACCGATAGTGCTCAAAATTATACCAAGAACTTCGTAAACGAAGAGAACAGGCAGCGCGTAATACAATTTGGGGTTGCAGCCAAAAGACCAGATGTCGATGAGTACCTGGAAGACAGCATGTGCGGGCAACGCGAAGCCTATTTTGTAGAAAGCAGGTGCCAACTCGAATGGGAGAAGGATGGAAGTGATATTCGTGATGATCCACGATATAAGGGCCATCGGTACGTAGGGAGGCGGAAGCCAGATGGTGAAAATGTCTAGCACGAGGAAGTTCAAATGTGCAAAGAGCCACAGTACCAGCCAAGTGAGCGCGAACTGGTTCCCGTTGACATCCCAGCCACTTCGAAATGCCCAGATTGCACCGGCTGTACACATAGCTCCGATGAGTGTGTAGATTAAAGATATTATTAGACGCCCACTGGCAATGCGACGGGCTGACAGCGATGTGTAAAGGTTGAACTGAGCGTATAAACCATTGATAGTACCAAGGTAGAAAAATTCCTGGATCAAGATCAAAATGATAACAAGCGTGTTGTAGATGACTCTTGACCCTTGTGATGTGGGCTGAATATTGTTGTTGGCCAATGTCCACGGTTCATAGAACGTGGCAAGCGCAGCAGAATCAGAGCTGTTGATATGCTGCAGAGAATTGTTCCCGTTGGTCTGGAAGTATGCAACACGTGCAGTTTCCGATAATGATTTGATGCTCTCTGCAAGGACCGAGTCAATGACCGTTGGGTAGCGCGCTTCATTCCACACCATTGTGAGAACATTGTTCTTGTCGTACGAAGACGCAGCTAGCCCACCCGCAAATGCGGCACTTAGTGCATTCGACGCATTCGCTGTGACGTACAATGCTCCCCAGTATTTGATGTCGCAGACTGCACCTTCAATCGAGCCAGGCTGAGGGTAGACAGAGGCAGATTGCTCAATGAAAGTTGGAAAGTCGGGTCCTTTGAGCTTTTGGAACGTGGCGCGGGCCGCATCGCCTATCGCGCCGCCGTCGTAATCAACGAACAACACATTGATGTTGTGAATGTGTCCGGTCTGCTGGAAAAGAGACCCAAATATGTAACAGAACAGACCCAGAAATAGAGCTTGGAGAAGTAGAAGATTGACAGTAGCTGCCTTTAGGACACCTAATCGACGCGGCCGAACAGATGGGTGATGGATGCTAGGCCGCTGCTCCCGCGCTTTTGGGTAGAACTGCATGAAACCTGGAGTAATTGCTCTCTATCGCTCTAGATAGCGATAGAGCGGCAATATGAATGTGACACAATATGTACAAGAAGTCTGCGATGAATCTTTTGGCTTCCGACAAGAAAAGTCAAAACCCAGCGCCGACCCCCTGGAGAAGACTAGAAAAAATATAAGTAGGGCCGATATACCCGGGAAGGCTGAAAATTTTGCCCCGGAGATAAGGTGAGATAATGTGAGACCTGTCAGACAAATGTGGGAAATTCCTGAAGAACCTTTCAGGCCCAAATGTTCACTTTTGGCCATGCGAACCATGGAAATCCCCATATCAAACCAAACTCTGGCATAGTCCAGCGTCTCTAAATCTATGCCATGTGGAAGCTCCACCGCCTTCAAAATTTTGGTCCCCAGAGCATCAACGGGTATCAACCGGCTATGACGGCTCCGGTGGGTTTCCCGGGGTTGCCAAGGTGGGCTTTCTGAACTAAGAGATCATCGAATTTGCTTACCTGCATAGAAGGCGGGAAATGTTCGGTACAAGCATCGAATATCCTTCCCTAGGTGCCGGATCTTCCGGTCCAAGATTAAAGCCACAAATTATTCTGACAAGCCGATGATAACGGTCACTGCGTTTTTCAAAGGCCATCACTAAGCCTCACCAGAAGGTGCTGAGTCAGGGCAACTTTCTTAATTTGAACTTGGAGGCTACGAGCCACATCGATAAACTGATCATACCGAACAAAAGGTTGTTAGCAAAAGGGACGACTGTGGTGCTGCTTCTCTGCAAAGACCTTTGTTATGCGACTTTCTACCCGGCCTGTATTGCAATACATGTGACGCGACCTAACCGTTTTTCGTATTTATCGCCACTACCAACCCAAGAAATCTCCCCAAAAGGATATCGCCCGTCTCCCGCCGAGCCATCAGCGCCAATTCGGCCCACTGTCGATCATCTTACTAGCGTTAGCATATACATCCAGACGGTTGCCCGACCCCGTCGGGTACCTGTAGCACCCTGGATGATTCTCGCTCCGTGCGAATGGCCTTTCCTCTGCGTCGGGCTCTATGATGGATGTCAATCTCTCGGTTTACCGTTACAGTGAAATGCAGTGTGAATTGAGAGCGGAATAAAGATGATGCCGGGATTTTTGGTTGCTGAAAACTCCATCGGATGTCAAGAAAGCTACGCTCAAGTCAGAGATTCGCTGAGAACGACTTCAAATTTTGTTATTTGATGCTCGATGAGAAAGGTGAGAGCAAGACACCACTGATCGCTGGGTTGACGCTTGGTGCGGATAACCTTCCAGGTCGCATATTTTTGTCAACCACAAGAAACCCCTCCTCCACAGGCAAAATATAAAGAGAATGCCTAACCGCACACCTTTAGCGTCAGTGTGCCTCTCATTTGACAGGGATGTTGAATAATCAAATTTTCGATAATCCAGAAATGCCTCGGACAAGCAGCTTAGCGCTATCCTCCCCAACCAATGAGATACTCGTCAACCAGGGGTCGGGGGTTGGTCAATCTTTGATCCTCCCCGGGCGGCCCCCGCTTTTATCGCTCCAAAGGGCCCTTGACTGTTGCTTTTGTGTGATGAATGTGCAGTAGTTGAGATTATATAACGACGACCTTGGGCGTGCAGAAGATTAGCGGGAACTAGCCTGTGATCTCGCAACACTCGCCCCTGAGGGTTTACCTGACTGTTGCACTCTATCCCTCCTCATAAGAGAGTATTGTCACGATACGTACATCTCCGAGTCTGAGGGCTCGCATTCCAAAGATATTCTCAACATGGTGCAACTGGAGCAGGGCGCAAAGGTCGAATCGCACGGCGCAACGGAAATTTTACAATTATCATCCGACGATACGCTCGAAAATGCACCGGGCACAACCACAGAGAAAACAGAATGCGATGAACCATGGAAATGGGGGGATGATCCGAGCAATCCATATAACTGGCCGACAGGTCAAAAGGTCCTACAAGTGATGATGATTGGTTGGGCGGCTTTCACAACGTTGGTTAAATTTTCTACATAATGTGAAGCTGGCTTAAGATTTAACATATGATATAGAACTGTTGGAGTATCTATATTATCACCCGCTCACTCGCAGTTTATGGAAGAATTTGGGGTCGGCAGTACGGTCGCTATCTTACCCTTGTCACTCTACGTCTTTGCCTTGGCCCTTGGTCCCATCATTGGAGGACCCCTTTCTGAAACTGTTGGGCGATACCCGGTCTACATAGGGTCGATTGGGCTGGGCACTTCATTTACTCTAGGCGTAGGGTTTTCTCCCACGTTTTCTGGACTGTGTGTTTTGCGTTTCTTGGCTGGTTTCTGCTACGCACCGACTCTGGCGATTGCAGCGGGAACTCTCAATGAGACGTTTGAGCCTGTTCAACGTGCCCTCCCCTCAGCTATCTTTATCCTTACACCTTTCTTGGGTCCTGGTCTAGGGTCAATATCTCCCTGGTCGATGTTATTGCCAAGATCTCCGTCTTGCTGACTACCTTTTAGGCCTGTCATTGGAAGCTTCGTTGTCAATCGGAAAGGCTGGCGTTGGACACAGTGGACAACAATATTCTTTGCCATCCTCACTGGTATCACAATTCTCATTGCCAAAGAGACGTTTCACCCTATCATCAAACGTCGTCGGGCCAAGGAACTCGGACTCGAACTTCCCCCATCATCTCCTCTGTCTTCAAAGCTACGCCTATTCTTGACCATTTCTCTCTTCCGCCCTATCAGCATGCTCTTAACGGAACCCATCGTTGGCTTCATCTGCCTTTACATTGCTTGCGAATTTGCGACACTCTTCTCTTTCTTCGCAGCCTTCCCATTGATCTTTCAAGGTATCTATCATTTTAATATCGAGGAGTCTGGCCTGGTGTTCTTGACCATTGTGGTTGGATGCCTACTAGGAACAGTGACGGTCATCTTATGCAACTTCTTTCTTTACCTCCCCAAAGCCTCGAAGCATCCAGACGGGCATGTACCACCCGAATACCGCCTCTATCCAGCACTCATAGGTAGTGTTGGACTGCCGATCGGTTTGTTCTGGTTTGCATGGACTTCAAGAGCTGATATCTCCTGGGCAAGTCCTGTCGTTGCAATAATTGTCTTTGCATGGGGAAATCTATGTGTCTTCGTCAGCACAACGCAGTACCTCGTTGATACTTATCATGGTCTCACTGTTGCAAGTGCCATGAGCGCCAATGGTTTGGCACGTTATGGACTGGGGGCTGTGTTCCCTCTGTTTACCGTCCAAAGTGAGTGATCACATTTGATGTTAACACCGAAAATATGTATTAATGTCTATTATAGTGTACACCAAGCTCGGTGCAGGGTGGGCATCTAGCTTGCTTGGATTTATTGCAGTGGCCCTTTTACCTGTTCCATGGGTCTTCTTCAAGACCGGAAAAAGGTTGAGAGCTTTGAGTAAACATGAAACCGCGGAGAATAGTCCTAAGTGATGTTATTTTAAGTACATCATACTTTCCCAACAAGGAGAAAAACACTCAATTTTGGAAATGTTGAAAGTTCCCAGGGCTATGAAGAACCCGCCCGAGCCTAAGTGTTGAGCTTCGAAAGTTTATTGGGAACAGCCTCAGCCATGATGAATAATCATCAATTGATGTCTATAAAGATTCAGGTCCAGCCTGATCTAGATATATTTCAACAGTCTATTCTCACACTGATTTGGTCATGTCTCCTAAAATAACCTGTTATTTCGACGTCGGCAGTCCATTCAGCTGCATCGCGTTCCACGCCTTGACGGTTCGTCCAATATTTCAAAGAATTCCATGAATGAAAAGCTATCTGATGATTATTCATTCATAGACGTCCCCTGTCTTCGCAACGTGTGACATTGACTATGTCCCTGTCTCCCTGCGAGACTTATTTCAGCTATGCCAAAACACGCCTCCTATTGCAGTCAAGAGTAGGCTCCTATTTCTTACTTTGCCATTTCACGCTATGTACTACTTTACATGGAACGCTAATTTCCCGTTGCAGACAAGTTTCAATGGATCAACCGAGAGCGTATCTACTGGGCTCGTCGTTTCCAGGTTCCCATGTCTGAAGCCATCCCAAAAGGATTTCCCGCATCCACCGCGGACGTTCAACTCGCACTCTGCCTTCTAGCTACAGAATACCCCGATAAGCTAGTTCCCATCGTGGAAAGGATCTCTCGCGGGTTCTGGGAAGAGGGAAACTCGGGTGTCCTCACTCAACCCGGTTTTTCTGCTATTTTTGAGAGCGAGCTTGGCGCCGAAAATGCCAAGCGGATTTTGAATGAGGTATGTTTCGGATGTGTGTTATATTTTCTTTGTTTTCTAATAGTATTCTACAGTTCAAAGGTGCTGCGGCACAAGCGATCCTTGGTAGACGCACACAGGAGGCGTTTACCTCGGGCGCCTTTGGTTTGCCTTGGTTTGATTGCGTAGACGCTCAGGGAGTCAAGGAAAGCTTCTGGGGGATCGATCATTTGGGACGTCTGGTGGACTTTCTGCAACTGGACGCCAGCCTAGACAACTCTTTCCGCGTATTACTATGACATCTAGCGCGACCTGGTGAAACCTGATTCTGGTCACTCTTGGCCATGCTTGATAAATTTTAGACAAGCGTCAGATTGGCTTATCACTCACAGTCCACTTCGCATTACGGAGGCAAAACTATGTCAGGCCATTTTAGACGAAGTTATTAAACCAATCTATGTCGCGCTTGTTCATCACATTTCGAACCATTGTCATCGCGCAATAAGGTTCAACTAGTAGTAGGCTTCTTGAAGGAAGATTAGCCGATATGTCGACATCTCGAAGATTCTCAACCAATCCCGTTGTGCTATACATGCTGTTAATGCACCTAGTCGAGGGGTAAAGGTCAATTCGTTATCTAGTTAGTGACGCGATCTCGCATTGAATGACAACATGTTGTCCTATCAAGGCTTCTTTCTAGCCAAAGCTTTTGCGCATAACTCGAATTGCGCAGATTTGACAGTCTTATTGAGCATGATTTTGTCATCAACATTAATTTTAGTTTCAATCATGCATCAATCTTTCAACATTGTGATTTTTATATGTCCGTGCCCAGGCCTCCCCGCCGGGACTCTTACTATAAATTTGTCTGCAGCTTGAAATTATCATGCATGGACCTCTTCGCTTAACCAACTCGGGATTTACCCTTCGGGTGCTAATTGAGCACATACAGGCATTTGATTCATCATCAGAGGCGCAAATTTCACCTTTCGTGTATTGAATTTCGTTGAAATTTCTCCGCAGCACGACTGCACATGGCAGACAGCTTTAGCCTGACATGTCCTTCCAGCATTGCGCAATACTCGGCGCAAGGCACGAGCTGTAACATTGATACTATATAAAAAGACACAAATTCAAGTCATGGACGTTATCAACCATACTTGAAATCGACAATGTCGGACAAAAGCTCCTTGTCGCTTGAATCAAAGCAGGTGTCTGTCACAATAGTCCAAGAGACGTCAACCACATCAATCCCGACCAGAAAACACGATGTAAGAGGTGGTGTATTGGCTGCGGGTGGGTCACTGGAGTTCTACGAGCCCATTGATGAGTACGAAGGGAAACATCGATATGACCCACTTGCAGAGTGGACAGAGAAGGAAGAGAAGCAACTGGTCCGGAAGGTAATGAAGAGCTTTCCCAGAATTCACATATTGTGGATCATCGGGCTAATATTTGACGAAAATGTAGCTTGACTACAGAATTTGTTCTTGGGTCTGTCTGATGTTCTTTGCCCTCCAACTGGATCGGGGTAATATCGGACAAGCATTATCCGACGGAATGCTTGATGACCTTGGGTTATCAACTAACAATTACAACTATGGCATGACGATATTCTATCTTTGCTTCCTATGCGCGGAGGTACCGTCGCAAATGATTTCGAAAAAGCTCGGCCCCGACGTATGGATTCCCATTCAGATGGTCCTTTGGAGTGTGGTCGGGATTTGCCAGGGTGTGGTTACCGGTGAAAAGAGCTTCTATGCGACTCGTGCTCTGCTTGGCCTGATAGAAGGTGGCTTTATTCCTGATGCACTCCTCTATCTATCCTACTTCTACACGAATAACGAGCTACCTATGCGGGTCGCCTTTTTCTACTGTGTCTCCAACAGTACCGGCATCATCGCTGCGTTCTTGGCATTTGGCATTCTTCGCATGCGAGCCATAGGCGGCTGGGAAGGGTGGAGATGGCTGTTTGTCATCGAGGGTGCTTTGACTCTTATCATTGGTGTCATATCGTGGTTTTATCTACCTCCGAGCCCAACCCAGACTGCCAGTTGGTTTCGCGGGAAAGATGGTTGGTTCTCAGAAAGGGAAGAGGTCATCATGGTTAATCGAGTCTTGCGAGATGATCCAGCAAAAGTACGTATGAAGGAGATATCTTTGCTGACAATTTATATATACACAGACTGACTGTGGACTTGGTATAGGGTGGCATGCATAATCGTCAAGGTCTAACGCCGAAACTTTTATGGGACTCTCTCATGGACTACGATCTTTGGCCAATGTATCTGATGAGCCTCACACTGCTCATCCCCACAACTCCTGTATCAGCATATTTGACCCTCTTCCTGAGGTCGCTTGGTTTTGATACGTTTGAAGTCAATCTTCTGACCATTCCTGCGACGGCGTTGTTCTTGGTCCAATTGATTTTTTGGTCCTGGGTGTCCGAAAAAATCAACAACCGCATGGCCATAGTTCTGTTCTACTCATTCTGGGTTTTCCCTCTTTTGGTGGCACTAGAGCTGATGCCAGCAACTGCAAGCCCTTGGAGTTGGTACGCAGTTACAATCTTGGTCATTGGATTCCCCTATGTTCATTCCATCAATGGTTAGTACACATGTCCCCATGTCCTATCTCATATTCTCTGACGCCAATTTCCTTATAGTCAGCTTGATCTCTCGAAACTCTGGCTCTGTGCGCACCCGTACAGTGGGCAGTGCAGTTTATAACATGATTACCCAAGCAGGTGCTATCATCTCTTCCAATGTACGTTTTCTAATCCTCCTGATGTCTCCTTTCATGGTTAGATATGTGACTGATACTTATTTTTTCTAGGTATACCGTACCGACGATCGACCTTTCTACCGAAAAGGAAATAAGATCCTTCTTGCAATCGTCGCATGGAACGTTTGTGTTACCATCTTCATCAAGTTCTACTATATACGGAGAAACAAAGCACGTGAACAAGTTTGGAACGCTATGGATCTTGAGCAGAAGCATCATTATCTGAGCACAACAAAAGACGAGGGCAATAAGAGGTTGGACTTCCGATTTGCCCATTAAGTCACTAATTTCTTGGGCCCATTGTACAGAGGGCGGCGGTCTTATGCGCTACCAACTTGACGAAATTATTCTTCTGAATATATGACCTGAATGATGAATTGCTATAACGTAGATATGGGGCATGGAATGTCTCTAGGTCCATAAGAAAATGGAAACGAATTCTATTTGCTATTCAAAATATTGAATGATATTCCACAATTCTTTTCTATTCCGGGCATTTGATAGTCTCCCTACATTTACAATGTTTTTAATTGAGCCCTCGACCTTGCACAAACTCATGGGAACGTTAGTCCCTTCCCTAGTTTCCAGTCATAGTTAAGTGTTGTCCCTGGGGAAGAGAGAAAGAGAGAGGAAGGGCGAGGGGGGGATTAATACTCGCCGGGGACGTCGTGCCTTCCAGAACGATTGCAACTACCTCACCTTTCTGGAGAAGGAACGATCGTACTTTTATGCTATATGTACGAAACTCCATTCTCTTTAGGCTTCATGCTCAGAGCTACATCACACCCTTACCTCAATCAAAAGACATTCACCTCGCTCACATGTCTGCCGATCACAAAACTAATTGACGCAAGACCCCCGGTGACATCATGAGCTTGGAGTAGAACAGCCTCACCGACTAGCCTTCATAGCCTCAACATGATGTGGGGTAAAAAAGGAACCGAACAAGATGTTGTGTCTGCCTTGCCATTTTGGTTTGATCTTCTAACGTCGATCATCCAAAGATGGTTAAATCTTAGTCGATCGGACATGCTTTGTTAATACAATAGCTCGCTATTTCGTATATTATCTTGTTTTTTCCGCGTATGTTGTATAGTACAATCATGTCGAAATCCCAGAGACTTTTTTTTTCTTTTTTTTTTGCTCCAATATTGATTCTGGGGCAGGGTTATAGGGTCAGATCATATCCATAGGATAACTGAGGTATACCTAGAGCCATGTCTCCCATGTGCCAGCACAGCCATGTGTCTCATGTGACTCTGGCCTGGGCCTTATTCTCCCGACCTATCACCTTGGCCAGTCTACCGCTAGGGGTAAATTGTCTGAGGTATCATGTCCGGGCATATTTACGGATATCCCCCTTGTACTTTGGAGCACTCTTCTCACTGTCTTTCTCCCCCTTGCATGTCTTGTTTTCCCCCCAAATTCTTGCATAGATCAAAGGTCTTTTTACGCTTTCAAATCTTTGACCGTGATCGACACCCGTTAACCCCTAGTCGGAAGTCCCTTGCCGGATCTGGCCGAGCTTGGCGATTTTATCCACATTCTACTCCCCCAATCACCCCTAGCCAACACCCTAGTCATCCCCACATGAGGTCTCCCCGTACGGAGTAGATCTTCTGGTCTATATAATATCTACGCGGGCTTTACAGCACAGCCGAAGGTTGACGTCAATGATGGATCTATTTCGAAGTACCCCGTACATATCGCAGCCATGGCAAATTGAATCGTCCCAAGCCATGCATGACACAACAAACATGTGGACTCGATCAACGTGGATCAGTTATCGAAGGATACCCAGTCGTTTTTAGAATCGGATTCTAGACCCAGTCACAACAATGCCCCAAGACCGATTCCGCAAATATTAGTTATGCCTTCGGCATTCCATCTAGGGATTTGAATAAAGTCTTAGGTCGCTTCGCTTCATCTTGCCTCGTTCTTTTTGTTTCCCTTTTGTAGTTTCCCCAGTGATCTAGTCATTCTTTAATTTGCAAGCCACAGAAACGCCTCCCGTCTCCCTCTGTACCTTTTAACATCAACTACTCAAATACTCTACAAATTAAACCGCAGCATCATGATTGGACTCCGCAAGCAAAGTCAACACGAGCTCGCGCATTAGTGGGTCGCCCAAATCACTCCACCGAGGCCCAATGCCACCTGATGCATATCCATATCAGGCGTGCGGCTGTTAGCTTCCTCTCACTTCTTATCCCCTCTGCTCGCGGGAATTGACCCCTCGGGGCCAAGCAGATGCCGAGCATGTGGTCTCACCTTGGCTCTCTTGGTACCCTAAATCCAATGCGGATTCTCTCCCTCCCTCCGTTCTCAAGACAATGGCGGTCAAATCTAAATATAAGAGGGTTTGATCTCCCCTACTCAAATGATCGTAGCCCTGCGTGATCGGCGAATTTATACTTCCAATATTCTTGAACCTGATTCTGATCACTCCAATATGCGGTCTTTCATGAAATCTACTTCCACATGGGCTCTACTATCCCTATCTCTACTTCCTGCCGTATTAGGCTCACCTTTATTTGAAAAACGTGCAAAGGGTGCCTGGCTTGGCCTCAACACCAACTTCCCAGATCCTAGCTTTATGCAAGCAGCGGATAAAAAATGGTACGCGTTCGGCACCAACGGAAACGGAAAGCGAGTCCAAGTCGCAGTCTCGGATGACTTCAAATCATGGACATTACTCGATGTTGAAGCCCTCCCCACATTGTCAACGTGGGAAACCGAAAACGATCATTGGGCACCAGACGTCGTGATGAGAGTGAGTTTTCCCGGCTTCCGAGAAAGAGAAAGAAAATCAACAATTTCCTCAATAACTATACGAAAATAACTAATTTTTGTTCTAGGATGATGGAAAGTACGTTATGTATTACTCGGGCGAGGCAAAATCAAATCTCAGACACCACTGCGTCGGCACAGCCGTAGCAGACCACCCAGCAGGACCCTATGTCCCAAGCAACAAGCCCCTATCATGTCGTCTCGATCGGGGCGGCTCAATCGACCCAGCAGGCTTCAAGGATAAGGATGGCAGTCGCTACGTCGTCTTCAAAGTCGACGGTAATAGCGTCGGCCACGGCGGCGACTGTAACAACGGCGTCGAGCCGCTTGTTTCCACGCCAATCTTGTTGCAGAAGGTTGGCGCCGACGGTGTCACGCCTATCGGGGATGCGGTGCAGATTCTTGATCGGAATACCGCTGATGGCGATGGTCCCCTTGTCGAGGCGCCGAATTTGATTCTCCATGGTGATACGTACTTTTTGTTCTATTCTACTCACTGCTTTACCGACCCTGCGTATGATGTGCGCTGGGCTACGTCTAAGAGTATCACTGGGCCTTATACTAAGACAAATGTTCCTCTGATCAATGCAGCGAATACGGGGCTCATTTCTCCTGGTGGTGGAAATGTTTGTGGTTGTGGAGATCGGATCTTGTTCCATGGGTTCTGTAATCAGGAGAAGACTAGTAGGTGTATGTATGTGGCTGATGTGATTATTGATGGGACAAAGGTGTCGATTGCTTGAGGGTTTGGTTATTTCTACTGCAGATTTGTCCTTGCGTCAGACTCTCATAAGTCTGGCTGCCTCATATATACCCCGGATTTTGAGGGCTTGCATGTGATGTGATACCAGTGGTATATTTGTTTTGTGATTCCAAAGTGTGAACATTGTTGTATTTGTGTATAGTACTACTCACTACTTTTCGAGCCAGTGCACACCAGAGCAAGTGGGAAAAGCACATACATACTGGGTACAGCAAATCCTCATCAATGTTCAGCGAAACAATGTTCTGATCTGGACACAAACGTAATAAAATTGTATTATGTGGAGCTGAGTTCCGTATATCGTATCGTCGTATGGTTCTAGACATGCCTGCATGTTCCTAAGCTTTATCATTTTTCCCTGTCTCTGTCTTTGCCGCCTCTTCTACCCCTTCTACCTCCCCTTCTTTAGCACGCTTCTTATCCCGCGCCGTTTGCACCCACTCCGCTGCACCCTGAATCGCTATCTCGGGTGTCTCCTTGTAGTTGAGAAGATATCCCTGAATCTCCGCAGCTGTAAACTCGCCACTCGGAATGGCTGCAGCAAACTTCGACGCCAATTCGGAGATATTGGATCGCAGGCATACAAGACTCTGCGGGTCCTCCTTGCCCTTTTCCACAATCCCGTTGCTTTGCACGGGCTTTCGGGGAATTTCGCCATTTGGCTTAGCAGTGTGATCAACAATGGTTTTTGGCAACTTGACGAAACCATTACTACCATTGGTGTGAATTGTCGGGGCTCCGTTGCGGGCCAGGTCATTATCCATCGTCGCATAGATCGAGGTGAAAAGCTCTTTGATATCGGCTTCGCTTGTATATCCGAAGACGATCTTCATGTCGACGCGACCAGGACGGAGGAGAGCCGGGTCGAGCTTGTCCACATGGTTGGTAGTCATAATGAGGATGCGGCCCTCACTGGCGGCGACACCATCAATCACGTTCAGAAGTGCGGAAAGCGTGATTCCGCCTTTCTTATCTTCTTCTTTGGCGGCTGGACTATCCGCTTCAGTGCTGCCTTCCTTGGGAGTAGCATCATTCGCGGGAGTATCTGAAGTAGATGTAGATGTAGATGGAGCGACACGAGTCTTGGTGATACCCGCTGAGTCGACATCTTCAAGTAGGACAATGCATCGGCGTGGTAGTTCGGAGAACAGTGATGACAAACTCTCTTCGTTCAAGGCCGTGGAATTCAGATCAAGCACGTAGAGCTTCAATCCAAGGAGTCCGGCTGCTGCAAAGCACAGACTTGTCTTGCCAGTCCCTGGGGGACCGTGTAGAAGGTATCCACGTCGATACGGGATTCCACGGTTGGTATACCAGCGTCGAGTGCGAGGGTGCAAGTATTCCTTGATATCATCGAGGAAGTCGTGTTTCTGCTCTTGATCAAGGATCACGGTAGACAAAGGACGTGGTAGTCGGGCCATACACCGATACCAGTTGAAACTTTGGCCGGCGTTAATCCGTGAGCCGCGGTAGATGACCGTGCGGTTCTTGTCACGCTCAACATACGCCTGCTGCGCTTCGGCTAGGAGGGTTTTCAAAATTGCCGGATTCCGACCGAGACACGATAGATAGATTCGCTCGTTGTTCATCACATACCATGTACCGCCGTCCCGGTTTACGCGCTCGAGCATGAGTGGACGGCCCTTGTACCAGAAGTAATGACAGCCTTCAGAGGGAGTAAATTGCATCTTCTTATACTTGTCTCGAGTAGTGACCTTGGCCCAGTACGATTCGAAGGATTCTTCTTTTTCGCTGTTGAAAGAGACATTCTCGTCGTCCTCGTCTCTTGTGAGGTCCTCGTCCTCTGTGTCATTGTCGCTCCAATAACTGTTAGTTTTAATGCCTGCAACAAATCGGTTTGTATTTTTCATATGCGGCTGGCGTGAGATCCAGAACATCAAGTAATGAAATGCCTCATCATCCAGCCGAATCTCGGCTCTTGACACAAATAACTCATTGAAGTGTGCCCAAATGATGAATAAGGTGTATCGAGCACTTGCGCCGAAGACGGCCAGTCCAACCAGAAGTTGCAGGTAAGCGCTGATATCAAAATTGAGGTAAGACATCAATAGGCGTGACATGAAGCCATAGCCGGGGACTAGAACCTCCAACATGGCCGTGTCCGTTGTGGACAACGGCCCCGTTGTAGTAGGGATGGTTTGGTTAGAATCCATGATCGACAGACCTCAAGATCTGGAAATAATTTAGAATAAATTTCCAGGGTAATGGGATAGGAGGAAAGGGAGGACCCTAAGTTGCAAAAGCAAGCATTGTCGAGTCTCTTATAGAAAGCCGAAGAGCCTCATGTGTTGGCCTGTCCCCGCTCGGACATATGAATTCGCTTCTAGAGCTGAGCCTGAGGTGCGCCTGACACGCCTCGATCACACTTGGATTCTACCGGCATTGCCTTGCAGATTTAGGTAGAATTGATTGGATGGGATGCGAACGGATTCAGCTGTTGGGCTGCCCAAGCGCGTCTGCCTGGGCCTGACTCATTCTGCTGCAGGTGCTGCGGCCATTTGCGCCCACGTAATCCAAATTGGCAAAACAATCATGAACCATCGCGTCACGATCTGATATGCAAATGTTGTACAATGATAACAAAATAAAAAACACAAAAAAGAAATCTCTCCCTCGGGGAATCGAACCCCGGTCTCCCGCGCTTATCGGTTTTAATGACAAGCGGAAATCATCACCACTAGACCAAGGAAGATGTGGACGAGTTACTGCTCGGCCATTGGAATGGTTGATGGAAAGACCTGCCTGTTTAAACATTATAACGTAATGATTAATAACCTACATCCGATCTACATCAGCACAACCCTAAGTTGATACAACATACAGCCCTCTACAATTCCATACATTGAATAACATGTAATATATTCATTCTCTTATTATTTTTTTACATGGCTTCTAAAAAAGATATCTCATATCCCTAGCAGTTATGTGTTTACGTATAGCAACCATAGCAATATATGTTTCTGGGTTCGAAGTCTCCGTACACGTCAACCTCGCTTCAACCGTGCCGGCCAACGGCCGCGTACCCTAAAGCCTACTCAGACGTACGAGGGAAGGCGTATTTGACACAAAATTGACAGAATTGGCTTGCCCAAACACCAGATGATCGCGTCATGCTGAGCAATGGCAATTTGATTGACCGAGCTCAGTTTTACCTGGCAGGAAACCAGTAAGTGTATATATGAGCTTACTATGTTCACTTCATCCTTCTCGAGGTCATATATGCGCTCTTCCCAGGGAGCGGTCAGTATCGGGGATGGGCCTTGATCAGTGCGCTTCAATATTCCGGCCCTGGCAACTCTTTTCCTTCCTCCGTTAAGGAGGTGAATTAAAAAAAAAAAAGAAAGAAAGAAAGAAATTATGTTGCAAATACGAGGAAGGATGGGGATTTACTCGGGTATATAATATTCTACAGTATATCGTCTCTCGGACTCCACTACTTTCTCCCCTCTGGTCTGCGGCAGATGGCAAGCCACGAGAGTGGTAGTTTCTGAGGCTGACTGTGAGTGGTGCTGGTATTGAAAATTGACATGGGGCACCAGGGCCGTATATATTATGCCTTATTGATTATTATACTTCTTGAACACTTGGTAATACGACTTTCCGGTTTTACAATTGAGACCGAGCCAGAACACAGTGTTAGACCAGGGAGAACCTCGGAACATATAAACAGGCGAGTCCGTGGAAACAGATATGCCTGGGAATGGTGGTCCTTTCGAATAGTCTCTAAATATATCGAAATACGTATGTACTTTAAATGACAACATCCCACAGCCTCACTGTTCCATCGGCAGATCCAGATGCCACAAAATTACTATCGGGTGAGAATACCACAGAGATGACCCAGCTAGAATGGCCCTTGAATGCTGTTCGTATAGCCCCAGTGGTAGTATCCCAGACTCTAACAATGTTATCTTTAGATCCAGATGCGAGCAATTTACCATCGGGTGAGAATGCCAGACAATAGACGTTGGAAATCTCGCCCTGAAAGCTTTTGTGTAAAGTGCCGGTGGTGGTATCCCAGAGTTGGATATTATTGTGAGATCCAGATGCCATTAATTTCCCATTGGACGAGAAGGCATCAGAGCGGATGTCACGATAAGGTATCACAACCGCATTATGTTTAGCGCCTTTGATAGTATTCCAGTAATTGACTTTGTAGCCACCAGATCCAGATGCTATCAGTTTACCATCGGGTGAGAATGCCAGAGAAGCCACAAAGCTAGAATCGCCTTCAGGCGTTCCGGGAATAGAGACCATGATAGAAGACCAGCGTCTGATTGCCAGATCATCGGATCCAGATGCCACCAATTTGCCATCAGGTGAGAATACCACAAAGTTAACGGGCCTAGAATCACACTCGAGCGTTTTGTGTAAAGCACCCGTCAGAGTATTCCAGATTTTGATAGTCCCGTCATTAGATCCAGATGCCACTAGTTTACCACCAGGTGGGAATGCCAGAGAAGTCACCCAGCTAGAATGGCCTTCAAGCGTTTTGTGTATAGATCCCGTGATAGAAGACCAGAGTTTGACAGTCTGGTCAGAAGATCCAGATGCTACTAATTTGCTATCAGGTGAGAATGCCACAAATTCAATGCCTGTAGAATGGCCCTCGAGTGTTTTGTGTAAAGCACCCGTCATAGTATTCCAGATTTTGATAGTCCGGTCATGAGACCCAGATACTACCAATTCACCATCGGGAGAGAATGCCACTGAAGTCACCCAATCAGAGTGACCCTTGAGCACACCAGGAAGCATCATTCTGATATCTGTGGCGCTTTTGTGATGCACTGGCTGAAAATTTGCATTTTCGTTGCTGGGGTTCTGGAGAGACAATGTCCCCAATCCCTCTGTTCTCTTCGAGACAGAAGTTTCCGATTTCTCCGAAAACTTGGTGTTCCATGACGCGAATTCCTCTGTCATTGAGTCAAATGCTGGTGTAGTATGTATCCCTTCATATGCAAGTGCCTCTTGATACACAAGTGTACCTGAGTTGGGATCATAGGGCAATGACTGATTTATCCACCTGTGCTGTAAAGCATCTCTGGCTGACATTCTGCCTGCCGGGGTAGGATCCATAAGGCATAAGATGAATTCAATTCCAGCCTGACTGACATGGTAGGCCAAAAGTTGGTTGGAAGGAAAGATGTCGGGCGTTTGGACATAGTTGAAGAGGAATCCAAGATGTTTGAATGTGGGTTGCTTGGTCAAAATTTGGAACATAACCTCCCCGGCTGCCCAGATGTCAACGGCATAAGAAGTACCGCTTTGAGTGAATCTATAGACTTCAGGAGCGATATATCCTTGGGTCCCTTTCATAGTTGTTGATTTTTCAAGGTCATCTTCGATACGTTTGCTGATCCCAAAGTCCGCGATTTTAACCCACCAATCATCCGGCGGACAAGATCTCAAAAGGATATTCTAAATAGGATTAGATTGGGTGATCGACTGAGGTATTTGGTTTCCATTTTGCGACTCACTCTAGGTTTCAAGTCACGATGTGCAAAGCCATTGTCGTGCATCAAATCAAGGCCCTCTAGGATTTGGGACATTATGCACTGTGCCTCAAATTCTGGTAGTGGCTGCTTCGCGCTGTGCAAATAATCTTGCAAATCCCCTAGCTCAAGATACTCCATCGCAACAAACAAACTGGTTTGGGTCTGGTACCACCCAAAAGACTTTACAAAACATCGCTCGTACTGTTGATATGTGTTAGTAGTTTTCATTACGTTCACAAGGTGAATGAATTGACCCTTGAATGCGAGAACTTTGCAATAGCCTCTAGTTCACGGGCATAGTCTACCTGTCGGCGCACCTCCATCTGCTTTGTTGCGCGGAGTTGATGGCCATGATTCTTCCCTTTTGTGCATCTTTCCAGCCATACCTCTCCGAATCCACCACCGCCAATCTTCTTCTCTCGCTGCCAATGTTCTGTTGTTTTGATTGGCCGCCGAGAATGAGATTCCTGCTCGTAGTAGGTATGCACTGTCTCGTTTCTGGGATCAGGCAGGAAGTGAGTCTCAAGCTTAAAATCGAGAACCCAGTCTGGAACTCTCGACATTTGGATGTTTCAATTTATAAAGCTGTGAGCCATGAAATAAGTGATATTGATAACTCCCCCGGGAGCACTGGAGATGAGGAATTGGAGATGTTCACGGGTGGGGGTTCTCTCTGCGGTAAGCGTGCGCCAAGCGCCTAACAGTCTCATCCACTCGAAGTAATTTATTCTCCTACAGTTACACGCACGACCTTTAGCGCGACGAAATAATGAAAAATTGACCAGAGAAGACCTGAGGAAGGGGTTGCGGAGCACCCATCTCGAGCGAATAAGAGCATTTAGACATTATATGCGTAAATATGGGTATATGTATATATCAAAAGGCCAATTAAACAAAACCGAGAAGATTTCTCAACTCTCAGACTCCGAATGCTTGCCCTGAACAGCATCGGCAACACCGCTAGCCCAGTCCTTCAGATCATCGAATTTGTGCAAGATCGTGTCCCACCATGTCGAACTCTTTTCGCCATCACTTTCATGGTCTGCGGCAGGTGGTTCTTCAGCTGCTGGGGTGGTAATTTTCGGTGCTGGTTGAGCTGGCTGCGGGGGTTTGGGTTGTGGGGGTGCTGGCTGTGGAGGCGATGGCCGGGGATGTGCTGGTTGCTGGGGTCCTGCTGTTGGTGAAGTTGGAGCCGGGGGATCAGGAGGGGTGTCCAACACCGGTACGTTCTCATCTGAGTGGAGACCGACTGGCTTGAGCGGGAGTCGTAGTGTACCATTACTTGGAAGAGGATTGACGCCCAGAGAGTCACAGACAATGTTGTATACTTCGGTGTTTTCTATACAAATTCGTTAGGTCAAATCCCAAGCAAAGGTTTCGAGTACTTACGGAAAGGTTCCACCCGGCTGTTTGGCTTGTGAGGGAAGGCTGGGCCTCGCGCAATAAAGATTGCACGCATCAATGGATGCTCATGGTCATATCCGTGAATCCCCCTTGGATGGTATTTCTGCCCAGTTTTCAAAGCCTTTTTGACGTCAAACTCTGACCGATTAACGATAGCCCACCCCGTCTTGGGGATGACCCACAACGGTGCAATGCGTTCGTTGTTTGAGAAGTGATACCGCTCCGGCATCGTCTCTCGTGTGTAGAATTCAAAAGCATGCTCGTAATCCGGAGCTACCTTCTCCAATTGCTTTCGGATGGTCTCCAAATCCTCCGGACGCTTGGGGCGCAGACCACCAGATGGCCACCCGTCAATATGTTCAATCAAATCATAATCGATCAGATCATCCAGCTGAATTAGCCTTTCTGTAGAGGTAGTGGCCATGCCGTGGTCTGAGACAACCACGATATTAACCACCTCGGTAAGATTGCGTTTCTCAAGACCGGCCATGATACTAGCGACCATGCTATCCGCTTCGGAAATTGTTTTTCGGATCTCAGTGCTATTAGGGCCAAATTTATGCCCGTCCCGATCGACGTCGGGTAGGTAAGCCGCGATAAACTGCGGTCGCTCAGGTGTCATCTGCGATTCATTCTCTAGACCTGGCAGATCTAAAAACTCAAGAATCCGATCCACCTTACGAGACCAGACTTCCGTCCCGTTGTACTTATCCACGTAGCTCGGCTCTCTGTCACCAATGTGCGCCTCAGATCCCGGCCACATATGGATGGCGGCCTTCACATGCTGCTTTTCTGCCGTCACCCAGAGTGGTTCCGCCATCCACCACTTCGGCTGCATGCTGACGGTAGGGTGGGTATAATAGAACTCCTCATTCATCTTCGGGTCCCAGAATGTGTTTCCTACAATCCCATGACTCTCGGGGTACAGTCCGGTCATAAGTGTGAAGTGGTTTGGGAATGTGACACTCGGGAAGCTGGGGGTCATGTATTGGGGCGAGACGCCATTGGCGACGAGAGAGTTGAGTGCAGGAGTCAGGCCTCGGTTGAGAAAATCGGCTCGGAAACCGTCAAGCGATATGACGATCGTGGTTGGGGCAAAGAGAGCTGTACCGTTGGAGAGTAGCGGCGGAGGGTGTGCTCGTGAAGCCCGGAAGCCGCTTGAGGCTTTATACGCCCCGAGGGTGAGGATGACGAAGAGAACGGCGACCAAAGCAATTACAAACAGGATTTTTCGCCATGAAGGTCGTGGGGGCTAATCGGCGGACGTGTTAGCAGGGGGCGTAGAAGCCAGTCACGGTACGTCTTACCGGCTCATATTTGTATTCTTCTTTCCCGTCCAAATGCGACGATGACCTGCTCAAAAGGGAGGAATTGTCGTCACCAATTCCCTCTTCCATCTCATACATCAGCTCCCCGTCTTCACTGACTCTCTCACGACGCGAACCCCGCCGCTGTCGCCGCTCCTTTTTCGTCTTCCCGATCCTGACACTGCTACCATTCGGGCTGAAAATCCTCCGCAGACCACGTCCAGTACCACGAGTCAACAGATTCTCCAACTCCTCTTCCTCTTCTAGCACTGCCCGATCGTGCTCTGCGATTTCCAAGGTGCTGCGGTTTTGCTCGAGGAGCGCATCATCGTCTGAATCGGAGTCCTGCTCCGATGGCGACCGCAACGAGGATGCATCGTTGTCGTAATTTGCCGGAGAAAGGAGGGAAGGACTAAGGTCTGGGCGGCGCATCGCTAGCCTGATGAAGACATGGAAAAAGAGCTGAGATGGAGAAAGGACGATCGGAGGATTGCCAAGACCTAATCACTGATAAGCCTGATCTATGAGCATCGCGGTGTTTATTTGTTTATTGTGATAGTTAACTATAATTCAATATGATCTCAGCCAGAATATGAAATTCACTTAAATCCTTGTTATATTTCGTTGTTCACGGGCATATGTACAGCTTGCCTATAATGAATGGCTGGGACAATAACAAGCATCCTAGTGTGGAAGACCGTTATGCCACGAATTTATCCTGAAAGTGACAATCGTGTTCATTTTGTTTCGCAAAGAGAAGTATGTGTGATGTTATTTTATATAATTTCTTTCATTTGAAAAGCCTTGAGAAAGGTAATAGGTACATGTTCACCCCAAAGTATACCTGTCTCCAGGAGGGTACATAAAAGGGATTGAGCTCTCAAGTCAGGGAATATATATATTCTAGCGAGTCGGTACGGCGCACATTAACTATACTCGAAGTTTGTCCCAGCATCTAATAGAATCGACATTGCCATTCCCTAATTATCGAGTTGTGTTACAGCAAGTTATCCTGTGTCTGCAACTTAGAAACTGCCCTAGATTAGTATAGAGTATTTCTGACGGCGGAAAATGCATTCTGAAACCAGTTTAATAGAGACATTCTCGCGCTGTAGTATCGCGACAAATAACTTCATATGTTACTTGATCACAGAGATCAACTTCCTTGTTTTTCCGTTCGTGTAGATGATATTGACCTACAAGGGAGATTGCGAACGAATTTCGCGAGCATACCCTCAGTCCTGCAGGAACATACATTCCACAGCTAGTGCGTGGGAGCTGCATTCCGCATATCGATCGCAAATGACAAAATTCAGAGCTTTTGTAGTTGATATGAGCGCCGCCGACGTTTTCTGCAGACAGAAGATCGTGGGGTTGTAACCCATTATGTTCGAGCCCATTTAAGGGAATTTTAATGCTAGGTGAACTCACTGGATGCCCGGATGCAGTTCATAGGACCTCGAATAGGCGATCAGCCCTACGCGGAGAGTGACTTTGAAAATTTTTGATGTGCTTCTAACTAATTCAGCCGAGTCGAATTGCTATAGCAGAAGAGACACAGCTAACCCCAAGTACCCTTTCCCGTGACCCATTCTAGAGACGAAGTGTACTCTACCAGATATCAATGCGATTCACTGTCTTATCTCGCAACTCAACAGTAAGTAAGTGGAGTATTAAACAAGGCCATTGGGCCACTACTCCACGGGCTCTTCTACACACCCAGAAAGCTAAAAAGCCTCTCCACCCATTGTCTTCCAAGTCTCCATTCCTTGCGACAATGTATCTTCAGGGCATAGTCCCGAAAACAGTTCTCTCACAAGAAAAATCCACTTGGCATCTATTGTGACACCTCTCAAATGGATTTTTATGGAATTCCATGTTGGCGGAGTATCTGGTGTGGATGTCCGCTTGCGAAGACATCACCTTCCTAATTTAGATATGGTATCACGTGACTAGGCCCAACCGAGCCGGGGCTCCACTGTTCGGACGAACCGCAAGCTCAGACGATCGTGACAAGATTAGCATCGGGAGAGACCCATCATACCGGGCCTTTGAGGTGGAGCCTCGATCAGAGCAGGGTGACATTTGCCCCGGATGCGGAAATCGGTCAATCTTGTTTCCACTTTACCATGAGGGCAGACAGGAACATCAATGGCAGGAACATCGAGAGACACAATATTGGAATTTGCAGAATTTTCCTTCACATGTTTGATGCCATCACCAGTTAAGCTTAATCAATAAATGACCGCATTTGGATCGCTCGCCAGATCTATAAGAATGTCGTCCTTTTCGCCTCAGATCCCTCCATTTCCACCTCAATCGCATTGGCATTATTACTCTAGGTAAGCGTTGAGCTACACTTGCTGGTACAGGCACCACAATGTCAAAGACATATGCTAACCCATATTCCAGCTTTGTCACTCGTTAAGACAGCAAGCGGTCTCTCTGACTTTTAACTTCAATTGCTTTTCGTGTCGCAAACAAAAATGCACTTCACCGCTCCTTCCATTGCCTTGCTGGCTCTCGCAGCCGGTGTCCAAGCCGGTGGTGCCAAGCAGCAGCGCGAACCCCCCGTCCGCCGCGGAAAGGGCTTCGACAAGCACCAAACCACCAGTGTTGCTACCGGCGCTGCTACTGGCATTCACGGCCATGAGACTGGTATCGTTGGTACCGGTGTTCACACTGGAAGCCACCCCATCGTCACGGGCATCCCATACTCCAGCGGTACCCACGGCGGTGGCAAGGACACCACTCTCTTTGGCACTGGTACCGCCCCCTGCTACAACTGCCATGGTAGCGCGACTATTCCAGTCTATGTCCCTACCCAGACTCACGGTGGCTCCTCTGGTGCTTCCCCCTCCGGTGGCGCTGGCGGTGCTCACGGTGGCTATGGCTCTGGATCTGAGTCTGGCCCTGGCTCTGAATATGGCCCCGGCTCTGAATATGGCCCCGGCTCCGGCTCTGGCTCCGAGTCTGGCTCTGGCGCTGGCAGCAACGGCTCCGGCAGCAAGGGCCCTGGATATGAGTCTGGCTCCGAGTCTGGCTATGGATCTGGATCTGGCTCTGGATCTGGCAGCAACGGCTCTGGCTCTGGCTCCGAGTCTGGCTATGGATCTGGCTCTGGCTCTGGCTCTGGCGCTTCCCCCTCGGGCGGTGTTGGCTCTGGCTCCGGCTCCGGCTCTGGCTCTGGCGCTTCCCCCTCGGGCGGTGTTGGCTCCGGCTCCGGCTCTGGCTCTGGCTCTGGCTCTGGCGCCTCCCCCTCCGGTGGTGCTGGCTCCGGCTCTGGATTTGGATCCGAATCCGGCTCAGCCTCCCCCAGCTCCACCGAGTACACCCCCTCCAACCCTGGCTCCAAGGTCACCGCACCCCAGGTTGGAGTCGTTGGCGCTGTTATTGGCAGCATTGTCTACGGCGCCGTTATGCTCCTTGCATAAACGTCTCGTACTGGCTTAACGTTTACAAAAATGTCTTTTAATGCTGGTGTTTTGCTGTGCTGATTGCTGGGTATCTCCTGTTGATTCTTATATCTGAGCTTTGGAACTGGCTCTGGCTAGAGCCTTGATATGTTCAGAAATGGGAGTATAGGAGTTGGAAATGGTGTTTAGTGTTTTTTCGAGGGGGTTATTAATGGGTTCTTTGGTGTAATATCTGAGTACTTAATATGATTTTGTTTGAATTTCAAATGAGAGTGTTTTTGATATTATCATTTCAGTATATTCACCGGAATTGACATGCCAATATGAAGAAACGTGTATACCTATAGATTCAAACATATCCTTATGATTGGGATTTACTATGTAATCCGGGTGACGGTACAACTGCCGCCTTGGGAAGTCATCGGCTCCCGGAGCACAGGCTGAGTTACAGTGGCGCTACGAAAGTCTGTGACCCCCGTGAGTTGACCGCGCTTTTCTGCCACGAGTTCTGACGCGTTTAGGCTTGGTAGACTATAATAGGAAGATGGTGCTGCTGGCGGTCAAGGGGTCACAGAGTGTTGTAGCGCCACGGTATGTATGTACCGGCATTTTACGTTAAACACACAGGAAATAAGGGATGGTTGGTTATGGACCAATCCCATGTCACTGCAATGAACAACTCCACTTTTCAACGACACATTATGACTGTTACATGAGCACAACTTATCAAGAGTATTGCCTAAACTTGACGTTTGTACGGTTTTCCCCTTGCAGCTTTCGGAGCATATAAATCAGCTTCTTTCATCTGCAAAACGGGTATTCCTGGTCTTTAGCTATCATCTCACTATGAGTGTGGAAACATCCGCTACTGAGGTGCGCCTCGGTAACCCTTACTATCTAATGTATTTTTTCCCTAGGGCTCACCGACAATCTTTGAAGATTGGCACAATGCGGCATTCAATCTGTGGACAATTATATTCAACACCCGAGGACCGCGGAATTTAGCAATGATGTTTTTGAGCTTCTCAGAATGTTTCAAATCAGAGAGGGAGACGTCGACTCCAATGTTGCTGTTCTTTATATTGTATGCAGTCGCCAACCTCGTTACATATCTTTCCAGAGTTTCGTTTAAGACAGTCTCCTAAGGATCCCGAAGTCCAAGATCAGAGCTAAATAGATGATGTAACGGGTTTTCCTATGGCAAAGGCGATATACGCAGGTGTGGACCTGAGACTGAACCTGTAACCCAGGCGATGCTGTGCTAAACACTTAATCTTAGCGTGGTATCAGGGCTCAGGGGTTGGCTAGCTTACTTACCTTGTTATATCAAACTAAAATCCAATCCTCGAAGTCCTACTATAACCCCGGTTAGTCGGGGAAATAAACCCCAGGGACTCGAATATCAAAGTCTGATTCTCCTGGTGGCAAAAATGCAGAATGCAGCCCGAGTCATGCTTTTATACCAGGAGCCCAAAATTGCGAAGGTAAAAACCCCAACGCAGTTCAGGCATACCTGCAGGGTCGAATGATATCTGCTGTTTAACAAGCTATCGAATCTATTTTAAGGGTTTGAGTTTGGCTTAAATAAGGTTCCAGATTGACTTTCTTGGTTCGATGCAACGTCCGATTAACTTTAACGGGGCTGCAATATTACGAAATATGAATACACAGATAGGTGATACATGAGACTGCTGGAGTATAAGACAGTTGAAGTGAAATTGTAAATTTGATTTTGAAAGTCAGCTCTAGATCCATGTCACTATGGAAATGAAACGTTGAATCTATACACATGCTCTTTTATGAGCTTCGTCAATGCATATTGCGCAAGAAAATGAAGCAGAAAAGCCACCCAAACACCGGGGAAAAAACGCAATGCAACGCATGCCAACTAGGCTGAAAAAGAGAACATCAACAGTAGCCACCCGTCTAAACAGAAATAAATACCTTCCATGCCGCTCCGTCTCAAGTCCTACACATTCGAGATCCAATTCACCCATTGACATCCACATCCTCCAGCACCACCGTCAACACCACCCGCCTCTTCAATTGTAGAATTATTCGTCCCACCAAGACCCTTGAAAAGGCCTGTCGCAGGATTGACAATGTCACCCCCCACAGCGCGGTCTTCGAGCTGCAGCTGCACAGCAGTGATATTGTAATGTCCGTCGTCTTGGATCGGGTAGCAGTAGACCATTTTCTTTTTTTGCGCGCCGCCGTGCCGGTCTACTGTTATTGTCACCGGGTATGGGAATGAGCCCGGGCGGGAGAAGTCTGTTGCGGAGGAGGAGGATGTAGGTGGTTTGTTTGTTGATGTTGGTGTTGCGGAGGTGGTAGATGTGGCGGTGTTGTTGGATTGGGGGAGCAGGTGACGGCCAATTTTGTCGGGTTGGGTCCATATCTGAACGAGGAGACGGGTTTGGGACCATGTGCATCGGTAGTGTGCGTCAGATTTTGAAGTTCCGCCGTTTGCATCGGCTGGAGAGGGCTTGGTTTGTGAGTTTAGGAAAATGGATTTGTCGAAGTAGGTGTAGAAACCGTAATGCTCGGTTGCGAGACCGCGGTTGTAGAGGCGGATTGGCTGGGATGAGGGAAGGGGGTAGAGCATTGCTGCGGATGGGGTTTCATCTGCGTTTTCTTCTGGTGCAGGGATTATGGATGAGATGTTGGGGTATGCGGTGCCGTTGGAAGTGGCTGCGCGGCGGTAGATGCTTGCTGAGGACAGGGATACCGGTGAGAGGAGGGACATGTAGAAGGGTGTTTCCTCGCCAGCGTACGGTGCGGTGTTGTTGTCTGTGTACTGGCCGAGGAAGCTTTGCTCTGCGTCCCTTGGAGCTGCGGGTGATGGGTTGAAAAGATCGTCCCTCTTGATACGTAGGTTCGACCCAACAGCGGTGCTGTTATCGTATGTGCCATTGCGGAAGCGGATGGAAACACGGAAATTGGGCTGATTCGCATTGTACGGCTTGTTGGCATCCTGCTGGTCCTTGGGCAAAGCGCAACTCCACATCGAAGAAGGGGTGATACAAGTTGACTTTTCAAGCTGTGGCTCCGTCCCAGCGAGTGTTGCAATTCCAGTTGGCATGGGCGGATAGCCCGTGAGGTTAAGCCACCGCGATTGAACAGGAGTTTCGTCTCCTTTCCTCGTCAGTGTGATCGCAAGAACAGTGGCTAAAATCACGATGATGAAGAAGAAAATGCAGATCACAAAATACCATCTCCGTCGAGTACGACCTTCGCGTCCTGGACGTCCGCTTTTCTTGCTGAAAGGACCCCGGCCACGCCATAGATTGCAAACTCTTCGGCCAGTGGCTTCTTCCTTCTCAAGTCTGCGGCGTCGAGTCTCATGAGGTCCTATAGCGCCACTTGGATTGACACTCGAGACTCCAGCTGTAGGATCATTATCGTAGCGTGGCTGGATATCATAGCGAGGCGGGAGAGCAGGATCTCGAGAAAATTGCGTGTACGCAGGAGCCGGTGCCTGCACATCTGACATTGGGATTGAACCCGGTCCACCAGCGGCGCGCTGGAAACCAGGAGAAATAGGCTCAGAGGCTTGGAAGTGTCTTCGAGGCGCAAGTTCAGACCCTTGAGATAGTCGTTGTTCTATTTGCGACTCCTCAGACCCGTGCTGCCGATCCTGAACCACGGACATTTGAGGTTGGTCTTGCTGGTTCGGTACCTCTGATCCGGTGAGGTGGCTTTGTGACACAGGCGGCACCGGGGGTGCATTTGAGTGAGGGTGTGCGGTTAAACCAAACGGCCACCCCGACCCGGATTGTCGTCCCTGGATAACAAGCGGCCCTCGAGGCTGATTTGCGTAACCGTCATTTGGTTGCCGTGTTTGGGGAGAAGCTTGTCCATATGGCACCTGTGAGACTTGGGGCGATGGTTGCGTAACAGGAAGCTCTTGCGGTTGTTCTTGATATGCCCATTCAAAGCCTGATGCGTGTCCTTGGGTGACTGGCTGTTGAACTTGGCTTTGCTCCTGCGGCGGTCCTCGATTTCCCCATGGCCATTCTGTTCTTGGGGTTACTATTTGAGGGCCTGGTTGGATCGTCGGCGGTTCCAAGATTCCACGCGAGGCTTCCTGCGGTTGCGGCTGTTGCATTATTGGTTCCATTGGCTGTGGCTGTCCAGCCTGAGTAAAAACAGGCACGTATTGCACTACCGGCTGCGGGGGCTGTACCTGAGGCTGCGGTGGGGGCTGAGTGTAATGAAAGTTAGTAACCGGGTTAGTGGTTATTTGTGGAGCGGGAGCTGGCTCAGGCATAACAATGGGAGCTGGTGCCGGTGCAGACGCAGGTGGCCCCCAAGCCTCCCTATCAACCATCTCTGCGGGCGGCACAGCAACGGGAATAGGAGCAGGAGGTGAAGCAGCACGCTGAGATCGAGATTCAGACACACCACCTCTGGCACCATGTGCAGCCACCGAACCTTTTTCACTCTCATCAGCCACAGACGAATCCCACGTATGAGAACTAAACTCCGACGATGGCGACAACACTTGAACCTCCTTCGCACGAACAGCATACCCAACCGGGATCGCTCCCGCCGTTGATCCAGGTTGGGGCGAGTCGATATCAATCAGTAGACCCGCATTCTTAGTCGACGTTGTCGACGGAACTATTGTTTGGTCTTCTCGCGCTCCTTCAAGGCCAGATGGCCCAGGCTCCTCGAGCGCAGCAAGCGCTAAGCTCCGATTACCATCGATAATCCCGTTTGTTGCTCCTGCCGGCATCATAATAGGGTTTGCAGGCGTAATCGAGCAGACGTGGTTGATGCACTCGAAGTACGGCGTCTTACTGAATAACTCGTGTGCACAGGCTTGGTAGTACTCGGCTGCTTCGCCTTGGATTGTTTGATTGTTGCTGAACATGAAAGACATGGTGTTTTGTCTGCTGGAGACGTTTGAGACGTATGCGGGTGGCGGGGATTGATGGCGTTCAGGATTTTGTTGGTCTTGGTCCGTTTCAAAGGATCGGGATATCTCAAATGCCTTTTCGTCAATTGGCGCTGCTGTCTCTGGTGTATCTGGTGAGAAGCAGGATATCTCTTTCTCACGCTGGATCCATGCTTTTGGCCCGTAGGCCCGGTTCCTGGTTGTGGTTGGCGATGGGGTGGAGGGTGAGTCTTGCGGGAAGGATGGGCTGAGTGGGGATTTCATGGACCGGCCCATCAGTGGGGAGAGCAGGTATGTCCACCAGCCTTGGGACTGAGGCCTGTCCTCTGCCTGGGTGTTGACGCTGAGACGGCCTGGTTGATTGTCCTTGGGGCTCGGGCTGGGACGTACGATGTCTGGTGTCCGAGGTGGACTGTCATCTTCCCAGATCGAGGCTGTAGAGAGAGCGCGCGTGTTCCTTTCTACGTCCAATTTGCTGTGGGGTGAGGTCTCTAAGGTGGGAGCTTTGGTGGCATTTGAGTGCTGTGCGGGAATGGCTGGCACAGGTGGTACATCTGGTTCATATTGCCAGAGGCGGGGCGTTGGCTGCGAGTAGACGCTTGATGTTGCTCTTGGTCGGAGCATCTCGGTGCTCGCGTTCGAGGGTGCATTCCATGGTGCTGGGGTGACGATAATTGATGGCGTGAGGGGCGTACCTGCGCTATCGGGGTCTTGTAATCTTTCCACTGACTCGTTGCGAGGCACAGCGAGTCCGATCATGACATGACGGTCCGAGGGCGATATTCCATGCTCGTGTCTGTCATGGAATGGATCTTCATCTCTGGGGGCAAGGAATGAAATTCCAGTTCCATTCTGGCTCTGGTTCTGACTCTGCACTGGCCCAGGTAGCCGGTAAAATCCCCGCGAAACCCTCTTCTTGAAGATATCCTTTGATTTCTGAGCCGAGCGTTCCTTCTCTCGCACTTTTGAGAGGAGCTTGAGGTCATTCAGATCGACAAACGGCGCAGCTGCATTTGTAACTGCAGGAACGGACTGTTTCCTCGGCGTCGGCGCCGGCGCCAACGTGAAATCCGTAACGAGGTTCAGGCCGACTGGTTTCGCGACACTTTTCCGTTTCTTGGTGACACGGATGTTTAGTCTCGAGGCTTCTCGGTGGGAGGAAATGGGCGAGCGATTTCCATCCTTAGCGGACTTCGCCTCGAGCTTTTGTCGCGCCGCCTTGGATAAAAATGCAAACGGTCGGTCTCGTTCTTCCTGATCCTCCGAAGAGCATGACGGACTTGAGATTTCCTCGCTGATGGGCGATGATAATGGGAAATTTGGTACTGGGACCTGGAGGTCTTGTGGTTTTCGTTTGATCATGTTTCAGTTGACTTGACTATGTCGAGATGTTAGTCTGCAGAAATGACAAGATTCAATGTCTTCATACCATGTGTCAGGAAAGCATGAAAGAAGGAAAGCAGCAAATCGAAAAGCAGCAAATCGAAAAAAAGGCGTCTATTAATATTATAGCGAGTGAAACAATGGGACAGGCAACACAATGAACAATAGCCCTGAATAAAGTCGATTGAGTCAAATGCGAAACAAAGGAAAGAAATGAAAAGAAATCATGAAATGCCCCGAGATTTAAGCCATCAAGCTCTATTTCTGCATTTCTCTCTGCATCATCACGGTGCAGAATCCGCAGAGTCCAGCCCGGTCACTTTACAGCAATAGCTCAAGCTATAAACAACCCAGCCAGTAATCATCGTCGCTGGTGAATTTCTGCAGCGATCCCAGACAACCCGCTGCAGCTAGCTCTGTGCCGTTTCATCAAGATCCGTCATTGGACCACTGGTAGAGAGATCACCAGGGGTAGACGAGTGAGAGGTGATGGATTGGATGCAAAAGTCAGACTGAGGCCGGTTTCTACGCGCCGGACCGGGGGGCGGGCGCTTCGAGAGGCCATTTGGTGGAGGGACAAAAATAGATCAAATTATAGTCCTGTTTCTTATTTAAAGCGTCTTTCTGAAACAAAATGTTTTGATGTTTTCATATTATTTAGCCTATGGTCCATGGTCTACGGTCTATGGTCTATGGCCTACGGTCTATAGCCTATGGTCTATATGCCTATGGTCTACATCATGGTCAATGCGTTCCAACAATAGAAAGAGATAAGTAAATATGAATATTCATATTTCAGCTATTTCAGCTATACCATATTCCATATTCCTTTCATATTTGGAGTGGCCCTAATAGAAACAAACAAAAGCAAAACAGTTGCGGGTATGAATAACAAGATATGAAAAAAAAAAGAAAAAAAAACAGAGACCACTCCATAAAAGATCGAAAAAAATCAGTATAAACCAACCCCCAAGGCGAATGGGGATCGCATCTATAACGGGGATATATGATACCAAGAGAATGTCAAAAACAAAGTCGTGGATAAGTTTTGCGTGACTAGTCATATCTCATACACAGCTTCGGCTTTCCTCACACGCTTGCCGCTACCGCCGCTCATACTCAATGCCCTGCATAGGCGCACTGGAGCCATTCATGAGAGGCGGTAACGTCCGCGGCTGCTCCTGAGTCACGCCATTGCTGAACCCATTGAAGACAGGGCCTTGGCCATTAGTCTGGTTGGGGTTCAGTGGATGGTGCTCGAAGATTGATGGGGGCCGGGAAGCACCATTAGCTTGCTGGTTGAGCTGGGCGCGCATTTCATCTATCTCGATCTGCATGTTGGCCCGGTCGCGTTGGGATTGCGTGAGAGTTTTCTCCAACATCCCGATGTAATCAATTGCCCGGGTGAGCGTTTCCCATTTGCTGGATTTGTTGGTTTGGCCCGGGGGTAGACGCAGCCGAAGTGCTTCGAAACAGTCTTTCATTTCACTGCGTCGTTTGCGCTCCGCTAATTTGTGTGTCACGCGCAGTTCGGGCGTGCGGCTGTATGGTGTGCTGCCGGGCGGTGCGTCTTCTTCGCCGATCAGCTCTCGCACGGCCTTGTGTTGAAGAGAATGGTGGTGTACATTTTGGGGTAGGTCTAGGGAGGAAATGTGTCAGTACTGTGGCGCGCGCAGTGTGCTTCGACTCATCTTACCGTGTTGTCCTCGCGGCATCCGTTCCGAGTACATGCTGTTCATAGACTCCGCCATGCTGCCCTTTCGGGAGAACGAGGCGGTGGACCCCCCTTCGAGGAGACGGAGCTAGAGCGCGCCATATCCGGGTCCGGGAAGGCGTATGCCATACCCGCCGTGGGTGCTTCAGCATTGTAAATCTCCGACCGAGGATTCGAGGAAATGGCCGGAGCCGTGCGACCGGCTGCAAAACTGCGTTGTTGGTCGGTTGCGCGAGGGCCAAGCGGAGAGAGTGGCTGGCTGCCTCCTCCCGAGTAGCGCGGTCCTCGATATGAGTTCATGTCGGTCGGAATCCCTCGCTCCCTTTGTAAGCTAGAGACGATCGAGGATTGGGAGGCATTGGTGCTGTGGTAGGGCGATGCTGGGTTGATGGCGAGAGAACTGATTCCTTGATTCATGCGACTGTCGACACTACTGCGCCGGGACTCGGTAGTCTCGGCCACACTCGCTCGTTGGGAGGGGGCTTCGTAATTCTGGTTGATGGAGGGGAGAGTGGAGTTTGGCTGGTTGAAAATTGGAGAGGGTTGTTGAGCGCCAGCGGAAGAAGGGGTGGTTGATTGGTCGTGGGGGTAAGGGGAGCGGTCGATCGCCGGGTGTCCACGGTTTGGGGAGGGTTGCGACGCGGATATGAAGCTGAGAGAGGGATAATTGTTGCCGGTGCCATTGGTCGTCGTTGAGTAGGTGGACGATCCTACATGGTCAGCACCGCGACGCTCCCAATCCGTACCAGGTGAGGTTCTCCTACTTGTGCTTTGTGGCATTGACCAATTCCCCGAGTCACGCTCAATCGTGTTTAGTGAAGCATTTCCAGGTGATTTTTCGGAAGGGGTTCCGGTCCCAGGCATATTCGCAGTGAGGGTGGAGATGGAGGGGAGGGTTTGCGTTGAGCCTGCAGAGCTCTGAGGCCCTGAGACGGCCTCCCATGGTCGGTGTGCGACAGAAGGATCCATGGAGAGTGAAAATCAGGCAGAAGAGTGAAGGAGAATCGAATAACAATCCGCTCTTTTTTTTCCCCCTCCCTATCGCATATTCCAAATCGAGGGTAGGAAAGAGATTCAATTCAAAAAAGGATTCACAAGCCGAGGGAGTTCAAGTTAGGTAGGATAAAAGAGAAAGCCTAGAGGGTTAGACTTAAAGACAGGCCATAAGCAAACATTTTAGGCTTACCTGAATCTAGATATTATAAGTTAAGAAATTAGAAGTTAAGTAGAAAATCGGGAGAGGTTAAAGAAGTTCCTAGAAAATTGGAGACTCGAAACGCTTCGAGTCTCTTGAAACCTCTTTTTTTTTTAACCTTCTTTTTTGGCATCCCCTTTCCTAGGAATTAATTAATAAATTAAGAAATATTTATATATATATAAATATCTAAATAATTTGAAATTTCAAAGGAATGTACTGGTATTACCGCCAAGCCCCTACTGCAACTGTGCCACGAGGAATATATAGTACTTATTATCTTTTATTCCTCTATCTCTATTTCTGTACCTCTCTATTGCTCTAGATATTAGTATGATTTCTATTAGCTATCTCTATTGACACTATTCAAACTAAATCAATACTGGAACATTCCAACCCCTAGGAAATGCAAGGAGAACACGTTGGTCTTCACGTTATATAAATACCCATTACAATACGCCCCCTTCACGTGGCTTCTCCCTTGCAGTTCCTTATTGAGTCTCCTTCTCCTTCCATCCAGTCAAGCTGCATTCGCGACCGGGGCTAACTGCATACTCCCGTTTGGGAGATTAACGGACCTAAGGTGTACAGGAAATTGACGTTGGACACATGGCAGGATGCAGGGTTGATCGGCACTGTTTGCTTCAATCCTTGTCCATGCAAATATTGTTTCTTCAGTCCTACACATGGCTTTTTTTTAGCCTTACTCACCGAAGGTATTTTCATATATATCTTTACCTCTCATTTTTCTCATTCGGATTCCTATATTCAATAATATATCGGTTTCCTACCAGTACTATAAGTAATAATCATCCCTCAATGATCCACTCTCCCCTGTAACACCTCGGACACAGGCAGAGAAGTGTGTCACAGATCACCCACGCCATGAGCTTGAGCTTTTTCATACTGCTATTACCCGTCCCAGCCGCCCAAATCATCACATGTTGACCTGTCAGAGGGGTTACATGAGATGTCGCGCGGCTGTTTTGTCTCTAGAGGGTAATATCCCGGTTCCGAATAGCTGTGACCTAGAAACTTGGCAAATATGACCAAGCTCATTTGGTTTTGGTTCGGGGTCTAGATTGATCGAGTCGACATTTTTCCGTCCGTACATTATAATATGGTCTAGTCTCCCTAAAAAGAAATATTGAGACATGGGGTAATTACCCGGATACGCCATCAACCGGTCTCAAAAGGCTGTTAGGTCGATGTATCGAAATCTCATCTCCGTTTGATCGGGTGTTCGTCCAGAAATAGATCTAGTTTGTAATTATGTGTAAGTATAAATTACAGAACAATTAAAATACACAAATTAAATTGAAAAAGAAAACGGAAAACCCGTGCCCAAGACACCGCCACGCTGTGGCTGATGTTTATTTAGGCAGCATTCAATAGAACAAACATATGCATGTCAAGTACTACTGTCCATCATCTTCCCCTTCTAGCATACCACATGGCACCATCGTCGCCTTGCAGATTGTCTCGAGGATCGCCACCCGATCTACGGTACATTCCTCGAACCTCTGATACGGTAGCACTTCTCCATACTTGAAAAGGACACATCTGAACTTATCCCGAGACTACTATCTCTGCCAAACAGGTCTCCCGGAGGTAAAAAAAATTGTCCATCGGCAACGGGAATTTTGAGTACGACTCTATTTCTACAACGCTGTGTACCCAACCTGCCCTATCTGGATCAAGGGATAGAGGGCAAGCTTAGAGTTCGCTATGTCAATAGCGTGTGTGCGAATGGCTTTTGATCTCATATCTCATGGCTCGCCCATGGCAATCCCCCATGCTCTCCCATCTGCTCGGAGTCATGTATCGTCATATGGCAATACTTTGGTCCTCGCTCATTCCTGCATCCACGCCTTTGAGAAGGGTCGTGGTCATCGGCCGTGCCTTACTGCCCTTTCCCAATAGTCTGTCTTGACACATGGGTCGTACCAGGGGGGGGGTGGGTACTTTTTTTCTCTCTTTTGCCTCCAATTCCAATTCCAGCTCCTATTCCTCGCATGGCAGTAACCCCCTTCGTGCAAATAATGGTCTGGACTACGACTTGATTTGAATAGCGCCTCCATAGTTCGGAAAATGTCTCCAACATGTAATTCGATCCTGTGGCTATGGGCATCTGCACTACCACCTCTTGCTTGAATATACAAATACACCGTACGAAACAATGTACATGGTGCTCCGTACATTTCACATACCTGCCCATTTGCACATGTACGGAGTCCTATCCCGAGTACCTCCCAACTCGAACTTCTGCCCTGCCGACGATCCTAGCACCGGCTCCCCTTCCCCGAAGCTGGGGAGCGCACAGGAAAAGCTTAGAGGTTACATGCAGACAAGGTTGGGAGAGATCATACCAGGATTTACGTAGAATGTGAGAATGCAGTAATCAATTATCGTCGATATCTTCTGAGACTGCGGACTAGAAACGTTCCGTCCCACCCGTAACTGCCACCGGCGTGTGCCCGCCCAACCACCTTCGTAGCACAACTATTTCGTACCCACCTGGGCAAGCATAGCTACCCTACTGAAACAATATTGGCGCTCGGCCTTGGCATTTTGTTTCTAGCTCCACCCGTGATTGAGATAACCCCAGAATAACTTCCTATGGTGCCCGTTCAATATAGACCAACCTCGTCTGATCCGTATATTGTCTAAAATATCCCATCCTCTCCCCTCCTTGCACATGATTTCGCCATAATCCCCACCTGAATCTTCCAGATGACACCTGTAATCTTACCCCTGGCTCCCGCTGCTCTTCGCAACCGTCCGCCTGCCCAGGCTCTTATTCCGAAGTGCGAGGTTTCTCGCTTCAGCTTCGATATCATCCACATTCCGAGTAAGTATAATATACCCTTCGTCATCTAGTGCAAAGAGAGCTTCTTTGAGCCACACCCTACATGTGACCCTCTCGCGGAATCGGATTGAATCGACGATTGGGATTTGTTGAAGACGTTCGAGAAAGGCTGCGTGGAGGGTAGGATCTAACTCTCCTATCTTGAGGGCTCCGAGGAGTGATGGGTCATAATCAACATCTTGGTTGGGTAAATGTTCGAAGCGCCAGATGGTTGGATCGATATCGTTGAGCAGATGGTAAATAGAGCCTGATATTGGACTCTGGTGTAGATAGAACCGCCAGTGGAATGTGTAGCTGTTGTCGCCGCGGTCAGATAGGAGAATGTAGAGGCCGTTGACCTCGAAGGTCATCTGTGGTGCATCTATTTCGGACTGGGGGTTTCCTCTGTTGTCGACATATCGAACGTTTGGAGTAGTGAGCTACGATGGTAGAAGTGATAGTGTGAATTAATAGAAAGGCACAACATGATACATATGAGTTTCGTCGCCTAATCACTTTCTCGTTCATTCTAATCACACTTATCTCACTTGAAGCGCTTACTCCGAGTAGTTCATTGGTTTGGCCTACTGTTTAGTGTTCCGTGTTTAAATACAGGGCGCTAAGTCGAGAACTAGATGAGCACACGACTTCGAATATATATTAACCTAGTAATCCATTACCTAGAGTAATTAAAATGCAGTCCTATCTTGATGCTACCTTGTCTCATAGTCGCAATAGAACCTCAGGCTCCCAGGTGTCCATGAATTCCATGGATGGCCCCTCTTCAAACTTTCTCCCAACCCAAACCACGACAGAAGTACAATATCAGATAGATCATCATCGAGAATAGAACATACATGATCGACAAGACACAATGGATTGAACCCATCCGGCTCTCAACTAGTCACTCCGTCTGCTGAGCCACCCGGACGAGGTCACTAATCTAGAATATGCTCTGTTACGACGTACGGAGTAGATATGCTGTTGTAGGAAATGATCCACGAAACCACGACTCACCATCCGGCGCAAGCCTCGCAAATCATGACTCAATCAAAGGCAAGGCGGCCGCTATCTCCGCTAATCATCAAATCGGAACCGATGATCAAGAACCGCAACGATCCACGCTGCTTCATGCTAGATCAGAAGCCTCGAGACCTGAGCATATCCATCCATCCATTGATGCCTAGGTGATCCTACATAGTACAATATGTACTCCATACCTTCACCCCAACACTCAGGTATGATTGGCAGATCATTCCACGATCTTCCCCCCTTCCCTCCATCGTGGCACATCCCTTGCCTGCCACAAACTCCACTAAGGGACTTCCTGTTCCCGGTTTATATGCTGTCGCGTGTCGAATGTCAAAAGGGACTGTGGTGGGAAGGGGTAAACTCAATACAGTACATGCCCCAGTGGAGTAGAGTAGCTATCCGGTCCCAAACATGTCTTGTCTTGCAGATCGAGAATTCCGCGGGGAATCGCTGCCGCTTCCTGGGTTACCCTCTTCTCTATTTATGTGGAACTGATCTGCGCCATGTGTAGCCCTCGCCCTTTAAATCGAGGTACGGAGTACATACGTGCATGGTGCATGTGCACTACCACATAATGTTGTGGATGGCTGAAATCCTCTACATACTTGGTTCGCTTTTGGATTTGTTTCGTGGCGAATGGTCTCCCCCCACTTGCAAGGCTGGCTGGATCAATAGTGCTTTTCTCTGTAACGAAAATCCTAATTACTCGTTGATAGTCAGTAATTAATGCTCAATTATTTGATCCTTGCTGTGAAATTCGCCTCCCGAGGTCCGTTCCCGCCATGTGCTTGTTTCAGCTCGCGCCGGCTCTCGGGATCGTCCCTCGTGTCTTGGTATGGGTTTCAATTGCCGCTGTGGATGATGTCAGTGGTCATTTGTAGAATTAGGGGAGATCAGACCCTGTTGTCAGGCTGCTGCGGAGATTTGTTTGGAGTATATTGTACTCCGTAGCCTGATTGTATAGTGGATGTTGAAGTCGACGTTGGCACCCGAATATATATATTCCCGGAAATAGTGGACCAACGACAATGCGGCATGATTTCAACGGTTAAGCATGTTGAATCGCTCTATTGGATGATATTTCCGCTAACATCCCGACGTCTTTGTGTCTATTGGGATCTAATTTCTAAGAGAAGCATACTCAGACGGAAACAGACTAGACAATCAATTCCCCTGATCCCCTGATATCGATAATGTTGAAACTTCAAGTAATATTTCATCAAGTCAATTCAAGTCGTATGTGCACCATATATAATATCTACAATCTTTATTTTTGAAACTATGCACTGCAGTCGCGCTGCCACAAAAAAAATATAATTTACTCTTCATCATCCTCGTCGTCTTCAGCCTCATCACCATCTTCTTCATCTTCATCCTCCTCAAATTCAACACCAATGTCACCAGTGATATCCCACCGATCACCCTTGGCCGCGGCACTGACATACTTGACGAACTTGAGAGTGCCACTGTCCCGCAGCACAATGCTAAGCCGGTTCCATCCAGCCTGCGTGCTGAACAGAATACCATCATCCTCATCTGCACCCGCAGACCGGTAGATAGCCGGATCAGCCTTGGTCTTCTTCCGACCCAGGACCTGGTCAGCGTTCTCGGCGTCCTCCTCATCGTCATCATCCTCATCATCATCACCAGCCATGTAGATCTCATAACCGCCCAGTGCAGGGCCGTCTGCAGCCTCGTCATCTGCCTTCTCCGTCGGCTTGGATGCCTTGGCAGATGAGCCATTGGCTTCTTCATCCTCGTCCTCACCCTCATCTTCCTCATCATCTTCTTCCTGCTTCTCCCACCCCGGGGACGGGGTAAGACAGAGCGTGAACTCGAGTCGAGGCTCCTCGCCTTCGTACGCACTAGCAAGAGTATAATCCGCGCCACGACGGAACCGTCTGGCAAGCAAATTGTGGCTTGTGAGGTGGTCCACACCAGTAACTAGTCCAAGCCACTTCCGGAAAGGCTGCGACGGGAACAGCACGTTCAACAGCTCCTGAATCGGGTTCTCGGAATCCTTCTCGCCAGTAGCATGCTGGTACAAGTACCGGTGCTTGTGCGGAGGACGAGCAACCGTCCACCCACGCTGCGCCTCGATCGCATCGGCAGAAGCAGGCAGAGGCTGTCTCTCCTGCTCCTCGATGTAAGCGCTCACGCGCGATCCAAACTTATCACTCAGGAACCGCTCCAGGCTAAGCGATGACTCGGCCGAGAACGCGTCGGACATCTCCTCTGCGATATCGGGGGTCAGGTACGATGGCGCAATGTACTGAAGCAGGAAGGCAAGATCGCTTTCTGTGAACTCGCCCTCGGTCTGCTCTTCCACTTTACCCTTGCCCTTGCCTTCGACCTCGGGCTCCTCCCAGGACACCGGCTTCGGCTGTGGTAGGTCATAAATATCGCCACGGCCCTGCAGCTGCGCGAGACTGCTGCGCTCGGCGAGCTTCTCTTCCAGTCCTTCCTCGTAGCCATCTTCGCCTTCTTGTGGGATGTGGAACCAGCCGCTAATCGCCATGCGCACGCGCTTCTTCGTCTTGTCCTCGTCGTCGCGTGGGTAGTACACTTCCTCGACATCGTGGAAGCTCTCGCCCGGTTGGACAGTGAAGAAGCTCAGCTGATTAAAGGCAGGAGGGATGGAGAGACTGTAGTCTGGGCTGGGGATCTTGACATCCTCGCCTTTGGCGTCCTTCTTGGTCGTCGTTGGGAACAGGCGCAGGGCACCGCCCCATTCAGGTTTCCAGGGAGTGTCAGGGTCGGTCAGGTAGAGGATGTAGCTGAGGCGGCGACTGCCGATGACATCGTCATGGCACAGGAGGTGGCAGCCCTCAGTGTAGACGTTAATGGCCATGTCGGTCTTTTGCCCGCTCAGCTTGCCGGAGCCAGTCACGGAGGATAGGTACTCGCGGAAGCGTGCTGAGTACATTGCGTCACGCAGCTTCAGCACTGATGGCAATTTCGATAGGGAGGAGTCATCCAGTCCATCAAGGTTGGCAAGATCGCCAGACTGGAAGATCTTGTAGATGTCTGTTTCCTTTTCGGTGAAGGATACTTGTGTTTCAATCTCATTACGGACTTCGCGGAGGAGAGTGGGCTCGATTAGAGGGTGAATGACGCCGTGAAGGTAACTAGAGATCCATACTTGTCAGTCTTTTGTCATTGAACTATTCCCATGTGTAAACATACGGAGAAGACTTGGCGTATTCGTCGGTGTACTTCTGCTGCTCCGCGGTGTCGAAGAGGCCATCGCGGAAGCGGGCAGCAGCTTCCTCGCTGGAGAGGGCCCGTTTCTTGGACTGGGGCATGGCATTGCCATCGAGAGAGGCCCTTGCATCTGTCTTGCGCTTCATTTTGAGGGTTGTAGAGGAATGAGTTCAACAGTGAGTGGTCTGATGTTTCATAGATTTTTCCGGGCGGTGAGGGCGCACGATGAGGCGGTCAATGTTTGCTTCTCCAGCAAGATAAAGGATTTCACTCCTGGTTCACTTGAAAGATTTTGTAGTCTATTGTGTACTTGAAATTGTGTATATATGTAGATTGTATCTCAATTTATATTGTGTTTGAAACACTTGCCTTCTACTCCGTAGTATGGTTGGTGTTTTGTTGTAGATAAGTGGTGCCTAGCCGATGCCCGCGTTTTTTTCCGATGGCAAACTCATTCCAGTCAGTCTTTATCTTTTGAGATCTGAGATAGAAATGATCCCTTCATAACTCCAGTCATAAAACACGTCTTTGTTTTGATCGAAGCCATCACACATGTGATTGCGGCAAATCCAGGCACTGTCGTCATAATCGTCTTATCACCGCAAAGACCTCGATTGTCCCCCCCACTTAGCCCCAACTTGCTTGATCTTCAACTTTTGTCGAATCTCATCATGCAGCAACAAGGGGATCAGCCCTCAATCCCAGAGCCAGGAACTCCACCTCGTCCACCTTATTCCCCGGTAACCCCTGTGTTTGCCCATCTCGCGCCAGTCGCCTCCAATGAACCATCAATCGTCCCGCCACCTGCATCTCCTTCTCCAACCTCAAACCTCCCCCCAACATATGTCAGCTATTCACACCCGCCTCCTCCACCAAATCCACCAGTCTTCAAACCCCGACCGCCACCTGTCCCTATCTCCGAGAGCGAAAATCCAGATGCCATCGCGCTCCGTTCCGCCATCTCAATCCTGCAAATGCAGAAGCAGCAAAGTTTGCGCGACATCCAGGCTTTGGATCGCATGAAAGAAGCCGCTGCCGCTGATCCAGAGGGATTTGCGCACGAATTGGCAGCAGGTCGGTTGAAGACTGAGGACCATGGTGCTGTGATCCAGTTCTCCGAGGACGATGCGGGGGACGACGAAGATAATGACAAAGGCTCAAAACGAACAAACCCAGACGGCTCACCGGCCTCGAATTTCGGTCATATCCCTGTGCCACAAAACATCGTCCGTATGCCCCCAATCAATTGGGCCAAGTATCAGGTTATCGGGGAACCCCTTGATCGCATGCACCAGGAGCAATTACATCGACCGAGCTCTGGGGAGCCGGGAAGGGGACGTGCACCGGAGCATGTCCTGGCATCGCCGTATCGACCGCTGGTAGATCAGTTAGAAGGACCACCGAAACTCGGCCGTCCGAGCAAGACGAAGAAGAATTGAGTCTGCAAGGGGATTTCGATGATTATGCGTTTATGGACTTTTACGAAGTTATGTACTTTACAACTTACGAACAGAGCTAGGCTTGTGTTTCTTTGAATATTTACTATGGTTTCTTGGGTGGTTTGGCTGTGTTTTGCGCACTCTATTAAAAAAGATCCGGCAGGAAAAGATACATCATATATCTAGGTACCTATGTATTCAAATATCTTTTTATGACTCATCCCTTATCTACCGAACGGAGGCTTGCTGTTTGAAACAGAAGCGTCAATATACACATGCGGTAAGGCCTGCTTCAGGTATATGCTGGAATACAATATCACCCTCCTTCCACCCTCCTGCCCATGAGCTAAATAGACATTGGGCGAAGCAAGACTGACAAATCTCCAACGTTCTCTAGGGCTGTATTACGAAATATGAGGGAAGTCATCCGTCCAAGCTGAGAGCTGGTCATCCGATATGCAGAGGCTTGATGTTTCCCATGTACTACGAGGAAGAGCTGGGCTTCCGCTGGTTCACAGATACTGGCAAAAAGAGAACGATCATGACCTATCCCATCTTCAGATCCTTCTGCAAATCTTCAGGTAAAACACACAGAGTCTCTTCCGGCAAGCAGTCCCTGGCAGCATCGATGTCCCCGTTCTTGATATATCCATCGATCTGCCTCATTATGGCAGTCACATCAGTAATCGAAACAATCCACTGATCAATATATCTCCCCACAGCCTCTCCACTCAACCCAATCTGAATACTGCGATAATCTAATGACCGAAATGCAAGATCCCGCTCCGGATCCCACTGAATGCGGACTGGACTGGCGCGCAGTTTCTTCTGCCACTCCTCCTGGCTTTTCTCCTCACCAGGCGTATAGTGACTCAAACAGGAATGGCGCAATGCCCATTCGAGTCCCTCGCGGGTAATCTCTATAGCCAGGACACGCTCCTGTCGGGTCTTTGTTGCCCAGCCTGATCGGTAGGCCATCCATAGGAAAGAAGGTTTGATCCATGTCATCCTCTCCCGTGAAAATGGAGCGACGAATGTTTGGGCTTTGATTGCTGGCTCAGCTATCTCGGGGGAATAGGCTTGGTACACCGTGATTGTAGTTGGTGTTTGTTTGGCTCGGACAGCCCTGTAGGTATTTGAAGCCATTGCTGGAAGTGTGGGTAGTGTTGTTCAAAGGCTATGGAAGTTCGTGATTGAAACCGATGATTGGGAGTTAGGAATTATGCGACGATGCGGCGAAATCTTGGAGTATGAATGGGGAATCCGACCTCGACTTTGAAGTTTTCATGGAAATATCTTTGCTCTTGCACAAATAAACCAGCGGATCGTACTCACTGACTCAGAACATCAAGCCCACCACACCAAACCCAATTGGGACCCCGCGATGCTCGGGATAAATCCTGTTAGATTTATCAAAATGAGAAGAATTGGCTCCCTCATACTTCCGGACAAAGCGCTAGAATCTGTGTCGATAGAGTTGTCATCAACATAAGGTATCAATAGTTTGTAGACCTTCAATGGCAAAGGGCTTGCAATCTGCTACATGCAATAACCACCGAGAGAGGCTGAGAGTCCGAGACCCCTTCTCTCGAAGACCACAAGTACTTTCTGAAGACATCGCAGTTGGATTTGGAAGTGCTTAGTCCTGCCACGGTGCCATGTTGCTTGGAGATGGAAAGGTCGACAGGCGTAGTGCCAAGCCTGGCTCATTGATCTGCAACCGCCCCACATGGCAACCATCAAAGTTTAAATTCAACCGCTGTACAAAGCTCTATTCCAGCAGGGCCGAAGGCATTCTACGCGACTTCTTCGAAGAAGTGCCAGGGAATTTAATAAGTATGTCAATATTGCAGATCGGCTGGTGATGCTGCATGTGTCAAGCGTATTTAGTTGCAGCAGCTTATTGGTTACTTCGAAGTAGAACGATGGCCATCTAAATAAACTGACAAGAATGACACTTTAGGCTTCAACACAAGTTCAGAGGGAAACTATAAAAATCATAATTGGAATGTCAGGAGATAGCGTTACCTACCTAGTAGTCCCACGGGTATTGCACGGTGTGAAGAGCTTGTGATATTGCATTATATCTGACAAGCCAGTCAGTCCGCGAGTGTAGGAAGTGATATCCAGGATCCAAGATTCGGTGATCAAAACCTTAGGATGTTGCATGAGTCGTAATAACATGAACGCTGTAAGGTGAGCTTAAATATGTTCTTCTGTTCGTAGTTTCATGTTGGCCGTATACCGTGTACTGAATGATGACACTCAAGCGTGGTCCAAATCAAATCAAAACGTCGTATTGCTTGTGGATTGATAAATCAAAATGGAAGCAGTTCCTCTTTAGTCAAGATGCACGGGCATTGGCTTGCGTCCACCAAATATTCGCTCATGGATCTAGACTCTACGTTTGGTTACTACATTTGCTTGGCCTTTCGACAGCTCCAAGCTCTGTGAAGCCATTTGGCTACTACCTGAATTTCCAGCTTCTTAGGTACTCTGGCACCAAAAATGTAATATCATTGGTCTAAATGGTTGAAATGATGCTAGGTATATGAACGCACTTGAGTGTGATATCAACAAAGTAACCCGAAAATTTTACATTCCTCCAACTTCAAAGCTTCGCTTTCCCATTCTTCTCAAACTGTTGTACATTCTCCAACCCTCTTTTCTCGATGGCTTGGTTCTTATCTTCAACCTTCTCACGCCACTGCAAATTTCCAGCATGGTCATCCAAGCCGTTCAAGACTCGAGAATACATTTCCTCTTTCATAGTGCCGTAGATGCCTGTCGCGGCTTTAGTCTGGAGCTTGCGTGTCTGGATCAGCGCAAGCGCTTCCTCAGCTCCACCAACGGCATCCACGATACCAGCTTGGAGTGCATTGCGTCCACCAAAGCGATGAGCTTCTAGAACCACATTTCGGAAAGTGACTGGTGTCAGTTTCTCGCGGAAGATGGCCATCATCGGCGTCTGAAGCGGGACGCCGAATTCCAGCTCGTTGATACAGAGGAAACCGCGGTCCGGGTTCATGATTCGGTAGTCATGATACATGGCTAACATGAAGCCGCCAGCAAAAGCGTGTCCATTTAGCAGGCACACGGTTGGCATGGGGTATCTAGGATGGATATCAGTATTTTGCTTTTTTGACATCTCCATGTATAAGCTGTATCCTCAAACTGAGGATGTGGAACAAAAACATACGTCAAAAGGCGTCGGAATAAGCGCCATAGCCAATTCTCAAGGAACCCTTCGGTTTTTGCGACAATATCGAGATCAAGCCCATTGCTGTAGAACTTGGCAATTCCACTAGTAGTAACTACGACGCCCTTGGGGTAACGGTGTTCGATAATGTCAAGGGCAAGCAGCATAGCATCAATAAAAATGGGGGTCAATCGGTTGTCCGCGGGGGAAGTAAAGGTGAGAACATAGATGGTCTCATGCTCTTTCGCTGTGCTAGGATTTGTGCAGACAATCGAGCCTCCGGTGGAGCTGATCGGGACGGTGAAGAGAGTCGTCATGATGGAGATGTTTGGAATGAGGATGTTGAGAAAACACAATATGTTCAAATATAGTCGGCTCTCTTTCGGGCCCACGGGTAGGATTGTTATGAATACTAATCAGACCTCGGCGTCATCACATGCTGGCGCCGATGATCCCATCACGTGATGACCGATGCCATTCGATTCGTAAGGAACATTGACCAAAAAGTGCATTGATTGGGAGCGGAAGCTTTTTTATGAAGAAGAGAAATCTGTGCTGAAACCACTACAAACATACAAACCTATCAAGTTCCTGGTGTGCTGTTCCCACATTGTCAGTAAAGCCCAACCCAACCCGGAGACCGCCAATGGGGCCCATAGGCCCCATCAATGCCTGTTATTACACATGACGACGGTCTTGATTGAAATACCCAAGACTACTCGCAAATCATACATCACTTGTGCAGCTGCGACCAATTGGCAGTTTTTCTTTGTTTAGTGCTTGTCGGGCCGTTTTGGGCCCCATTAAGGGCCAAGTAGGCTTTCACCCCGGGCCCAGGGCCCAAAGCCCAGCCCATTTACGGGAGGTAGTTGGCCTGGGTTGTGGGCATTTTGGGCTCTGCGGAGGTCTATCAGTAAGAGCATTGTGGGAGAGAAAAATGGAAACCCTAAGGGGCTTTACTAGGTGGGTCGAAAGGGGCCATGTCTGGTTAGTACTGGTGTACCTATGAAAGAGTGCCAGATTATGGCAGGGCAGAACTTCAAAATCATTTCCCTCATCGATCTGAAAGACCACCTCTTTAAACACAATTTGAACGACGTTCAAAAAGATTTGATTCCATTTATATGTCGACGCGTTTGGCGGGTAGAACCATACCTACCTATAGTTATGGCATAGTGATTTGACCTCAGCTAATTGGGCAACTTTATTCTCGCCACGAGACTGGCGAGCAGCTTCTGAAGAAGCAGTAGCCATCCAAGGATCCTGCACTTGACTGTCAGATTAGGCCAGAAGTAGCGTTATCCTGTAGTTTCTCCTCTTCTGTAGGGAGATTTTAAGATTCAATCCCATCTGTTCGGTTTCGAAGAAATCTGCCCATTGGAGGCCTCTGTGCGGGATCATCAAGTTACCAGGCGCATGTTTCCATCATCCCTGTCGGCGGAAATCTGTGCAGTCTCCATCCCTTAGTAGAAGAGAAGGACTACACTTAGTTATGGTAGTGGAACAGCGTAGGAAGAGCAATAATTCGGGGAGCAGAAATGGGGAAAAGCCTCATCAAGATCACCCTAAGTGCAGTCTCAAGCACTGGCCACTGTACAGGTAGCGGAGCGAGTTTCGTCTCTGTAACATGACTAGCTTGTATCCGATCATTGTGTGAAAATTAGATAGCAAGATCTGTATGTACAACAGATTTGAAAATTACTGCAGCCCCCTAGTTGAAAATGACATCAACAATCTTTTGCTTAATAGAGTCGTAAGAATTTCAAGGTAAATACCCGCGGGCACCGTGAGATCCACGTACTTCTCTCATCTACGACGCATACATTGTGTTCCACTCTGTACACTTAGAAAGAGAAGAAGAAAAGTGACCATCAGAAGGATTTGATACAATAGAGATCAATCACTGTTGTGAATCCATCCATTTTGCTTCGTAGACACAATGATGAGAAGTAGAAGGAGGCTTGAAAAACACCACCTGAGCAGCAAACTAGTTCAGTGCAGTGTCTAATGCAATAATGTATTCCCTACTTCACTTTGACATCATGTATTTGGCACCGATGAACCAAGGGCATAACATCAAACTTCGTAAATGATAGCTTACTTGCACTGTATTCATTTTTAGCCATCTCATATCGTGTTTGGTATAGAGTCCCTGGAGAAAAGGCAGATATGGACTTACCACAAATCCTGGACCATACCCGGGACACTCTCCCTTGCAACACAAATGCGAGCCGCCATCGCAGAGTTGGCCCTTCTGGGAGCATCCTTCTAAATTCTGACCCGGTGCTGCCGCTGCGAAGGCACCTAGTGCAAGAAGAATGACAAGCAGCTTCATATTGGAGGAATTGACTTGTAAAGTATTGTTTGAATGTGATTCAGAGGCTTGAATACGCAGTGCAGAATGAGCTAATGAGTGTACTGCTGAGAGATGTCGCCCACAAACTTCGCGAGCCTCTAGCTTTATATACCCAGAACCGGCGCCGTCTTAATTACCTAACAGCTCGTGTTCCCTACGAGTCAGTCAGTCGATATAGCCCAATGAATTCAAGTCAATCCCCGCCCCCTTTACTCCTTTCCCAATAAGAGCTAGGGTTGTATGCATTGCGGATGGGGCGGAACACGGGGGATCAACACGGCTGGCTGTCCTAGCTGAAAAATGCGGAGGAACAGCTAACGATAATAGCATTTCGAAATGCACGACTCAATGCGACCCGTGCAATCGCCAGCATAGTTGCCTGTTCTCTTGATGACTGCGTCGACAATGACGATTACATCCCTATCAAGAACTTACCTTTGCTGCACTGTAATGGTAGTCTGATGCCAAGATGAGCGGGCAATGCAACGTTTTAAATAGAATGAAAGTTACCCTGCTCTGTGCAATTCTCAATTGTATCCTTGGCTTGGCTTCGACACACGAGATCATACTAATATCCCGGGCAGATCAGTGGGCTATAGCTCACAGCGACGTAAGGATTTCGTTGTAAGTGGTCATAGGCGTCAGGATTTCCCATTTTCAGCTTTAGTGCTAGAGATATGGTGTCGCTAAAATCAGTGAATTTTGATTGAGCCTCATAATTTTCTGGATGCATCTGCTTCTGATATTTGCCCAGCCGTCATCTACTTGCCGATATCCTGACCGAGAATCAATTACCTCGGCAACCCGAGCATCATCTTCTACTCGATTATGATGCATCCAAACACGACTTTAACGGTGTTTCTTATCGCAAAAGCAAAAAGCGAAATTGAAGGGTGATAACAAATTGGGATATTATTGATCACATCGAATTTAACAGTCCTCAATACTCCGTACTGCTCGCATCAATGACATATTCCACATCCACTCTACAACAGGCTGCCGTGGTGCAAAACCCAGGTGAAAATGCAAGCATTGCTCTCCAAAATGATATACCTGTCTCGAACCCCGGACAAAATGAAGTTCTCGTCAAATTAACTTGCACCGGCCTATGGTAAGCACATTTGAAGATGAATCCAATCCCCTTAAGAAGCTGACTTAATATACACCTAAAAAGCCGCTCAGAACTCCGCGCCGTTCTAGCCTGGGGCGCATACAACTCCATTATTGGCCACGAAGGGGTCGGAACCGTAGTGAAAGCAGGACCCGAAGTTTCGGACTCTCTTTTGGGCGAACGAGTCGGTGTAAAATGGCTCTACAGTGCATGCAACGAATGCTCGGTCTGCAAAAGGGGATTCCCGAATCATTGTGCGCAGCAGCTAAATACAAGTCGCCATGTCCCGGGAACATTGCAGCAGTATGTCATTGCAGATGCACGGTTTCTAACCCTGATCCCGGAGGGTGTGGCTGATGAGGTTGCGGCGCCATTGCTGTGCGCTGGACTTACGATGGTTGGTGCTTTATCGCGGCTTGATAATGAGCTAGACGCTGGTGACTTTATTGTTATCTCAGGCTCTGGAGGAGGTTTGGGCCACATTGGAGTGCAAATTGCTGCGAGGATGAAAAATCTGAGAGTTATTGCCATTGATAGTGGGGATGATAAGAGAGCACTGAGTCTGGAGTCTGGGGCAGAAGTATTCTTCGATTACAAGACTGAAGATGTGATTGCTCGAGTGCGTGAGCTTACTGGAGAGGGCGCACATGCGACTATCGTCGTTCCGGGTACGAAGGAAGCACTGAAGATGGCACCTAATTTGGTGAGAAATATGGGCTTTGTTGTGAATGTTGGTTTGCCGCCAAATGACCTGGACATTCCTCTTTCGGCTACGCTCTGCACAGCGAGAGGTAAGGTGACAACTGGGTGTGGTCTGGTCAAAATCATATACTAATACTTCGAACAATAGGTCTCACCTTTGTAGGGTCGTCTGTGGGCACTGAGGATCAGTTGACCGACTTACTGCAAGCCGCGGCTGCTGGAAAGATAGTGCCATCGATTGAGGTTTTTGATTTCTCAGCTGTGCCGACATTGATACAGAAGCTGAGGGAGGACGGCATTACGGGAAGAGCGGTGGTTCAATTACCACAGTAACTTGACGTTCCCATAGCACAAATTTAAATGCTATGAAGTTTTGCAGTCTCCAGAGTTTACTCAAAGGTCCGTAAAAAAGATCATAGACCTTGGACTGGTGGTTCACGTCATGATTGGATACTAAACGGAACATAAGCGATACGCTGTGGGACGTTGTAATTAGTTGGTTCAATAAAATCTGGGGTACCTCTGGTTTTGCTTTGGAACATAATATTAATCAGGCGTCGTCAATAATATTATCGCCCAACAGTTTTCGTGCCAATCTCACTCTATGCCCCATAGGAGAGACCCTCAAAATAATCAAAATCCTTCAGTAGAGGAGAGACAATCGTATCTAGCACGGATTCATCAAAATGAGGATCTTCAAAGCCGTCGCCCTTGCTTCGCGACCAATACAAACACTCATTAACAACATCTCCATAGTTTGATCCGCTCTCCCAGTAGACTGTTTTAAGAAGTCTCGTTGCGGTGTTGAAGTGAGAAACGTCCTCAGACGAGTCTTGATCTCCAGGGCCATGGAGCGTGCTTATAGCCCTTCCCAGTGATAATTCAATCAAGGCCAATGCGAGCGGAAACAGGATATTGTTTGAAATTTGGCGGTGACGTATGCCGTCGTATACTTCCGAGGTCGTTCCGTTGAGGTCTGTCTGAGGTGCGTTCAACACTCTCTGTAATAGGTATGGATGTTCAAACTGTAGCCGCTTGGATTCAGGATTATGAATGAATAGAATATCCCGCGTTCGCCATTTCTGTTGGAGCCAGTTCCCATGAAGCTGGAGAACGCTACACGCGAGGAGAGTGGCCAGATAAAGCCTGTCGCGGCGACTCAATTCATCCGAGTTTTGAATTGGGGAACCCGGTAAGGATGGAGAGCCAATGAGAGCATCCTGTAAGGAGCGAAGATGTATTTCATCTTGAATACTGTGAATTACACTCATATAGTATCTGGTATCTGTGGCGGTCTGTTCACTGGAAATGTATCCGATGAAATCGGATTTGGCGTGCGGGCCTGCCATATCAACTTCACGAAAGGCCGTGCATAGAGAGAAAATGGGAAGGCCTCGTGGACGATGTAGTTTGGGAAGATATTCTTCACATTTTGTTTCCAAGTCGGTAAAACGAACCTTTGATTTCCCGGCTGACGGGCGAGGATTCATGGTGATATTGGGGGTTTCAACACTTCTGTCGGCTTCCACTTTGACCTCGTGCCATTGACTTCGATCTAGAGGCGATACATGATTTTTGGGGGATGATAGAATCATGCGGAAACTCGTGTCCATAGATCCATGGTGAGCGTCCTTTGTGCCGCGGAGAGAGGTCGTGTCAAGCTGAAAACCAATAGAGTGTCCATCTTGACATGCACAATTCCAGCATTGACGTCCTTGGATTATTATACCATAAAGAGACTTCGCGTGTCTTCTTTTGTCACGATATTTCTTCAGATTGATCTTCTGCCTGGCCGGACCCCGTCGAGTTCGTTCCCGGTGTTGGGATTGCTCGCAAAGAGTCTTCAGAATCTGATTTGTCTTATCGATTTTGTCTAAAATGTCTTCGTAAACCGCCGAGGAGAAGATCTTGCGAAATTTGATGGCCTTCAAATATATTGTCGAGGCAGCCTGTTGGGATGGAGTATCTATAAGTTTCTGAACCCTCGTACGATGCGGATACCTTCCTTACCGTTGAATAATCTGTGGTCTCTAGCCCAAGTCTGGTAGAAAGATCCTCCAGGAGACGACAAAGTCCGTTCGCTGTACCAGTAAAAGAAATGTAATCCCGACCGAGCTTTTCAATTAATCGGCGCTGAAAAGCTGCCTCCGTCCACCCAGGACCCATCGGGTTTCTGATCAGTTCAGATCTTTGGTCGTGATCATCAACAACACCTTCAAGAGATAGCTCTAGGGTATTCAGCAATATGGCGTACTGGGCACTCAATCCAGTAGAGTAATCCTCGAACTGCCACTTGTATCGTCGAAAGCCTTTGATCTTTTCCAGTCCTCGTGCATAGTTATCTAACTGGTTCACAAGCAAAGGCAAAATGGCTAAAGCCACACCGGTGGCCTCGATTCCTGTCACCATATCCGTATAAGCGCAAGATGGAAGCAAGTGAAAGTAAAGTCTGAGATGACCAAGAATGAAAACAACAGAGATCTGACCCCGGGATGATTACCCCGCAGCTTCGCCCTTACCCAAAGGACATGATCTTCTTTATATTCAACGCGCAATGGCTGCCAGTATTGCGACGGTACTAATTCAGTGTCTCAAAGAGTTCGCAGAATCAATCAGCTCAGGCGCACTTGCACGTTACGAAAATGAAGTCTCTCAACCTCGCTGGTCAGATGAATTGGGTCGACTACGAATCTGGGCAGGTAATATCGGTGCCCATCAAACTGGCCAGTCCTCGCTGGACTATCGTCTCCGAGATGCTTCACACCTAAAGAATGAGACAGTGAAGATTCTACAGCGAATGTTACGGGTACTGCGAGACATAAGCGATGTGGTAAACGAAGAGGACGAAGATCTGATGGAAATCGACGATGCGTTGTTTCCTGGCACTAGCGATACGGAGGTGGACGACCAGCATAATGAGATGACAGACATTCAAATGTTATACCAGAGTCTGCGGAACATCATCAATCTCTTATTCCGTATATCCATGGCCATTCGCAGGCCCGCCGATCATGATCGTCTCATGGGAATAAGAATCAAGAACGCTTCGTTCTTTGAACCTTGGGCCAAGCAGCACGTTTCCCACAAATTCCCAAACGCCGAGGCCAACATTACTAGCCGCCTAAGCGCTGCTATGGCAAGACAGAAAGCAGTTCTAAGATATTTCGAGCGACATAAAGCAAAGCTTAGCAAAGGACTAGTTGCCACAGGAGAAACGGAGTCCAACTATCTTTCCGAAACAGTGGCCACAGAGATGGCCGTCTCTGATGAAGTGGACCAACTCCGGTTCCTGGAAACTATTTCCACGTCGGATGTCTCCCAAACTTCATACGCTTCTAGCATGTTTACAGCAAATGAATCGCTGTCCATTCCTAATCCGCCGAGAGAGTCTGCGGATAAAAACCCATTTGAATGTCCATATTGTTGTCTTGTGATCACCATCAGGAATACCAAAGACTGGGCCCGCCATATCTTCAGAGACTTGATGCCATATGTCTGCTTATCCCCCGAGTGCAGTACGCCATCGAAGCTCTATGGCAGTCGTCAGCAGTGGTATCAGCATATTTGCGAAGACCACTCTGTGCCTGAAAGTCTGCAGAGTGGTTTAAACTGCCCTCTGTGCCAGGTGAGTATCCAACCACCACTCGTATTTGAGCGGCATGTTGGGCATCACATGGAGCAATTGGCCCTATTTGTTCTCCCTCGTATGGATCCAGGTGAACGAGGGCAATCAGAAGCATCATCTGAACATGGGTCTTTGGCAGTTGCGGCGGATACTAGTAATCCTAGTAGTGACTCCGAGGAAATGGGATTCCAAAATGAATATCAATATCCTTCAACTCGTCCTTTGGTGGAGGATTTTGGGGCTGATGAAACCCATGCCGAGAAAAGAACGGTAGATCCAGACGCCCCCAATCCTCCATATACCAATTTATCTTCCTATCATACCGAACGAGGCGGAACAGAAAGCATAACAGCCCCTTTTCACAACCGGGCCGCCCGTTCACAGGAGGAGAGCCCAGGACAATTTTTGCGAGACGCTCAGCAATGGCCTTTCGACATCTTGCGTTCAAAGCTTGGGTTTCCAGTGTTCCCAGATGAAATACCCAACAACACGGAGAAAGAAGATATGGAAGTCTATGCCTCCACACACCCCCAGGAGCGGTTTGACAGAAATGAACCGGCCTCTCAAAACAGTGGTCGTGTGCCAGGAACAGAAAGAGGTATGATTCGCGCATTAAAACGTCCTTGGGATAGGCGACATGGTCGCAACAGTAATTTAGATGCAGAGATGTCTGAAAGTGATCTTCAAAGTCACCGCACCGAGCGTCATGGGAATCCTGTGAGGCGGACTCGAAAAGAAGATGGATCTGACATTGTCTCGCTGGATAAGAATGAACAACACCTGCATAGTCTGCAGCTCAGCCCTTCTTCAAAAGACTCAACTCGTCAACAATTGAATGAGAGCCACAAACAAGTGGGAGACGGTGCCCCTGGGTCTTCGTCTGCCATAAAGCTTGGGGTACTACCGGAAGGAACTATGGATCTCCAGTACAGTTATACCAGTCAAATTCAAGAGGACGCTGTATACCATAATGAAGAGAAAACAGCCGACATCCCTCCAGGAGCAAGATGGACTAAGATTCATCGAGGAATCATCAATCCTGCAGCCCTGGAGGCTGGAAATGAACGCTTCGAAGAGCGCTCTGGCTTCCTCATAGTCATGCGAGTTCTGAGCAAAGAAGAGGTCCAAGCTTATGCTGTAAAAACGCAAGAAATTCGAGGTATGGTTTCGCTATCCCGCCTAGGTTCTAAGAATAATTATTCACTGAAGATACCCACAGATCGCCGCAAACAGTCCACCCAAAAGAAACATCAACACATGGATGACTTCCCTTCATCGGAAGATCCGACAGCTATCTATATCTGCTGCAGTTGCGGAGATGGCCCCAAAGTCTACAATTTGGAACCGCGTTGCATAAACTGTGCCCACGTATCCTGTTCCAGCTGCGAATTTATACGCTAAATCCAAGAATCCTTATAAAAATGAATTATATGTGACACCGAGATAGAACCTTCTTTACATGGTCTGCGCTGGAGGTTAGCAAAAGTTAGACTTTGAGCACTCCGAGACTGGGATCATTCTAAAAAGCTTGGTATAATTAATAGCGCACCCAGTCAAGCTGTCGATGGCGGACCCTCAGGTCAACAGTGAGGCATGTTGCCCGCCAGCGTGAAAAAAGCCGCAAGACAAAAACGTGTTACCTTCGACGGCGAAAGCAAGAAGATGTCAGTTTGTATAAGGGGCTCGCAAACTGCAAAATGAGAGAATGTCAGTTCAGGAACTTGAATAGCAAAGACATTTCTTGCTCATGCATGTGCACTTGCGATATTACAATATTCAATGCCCTTCAATCCCCTGCGCAATGCTCTCCTCCAGGGGTGTCCACCCTTCCCGTCCCCAAAATTCCCGTAGGAGGTTTTCTGCTTCCTTGGCTGGGAGGATTTTACTCAGATCACGTCCCTCGTTAACAGGAGTGTCAGGGATCAAAGTGTTATCAGGTCGGAGTTTGCGAATGGCTGAGATCATATCGGTGAGGTTCACAGGGGCAGTAAATCCGAAAAGTCGGCGAGAGACCGTATTTGGGTCCAGGAGGGCAGCTGCATGGAGACGTGCAATGTCGATGACATCGCAGAAATATTCTGTTTTTGGACACTAGCTAGGATCACGAACTTAACCCGATTGTGCACGTACGCGGCATAAATGAACCGAATGAATCTGCATTCCCCTTGGTTAGGCCACGGACATAGCCTATTGTTGAGCCGGCGATCTCTTCGTGGAGGATTCTCCCAAGCTTGTTCGAGTTAATGCCGTCTTTTTGAATCTGCCACCTAAGGAAAGAACTCACAGTAAAATCCGGCAACACAGTATTGAATTGAAAATTTGGTTTGTTGTTTTCCATCCATTTCCATGCGGCCTTTTCTCCCTCGGTTTTGGATGCAGCATAGGTAAAGAGGCCCTTCAGATGCTCCGGAGTATCCGGGTTATAGGCTTGTTTGATAGCCTCGTCGTTGAAAGAATCTGGATATAGGATCAGACAATACATCCTTGTCTTCTCTAAAGATTGGCCACTCACCCTCATGAACAACGATCCCCTCCCTATTCGGCTCCGGAAACAACGCCGCAATCGAAGAAGAGGTCATGACAACCCGCTGTATATCACAATGTCTCGATGCAGCCTCTAGCAGATTATCAACAGCTCTCACCACCCACGGTACAACCTCTTCCGGATTCGAGCTGAAGCTAACATCCGATGCCTACATGTTTTCATACCTCATTAGCATACAAACTCGTCAAATTTCATCCCCACAGGTAAATACATACCACATGTGCCACGCCGGATACGCCCTCCATCACCTCAACCAGAGTATCCACATTCTCAAAGTTAGCAAGAACAACAGACTCGTACGCATCCTGCCCGAACTCCCCCTGGAACATCTCATCAAGCCATGGCTTTTCAGAGCGGACAGTCCCACGCACCTTGAACCCTAATTCAAGCAGGTTGTAGACAACGTTGCTCCCAACGAAGCCGTTGGCGCCTGTTACCAGGATCCGGGAGCCACGAGGTAGATAGTAGTCTTGATTAGCCATTGGTAGATATTGATAGATTTCTGTATGAAAAATAGGAGTATCGCGGGGAAGCGAGTGGGGATAAAGTGTGGAGTTGAGTAGAATTCTGGATGTTGAAAGGGCTTAGAGAGATGACGATGAGGGGCCTGTCAGTCTAATGGCCTGACTAGTGGAATTACATTTCGAATTAGTCTACAATGAGTGTACAACGTAGGCCACTTGTACAGAGACGAGTCATTGAGAGAAAGGAATCCCGACAGTTCGGGTCAACACGACGATCTTTGCGGAATAGGATTGTGCCAGCGGACATTGAAGAGTAATGCATAGTACTTTATGCACACAATTTACTCTCTTAACTTCCTTTAGAGGTCGACACGGGAATTCCAACTGTCATAGAACAGTGCTATGGATTGCTATGGATGGTGTACTTGCGTCCACCTCTCATTGGCCATGACGTCACGGGTGGATACACAGCTGTCACTCTCTCCAGGTTTAGTTGCATACAGGCACTTCTCGACCTCTTCACCATAACAATCTCACAATATCCTAGATAACATACTAGATTATCATCATGCAAACTCGCTCTCAAACCCGAGACCAACCCCCTCAACCCCCAAAAGAAGCAGCCTATGCTCAGCCCTCGAATCCCGTTTCACACACGCCACAAGAACAACGAGCAACTCAAGACCGACACCATGGTGACACAATCGGGTCAATTAAACGCACAGCCTCATCGAGACCTTCGAGCGACGAAGAACTCTCTCGTCTGAAGGCACAGCACCAGCAACACGAACGAGAATTACACAATGCACCTGACGTCGATCTAGACTACGGCGTGGAGCAGCAACCCGCTGAGGGATATATTGCGGATGTTGTTCGACGGAAGGGGATGGGGATTCAGCGTGCACAGGCTGGTGCGCATGCTGGGCCTGTTGGGAGTGCGGGGGGACCTGGACATCCTGGGTTCGGGGAAGCGGATGATCTAGCGGCGAATCTGGGTGCTAAGAGAGTTGAACATGATCGAATACTTGGAGATAGGATTGGGAAGAGTCCGGTTGAGCCGGATGGGGAGGTTGTTGAAAGGGAGGCTGTTAGAAGACAGAGATTGGAGAGGGATGAGAAGTTGGATGTGAAAGAGGCGGTTAAACAAGCTACTGGTGATCCTGTAGTAGGTGAATAGGTGATTAGGGTGTGTCTCGGTATTGGATTTGACATAACTTTCATTAAGTGTTCCTAGCTAGGTAGCTAAGATGTGCTACTCGTATCAACATCGAGACCGGATTCGCACTCGGGCAGACAAACTGGGTATGATTAATAATGGTAACGCCGAAAATCCCAATAATGAACAGGGTATGTGAAGAGGACGGAAAATCAGATATCGTCTCCGGCTGGCATGCCCATGGAGACCTTTTTCAGTTGTAGGTCTTTCTTCAGTTCTTGGATACGTCGTCCCATCTTGTTGCGCAGAATGTGATTTTGCACCTTCTCCCACTGTGCGGTTTCGGTGCGGATGAGAGCTTCCAGCTCGGCAACTTCCTCGCGCTGTTGCTGAAGTTGCTGCTGCTGCTCGATTTGGTCGTCATCCAGCTCATCTTGCTCGTCCTCATCGGATATATTGCTCTCATCCCCGGAGGTGTCGCCGCGTTCGGTGGCTGCTCCAGCTGGCGTGAAAGGTTGCATGGATGGAGTGTCTACCTGCTCTGGTCCTGCCTCAGGTGCCTCGTCATCACCGGCTGCCAATGCCGCTTCCATTTCAGCAGCAAGGGCGTCCTCAAAGTCGTCCATCATGTCTTCTTCCGCTTCACCGTATGCATCCTGCTCATCGTCGTATTCATCTTCGTACGCTCCTGACTGCACCAAGCCCTCGACGCGATTCAGAGATGTGCTGTCCACCAATTCGAACTTGGGAGGGAAAATCGAGGTTTCGTCCTGTGCCATGAGTTCTTCCACGGCTTTTTCTACTTGTTCAATCGTGCGCGTGCTGACACGGTCGCGGAATCGTCGCTTGCGAACCCATCGGAGGGGTGGTGCGAGACCGTGTGGGTATTGAAGTGTCTTGTCATCGGGGCAGTCCACGTCTGGGGGAAGTGGGTATTCCATCGCTTCCTGGTCACTGTTGACGCGTCCCAGCACCAAGAGCATTTGGCAGATATCTGCCGACTTGTACCAGCCTCGTCGGTCCCAACTCTTCATGCCCTCGATAATGCAGGGCAGATCCACCAGGGCTGCTGCATATTGGTGGTCTCGAATCTTCACTACGGCGCGTCGGCCCTCACGTGTGAGGGGCTTGAACCCGAATTCATTCCCTTTGATCGCCTTGTCATTGATTAATTTTCTCAGATGCTCACAATCCTCCCCGGGGAGCATTCGCAGGATGAATTGTTCTTCGATGGCAGGATCATTCTCGGTGTCCGAAGCTTCAGAGTCATAGCCCACGCCCACCGGTCGGTTAGGAACGATTCCCTTGTTTTTGATGCGGATCGATTGTAGGGCAGGCTTTTTGGATGGGATCAGTTTTATCCGCTTGGGGCCTTGGGTCGTCGCGGGTTCGGGCTCGGGCTCGAAATCGGGCGCGGCACTTTCGGCTGGTCGCTTCTTTGTTTTCTTCTTCTTCGGTTTCTCTTCGCCCTCAGGTTGTGATTTTCGTGCGATCTTGAGCGTGAGCTTGCGCGGAGGTTGAGGAGTTTCGCCGAGCGCAGGTGCAGGCGCAGGGGCAGGTACAGGCGTCGGTACAGGCGCCGGTACTGGTGCCGGTTCTTCTGGAGGGTCTGGCCTCCTTGAGAATTTGATTTTTAAAGGCATGGAGCCAATATGGGAGGTAGTAACTGCAAGAAGAGAGATACGTGAGAGGATGAGGAAGTGACCTCAGGTTACGGGAAGATTTACATAATCGGCCCCGTTCAATAACTAACTAACTAGAAGAACCGCAGAAACATCAACAATAGGAACGATCAGAATGAGGAATAATAGAAATGATCATCTTATTTTGTCATTTTTGTCTCATCATTGTGAATGAATCAATGTATCTCTGGAGATGTAGATTTCTCATCCTAAATCACTGTTTATCACCGGCATCATGTTCTATCAAGACTATTTGCCTGCGGCTCCAAAATATGACTTCAAGGGAGTTGAAGATTGTCTCCAGATTTTAAGCAAACCGAGCAATATGAAGGGTCGGGTTCAGAGTATGTCATTTTCACCTTGGATGAGCGTTGCTTTCTTGATCATTTCTTGAACTCTGAGGACCAAATACTTAACAAATGGGAGAGTTATGATCCTTCTGTCAATCAATTACTCATCAGAATGGCGAGCGCGCCGCATGAAGTTGCAGTTAATGCTTTCAACGGCATCTTCCGTGACTGGAACGGTAAAGGCGATGACAATCATCCGCTGGTTCCTACTGGCAGAGGGTCAGTGAGAGGCTCTTCGGGAAGACACAAATTTCCAGACTACTCGTGAACTCCAATCCATTCCGGCCGCGACAAGGAATGGCCTAGTATAGTGGTGGAAGGTATATGGGAGGAGACGCGGGAAAAGGCTGCGGATGATATGAGATTCTGGCTCACTGAAAGCGAAGGAAAAGTTAAGGTGGCACTCACAATCACAGTGCACAAACGTGGGAGGCTTCTGATTGAACAACGGGAGATGCAAGGTGCATGCGCAACCCCTGTGCAAAAGATTGATATCGTCCGAAACCCAGCACCCAACTGCCAAAAGGTACAAGGACATATGCCCCTTCCCTTTGAAGATATCAAGAATCACCCCGAGATGAAGTCAGACGAAGACTTTGTTATCAATGCTCAGGACATGGAAGCCATGGCGAAACAAGTTTGGCTTGTTCTGTGTTGATAGTCAACTATGGGCACCTATTGGGACCACTGATACATAACTTTCTTGTTGATTAATATTGTCACGCAAGAATTCAATTTCACTTCAAAATATCTAATCACGTATGTTGTAGTCATTAAATTGAAGCATATCAAATTGACAGAGGTTAGATTGAAATTTATATAAAATTGGAATATAATACATACAATTGGAAGATAGAGTAGTTTAGAAAAGAGAGATAATCTTATCTCTATTGTGTTTAAGATCAATAGCTGCTGTGAAATTGGAGGTTATAGATAAAAACGTCCGATATATAAAACATATCCTTTCCCCTTTTTTCTACCGTAGATAGACCCACAAGACCTGGAAGGAAAGCTAAACTATCTCAAGGATATATTAAAGTGTCTAAGAAGCTGACTTAGAAGACCGCTCAAAAGATATGAGAGGCCATATAAGCGACCATCTACTCTTGTGTGTACAGAAAATAAAAGAGACGTTGAAATGAGTGTGTATACTTCGGGCGGTGATGAAACAGGCGGTGAGGAAGTATCCAATGAGAGAGTTGTTTATCGGTGGTTTGAATAGTCGCCCGTAGTCGGCACGGGTTCACCCTTCCGCATTGAAATTCTGCCGCCCTGATCATCGCAGCCTTTCTTCAACTTGGCTTTTCCTCCCACATCTCGCTCGATTCCGATTTGTTCATACACCGGAGCTTTCATTTGAAACCCTCCACAATGTCAGGCCCGAACCTTCACAACGCTCTCCTCCGTCCGCCGATCATCCAAATCCTCCGTGCTCAAGGCTTCCACTCAACACGTCCCTCAGTCTTGGAATCTATCCAAGATTTGACTGGACGGTACCTGATCATTCTTGCCTCATCCGCAGCCGAACATGCCGCAAATGCGCACCCGCATGACCCAATTCCGGACCTTGAAGACATCTACCAAGCTCTGATGGACGCCGGAGCCTTGCGACCACAAATGCGCGAATGGGAAGAGGATTGGCAGGGAGAGGAAGACATGCGTGGTATTGATGCTTTCCTCGGCTGGATCACTGGCCCCACTCACCGTGAAATTCGTCGTGTTGCCGGCTTTGTGCCCAGTGAGGGTGACATGGTGGACCCCGACGCCGTCGAAAAGGAGGATTACTTGACTGCATTGAAGAAGAAACATAGTAAGACTGGCGAGGAGTCTCGTTACGCTGGAACTGTCTTGGGAAAACATGCCGAGGAACATCCTGTGATCATTGAGGGTGGTGCTCCTAGCATTCGAGACTGGGGTGCCCAGATTCGTGCTCGAGTTTCAGAGGCGCCGGACAGTGACAGTTCAGGCGTGAGCAGCGCACCAAGTCATCTCTCCGAGGACCAGGCTATGGAGGCGTGAATGGCTATAGGCGGCCTTGCTTAGCTTTTGAACGAGTCAAGCTTGAATCTTTACCTCGCAAATGTGCCCAGACCTGGGCAGACACATCACCCTCCTGACCGGCCCTTCCGGTCGAATTGTCTTTCATCTCTCCACCCCAATTCGGAACACAAAAAGCCCCACCACCTGCTGGTACAATTGGATCTCGTCCTCTTCGGACGCCGCCTGTTGTTCCGACTTCACTCGAGGCATGATCCCCGCCTCGTCGCTTTTCACAGAACACCAACCACTTTTGACAGCTTAACCCCCAGAGCCCTTCCTATAGATACCACTGTATCTTTTGGCATGGGTACGAAAGCTTAATATGGAGTTGCAAGTGGATTTAGTCTGTTGAGCAGGTGCAAATTGGTGCGACTGCGTGTCATCGGGGATTAATATCCTTTGTTAACCTGAATTTTCCGGCCGACTCTCACTCATGTTTGCATCCGAGCATTCGATCGGATGTACCATCTTAGAGAGTCACACATGTGGACTTTCAACGTGGCATTTCTCCGCCTATTCTAGGGCCCACAAAACACGAGAAGCACTCCCTGTGATCTACCCATCCATAGTTGTGTCAAATAGCAGGCTGAAAATGCTACAAGAAACATCAAATCTTCAATGAGTGAACAGCAAGTTCCCAGCATACGTATCCACGAACAACAAGGGTGAACGGCCGCTTGTGCGGCATTGTGATTTCTTACAGGGCTCTTAGGTAGTATTTTCAGCGGTACTCTCAGTGGGCTTCTCGAATATCTATCTTAGATATCTGACGACAATTAAAAATTCCTCCTTTCCGGCCTTGTAGGTAGATGGCGGGAAAAGGCGGAAAAAGCATACTTTGTGCAAGAGACTGGTCTATGTATCACCTCTGGCATTTATCTACGTAGCGGTCTCGGACAACGCCCTTAACCCATCAAGAGACCTCATTCATATTTACAAATTGAACTATGTCGATAAGCTTGCACGGTCTTTATTTGCACCCGTCACGGACTCTATACATCCTGGGATAGTGGAGGTCTGGTGGATCAGCCACCCAACCTGGCCTTGGGCTGGGCCTTGTATACAAGCAGGAGAGACATTAACTTAATAAATATAACCGGAAAGAAAGCACCGAAACGCACTGTGCTGGTCAAGGGACAGGCTGGTAGCTGCCTTTACTACGCAATTCACTTTGCCGCCATCTCAACTTCGACTGCTCCAACGTCGTGAGCTCTGCGTTGTATTCACCATCGTGCAAGGCGCGTTGTAGACGACCGCTCCGGCGTTGCTTCAAACAATAAAATATGAATGCCCCAAGGAGAAGAGCAGCAGCAACACCTGCACCACAATATACACCGATATGGGCCCCTGAGCCAAGATCGTCCCATTTCTGGGATAGAGTCTTGGCTGGTTGCTTGTTGATTTGGGTAATGGCGGTAGAGTTTCCACTGCAATGAAGAGTTAGTTCCATGTCATTCAAATTCTGGCGTTCATACACCCGTGGACACTCACCTGACTACTTCAATACTCTCACGCGTGCCCGTATGCCCGGTGTACTTGTACTCCTTTCCACTGGAGAAGTCCTGAACGCGGATCTTTGATACAGTCATAGTAAATGGAACATCGGACCAGTCAACCAATCCACCTCCCCAATCGAGGTTGCCTTGTGATTGTCCCTTGATACCAACAGGCCAATTGCTGACCTTGACCTGGCAGGGTGTTTGGGGATAGTTTTTGCCATACACAGTCAACGGCTCGGAGTAGTTCACTGTCCGCACCAAGTCACCATCAATCCACCACTCAAGACGATCTTTATCCCAATACGAAGTGTAATTGTGGAACTCGGTATCTGCATTTGCAACCGCATGATATCCGCCCCGATCACTCGTCGTTGTGTTTCCCTTGCCGAAGAAATCGGACTGCACTCCACTCGTGTTATAACCAACCCATTCCCAGTCAATCTCATCGAGGTCGTCGGATTGGAGAATCACACTGCTGATAATACCGGCTCCCTTCGCCATCTTGACGTGTGCTTCCATCACGCCGAAGAAAATGTAGAAGTTGGAGACCAGAAGAGTTGACGCATTTTCCGTTTTGATGGTGAAGTCCGCTCCTTCGGATGTGTAGTCCAGAGTTCCAGTTCTCATGTCCCAGAGCTCGCTGTCAAGAGTAGAGTTGAACTGCCATGTGTGCTCGGTTCCGAGGGCCGGATCCGCACTACATGTCTTTTTGAGGGGGTTGCAATCCGTTCCAGTGTATTCGGTAGTAGCATTAGAGGCACAGGCAATCGTCGTCAGGGCCAAAAGGAAGAAAAAAGACCAGGACCCCATGATGTCGGACTTTCTCGTCAAAGCCGTATGCCCAGCCCGAGCTTAGCCCGCACAATGCCACTTTATATCGTAATTTTGCCGCAAACCTATTACGATAGTGGGAGGGGACAGATATGCATATGCTGACCTCCAGAGTTCCATCCACACAAGATGATAAGACTGTCTGTGGGTGTAGGATTTTTAATGGCCGAAAAAATCGCCATGGCTACTCGCAAAACAAGATTAAGGAGGTCAATAAGCGAGATAGTAGGCTAAAGGCATCAACAATTCGAGCTGAAATTAGAACCTTGTCCATACTTAGTCGAGGTTAGCGCAGAAAAGTGTCGCAGACTCATCCAGTTGAGATAGAAGCTATGGAGCCTGATGTTATCTCCGAGTCCGAGGGAAAGCTTTTTCGAAGCTTGACTCGGCACTATATACTAGCTAGCTCCTTAGCGCAAATTAGACTGCCCCATTGAGTTAGTTTCCTGTTGGGAATCCACTGGCAGCGTAATTAGGCGGTTCTCTTCATGATGCCGATTGGCCATTCTACTTTGTTCAGTCCACCAGCGTCCGCTTTGAGGAACAGATCAGGAACAATATCCGATTATTGGCTATTTTTGTCGAGGAAAGAGAATATGAGGAAGTCAATAATCAGATATTAACCAAAAATAAAAACGAAAAAAAAGAGAAAAAAAGAGAAAAAAAAAAAAAAAAGAGCCAGTGGGTTAGGACAGCTCCGAAAAGTATTTAAAAAAACCTGCTGGCCCTCTCTCATTGGCAATTTTCTTTTTGAAGAAGTTCATACTAGCCAATCTATATAGGATTGTATCGAGAAGGAAGTTCATAACATCCACCAATCAATCCTACTTATTTCGACAATATGCGCGCAACAAAGGCGGGCTAATGGGGAACTAACTTAGATCGAGGTCAACTACTTTGACAAGCACTTCATTTCCCTGATTCACCTGAAGCTACGTCTACTGGAAGCAGTCCCTTGCTTGAGAAGTACCTCCAGAAAATGGCAGGCATGTGATGTCCTTGCCAAAGAAGTTGGTCTCGCTCTATATTGAGGCCCCATTAGGCTTGTCTTTGCTCGTGATGCGTATGGATCGAGACAATCACTTCACTTTTATAAAAGCTCGATGATATCATTTTCTGCTTTCCTGACTTTCTAACGTTTAGATTCACCAGGTAGTTAGACAATCAAATCGCGAGTACTAGAAGACCGAGGATTTATGCATGGACGAGGGTAGTGTTTACATCAACACTTACTGTTTTGGACAGTCGTCCTCAATCCATCCATGTCTTCACAGACGTAAACACCAGGATATTATTTTTCATGAGAACTGTCTCTCGTTCTGTTCTTTCCTCTCGCGCGCTCATCTACTTGCTTTGTTTACTTTTCGCTCGCCTCTCACCTCGCCTTTCATCTCGACGAGACGCAAAGATTTACGACAACAATTGATCTTTTCCAATCATGAGATATCACCTCCTTTTTGCAGCTTTGGCTGCTCCAATCTCCCTCATTCTTGCTCAGAAAGCTCCAGACTGCAATGCCTTCCAGAAAACCTGCGCATCCAACAGAGGTAACACTGAAGGTCATATCACCTATGATTTGACACAGGCTTCGCCTTTGAGTGATTGGACAACGATTGGCGGAGAGGTAGTCACTGGCTCTAATGGTGCAGAGTTTACAATCCGCAAGCAAGGTGATGCCCCGACTATTGTCACAGACTACTACATCTTCTATGGCGAAGTATCTGTTGAGATGAAGGCTTCCCCTGGTACTGGTATTGTCAGCTCCGTTTACATGCTGTCGGATGACAACGATGAAATTGGCTGGGTGAGCTCTAAGTTGCATCATGTCCCCTGAAAACATATCTAATAATAATCATAGGAAGCTTTGGGTGGGTTTACCGACAAAATACAGACAGATTACTACGGCAAAGGTGACAATAGTGGAGAGTACAATCGCTGGACCTGGCAGCCTGTGATAAACCCACAAGGAGAAATTCATAGATACACTTGGATCTGGGCCAAGGAGAAACTGTCCTGGGTGATTGACGGTACCGTTGTTCGAACGGTTGATTATGCTGATACAGAAGGGGGCACTCGCTTCCCACAGACACCGATGCGTGTGAGAATTGGTATCTGGGCAGGGGATGATCCAAGCAAAACAGATCCGAGCAAAATCAAGGGTGCGATCGAGTGGGCTGGCGGAAAGACTGATTATTCCAAGGCACCTTTCACGATGTATGTCAAGTCGGTCGAGATTGTCAACTACACCCCGGCGGAGAGCTATGTCTATTCCGACAGATCTGGCTCTTCGGACAGCGTTGAGATACGCGGTGCCATCTCCTCGGGGGAGACTTCAAGTTTGATCAGCCCTGGCACCCTTAGCACCGCCGACATCTCCATATCTACTTTTCTCTCTACGGAGTTATCTTCTTCCATCTCCATCTCGGAATTTTCTGGTGCTACGACAAATACTTCCAGTCCCACTAGCACCCTCCCCATGACCTCGTCTGCCGAGTCCAAAAGCACTGTCTTGCATTCCAACTCTACGTCAGCAAGGAGCTCCATGACCACACCTGGCTCGACTTCCAATTCGAGCACCGGTGCTATTGCCTCGGCCACCAGTTCTTTCAGCTCTGCTTTTGCCCTTGACTCCGGCTTTCCCGCCCTTCTGGCAACAATCGTCGGATTTATCCAGTTGTGGGCTTGAATTCTCTGTCAGCACCTTGTTTAAGGGATCTCGAGGTCAGATGCTGTAATGTGGATGTCATATCCATAGATCTTTGCAGTCACCAGAGTCTGGTCTAGTCTTTTGAGGAATTATTGAATTTGAAATTTTAACAGGCGCTATAACAGCGTTCAATTTCGTCTTATCAAAATCTGGGTATTCCTTAGAGGGAGAACAAAGTCCAAGGGCTATGATATCTACGGGAGTATTTACAAGGCAGGAAATTGGTATGATTAACAGGAGTATACCAGTAGAACTCAGTAGTGCTTTTAAAAAATGCTAGACATATACCATATATGAGTCAATCCTCCGATGAACCTGGGTCAAAGATACCAGTCAGTTGATCGTGCAGCGAGAAGTGCCTCCTTGAGAATGCAAGCTGCAGTATGTTCAATATCATCCTCTCTCATCCAGTCGAAGGTCCGGCTACTTATCTGATAGCTAGTCCAGTCACTCGTGAGGACAAGGATTGCCTCGGGCAAACAAAGTCTGAGAGTCATGGAAAAACGTTGGAATTGGGCATACCCAAGGAGATGGTTGCGAGGCTTGCGTTCGTCGCAGGCTGCTTGAGATACCAAGTCGCGGCAGAGATTTTCAAGTTTCTCAATCACCTCGCGACGCCGCCATGCTTTGTATGTCAGGGTTTCAATCTGTGTTTCCACAATGCGGACTATTTTGGTGTACTCCGCCTCAAGCACCGGTCCAAACATGGAAATTGGTGCCATGGGTTTGATCTTGATGTCAGTAATGCAGATCTATCGATGTTCCTAGGTTCAATCTTCAGTCAAGTATGAGTATCCGGGAACAGAGGAACCTAAAGGGACGTGGAATCAAACAACTTATCAATACCACCTCATTATATAGGCTACTAAAGACCATGCCTAAAAGGATACAATCAAAGTGACTGAAGCTCATTGTTGGGGAGCGGGGGGTTTCTGAGCTCTTGATCCCCCAATGACTGAGGTTTTATCGTTGTTGCAGTCTCTGACAACATATTCGAAACAAGTATGAGAGGAGATATGGCCACTAAGCGAAAGGAAAGCAAGGCATTACGAGACAGGAATAAAGGCTCACACCAAACTTTCATAAGAGTTGCGCTTTATTTCGATTCGATTGATATCCACACTGGTAGGTGCGATATAGTAGAAAGTTTCAGTGCGACACCGAATGTCGAGACATGAAATTAGTCCATTTGTCGCGGTGAGGCATGTTCGAACTCTACCTTGCTATCGAGAAAACTATACGGAGGGACGTAGATATAGAAATCATGGAGGTTTGGCCCTACTATGTATCACACAGTGATTCTGCCTTTTTACTTAAGAGAAAAGAGTTTGATAGATTCTTATACAACTACTTCAAAATCTGCTTGAAAGAATGACGATCACCGAGTCACAGAAGTTGTCTGTCTGCCTTTCTTCTCAAAAGCATCATGAACAACAGGCCAAAGGGCTGCACAGAACCATCTCACATCAAATTGGAGGAACTAAAAAAAGAACCAGAAGCTCAAGGTCTTTGACATCCTGTAGCTTAAAGAAATATCAAAACCCGGTCTAACTTTTTCTTTGAGAATGGTGTGGGCTTGGTTTCGAGTTGCACTCTTTGTTACGGAACGAATAGTCGGATGGAGTTGCTGGTTGGGCGAGGGGCGATAATGAGAGAACTTGGATTTCTCACAGTCTTTCATATGAGTTCAAATGGGTTTTCGGGGCCATCTCTTTGAGAGAAAACTATCACGCTGTCAATCTTGAACCTCGAAGGCTGTTCTTTTCCCTCTACTTTCTAGTTCTTTGTTTGCCAGTATGTAGTGTAGTCCTGAAGTACAAATATCTCCCAATTCCCAAGCAAACATGCCTCGACCAACTCGCCTTGCTTTAAGCTTCCCCGTCTGAGCATCTCATACTCTTGCTGTCATCACCTTCTCCAAAATGGGTCGTCCTCGACGAGCCGCTGCCCAAAAGCCAGCGGGTCACTATGCCCTCACCTCTGCCACCCGAGTTCAAAAGGCATCTGCCACGCCGGCCCGGAAACCGCGCAAGAAGAAGGACCAGTCCGAGGAAGATGCAATGAGCCTAGATACCGCTGCCACCGGGCCTTCTCGGAAATCGCGCAAAGGCAAGGGTCGATCTGAGGGAGATACAATGGGCACAGATATGCCTCCACCACCAAAAAAGATCGCAAAGGGAAGGGTCGGTCTGAGGATGACCCTGCTCCTGGTGGTGCTGATACCCAGGCATCTGTGTTGATTCATGAAACTTCACCTGAGCCTTTGGATCCAGCCGCACTTGCATTGGATTTGAAAAATTCTTACGAAGGGAAACTTCCCCCACCGGCACCGCGGCCAGAGCGGCAAACAAGATGGAGACAGCCAGCAACGAATCCAATTGAGCGTTTTGAGGACACGCCAAAAGGTTGGAATCACGATGAACCCGATCTTGATCCTGAGTACGTTGTTTCCGTTTAAATAAACAGATGTGGATACTAATGTGTGTTGTTTAGTGACCTAGAATCTCAGATCGAAAGATGCCATGAGCGGATTAGTGATAATATCATGGTTCATCAGTTTCAATTCAAGCTTCAGGAGCTTCTGCGAAAGCAAACATATCGCAAGTGAGTACTCCTGAGAATCTTGGGCGTCATGAGGTTTTAACTCAATCTTCAGTGAAATGATGTCTTCGGAGGCGCCTGGTTTGAGTTGGCCTGTCGTTCAGCGCTTGAAGTCCCTCAGGGAGATGTTAGAATGGCTGAGCAGCAAGGGTGACGAGTATGAATCGGCTGCAAATGTGGCAGGCCTCATAGAAGCATACGAATCAGGCAAATTAAAGTACAACAGAGGCCTTGTTACCTACTGGTCTCATGGCGTTCAACTCTGTGAGCCGAGGCCTTTCAGGTGGGATGAATGCGATCTCATCAGCGCTGAACATGACGGTCAAAAGGGCTTTTGGGTAGAAGGGGTACGTTCTCTCAAAAGCTCAAGCTAGTACAAAACTGACATACATAGCTTCACGGGCCGGGCGTCAACCAACAACAGCTTCAATGGTCAACTCACGCAAAACCTGCAGTTGCTACACGATTTGCGGCAAGCGTAAGTACAGATCTATAACCTTGTCGTCTAGGCTCTGGCATCTCTGACCTGATTTGAAGATGTATATATGCTTAAAACTTCACGATTTTCCTGGGAGGCTAAGTAGGTACACAGAACTTAGCTTCATGGATGACACTGGGGCTTCTGTTATGCAGATAAATCGAAGCGATATGATGCATCTCCGGAACATGAATGCCGACAACCAGGGGATTATCCCCCCCAAACCAACAATGTTAGGTATCACGCACCTATCTTTCGCCAACGGAAATGCTTCATTCTTTAGTTGTGTGCGATTGGAGGTTAACATGTGGGATCCCGTTACTAATACTTGGCTGTCCCCCATATGGTATCCGGTGCCAGTCGTTATTTACGATGACATCTCCGGTCCACCGTTGCTTCGGTTGAATGGTCCATGGCCACGGCACAGGATGTATACAGCGAGTGCTCCTGGTCAAAACTGTCAGACATATTTTAGCGACCAGCACCCGACGAACATGAACGTGCCTACGGCAAGTGCGCTTGATATGAACAGATTAATTCCAAACCCTCGACTCACTTCACCGCCAGACTGGTGGGTCCTCTAGAAAAAGAGAAGTTTCTCTGTATTTCTTCTTATTTTTTGGCTGGGTTGTGATGAATTCCTTGCGTCCGAGTATACATTTTATCTTTCAAGTTGATTTTGGTGGAAGTTCGAGATTATATTTAGCATTATTTGCTTTATGATGTATTTTTGTTTACCATTCGGCTATATGATCTGTAGGTTAAAGCTGTAATAGTAATTGAGTACTCTGTAATACTCAGTTACTCAGTACATAGTTCCAAGGTGAAGTATGGCCCAATGGCCCAAATCTTGGCAGTGACATCAGCTCCGACTCCCCGGAGTCCTCCCCTTCTCTTAACTCCCCAGGTCACCATGGTCTACGCATTTATCCTCCCAACCACCTCACCTCTCTCATTTCAATCATTTATCTTCTCTACCACTCACCCATCTATCCCCCAATCAGCTTCGACAGCCCGCCATGCTCTCCGCCTCGCATTGAAGGCCCACAAGCGCTTACCCCGCGACCGCCAGGACGCCCACCTGCCCACAGTTCTGTCCGCTTTGAATGAATACATTCCCTACCTCTTTGCGATTTCAAAAGGGCTGAATGCTAGCTCTGATTCCTCTGTCGTTCACGACAGCTACGCGTTAGGCGACACAAATCTCCGCACCGGTGAAGTAGTCAACATCACCATACGTGCGGAAATAGAGTCGACATGGAGACCCAGGAATGGACGAGTGTCTGGCCGAGGCATCCATTTCGAATTGGCATTTACCCTCATAACTCTAGGCTATGTACTGGATAGGATGGCGCGCGCAGGAGTTCTCACAGCCCTATACGCATCGTCTACCCCATCCGCGGAGGTTCGTACTGCTGGTCTGCAGACTGCAACGCGGTATCTACTACAAGCTAGCTCAGTGCATAATCTGCTAGCGTCCTCGCCGACTTTCACGGCAGCCACCGTTTCGACAGTTCCAGAGCTGGAGCCTGCTACGCAGTCGGCTTTGGCGTCTCTGGCTCTGGCCGAGGCTACGTTACTAGCAGTTTTGAAAGATGATGCGTATGTCGCAGCGTGTATCCAGTCGCGCAATCCCAATGATAAAGAATGGATGGTGCATGCACCCGAGATCCCCAAAGTGCGAGCGCTGCTGTTTGCAAGACTCTGCGTTCGTGCTGCAGAGTACGCTGAACAGGCGGCTGCAGGACTAGGCGCTGTTGGATCTGCTTCTGGTCGTGCAGGCCGTGTGGATGATGATTTGGTTGGTTATACTAGAGTCTTGGCTCGCGTTGCTCGGGCACGCGCCTGTCGTTTCTTTGGTGTGAATGCCGAACTTTCAGGCAAAGTTGGCGAGGGTATTGCGTGGCTACGAGCTGCGCGCATTCCACTTGGGCTACGTGGAGCAGGGTCTTCACAGGAAGATGGTGCTGGCTCGGGGAGTTCTACAAAGGGCGGACTGTCCCGTTTAAAACGAGAGTGGACAGAGCGACGTGAAGAACGTCGAGTCACTAAGGATGCTGGTGGTAGCCGGAGCGAGAAAGGTCCATTGCATGCAGGGGATGACGCTGGGCGCGACGAAGAGGGACGAGTTCTTGCGATGCTTGAGACGAAGTGGGTGAAAATGAATGATACAGTAAGTTCACATCATTTCCGTGCCCCGCGGCACCATCGGGTCTCATCATGCGAGGGCAAATATTGACGTGATACAGATTAACACACAGGTCATTCCACCATCTGCGCCGTTGCTCTCTAATCTGCCTTCTGGTCGTGATATTCACTCTCAACCAGCACCATACCAGCCCCCTTCTCTAGACGAGGATCAACTCATGCGGATGCGTGCCCCGCCAGATGAAAACCACCACATCCAATCCGGAAGTGACGATGACAGCGATGATGATGTAGCACAGCGGGATGGCCATGGACCTCCGGGAGCATTCCCGGACCGAAGTGCGACCGCATCGAGCGTCTATTATTGACAAATCCCGACCTTTAAATAGAACATGAGATATGATGATGTATACCATATGTACTTTAGCATTTAGTCGGTGGCCGAAGTACAAACACAAGGGCCAGCTAACGATAAATTGGTATACAAAGGCCGAGTGTGGATCACCGGTTTACTACAACCTCTCCGAAGAGCACATGAATACCATAGTGAAAAAAGGAAGAGTGATCAAACAAAGTGATATTATGTACAGTACAAACGGACAAGACCACACAGAGGGTAATCTCCAGACCCTCTTCTGCGATCTTTTCGTGTATTCTCCTCAAACCAGATCTAGGCGGCTATAAGATCGAGTTGAGACAGGACGGAACGAAATCCACAGGAGTTTCCGTCCAAAGCCGACCAGATCATTTCGGCATCAACATTGCCCAGCCCCCGCGGTATTCATATCGACCGTCAAACCCGAGCCTCGAAACGCAATCGCATAGCTTAACATGCAAGAAAAGAGGAAACGTTTATGCCGACTCGCCACCGAAACGATTCTTCTCCTGGCCGAGGTAACCCTTAACCTTGCGCTCCTTAATGAGCTCGAAGTACTTCTCTGCAGAGGGTATATAGGTCAGTACAACACATCCAAATTACATCCTGTCCGCATAGACCTCAATCCAGTCAAATCCGGTTATTCCGAGGCGAACCCGTCAAAGCTTTGAAATCTGGATCTGGATATCCGGGACATAGACAATGCCGTGCAGAATTGATATGGGAAACAACCCACCTCGGAAAACACCACACTTCTCAAGGTGGTTCACGCCCTCGCGCGCATAGCACTTGCCCAACTCCTCGCCAACCAGACGCGCCATCATGCTGCGTACCCACTGCTCGCGGATAATGGCATCGCGGGCGTTGTGGACTGCGACGTTGTCCTCGAAGTCGACACCCTCGTAGGTCGGGGCGACGGTGGGCTTTTTTGGCCAGGAAGGCGGCGGACTCGGGGGTGGGCATTGTGGGTGGTGGGTTTGTGTGGTTTAGTGTGAGATTCAGCTGTGCTGAGGTGATTGCTTGCTCGGGTGGAGGACAATGGCAGCAAGTGTTGGAGGGAGAGGGTCGGCTTTTGGAGGCTGCTTGATGCGGTCGTCGGGGCACGTTGATCTTGAAGATTGGATTGCCTGGGTTGTGATTGGATATGATTAGGGCGGTCAAGGCTGCTCTGTTGCGGGAGACAAAAGGAACCTTCTGTGCAGATCCGAAGTGTCACGTGGCTGTACACAGTCCGAAAACGGCAAGTCGGACAGTGAGTGAAGTTTCGATACACTTGAGATTGGATTTGGATATGGTTTAGAAAAGGTAGACATGGTCTTGGTAAATAAGAAAGACCTTGCAAGAGTATCATATTTTCAATAATTGTGGTGGCTTACACCGGCTGTGGACACCAGATCAAAATAATGCGAAACTACTAAAACAATATACAAAACAAGATAAAGTCAACACAAAACATGTGATGATGCAACGAATGACCACAAAAGTATGCACCTGCGGCGGGCAAGAATGTTTGACATGAATAACGTTAAACAGCATGAATTAATCATCTTTAGGCGGCTTCCCCGTCATTCGATCGTATACATCACTCAAGCCGTCCTTGAGTCGCTCCCAGCCCGACTGGGCGAGCCAATTGCTAAGCTCGCGGTAGTAATATATTTCGGACCAGCAATCGCGACCATACATGCACCCAGCCATGTTAACAACGAGGTCGTGTGCGTCTTGCTGATAGTGAACGACTGGGTTATCTCCATCGCCGCATGCGCCAGGAGGGAAAGAATTGATGCTGCGTTGTGGTAAAAAGCCAACACCACTGCGAACCCATGCTTGGCTCTGATAGACGTACTCCAGGGCATCTTGCTCTTTATGCTCCCATTCCATGTGCATCTGCTCGTACATGACGGGATCCCACCAGATATCGAGCAGGCGTTCGGTCCAAAGAGATCGTCGCACGAAGAACGAGCCCAGATTAAATCCGGTGCAATCCTGTGTCAAGAGCATATTCAAAGAATCAGCTTTGCCGTCACCCTCAAGGGCACGACCGAGGTCGTCGAGCCAGAACTCAGGTAGCGGGTGTGTGATGTTGAGAGGGTTATAGGCTGTGATATCGCGGTAGACGTGTGCCTCGAGGTCATTGAACAAATGATGCTGGAGTGACGTGTCGTATTCCATGACCCAAGTGTTCAAGTCGAGCCACCAAAACCACTCTGCATCTGGATACTTGCGCATAGCTTCGCGGATCACATCGCCCTTCTCCCAGCTCTCGCGCCATTCATGTGAATATCGCTTCTTGGCCAGCAAATTGGCTAGCTCAAGCTCATAGCCCCATTGTTTCGCATATCTCTTCTTGTTCCATATGCTGTTGCGTTCAATGGCCCATTCACGTGCACCCTTCCATTCCATAACACCGCCCTCCACGTTTGATCCGAGTATGATGACGAACTTGCTCCCGCCCCCGATTGGGGATCTTCGATATGCTTGGATAATGCCTAGAATGCTGTTAAAAGATGACATCAAAATAAAAAATCGTAGTAAACATCACTTACTCGTCCAGCAAAAGAGATACCCAATCCACACCAAGAATAGCGCAAACAGCAGCCGGAACCGACCCCGGCGCATTGGTATCCGTAGTGCGCCTAGCAGACCACGTCCACCACCCGCACGCTTCCAGTCTCGGCCATAGTCATCCTTGTCAACGTATTCGCGAGGAGAAAGCTTTCGAAAGCTAGAGAACCGAGTTGAAATCTTATGTCGCTGTCGAGAGAAAAAGCCACCATTACGTGTTGAGAATGATGGATACCCGCGCACCTCCTCGCTTTTTGCCTTGGCTGCAGCCCACGAAATACTGCCTGGTGTATCTGGGGATAATGAACCGGGAGACGGACCACGCGGCGATGTGGTGCCGCTAGCCGGAACGAGTCCCGGACTGGACCACCCTCCGCCCGGGCGGGGAGAGGGTGATCGCGATAAAGTCATCTCGGAGGTTGGCGCTGAACAGAGGTTTGATAGAGAGGAATTGTTTTGAATGCTGGAGGATGTCGATAGGGAAAGCTCAAGCGAAGGGGGGGGATGTATTGGTGAGGTCAGAGTGACAAATGTAAGGAACGGGAAGTTAGGAAAAGAGGTGATTAAGACGTACAAAACATCATTAAACGTGTGAACAATATGTACCGGATGTAGATGTGACCTGAGCTTCAGGAACTCGAGGCCGAATGCGGCCCGTCTGTGCTGATACCACCATCTTGGAGAAGGTGCGATTTAACTTTAGATGCTTAGATCCTTCCCAAGGTTGGGGCGCGAATTGGATTTAAATCTTATATCAGCCTCACTACTATAAAAGCCTGATGATTCACCTGCGACCGTATGGCTGTCATATAGATTAGCCTAATTTAACCGATAAACTACCCTGCAGCGTGGATCGATCTACGGAGCCTCGGGAGATCGGCTCCACATCTCTACACCTACATACTCTACTGCTTGCGGACAAAGGTCATTGTGGAGTACAAAAAGTAATGATAATAATTCCTATCGGACAATGCAATTCCTATCTATGTCCAAAGCAGACTGGTAACGCCGGATCTCAATCTAATCCCGATCCTTGATTTGACGCCGAATCGGCATTCGGTTCGCGGCCCCGTGGGCCTTGGCCATGAGAGCCTGCCGCACCATGAATCCGGCTTCATGTGCGGGTCGAGGTTGGGCGCTCTCGCCATGGGTAAAGTCACACTGGAGCTTGAGGAACTTCGTTCGGTCTTTGTTTTGATAGACAGTGATGATGTCGCCGGTGTAGAGTTTCCCGAATTGTAAAGCCTCAGGACCATCCTCGGTCATAGAACCACGGCACAGCAGAGTGTCATTTACCCAGATTCCAAGACGCGCTTTAGTGGAGAGAATAGCCATAACACCTGGGATGTCGAGCCAGCTTTCACCTGATGCAATCCTCGCCTCGATTCCCGGACTCCAGAATGTGACCTCTAGGGCATATGCCGGGATTCTTGTGTCCATGGGGTCAGCATGCTTAATTGTCGCAGACGGCCCTCGACCCCACGAAGTGAGACGATCCTCGAGGTAGATTGTCAAGTCGAAGATCGAACCCGGGAGACTCTTCAGTTTTCCATATCTCTTTGGCGGTTTGGCGAATGCGGGATTAGAGAGCGTGGAGGGAAGAGGGGGCGGGTTGGGCCGATGAACAATGGGTTCTGATGAATCCGATTCCTCGGCGCGGAGCTGATCCAGGATAGCCTGGCCTGTCTGCGCATCGAGGGTAGTAGCAAACTCGAGGTCGTATTCTGATTTAGACGGACGAGAGGGGTCACTAGGAGCTGTCTCGCGGCGGCTGCTGTGGGGACTGTTATCGCTAGATGCCTCACTGGCTGTATCGGGGAGTGCAAGAGCAAGGTCAATCCGACGGGTGAACTTGGCTTTAGGGGTTGGCTCTTGCGGACTCGAGACAGGTTCTTCTTTAGGGCTCGAAGTCGGTGGCACAGAATCCCTGTTGAGTTTACTAGCCGCCATCGCGTTCTTGATGTGCTCAGGGGTAGTCTGCCGCAAGGAGGATTTAATAACCGGGCCATCTTGGAGCCGCAGAGTGGGATGCAAGGAATTCATGTTGAGTTGCCCAACGAGTTTCTCTGCGCCCATCAAACTGGGCGCAGTGCCACCGAAGGGTACCGCCGGGAGAGAGATAATCGAGTCGTTTGGGTTGTTGCTTATCATCGACTCACTGGAAGAGAGAAAGTCAACCTGAAAATTACTGGCGTCATAGGCATCCATATTTCCGAGTGCGTGGGAGCTCCGCAGAGCTGAGGGGCAAACTTCGCCAAACAAACGTTTGGCATGATTGTCCACCACCGCTTGCCCGTCTTGGAAACTCTCAATGTTTGGAAGGCTGGGATAGCGCACATCGGTGGGAATGTACTCAATCCGCGGCCGTTTGGAGAGTGCCTCGTTGCTGGTACCTTCTTCGGCGTCGGCTTCGTGAACGTGGCCCAGACCATCAGCGATGGACAATTGTGAAGCGTCTAGCTCGTCCTCGGCATCCTCGCCAATTATCGAGAGCCCATCATGATGGTCAGATAGCAAGTCGTCATCATCCTCGTATTCATCCACGTCGGGGACCTCTGCAATCCAGGGGTGCTGAAAACACTCCTTCTCTGTCGGACGGGAAAAGGGGTCCCGGTTGAGAAGCTGGGCGACAAAGTCGATACCAGACTCAGACACGCCTGCGCGGCGTAAAGCGTCGAAGTCGGCGTCACTTGTCATAATAGTACGAAGCATCTGGACACCTCGATCTTCTGCACGGCCTGAATATGGGGGAACTCCGGACAGGATATGGAAAAGAACTGCGCCTAGCGACCACATGTCGACAGACTGGCTGTACGGGGATGTTTTGGGAGGCCTTTCAATATCAGCTGAGGCTCGGGTGGAAAGAAGATTAGAAACTTACGGATCACCAACGCGGCGCCTCTTCCGGAGCTCGCCACGACGATATTGATCATAGTCCGGGTACACCTCAGGCGCACAGTACAGAAGCGTGCCGCAGAAAGTCTTTAGAAACGTTTCCTGCTCCACAACTTTCGACAACCCAAAGTCAGATAATTTGATTCTGAGTGGGTCAAGCGAGGCAATCAAAATGTTGTCTGGTTTGATGTCTCGATGGGTGATGCGGCGTTTATGCAAATAGTGAAGGGCCCGTAAAACTTGACGTGCGATTGTCCTCACCATCTCTTCGGCAATTCTTCCTTGCGTCTGCAGGTATGTTGACAGCTCGCCGCCTGGAACATATTCCATGATGATATAAATCCATCGATCATGCTCATGGTGATCAATGTATTGAACGATATTCGGCTGCAACTTGTTAGTTGTATCCCTAGCAGAGAACCCAAAAAAACATTGCTTACATGTGTGAGGTCTCTCATGATTTTCATCTCATTGTCAACCTTTTGATCAAGAATACCGTTCTTCATGAAGCGACGCTTGTCGAGTTCCTTTGCAGCATAGATGGCCCCGTGTTGTTTGGTTGCAATCTTGTACACAGTAGCGAAAGCGCCCTTTCCAATCTGTCCAGTAACGTTGTACTCCGCACCACCGGTCCAATGCATGCCATAAGCGTTGGCAGATGACCACGCCAAGGCAGATGGGCTTGGCCCCTGTCGTTCTCTATGCGCCGGGGTATGGGCATGAACTCGTTCAAAATAGTAGAACAAATTCTCATGATATTGGACAGCAAATCCTTCTCGTGACGGAATTCGAACCACAAAGCGAACCTCATCGGAGGTTTGGGATCCAGTGACGACTTGAATGATAGATCCATTTGTGAGCATTCTACTATTCCCATCCTTCTGGGATTTTCGCAGGCGGCAGTTATCCACGATGGTACCATTTGTCGACGTGTCCTGTAGCATGAGAATGCCGTCCTCGGTTAGGTATATGCGGAAGTGGTTGTTTGACACCCGTTTAGCATCATCGTCAACACTAAGAAGGACATCACAACGAGAGCGATTGCGACCAAAGCAAAAGCCGAGTCCCAGATTGTGAACTTTTGATGAGAGTCTCAATGCCAAATCTAATGCTGCTGTGTGAGAGGATTCGCGCTCCAGTATGTCCCTTTGTAGAATATGCTGCGGATAGATTCCTCCAGTGGCACCAACAGCATCATGGGCAGCATGTGAATTTGGATGAAGGATGCAGATGATGTCGGCCAGGTCTTGATCCTGTATGCCCGAGTTGTGCATTCCCTTTCGGCGAGGATCAGCACATGGCTGGGTGGATTCCTGAGTGGCTTCCATTGTGAGAATGAATGTAAATGTAAATGAACGTGCTAGGAGAATGAACAGAGAAATGAATTACAGGTACAATCCGATGGGGTAGGGTATATGTGGTGGGAGGCCAGTAAAGGGGATGTGCATAAAAATGTCATTAATTTCGTTGACTTGAGATGAAATATATCAGTAAGGCTGCACAACAAGGGGTTCTTGGGAAGCGGTTGTGTATCTACCTCGAGGGGAATAGGTATTAGGGCCAATGAACCACACACCTGGGTAAAGCTTGGCAAGACGATGATATGCTTTAGGACCAATGGCACGTTCACCAAGGTATGTATACCCTAGTAGTCAGAGTGGTCACGAGTATTTTGTTCAGTGATCACAAGGAGTGAAATAGGTAATTGATGGCTGATGTGTGAACCGTATGCCTTGCAGAGTGGGGTGTCCCTCTTCAGCTATCCTCAAAGCCAGTGTTGATCAACACAGATTACGACGTTGCCCGTGAAACAAAAGTAAGATTATCCAACTCTTGTCCCCAAGCCATAAGAATAAATGGCTCGATTCTCAGTTTCAAGATGTCAACCAGTAGAGGGATAGCGGCCCTCGAGACGTTGTTAAATGAGAAGCCACCCAATGGTGTTTCCGTATTCACATTGATCGAATTAAGGAAGGGACTGTGCTTCAGCGGGTTTGATGTGGCGTGGAGGTATGTCTGTGAGATTTCATTCCAACAAATTAGCAAACGTCTTTTGGAAACTTGGAGAGGCCTTTGTTTAGCCTTGACTCGAGATCAAGAATGAGCTTACACAGCTTGGAGGGTTCCCTATCAATCTGTCCGCGGCAGGTAAATTACGACAGACAGATAAAAATGGGGACGCCGGGACAGAGAAGAGACAGTCCTTGGAAGGTCGTCGTCCGAGGAACAAGACCAAGATCGAGCCGCAACAATCGGGATTTGGTTCCTGAGGCAATTACGCGTTCCTGAGGCGCGTGAAATTGTTACTCATCAGGCAGCAGGCACGTTGATTGGCCACACGGGCTATTGTGGGGGCTGACCTTGAAATAAGTGCCAAGGCAGATCTATGAGATTCACACATTGTAAATAAGACACAACGTATACATCGCGAAGGGTTTCATATATATGCTGATTTCACCTATTACTTACAAACTATTTACTTCCGTATGGTTTGCTAGTATCCTCACTCCGTTTAAAGTCTCCCTTCAGCGCCGCATCGAACACTTGTTCCAGCCGTGCGATCGCTTCGTCCGATACCTCTGTAACAGGTCAGGTTTAGGTCATCCATTACCAATCTGAAAGGCAGTTAAATCAATGAAACACTTACGATAATGGACCACCACGCGGCCACCCAGCAATCTTAGCCCTTTTTGTTGTCCAATATCCGCCAGGTCATTTGGGCCCACTCCTGACGCCTCGAGGTCTAACCAAACCATATTGGTGTGCAGGGGGTATTGCAGCTTGCCACCTCGACTGGTCCAGAGTTCGGCTACCCGCTTCGCCTTTTCATGCGTTGCTGCAAGCTTTCCAGTCTGGCCTTGAGGGTCCGTGCCAAAAGTTTCAGTGAGCGCAACGCGAGCAGCAGCGGCAATCACACCCGTCTGTCGGGCACCACCGCCAATAGATTTGCGGAACCAGCGTGCTTTCTTGATAAACTTGTCGGAGCCGACAATGATACTCCCAATCGGCGCGCCCAGACCCTTCGAGAAGCAAAGACTAACGCTATCGAAGATGCTTGTATATTCGGGCAAACTCCCAGCACCGGCTACAACGGCTTCCCACAACCGGGCGCCGTCCAAGTGAACCTTGATTTCATTAGCATGAGCCCATTCCACAATCCGCTTCGCCTCGGCGAGCGGCATGACCATTCCATCGAGGGTATTCTCCAAACTGATTAACTTGGTGGGGCAATAATGGATATTATCACTAAGAACTGCGTGCTTTTTGATATCTTCCAGGGTCAAGTGAACCCCATTTTGGGGAATGATAGGGCTCACCGTGGCACCAGTCCAAGCACTCACACCACCAGCCTCATAACAAATTATATGAGATCTATGGTCACACAACACTGAATGAGGTGGCTGTGCGAGATGCGAGCGAATGGCCACCTGGTTTCCCATTGTACCGGAAAGAACCAACAGACTTGCTTCATGCTTGGTGATTTCGGCAACGTATCCTTGCAGCTCGTTGGTGACTGGATCCTCATTGAAGACATCGTCCAATAAAGTTGTTTGGCAGATTGCTTCGAGCATCGATGGTGTAGGCTTCGTCATTGTATCACCTGAGTCAGATCAGCCTCACACCCCTCTGTCCCCTTTTAATCGAGTCATACTTCGAAGATCGAATTCAGCAGCTCCCGCGCCGTGCCAGGTGGTGGGCTTCTGGTCGCTGTGGCCAGTGACTGCCGAGGCATGAGCCACAGCATCAGTTGAGGGCTGCGCCATAGTGATGGGGGAGTGGAGTCTCCGTGCTTGTAGGTGTGCTAATTGGCACACCGAGGAAGAGCGACGGATCAGATAGAACGAGCGATTCATGAGTTTTGGCGCATTAACCCCAGACGCGTTAAGGAATTTGGGGAAAGAGGGGAGCCGACACGTGATCCGGAGATAGATAGCGCGCTGCCTTGTAGACCGAGCAACATGGATGTCATCATATGCAGCAGGTTGCACTACTTATCTATGAGAGAGTTGAATGGTTATTCTAATCCAGGTCCAATATAGAGCTTGTGTTTCATCCATCAAAATGGATAATGTGTAACCCAAAGGCTCCCTCCGCGGATATGACGCCACTGTACATGTACCTTATCGATAACCTAATTGGGACTAGTGCATCCAAAGAGTGGCCTCGACCGCTGACTCAGCACTTTGGTTGCGGGCAATGTGCTTCAGCGGTTCAAGCCCGCACAATCTTACTGACACTTTGACGGCTTACACTGGTTGCGCAAAGATGGATTTATCCCATCTCACACGGCCTGGCATTTTATGCCAGTGTATTCGGTGCTCCAGCTCACTGGCTGCACTGGAAAATGAATGGGCCAAGTTATCGAACGCCTATTCAATCCCGACAGCATGGCTTAGTGTCGACCTCCATCGCATCGCTGTTTCTTCAGAGCGGAAGCAAATCCCCCACACCTCGGATATGACACTTCTTCGTGGCCGCGTCATTCAGGAAGTATCATGTAAACTTTGTCAGCAACGGATGGGAGTCCTTTGCCCGCTCGACAATGGGTATGTGGCTGTTGATAAAAAAAAACCCCTCACACTTTTCATGGCTAATCTGTTTATAGGATGAATATTCTGTGGAAAATGTCGAAAGTCGCCTTTAGGGAGATCGTTACCATGCGAACAGTGCAGCCTGTATTCAAGCAGGGGGCGCTCGAACGACTGATTTGTCCCCCCGAAAGAACCTCCGCGCCGAAATTCCGACCATGTGCAGGGCAGTGCACTGGTGCCAGCTGGCTGCACCGACCCCACAACCCTTGATCCATCCATGCAAAAGCAAATGCTCCACCAGGGCCGAAGCATCGATCAGATTTCGAACTCAGTGAACCACCTCCAGGACACTATGTCAGATCTAAAACATTCATTTACAGCACTTCGAATCGAGCTGAATGGACCAGGCCGAAATCTGGGGGAAGGCTCCGCACTTCAGGGACATGATTTTGACATGATTGCTATGGTGCTCAAGGAGCTCAAATCCAAGTCTGATGAGATCGAGAAATTGAAGTTGGAGATTGAGGCCCTGAAGTTGAAGAATCGCTACATGGGAGCGACCCTACCACAACAGCAGGAATCATTATCGATCATGAACACGAATGCTGCGCTCCCTGAAGTTCGGAGCCCTGGCTTGCTCCAAGCCGGCCGGAAACGTAACTGGCCTGACGCATTCCCGGGCGATCGCAGTCAGGCGATCGCAGACTCCTTCGATGAAGATGATATGGTGGATGAACTGTCGCTTTCAGATCCACCCACAAACAATTCGCGCATTCCCCTGAATGACCAACCCCAACCTGCAAGTGCCCATGAGCCACTAGCGGAGGAGCAACTGAGGTCCCTAGAGGTGCAGATGCCTTCTCGAGAGCCTCAGGATGCCTCTAACTCTTTTCAGACACAACTCTACAAGCCGCACCAAACCATAACCAAGCGCCCGCGCCTAGGTGCGCCGGCTGAGGATAATTCCCAAACAGCCCATTCACAGCCGCAAGCTGTCCCTCAAAAAAGACCGCCCGGCAGACCAAGGAAATCGATCAGCCACCCTACCCTCGCCGGTGCCACAGAATCGCCTAGTACTTCTCCTTCTATTATGCAGGAGGATGTCGAACCATACGGACAACCAAACACAGTACGACGTCGCACATCTCGTCGCAGCTTGCGTGCACAATCCCTCGGGCCAAGTCTCAACGACAAAGATAGTCAAGAGGATCAGCAAAAGTCACAACAATTGATTAACCCTCCTCTTGAGACTCACCCAGCACCCAACAAAAAGAGCAAACGTAATACTGGTTCTCCCAATGGAAAACGAAATGGTGGTCTGGATGATGAGGGAGATGAGGCTGCTATGAATGAGAAGCGAAAAGCCAAGGTCGCGGCGCGGGACGTCATGGCCAGGTTGGCTTTGCAGCACGAGGAAGCTTTGGAGGCTGAGAATGCGCGATAAATTGTGGATGGGTACTCTTCACATCTTTGTACAATATGGGTAATAAACAGTACAGTAATTGTATTACAATGAACCTCCAAATGAAATCGATCGGTAGTTGCGCGTAGTGCCTACCTAGCCAGTCCTCCCATTTTACATCAAGTCTCCGAAAACATACGCCTAGCTCAATTTCGACAGAACAACTCGACAATGAATAAAAAGGTGAAAAGTCGGGCGGCCAGGCTCGTCATTTTGCATAAACAATTCCCGATTTCGTAGCTATCACTCAGTTGGTCAGGCTCGAATACCGTAGCTCAATTACAACACGGAGAGAAAGCGTGTGAGTATCTCGGCTCCATATATACATACGATCGGAGTGGAATTGTTGGGACAGAGGCAATTCTATATATCTCGTCACTCCCATTGAGGCGACGTCAAATGCGAGATTTGTGCATTGTGTACATTCTGATATGTTTTTCAACGGCTCTAGAAAGAATGAAGAATTGATTTTGTTCATTATCCTTACTTGGTAGTTAAGTCATTGATTCAAAGACGTTTATTGAAAAGGGGAAAGTCACATAGACCAACGAGGTTGCTTGGTTAATAAGCTTCGAATGTGAACAAAAGATACTCGAACATCAAAGCTGGAATTTACACAGGCAAAACTCCCCATATATCGGTGAATTAATTGGAAACTGGATTCCTAAGCTATGCGGGAATATACCCTAGCGAGCTATCATATCTCATAAAATCATTATTTTCAGTCTGTAGTGTCCCCCTAAGTGATGTTGCGGGTTCACTAGCGAGTTGGGATGAAGTGCTTAGAATCATCCTGTTGTTGGCTGAAAGACTCGGGGAAAGCTGCGATCCCACCAATGATGCCGACAGCCATGAAAGCAAGAGAGATGAGAGACCAGATGACTCCCCAGCACTGAGAAGATCCTCCGTATCTCTTTGCAAAGACGCTGGCATCGGAGCTGTTGACTTTGCGAAGGATGAGATCGTCGCACTAGAGGCAGGTTATTAGCGACAGAAATAAAACAAGTCTGGGCGGTACTTACAATATCCCAAACACTGTACAAAGCAGACATGACACCAATAAACAGCTGTAGAATAACATATTAGCATATGTAAGTGGGGCGAATCAAATTATCAGACATACCACGACCCAGCGCAAGGCTTCACCATGGGCAATGAACCAGCATGCCACCAACAACCCGACCGCAAGAAGAATGGTCATGATGGTCAACCAGTCTCTGCGTGCCCACCAGAGGGTAAGCAAGAAGCAAATACCGAGGATGATGCTGGCAACCTTGCTGGCGACAATATTGAATCCAGCGAAGATCAATAAAGCCCCAATAATTGATGACCCCAGGTATCCAGCAGGTAGGGTGATAGCACTCATACCACCCTGCATGTGCGTGACACCACCTTCATGTGGGTCCAGTGAGATCGACTTTACCTTTCCACCAGTGCAACAGGCAGTAATCGCATGGCCGAATTCGTGGAAGGCAATCACCAGCATCTGTCGCGAGTTAGTCGCAGTTGGCTTATACAGGGCTGGGAGATTTACCTTGAAGGGCCATAAAACCCAACGGACATATGGTAGATTCCATAGTAGTGCGATGACCACCACGTACGCTCCCATCACCCCTAAGGTGACGGCTTGGGTATGGTTGACACTCAAGCCACGCCGGGCCAGTTGGTGCGGGGCCGTTTCCACCGCGCTGTGGGCTAGCGCTGCATATAGGGCTGGCATAGTGAGCGATATACAGGCTTGGAAAATTAAGAATCAGCAAAACGCAGACTTCTGAGATGACTGCGACGCAGGTGGAAATTATTTAATAGTCAACCATTCGGAAGATCATCCACGCGTCCCTATAGAAACGCGCATGCCACTTGTTTTGTGGCGTATGTGGCTGAGGGCTATTTTTAGCGCCTTGGCCATTTAGGCGGAAAGGTTTCATACTCTTTCATCTCCTGTCTATCAAGTTATCAAAATATTGGCAGACAAATTCGCAGATATGATTATGACATACCACTGTGAAAGGAGAGAAAAGCTCAATTATCATACCTGCCAAGATTTGGGAGGAAGATGGGTTTGATGTATCAAATGTTAGCAACATTCCAAGGGCTACTACAGTATACACCTTGCATCTTTGGTTGCTCTTTATCCACCCACTAACCGTTTAATCTCAACCAATGGTTATGCTTGACACTCAATCAAATGAGGCGACAAAATGAGTATTCTAGGACGTACAGCATTACGACTCTGGTTTCAGACGTTGAATCTTCCACGACAGTCACACATCTCATGGCACCGATCTCGACTTCGGGAGGAACTATGTGAACGTCGATTTGCAGAGACAAGTTGGAAAAAGCTCAGTGAGACTTCAGATGTTCTGTTCTCGATCACTCGTGCCCGATACGATGAGGTTCCGACGCGGGATCCGTCTTGCTTGGCCGGCATCCACTGCACCCCGATTTATATGTACATGATAGCAAAGTACACATCGCGATGGTCGTTTTTCAAAGTGGCTGCTCTCTTCTGTAAGGCTCCGCACTGGAACCGGGTACATGAAGTGGTGAACCCCAGCAAAGATCACAAACTTACCCAAGTGGCTTCCCGCCATAAGATTGATCAAACGGAGTTTCAGCGAGTTAGCCATCAGCTGAGGCGCATCTGGCCACTATTGCCTTGAATAAGAAGTTATGGTGGCAGGATGACACATGGTCTGATAGCCTTTTGAGTGACATACTCTGCATCCTGATCCACTTTATTTGTCTCCTTTGCCTCTGGATAGAAGGCTCAGGCTGAGGCTATATCAGCAAACATTTTGATTCTCAAAGATCTGGAAGAGCAGATTCTTTCAAGTTGACCCCCCTCTTTGAACAGCATTCGGATCTTCATTTAAAACCTAATCGTCAACCGTATTTCTTACTTCACCTTCACACATTCGATATCCACCACGGAACCATACAAAATGATGGACGACAGGGACGTTTTTCAGATTAACCAGCCACTATCCTATCAAGTTGGTCATGCTCATCCTCGCAAGCCAGTCATAATCGGTCTCTATGGCCTCCCTGGATCTGGGAAGACCTTTTGGTTAGAGGAGCTTAAGACCGTCATCAGAGGCGACGAATTTGCCTTCTATGATGGCAGCGGTGCGATTTCAGCAGTTACTCCAGGGGGTCTTGAAGGATTTCAAAATTTGACGAAAGAGGCCAAAACCGAGTACCGCCAGCAGGCTATAGCCAGAATCAAGCGGGAATGTTGCCACACAAGAAAGACTGCTATCGTGGGTGGACATTTTATGTTCTGGCCAGAGGAAGACGAGAAAGGTGACTCGGTTTGTACACCGGCGGATCTCGCAACATACACCCACATCCTGTACCTGGATCCCCCTGCCGAGCTCATCGCGGAGTACCGTTTGAATGACGCCAAACGGATCCGTCCAACTGCATCAACCTCCCATCTGGCCAAGTGGAAACAGACCGAGAAAAATGAACTTCGTGATATTTGCAGACATCATGACATTCTTTTTGCACCAATTTATCCAACTCTAGAATCCGTGAGCTCCCTCATTTGTGATTTTCATCACCACACAGATACATATAACATGGATCTCGCCAAACAAAAGATGGACGAGATACTTGGTGAGTACTCTGCGCTAGAAACTGTCATCGTCATGGATGCAGACAAAACCCTGTCCCAGGAAGATAGCGGAGTACTATTCTGGAGGAAACAAGTCGGCGCTGCGTCGACTGCGGGAAAGGATAACGGGCCTTTGAAATCTTTGTTCGGCGGCCCCCTCGGATATTCCTATACTTCTTTTCGGCAGGCTACACTGCTGTGTGAAGAGGCTGCTAGTGACGAGGAATTCGAGGCTTGCTGTCAGGATGTATCATCAATGGTAGATATGCATCTTGATATTGTTAGCGTTTTACAATTGGTTCGCGAAACAAGACATGTGCGCGCAGTTGTGGTAACTTGTGGGATCCGGTCTGTTTGGGAGAAGGTCCTTGAGAGAGAAGGCCTCTCGGAGACAGTCAAAGTGATTGGCGGCGGAAGAGTGGCTGACGGTCTTGTTATCACACCCTCTGTCAAAGCTGAATTGATCAATTACTTGCAGACCACTCGACATCTTCATGTTATCGCTTTCGGTGATAGTCCTTTGGATTTAGCAATGCTGCAAGCCGCAGACCAGGCTGTCGTCGTCACCGGCGAAGAATCGACCCGAAGCAAGAGTATGGAGAAGCAACTGGCAGAGGTCATTGGGAAGAACGGGTTCCAGCCGTGCCAGGTACTTCTGCCTTTACATGCAAAACCACGACTGGACACTACTCGGCTTCCCCTGGTTCGATTGACGGATCAACAATTTATCAATCCAGTTATGGCCAGACATGAAAGTCAAAGTCTTCGTGTTCTTCATGCTACAGAACGTTCCTCAGCCAAATTACTGATGACACCAATGCGCGATGCATCCGTTTCCGGCCCTGCATTACGAGAAGCTCATCGGCGAGTGGGTTGCTATTTGGGCACAGAACTCTGCACCCGAATCATAGGACTCGAATCATATCCCACTCAGCACGTGCAAGGACACAAGACTGACAGTTATCGACTGCTAGATGAGAAAAAAACATTGATTGTGCCGCTGATGCGTGGCGGTGAACCGATGGCCTTCGGGGTCAACGACGCTTTTCCACTCGCAATGTTCCACCACGCAAGGCTTCCCACTGATCTTCAGCATAACCACTTGAAGGATATGGTCACAATCATATTGGTCGACTCAGTTGTCAACAGTGGCAAATCGGTCTTGGCGTTCGTCCACCATATCCGAAGTCTCCATGGGACGATTCGCATTGTAGTCGTTGCTGGAGTGATTCACTCCCAAACTGTATCTACCAGCAAGACTGCCCGAGAATTTGGCCGAGTTAGGGAACTGTCTTTTGTCGCCCTTCGTCTCTCGGACAACCAATTCACCGGTAGAGGGACTACCGATACCGGTAATAGATTGTTCAACACAGTGCATTTGCCCTGATCAGGCTGGGTTACTACAACAGTTATTGTCTCTTTAAGCCATGCTTACCAAAATACTGCTTTTCTTCATTCGATTTGTCCCAATATGTAGCATCTTCAAATTGAAATTTCTTGAATCTTCTAGAATATGGTTTCTTTGAGGGATGTGCAAGTCCAGAGGCTCCCAACACTCATTTCAAATATAGATCAATGGTCCTTGACAAAAACGAAGTTCTTCAAGGAAAGGAGACATATACAATGGGAAGGTGTCGCTTCCTGCCAATGCCAACAAACCCCGCATTCAAGAGGTTGGAACGTCAACTTCTCCCTTGCAAGATGCATATCTTGTAGAAGAACCAATTTCCTCCCGACCCTCAGTTATCCAAAGTCTAGGAATGTAACGAAGCGAGAACATATTTTTGGTCAAGCTAGCAAGCGCTCCTGTATCAACATGCTTGGTGCGCTCCCAGTCCTCCTACTTCTCCCGGTAGGCCTTGCAGGCAACACATACTCCCAACCAACAAAGGAGACCAATACAAATACAACTTATCACAATAATGCCGGTGTCCTCAAATTTGTCAACCCCCTCATTGGCACCTATGGAACAACACCGAATGGCAACGGCGGCATGATCCCATCCGTCAGTCCCCCTTCGGTATGACCCGCTGGACACCACAGACCCGCGAGAATTTCATCTCACAAGTACCCTACGGTGACAGCGATCGTCTTATTCATGGATTCCAGGCAACACATCAACCGGCAATTTGGATGGGCGAGGCGGGTCAAGTCGTATTGACACCAGGAATCGGTGAAGTCCAGCCACTGTTCCAGAATAGAGGTTTGCAGTTCCGGAAGAAGAATGAGAGGAGTACGCCGTATGTTTATGAGGTCCTGGTTGATGCTGCCCAGCTTTTGGGACGTAACTGGAATGCGACGGCGGAGGCTGTGGGCGATGGGCCTGTTCCCGGTGGTGCGGGTTCTGTCCCAGATGATGTCAAAGATGGCGCCAATGGCCGGACGCGAAAACGGCAGGTCGAGTCTGTATTGAGTAGTCCAGATGACGGTGACTATGATCAGTCCATTCAGGTATTTTTATTGTTTTGTTAATCCCGTGGAATGGTTTCTGACGGGTTTCAGATTGCCATGTCTGCAGATTCTCATGTGGGCCATCTTCGATTCGACTTTCAATACAGCAATACATATGTTCATGGTGAGAATCAGCCTTGGGTATTCATTCAAGCGTCACGTCGGAATTGGACAGGCGAGGTTCATATTGATGAGAAGAGTCGGGAGGTCTACGGATATAACACTGAGCGTCAGGATTACCTACTCGGACCGGACAAAGCACCATCGTTCAAGGGGTACTTTGTTTCCCGCTTTTCTGAGCCGTTTGTTGAATTTGGCGTTACGAATGGAGGTGAAGTAATTAAAGATGAAGCCCAGCGACACGGAAACTTCACTGGTGCATACGTGAAATTTGCCCACTCAACATCGCGTGTCGAAGTGCGCACTGGTGTTTCGTACATCAGCGTCGCACAAGCAAGAAGGAACCTCGAGATCCAGACTCCAGATGAGCACAGCTTCGAGGATACCATTGAGAAACTGAAGTCAGCCTGGCTCGAAAAATTAGGCAGGGTATCCATTGAGGGCGTCAGCAAGACTGATCGGAATAATGATCCTCGCACTATCTGGTATACCGGCTTGTTCCATGCACTTCAGTATCCTAGTGACTTTTCTGAGCCAACGTCAAAGGAAGATAGCTCCCTGCGCACTTTCTACTCAGGTTATACCGATAGTGTTCACACTGAGCGCGACTCATACTACCAATCCTGGTCAATTTGGGATACATACAGAGCGGAGCACTCACTCTTGACCCTATTCGCGCCGGAACGGGTAAACAGCATGATGCGCTCGCTACTACGCATCTTTGACTGGTCCGGTTGGCTGCCGATGTGGGCCAATTTGATTGAGACAAATATCATGATTGCGACCAATGCAGACGTGGTCCTTGCAAACGCTCTAGAGCGAGGATTTAGGGGGTTCGATATTGGCAAGGCTTGGAGAGCCGTCAAGAAGGATGCATATACCCCCCTGATCACGACACCGATACTCTGTACTATGACCGTGAGGCCGGCACTTCATATGAAGCCCGTGCAGGACTCACATCATATATCCAGCAAGGCTGGGTATCGAATGACGGCTGGTCTGAGGCTGGTAGCCGCACGTTGGATTACGCATTCAATGATTACGCCTGTTCGGTTGTTGCTGCCCATTCGGGAGAGGACGACGCCACCGTGCAAGCCCTTGAGAAGCGAAGCAGAAACTACGCGTATCTTTGGAACAACAAAACTCAATTCATGCAATCTCGCAATGGGAATGGGAGTTGGGCAGATGCCACCTTTGGATGGACGGAAGGAGATGACTGGGTGTACACGTTTGACGTGATGCATGATGTGAAAGGACTAGCTGAGCTTTTTGGTGGCCGTCAAGCCTTCCGCGAAAAATTGGATGCGCATTTCCAGGGTGGTCACAATGACCATACTAACGAGCCAAGCCACCATGTACCGTATTTATATTCTATGCTCGGTTATCCAAACCAAGCAGCTGAGGCAATCAGGGACATTGCTTGGGCCAACTACAATGCCACCAGTGGTGGGCTCGGGGGAATGAAGACTTGGGACAGATGAGTGCTTGGTATGTCTTCTCCGCATTAGGATTCTATCCCGTCAACCCTGCCAGTGATGCGTATATTGTTGGCACACCGTTCTTTGAGGAGGTCTCTATCCGCCTACCTAGTGAAGCGAGAACAGGTGGAAAGGTTGCGAATGGCCGAGAGCGGACACTCATAATTAGCGCCCCAGGGGCACCTACCAAGCCGTATATTGGCGGTCTAAGGGTTGATGGGAAGCGTATCAATGTTCCGACTTTGAAACACAGCCAAGTTGTGAATGCGGCAAGAATTGAGTTTGAGATGAGTGCTACGCCCACTTCGTGGGGATGTCGCCCCTTGTGGGAATCTTGATACTGGCACGTTCAAAATCACCTGAGAGATGGGAGTCCAGATGTAACAGCCCAGCTAGGCCCTTATGGCTCTGAGACAATTGCAATACCGGTTCATATTCCGTTAGATCTCGGGAAGCTGTTGGTATCGTATTGCAAACTTCATTTCTCAGGGCAAACTCGGCTCTCTGAATACATCGCCACAGATACCCTGCTAGTTCGATCCTTCGGCATATCAATATCGTGTAGTGTGTTATTCAAAGAACTCGGTCGCTGGCAATAATTCCAACCCCTCATTGATTCTGCATCACCTCATCCTCATGCTCTGTTGCAAAGTATTGCGCCATAGTACCCTGCCGCGTCGGTTTGCACACACAATCCCTTGGCCAGTGCCTTGGCCATTGACAGAGTTCAACATTATCAAGTCTCTAACTGGTCGCGATTTAGTTGTCCCCTTTATCCCTGCAACCCACTAGGTATCGAGATTATATCGCCCTGTCCATTGGAAGCTAGTATCCACAGCCCCAAAGATTAGACCACGCACCTAGGCAATGCTAGCCGAAGCGGTAGATTTTAAGGTGAACGCCACAAGGGTCAGAATTCCCATCGGTCATTCCGTCCGATCACATCATTGTAGTTCCCGATGAGGTCTGTCACACCCCTGACCCCCGGCCAAGTTAATGTGGAGGGTCCGAGTTCAAGAACACTATATGTACACTGCAAGTCGCGCCATGTGTGTAACTGATAGTCACCCTCTCAGCATTCTCTGCTTGCATTCATAATGGGTCTTCCGTCTCCCGTGCGGGAATATACCGATCCGCTCCCCCAATATGACAGCAGCGACAATGATAGTCTGAAATATACCACCGAGGTGGGTGGAAACACCTCCAAGGCCACATACCAGGAAGCATCGGGAGCGCCCGTTGAGGTCAATTCCCCGCTGGGGTATTCGGTTGGTTGGATAACGGTGGTTTTCTTGAATCTGAGTAAGATGATTGGAACGGGTGTTTTTTCAACGCGTGAGTATAACTCCACAGTCTCTGAATTATTGTGAAAACATGCTTATATACATTAGCATCAACCGTCCTTAAAGGCGCTGGCTCCGTTGGTCTAGCGCTGATATATTGGGTAATTGGGTACTTGATGGCATCGAGCTCTCTATCGGTCTACATGGAATTTGCGTCATGCTTCCCAAGTCGGTCTGGCTCGGAGGTCGTCTACTTGGAACAGTCATATCCCCGACCAAAGTTCTTCTTCCCTACCATGTTTGCGATGCAGATGGTGCTGTTCTCATTTAGCAGCAGCAACGCCGTTGGTATGAGTACATTGCGGGTGTATAACGGTGTGAGGATATACTGACTTTCGATAGTGTTGGCACAGTATCTCTTCAAACTCGCAGACTCTGATTTCACGCCGTGGAAGTTGAAGGGAGTTGCCATCGCCTGCTATACTGTGGCAGTACTGGGTAAGTAGTAATGAATATGGCTGTGCAATATGTGCTAATAAGCCTCCCATAGTTCTTGCGTTTCATACGAGGTGGTCTCTGAGACTCGCTAATGCCATCGGGCTTGTCAAGCTGGTGACATTAATATTGTGCGTATTGACCGGCAAGATAATAGCGACATGAACATCTTCAGCAAGCAGGGCTAACTCAAACATAGCATCGGAATAACTGGTTTGGTAGTTCTCGGGGGTCACACATCAGTAAAAGACCCCAAGGCAAATTTTAGGAATGCCTTTGAGGGTACTGGTGCCGCGACAGCCTATGGAGCAACCAATGCATTGACCAAGGTGTGGTTCTCTTTTGCGGGTTACGAGAATGCCTTCAACGTCGTCAATGAAGTCCGGGTATGTACTTCACATGATGGTGACAAATCTGTTGCTAACTCGTATCAGAATCCCACTAAAACCTTGAAATGGAGTGCTCCTCTCTCACTGGGACTGACTGCAGTTCTATACATGCTGGCAAACATTGCGTATTTCAGCGCTGCGACTAAAGAGGAAATCCTAGAGTCGAAGGTCGTTGCTGCTGGCGTCTTTTTCGAGAAGGTGTTTGGAAATGGGCGTGCTACTTCGGCATTGAATTTCCTCATTTGTGTAAGCGCTTTTGGAAATCTCCTTGCTGTGCTTATAGGACAGTCTCGTATGTTGAGAGAATGTGGAAGGTTAGTGACGGTATGTGTCTTTTGGGAGTATCGTTAACCCGTTGCTTGAAAATACATAGACAAGGTGTGTTGCCTTTTACTTCATTTTGGACTTCGACATGGCCATTCGGAACACCGCTGGGTCCATACTTTGTGAAATGGGCATTCACTGTGGTGATGATTCTGGCGCCACCTGCCGGTGATGCATTCAACTTTGGTATGATATTGCCCTTTTCGCATATGCTGTTTGGCCGCTATGCTGCAAGTAAAGACACACTTTACTAATTCAGGGCACTAGTTGTTGACCTCGGAGTCTACGCGACAAGCTTCTTTGGGTCGCTACTCACGATTGGTCTGGTGGTCACTCGGATTCGTCGTGTCCGCCTGAATCTCCCAGAGCCGGAATACAAGGCCTGGCACGTTACGGTGGCGTTTGCGATTCTCTCGAACTTGTATATGGTCGTGATGCCTTGGTATCCTCCCAGTACCGGTGCCCATGGGGGCGATGTGAGCTTTTGGTATGCAATATATTGCGCGGTTGCTCTTGGAATGTAAGTTGCTCTTGTCTTGCTCAAGCCTTGGAATATATAACTGACTCGACGAACTATCGATACAGTATCGGGCTATGTGCAGTGTATTATTACGTCTGGATCAAGCTCCTACCTAAAATCCAAGGATTCAAGTGGGAGCAAACGGTTCTCACATTGGATAATGGTGCTGTGGCACATCAGCTTATCAGGGTACCTAAACGGAATGTATGAGGTATGTGAACAGTTGACTGATAGGTGACTGGTATTGGTATACGGAGTATACTAGCCTAATTTGTTCATATACATAATCTCAGTCCAAGTCGATATCCTTGTGATATACCATTTTAGTGTCTAAGACGTGATCACGGCGTGGAGTCCTTCGGGCCAGGGCCGATCTGTTCCTTTTCCCTCCAGATGTGGGATGATGTACACACCATACAAATGCGATGGCAGGCAGATTGCTTTGAGCTATGAAGAGCTATGAAGAAGCCGAAGTTATTCCGACAATATCCCATCATGAGTGTCTATCGTTCGGAAGGGTAATATCGCCTTGCCGAAGGGGTACGACGCGATGAGCCGACGGCGCGGTCGGCTACGGAGCCTATTTCTCCGTCAGCTTTCGGCATGGCCAACGACGTAAGGTTATACAACTAGCTGATCATCACTCGATAAATGGATGGTATCATATTGATTGGCCCAGAATTACACACTGCCGACGGATACTAATTGCAACGAGCACCAAGTGGGACCGACTCCGCCTCAGATGCCATCCAACGATTCTGCAGACCGTAGTGCGGTAACCATGCAGCTTTATAAGACAATCCCTCACAAGATGGGTGCACTTCGCTCCGAGCAAAGTCTCATTCCAAGATGCGCATCCCCAGCCTTTCGCTCTGGGCTTCTCTCGCAGCTCTGTGTTTTGGAGCACATACTCCATGGGATCTAGGTAATGGCTTTGAACTTACGGTAAATGAGAACTCCAATGCTTTGACCATTGCCAACCATGGTCGATCCATTTGGGAGTCTGTACCGGGTCAGGCATTCCTCAGTGCTAGCGCAGGAAATGACGAGGTGATCGCCGCCAATGGTAACTTCAAGATCAATGAAGTAGACCGAAACAAGTGCACTGGCCAGAAGATAAGCGACGTTGCTATTAGGTCGTGGCACGATAGCAAGGATGGTCATGCTGCAGTGGTTCAGGGTCATCTCACCGACTGTGGTGATGCCACTCCTCATTTCTCTGTTGCTTTCTGGGTCCCATCGCAATTTCCCGATCGAGTCGCCTTCAGTGTCAAAGTCGACCCTGGAACTTCCGCAGATACGGCAACAAAGCTATACCTGACATACCGCTCTTCTTCATCTGAGGATTTCTACGGATTCGGTGCTCAGGGATCGTTCGCTTCTTTCAAAAACCAAACCGTGCCCATTTTCTCACGCGAGCAAGGTGTCGGTCGCGGCGACCAGCCAACAACCCGACTTGAAAATGAGGACAGCTTCTTTGCCGGAGGAGATCAGTTCACAACATACACCGCAGTCCCACAGTATATCAGCTCGAAATCCCGGGTGTTCCACCTAACAGAAGAGAGCTCTGCCTACACTACCTTCAATCTCACCGACCCTGCTGCTGTCACTGTGCGATATGGTGCCCTGACAATGAGCGGCTACTTTATGCAAGCCGAGAACATGCTCAACGCTATTTCTGTGCTTACCGATTATACCGGGAAGATGGCCGCGCTGCCTGAGTGGGTTGACACCGGGGCCGTGCTTGCTATTCAAGGCGGGCAAACCAAGGTGGACCGGATCGTGAACCAAGGCCTGGAACTTGAATGTCCTATTGCTGCAGTCTGGCTCCAAGATTGGTCTGGCACACACTCCCAGAGCGTGTCCTATATGTCGCTGAATGTATCTCGTCTTTGGTGGAACTGGGAATCTGATAAAACACTTTACCCGGAATGGAACGAGTTTGTGCAGTCCCTGCGGGATCAGTACAACGTCCGTACTCTGGCGTACATAAATCCATTTTTGGCGAACGTCAGCACAAAGCCTAATGGCTACCGCACGAACCTTTACGACGAGGCAAGCCACGGTCATTTTACGATCCAAAACTCCACCACCAATAGCACATCCGTCATTTCCAGTGGCCCCGGCCTTGATGCTGGTATTCTTGACCTTACCAACATCGCAGGACGATTGTGGTTCAAGAAAGTCATGCTGGATCAAGTTTGGAGTGCCAATATCTCTGGATTCATGACGGACTTTGGCGAATACACCCCTATCTACCCCGACACCCAGTTTTACAATAAGAGCATTGATCCATTCTTCTACCATAATGCCTATCCCCGCGAGTGGGCTGCCCTGCACCAGTGGATTGGAAAGAATGTGTCTTCGTTCTCCGACGCCATCCTATTCCACCGCTCATCCTCAATGGCAGCTAACCGGCATATGAACCTATACTGGGCAGGCGACCAGAATACAAACTGGGGCCTCAACGATGGAATCAAGGCCGCCGTGACTGTCATGGGCCATATGGGTCTGTCCGGTTATGCCCACGGGCATATGGAGATTGGTGGATACACAACTACCTGGGACGGTAATGGTGTTGTCAACCGGTCTTCTGAACTGCTCGGTCGCTGGGGTGAACTTGCCGCCGTCTCGAGTGTAGTCTTCCGTACTCACGAGGGCAACGTCCCCCATGTCAACGCCCAATTCTACACTAACTCTACCACCTACTCTTGGTTCAGTTACAACGCGCGCATGTTTGCCAGCCTGGCGAGATATCGTCGTCGTGTCTTGGAAACCGAAAGCAGAAACCTGGGCTGGCCACTGCTCCGTATGCCTGTCCTCTATCATTCGGATGACGAGATCGCTAAGGCAATTAGCTACCAGAGCTTCTATCTGGGCTCTGATCTGTATGTCGCACCGGTGCTGGACCCAGGCCGCACTAGTGTGGAGGTTTACCTCCCTGGTAAGAATGAAGTTTTCACCCACGTTTGGTCTGATATGAAGTACCGTGGGGGTCAGACTGTGTGTGTCTCCGCACCGTATGGTAAACCGGCGGTGTTCGTCGTTGGTACTCCGAAAAACAATGATTTGGAAGATTTCCTGCAGTTTGTCCGCCAGGAGAATGGCACCGTTATCCACTTCTAGCCCTTCCAAACGATGTGAGTAACGTCTACAACCCTGCTTGGGCAGTGCATTTGGGGCTCAAACGGGTGGAGGGAAGTATCTGGGCCGAGAGCAGATCCTGGTATGCCTAGGCTCGGCCAACATCTGAAGCTGGCCCACCATCGTCTACGAAGATTATGTCAATGTGGAAGAATTATTACCTGAAATACCGCTGTATAATCCCAAAAAAAACTCGGAGTATTAGTTACTTAAATTCCATAGCTTTGGCCTTCCAAAAGTATATGCCCTTACTTCAATTTGTAAATTTATTCCAACTTCCCTTTTATATCGGTATGAGAATATAAGTCATGACCACTTATACAACCTTAAGGGCTTTTTAATGGTCTTTTCAATGGTCTTTTCAATGGTCTTTTCAATGGTCTTTTCAATGGTCTTTTCAATGGTCTTTTCAATGGTCTTTTCAATGGTCTTTTCAATGGTCTTTTCAATGGTCTTTTCAATGGTCTTTTCAATAGTCTTATTAGTGGTCTTTTCAATGGTCTTTTCAATGGTCTTATTAGTGGTCTTCTGAGAGAGCTTTTTTAGAGATCTGAGGATAGCTTTTGGCTAACGATATAAATCAAAGTGATCAAGACTTCGACCAATCGAGGCCTTATGTCATTCTTTGGTCTATATGAATATTCTATACCTCTTCTACTGGGATAGTCGGGGAATAGAAGTCACCCGAACCTTCGAACGGGTGCTTAGCTGTTCTACGAGGTCGTTGCCAGAAAGTGAGATATAGTTTGGATATGACGTACCGAAGCGAAAACAACACACCTACCTAGGTAGTAAGCTTTTCCTTTTATGTCAACGGAGATATACCTTGAAGCATGGATCACGACACTTCCCTGATGTATCGTTGAGATGCTGTGAGTCCAACTTCCATCCAGTCTTCATGACCTATCTCGTTACATTAAACACCAGCCATTAAATTTATTGCTGATCCCTCATTATCTTCCTTCCTACTACGTTTTGGCAGCTAACTTCTTCTTATTTTACTCTATACGAGAAGACTGTCACTACGTCTAGGAAGTACCTACGTCGTGTTTATCACACAGTACTGGTGGATCTCATCGCAGTGAAGGTTATTTACTAGGTCATTCATTTCTCAATTCACTTTGACTCTCACTTCACTTTGACTCTCACTTCACTTTGACTCTCACTTCACTTGACTCTCACTTCACTTTGACTCTAGATTCCTATCTATTCTTATTTCCAACTACCAATCCATCAATCTTCGCCAAGTAACCGACCCCTTCTCATTCTCTTCTTTCGATCAATCTCGCTTGTTTTCTTTGCACGCAAATTGCTTCCACAGGGATTTGTCAAACTCGACTACCATGACATCTCCTACGTCAAAGATACCGACTACTCCAATCCGACGAAATTCACCAACCGCATCGTCGTCCCTATGTTGTAAAATATTGCCTTCAAAAATCCCAGTTCGCGTGAACTCGAAGAAAGTGGCTGTGTCAGCCCTCAAAGCTGCCCTAGAAACTGCAGTAAGAGCGAAAGAAACCCGTTATTCAAATATACTGGCAATTGCTGTGCGCTGGGATGATGATGATACCTCTGCAAAAGCAGACAATGAAACATTTACTGCCATGATGCGTGACATGTTTGACATACCCTGCAAAACTTTGGTGCTTCAAAGCCAGAGTCAGTTCCCTGCCTGGGACCTGAATGTGCAGCTCGTGGATGAAATTAAAGCGAAGCTCAAGAACCAGAAACCCTCTCTTCTCATATTTTCCTATGCCGGTTACGGGGCTATCAATGCTCTGGACGAGCTGTCCTTCTCCAACCGTGGAGGCAAAAAACTAGTTTCATGGACTGCAGTGCAACATCATTTGACTCCTCATGGTTTACCCATGGATATTTTTGCTATCCTCGATTGCTGTCATTCTGGGAAAGCAACCATTAGCTCCCAGAACTCCACGCACACGTTAGCTGCGTGCGGGTTGACCGTATGGGCAAGATCGCGCACGTCTGGTATCTCCTTCACACAGAGACTTGTACGAGCAATTCGACCTATTTTCAATTCAGACAAAGTGGCCATTTCGACTGACGAGATATTCCACGCAGTGCAGAGGGAAACTCCAACTGGTTTGGATATGCCTCGATTCTCGTGTCACAGTGGAGTAAAGCCAATCGTGTTACCGTTCAAAGTCGCAGCTACTTCTGGTTCTGGAATTCCTTCTTCGGCAGCTTCGTCACCAAGCCATAAGACCAGCCCAATAACTTCTCTGACTCCAAGAATATCGCCCCTGGCATCCCAGAATCGAGAATCACAGGTTCTCATTATGCTGATCTTAGAAGGGCGAGCGACGGGAGTTGTACGGGATTTCCAGAGAGTGCTCGAAACAATGCCTGCGAAGTTCCAGATGAAAATAACTGATGCGTTTGAGACCAACGCATCAGCAAGCGTGTTTGTCAGAATGACATGGGAAGCATTTGCGCGTTTTCTGTCCACCATCGACATGGAACCGTTGCTCCCAGTCGTTGGCCCCTCGCTTATGAGAGGCCAGCTTCATGAGGTTCCAATCGTTCCTGCACGAGAGAGTCCATCCTTGAGGGAAAGGGCTCAACGCAAATAACGCCCCCGGCACAATCTCTTTCTGACCTGTCTCACCTCACTTCTCTTGGCTTTTTCAGTTTGTTTTCGCTTAATACCCACAAATTATCGCTCCCCAATTCTTACTTGCTTTGCTCTCGCTCTTTGATGTTCCCTGTTCGCTTTTTTATTTGCGTTAATGTTTCTCAGTGAGCCACCGAGAATAGCAATTATACTCCTCACCTGGCTCTTACTGCGTTGTTGCATCATATGTGCTATTTCAAATTTTATTTCTGTAGATCCTATTCAAGGTAGTCAAGTGGGGCGAAGACCGCCCCAGGCTTGGGAATCATCTCGAAAATGGCATAAGTCGAACGACAAAATGATCATCGTAGGCAAGTCATCACAAACTCACCCTAGTGATATGTATCCATGGCCTAGACTGTCTCATTGATCACTACATAAATTCTTGGTCGATTGCAACTCCTTCACTCGTAGGTTGGTGGGAAAGTCGTAACTGCCATGCCACGAGCTTTCCTAAAGTGTGTCGGTTTGTTGACATCAGTGCCTCACCTCTCTCATCTTTTTAACTTCTTCGCCAATCCTCCCTCAAAATACCTCAAAGCTACATCGCTATATTGTGAGTTTTATTGACGTATCTTGTCATGCTCCCAACAGCTAATGCTAACACCTGAACTAGACACGCCTCCTCAGACTCTGCGAGCAAGCTGAAGACTTTCATCCACCTGCAAAATGCCAGCCAGTGACGCCCTCCGTACATTAAACCCCTTTCATACGATCCCATATCAAGTGATAACCATGACTCATTCTTGAATGCGACAGAACCACCTCTCACCCCGGCCGAGCGCGTGATTGTTAGATCTTACGGTGGCTGGACATCCTTCATGATAAGCTTCGGTCTCAAGCCGTGGGAGGATGATGACGCTGAGGAGGGAAAGAAAATCCTGGAGGCCCTTGCTCAGGATGACGAAGACCCTGAATGAGAGACTCACTGCTAGTCTCTCACTTTAGTGGAACGACCCAGATATGGTTGAAGGAGATCGATCGACAATAGCTTTTTTCACACCACCCACACGCTTGCGGTGGTGCTCAGTCACTCATTTTTATTCTCAGCAGTCATCTTTTTGGGTAGCGTGGGCTTGGTCACAACTATCGTTGTCTGGTGCGCGTACATAGTGCAAACCACAACTTTGAATTCCTACACATTGCGATATGTGGCTATAGCGGATTCTCCATCCAGCTGCACCCAATATGAATTCATTCAAAGCACCTCATACATTATCCAGATACGAATCCACATCTATACCTTCCTATTGTAGTTTTTTCGGTGGTTCTCTTGATGGTTTTCTGATCACTGTTTGATTAGTCTTCCGGACAACCCAGTAAAGCCCAGACCGGACTTAGTCTGGGTTGTATTTTACGACCAGCGCCCAAAACAACAACCACCACATAGTAATAATAAGACATACCAACAAAGCTCAGGAGGAAGGTCCCTATTCTAATAATACAAGCCATGGTGGTCACCTTTGAGTAAATCTATAAGTCATCTAAGCAACGGGTTGATCAAAAGCTCGGCCGCTAATGGTATTAACAGTGAGGAAGATTAGCCGACCCGCGGGCGTGCTAATATATCTAAGGGCTTATTCTCATTCTCCTTATCGGCATAGTGTTTCACTCAAATAACCCGTTCGATATACCTAAGAACCAGGAATTCAAATAATATAAGGGTATTCATCTTGAATTATGCCCGACCTACTTGCCCCAATAAGATCAACAACTCCCAGATTTTTCTCGGGGATAGTATGTGAAAACGGCCATTGGTGGTGATATACGTGGATAGAAGCACAGAAAGCCATGACCACTCTAGAGACTAAAGGGGAAACAGAAAAATCCTGCCACGTCACGATAAATGGCTGCTGCTGACGGACCTACAGGGCGAGCGAAATTCGATTCGAGAAATCGTAGCGACTTTTGTTTTCCCCAAGTATCTTGATCAACTCGCCTGTACTCAATTCAAAATCTCACATATTGGAGTCAACAATGAAGCATGTCAAAGCCCTCATTTTTGATTTCGGAAATGTCCTGTGCACATGGATCCTACCCAATGATGGCACAATTCCCCCGACAAAGCTGAAGCAAATCATGTCCTCAGATATATGGTTTGATTACGAGCGAGGTCGGTACACGACGGCCGAAGACTGCTACTCGAACCTTGAAGACCGTTTCGCTATCCGGTCTAAAGAACTTGATTTAGTCTTGGAGAAAGCGCGCAAGAGCCTGAAAATACAGTCTGCAACACTGGAGTTTCTTACAAAACTCAAGACAGAGCACCCACATTTGAGGGTCTATGGCTTGACAAATACTCCGCTCCCCGAGCAGGACTCCGTGTACTCGGTCGCTTCGCGGTGGCCTGTTTTCGATCATATATATATCTCTGGTAATCTGGGCATGAGGAAGCCAGATATTTCCTGCTACAAGGCTGTCTTACAAGATATTGGTCTTCCGGCAGAAGCTGTGGTCTTTATCGACGACTTGGCAGAGAATATCCTGAGTGCACAGTCTATTGGTATTCATAGCATTCTATTTGAGAACCACGAACAGCTCGCTCGTCAGCTTGAAAACGTGCTGGGAGACCCTGTGAAAAGAGGCACCGATTTTCTCATCGCGAACGCGAAACGAATGGACAGTGTCACCGAGAGTGGAATTACTATTCACGAAAACTTCGCCCAACTGCTCATCCTGGATGTGATTGGGAACCGGTACGTTGGATGCTCGTTCGCTTTGCAAATAGCAAGAGAAGAATGAGAGGATTGATCTGGGAAAACCTCCAGGGAACTAGTACGACTGGAAACCTGGGATAGGACTTGGAATTATTTCATCGGCAAGCCTTGTGATCGACTCATCTGTACAATTTGAATATTCACTGACCACTGCGTGGACGACTTAATAGGTCCTTCCGAGCTGACGACAGGAGACTTCCCAAACGATCTTGACACCACCTCTATTGCTCTTTCGATCATCCCGACGGAGAAGAGTGTCTTGTGGTCCGTAATGGATGAAATGCTCACATTCACCAACGAAGATGGAATTTTCATGGTAAGTTAAAAGCCTCTAGATCAAAGGCAAATGCCGCTCTTAGCCCAAAACATAGATTAACTAGATCTAGACCTACTTCGACCACTCGAGGCCCCGTGTTGATCCAGTAGTCTGTGTGAATATTCTCTACCTCTTCTGCCAGCACGGTCGGGAGATAGAAGCCGCACGAACCTTCGAATGGGTGTTGGATGTTCTACGAAATCGAGCCTACCAGGCAGGCAGTCGCTATTACCCTTCGCCAGACGTGTTTTTGTATTTCCTCACACGCTTAAGCCGCGTTGTCCGTGATGGAAGCCGACGAGAGGAGCTCCTATCACTTTTACAGCCGCGTGTCACTGAACGAATCGGTACCGATGGGAGCGTTGTGTCACTGAGCACTAGGATCCTTGCGTGTTGCTCAATGGGGATTGTCAATCACTGTGACGTGCCTAAGCTGTTGGCTCTTCAAAGCCGAGATGGTGGCTGGCCAGTTGACTGGATCTACAAATTGGGCAGCTCTGGGCTTAAGGTTGGGAATCGGGGATTAAACACTGCTCTGGCAACCAAAGCCATTGAGGCTAGCGGTGCCTATGTTGACCCTACCTTGACTGAGTCACGGGCATGGTGGCAGTTTGTGGACTGGCAGGGCTGTGATAACATGTTACCATTCTTAAAAAGGAAGGAATTTGTCATTCATTGAGAATTGCGATGACGATGATAATATGCATGTAGATCTCTGGGAATATACCCGAGAATCTCTTGCGACATCGGAGTTGGATACCTAACAGAATGGATTCACAATTTTATATCTCTTGTTGAGTCGGTTTTTTATAAGGGATGTTATACTATCGTCCCGGTTTCTATGTAATATTCTTCGCCGGTCTCGGATTTCCCTCGCCATATACCCGCTGTTATCATCGGTTTTTCAAGCCCAAACGATTTGAATTCTTCATTCACATATCTACATTCCCTATGACATCCTTCTTGAGTAGTATCTTCGTCACTATGGGTATTTGTTCCTACGGTTTGTATAGGTCTAAATTGAAAGATATCTAATAAGAATTTCCGGGAAAGTCACTTAAAACACCGCTGAAAAACTGAAAAGACTACTTAGAGAGGCTCACGGCTGTAGAAATTTTGAATGACCTTTGAGAAGACATATTCTTGGATGCTTTTCAAGCAGAGGATTGCACCGAAATGATGTCGATCAAAATTCCCTCGGTTGAGTCGCTATATCTAGCAAATAAGGTCATCTGCTGTGGGTCTCGACGCGATGTGAAGCAAACCCATCTACGCATTGAGACAGGCCTGATTTCATGTATCCGTGAAGCCCCAGTCTGATACCAAGCAATCAAAAAGATGACTAGTTCGTATCCTTGATAGGATCCTTTTCAGCATCTTCAATCTTTTTCAAAAATTCCGCCGCAGCCTTAGGGTCACCAGGAAACAAGTTCTCAACAATCATTCGGCGAGGTGAGCTACCAAGCCATTGAAACAGAGAGAAATCCCGGAATCGATCCGCACGGAATATTTCCAGGACCTCCAGCGGTTCATCGTCACTCAGGTTCTCAATGAAGTGCCCCATATTCCGAGGCACGATTCCCACATCACCGGCCATGTAATTGAACGTTCTGGCGTTTCCTTCCGCCGCAAAAATGGTCACTCGAGCGCGACCTTTCTTGAAATAGGTCCACTCATCGGCGTTGGGGTGCCAGTGCATCTCGCGCAATGCGCCTGGTGCGATTTCTAGATGGGCGGCTGCCACTGTTTTGGAAACTGGGAAGTTGGAAGAGTCCGCAATGCGGACACGACCGCCGCTTGTATCGAGAGGTTCTTGGGCGAGCAAGTGATGTGTGAATTGTTTCTTTGACTTTTTGAAGGTGGGTGGCTTTTCTTCGTCAATGCTTCCCGGGTTGGAGCCTTGGAATATATACTTCTCGGATTTCGGGATTTTGTCGAACTTGTCTGGGGACACACGGAAGTTCTCTGCCAGAACAGCTTTGGGGGTGTGAGCTGGTGACCTGGAATCAGTATTTATAGATCAGAAGATGAGACATAGATAGGTTGACATACCCAGCCAATCACTCAACAGGAAGGTGGACTCTTCAGAGAAGTTGCCATCATCGAAGATTAAAAGGAACTCTGTGCCATTTTCACCCAGACCCTGGAGTGAATGTGGGTGTCCTGCAGGGAAATACCACAAATCTCCTGCCTCCAAGTCGTCCATAAAAGTTCCACCTTCCAAATCGAGCGCAGTGACTCGTACCTTTCCAGCAAGTACAAACGCCCATTCGGCTTCTGTATGCCAGTGAAGTTCGCGAATTACCCCTTGATCAAGACGCATGTTTACACCCGCCAGTTCGCGGCTAGTGGGCAGCTCGCGGATAGTCGTTTGTCGCGTCCATCCACCTTCCTATACACGCACAATTAGATCGGCCCTGCAAAGTCAATGTGACAGCGAACATACCTCAATCCGAATATGTGAATCTGCAAAACTCCATCGCATATTAGGCATACTGCCATGGTCGGTACTTGGTGGACGAATAAGATCGGGGTTCTGGCGCTCGCGGTCTCGATTGCGCGGTCCCATCACGGTTGTTCCATCTCCATTACGGATTGGGAGTGGCCGTCGATCATCGCCGACAGTGTCGACCTTGTGATCATACGGGTCGCGATGCCCAGGAGAGAACGGCGGGTGTCCGGAAATTGGCTGTTGACCGAACAATCGCATAGAATGGCTGGCTGGTACTTGCAGTAGCCTCCGCAGGTTGTTATCCGGGGCTGGGATAGCCCATACAACCTGGAAACACACCAGGCTGAATAGGAAATAAGTAATTTGCATCATGAGTTTTGAACCGAATTAGTTACATAGAAACAAATGCAGAAATAGATTCCTAGGGGTTTTTGGAATTTCTTTGAATTGAAAGTGTTTGCTGCATCGACGTCATGACATTGCGCATTTCCCGGTCGCACATCGGGTCAACTTGTTGACTCCAGGTCGGCCGTCTGCCTCATTTGACGGCGGATGTTGTGTGGATAATCTTCGGGATGACGCAGTTATTCGTGTGCTTTGGGGTTCCCGGCCTCTCAAAACTTTCCCCTTAATCCTCCACCCCATCACCAATGTCCGAAACAGACGCGCTGCTGGGCAATGGCAGAGCCAATGAACCACGCCCATACTGGCTAGCAAAACATCTGTGCAGCGAACTCGACCCCCAATATGGCGACCTCGTGCTTTTATTCTGCTACATCATCACCGGCCTGCTCGACAGCTCCGCGGTGTTCATATGGGGCTCCTTCGTGAGCATGCAAACCGGAAACACCGTATATTTCGGACTGGGACTCGTCGGAACCGACGATGATCGTTGGATCAAATCGGGAGTCTCTATCGCGGGGTTCTGTTTAGGCTCCCTATGTTTCGCCACCTTCCACCGTGTCTTCCCGGCAAGACGCCGATGGGTCCTCTGTGCCTCGTTCCTTGCTCAAACATTCCTGGTGTCCATTGCCGCTTTGATCGTTACAATTTATCGGCCGGCTCGCGATGCGCCGTTAAGTTGGTTGGTCCTCGTCCCAGTTGCTCTCGTCGCATTTCAGAGTAGCGGGCAGGCTGTAACAAGTCGTGTTTTGAACTTTGGCGGTTTGACTAGTGTTGTTCTTACTAGTATTTATTGCGACCTGTTTTCGCACCCCGACCTTCTCACTAGAAAGGTGGTTGGGCATACTGAAGAGATGCGGCGGCTTGGTGCAGTCTTGTGCTTGTTGTTCGGGGTGGTCTTGGGGGGTCTCTGGGCTCATAGCGCCGTGGGCATGATGGGAGCTTTGTGGACCGCAGCAATTCTGAAGTTGTTGATTGTTGTTGCGTGGCTGTTCTGGAAAGGGAAAAATGAGGCAGATACGGAATGAGTTTTATATCGGAAGATCACACTCCCATATAAGTGAGGGATTTCAATGTATGTTACACAGCCTTGAGATTGAGATAGAAAATACTACGGTATACTTCATATAACTCAGTTGCGTGCTATTATCATAACTCACAGTACTAAGAAGTGGGTTGAATCTATCATTCAAAGCTCGAATCTTCAGTGCCTTTCAGTACATCTAGAATGGTATACCCTGCGATATTTTCAATACAGGAGAAGAATATGGGAGCCAAAGTGATCGTGTTTACGATTGTGGCCAGAAAAAGGAAAGATATTGTAAAGAATCTGAAGCCTACTTAAATGCTACCAATATAGGGTAACAAACATGACCTCAGGCCACCATCCTTTAGTACTGCAATGATCGTCTACAAACTAATTGCAAAATCGCAACCATAAAGATACTTTGGAACCACACGTGAGAGTGGAACGATCATATTTGATTCAAAGTCATCTCCATATCGAGGTAGACTAGCAACATGTATCAAGCCCTCACAACCACTCCAAGTTTCAACCACTTCGCTGGACCGTCACAACGGGGCCGACATAGTGCTGTTTGCCCTGGAAAAGATACATCAAAAGACTGATAATGAACACAGCAACAAAGATCACCACACTCCAATTAAAGTCTGGCGCTGAAGGCAAAGGACTAGGGGGCCAGAAAGACCAAAAGAGCACAAAAATAACATAAAGCAGCCCAATCATGTTTATTGCAAGTCCGAAACGACCAAGACTCCAACGTCGCGGCGGTAACGTGTGAGGACAGGCGATCTTCCGGTAAATGACGCAGCTGATGGATACCGCATACGTGTACATGAGCGCGGCAACGTTGAGAGAGATGATGGCATTGAATGCGACTTGCGAACCAATGTTAATTAGAGATAGCAAGCCGCTAATCACGCAAGAAAGTGCGATTGCTCGAACTGGGATTCGCCGACGCTGGTCGACTCGCGAGATCCAGCCTGCGAACGGTAAACCGCGATCCCGTGCGAATGCGTATGTTTGACGTGCCGTTGAAGCGTTGAATAGTATGTTACTGAATATGACCGTAATCAATAATATTGAAGTGAGGGCGTTGATACCCGAGGTTGAGAGAAATTGGCGGAACACGTAAAGGAAAGGGAAACCCGTGCTGTCGTTGAGCGCGTCGGGGACTGAAGGTATAGCCAGAAGAAGTCCAACTATCATCACCAGGGCTAGGATTCCATTGCAGAAGTATCCCCATGCGATTGCGATCGGTACATATCGACCTGCGTCTTTGACCTCTTCAGACATGTGTGCTGTTGCGTCGGAGCCTGTAGGCAGTGTATGTGTTAACTTGAATTTTATAAGCAGTCATGCAATGTTATACATACACTGAGAGGCATATACAGCTGAAATTTGTCCAATCATCAAACTGATACCCATTGTAGACCAGTTGCCACCATTGTAGAAGGAGGTGAACACGGTTTTGGCGGAGTTATGGGGAGCCATAGCGAACAAGACAATCACAATGATGGCCCAGCATAGTAAATGCAGCGCGAGAAGAATGTTCTGAATTCTGGGCATATAGCTTGCGACGTAGACATTGAAAATGTAAGTGACGACTATCATCGCGAGTACAAACAAGGTCCCGTGCCAATTTTGGGGCTCGTAGCTCGGGTCACGGAGGGTGATGAGACCTTGGATGATGGTCCCAGTCAGAAAAGAACAAGATGCGGCTCCTGCCTGCCAGGATAGTACAGACATCCATCCTGAACCAGAACTATTAACGATCCACAGGGGGCAGCACACGAAAGATCTCACCAGTGGTGTAACTTAGAAATTTCTGATATCGAGGTGTGCAAAATTCCGACACCCAATGGTATTGACCTCCTGAAGTAGGTGCCCTGGTGCAAATGAGAAGAATATGTCAGAGGATTCTGGGCACAAGGGATATTGATCAGTCGCCACTCACATCGAAGCCATCTCGGCCAGCGAAACAGTGATGAAACCGAAACCTACGAAGGTCCACATATAAGACCATAATAGACCAGCCAGGCCGCCATTTTGGAGCCCTTGCGTGTTTGCACTAAACATGAGACACTTAGTAGCTGGCATGATCGCACGTAGAGGTCAACTCTCACATGAGCATACACTCCCACGTAGCTTGAAGGACCGCTGAGAAACTTAAAGCCGCAAGGGGTCGAAAGTTGCGCTTGAGAGAGGTCAGTTCGAAACGCCGACATTGCATCAAAGAGAGTCAACTATTACTTTCAGCTCTTGAGTCTTGCCCATGCGTGTCATATCATGCCGATCCTGTGGGCTGCCCTCCATTTCAGGTATATCTTTTGCAGGCTCCTCATCCATAACGTGATCAATAGGGAACGACGGGGTCCGGTTGTAGGTTTGAGATGCTCCTGGTAGCATTTTGCCAATGGGACGGGTCCCAAACGGCGTTGAGATTAACACTTTTTCCAAAATTTGAATATTGATCGAAGGTCAGAGAATCAACGACGCAACACTCGGGGTTTTGCTAACTCTGGGGAGTCTCAGATGTTGCACTGCAGGCATACCCCATAGCGACACAGCGAGTTGACTGTCAACGGGGTGTGCGCCCCATTTATGTACCCCCGAGGGCCAAATGTACCGATGATGAGGTATATGTACTGCACCATACGGCAAGTACTTGATGCAGAGTGAGATGGAATCGGAATCAACTGAGTCTTTCGTGGACGTTGGAACTGTGTCGAAATCCGGCAGGTAGATCTCTCCTCCTTCGAATGGATGAGTAGCCCACATCTGTCAATTATCGTATGGGTAAGATCCTCTTCTTGGATGCAAGTTCTGCAGCTCCGTTCTTCGGTAAGCTAGGGCTTAGGGAATCCACCACCAAGTTGTACAAACCAATCGGATCTGGACGTCGTTCCGAGGTCAGTCAACCATTCAGCCCCAGAAAGTCACATTCTGCCCTTTACATTAACTTGCGACAAGAGAGGATTCATCCAACTTGCCATATATTACATAGGCCTGGTATGGAGCGAAAGAAAGACATCTCCGAGAGTCAGATATGGTAAGATTACCTTTTCAGCTTCCTGTGCACACTAAAGTTACCTCGTGTACACTGTAACTTGCGATTACAACTATTCTAAGCAGGATGAAAAGTATTGCTACACATATATCACTTTTTGTGTTGCACACCATCTTTTACTCTCAGTTACTGGATGTGGTTCCTCTTGGTTCTACTCGGCACCACCTGGATGTAACAGTGCAATTAGACCCTCTGATTGGCGATAAATGATTGTACACATACGCGATTACCATGCTCAAAATTAGCTTGAGTTCAAAATCAGACACTCAAATGAATACATGGGGCTCTAAGATTGTCTTAGGCATATGATATTCCTTTGAAGTGATCTGCAAAATTGCACATAAAGCTCCGTCTCTCCAATAATCGGTACTTTGATAGCTACAAGCTACCCCTTTCTATATTATTTCCAATATGGACATTTGGTATTTCTTAATTTTAGGCCCCCCGTGGTCACAGAACTATGTAACTACCCTTGAACGTAGATATCCTCCCCTCCTTGTTCCGGCAGGTCAGCTAATGTGCCAAGCACGCCCGTGTAAAGTGTGCAACCGGGAAATTTGGTGCTATTAGGTATTATTACTGGCAGATTGGTTATGCATCTACTTTGTACACCTCGGCATCGATATATAATATGCGGACCTAACAAGAAGGAAGCGGTAAATCACCACCAGAATCAGTCCCGTGTGCCACGCTTCGTGACTCAAAGCCAAGGTCAATCCCTGTTTGAATACAGAATGAGAGTCATTAGAAGTCTGCAATTCGTTCTAAGAATTCCTTGCGCGACGGTGTCGTTCTCTGACTCAGCCAGTCTGTTTGACTCAGCCTAAATATATCCTCCATCAAGCTCCTGAGAGCGGAGTAGGATATATTTCTATATCTCGGCCATGGCAACTCCGCCTCCAGTTCCGTTCGGCTTGACACCTCCGTTGACGGTTAATAACGAGCTAAACCATAACGGAGTCATTACAGTCATCGCTTCGTTTTCGCTGTTTCTGGTTCTGAGCTCTCTGGGAATTCGTGTGTATTCTGCATACAGTAGAAAGTCCCGTCAGTTGGATGATTTGACTTTTGCAGTGACGGTGGTATGCCTTTCCGCCTACACCAATGCAGACCTTTCTGAAGGACCCTATGACTGAGATTGGGTAATTGCGAACTCAGGTACTTGCCCTAGGACAGATATCGGCGGTTTTTGTTCAGATCCATTTTGGCTGGGGAAAGTCAAAGTGGCTGATAGCCGACGTGAACGTCCATTCAATTGAGAAGGTAGGTGTCCACGCTCAGCATGCTATATTTCTTTTGACACATTCTTCTCTCAGGCTGGGTACAGCGCAGATCTTCTCTACATCGCAGTAATATTCTCATCGAAAGCGTCAACGGCTCTTTTCTACCGCACCCTTACCCCACGTGGCTCACTATGGATGAACTACGCTCTTCTCCTGCTGACTTTGCTATGTGCTCCTGTGGGTATAGTTTTGCTGGCCGTCCGCTGTGGTCGACCTCCGTGGCATGACGTTAGTAAACAATGTTCCGCTGTGGTAAGTTGACATAACCGAAAATACCATGTGTGTACTCATACTTCACTAGTTTCCTCATTGGCAAGCCGTCACAGCATTGGACATTATTTTTGAAATTATACTATCACTCTATCCCACCTGGGCAATCCTGCGATTACAGATGACACCGAGCAACAAAGTGATTGTGATACTGGTGCTTAGCTGTAGAGTGTTGTATGGCTGAGATCTCGTCCTAAGTACCGTCTTACATAGCTAACAATCGCCCGGTATCCTTGCAGCCTTGTTCCCGTAGGCGCAATCCACCTCCATTGCATGAGTCAACAAGTCAATTCGCCAGATCCAACACTCGAAGGAACCTTCCCTACTATCGTCGCCGAGCTCCACGTGGCACTCAGCGTTCTTGTACTGATAACGCCATTGATAAAACCATTTGTCGCAGCCTACGTAGACGAGCACGGATTGGCTTATACTGACGACCCGTCCAAGTCACGGACCAGTCATAAAGCCACCGTATACCCCGATCGATCGAGCACGACATATCCAGGCTCGCGGATACATGATCCTCCAGCAAAAAAATCCCTTATGAAGAGGATTGAAATATCGGTTGATCGCGAGAATGTGGAGCTCATGGAGAGACGATGACGCCCTCAACGGGAGGCCCGGAACGCGGTACTTGATTATACACCTAACCGGAAACATTCATGTATCATTGTGCCCATTATTTGCCGGCTAAACATCTAAATATTATCGGATATCGTTTTCGTCTTCCGATGTACACTGGGTCCACAAAGCGATATCAACGCTTGTTTTAGTGTAGGCGACAACCAGATATGTCCGTACCCTCGCTGGCCTCAACTTCGAATAACACAATCTCAAGTTTTGCTTGTAAAGGCAGACGAGGCAAAATTTCAGAGCCATCTAGATGTGCCCCAAGTTTCCAAGAGCAAATGATATTCCCATGCACGCAAGGCTTTACCAAACTTATTTAGAAAGGAGGTATTATGTATAACCATCCTAGCCAAGCGACTAGATTGCGCATATGCGATGACCGATTACGCTATATTTAGCGTTTTCTTCACTACACTGCATAGCAATGAAACAGTCATGTTAAGCTACTGATCACTCCCCGTGTATTTCTATCCGGCCTCCCAACTCCCGTAGAGCTTTCTCCACACTATGACATCACCAGTCTACAGCTCACATTGAGCTTGTCTGAAATTATTATTACTTACTATCTTCCAGGCATTGTTTGATATTCAATCGTTCAGTCGCTGCTAGTTATCGCGATCGCTAGCTCTGAACAGTGATCTCGGCCGTTGCCCATCTGTCATTCATGACATGGCAGATTATCACCGTGGTGCTACGGAAAGTCCCGACAATGACAGATGGAGACACTCAGTAGAAAAGGAGGAAGACCATCAATCAGAAGAGAATGTGATCACTCATGTTGCGGATCCATTTGGGGATGAAGCTAATGCCGAAACCAAATATCGGACGTTAGAATGGTGGCAATGCGGTATGATAATGATCGCAGAAACCATCTCACTGGGCATTCTGTCTCTGCCGTCGGCTATGGCAGTGCTAGGCCTTGTCCCGTATGTTTTCTGCTCCTTTTAACTAACGCCCAGCATTACACTAAGCTGATTACTTTCCAGTGCACTCATTCTCATTGTCGGGCTTGGTGTAGTCTCAACATATACTGGTTACGTGATCGGTCAATTCAAACTCCGATATCCGCAAGTACATAGTATGGGCGATGCTGGGGAGCTGCTTTTTCATCCTCTTGGCCTGTCTCGCTTCGGTAGAGAGTTCTTGGGAACTGCTCAACTGTTGTTTCTGATTTTCGTCATGGGCAGTCATCTGTTAACTTTTAGTGTCATGTTGGATACAGTCACAGATCATGCTACCTGCTCCATTGTATTTGGAATAGTTGGCTTGGTCGTCTCGTTTATCTTTGCCTTGCCCCGAACCCTTCGCAAGGTCTCCTGGTTCTCTTTTGCTTGTATGTTTCTCTATACGTCCCTTGAGGTCGTCTGCTTGCTGAATCTCATAGCTTTTGCAAGTATCATTGCCGCACTCCTGATTACTATGATTGCCATTGCCGTCCAGCGCCCGGGTGACGGTAAGATAGACGCGACAACAACAGTCAGTCTTTCAAAGGGGTTCCTTGCTGTGACGAATATCGTTTTTGCTTATGGTAAGTACTTATCAGCTAAAGGAAACTTGCAACTAATCCGAATTCAGCTGGTCATGTGGCTTTCTTTGGTTTTATTTCTGAGATGAAGACCCCAACGGACTATCCCAAGACGCTATACCTACTCCAAATAACAGATACAAGTATGTATGTGATAGCCGCTGTTGTTATCTACATATACGGTGGAAAGGATGTGAAATCGCCCGCCCTAAGTTCGACAAGCCCAATCACGGCCAAGGTTGCATATGGAATCGCTATCCCTACGGTGCGAGATCTCTGAACTGGGTCCGACTTGGAAGACAATATTCCTAACTCAATATCTTAGATTGTCATAGCCGGTGTTATCAACGGGCACGTCGCAGCAAAATATGTCTACGTCCGCCTATTCCGCGGCACAGACCACATGCAAAAGCGCACCTTTTTTTCAGTGGGATCCTGGATTTTGATTACTCTTATCTTATGGGTGATAGCTTGGATCATTTCTGAGGCAATCCCTGTGTTCAATACCTTACTCAGTTTGATTGTGAGTATTGCCAGGAACTACAAGTGAGATAGCTACTGACATGGATTCACTGAGTAGACTTCCCTTTTCGCTAGCTGGTTTACCTGTGAGTGATATTCTGTCTACAACAAACATTTTCTGTGGCTGACCTGAATCTAAGATGGCTTAAGTGGTGTATTCTGGCTGTTCCTGAACCGAGGCCAGTATTGGGCTTCTTGGAAAAAGATGGTCCTGACTGCTATCAACCTGGTGATTGTCGCAATTGGTGCATGCTTGGTAAGTTGAACTCTTGATTTCCGGGTCGTCAAGCAAACTAATATTTTCTATGAAGTGCGGTATGGGTCTCTGGGTATCTGGTAAAGCTATTCATGATGATTCGAGCGGTGCCAGCTTTTCCTGTGCTGCCAAGAGTGGATGAGGTCCGACGGTCTCGATGTACAAAGTTTCATACATGTGTATAGAATTCATTAAACGACCACGTTTCAGGGTTCTCTCTGCTGAATTGCTTTGAACAATCTCTAAATCAGCTAGTGGTATATTTGAATTATATTTCAGGCGGAAGCTGGGGATTCACCGATCGGGGTCCTGCCCACTAAGTACTGTCTAATTTATAGCCACTATATGACTGTTATGTGTTATTTGCCCGTTAAGTTTAGTACCAGATATGTTGACTTTTTGGATAAATTGTCTTGTTAGAATATACAACTAAGGATTAGACTCCTAAATATTGAACAATAATGTAACTTTACGCTGCAAAGCCGAAATAGCAAAGATGGGGGACGCAGACGGCAAAACCTCAAGCGATCACTTTGCGTACGTGATGAATAAATTGGAAGGCAAAGTTGAACGTCCAAGGGTAACGGTGAACACATTTATCGAATCCAAAGTTGCAAGAACAGTACCAGCTCAATACCTGTCTTGACATGGCCAATTGATAATTACCGCAGATGTATGTCGGTATGTCCTACTTATTTGGTCCAATCGCTTCCATCTGCAAGCACTGCCTGCCCTTTAGCCAATGACCTTGATGGTTCCTCGCCCAACCATTGTGGCTCCAACCGGTCTATATTGGCCTCTATCTCCCAAGCTCGCCCACCTTCAACATACATCGACTTTCCATTAAGCTGCGCGTCCGCCAATATGCCCGCAGTAACCTTGGCGACATCGATTGGCGAATTGACAGGCATTCCCGCGTTCATCCAAGCACTTTGGACGCCTTTGACCATACCCGTAGTTGTCATCCAGGGGCAGACAGTGTTGATGCGAAGCTGAAATGGTAAAGATGGGAGATACAGACGCAACGCTCGCATAAGCCCCAGGACGCCGTGTTTGGAGGCCTGATAAACGAATAGACCCGGTGACTCCTTGAAGCCAGCAACAGAAGAAATCAGGGTAATTGAACGATCGGCATCCTTTGGACGATTGTGGCGTAGGTATACACTTGCAATTCGTGTAACAGACAGACAGCCACCCAGATTTACGTCAAGGACTTCGGTGGTAGCGGGCTGGTGAGAAATCGTTAACCAAAATGAAGATAGCTACCAATGCCGTACGATACTGAATTTGACAAACCTCGCGAACGTCCTCAAGTGTCAGATTTGGATCAAACCAGTTGCCGATTTCCATGACGCCTGCACACGCAATCACGTGGTCAATATGTCCGTATGCACTGAGTGTCGTATCAAAAAGATTGATGATTGCCTTGTACTCGGTGACATTGGTTTCACAGAAGATGACTTGTGGGTGTGACGGAGATGAGTGCCAAGATGCAGAAAGAGAAAGCCTCTTTGCGAGCTGGTCACCTTCCCGCACTGCTGTATCACCAAAGCAGACATAGGCCCCATTCTGGCAGCAGTATTCGACCAGACTAGCTCCAATACCATTCGCACCACCTATATACTATAAGCAGCGGCTCCCGAGTAGGTAGGGTAGGAGATGACCACTGACCAGTGATTACAAGGACCTTTTCTTTCAGTGAATCCGGAGTAAGCTTGGGGAAGAATTGTGCCATATTGATTCTGTCGTGAACCAGGTGAAGTTATTTGAGGGATCTAGCTGACTGGTGAGGCACTCAATTATTTATCATGTTCTCAGTTACAGTTCGTCTGCCTATATTGAGATCGTACATAGGTTTAAGTTTATGGACATTATCCAACTATATCTTGTAGTAGCATTCTGGGGGTTTTTCCGGTGACGAAGTGTCGATGTGGAGCTGATGTATGACCGTAGATCCAAAGGGATCTTCATAGTTCTCATCAAATATATTGTACAACTATATCGATGGTCGGTTGTCCGTGAGTCTGAAGCCTTTTATATCTGCTGGTAGTCTAGTTCTATTACCCGTAAACAGAATTATAACGGGAGACCTCACTACTAACCCAGGATGCCTCTTGAAACCCACCACCATTCCTGTTCGGCCAAAGGCCTCTCCAGCATCACCACCCTGATTGTGGGTGCGACGGAGGCCATCTTGGTCGACCCTCCCTTCCTGATTCCCGATGCTGAATCTGTTGTTGGTTGGGTCAAAGCCATGACCAAGAACAACCTCAAAGCTGTTTTTGTAACGCACCACCACCCTGACCATTTCTTTTCGGCAAACACCATCCTCGACGCCTTCCCCTCCGCCAAGTTTTATGCCGCACCATATGTGCTCGCAGGCATCAATCGCGAGTATGACGACAAGGTGAAATACTGGCCCACCATCTTTGGCCCGGGGAATATTCACAAAGCGCCCAGGAAGCCGGAAGAGTTTAACTTCAGTTTCTTTCTGTTACAGGACAACCTTGAGAGTCCGGTGATACTTCTTGGCCCACTCCAGGGTGACTCAGTCGATCATACCATTTTCTGGATGCCAACCGAGAGGACGGTTATTTGTGGCGATGCAATCTTCGGGAGAAGCACACATCTCTGGTATGCACTTTGTAAAACTCTCGCATTCTAGTAATACTAATGAACTAAAATTAGGGTCGAAGAAATTGAAACTCCGGCTCTACTTCAAGCGTGGACTAAAACAGTAGATCTTATCTCGGCCCTAGAGCCGGTCAAGCTTATTCCAGGCCACATGGAATCAGGATGGCCGCTGGACACCAAGGCTGATATCTTCCACACCAGGAAATACCTGGATTTGCTCGGCGAGAAGGTGATATACGCTTCTACCAAGCCACAAGTTCGGGAATTGTATGATAACTTCCAGAATGCTTTCCCACAATGTAAGAAAAACTTGGAGTTCTTCCTAGGCCACCTGTCCAATCAATTTGGAGAAGGGGGACAGCCCTGGGAGGAGAATAGACATCATGCAGCAGATAAGAGGACAGTCGAGGGACTGAATGGCTATTTGTTTTAATGCATGGTTCTGTATATTCCGCTTTGCATAGGCTTATAATCACACCAGGATAACAGCTCTATATTTCCTTTTCTGAGATCCCACTGTGTAGAGAGTGATTGGATCTATGGGAGATCAAAGAGCAATAAAACAAGGCCTGTTTCTTCGGTGAAACAAGTGTGAAAGTATCGCATTATGAAAATGGGAGGAATGCTGGCCTGCCACTGGCCACAGTTATTTCTCAGGCTGCTCAATGTGCTTTATCTAGATCATCCATGGATATCTTAATCATCCCCCAATTTGCCTGGCTTTCTCAAATCAACCGGCGCTTCACAATTCCTGGTTGGACTCTCGTTACATTCACTCAGCAGCAGAGGACAAGATCGGGAGAATTTTCGTCTATATAATACCATCACGAAGAGCAGCGACTACCACGTTAATTGCAGTACTTTATATTGACCTGCGGATAAGTGACTCAGATCGCATCTTCGTGGGTACTAAAAGTGAAATACTCGCAGGATTATGACCGCACACATACGTAGAAGGACTCGAGTAAATATTCCGGATTGCGTGCGTATCCAAGCTCTCAATAACTTCTTCTATCTTGCATGATTACTTTCAATCTTGCGGCTCGCTTAAGGATATAGGAATCTTACTGCACCTTAGGCTTGAGTCTGTTAACTAACTTGCCATCGCCTCCCAAAGCAAGAACGTTGGCCACGCATGGAACAGAGTCTACCGCATAACTGTATTACTCAGTCCAATGATTCGTATGGTCGAGCTGCGCCCCGCCTCAGGGCTGGAGGATGATATTATCCGTCTTTGCAAAGCAGATTATGAAGAAGATAAAATCTACGCAGTGGATTATAGGATAATTACAAGGAGGATCTCTGAGTATCACCAAGTAGTAGTACTAAATCAATTCAGGCAGCTTTCCAACAATCGCACGCCCTGCCTGATATTCAGCATTCATTTATAAACCCTGCCATCCAACGGAAGCTCCACTTGTTCACTAGAGAGTGAGCAATGTCCTATCCCATCACCTTCGGATTTTTCAACCCCCCATTTCAACGGAAGTGTACCATCAGTCCTAGCCATTCCCTCCATTTCACTCTCTTCCCCATCAGCCAAAGAAGGATGACAAGCAGCAGCAATCGCCAAACTACAACTCCCCGCAACTGGCATACCAGACTTCAACCGTTTGAATGCAATCGCGACAAGACAAGTCAGCATAAAGACCCCGACGGATATAGTGCTGATAATTGCAGATGGAGAATATCCACAGGTAAAAGTATCGCCCTCGGGCTCCCGAGTCAGCGCAGTCCCGTAGGATCTGGTGCTGAGCAAATAGATACTCTGGGACATAAGCCAGTGTAAAATGCCCGAAAACACCAGGAGGGGAAGTGAATATCGGTATGGAAGGGAGAGGAAGTATGTGCTTCGCTGAGAGCCCTGGGGAAGGGTGGAAACCCGAAGACCCTTTCGTTTGTAGGCGTGGTAGCTCCATTCATTGGTGAGCGCCATTATGGTATATATGGCATTAGATGAAAAGTACAATACAGAGAACACTGCCTGGGGCAAATTAGCGATGATAGTGTTAGCCAACAGGGAGGAAGGTAAGCCGGCTATCATGGTTGTGATGTTCGGCTCTCCGAGACCAACGGCCCAGGGCGCGCCACCTCCTGCTAACACTCCTATTATGAGCAGTGAAATGCAGACGAGTATGGAAATGAAGTATCTAGGTTGGAGGGTCAGGTCGAAGAATCAAGGGGGCTTTGGCGGACTCACATACGATAAGAGACAAATTACCCATCGGCGACGAGACACGGACGATCCCCATCGTCTTGGCTTGGCATCAAATCTCATGTTCTCATTGACCGGCTTGATTACCATGTCACGCGATAGTAGGCACTGTCTTCTTGTCGTATGATCGGGTATCTCGATGAAAGAAGAAATGGCATCCCCTGTGGTCAAAATTGGACACTCGGCCATGGTGATAGTAATCCAACATAAGATAACCATTTTGATGATGTTGGAAAGAATGACCACAATAACCAATGAAAGGCTGTACTCTACGGTACATCTTTCCGGGACGCTTTCACTTAGGCAGTAATTCACTTTGAAATCTGCGTACACTTCGTAGCCTACCTCGTCTGCAATCATTCCTTGTACTGGCCAGTTGTCTGGGTCTGCAAGCAGCCCCGATACCATGCTCGTGCAGAATTGTCCCGGTGAATAAATGGCAGAGCATATCCAGCTGTAGGGGTCACTTGGGTCTTTAGACAATTGCCCGATGGAGCCGAAGTCTTGAACAGTTGAATTATAATCATCCGTAACAACGAGCAAGCTGGCATAATTTGTCTGAAACCCCCTTGCGTATTGGGAGATACAGTCACTATTGTTTAGGCGTTCAAGCTTCCCATTTCTGTCCTTCTCTAGAAGTCTTGAGAATGTCGTATCAGGGGTTTTTTGATCAGGGAGCGTCACATTGTCCAAACTGAAGCTGGAAAATGGCTTGCTTCCCACAAATATTCGGTAGTTGTAGACTGAGAGGGTCTGGAATATGGTAGAGTTATATCTGGGACTCAGAGAGATCGGATATTAGGTCCACTTGGGACATTGCGAAAACCATCAGAGACTTACATGAGGTGGAGAGGGAGCGATGAAAATGCCAGGCAGATCCAAAGAAAGAGCTTGATACGGGGAATATGCCAAAGATTCCGCATACTTTGCACACCAACATCTAGCCACTTTCCCCTAGAGTGTGCACGATCAATATCCCCTCTGGTTGGGGCACAGAGGCATTGCTAGACTCGTAGACCCGTTAGCCCCAAGATTTCCTAAGCACTAATGGTTCAGTGACTGACCATGCCGTAGTTACTTGCACCTAACAGAAGAGTTCCCAGAACATTGATCACCAAGTGAAACACTGTACTGATCCTTTTTGATTTCTTGCAGTTCCCAATGAAGAGAACGGCTTGACCACCGTGCAGCCCATTATGCTTGACCGCCCAAAGTACGAAGCCGACATTGAACACCAACACCACGAAGGTTAAGGTGGACCCTATATAAAGCGTTTTTTTCCAATTTTCGGTCGGTTTTTTGCCAAGAAATCGGCACTTCCACCTTGATGGTAACTCCGACCGAGTCGTGAGCTTGTCCGGGATGAGTGCTTCACTGTCCGGCTGCGATAAAGGTTGTAGCTCCATAGAATCGGATTCCTGTGCCATGATAGATTTTCAAGTGTTGGTCTGTAGAAGACCAGCGAACCTTTTATGCATCATAACGTACGGAGTACATGGAGGCTGAGATACGAGGACCCTGCCAAGACAACCCGGGTGAAAAGGCCTCGTAATGTCAAAATGCGCATTGACGTACGGAGTACATTGTACTCCACCTTGTTTTCTTTATCAGTAGTATGGATACCAATACTTGACTGTCGTTCATTAAAGGTGTGTATCACATATGTATTTGACCGACTGTCGGCATTTCAAAGACTACTCGTACTCCGTACTGTAATTGAAATCGACGTGCGCGATCTGCATTGCATCAGGATTCAGGGGACCGGTCTCCTTCCAAAAATAGCCTACATGCTTGAGGGGCCACCCAAAGTGTGCGATTTCTCTACCACAAAATAACAATCTTAATCTCCTTCTGATTGAACTTCAATTTCAATAATGAGTTTAACCTCCGTCAGAAGAAATACATATAACCATAGGGTACACCGTGCTCTGTCAAAATATCTCAGGCTTAGGCCTCTGACCCAATATATGTTGTAACTACTTCGTAGACGGAGGTACGTACAGTTACTTAGCAAAGTGGCTATGTAGCGATCGGCCGCTCGATACACCACAGCCCTGCGGGTATCAAAGAGGCTAGCCCAAGTAACGCGGCCAGTAGGACTGAGCTGGCTTGACAGGGGAGTTCCCGTCCTGCTTCTTACCCTGCCTATTTTGTATGCTGTATGGCGCACGTGCCTTGGCTCCCAGTCGCGCGGCTCTAAGACGGTTCTCACCATAACCTCACTACCGTATCACTGTCATATCACTACTGACCCTCTATCTCCCATTCCCACATGTAACCTGATAGTACATAATCTCACTTATATTGGGTTTGCATTAGTGCTGGCTTGGCCTTGTGGATGAATCTCGATATAACGTATTTCACAAGCCAGCTGCGCAGTCCGGTATAAATAGTAAATGCGATAAATTACAATTGGATATTACAACAACGTTTGTCTATAAGTCTATTGGTTTTTGTGTGTTTGTATATACTCTCTAAAGATTTCAGTAAATGGAGAAGGAAGATATATATTTCAAAGTTCAGCAATATATCTTTCAAATAGGTGCACGTTATGTTGGACGCCCTGGTCAGGTAAATCATATGTTTTGTTCCATACCCACCATTTCACAAGATTGTTTCAATATTGAACTACGAACCTTTTTGAGTACTCGAAATTCTCTTCAATCACTAAAAAATTGTCGCTGTACCTAGGCAGGTCCACAGGTACCTAACTAGTATTAGGCATGACTAAGCCACTCGCCGATAGATCCATGGTGAATACCATGACGTCTTGCAACATCACAAACCACGGCAAAGAAGGAACCAAAGATGTGTTTGGATAACCTGGTTCTGCGGAGTATATCTCCTGCGGTGATCGTGACAAATACCTCGACGGGGTTACATTAACCTCCCGCCCAATGTTCGCCGTGACTACATCACCACGAATCGCCCGCCTTTGACCGTTGATCTCGGTTGAACGCGCTTCAAGCTGTCTTCGCGATGGCCAACAAAGAGATTCAAACTTCATTATCCCGCAATAGCATCCTGCAATCATCGCATGGTTCCACCAGCTTGCAGACTATGCTTGACGATGGCGACAGATACGATGTTGTCGATGTGTTAGAAAGCAATGGGGGTTCCGGAGAAAAGAAATCCGGTCAGCCTCAACACGAGTCAGACATACTGGTAGCCTGGGACGGGCCAGATGATCCGGTATAGCATTCGAATTCATCCCATCGAGTATGTACAGCTCCTCTGATGCGATTCTAGGAGATGCCCAAGAATTTCCCTACATGGAGGAAGTGGGTGATCACCATAATGCTATCATTAATGACAGTCTGCGTCACCTTTGCATCTTCAGTTTTCAGCACAGCAACAAAACAGACAGCGAAAGAGTTCAACGTCTCCCCAGAAGTCATGATATTAGGTGTCAGTTTGTTCGTGCTCGGTTTCGCCTTTGGTCCTATTATATTTGGTCCACTGTCTGAGCTATACGGCCGGAAGCGACCGATGTTCCTGGGGATGTTTGTTTTCGCAATCTTCCAGATCCCCGTCGCGGTGGCCCAGAACTTACAGACTATCTTCATCTGTCGTTTCCTGGGCGGAGTCTTTGCCAGCGCACCTCTTGCCATTGTGAGTTTCTGACATTATGTGAGACTTACTGATCATGATCGACTTTTGCTGACTGATATTCGTTCTCTTTTTAGGTATCCGGTATCTTGGCCGATATGTTCGGACCCGTAGATCGAGGAATTGCAATGGCCATCTTCGCCGCGGCAACCTTCATCGGCCCCGTCGCTGGGCCAGTCGTTGGCGGATTCGTGACAATCTCCTACCTAGGCTGGCGCTGGACGGAGTACATTACAGCGATTTGGGCATTTGCTATCTCGGCCATTGGGATCTTAGTAATCCCCGAAACGTTCGAGGGGACCTTGCTCAAGAAACGTGCTCGGCGATTGCGCACCGAGACTAAGAATTGGGCTCTGCATGCAAAAGCAGAAGAGAAGGTGGTGAGGCCTCGAGATATTGCGGTACGATACCTGCTGCGTCCTTTTCAAATGCTCGTGCAGGAACCCATTCTCCTGCTTATCACCTTGTACGTGGGTTTTATCTATGGGTTTCTGTACATTTGTTTCGTCGCCTACCCGATCTCTTTCCAAGAAGAACGTGGGTGGAATGATGGTGTTGGGGCATTGCCATTTGTCGCCGTCATTTGTGGAGTCTTTTGCGCTTGTTTGATTATCATTGCCTTTTCATTGACGCGGTATCGATCGTTCGTAGAACGCAATGGTCGCGTTCAACCAGAGGAGCGGTTGATTCCTATGATGATCGGAGGCATTTTGTTGCCCGCGGGCATGTTTTGGTTTGGCTGGACGTCAAATTCCCATATCACCTGGGTTCCACAGGCTGTATCTGGTGGAATATTAGGTTGTGGGGTGCTGTTGATCTTCTTGCAGGTATTACTCATCACCGATTGGTGGAATATCCAAGCCACCATAAGAAAAGCACTAATCGTGGTCTTTAGGGAATTAACTATATCGTTGATGTGTACCCCATGTATGCCAATTCTGCCATGGCAGCAAACTCCCTCTTCCGTTCATGGCTGGCTGCTGGATTTCCGATGTTCGCATCGCCAATGGTAGGATATTTCCGTGTTCTGGTTCTCCGAGAATTGGGCTGATCGCAATGCAAATTAGTTTCACAACCTGGGCGTTCCTTGGGCGATGACTTTGCTGGGTTGTCTTACTGTCGCGTTGTTCCCTGTACCGATCGTATTCTTCATATATGGACCGAAGATACGCTCATGGAGTAGGTTTAGTGTGAAAGAAGACTGAAAGAGGTTGTCTGATGTTCATAACCCATAGAATAGAGGTAAAGTAGAATCAGGCTATAATTTCATCCTATATAGCGTTATATGGTGATTTGCGCGACCATGACCAGTATACAACATAGTATGTTGGTATGGATCTGACGTAGTACGTATGATCATATGGAGAGTCCTATTGATCAATGGGGATTGTACAATAATCCCCGCCCTCTAGACCCGGATCTGGGAAGTTATCAATCACTCCTTTGCTATCTGGTGAGGGTGTGTCAATTCCCTTTGCAATCGCGGTCACCACAAGTATAGAGCGGGCATATTAGCTCTCGGCGACGTATTGGAATATGCCTCAAAAGACAAATAAGCATGACACTCACTTTGCGTTATCATGGCCCGAGGCAAGAATGGTTGCAGAAACCTCCATCGGCCAGGTCCGATGTGGAGCAGACCGTCGTGTATAAAAGAGAGACATGCATGCTGCAAGCTGTAGCCAATCCGGCGACACAGCGAGTTTTACCCCGGCTTTTAAGTATGATCCCAAGGCTTCAACCAAGCTTCCTGGGGTAATCCATGTGATCTGAATCACCCATCATCCCGTCCCACGAGAAAGGAATCTGGGGAAACCAAGCAACCAAGACTTTTTTACCTAATACCATCTTGCTATTCGATGGCTCTCGGGCATATTGAGCATGCTTGCTCCACTCGTCGTGAAGCCTTAGTCGCCAATTGGATCTGCGCTTCATCGCTCCGGGCTACGCCGCCCCACGTACTCCTCGGTTCCACTATCAAGATCGTCCGGTGGGCGGCGTTCGCCGTCCAACAACTAATTGCGTGTATATATGATGTTTCTATCCAACCTCATATCGACGCACTGGCGGGGCAATTGGTGGTACGATTCCGAACCCTAGATCGTCAATTCGTCTTCGATATTGCACAATGGCGCCGTATTTTGGCCTCCGTGGGCCGTCGCTGAACAGGGCTATCATGTGGTTGGTTGTGTGTCCAGCCTTTGTGACTTATGGATACAATCAAGGTATAATGGGAGGTCTGTTGACCCTGGAGTCCTTCGTTGAGACCTTCCCACAAATGAATACTCTCACTGCAAGCGATGCAGAGAAAACGTATAACTCGACTATTCAAGGTAAGCTCGATCACCACACCCCGGATGGAAATCAATCACAACTACTTGATACTGCCACTGCTTGGTTCAATTCTCATGCTATACTCCTGCAGGCACGGTAGTCGCACTGTATACCGTCGGTGGAATATTTGGTTCGTTATCATGTATCCAATTTGGTGACAGACTCGGCCGCCGCAAGGTCATCCTGATCACCTCCTTCATTTCGATGATTGGTGCTATTTTGATGGCAACATCATTCTCCCTTGCACAATTTATCGTCGCGCGACTCATTCTGGGATACGGCACCGGCGGTTACGTTGCTACAGTGCCCGTCTGGCAGGCTGAAATCTCAAAGCCTGACAAGCGTGGTGCGCACGTAGTAACAGACGGGATCTTCATTGGTGCCGGTATCGCGTTCTCTCTTTGGGTAGACTTTGGATTCTTCTTCGTTAAGACCAACTCGGTTTCTTGGCGTTTCCCTTTGGTCTTCCAGGTCCTCCTTTCGCTCATAGTCATGGGCTTTGTGATGTTTTTTCCTGAATCGCCCCGGTGGCTGGTAAAAAGAGGTCGGATTGAGGAGGCACGGGAGATCATGGCAGTTCTGGATGATGTTGATCCTCAGTCAGAACAAATCACTCTTGAGATTCGCGATATCGAAACTTCCTTGGCACTCTCCGGAACGGGGTCGTGGAAGGATATGCTGACGATGGGCGAGCAGCGACTCTTCCATCGCACTGTTCTTGCCTGTATGGGTCAGATGTTCCAGCAGATGTGTGGAATCAATCTGATCACCATCTATGCGACGACGATCTTCGAACAATATCTGAAGCTCAATCCCATCCAATCTCGTATCCTCGCTGCTGCGATGTGTCTATCACAGCCGCTAGGCGGTCTATTGGCCTATTTCACTATTGACCGGCTGGGTCGTCGCGTGCTCATGTTGTGGAGTGCCGCCGGGATGGCAGTCTCAATGGCAATCCTAGCTGGCACCACTTCTGTCCACGATAACACAGGTAGCTTGGTCTGCGCTGTGGTGTTCCTTTTCGTCTTCGTGTTCATCTTCACAGTCGGCTACTCCGGCTTGACATTCCTATACGCTACAGAGGTGGCGCCCCTCCAGTGCCGAGCTTCTATCAACGCCGTCTCCGCTGCAGCCGTGTGGACGTTCAACTTCCTCCTCGCCGAGGTGACGCCCATTGGCTTCGCTACCATAGACTGGCAGTATTATATTATCTTCGCCGTACTTAACGCCGCTATCGTGCCCACGGTCTACTTCCTCTTCCCGGAGACTAATGGACGCACCCTCGAGGAGATTGATGAGATCTTCTTGCAGTCGCGTAGTATCTTCGATCCGCCCCGCATTGCTCGCTCACTTCCCCGCATGCATGTTGCCGAGGCGCATGGCTTGGATGCCAAGGAGGTTGGAAGTGGCGATGATGCCGTGCCTGAGAAGACAAAGGTGTAAAGCATTGACGAAGTTATGAAACGAGGGTCCCGCTGGTTTGTCGGGATAAATACATAGGATTTCCGACCGTGTCTCTTGAGCGACCGGTCATCTTGAATTTTTCAGAAGCATGATTTTGACAGGTCAATTTTATTGTTCAATTCACTCTGCTGAGGTAAATCAGTCGATTGGCGGGATATCGGTCCGATGATGCGGTCTCACTTATCTGTATTTAGCACCGTTTCAGGCTATGCTGCAGAGTTTCATCGTAAGCATCTTTATATCCGTGATCAATTTAGAGAGGCGCCCGTCGATCACTTGGGGATGCCAATTGCGCCAATCCGGGGTATAATCGTGCAGAAAATGCAGTCAATGCGCTGGCGTTGTGGTGTTTACTCTATTGGTAGCGGGATTACCATCGGGGAGGCGCACTTGATTCTTGTTCGTGTGATATCCAAAGAAAATACCGCCGACTGCCAACGGATTACTTCAAACAACCCGAGTTTCATGTTCTCCACAGTCCCCGTGTTATATCCGGCGGTCTCGCCTGGGGCATGGATATATAATAGCCTTCGCAATGGAGTCATCCTTGGTTGGAGGCAACCTTCTCTCACTTCTGAATCAACATATTCAACGCAGACTACAATCACCCGACCAAAATGCGATCTCTTTCATGGCTTGTCGCCCTCCCCATAGTGGCTGAAGCGGGTGAAGTTTTATGGAGCGGTTTATTCGATGCCTCCGCGACCGTTGCTGACTTCGACGAATGTAAGGGATTCTCGGGAGCCGATGTTGATTAACACTAACAGACAAGAAGGGTCGTGGTCCAACCAAGTCGGCGCTTGGCAATGGTACATTCACGGGACTGCACCCACGGACAAGTACCTGGGTCTCTCACCTGATCACAAGAACCCGGCTGGTACCAGTGATGAGCAGGGAATCCGGATCACAATTGTAGGTCATATTTCAAGCCTAAGTGACCCAGAAGCTGATGACAATCAGGACGGCACGTCGTTCTGGAATGGACAAACGATGGAACGATCCGAGATCATCCCCCAGACCAAGGCAGATCTGGGAAGCGGACATTTGTTCTACCATTTCTCGCTGAAGACAGAAGACACAAATGCTCCAAATCCAGGATTCGAGCACCAGATCGGGTTCTTTGAGGTAGCAATCCCCCATTCCAAATATATCGACGAAACCAATGTTTAACATGTCCACCACAGAGCCATTTCACAGAGCTCAAATACGGCGCCATAAGTGGAACCTCGGGCGATGACAACACCCTCCGCTGGTGCGTTGGCGGAGTCTCGCATTGGGAAACTGATTTGGAAGCAGGGAAGTGGTATAATTTCGCCTATGACATTGATTTCGACGCGAAAACTGTCGGATTGTGGGCATCCAATGGGGCCGATGACCTAACGGAGGTTGTGCCCGCTGTCAGCGCGTCGACTTCGACAAACTCCGCGGATTGGCATGTCGGCGAGCTACGGCTCGATAATGGGGGCTCGGATGCGGCTGCAGAGGATTGGTTTTGGTCCGGCATTTTTGTCGAGAAGGCTCCGATCACAGCTAGTATTGCGGGTCCTGCGTGAGACACTTTTGAATATTCGTCACTTCCAGTACTCGTAATACGATCTGTTTGATGGGAATCTTGGAACAAGTTGGGAATGAAGACAAACATCTTGCAAACGCGACAAACATGTCAAATTATCCACTTTTGGATCCATTGATCTATGACATCATACATTAGACAGGAAGCTGTCACCGTCGTTGGAATAGAGTCGAGTCCCGGATATGTTCAGAATTGAATTTATTATCGTAACTTGGTCATGTAATTCGTCTATTATACAAAAAAAAATGGTTTACCGCACGGTGTAACCACCGTCAATGAGCATATCGTTACCGGTCATGTAAGTGCTAGCATCGCTGACCAGGTAAACATAAGCACCCTTAAGTTCCTTGGCATCACCATTGCGACCCATGGGGATCATAGAGTTCCAGAGGTCCTGGACATCCTTCGCAACGAAATCAGACAACCCAGTGTCAATGTAACCAGGGGAGATGCTGTTCACGCGGGCAAAGTCGCGCCATTCGTTGGCCAGGGAGCGGGCAAGGTGAATTGTGCCAGCCTTAGCAACGTTGTATGAGGTCTGTTCTTGGGGGAAGTTGGCGATGTGACCGGACATCGATGAGGTAATGACGAAGCTGCCGGTTCCACGCTCCTTGAAGTGGTGGCCAACTGCCTTGGCGCAGTGGAAAGTACCAGTCAAATCGGTCTTGATGACTTCGTTCCAGTCCTCCACGGAACCGTCAAGGATGCCGCTGTCGGCTGTGCGGCCGGCGTTGGCAATGAAGGCGTCAATCTTGCCGAATTCCTTGAGCACATCCTTCACGAGGGTTTCCACGCTCTCCCAGTTGCCCACGTCACACTTGTAGGCCTTGACCTTCACGCCGTATTCTTCAGAAAGTTCCTTGACATTCTTCTCGGCACCTTCGCGGCGGGAAGCGTATGTGATAGCCAAGTCGGCGCCCATCTCAGCGCAGCCACGGGCGGCTTCGATGCCCATGCCTCGGGGTCCGGAAGCTCCGGTTACAACGACTACCTTGCCCTTGAGGCTAAGGAGATCGAGGAGGCGGTTTTCCTTGGGGACAGGGATAGGCATGATTGTGATTGTTTGGGTGGGGTTTTTTTGGGTGGTTTGGGTGGTTTGGAGGAGAGTGGTATAGTGGAAGGATTTATAGATGAGAATTATATGCAATGTAGTTCTGATGTGACGGTGGCTTATATATGTCCACACGCCTCCAATGACTTCATGGGTTATCTTTGCGCTGACATCAGACAACGGAAGGCCGATATCCGGATAGAGACTGCAGCCGGCTTGATCAGGTTATGTGGCTTTCAGTGCCAGATCATCCCAGATTGTTCTAGGCAACTTGGCGTGTCCAGTCATAGAGTCGAATCACATCGACTGCTAGTGGAGATGGCGGGGCAAAGTGACATCATGACCTTGACTTGTTCCTCTCTCCCCTCGGTCAAGTTCCTCTTGAATGATGATACTCTACAGAACAGAAGAAAATGTTTGCAATGGTTATTTGAAATCGCCAGTCCATGCTAGAAGGTTCATTATTACCTGTTCTGTATTCTCCTTGTTGAAGCTATGACCTCTACACGAGGGACCCACTCTTTTGATCGCCAAGGAACAGTATAGAATCGGCAACTTCACTGCTTTCCAAGGTTCGAAATCATATCAACCGTAAGGTAGTCATCCATGGTAGTTCCCAGGTAGTATCGTGGGGTTTTGTAGCTCAAAGTGCATGAGACTTTGTCGGAGCCCTAAAAAGTCATGACGGACACGATAAAAGTCGTCGACTCAGCCATGCCAACAAAAGGGGACCCTCGGCCACTTCCAGAACGGGCATGTAGCATATTTTTCTGAGTTCATTGTCAATATGGAAAGCCAGCCTGAAGGAATCCCCTCTACTCAACCTGGAGGGATTCCGGCTACCCAATCTGAAGGAATCCCTTCTACTCAGTCTGAAGGAATCCCACCGACCCAGCCAGTCCAAGAAGGTGAACATAATAGAAAGATACACCGATCCTCCACAGCAAGCACCTTACACCACAACAACTTTAAAGATTCATTCTTCTCGAGGTAGGCACCACAAGACCTTTTGGTGTAGTTGTGACTTAGCTAACTACGTTATAGATTCCATTCTTTCTTCCATCGAGACAGTCATATCGGTCATGTCGGGCGTCACCCTTTGCGCGACAACGAAAACATCGAAATACACACCTGGAATGGCCCAGACGACCCGGATAATCCGTAAGACACCAGCGAATAATCTGTATGAGAAGTTTACTGACAATATAGGTTCAATTGGAGCAAGACATATAAATGGATACTCACTCTGACTATCTGTTTCATGTCAGTACCATCGATCTCTCCCATTTAGCTAGGATAATACTAACCCATTCCAGTTCAATCTTGACAGGCCTACCGGCTGGATCCTACGGTGCTGGTAACGATTACATGGCAGAGCGCTTCCATGTGCAAAATGTGCCATTTCCAAATCTTGCATGGGCCACTACCTCTTGGAATATGGGCGCTGCATTCTGGCCCATGATCTTTGTTCCAATGACCGAATCATCGGGACGTATGCCTGGCTACTTTGTTGCATATTTCATTCTAGTCATCTCGCTGTTTCCCTCGGCCTTTGCGAAAAACTTTGCCACGCTAGTCGTTACTCGATTCTTTGGTGGTGGCGCCTCATCGGTGTCTATCAATATCGTTGGTGGTAGTATCAGTGATGTCTGGTATGGTGACAAAGCTCGGAGCTTGCCTATGTCTCTGTTCGGATTTACCAGTGTGGTTGGAATCGCTTTGGGTCCATTTATCGGTTCAGCGATTCTACAGATCCATCGAAGCAGCCCGTGGAGATGGTAAGTTTTAGTTTGGAATATTGCTATTGATAGATGGAACATCACTGACAAACTCTTAGGATCTTCGTCATTCAGATCGTTTACAATGCAGGATTAATTCCAATCTTTTGGTTGATTCTTCGCGAGACCCGTGCAGATGTGATCTTGAAGAAACGTGCTAAGAAGCTCCGCCTCGAGACCGGCCGCCCGATCTACGCCGAGGCCGATTTGGACACCACCAGCGTCTGGAAATTAATTCAGATTTCTTTCGAGCGCCCTACACGAATGCTGCTTACCGAGCCTGTCGTCATTTTCTTTACTCTATGGGTCAGCTTCGCCTGGGGAATTCTGTTCCTCTTCTTCTCGAGTGTCGCCCAGACGTTTACGCATAATTACGGATGGACTACCATGCAGACCGGTCTAGTGCAACTAGCCATCTCGGTCGGTGCCGTGATTGGCACAGTTTTGAACCCTATCCAGGATTGGATTTACCTCAGGTCTGCGCGCCGAAATAAGGAGCGTCCGGGTAAATCTATCCCAGAGGCCCGGTTGTACACTTCTATACCTGGTAGTCTGTTGTTTGCGGGTGGACTTTTCTGGTACGGCTGGGGTAGTGTTGGCGATGGTTCCATCACTTGGATTGTACCGGCGTTGGGAATTGGCTGTACTGGTGTGGGAATTTACTCTATCTATATGGCTGTGGTCAACTATTTGACTGATGCATATGAGAAATATGCTGCTTCGGCGTTGTCGGCTGCCTCATTGGGACGCAATACTTTCGGTGCCTTCTTGCCTCTTGCGTCTTACCAGCTTTTCCAGAACCTGGGCTATGGCTGGGCTGGGTCATTACTCGGCTTTATCGGACTTGCTTTATCGGTTGTTCCTGTTGTGCTAGTACTCAAGGGCCCAGAAATCCGTCGGAGAAGTCCATTCATGCGTGAGGCCATGTTTGACCCTGGTTCTGACACTGAGAAGGATCGAGCATCGGAAAAGACGGCGGTGTGATAGACCACTTCTTTGGGAATTGATGGTCCTGTGTCAAATTGCTGATGAAACCGAACCAACAACATGGAGGTGCACCGTGTACGTACCATATGTGGGCTTGTTTCAGCTGGTCGTTCGGTTGATATTTATCAAGTGACCCACAAAGTATTTAATCAATTAATGCATAATTCAAGATGAAAGCAGACAGTACGCTCACTAGAATCCACCAGAGTAGGTAGGTATCACTTTTTGCATGCGTCATATGCCAGAAGTAGACTGAATGAGTAGATATAGCTATGCTGTTGCCTCCAATGGCACATGGTCTGTTCGTCATTCAGATTTGGCACCTGGGTGACTGCGGCAACTCATGTAGTTAGTAGATATTAGGCACAACTGAGGGTTCAAGGTCTATCTTCATGAACAAACCATCATCTTGGCCCCACAGGCGTCGTTGCGCCAAGACCAGGCACGCAATCATTGTGTTGATGATATTTTCTCGGCGCGCAGTCTCGCCTCAAGTTTTGTACTGGGAAGAGTTTCCTTCGAAACGATGTACTGCATCTCCCTAAACAGGCCTAAGCACGGCTTAGGTTTCCAAGCAAAATATTGCCCCTATTTTGCAGCCTAAGTCTCTCCAGATGAAGGGCTCGGGGTCGCTACTCCGCTTAATCAGCCAGCAGCTTCGAGCCGCAATCCTGATGTCCTCTAGGGCTATATTAGGAAACGCTTTAATTGGATCTGTTTTCAATCTACGAATCCCTATTCGCCCAGTCTGGACGGTTTTCCCTAAATTGAATAAGCTCATGGGGCGCAGATTGCCAACGAGCAGCATTCATCGACTGTTGACGCGGCGCCAAGCAAGCTTGCGTCCGGAGATGACCCGAACTTACCACCATTCAGGTCTAAGCCATTGATCATGCAGGAAATTTATTCATCCCACTGTTCCAAGATGCCGTGTCTTTTTACAATGACACGCGTCGGAAGACGACGAGGTATCGCGAAGGGGTATAAATCTAGACCGTTGCGGCCATGAAGTCTAGTCCTTCAGAAATAATCAGTACAATCGTATCTTGTTCAAAATGGTCCAGCTGTCCAAATTCCTCGCTATTGTAGCTGCATGTCTTGCAACCCCTTCTCTCGCCCACCCAGGAGAGAAGCACGATCCTCACGTCGTGAAGCGTGAGATCCATACCCGGGATGCCATGGCTGCCCACGCTAAACGATCGCTCGGTGGTTGCGAGAGCACCTTGCACGCCCGCGAGTTGAGCAAACGTAGCATTGCCCGTCGCTCGCGTACCGTCCAGACACTCCGCCAGAAGCGCGGAATCACTGCTGGTAAGTCAGGTCCTTGATCAGATTTCAGATGACCCATAAGAAATCCGCTAACGTGCATCAAGTTCCCCAGAAATGGCGCCGCGACCTTGCTGCTCTGGAGAAATGGGAGGCTATCGATCACAACCGGACTGGCATACTGGATTACAGCCCTGCCACTCCGGAGTCAGTCGTCTTCGGTGCCAACACTAGCTTCGTTCTGTCGCCCACTATCACTGACGGTCCCTACTATGTCTGGGGTGAGGTCGTGCGTCAGAATGTCAAGGAGGAACTGTATTCGGATGGTGTGGATGTTTTCCTTGAGGTGCAGTATATCGATGTAAACACCTGCAAGCCTGTGCCTGGTGCAGTGGTCGATATTTGGCAAGCCAACGCCACTGGAGTGTACAGGTATGTTCCGAATGGATGTCGCGGCAAACCTCCCCATTGAAACCAAACTTATATCTAATCATGCTTGCCATGAACAGTGGAATCTCAGAGTCAGGAAACTACGCCGCAGACGGCTGGGACTCAACCTACCTGCGCGGTATCCAGCAGACCGACCGTGATGGTGTTGCAACCTTCGAAAGCATCATCCCAGGCCACTACGAAGGCCGGGCAACACACACGCACCTCCTCACCCACCTCAACGCAACCCTCCTGCCCAACAAGACCCTCAAAGCCGACACCGGTAGCGTCGCACACATTGGCCAGCTCTTCTGGAACGAGGTTCTTCGCACTGCCGTCGAAGAGACATACCCCTACAACACCAACACGCAGGATGTCACCTCCAACGCCGAGGACATGTGGAGTATCGAGCAGGCTGATAGCGCATACGATCCTTTCCCGGAGTATATTTACCTGGGTGAGGGCTTGGATGATGGATTGTTCGCTTGGATTCAGATTGGAATCAACACTACCGCTGATTACACTGATGACTCGTACTACAGTATTGCGGCTTTCCACAATGCTGATGGTGGTTACCAAAATACTGATAGCTCGTTCGGTGGTGGTAGCGGTGGTGGTGCTCCTTCCGGTACCCCTGGTTCTGCTCCTAGTGGTAGCGGTAGTATTGTGCCCAGTCCATCTGCCTCATCCGGTGCCTCTGCTTGAAGGATGAACGAAGGAGGAAGCCAACTTGGGGGATGTGACAGTAAAGCTTTCCCTCTAGGGGAAAGCTAAAACCCACCACGAAAAATCTGACAATGTATCCGTTTCCCAAGCATTGTATACAAAGCTATTGGGCACATCTTGACCGGCTTCATGCCCCTCTTTCTAATTGTCCCGTAAGAAAGACCACTGATCTATAGGAGCATAACGTAACCAAAACTCTGGCACGTGAGTTAGGGCTAGATGAAAGTTCACCGAACACGAACGATTAACCCCTGAACGGGCCAGATTGTGGTTGTGGCGGGCTTAGTGTGAATAGACCACGCACGGATGCTCCAATTTTGGAGATTTTCCTGAGGAAAAGCATCAAAATTGGAGCTACAAAGTTTTCCTCTTTTTTTTGTTGCGTCAATCATCTCTTAAGTAGATCTTTAGCCGTGTCAAGCGCACATCTTTCCAGTATAGGGTGTGCGGACTTGGCTACCAGTCTCTAATCGCCAGTGTTCAAACTTTTTGCATCGAGGGTTCTGAGCGCCCAGCTTTTTTATATGTTTCGGACTATTTTTCTCCCCTGTTTGTCCTAATTCAGCGTAGACATCGCGGTTGACTCGATCGCCTCCCGTCTCGTGCTTGTCGATAGGGTTCTAGCATTCCAGCCCTACAGATTAATCAGCAGAATTCCCCCAAAGTCCACCAAGTGCCTCTTCAATGACGCTGTCGCATATGGCAACCCTTCCTAAGTCATGCTTAACCGAATTACGGTGGAATGAATGTTCAGAACCCTCAATAATTGTTCATCGAAGAGTTTGGAGGCCAAGTGGAATCTGGGCCCATGGACCTCGGGGCCTGGGGGCCTCGGGCCCTTCACGTTGCCGGGATCAATAAGGTAAAACGTGGTCTCCAAAACAATAACCTTGGAACTTTCGACGGAGTCCCCGCTACACTGTCGTATTCGAGGACCGAGCTGACTAGCCCGTTCGCCTGAAACCACTTCCATCAATTCGACTATTATGCGGGCGGTGCCGGAGTCCTGAAATGGAGGAGAGCCGGCATGGCAAAACTCAATGCGCGTTGTGCCACCATCTGCCCATAATCTTCCTCTTTTTCTTTTTTCGAGAGCAACCGTGAGTATCAGATATCTGGTTGGAGTCACTCAAATTTCAAGAAAGCAAAATTGCTCCGCTATGTACTCTAACCCCAACATGTCGGCCCATTTGAGTCATCTCGTCTGCCGATCTGTCGCAAATAGTCTCGATCCGAAGATCCAATACCCATATGCCCCCACTATGCGAGATATTATTCATGATTCATGTCTGCAGGGGGGGCGGCTCCCATATTTTCAAGGCCTGACGCCCACTTTGGGACTTTTGGTATAAAACTTAGAGGTCTAGAGCCAACAATGTCAAGATTCTATTGAAGTTAGAATAGCCGGGGATCTTCAAATATAACCACGAGGGAAATTTCCACCTTGTCTGTCGATTTCTCTTTTGATCTTTGCTTTCTATAACTGCGGGTGGAATGCCCATCCCCTCCGCTTGTTCATTATGGATGTTAAAATTGACGTACCTGAGGCGGGTGACTTCGATGACAGCCGAAACAAGGCAATCTTGATCGTTACTTCTGTCTTCTTCGCTATCTCACTGCTGAGCGTTATTTTAAGATGCTTCGTTCGCACACAGGTCGTTCGTGCTTGGGGGTGGGATGATGGTACTATGGTTATAGCCATGGTGAGTGAACCTGCACCTTCCACTACACGAACAACATCTAATACTCCTTTCCCTATAGGCCCTCAACACAGTCTTCGCCATCTGTGGAATTGTTGGATGTAAATACGGACTCGGGAGGAAATTGGCTTATTTCACCCAACACCCAGACGACTTACACCGCGCAATGCTCGTACGATCCCAGCTCTAGCATCCCGAAAACAAACTCACATCTGTCTAATAGTGCTGGTGGATAGCCCAACTCTTCTACGTATTGACCTGCGTCGTCGCAAAAGTCTCTATCATCATCGCCCTCCTCCGCATCACCGTCTCTCGTGTACACGCATATATCCTCTACGCCGCTATGGCCCTCGCCGCTGTCGTGGGAATCGTCTTTTTCTTCTTCACTATATTCCAATGCACTCCCGTCGACTATTTCTGGAATAATGCGCAGCCAAACGCGCATGGCTCGTGCATTGATAAAGATGCCCTCATCGGTATCGCCTACTTGTATAGTGTCGGCGCCGCTATTACAGACTTGACTATTGGATTGCTTCCGGTAGCCTTGATCTGGAATTTACGCATGAATCGCCGCACGAAGGGTGCTATGGTCGCTATTTTGGGCATTGGCTGCATGTTCGTGGTTCCGATGCACTTGGCTTCAACGCGTTTGGTGGCAAATACTAATATCTCTCTGCAGTGCGAGTGCTGCAGTTATTATTCGCATCCCTTTCGTCCACTACTACAAAGATAAAGAATTTCTATGTGCGCATCCTCTATTTTCCCCGATTTCGACGCCTTGCGTTCCAATACGGACATATCCGCTAACAACAAACAGACGCTACTTACCAGATCTCTATCTGGTCCAACGTCGAAGCGGGAATCGGCATCACAGCAGGCTGTCTAACAACCTTCCGTCCCCTGGTCCGCTTCCTCCGCGACGGCTCCTCCAATGGTCTAAGCCGTACACCAAGCTCGTTTCCACTATCTAACAACGTTGCCGGCGGCTTCCATCGCTCCACGGCATCGAAGCAGATGTCCCCTGACGACGGGCGCCAGCTCTGGACGGGCAGAGGGAGTAGTGATGAATGCCACGGCGTTACGACAACTATCTCCGGTGCTCATCAGAAATCGCCTAGTTCCAGTGAAGAGGATTTAGCTCCGTATAGAAGCGACCTCGGTGCTCCTGGGTGGAAGGTCGAGAGGTCTGTTCGCGTGTCTGTGCGCAATTCATGACTTGACAGGCCTGAAAGTCTAGGCCCATGCATAACTATCATTAATGTTTATAATAATTTATGTAAATTTATGACTCTTCAGTCAACACTACGCTCGGAATGGTTTTCTTATACGAGGACAAGGATGGCCTGTGTGCTCAGCCGTTGAGCAATCAACAGTCGCCCGGACGCACTATCTAAACAAGACGATATTTAATATTTACGCAGTGCAAATGAGGCAAGGTAAGTTACTTGGATTTAGTCCTGAGATGGTCTTGACACCACCATATTGCCCCTGCCGTAGGATGTCTGATATTTCTCAGCTCGAAGGCAAAGTCAATAATCCCTCCGAGATGGGACTCTGAATTTCCATTGGCTAAATACAGGTGGCGAAAGCAAAGGAAAACGATTTCGCCTGCGCTGCCTATTTTTAGTCGCCGCGAAGGACTACCTAGGCTAGCTGGTCCACGTCGCCAAGATTTGTTGATATTGCCGACGATCCTGATCCTACGATGTACAAGCTTCATCGCCCCGGCTCAAAGCTAATGCAGGCAATTGCATATTCCATAGAGCCGCAATATCAAAGACCTAGTTCTGTAAAATTTTCAGGAGTCTTGAAATGAAAGTCCGCTGGGATATTATATTCAATATTTGCTGAAACATGCTAAGTCAATTCACACATGGCATCATACACAACCGCCTGGGTAATATTCCTATTTATTAATTTCACTGTTTAGACTCCTCGGTCTTTGCACGCACAAGGCCCTCCTGAGACTCATGGGGGTGAACCGCATAGACGTCGACAACAGTCTTCGAAAACTTGCGCGCACTGACTTTCTGGACAAACAGGACATCCAGCTCAGCGTAGGTGCGGTCTTTCGCCTCAGGGAGTCGGAAAAATGCCCAGACAAAGGCACAGAGTGCGGTGGCACCCCAGAAGAATCCAGTCTTGCCGGAGGCGTTCCACGCTGTCGGGTTCATGAAGTATGGCTCCAGCACTTGTGACACGACGTTGATGATCTGGTATGCTGTGCGAGCAACGCAGACAGTCAGCGGACGCAGACGCATGGATGAGGTCTCTGAGACAATAGCGTATGCGATCGGTCCAACGGTCAGTGAGTAGGTTAAGAGCCATGCGAAGCAAAGTCCTGCTTGCGCCCACTTAATACCGTTTGCTTTTGAGGACACGTCGAGAATGCCAATCAGGAAGAGGATTGCGCAGAGGATACCCTGGCCCCAGACGTAAAGTGTGCGACGGCCGAATCCGGTGATCAGCCACCAGGAGAAACAGGTTCCACAGAAGGCAATGGCAGTGCATCCGACGCCAAGCTGGAAGGAGTTGTTCACATCCAGACCGGCATTAATGAAGAAATAGGTAGGGGAGTAGGCGAATGTACTACCGGACAAAATTTGACCGACAAAGGCCATGCAGCAGATCTCGGTGCGACGAAGGTCAACTCCCTTGAAGCACTCGTAGTAGGTGGTGCCGGCTACAACCTCCGATTCTAGCTTGATCGTGTGCACCATCATGGCAAGCTGTCCGTTGATCTGGTCTTCGGTCTTGCTACCGCCAAGTCGGCGGATGCTGTGCTTCGCATCTTCCAAACGATCCTTGCGGACGAGCCACCAGGGACTCTCGGGTGCGAGCCAAGAAATGACAATCAAAGGAACGGGCCAGATCCACTGCAGAGCGAAGGGAATGCGGTAGCCCCATTGGTCAGTTCGATCGACGAGTCCGTAGAGGACACCGGAGGCGATCAGCTGGCCGATGGCCCAGCACAAATTGACGTAGATGGTGAGGTAACCGCGCAGCACAGTCGGGCACACTTCAGATGCGTAGGCCGGTCCAACAGTGGCGAACACACCCCATGAGAGTCCGCAAAGGATCTGGCCGACCAGGAGAACTGCTGCCGAGTTGGCGAAGAATGTGATGAAGATCAAGGCCGTGAGAGCAGCAAGGGCGACGATCATGACAATTCGGTAACCGTACTTGGACGCCATGTATCCGTTCAAGATACCACCTGTTGATCATGTCAGCGCTTGTCGTGGGGTGGGCAATTAACAGAAGAACTCACCGAAGATACATCCAACAGTACTGGCCATGCTCAGGCCTGTCTGCCAAGGTGCAGACACCTGCCATCCGATATCACCACCATAGTCTTGTCCATACTTTTTGTTGAACGAGGGGTAGGCAAAGAAGTTGCCCATCAGGATGGTATCGTATCCCTCCATGATAATGCATGCGGAGATCAAAACAGACCACATAACGGCCTTGCGGTTCTCACGCAATGCCTGCATCAGCGTCTGTGAGTGCTCATCGTCGCTGGCCTGTTTGGCTTCGTGAATGGCGCCGTGGCCCAGGGTATCTTCGACATGGTTGGCGGCGGACTTTTCCACCGCAAGTACAGTATCAACTGTGGACGCCATAGTGGACATAGAGATATGGCGATTGATGATTGTGATACAAGATCCCACCAAGTCTCAGACAGGGGGAATGGTCGTCTATATACGTGAATTCTCGCAACATCTGAATAGCTAAGATCCACATCTGCATTAGTGTGCATCCGGGGTTGTGGAGAAAAAAAGGCCAATCCGGCACCTGATCCCCAGACTGTCCTCAGCCCACCTGGTATTCAGGCTAATTGTTGTTCTGGGTAAAGTGTCGAGAGACATCTCTGAGTCGTACAACATCCTGGTCAACTTGCCTAGACCAAGTCTGGAATGTCGGACGTGATGGTGTAAAATTCGCACCTATCGGCAATAGGAATATTGCCAGGTGGAAATCTTAGGATCAATTCAGCCGCCAGTGGTGTTAGTGTCTGGGGAAGCGAGGTTGGGAGGAAGACGAAAGTGCGATGTGATTGGACACAACCCGTTAGCGCTAACGCCCCAGGAATGTGGGAAATGAAGCTATTCCCTTCCTGTAACGGCCAAAATGGCCGAACCTGCAGCTTGGAAGAATTCCTGACAGAAAAATTTAAGAACCCGGCCGAATCTTTTTCCCCCATTGGAAGAATAGCATGTCAGGTGCCTTGAGGATATTCTCCCACGGTGTATCGGGCCGGGGTGTTGACCTGAACCCATCCATCGGTAATGTACCAGCCTCCCCGGATTCCGGACGTTGGAACGGTTTTCTCTGGGGAATCTGGGGTTTGCGTTACATTTATAGGACGCTTAGCCTTCGACATATGTGTCGCGCATTCAATTGATGTCCAGATCTCGATCGCCAAGGGGCTATCCACGCTTGTCGATTCAGCATAACACTCGACTCTCTTGTAAGGGATCTCTAAGTGTCTCGACCTATGTTGTAGACAGCTCACGGGTATTTTACCCCACCTTCTGGCCAATCATACCAGTTTGATGATCCAAACCATGTGGGCTTCCACGGGTGATACCGGTGTGAATGGATGTTTCTATAACACCATCCATGAGCTCACATGTCTGGGATTCTGGCAAGTTGTGTAAATAGGCTGAATCCAAAAGTCTCCAGAGCAGTAAGGAGAGGGGAATCAAGATCGATGAACACGGAGTAGGGAGGACGGAGTAGATGTAGTAGAAATATACGGAGTACCCAAACAGGTCTAGTTCCAAGGTTGATCTGCTACCTAAGGCTTTCAAGAACGGCCGATCTTCCTCTTTCCTTCTTAGACTGTCACTGCCAGCCCTTCCCAACAACAAACTCCGTGTTTGGGTACTCCGTACTCCGTACAGTACGCGAGATTCCATCGATGCCGCATACGGCGTCATGTCCCTTACGAGGCACCCATCATGGCCAATCCCAGGCTCGAAAAGGTGAAACTTTGATGTCGCCCACTGTGGCGTCACTCTCTGTGTATGGCAGATTGCTAGTTGCCTAAATGCGACCGAGTCCGACTCCAGCACCCCGATATCCCGTCCGACTCCTTCGGCCTTACAGCAACTAGCTCATTTGAGTCTTGCCTAGACTTTCCCGAGCCTTGGACTTTTTCCGATGATTCGGTGTGTCATTTGACGCCATTATTCTCATGGCGCCCTCTCTTAAGGGGTAACAAGCACCCCTCGAAAGCAATTCCCATCATCAAACCACGTGCCCAATATCTCCAGGCCCTTACTATCATCAAGCCACCTCCATGAGGCTGAAAGCCTTTGCCGCCAAATTCTGCTGGAGAAGGAAAAACGTTCAGCATCACCATTCCAGGCTGGATAATGGGCCGTTCTCGAAATCGGCCTTGAATAGCCATTTATCAATTTGGGTCCTGCCCGGCCTACATCAGAGTATGGACAGATGATTGGAGGCTCTGTCTGGAGTTAGGACACTAGGAAAACCGACAATCAGCGCAGCCCACAAGCCTCATTTTTTTCAATGTCGTATTAACATTCTACCGTTTTTTACAGTGCCTGCGTCTGAACTGTTGTTGTGTCCACGAGATCCTCCAGGCCTTGATAAACTCAGTCGCCTCAATAGAGAGCTACGCGAAACCTTGGAAAGCTCGATCAGGATGTACCATGGGCAAGATACTAGAGTTGCGAATGATGTCGGTATGTCCCTGGTCAGGAGAATGAATTAGATAGGAGGGAATTTGAGGCCTGAAGTTGCCTGACCCATGGAGGTGAGGACCAACAAGTGCTCAAAGGAGAATCATGCTGTAGCTCAACTCAGCTCAATCAAAGAGCTCGATATCTCACTATCCCTTTGCACCTTGCAAAAAATTGGGCCTATACTTGAACATCACCTCCCTACCCATCCTACTCTTCTCATCCCTTGTACAGAGGTGTCTCTTAGCTGGTCATCAACTTTTAATTAACGGGGACACTTTTCCCAGAGAATGAACAAGAAGTCGTAAGGCAACTCTGTCGCTTTCCTTCCCATACACACGGATGGTAGAGATTCTATTCCCCAATAGCTCACACTGGAAGTTATCAAACCATGCCAGAGGTATTGTGGTATACCTACTATCACTACGTCGCACACTGCAGCCATGGCCGGTTTACTTTGAGTACAGCTCAAGAAATTCGGATGTTTGTAAGGAGAATAGTGCAGATAAACATGACTCAAAAAATCGTTAAGAGGCGAACCGACATCTTGAATTGAAATATCATCCATGTCAGGAATATACATGCGTATCAGAATAAAGATGCAATGACCTAAAGAAGGGATGAGGAAGAGGCTACCAAATATATTGATGGGATAAGTAAGTCACATAATGCATGTCTATTCTTTGATAAAAGGCAGGAAAACACGCAGCGTTGGGAACCTTCTGCTATGGTAGTGTACAGGGTAGACGTCGCAACACCGCCAGTGTGCATCAACGGGGGTATAGTGGGAAGTACAAAAGCAACGCTCATGCGATGAGCCAAAACAAGCAAAGCTCAGCTCCCATCAATCCGAATCAATGTCCTAAACTCATTCTCCCGAATACTCGTCTCGGGAATCATGAGTCGCATAACCCAATACGTCTTCAGATCTGTAATGCTTACATCCCTCCCCGACCAGTGTATAGTCCAGTTGGTCTCATTGTTCGATCCGAGAAACAGCCCTTCATCAGGTATACCGCGGTGGTAATGTCTGTATGCCTGTACAGGTGCGGCTTTTGGTTTGCCCCAGACCAGTCGTCCTGTGCTAGGGTGGTGGTCTATTCCGACGGCGTGCCAGTCCAGTGCGCCCGGGGCGGGACCGGAGAGGACGTATGCTTCAATTTGGTTGAGGGCGCCGTTGCAGCGGAGCGTTGTTTTGAGGTTATTTTGGTCGCTTACGATTGTAATCTAAATCATTGTTAATCATGTTGATTTGCTAACAGTGTGTTTATATATATCCACGCATGGATTGCATCCGTAGGGTTGGAACTTACGAATCCATGCTCGATAGTCTTAGGTCTATCTTCTCGCTGTCGTGTGATATCCTGACCGGATTCAAAGCCCTCGATGCTGCATAATCCCCGAGTCGCCGTTCCATTGTAGCAGCCATCAACCTTGAGTGTCCAAGGTCCGGCAATCTTTGTGTGATTGTCGTAGGATGGAAATTGAGAACAGTCTGTGACAGGCTCGATGAAGGTACTTCGCTTCCATGGTTGTGCACTGGTTAGTAGGAATAGAGACGAGAAAAGAACAGTGGTAAGCATTGTGAAGGTGATGATGGTGAAAAGTATAGAAGAACCGTCAGGTTTTGTCATATTTTCGTACTCAAAATCTGGCAATCTTTATATTTCTGGACCCAGTGCCTTGGTTTAGCCTCACCTATAAATTCTCATAATTTCTCCGAGTTCTATCCACACAATAAGACACGGGACATCGGCCTCTCTCTAGGCTCCAGCAAACCAAGCATTGGGCTGATCGGCCAAGACCCTGTATAGCCCACTTGGCGGTCAAACTAGAGGATTTAGAGATCTTCAATTGGCTGAAAAATCGAGCATACAGGGCACCCTTTGCACCCTTTTCTTAATGGGCCTGTTTGATTGGAAATGAGGGTTCGATCTCCACATGGTCTCTCTTTCGCTGCCTACTAAAAGGCTTGACTTGGGGCCAAATTGTGGAACGTTACCCTATATTTGTTCTTTTGTGATCTATTTTAGACCCTGAAATTGAGACACTCTCAAACAAAAAGAAAACCCTGAGCCTGCTCGCCAATAATGTCTCTTTGCGTAAAGGCTTGGCCTAAACCTTCTTGTCAGGTATTTCTCTTCCCTAGATCGTCTGGGAATAGCAAGCAAAGTCATTAAATTGAGTGGTAACATTGCTTCTTTTAATTTGGTGGCCATCAACCAAGGGGAGAAAATATCCAGAAACCAGAAAAGACACACCACATAGGCCACTGTTCTTGTATTTCATAACATGTCATAAAACATCTCCACATATGCTCTATAGATGCTAGTCTACTGGCGAGCCAGAAGTCCTTCGGCTTCCTGGGAATACTCGGCGGGTCCACCATGTGACTTGTCCAGGGTTTCAGCCATAGCCAACCCTTCCCGCCGACCCTTGTCCGCATTAACCATCCACACGAGGGGAATCGGTAGAAGTATGAGAACCGCAATGAAGAAAAAGCCACTCCGGACTTGCCCGGTCGCATCGACAAGTACGCCCACGATGGCCGGTCCAATAAACGAGCTCCCCTTGTCTGTGGCAGCATAAAGAGCGTAGAACGCAGCCTCGCTCCCGGGGGGAATTAAGAGTCCGAAGAACGACCGGCAGTATGACGCTAGTCCGCCCGAAACTACCCCGTGCACAATGGCTAGTGGGAAGATCTCCCACGGCTGTTGTAACCCGAACACACCCCAGCTTTTGATGAACGGGATGTAAGCAAGCAAGCCATAAAGTGGGATCAGCTCAAACAGGCCAATGCACAGGAGGATGGTGTGATTAGGCTGCAGGCCGAAGTACCGTGATACATGTGGCCACAAAAATGCGCCTGTCATCCCGGATACCGTGGCGGTGATTGAGAGGAGTCCGATCAGGGGGGGTGCTTAGTTTGAGTTCTGTGCGTGCGAAGAGAATTGCCGTCCCAGAGACGGTGGCCATCGCGTCCGAGAGTAGGAACCATGCTACAAGGAAGATGATGACTTCGCGCAGTTTCATCGCTATTTTGACGGTCTTCCATAGGGATTTCCAGGCAAACCCGATCAGGCGCAACCAGGCCCGCCATCTGCCTGCGCCTTTGGTGGAAACCGAGTCCAGCCGGGGCCCTGGCCGTGTCTTGAGCAAATTACGAGTGACCAGGGTGAAGGCGCCCCACCAGATGCCGACCAGTAGCAATACGAAGCGCATGGGAAGACTGGGGGATGCTTTTGCAAGCGAGGTCTTGGATAATGTGATCAGCATGATAATGCTAATGATTTGCACAAATACCGCTGCGCAATATCCGAGACCAATGCCTCTGGAGGAGATTTTGGTGGACAGCTGCAGCTCCGGGGAGGATGAGGGCGAGGCTTTGAATCCCATACCACCTTCTAGTGAACTATGTGGCTCTCCTGGCGGCTGAAGTCCATCTAGACTATCATCGTCGGCATCATCGTTACCCCAAGCATTCCATTCCGAGTTACCCTCATCTCGGTCGAAGCTCGACATTTCCGCTCCGTCATTGGCGTCCCCAGCTTGCAAAGATGGGTCGTTGGCGACAAGCACGGGCAGGTATGAATTCAGCACAACAAAGGATGAGCCAAGACAGGTCACCCCGACGACGACCAATATCGACCCGAGAACGAAGATTGGTGGTGCAACGAAGACGAACAACATGCTGGCGAGCGCACCGGCAAATCCGAATACCATAAGCAATGTTTTGCGGTTATTCTCTAAACATCCAACCAGACAAAGCTGACGTTAACTCATGTCCCTTTTTCGCACTATACATTCTCAGTCCGGCATTCTGTAATCATACCGTAATCCGCCAGCGCGCTGAACGATATTAGTGTTAGCGCCTGGATAAGCACTGCCACCGAGAAGGTGTACATGGCAAAACTGGCCGTGTTGATCTCAAGACCAAAGACCGGGACCACACATTGGCCATTTTCAGCATTTGTGCTGTTCCCTGCCGATGGTCCGGTGCAGGGAAGGCGACTCGTTTGTAGGGTACCGCGCTCTCGAGCTAATTGTTCCAAGGTGAGGGGTAGGAAAGATCCTAGTAGGAATAAGTATTTGAATTCTTTTTTTATAGTAAAAATATGTCTTCACGAACCTACGCCACAGACCGCGAACACTTCAGCCGCAATTCCGTACGAGTACCATCCTAAGATCTCCCGGCGACTCGTTGGGGTAGTATCTTCACCGGCATACCGTGGTGGTCGCTGCTGTACACCTTCGTCTGGCGACAGGGACCGGAAGGCATCAGAGATATAGGATAGCATGAAGGAGAAAGTTGTTGAAATTCTCCCAATCCAGAAATTCCGGAACCCAGGTACCACACATCGACGGATGCGGGCGGAAGCTCCAGGGCTGGGCCCCCAACAGCATTCCAAAGGTTGCTGATGTCATTAGGATCGACACGATCGGCACCCATTCAGGAAATATCTATCCGTACGCCGTACATAGCTCTATAAACATACAAAGTGCTCCGTATATGACCTATATGTATTGTTAACTGCTCTCACATTCTTGCTATGGCTGCTGAATAAGAAATCCTCGTATGGTTACCGACACATCTGCTATCAGAACAACATAGGCCTGACATAGCGAGGCAAATCATACACCCTGGAGTTATGTCATGAATTTAGTCTTTTGCCAAATCAAACCAGAGCTATTAGGGTCATCATGTACTTCCAGGGCCGAACGAAGCATAATATTAGCTATTTTGGCCAGCCATTTGGAAAATTGCTTATAATGTCAAAGATGCTACCAAATATTATCTAATGGCGGTTTGGCCGAGTGGTCTAAGGCGATTGACTAGAAATCAATTCTCTTCGGAGGCGCATGTTCGAATCATGCAGCCGTCGGTTCTTTTTTTTTATTTGCCCAGCCAATAATCTGGCAGAACCAGGAATTGGTGTTTACAGAAGAAACCCCAGTACTCTGTACGGAGTATAGAATGACATATTAGTCAATCGTAAGATTTCTTTTAAGGAACGTCGGCCTTTGAGGATGTATATTTTTCCACAAGAAACTAAGAATGTAGGATTGAAATGCATTTATATATATATAGGTAACGGTCCAGTCTAACATCTATTCTAATCCATAAAATGCCCTCCCTCTATGGAGGGAACATAAAAAGTTCCAAGTTTGAGGTAACGTCTGAATAGTCGCGACGTCAAGCTGCAGTCACCCATCTTTAACTAGAATGCAGAGATATTCCCGATTAAAATCTCATATCATCCTTCAGCATGCCCGCGGCTGTCTTCCTTCTTGGTCCCGGTTTCATCGGCGGAGAGATCATAGACCTTCTCATATCAAACTATAAAGTGGCAACCCTCATCCGTCGTGAATCAGCCGTTGTAGATTACGCCAATTTGGGCATCGAAGCAGTGGTTGGTAATCTGGACGACGCATTAGTGATCAAGAACTAGGTCGCGCCCAGTGACATAGTCTTCCACACCGCGACTGCAGACCACTTACCATCTGTCCAAGCAATAATCGATGGCATCAGTCAACGAGCGGCACAAGGTCTAAAAACAATCTACATCCACAACAGCGGAGCAACTTTGCTTTCCGACACAGCACACAGCCCGAGGAGACTGCAAGAGCGATACCATATTTGACGATGAGCAGCCCGAACAGATCAATGCCCTTCCTGATTCTGCATCACATCGACTAATTGACCTAGCCATCATCCGGGCAGGCCAAGAACTAGCCTCCAACGCGAAAATGGCCATCATGATTCCGCCCCTTATCTACGGCGTGACCACTAGAGAGAACCGCCTTTCGATCCAATTACCGACGCTCATTCGGTACTCTATCAAACATGGATATCCGGAGCAGATCGGGAAAGGTCTCGCAGTCTGGAACCAGATTCATGTAAAAGATCTTGCTAGGGGATATATGGTTCTGCTGCATTGGATGGAGCGTGCGCCTGTCGCTGAGGTTGCGGAGAATCCCTATTTCTTTTGTGAAAACGGCCAAGAACTGTCTTGGGGCGAATGCGCTACTGAGGTTGGCCGTATACTGAAGGAGACGGGGCGTATTGATCGATCTACGCCGAAATCCATACCGGAGAAACAGTGGGGCGATTTGTTCGGGGATTATTCGGGGATGATGGTCGGTTCAAATGCACGAAATAGGGCTAATCGACTTCGGAAGTTAGGGTGGGCACCCCTGGAGAAGGAGACTTTCGCATCCTTGGCTGAAGATGAGATCCCAATTATTGCGAAGGAAACCGGGGAGCTCACAGGTTATGCCAGCGTGGTTGCCTCGTAATTGGAAATAATCAACTGCCAGGATTTTACCTATGGAATAACATGTTGATTGATATCGAATTGTCAATTCATCGTGTCGAGAGAGCTTTTACAGTCATCCTGTCTCACTCGCACACCCGGGCTGAAAGCGCCAAGATCATGCACCGAGTGAAACATCGTCGCCAATGCTTGCACCTTTCTCTCTCCCAGTCCATGTGCCAAGAGGCAGTCACTGCCTACTCCTTGGAAACCCTGCGGTAGCTAGACGTACCAAGCCAAGGTCAAAGTACCTGGGTGGCCTTGATGAGTACAGTATTCGTGTTGAGACGAACATCTGTTCGTCCTGCTAACCAAGCTCACGTATTGAACCCTAGGGGTTAAATGCTTAAAAGCACATACACACCAGGCGTATCCAAGTACGCACGTCGGAAACTCACAAAAAGGCACATCGAGAGAGGCCTGGTCGCACTTGCCGATTCCGGGCCGGTACAGGGCAGCTTCCCAATTGGGCCACAGTTGCCCTTCTCCGAAGGTCAACATCGCGATCTTTGTGCTTCCTTTTTCTTCACACAAAAAGAACCCAAAGCCCCAGCTCTATTCAATCTATGCGTCATGGTTCTACACTACCTTGAATTCATCCTTGGTCGACTACTGTACTCGATCCGTGGCCATGATTCGGGTCAGATCATCAATTGCTTGGCCTTCAAAGACATTCCTGAGCCAAACATGACCCTTGAAGCACCCGACGTCGGCCCCTCCGGCTCTAAGCTACCTCTACAATGTACCAGCAAGGCCAAAGATGGAAAGGGTTGCCTTCCTGAACTACACTGGACTGCTCCAAACTGTCGCGAGGAAGTTAAAGAGTATGTGCTCCTCTGTGAAGACCTCGACCCACCTATTCCCTTCCTTGTCTTCCATCACGGTCTCCTTTGGGCAATTCCTGCCACGACTACTACGGCCAAACCTGCGAACGTCAAGCCTTCCGAACACGCCAAGATCTCCCGCCTGACCGTTGCTGGTTGGCGCTTTGTGCCCAACATGCTCGGACTGCCATATATCGGTGCTGGTGCACCTCTCGGTCATGGAACCCATCGCTACGTTTTCACTGTCATCGCTCTCAATGAGCCGCTGAAGTTCAAGGCTCCTGAGAAGGTCAGCAAGAAGGATATCAAGCGTTCTATCGCTGGCAAGGTCATCGGTTGGGCCCAGTGGACTGGCACCTTTGAGAAGCCCTGGCCCAACTAGGTCATCATCAACAAGACTTTCTTTCCACGAGCACGACCAGTATGGATGCGTATGAGGAGCGGACCTGAACAATGGGTCCAAGGTACTCGGTCAGTGGATTTGCATTTCTTCTCCCTACATTGAATAGCATCGTCCATGTAAGTATCATTAAACTCCTAATAACAAATAAAATTCATGCCATCGTCATTTTCAACCCTATTGTGCATCTTATAACTAACTTGTTTCATCGTCACCAAAATTACGGAGTAGCTCACGGCCCCTAGGCTAATTCAAAGTACTGTATGTGATAGCTCACGTCAGATCGGAATTGTTCCCAAATTTTGGGCTTGAACGTTGCCAAAAAGGCCTGTTGACCAATGAAAGTCTTTATACATGGGTCTAAATCAGCCCTGGAGTCATGCAGGCTCCCGTGCAATCTCAATGATGGTAGGGATTGTTCAACGGGGATTTGAGACCCTTCTCTCAGGGCTCCAACGAGCAAATTGTATCATTCCACGACAGGCATGCCTCTAGCACTACGCTAGTCCTTTACCCTGGTACTATTCGATTTATCCCGTGAATCATCCACTTCTGGTATCCCAATCAACACTTGCTTCGTTTCATTGATAAACTCATCGACTTGAAAAAAGGCCGATGTGTGATGGAACCCCGAGACTGTGATCGAGCGGTGTTTTCAGAGTTGGGTCCGGCAATCCTCTGTAAGCTTCTACTTACCCGTCTTTCCCTTTTTGCATCTTTTTGGTATATTCCGGAGATGATAAATCCTAATTGAAACACCGTGTCATGAACTTCGACTATTCGGCAGCAACGACGGTCCAGCTACCAGTACTTGACCTTGCCGTAGCCAAGAATCAAGATGAACCGAGCCCTCAGAACTACCTCCCAGTATTTCAATCCGACAGATCTACTTGCCTCACTGCTTTTGAGAATGTCACACTTGAAAAACACCCTAAAATGGCCACTGGTGAAGAGCCCTTCTGTGCTTAAAGTTTTCTGTGCGAGCCAGCTGACACGAAGCCCTTTGCCAGTGCAACTTTACCCATTCCGCATTGTCTGCCGTGTCTATTCTGACTAAACAACTGGCCAGATGCTTCGTTGATGATCCAGTAATTTGCCGGGGACTTTCATTACTGTTCAAGGGTATCTCCCCGGTCGGTAATTAAGCGAATAGCAGTCCCGTATGACTTCAACTTGCAGGGATCGGGCCTCGTCGGCGATTTCCAGAATGCAGCAATCTTGATGTGTAAAATTGGAGTGGCCCACTTACAAGAAAGAGCCACACAGCGTCGATGGAACTAGCTAGATTATCACCACTCGTCGATCGCTTTATACTATTGATATGAGCACCTGGGAATCTGGAGAAGCTCACTAGCTCTCAAGTTCCATTCCGCATTTCACTATATACACACATTTTCACCCAGCGATCACTCAAATATTCGAGTAATCGACTGCAGCCGCCGATCTGTCTCGTCGGCCATTATCAGGTGCCACCCTGAAGATGAGGAGCACTCAAGATCTTGGTGGATAAAGCGGACAATAATTGACAGATGAGACAGACAGCGGCGCATCTGGCGGATGTCCTCCTCCCCCCCAGACGGAATGAACCCCCCCTTGCACCGAGCTAGTGGCCAACTTGACCCTCACCTTCAAAGATCGTGCCGCTTTCTCAATTGCCATGACCAATAAGGTAAGGATTCTAGCCCTGGCGTTTGAAGCAAAGCATACTTGACATTGAAGGATGACCACTCCCTGTTGCTGCACCCTTTCTAGGTGGTGCAAGGTCGTGTACGCCCTTTGGGCCTCGTCGCATCGAACGACTTCACTGAATGCTTGGGCATAACAATTGCAGTGAAGGGAAGACGCATCTTCCGGCAGTGCCTCGAGGTCAATGTCCCGTGTCGGAAGATATTGACTGGGATCAGTGTCAACGGGACCTTGCCAGATTTCATTGGAGGGCAATTCCATGATTCTAGCCGGATCCTGCACTGTTCCGGAGACCTGAATTGCGTTCGGTGCGAGGCTGAAGGGGTAGATTACACCACCTTGAAAGAGTGACGCAGACTGAGTGCTCGGTGCAGCTCCAATGGGAGGCTCGTCGACCATCAACCCGATTTGGGGAGAACAACACTGTGTGGAATAGTCAACATGCGGCTCAGGAAATCGGGGACCCCCAGAACTTTCGAATTCTTCCGCTCGCTCAAACGAGCTGTCCAGGCTGGTATTGGCAAATCCTGGATTGACGTGGCTATTAGCCTCGTTTGTACTGACGAAATCCTGGTCCTGAATCCGGTCTCCATTTGTGTGGTTTTCTGCGAATTCCAACGGTCATCTATTGACACCTATATTCCCAGCTGACTGGTCCTGTGCTCACCTGGAACGTCCAAGCACAACTCTGTGAAACTCGGCCGCTGAAGGTCTTCCTCCGGTGGTGTGACTTCAGTGCCGGCGCTGGAGTCGCTCCTATGCGACCCTTCCCCTGACCTAGGACGCGAGCCGGATGCTGTACCTGGACTCGGGATCCGACTCGGAACCCTTCGCGCCCTCTGCGCCCTTTCTTCTGGGGTTGGCCTCGGTGCCCTCCCCGCACTTCGCCGAGTCGGACGGTCAACTACCTCCGCCTCCCCTCTGCGTGTCTTGAAGCCAGCCACCGCCGCTGCCGGCCGAGTCATCTTCTTCTTGGCAGGTCGGCCCAGCGGCTGCGAGATTGAATAGACACACTCATAGCCGTGACTCTCGCAACGTTCACACGGGCAAGTGTGGCTGCATCGTATCTTCGCTTGTTGGCAGGCGTTACAGGTCGTGCGCATTTTTTGGTTGGGAAGTAGTTGACCGTTGGACTGGAAAGACCTCTTGGTAGGGCTCTCAGCCATGTGCAGATTGTGGCTGAGAAGTCTCAAGGGTTGTTGTTTTCAACTCCGCGATCAATAAGTTTGCTTCTCTCTAGGCCTGGGCCAACTCAAGATATTTATATACCATCTCTTGATCAATTCTCTCTCTAATTTGAGGATCTTTACTGTCCAACAACACAGGATCCCGTTTGATTGCACTCCTGCATTCACGAGCAAAGGCGACACTGTTTCCCCACACCATAATGAGCTCCCCTGACAGCAATTGCCGAAAGCACGAGAAGTTACATGGATCGTGAACTTTACTACTGACAAATAGTTTTGTCCTACCCTCCTTGGGACCTGCGTGCGAGTATCGCGCATGTAGTCGGTGCCGGTCTTCACTGTTCAACGATCGCCAACCTTATCTGACCGTCCATCCATAATAACCCAAATGGCCCGGTATACTTGACGATATTCTCGAATGCCAATTGATTTCAGTAACGCCATCGTATGGTATTCAAATTCGATGGAGTTCGTATTAAATTATTCCTTACGCCAGCCTCCAGGTCGTTGTTGCACATACAGCTGTTTCCATTCTCGAGCGACATCCTATTTCAGTTAATGGCGCATCCAACGAGATTAAGATGGAGATTCAAAAACTTCATTAGACAGCATATATGAGTATGAGCTACAATATCTGCCAGTTGAATGAGAAGCTCTCTGATTACAGCGGCACCTAGAAATCAGCCTGGACATTTTTCTCTGTGCTGCTCCTAGCCGGAGTATTTATTCGTCCAGTACAACAATCGCTTGACGATTCTTATCCAGAAACACCAATTGGTGCGTCATCCCTATCTGAATGAATGCATCTGTCATCTCTAATTCGATTGTTTTATTAGACAACGTCGACCTAGCAACAATTCTTCGATATGCTATACGAATCACTTTGCCTTTTATGGCCCTGGATTGAACCTGTTTTACTGCATCGCATCCCCTCATGGTAATGCCAGTGACATTACTCACTCAACGCCCCCGGCGTAAGGTGGCAATATGGTTGCTAGGGATTGTCACAACGATTCGTTTGGGCCGAAGCTCCGTGAAATAATAGCGAAAAGAGGAGGCATGGATAGTGGTATGGACTTTTGATGAAAGAATGACTCGTCAAACTTGTGAAAACGGAGGTTCATATTGTATCTGATACGTTCTATGCCTCAACCGAGGAAATTGGTCAATTCTAATATTCGAGGTGTAGCTTTGGTGCCAATGTCGACAAGAATTGAGTTCACCACTCAAACCTCATAGTATATAGCATTCCCCTGGGACTATATAATACAGGGACTTTCCTTATAAACACATCTCCACCCTCTCTACCAGGAGAAAAGTAATCCCTTGCTCGGTTCCTACTAGAACCAGATGCAAAAGCCTGTCGGATGGCTTAGAGGGTAAACCACAGGTCACCACCTTTTCAACTTGAGCGTTCCCCCAATTACATACTAAACATGATATCCCCAATGATGCCATAAGAAGTAAGAAAACACCCTGGAAACCACATCTCTTGTGTTCGCTTCAATCCTACAACACGAAATTCACCGCATGTACATGATCTTTCGTATTTCCCCTTTTCGGACTTTACATTCTTGGGGTTCGAACTAGACTCAGGGTAGCTGGGAGGTAGTTGTTAGTTAGCGGTACATTCAATCAAGTCCAAAATTCCAAATCAAAGAGGCTTGTATAGCGTACCACAACAATATCACATCTCCAAGTCTTCACTGAAGCCATAACTCAATAATATCAACCAACCACAGGTTCCATTCACCCCACGCAGTCTCCAAAATCACAGGACCAAGCCAGCCGTTCTCGTAGCACAATCCACGGAACGGAACGAGGTCGTTGTCGCACTATAGGACATTGTAGTTGTCTCGCCTTGGCCGGGTTCATGTCTACCAATGAAATAGTTCATCGCAACAGGAGGATCTAACACTGTTGCCTGTATAAACTCCCTGATATCAAATCCCGCGCGGGCGCTAACAGTCTCAGGAAACACATGAGAGAAACATTCCGGAAATTGATAGGCTTCGGGCTGCTCAAAGAGGAGATACACGTAACGGTGGTGAGTATTTGGCGGTGCCCGAGGAGCTATGTACGAAGCTGTGGGCTGAGGTTGGTCGTCATAATCTTTGCCAGGAACGATTCTGGAAGGAGGTGTTGGCTTTTTACAATCCATCATGAGGTTTGGCTGGTACCAGTGTAGAATGACTGATTGGATGCGTGTTCCGGGTAAGATGGCGTCGAGGTCAATGAAGAAGATCATATATTTCTGGTCGCATCTGAGGTTGATGCTACTGATCTCTGGAATCATAGTAGTCTCTGTGTGGATGTTATAGTATTCGATTTATTGCTATAGCTATTCACACACCTTGAATGTTCAATTCCATACCGGGATTGATCCATTGGCCGCCGGGATACCGTATGTGTAGTTGCTGGCCAGGAGTCGAAGGGAGAATCTGGATTATTTCGCTTAGCACACCAAAGAGAAGTGTAACGAGTGAGATCATATTGTTTTATCATTGGATCAGACGAGGAAAGCAAAAATTGATCATAGCATATCAATCACAATGCGAGAATTAGATCAATACCTCATCTGTTTCTTTGTGATTTATAGCCCTGGTTGCCCTAGGTGGTACTACGGTCTCTCGTGTACAGTTCGCAGTTGTGCATCAGTCTCGGCTTTTTTCTTCCGCCATTCCCAGCCTTGAACATAGACAATGCTCAGAATCGGAGTTATCAGAGCAATTGCGCCCGAAACAAGACAGTATGTCCATTGCACACCAATCCACTTGATCAGAGGGTTAACCACAGCTGCAGCACCAGCGCCAAGGAAGCAGCGCACAAGGTTATTAGCAGCCATCGCAGTAGCGGGTGTCTCGTAGTACAAGTCGACGATCAGAATATTCATCACATTATACGCCGCTGTAATACAGAAGCAAATTACGAAAACCACAATGAGCGCAACCAGAAGTGGTGGCTTCAAGGTCATCAGTACTCCGTAAACAGTTATTGAGATAGCTGCAAGTATCTAAAAGGGGGAAATGAAAGTTAACCAATAGAAGAGGTCTAGTACAAGGATGTCTCAGGGCAACTCACTGTCATTGGCAGGCCAATCTGTAGCCTCGCTTTTTCGATGGGAAATCCAATAATGTCCTGCGTTTGGTTCCTGTGTACCATCTGACCGGCATTGCGTTGGGCCCGTCGGTAGTTCCAGTCAACGAATACTCCATTGGCAGTTGCACTGAGTAATGATCCCAGACCGGCAGGAATGAAGCATAGTCCAATGCCCAAGTCATCTAGATCATATTTTTTCTGGAAGAGGGCGGGAATTCCAGCGGTGACGGCGTAGTAACTGCTGAATACAATTCCATTCGCCAAAAGCACAAGTCCCACAGGTCGGTGGGAAAGCAGACGGAGGGTTGAGCATGGGTTGGGAATCTTAACGCGACTCGGCACATTCAATGAATGCGAGGTCACTGCAGTGGTCGTCCGGAAGTAACTCCACATAGTTCGATTCCATCCGACTGCAGGTGTCGACCCATTCCCGACAATTTCACGGCACGTTTCGGGAAAAAGGAACAGCAACGGCATGAAGAAAGTAACAGCTGCAATAGCTAGGAACCAGAATATCGCTCGCCAGCCTAAATACTTACTCAAGACACCCCCAAGAATAGGCCCAATGGATGGAGCAAGAATATTCCCCAAAGAGGCAAAGCCCATATACATACCTCGTTCGGCAGATGTGATGATATCGGCTGCTACTGCGGAGGCAAGGGCCACAGCGCCACTGCTCCCACAGCTTTGAACGGCGCGAAACGCTAGGAGCGCTGGAAAGCTATACTGTAGAGCGAGAGCAATGTTTCCAAATATGTATATAACAAAGCAAAGAATGTATGCAGGTCTACGGCCAGCCTGATCTGCCAATGAACCTGTAAACATCGGAGCAAGGCCCTGGCATATCTTCAAAGCAGGGAATGTCAGTATATTCGAGTAGAGTCTGTAGACTTGATTTGGTCGCATACCATGTATGTCGTGATCGTTAGATTGATTTGAGAAGGGCTGACTCGCAGATCCTTTGCAATCGAATTCAATGCCGGGTAGTAAATGTTGGCAGATAGAGGCGAAAAGCTCGAAGCCAGTGCAGCTGTCAGAATTATGAGGCGTTTCTGTGTTGGTGTGAACACGGAATATGGCTCGCTACTGGGCGCTGGAGGCAGCAAAGGGGTTCCTTCATTAGCCTCCTCATCCTGCTGTGACGGTTGTTGATTGAGGTTCGGATTTCTCATGTTGACTGAAGGTAGCGGCCGACACAAGATTTTCTGAGGTTCTTATGTGCCAGGTCGCAAATAAATACCCTCGGCCCTTTTCGTCGTTAAATCCACGTGAACCCAATATTACGCAGACTCAGTGAAAGGATATTTTTTGTACAATAGGTATCCAATGCAATCCCATGAGTAAGAATCTGAATTCTCCATAAAGTCTCTTACTACATACATTGGGCTCAATTTCACAGGAAAGGCAACTAACAACACGGAGATGAACAATCACTCTGCCGGTATATCCTTATTTCGAAACTCACATCTTCGGCCTGGGGTCCAATGTCAGCTCTGCGCGACCTGTGTATAGATGAGTAGGCCGAAATATTTTGCCACGATTGACTATGACCCGTCAGTCAAGTCACCAAGCCTCCAGTAAATTGCCTTACCCATATACTCTCTCCAATGCGCCATAATGCCCATGATACGATGCGCAAGCATTGCCGCGGGAATCAGATCCGGCTCGAAACCACTGAATCATATGTTGGAACCTGGGGCCATAGTACCCATATCATAACCGCACTTACATTCCAGTAAACACAAAGTTACCGTAAAAGTCCGCGTTGGGATATAAGCCCCGCGAGCTAAAGTACTCATCCTTCGAGGCACACTCCTCAATTGCTTGGGCAACTTTTAGTAGCGGTTGTTGAACACCGGACAAATCTTTCAGGATACTTTGGATGGGACGCACACGTGGGTCCATTCCCTTATAGGTGCGATGACCGTAGCCGAATAATTTCCGCTTTCCACATTTTATCTCTTCAATGAAGGCGGGGACATTATTTGGGTCTCCAATGTCATGGAGAGCACGTTGAGCGGACTCTGTTGCCCCAAAATGTAAGGGCCCGTGGGCGGCAGTCACAGCAGCTATCAGACAAGACACTGGATCGGTGAGGGATGAGGCTGTTACTAAAGCCGAGAAGACTGTTAGGGCCTGGCCGTGCTCAGCGTTAAGGTTACCAAAGCGGCGGAAGCAGGATATGTGTGTAGGATTCGGGTGGTTTGTCTCTGGGTCGACGAGACCGGCCATCGTGAATAGATTCTCGTAGTAATTTTGGTGAAGAGAGGAACATTTCCAGGGAATACCTAGCCGGTGGGATCGCACAGCTCCAAAGATAACAGCGTATGCAGCAACAGTCTGTAGGACTATTTGGTCGGCCTGTTTGATATCTGTTTGGTAGATTGTCGCATTTGTAGTTGCTGGGATCACACCTGGCATACAGGCCAGGTAAGCTGAAAGGCCGGCCAGAATTAGCGGCAGAGGGCTAGTCGTCTTTCTATATATTTCATAGCTAGTCAGAAACCCAAGATGGCAGACACACGGCCAAGGCAAGTCATCATACGGGAGATTAAAGATAGTCTGGCGCACAATCTCAGGGACCTCTTGCATATACTGTGCCAGTCGCTGGCGTAGCTCTTCGCATTGGCTTTTCGTAGGAAATATTCCCCATAGAAGCAGATGGAACATTTCTTCAAAGTCGCATCCCCAGAGTTGGTCTAGGGTATATCCCCGATACAGAAGTAGACCGTGTTCATGGTCACTTGACACCAATTAGCTAGAGACTACAGACACCTTTGTTGGATTCTCACGAGAAACTGATAACCGATTGTGTCACGGCCGTGTTTTGCAATCCGGGATCATATACGCGCAATCCATGGGCAACTTGGTCTGCGCGATTACTGTTGAGCGCGGGCGCCTGAATGCGCTGAAGGTCGGTCGCACGTACTGCGTTTCGGGTAATAGGGATCTCGTAATTTACGTTTGTTCGGGAGTCGCGGATGAATAGAGTGCCAGTCGACATTTTGAAGAACAATACTCTTGTATGAATCTGAAGTCTCGTCCGACTGCTTCAGTCAACGGAGCCTTATTTGGTTCAGTCCGAATATTTATCGCTGAGGACCTGAACATAACGCTCCTACAGGCACACAGGGTTTTGTCTCACCTACTGTCCGAGAAAAGAGTCCTCGGATACTATTCGCTTTAATCTTGCACTATGTGATTGGTCTGGAACGAGGAACTGGTGTAGACATTCTGATTGATCATTAATGCAGCCACAATATCGTTGCATTCGTCGTTATCACTCATTAAAGGCACCCATAAAAAGCTCGGTTCTCATTAAAATCTCGTACAAAGTCCAGCATTTACTCCGGCATATGCTTGAATGGGTGAGCAAGGGATTCCTGGCAGAAAGGAAGCTTGCTGACGGTCCAGATCTCGGTGTCCTACATCGAACAAGGGGTCAGTCATACTTAAGTAAAGGTTATATCGACTCTTGAATTGTTGCACTCACAGGCTTCAAGTTCTTCTTAATCTCGGTATCCAAGGTGCCGGCCTTGATCGCAATGATCTCGGGAGCGGCATCAGGGTCGTGGGCGATGGGGGAACCACACTCAGAGCAAAACACGCGGTGGACAGCGTGACCAGAGGAACCCTTGCCAGCCCAGCTCTTGATGGGGCCTTTAACAGTCAGCTTGTCCTTGGGGACAACAGCGACTAGAGCTATAACAATGTCAACAATTGTATTTCTTGGAATGTATACAAGCAACTAACAGTAGGTCGAGCCACTCTGGCGCTGGCAGTCGTCGCAGTGATCATAGCCAGTGACTAAAGGGGCTTCAACGTCCACAGTGTATGTGACGGCTTTGCAGAGACAGTGTCCGGAGAGAGGCATTTTGTAGAGATTGATTCTTTCAAGGTACTTGATATTGAGGACCTTTGGAGAGGGGGATGAAGGGTATTTAAAGAGTTAATAGTCCCTCAACGAAAGAAAATTCGAAGTGGTCATCTTCATTCATCTGGCAAGTCTCGAGTACTTGCTTTTTCTGTTAGTCGATCCTAGTAAAACAAGTACCCTGTACCTGATTGGTTACGTCATGGCTACTTCAAGCTCCCATTTTTTTTTGTTCCACTCCACCAAATCCCATTTCACCAAGATCAACTTGTCAAATTCCAAATACATGATCCTTTCAAATTGACTAGTGCTGATTTATATCCTCACGAAGCTGCAAGACAATGACAAATTATCGTGCCCCGCCCTAAAAAGAGCTGCAAGGCTCGCCATTTTACCCCTCCAAAAGAATACAACCACTTATATTGGCCCGTACTGGATATTTTTGTATGGGTCTCTGCGAATCAGCTAGCGAACATTCGACTGCTTATCTGTCACGGCTCATTGTCCGACGCCCTTGCGCCCCCCCCACTCTCCTATTGGACCGGACACCTACCGCTTTCGAGTGTCAACCTTCAACGAGGCGTGCAAATGGGTCTAAAGGACACGAGGTGTGTTATTCAAGCTGGGTCGAGAACGAAAATGTCTTGGGAGCCATCAGGAGGAGACTATGTGATTAGTCAATCCATTCACCCCAAACCTCGAAGGATTCATCAGCAATTGGCACGGCTCAGAAGTGGGTCGCTAACTTTTGATTCCGTCGCAGCTCCATCACACTCCATGGGGAGTTTTCTTGATTTAGTTCGAGGCAAGGAAAAGCGTGAGTCTGCAGGATGATCAATCGCTACCGACGAAGGCACTGGACATCAGTAACAAGCTCGGATTCTGATCCGGTGGCCCGATATTTGTCAGTTCATGCAGCCTGTCCAAGCCGAATTCGCGTGGATTGAACGGAGTTTGAATATCTTGGCGGTAATCTTGACTCCCTACGAACTCCATGCCCACTTCAGGGCTAGCGGGCCAGGTACATTATTTGGCCTCCCAACCTCCCTCCCTTCCCCACGTAGATGATGCATAGTCCCAGGGCGGTTCAGTGGCCAATTGAAATGGAGCTTTGAAGATTTCCCTACTGTTTTGATATCTCTTATGACATCAAGGCAAAGTATGTCTCCAAAAAGCGATGCGTGCAGATGTTCACATTCGTTGGTGCAATATGTATGTTGGTATGTAGCATATGTGCGGTATGACTATTTTACAGTATAAAATGTTAATAGCTGCCATAACTGCCTTGTCGGGCATTATCGATCTTGTCCGCTGCACTCTGCAGAAGCACCTGTCAGCTACCATCGCGCCAAAGATCAGCGGATCCACTTACCTGCATCTGAGCTGCCATCCCCCCCTAGGATTCTGACCGCCATACACGGTAGCTTCGGCATGTTGCGCGTCTCGGGCATCATCCTTGGTGATATATGCCGGTACATCAGCCGCGGCTGTAAGTCCCCATGCATCATTACTATCGGCGATCGACCGAACCTGGGCGGAGATATAGCCGACTCCTGGTGGCTGGTTAAATGCACGACCCTACAATAATAAGCACCTCTCATCAGTCACTTGAATGCTGAACTTTTCAGGATTCTCTAACCTCTGTTGCTTGAATTTCGTCTGCATCCTCTAGCGAAATCGCACTTGATGGCTTCCGGGATACCTCCGCGACCTTATTTTCGAAATTCCTTTGCCGCATAGAAAGACTTTGCGCCGTTGCTATATTCGATCAGTTATCCCTTGCTTGCAAATAAAGTACTATATGTTGAAGTTCCCACTCACCGGCTGGTCCACCCCGAGAAGGTCCGCGTCCAGTCAGCGCGCTCTCGGCCTGCGAGATAGCCGAAACATCATCCTGCGTGATGCGCTGGCCCCGCTCGGCAGCGAGCTGGATTTCAGCGACGGACGGAATATCAAAACTCATGACTGCGCGCAAATAAATGACCAAAATGACATGTTCTGTTAGATTCCGCTCGATCGCATGTCTTGTTCTTCTATATACTTTGGCTTCAGGGTCGAGTGATGTCACAGTGAGAGCATATCAATCAACAAAACTTTGCCTCCTCCCGTTAGTGGTGGAGGCGTTCAGCAAGTCCAGACCTGAAAAGAATATTCGACACTTCGATTGAATAGAAATTGCGGGGGATGCGCAATACCCTGGATTTGCCATCTCGCCTGGAGGAAGCTCCCCCCCCCTTCCCCATATTATTCCAAATCATCACCCCGTGAAACAGTCTGGAGTAAAGTTAACTGACATCCACGCTTCGTACAACGAAGTCAAGATTCCTGGGGATCCCAGAGGCAGGACAGATTGCTAGACTCCCGTTGAGTGGTCATGTTTTGATGGTTGGCCCATTTGTAACGGAGTAGGGCAGCTTCTGAGCACGGTTCCATGGATGTTCTGCAGATTGCCCCTGTCAGTGCCACCGCAACCAACTCGAAAATGATAAAAAAGTGTCGAATAGGAATCCCCAGGATGAGCCAGCTTCAATACCGCGTTGCCATCGACCGCTCCGGCCGAACGACGGCAACTGGGTATCCAACCACGAGATTTGGTGAGTTCCACGTTGCGTGACATGGCATACTAGCCCACTTGACCTTCGTCACGAATAAGAGCGCCTCCCTGGAGTCTATTGAGTTTGATGCTCTGGGTGGTGTGAGACATATGGCTACGAGTCTAGGTCACTGAAATGTACCCTTGCCAAAGCTCCACAAACGTGTTCAGGGTCTTTGTGGCTTCCCTTGGCCATTATCCTAGACATGAGTTCTTCCAAACCATATGTTAGTCACTGTTACAAGGCCATCTGTTGTATGAGATGGTAGCGTATTGTCATTTCAAGTCTTGTAATATGTTAAATTACAATCCACGATATATGTTTTTGTTCTGGACTTTATGTCCCTGTCCAACGGCATAGCCCTTTAGGTAGAGTGTAAGGTTTATACGTTGATCTTGTATGAAGCTATACCAACTCTCACAGACCACCCACTTAATAAAGAGGTTCGACCCATAGTCTTCAACAAAAATTCAACATGAGATCATTCCAACAACAACCTAGGCGTAACATGCAAGCTTTATGAGCCCTTGGGCGGATCTTATTCTAAATTTCTTAGGTCTTCCTTGCGCTTGCCTTGCCATACAGCATAGTGATCAACCTCCACATTATGCTATTTTGTATATTAAGCGACTGTAGAACAGTGTGGTTCTGGTAGTAGAAGTTAAGACTACAAGTGCTGCCATATAGCCATTCTAAAGCCCGCCCAGTTCATTCATATGGTGTGATGGACATTCATAATGCTCCCTATGCTATGTTCCGACCGGGAGTGGATATATATTCAGACGTGGTATATCGTATATAGTCCGTACTCAGCTACTAGTCAACTATTAAATTCTAATGATACAATCTTGTCAACGTTCGTTGTGACCGTTGTCTTATGTGCCTCTTTTTGCCTAATGTCAATTCGATAGGCCTCTTGTACCTCATCTAGCTATGTCTTGTGTTGTTAGGTCCCTTCTCGCTACGGCTTGTCTTCTTGGGCACTTTCTAACAATCAATTTTTATCTCATGTGGCAAATTTTACCTGAGAGATAATGCAGCTGAATTCATGTCAATCCGCGTTTGTAGGGGGATGCTGGGATTCCAGGGAGACTTGTTGGCTTCGAAGTTTGGCAGCCTTCGGGTCGGAAAGGTCCATTGTTCCGGAGTCATGTGATAGACTGCTCTGTCCGTCGACACCTCAGGCGCAAAGGCAGATTGAGATGTGGAAAGCGGTGTAGCTGTATTGTGTCGAGATCACATGACCCGGGCCCAGCGTTCCCGCATTGGACCAATCACCATCATCCCGTTACCGGGATTGAGTGCTACAACTTCGCCTTTCCCCTGTTCTTGGATAGAAAATAACAAAACAAAAAATAAACAGTTGATTGACCACATCTGCTGCTATCTGTGGTAGCTAGGGCTTCGCTACCAGGTTGTATTGACTCAAATCTCAGAAATGGAGGTGTATGAGCATCTATTGTTCTCCATCTCAAGAAGCATGCTAACGTAATAATACACAGATTACGCAAGAAGGGAAAGAAGGCGTGCACTATGTGCCGCCAGCAAAAGGTACTCATGACTTTCCCTTTGCCAAATCTCTGTTGACCCAGGTAGGCTAGATGCGATGTCTGGCGGGATGAGAGTGTACCGTGTACCCGATGCCGCAAACGCAATCTCGAGTGCACCATAGACGATAGCTTCACAAGAGAACACAAGCGTCGGTAAGAACCCAAAGCCGAGGAGGACGGAGCGAATCCACTTCTTACAAACCTTTCTCCAAAGCCGATACATCGAACTAGAACAAGAGAATGAGCAATGGCGCCAACAACTGCAGACCTCCCAGCAGTTGAAACCCGATCCCGTGCCGATTGCGTTATCCAAAGCCCCAGCGGAACTGGGCGTACCAGCTGTGTTGAAGTCGAATGCTGGACTAGACGACTCGCAAGTTTTGAATTTGTCACTGGCCTATCCCCAATATCATCTTGCACCTGTGGGCTCCACGCTGGGTGCAATGATGGGAGGGAATGATCCCACAATGCCTCGTTCGCTGAGAAGCGTTAATGTTACAGGGTCCGAGGTCGACGACCTATATCAATTGTATAAATTCCTAGAACCTCACCGTCAGTCTGTCTCTAATATCTCGCAGATTCTTTCGTCATTATGCCTCATTCCTCCCGATCTTCGATGTGCAGACGAAACCGAACGCGTACTACGCGCAGTCTCCATTCCTGTTCTGGGCCATTATTGGCGTCTCCAGTCGGTCATTTCCCCGAAACCCGACATTGCACACTGCGCTGGCTCAAGAGGTCATGGAAATGGCATTTCTGTCCGTGTTGTCAACATGCGCGCCGTGTTACACCATCCAGGGACTGTTGCTTCTGTTGACATGGCCATTTCCCAAGGAAAATCGCCCAGATGTGACATTTCCTCTGAGCGGAATGCTGCTGCATGTAGCGATGCAGAACGGTTTCCATATACCCATGTCGAGCCATGAATTTTCCCGAGTCAAGATCCCCGAGTCATCAGACTCGGATATGGTCCGACGCTCAGAGCTTTGGGCTCATTGTGTCCTTGTTTACGAACGGTGAGTTGCTTCCTTTCAACTTGTGACTTGAAAGAATTAACCTGCTGATTAATCAAAGGTCTTGTATATTCAAAGGACAGTCTCCCCGGAATCTGGTCAGTTTGGCACAGGATACCATCCAACGCCAAGTGATATTTGATAAGATTGCTCCACACCTGGTTCAGAAACTCAGGTGCCAGGAAGTCGTTGGGAAATGTAGCGAGGCAGTTTTGAAAAATGGAGTCCGGGCCATGTCCTTGGACCAGGAGCTGGGTTTGGATATTTTGCTGCGGAAGTACGAGGCAGTGGTAGACGATATTGCTTTGCAGGAAGTAGTCGGTTTGTTTCTGACATGGAGATTCTCGGCACTCATTTTCTCGCTAACGGTTGTTACCTTATTGCAGACGACGAGGGACACCATCTTCTCCTTTGCCGTATGGCAATCCAAAGCTTCCATTTCTACAAAAATCAAACACTCGTCTCTAGCGGATGTCTTCCACATCTTATCGTCACCGCTTGCAACTTAGTAGACTATGTCCAAGGATTAGCAGATCGCCTGGGATCTCTTTTCATGGCACCTGTTTCAATATCTTTCGGTCTGTTGCTGGCTTCCATGTCACTGTTGCGGATACTCAAAAGCAATTTTGCCTCTAGCGGACTTGATACAAGCCGTGCTCAAGCCTCATTCTTCGCTGCCATCAATTTGGCCAAGCAAATGTCCACTGACAGAAGCGATACAGCTGCTAAAATGATCACAGTGTTGAACCAACTTTGGAATAGCAACAAGGCGTTCCGCAGATCGGATGGCTCAGATCACACCACACTTCGAATCCGCAGTCGCTTGATTCTCAGTCTGATATTGGATGCTGTCTGGTGGTGGCGTGATGAATATGACCCTCACACGCGAGCTCAAATGCGAGGGACGGAGTCCGCTGATGGTCCGCCCCGACTAAAGATGGCTCCGGGCTTTGAGACAGGGCGTGCTACCATGGGGACAGATCACACCAGAGAGTCCGCTGGGGGTATTCTTCAAACCCCGGGCGTTCTACAGGGAGATTTTCAGGTCAACGAGGACTACTTCACCAACTTTGAGTGGTTATATGATGAACTTTTCTCCTTTCCTCCGGATTCGTCATCGGCGAACAATATACCGTGAGCGCAGATGTTGACTATAGAATACTCAAAGCCCCACTTTATGCATTTCCATCCTCCGGCCCAAACATTGTACAGCGGGGCTACCGGCCATTTATGTACGCCCTTTGTGAACCTAACTCCATATCTATGGAGACTCAGAAAAGGCGTTGTATGGAGTACAGTGGGGCCACCTGATGTTGAACCAACGCCCTTTGTGATATCAACTAGCTATGGAAAGCTCATACATACCAGGCGTGGTATGGAATACAGTGGGGCCACCCGATGTTGATTCAACGCCCTTTGTGATCCCAACTAGTCATGAGTGCCAATATCAGACTCCAGTATCTACTCCAAGCTAGCATTGCTGATCTCGGTCTATCGGCAAATCATCTTGGCCCTCGGTTCAGCGATATTGCGACATTTCGAGATGCCCACGAACCGTCTAGGTCGAGACGTCAAAACAAGCGTCTTACCAGTAAATCTAAGGTCCATTATGGGAGCTATGCCATGCACATCGAGCTGTACGCATTTTGCCGGGGTCATGGATTGTGCAGATGATCTTTTGTGGACTGGCGGATACTTCGAGACACCGAAAAAGCTGGGAAGTTTGGTTCGGGGGAATTCCGGGGAATTAGATACGGAGGTCTGCGCTGCTAGAGAGCCGGGTCGTTCCTCTATATCCCAGGCACGGAGTAGTGACAATCTGATATTATCAATTGACCAGTTCGGAGTACTCCGTAGATACAGACCTTGCATGAAGGATATTGTGGCTTTGTGGCTTTGTGGTGGGCCTTGGTACGGAGGCGGTCAAGGGGAACCCCAGCCTTGTCACCGCTTGCCTCGGTTCAGCCTTCCGGGGCTTGTGTCTCTCAAGCCTTCCAAGACTGCCCGGCTTGGGCTTCATCTCTTGGTCACAATAATTATCTTGATTGGTCAAGATGTTCAGGCAATTTACCCCGGTTCTAGGAAATCATGTGCCCTTTGAAGTATCCTCCATTCATGTTTTCCCATAACATAATATTAATGCAGTCTCTAGATAGCAATGCCTATTCCTCCTATCACGCGATATCCCATCAGTTAACATCTGGTGTTTATTTGGACCAATGAGGAATATGGATTCTAAGCGCCCATTTTAACCCCTGCAACTCCGTGGGGCCTCCGGCTTTGAGACATGCTAGATTCAAGGCCACCTGGAATTCGCCACTATCGCAGCACCGACCTCGATTTTAGGTGGTATTGAGCATACGATCCTCCGTATCCAGAATCTCACTAGAAAGATCTCCCCGCAGTGAGATATGCAGCCTGTCGTTCCACAGTGCCCTACCCGAGGTGTCAATTTGTGTCGGCTGACAACCAGGAACTCCGACTCGCAGTCTCCAAAGGCCTGAAAAACGTCGTTTGACCACTTTTACCCCGGAGGCTAAGAGAGATAAGAGGCTATCACCGGCTTTCTTATTCGGGGTTGAAACCCCGGGGCCATCAATGTGGCATATGCCCTTTGGGTCAACCCCCGACTAGCGCCGGAGATGGGCCAACCAGGCTGAAATTAAAGGACATCGGTTGGTTAGCCACCATTTTAGCTGCACAATTTAGCGGCAGAGCTAAGACAATAACGGCAGGCTCATCCATTTCTTCCGTGCGCCGGCTTATCATCAAACAAGCTCTCTGAAGATTGCTTCTCTTTCTTGGAATTCCCTTGGAATGCGCCAAAGTAGACAATTCGCGTTAAAATGCCCAGAATTGCCTTTTCGGTCCACATAATACAATACACTCTATACGAGACTTCCTACTTACTAGATATTTCCTTAGATCTCTCTGGACGATGAAAGCTAAGGACAGTTGAAGGTAACCCAAGGAACGCCACCAAATATCTAGACGCTCGAGATACGATGAACGCTCTCCGGATTCTGCATAAGGAAGTGTGCATTAGAGGTCTGTGAGCTATCGGGGCCAAAATAAGGCCAAATCATAACATGAGCTGAGATTAGTTGGCTGCTTTGTATGCACGTTGCCACCTTCCTTCTCAAGGGCCTCCTTCCAGCCACTCAAGTGCTCACCATTCCTCACTTCGCTACTCTGTACTCCGTACATACCCCTGTCTTCCCCTTTCCCCCCACTTCCTCCTTTCCGTCGAATCAATTCATTAATTCACCCATTCAGTTTCAGTTCTGCTGGGTTACATCCACTCTGGGATAAGCCTAAGATACCCTCTTTAGGCGATAAGGCGGACCTCCGTCGGCCTCGTCCTCGAGGTTCTTTATATTATATACAAATCCTCCTTGTTGATGCTGTTTTGTTTTCTTTTTCTCATGTCTATTGACTCCCCGTGAATTTTATATCTGTACGGTTCACCATGGAGAAAGACGAGTCTATCGCCGTCACCACGGGCGCGATGGTCGACGAGACCGCGCCTGATGACAAGCTCAAGGCCCTGCGTGACCTCAAGGATCACCACCACTGGGATCCAAACATGCCCGAGGACGTTAATGAGGAACTCGATGAGGCCTTACATACATCCGACAAGCATACCCAGGAGGTCATCGCTCAGGAGCTCCTGGAGAACTCCCCATACCCCGAGGTTCGGTCCGCTGTACCTAACATCGATGAGGGTGGCTCTGTGAACACTATCCGCGCCTGGGTGATTGGTCTTTTGTTTGCGACCATCGGGTCTGCCCTCAACATGCTGTTCTCCATGCGTCAGCCCTACATTGTCATCCCCTCATACATTGCACAGGTCGTCGCTTACCCAGTTGGAAAGGCTTGGGAACTTTGGATGCCCAATTATACCTTCTCTTTCTTCGGCCGCAAAGCCCAACTCAACCCTGGTGTCTTTACCAAGAAAGAACATACCATTGTGGTCATTATGGCTAACGCCACTTTTGGTGGTGGCGCCGCCTACGCGACCGATGTCCTCTTGGCTCAGCGTTCCTTCTATAAACAACACTTTGGCTGGGGTTTCGAGATCCTGATGTGTATCTCAACCCAAATGTTGGGCTTCGGTATGGCCGGCTTCTTTACCCGCTTCCTGGTGGCTCCCGCTGCTATGATTTGGCCCTCGACCTTGATCAACACCTCTCTCTTCGCTGCGCTGCACGATCGCACCAAGCCGGACCCCAACAAGGTCGCTGGCTGGAGGATCGGTAAATATCAGATGTTCCTGTACGCCATGATTGGCTCTTTCTGCTGGTATTGGTTCCCTGGTTACATTGCGCCTTTCCTGAGTATCTTCGCCTGGGTCACCTGGATCAAGCCCAATAACGTGGTCGTCAACCAACTTTTCGGTGGAGCGACTGGTCTCTCACTTATTCCAATGACATTTGACTGGACTCAGATCTCTGGATTCAACTTCAGTCCCATGATTGCTCCTTGGTATGCCATCTCCAATACGATGATTGGCATGTTCCTCTGGTTCTGGATTGTCACACCCGCCATTCAATATTCCAACCTCTTCTACGCTCAATTCCTACCCATCAGCGACTCCAATAGTTATGATAACACCGCGCATAAATACAATGTCAGCAAGATTCTTACTCCTGACTATACCTTTGACATCGCGAAATACGAGGCATACTCTCCTCTCTTCCTCTCGACAACATTCATGCTGTCCTACGGTCTGTCATTTGCCAGCATCATTGCTGTGCTTGTTCAGACTGGTCTCTTCAACGGAAAGGATATCTGGGCTCGATTCCGTCGCGTCGGAAAGGAGGAGGAAGATGTTCACGGTCGCCTCATGACTCGCTACGCTACAGTCCCACTTTGGTGGTACTTGGTTGTGTTTTTGAGCATGGTTGCAATTGGCTTTGGTGTTATTCTGGGCTGGCCTACACATATGAGCTGGTGGTCCTTCATCATTGCCCTGATCATTTCCGCCGTTTGGTTTGTTCCTATTGGAATTGTCAAGGCTGCCACAAACATCGATATCGGTCTTAATGTCATCACCGAGTTCATCATCGGTTATATGCAGCCGGGTAGACCTATGGCCATGATGCTGTTCAAAACCTACGGTTACATCAGCATGTACCAGGGAATGTACTTCACGCAGGATCTGAAAATCGGTGAGTCGTGTTGTTCTTTTTGGTATCCTTTTCAGTGTCAATTTGTTATACTAACGAGTTCCATTAGGTCATTACATGAAGATTCCTCCCCGTGTTACATTCATGGCCCAGATGGTGGCTTGTTTCTGGTCCTCCCTCGTGCAAATTGCCACCATGAACTGGGCTCTGGGTGCCATCAAGGGTGTCTGCGACTCTGACCAGCCTAACCATTTCACCTGCCCCAACGGTCGTGTGTTCTTCAACGCCTCCGTTATCTGGGGTGTCATTGGCCCTGCCCGCATGTTCTCCATCGGCCAGCTTTACGCCCCCCCTAATGTACTTCTTCATCGCCGGTGCCGTCCTCCCCGTCATAATCTACCTCGGCGCTCGTTACTTCCCCAAGAGCCCTATCAAGTACCTCAGTGCCCCCATCATCTTCGGTGGTGCCGGGTTGATCCCCCCCCGCTACTCCTCTAAACTACCTTACCTGGGGTATCGTGGGATACATCTTCAACAAGTATATCCGTGACCGCTGGCGCGGATGGTGGATGCAATACAACTACGTTCTGTCCGCTGGTTTGGATGTCGGTCTCGCTCTTTGCACCATTCTCATCTTCTTGACTCTGAACTTGACCGATACCGAATTCCCCGCCTGGTGGGGCACCAATATCGCCTCGGGGACCAAGGACGTGGTCAATCGTGCCATTCGAGTTCCTCTTGCTGAAGGCCAGACCTTTGGTCCCACCAAGTGGTAATGAGTTGAACTGGTGATATGTTAATTCTCCTATATATTATTGGGGAGCCAACTGCGGTTGAAGTCGGGGCACACAATTCTTCGGTTATCCGTTTAATTCACGTCCGCCACGAATCACGATATAGTAATACCCAATGATTTTTGTCCCTCCGGGTTTTTTGTATCTTATTTCTCGGGTCTGATGGAGGCTCGATGGGTATATAATAATACAAAGGAACAAGTCCTCAATACCCCATCTTTTGGATTCCGAGTTTATCACCGCTCATTCATACTGAGGTATACCCTAAGTAGTAGTTTATATGAATATCCAAAGATAATTGAATTGCAACTATATATAAAACCATGACATATGTACACGCTCATCAGATTCCCGATATTTTCACTCAAATCCAACCAGACAAGCCAAAAAAGGAAAGTCATCAGCGACTGCGTGGTAGAACGCTTACCCCGAGGGAAGCATAGCACCGACTCAGCCATTCTCATCGAATCATGATAAACAAACGGTGATCCAAGATACCATCCTAGATCCCATAATTCCACCCTAGGTCCAAACAACTTCAATTCCAACACCCCTGATTCACAAGGGGGTGTAAATTCTACTCAGATCCAAACTCCCACTTCAGACCCGACGACGACGCATACCAACTTGCAAACCAAGAGGCTTACGCAGGAATCCCTCACGCGTCTCCATGGGTCCATCCTGGTGCATCTCGAACTCGAAGAGACGGAACACGGTAGCGCAGATGACGAGTAGTTCCATCTCAGCGACATTGCGACCGACACAGGCGCGAGGTCCGTGGCTGAATGGGATGAAGGCGGCCTTTTGACGAGAAGTGAGACGCTCGGGACTCCATCGCTCTGGTACGAATTGTTCGGCGTCGGGGCCCCAGACTTCCTTTGAGCGGTGGACCGTGTAACTAGGTACGGAGAGAACGTCGCCAGCCTTGAAGGTGTGGCCGCAGATCACGACGGGGCCGGAGCCGGCGGGGATCTCGCGGGGAAGACCCATGGCGGAGGTACTGTGGATGCGCATTGTTTCCCAGATTACCCATTGGAGGCTGCGAGGTGTTAGTTTAGAGTTATGGATTGTGTGTGGGGTGGGGGAGCTTACTAGGGGATTTCCTTGACCATGGCGTGTGTGGGAACTTCGATATCCTTGGGAATCTGTTCGTCTAGAACCTTGCGCAACTTGGGGAGAACGTGAGGGGTGATCATGCACCAGTAGAGGATGGCACAGGAGGTGTTGGAGGTGGTGTCCGAGCCGGCAATCAGTTGAGTGAGGGCCTCGGCGGTCAGTTCGGCGCGTTGAAGACGGTTACCGGTTTCGTCCTTGCCTTCCATAAGGCGAGCGAGAAGATCCACACGGGTGTTGTTGGCCATGACTTCAGGCTTGAGGCGTTCGTTGACACGAGCGATGGCAATACCAGCAAGGTTTTCCACGGCTTCCAGACCTTCGGAGAAGAACTTGTCCGGGATGTACTTGGCGTAGGGGATGAGTGACGGCATGCAGCCCAGTGTGGCGGATACCTCGCCGCGACGGTTGAGAACTTCCACAGCGGCGACGTACTTGGGAGGGTCCTTGGGATCCAGGCGCATCTCGGCAATATCCTGGCCCTTTTCGAGCATACCGAAGGGAGCACCGAAAGCCAGGTCACCGATGATATCAAAAGCCAGGTAGTTGAACCAGTTGAGAGCATCAAGGCTGGCATAGCGGGTCTTAGGGTCACCCTGAAGGTCGGACAGTTTGTTCCATTGCTTCACGAACTCTTCAATGTTACCGTGGATATACTGCTCAAATTGGCCAATGGACTTTGCACTGAAGGTGTGGGAAACGGTCTTGCGCTTGCGGGTGTGCTCGGCACGGTCACGGGTGTTGAACAAGCCACGGCGGATAGAAACAAAAGCGTCGTAGAAGTCACTAGGATATTGTCAGTTTGGATGCAGTCTTTCTGGGGTTACGTCAATGACATACGCTTTCAAGAAACCATTTCCGTGTCCGTAGACGCTCTGGATGGCTGCATCGTCGGCGATGGAGACCTGGGTAGGCGAAATTCGGACCAGCTTTCCATACTTCTTGTGGGCCTCGTCAATCGTCTTGAACTTTTGACCTTGACGGCATTGCAGCAGTAGCCAAACGTTGCTGAACGCAGCGAAGCCTGCGCCGGGAATGTCGCGCAGATGCGACTTTTGCAGGTAAGGCACCAAGTAATACGCTACAACCAGGCCGAGCAGAATGACTGGAGCACTCTCAAGTGTCACAAGCATGGTGAAGTGTTGTATAGGAGTGTTGGACAAAACAACACGGGAAAAAAAGATACCGGCCCAATGCGGCAAGTAAAGTCAATCAATAAATATAGATATGTTCAAATGAGATGAATCACACCAAGCCCATGACTCAAAATGAGAGTCCAACCTATTTATGAAAGAGGGATGCGTTGGTCTTTGAATCATCCCCGAGGGTAAGCTAAAGCAACGGGAAGCAATTTCGGTAGTGTGGAGTCCGGACACTGGCGGCGAAGATCACTGGAGAGTGCCGACTCAAGCCTCCGAACATCTCAACACCCCTGGTTTCGGTTAATCGCGTGTGGGGTTCAGGCAAATCGGCGTTCGCATATTGGTAACTTATTGCCTCCATGATCTTAGGCGTCAATCATTGGCGCTTGATTTGTTGGAATGGAGTGTGGGGGAAAAGGGGGCCACGAGGTGTTGCCGCCTGATTTATGAGGCAGAGATATGTGTCATCATTTAGTGCCTGAGAGACCAGGCATTAAGTCCATATCACGTGTCTCGTGTCTAGAAAAGGCTGCTCGTCATTTCATTGGCTCGAACGAGACTACTCCCGCACAATCAATCAGTTACGATGGACTTTGAATTTGTTTCATGCGAATAGAACAGTCTTCCATCTCACTTCGAACCTCAGCACCCGTACCGATCCATGATAGCTCTGAATGAAGGGTCTCGCAAAAGTCCTACCGCAGTCGGCCGTTTTTCCGGATCGTAGACAAAGACTTTGGACATGATGGATAGCACATGTTGCCGCTCGACCGGATCAGCATCGGGACGAAAATATGCAATCTTCGCGGTAAGGTCATGCTCGGGATTAGGAGACTGAGACTGATCATACCATGAATCAAGTCCGCCAGGATGGGTGTAGAGACCTTTCCACTCCTGAGGTAGTGGGCCTAAACATTCAACCATACCACTCACGACTCCACCCTCGAGAAATGTAGGAAACGGAGGAAATGTGAGGTAAAGCATGGAAAAGAATAGCCATATAGCTCCACATATCGCAAGCAAAACTTGGCTCTTGCTTGTGAAGTCGATCTGGGGTGCAATACTCCATAGGCGGGTAGCCACGTTGGGTAATGAGGTCGCCAACTTTCTTTGCTAAACCGGAATCACAAAGATAAAACTCATCTCTGCGGAGAAGGTCTTCGGGAACTTGAACAGAGCTTACAAGCTCACCCTTTTTCCAGAGATCGACAAATGGTATCGTCTGCTTCAAAGGTCAACCGAGTAACTCATACTTGGTATGTCTACTAAGATGATCGAGGGAAACCATTCCCCAGACACAGTTCCTTGCATTCAGATCTATAGCAATCTTCTTAGTATATAAGAAAACAAACTCACGCGACGTACTTACCGCGATGAATGATTCCAGCTTGATGTAACCCTGCCACAGTCTCCAGTAATTGTCGAGCTGCAGACATACGAGAGGCCATGGGAGTCTTTTTAAGGTGATAGTGCAGATAGACGGCCCTTTCACGGGAACGACCAAGACCCTATGGTTAACCTTCTCGTCTCGGGGTAGAAAAAAAGTCGCAGCATAGATGACCAAACGAGAAGTATCCTGTACCGTCTTGATAATCTCATTCTGGATTCGAATCTCATTGTCGCTCCATTTTCCCAAGGCCATAACTTTGAGGGCCACTTCTCTCTTATCTTGCTGGTCAAAGGCCATCCACACAGTTGAGCCACCACCGAAGCCAAGTTTGTGTTCGACCAAATATCTCTCGTTGAGCACTTCCCCGAGGTGAATAGGATAGAGGGGATATTCGTTGTCTTCTGTGTCGTACCTATACCATGGCTCAACAAGCTCTTCGAGATCAACTTCTTCGTCTTCATTCTTCACGAAGTCGCCGAAATCTTCGTTTGCAGTGGATGCTTCCTTGCTCGCCATTTCGGATTGGTGTCGATGGCAGAGTGGATGGCGAAAAGATATGGCGAGCCCAAGGCGCAAGATCAATCAATATCATTCCAGGGTTCGTCAGACCGCCTTGGTGGCTCTGGATGACGGGATTCAACTTTATGCACACTCCCCTTCTGTTTTTAACTAAGGATATGAGCGAAATCGGCTGAGATCAAGACTTTGTCGCACGATATGGAGACCTAGTAGACTCGATAAGTCGCATGTGATCTAGAAAGAGGGTATTGTTAGCGCTTCGCTGAAAGGATACTCCTCGTGGCAGTCTTAAGAGACGACCAACATGTTTCCACTCCTAAGGCCAGCGAGCCACCAGTTCAATAGTGAGATTACATATTTTCAAATCAAGATACAAAGGGTTCGGCTTCGTCGCTCACCTCCACCTCAAATGGAACTCACTCTCTACTCGTGGAAATCTCCCAAGATGGTCTTTTCACCTCACTTTGACCTGTTCTCTAAAGCTGAGAAAACCCGAGCACCACCTCACATCATTGAAGTATCCTAGAAATCCATGAAAGGAAAGAGATTAGATTCAAATGGAGGCAAAAAGTTGAATTAGAGATATGAAGTACAATGCGAAAAGCACGAGCAACACCAAGATGAGCAGACTTGGGAGCAGAGGTGATCAGGGACCAAGCCAGCATATTTGTCTTTGGTACGTTCGACCATAAGGACCATCAAACTTGATCCTCTATTCATCCATGCAAAAAGTATTTTATCGCGATAAAATCTCATTTCTCTTCCAAGAACGAATCACCAAAACTCCAAAAAGTTCACTCGTACAAGGATTGCGAAATTATCATGTATGTACATGAACCAAAACCAGATTTCATCACCCATCTTTCACTAATGATGACGAGCATGATCATGATGATGACTCTTATTTATCATCCCGTGAGCCCCCAAGAAGTCATTAATCTGTTTATAAGCGCCAGTGGCATTATAATGTAGATTAATAGCATGCCCAGTGTTGGGATGTATGTAGGCAGCGAAAGAACTGGCCGAAGGGAAGATCATCTTCGCACCAGCAGGAATAGACGACGATTTGCCACCCGTATTCAAACAGTCTCCTCCGCAAAATGGTACATCGTTCGCGCCATCAATGACATAAACAGGACCAGTGAAATTACTCTGCGCCGGTAAACCAGTGATGGTTAGCAGTTCACCGATAGTCATGGGCTGCTTGTTCTCTTCTGCGGATTTCAGAAGACCGACGTCGAAATGGGGTGGGTAGAAGAAAAGGTATACATTGCTGCCGAGGTCCGCGCTTGTCAAGTACCCAGCTGTGTAGTCTGAGTTTTTGCCGTTGAGTCGGGCTTGTTGGAAGTTGGCGCCGCTGAGGAACATTGGCATATAATCGCAGCTTGTTGAGTACCCGGTGAGCACAAGCGCATCGGAAAGTTCGGGGTACATTGCCGACAAAGCAACTGTCTGGGCAGACCCGAATGAATGTCCGACGTGGACGATCTTGGCGGGGCTCTTGATATTGGGCATTTTGCCGTTGCGCACTATGCGGGTTAACTGAGCAAGGGCTTCGATCTCCAGGAATGCCTGGATCTCGTTCTTTGCGTCGCCATGTGAAGATTTGCCAAAGCCCAGTCGGTCATAGGAGAGTGTGTGGTATCCGCGAGACAGGACGTAATCCACATAGGAGTAGTTATAGTTGTTGTATGGTAAATCCCAATATCTATATTCTGATGTTAGACCGCTATGTATACAGACCAATCAAGATTCAAGACTCACGACTTATCAAACCCCATTCCATGAGTGAGGATCTGAAGCGTGTAGGCGGCGTTCCCAGCATTTTTCGGCACACAGTACTGTGTTGAAATATTGTAGTGGCCCGACACGGTAGCATAGCCAGATAAGGCTGCTTCTGTCAGATTTCTCCCTTGCTTGGTCGCGGAGAGGACGAAGGACGTAGCGTCAAAGTTCGTCTGGGGCGTGCGAATGTTGTCGAACACGCCATTTCGAGCCGTGACAGGCACCTCTACTGTTACATTATAACAGGTCTTAGCAGCAGCAGCACCAACAATCAAAGCCCATATCCCAATTGTTGAAGTATGCATTGTGAACGAATTTCGGGTATAATACCGCACATAGTTTGATCCAAGGGCAAAGGCGATCGTCTCCCTTATATAGCCTATCCACCAGAAAGCTACATTTTCAGCAGAACATTCATATCCGGGACGCTCCGTGATGGCAAGTGCAATTCTAAAAAATCGGCCCTAAATGATTTGTCAAAAAGACCGCGATTGGAGTGGAACCGAACTAATGCATAGATCGATAGTGCACGCCCATCAAAAGGTTGTCCGCTACGTCCTGGGCTTAAAAGTGTCTTGAGAGGATCTTGCTTCTGACAAAACCCCAGGCACCAATCATTTACGTTTGATCTAACATCTCCGTCTAACGGGGATAAACAGATATAAGTTCGCAATGCTGTATACCGTCGATCCCAATCTAAATAGGAACGAATGACCAGGTAGAATCTCTGATCCTTCTGATCCACTTGGTCCGAGCCCTAAAAATGAGAACACATATATTGTCCCTGCCGAGGTTACATTACAGTTTCTTGTAGATAACATCTTGGATTTAAGTGTGATATGGGGTCATATTGTGAATTGCGGACTGCAGGTACCAATTGCTTGGGTATCTTTGGATATTATCCTATTATTATGTAGTATTTCAGGCACAAAAACCCATGTGAATTTAGACCTTGGCAGGGGAACCGAAGGGGTTCTTTAGCGCATTCGAGCTGGTATTCAGGGAATTAGCGAGAATATAGATCGAAATGTTGCGATATATAACCCCAAACCAAGGAAGCGATCTACAAGCGTGCTCAGTTTCGAGGACCTAGGCTTTTGTTTGGTGGAGCAGTCGACGGCGCCTGAAACCACTAGGGATGCAAGAAAGGGGATCAGAGGGAAAGCGAGAAAAATAACAGCTACGCAAATACCGTAAAAGTATGGCACAAATACGGAGTACATGCAGTCGCTATGTGCGGAGTCAGTTCGAATATGTTAAATTTAAAACCATGTGCATCCATCGTATACTCCGTGTGCAAGCCTTTGATCACCACCGATCGCCAGTGACAGGAAACAATCCATTCTTCTTCTTTTCTGCATCCCACCGCTCTATCCAAACCTTCATCTGATCCCGACTCTTCTGGCTGGCAACATTCACCGTCGGGATAACGCGCCCGATGCGCAAAGCGCAGCAGAACATGGTCAATTCGCGGAACGAACTGTGTTCGCTGTAGGGCACGCCGAAGCAGGCACTTTCTCGCGTGCTACCGCGCTGTGGGGTGAGGTCTTGGGTGGTGTATGGTGACTTCCAGTGTTCACCGTGTAGCACAGTGGAGACGGGTGGGTTCTGTACCAATCGCCCCGCTGGTGGGCGATAGGTCCAGCCGGTCGGGCGGAAACCGACAACTCGGGAGAAGTGTGGTTTGAGGCCATCGAGGTAGTCTGCTAATGTGTCCGCGCGGATCTCGAAGAGGGTTTGCATATGTACTTGGGCTTCGTGAGGGTTGCTAGTAAGCATCGCAGAGAGCTCAGGGTCTTCCAAGCAGGCGCAGATTCGTTGCTTGGGTGGAGTAGCGAAGATCTTGGATCCAAGTGCTCGGGCAATCCCCATGCATATCCGTTCTTTACCAATACTGTACGTGCCAATCACTACAAGCAGTCGACCTGTGGCCTGCGAGCCTTTGTCCGTTTCTTTGTTGTTCCCCGTCGCAGCTGAGAGAAATTTGCCCATCAAACCACCTGCACCATTCTTGCCCGTATCGATTCCGACACCAGCTTCCTGATTCAGGCGCACACATAGCTCTGAACATGCTGTGATCACATCCTCCTGAGCAGGAAACCCATATTTCGGGCTTAGGTACGTGGTGTCGAGATAACACTTATCAAGATGTTGTTGTCTCGGTTTGCCTGTGACCGGGTTGGTCACATCAGGGCGTAGGAGCGGATGTTGAACCTGAGCGGGAGATGCACGGAAGTCCCCACAATGCAGCACCCGCTGATTATGGGCATTGGGCCCATTTCCAGAGCTTTTTTCGAAAAGGAAAAGCGAGCTGCCGGGGCAATGATTTGCATTTATCATGGTGACCCGCACTCCTCCCGTCTCCGGTACTTCGGTGGTACTTTCAAAATCGAGGTCAATCACCCATTTGGGATCAACACGGAGCTGCTGGCGGACAAGATTGGCTGTGGGTCGACTGCAGTAAATGGGCCCATGACACCAGGACTTGCTAAGCCCTATATAGTGATCGCTGTGAAAGTGACTCAGAAAATAGGCAGTGCATCCTTCGACAGCACCGTAACGGAAAGCATCGACGCATATAGAAAACCCCGGAAGAATTTTGTAGAATGGACAAGTTCGCTGGTAGGCTTGCTTGCCGCGAGAAGACACCTCGTTTGCGGCAGCAGCAGCCCAAGCAGTATCTTCTGCATTTCCAGCCATCATCTTTGAGAATGCAGAACCTCCAATGGGTTTGTTCTGCGAGTAGGGATCACTTTGCGCAGGTCGGGCAATGGCAGCTCGCTCTGCACGTGTCAACCCTTTGTCGACGTTGGCTGACTTGGGACTCGGTCTTATTGCAGGCATAGGAGCGGGTATGGGCGGGATAGGGTTGGTTGTGCCATCGAGGCAGCCGTTGACATGCACTGTGATTTCCTATCCTAGGAATCAGCACATCAATACACCCAGAAGGCAATAGTAGACACGTACCGTTTCATTAAGATCCTTCAGCACCATCTGGCAGATAGGGCATGTGCTCACTTCCCCCTCAATATCCTCTACGCCCGAACAGTCGTTCAAATCTTTGTCAGGATCTACCTCAAGACCGATCTGCTGCTCTTGTTCCTCGCCCTCCCAGGGCCGGTTTCGAAACTCTTCCCCTCTAAGCTCGTCGTCGTCTTCTTCTTCTTTTTCTTCTTCTTCTTCTATATCGTCAAAATTCGCGTATTCATCATTATCGGCATTACTCGTGGCGGCTCTTACCAGTGGCGGGGGTGTAGGTTCGGAAGTGCGTTGTGTAGCCACTATTTTATCCATGTGCAATGTCTCGTTCGTCACATCCAGAGTGGCAGTTGTGGTCTCATGAAGCTCCCGGTATGTTTTCATACCATCCTCGCTGTCGGATTCATCAATAAATGGCCCGCTTCTTTTCTCGGTCTTCGGGGGTGCTGATGCGGGTACAGGTGCGTTTGTAGTCTCCGATTGGGCGTCTGGTTGCAATGGCTCGTTCATCATATCCCTAATGGAAGGTGTGGTCTCAGGAAGTTCCCGGTATGCTTCCATATCATCCTCGCTATCGGATTCATCGATAAACGGCCCGCTCCTTTTCTGAGTTTTTGTAGGTGCCGGTGCTTTTGTAGTCTTCAATTCGGCCTCTGGTTGCTGTTTCTCGCTGACCTGGGTACCCGGTGAGTCAACCTTCCGACGTTTGACCGCCAAGTCGCTCTCGTTATATCGTTTGTCATCCACTTTTAGGCTCTCTCCATCGTCTCCCCAGAAATCAGGTGTCAGCGACCGTTCTCTTTCGCTGGTCACCGCTGTTTGTTGAATCTTTGCCAGTCCCTTTTTATCCTCCAAGAAAAGTTCCCCAGCAGGATCATTCCTTGAACTATTCCCACGCTGGAATGCCGGAGTCCCCCGGCCGCTGCTTGGTGAGCGTAAGGTCGCCGTGCCAAATTGGGTAATTCGAGCCTGGCGAGAGGTGGCGCCTGGTGGTGTGTCGGTCTTCTGGAAGAAACTCAGGATGCTCGAATTGCGCTTTATTGATGATTGTTTTGCCCCTGAAGATCCCTTCGATGGCGTGGCTCCTTTCTTCGCGAAAGACCCAGCCATTGTGGCTCGATCACAGAGAGGTGGAAGTTAGTTGCACTTTGTGGAGAACCGAGTTGTGGCGAAGGTATAAAAAAGTTCGCAGCTGGTCTGGGGTAGGTTTCTGCCGAATAAGACGCAAGAAGTATCGCTAAATGTACAATGCATCCATAATATGTGCACGGTCGCCACAGAAAATGTCCAGGATAAATCGGGACGAGAGGCGCGAAGAAACGGGATCGCGACACGAAGTCACGTGGTAATGATTACTTGTTTCCAGCCCTGAAGGACTACATTCAATTATATGTTTAGAGCATTGGGGAATAGTTGTTTGGCCAAAAAAAAGTTGCTGTTCATTATTGCAAAAGAAATTTCTAACGAGGTATCATGAACAACGCAGTCCAGGTGCCAGCATGAGCTATAGGCGGGTAATCTCCGACGAAGTTGCTTTTGCGGCGTATCAGCAGGATTCACGAGCGGCGGTCCCCGGTCCATTTGGTATCTTGGGCGCACTCAAGTGGTATGGGAAGTTCGAACATCCTTCGTTGCAGGAACCCGTCTCCTGGGCCATCAATTGGGTCATCTCAATATTGGGGTCACATGAAACCCCAGACTTTTGGCCATATAGTCATTTTCCTTGCTGGAGACCACCTGGTGGGAACAGCGGTATTGAAGAGCGCGATACGTGATTTGTCGTAAAATTGAGGTCATGGTCGTTTACCGAGCTTTGCCAGCCTGGTTGGCAGCCTCTGTATGATGCTTCATCAGTATTGATTCGAATGACGATTGCGGTCGCAATGTCTGTGGATCTTTCAAGTGAGGAGGAAACATAGAATGCTCTCAAGAACTCAGTTCGGGAAACGATGCGCAACTCACCTCGCCGTGTGGCATCCTCCAACAACCCCACGTCAACCTCCGACCGAGGCAACATCACGTATCGCACCACACTTCCTCGGATGAACATGTTCTTAACCGAGGACAGGTGGGGGTACTTGGCCAGATCCAACACTTCGATATCGTCGAGCTTGATGTTGAGGTATTGGTCGACAGATTTCAGGATTCCACGAATGCGGATGTCATTCTTGAGCTCAATGGTGACCGTCTGGTTTGTCAGAGTCTTGAAGAAGCTATAATGAAGCACCACTTAGTTCTCACCCGTATAAAATGAGTTTGCGCTTCGCGCCCTAACATACCTAAAGAAAAGCATGGTTGCGGTGGACGGATAAGAAAGCTTGGAGGGGTGCTTGGATGAGGAGAGGTATGCTAGATCAGAGCGGTATTTTATATTCTGCCAGTATCAGACGATGCTGTGGGTTGGATATGAGGGCGGTTAATTAGTATCCCCAGATTAAGAGAAAGAATGTCGACAGCAATCAAGAGCTGGCAAGACGAGATGCAAAAGAGAAGCCGTCGGAGATGGTCACGTGCACGTCCCCATATAGGCCGACCAAATGTTCCCGTCACATGGAGTTTCTCCAGTTTGAGACTCCCACCAAACATCTATTGGAGGATTGATCTGGATCAGCCAGCACGATTCCTAAAAACAAACAATCAGCTTTATAGTATCTTTTTCGAATTATCTCTCATTCCTCGCACAGACAATGCACATCTATATCCACTACACAGCTGTGAAATATTCGTTAGCTCATTCCCCATTTTAAACAAACCTCAAGCCCTATCACACTTCTCTAGCCATAAAATGGACTTTAACGTTCATACCTCATAAAATATATCCCCTAATTGGCTATTTTGCGTGAAACTCAGCTGGCTCAGCGCGTGTGAGCAATTGGATAGGAGCATAGACCCACCCAAGTGCCTTCACTTTATATTCACAATTTGAAAAGTTACACATGTTGAAAAGGTTTGGACTTGTCCTATGAACGATTATACTGGCAAGTGTCTCTTCTTCTACCCAGCAGGTAGCCATGACCTAAAGAGTAGAAACCACCGAGACAACAGGTATCATCTCAGTCTGTCTATGTGGAGTACGAGGCCTTAGAACAATGGTTTGTTAATGTAGGCGAGTTCGGGGAACAATATGCGCTGAAACCATCCCTAGAAGCTCGGCTATCGAATTTTCAGGAATAATCTCGATTTTGATAGATCAGCGTATGGCTTGGAGTACATTCATGAGCTAAGACGTCGACGGTGTTGCCGTTGTTAGACCACCAGAAAAGAGACCTCATCCTAAAAAGAGCTATACCAACTCCACATACTCGGAGACCACCACTTCGGGGAGCTATTAGTTGACCTCCCAACGCTTGGTTGGTTTCCCATCATGACTTATACTACCGCAGACCAGAAGTAAGAATATTGTGGCTACTGCAGCCTATCGGAGGTCGTCGCCTCATGTTGTCGACAACAAAATCTACAGCCTCCTCAACACTCAGCATTCAAAGAAAGGACATGGTATTCTTTCAAATCTCCTCTTGAGCACCGAAGACTGGGCGCCACCTGGAGAAGAGACCTTCTCCACGAATTTCGGGAAGAGTGATATACCGAATTCTCGATTATTGGTAACGCATTGGGCTAGAGCAAGGACCATTACCAGCGCTGAAGATGCGAGCGGGCTTATGGACTGTATGTTACGATACTTGGATTTGGAATAAACATCTATAAAGGTTTGGGTATTGGAGATATACTTGAAGCGACAGTATATGAAACCCAAGAGCTCTAGATATCACGATATATAGCCATGGTAAAAATGTAGGAGAGGTCTTTTGTATCGTTCACATCGGGAAGACAGGTAATTTAATGCCAACTAGTGGCATGGTGTGTTCTCGCTGCTTCTACAGGTGATTCCTCCGATGGTCGGCTATATGGACCTTGCAGATTTGGCTTCAAGGCGCTTCAACGTGCTTTAGAGGGGTCCTACAAATTAAAATACCCTATAAGCTGACTCAATGGTTCTAGTCACACAACATCTGTGGGTAATGGATCACTTATCCCCAGGAAAGCAAATTTGATTTTCGATAGGTGGGTTATCTTTCAACACAATGCATATTGTGCCGTTGGTCTCAAACAGAATAGTTGAAACTACCTTGTGAAATGCAGGCAGAATCACTCTCAATCTCAGAGGATGGCCTGAGCCATCCTGCATTGGCTACGTACATAATCATGCTCTTGGTAAAGTGTCAGATATGTTGTGATGGCAGAGTACCAGCCCAAGCTCACGCTGTAGGCAGAGATCTCTTATGCCAGAGAGGGGTACTTTTTATCCCAATTATGCATTGATTGAGAAAGAACCGGTGTGTCCACAGAGTTGCTATCTGTACTCCGTATGCGTCATCATGTTGAGTTCCTATGGAGTCGAGTGATGACTTCTAAACTCCTACAGTAGCGCCAAATTTTTCAAAAGCATATCCTTGTAAGATAGGAGACGTACGGAGTATGGAGTATGGAGTACTCGGTACAATATATACAGTGATTCACATCTCAACCGCAAGATTCTATGATATGTACTGAACTCCTCCGTATTCCATACAAAACTCTACGCGCCTTGAGGTCACATCTGTGTAAGCAAGAGATGTGAATAGTACATCACATCGACCCAAAATGTGACAATGAGGTCAATTAGCATGAAATTTCTATAATTATTTCTTGCTAAGAGGCCTGTACCTCTCTAGCGTGCAGTAGTATAGTGTACAGTAGTGAACAGCGTAAGACTTGGCAATCATTTTCCCCCTCACCTTTTCTTTGCCCGTCTGATTCGCCTGCGTCTTACCGACTTTTGTAGATGCGACATTAATTAGGATGACTTTCTACCTGTTTAGGTGGAAAGGTGCATAATTGATGTTCCATCCAATTTGGGATGTCACTAATTTGGCTAAAGATAGTAGCCCGGCGCCTACACGCAGCCAATCACCAACCTCTTCACACTGCATCTCACTCTCATCCCATCCCGGGACGGTTCGTCACAATATCTATCAACCTCATTGGTCCCTTTTCACATTTTTCCACCTCGTTTACTCGACTCTTACTCAAAAAATGGCCTTGGCTCGTTGCTCACGGATGCAACCCCTGTCCAGCGCGACGCGCCCATTTCCTCTTCACCAATAGCATCATCGCCCGCTACCCTCCAGACCGGGGTTATTGGATGAATTGTGCCCAATCCTGCAGTAGTGTCTGTAACGGAGTGACTCTTTTCGAAGACGGATCGGCTGGTCACTGCACATACCCCGTGGCTGGTGGAAAGCGCCCAATTGACTATAAACCCTTCCCAACTGCCACAACTTCTCTGAACGCTAGCGTTCTTCGTTTCGTTGACTTCATTCTCTCATGCTCGGTGCCTATAGCTCTGGTAGCTTTTGCATCTGTTTTATTTCTTAGTGTTATCTTGTTCTTGTTATCTTGCTTTCCATCACTCACTTTACAGACCCGTTGATCGGTGTCGCCATTTCATACGAGTCGAGATACCCATAGATATTTGCCCGTGAGCAAGTCACACAAAACCAACATCCAACAGTTTGATCAGGCGTGCAATATGACCGATACACTCCGCTCGACTGTGCGATTTCCGCCCCTTCGGCAGGCCCGAGGGACGGTGCTTAATACTATAATGGAGGATACGCGCGAATCTCATTTCGCTCAAACCAGTCCGAAAGGCTCAATACCTTCCAGACTAACCCCGGCAGCTATCAGCCCCAAGTTGAAGTTGCAGACCAGTGGGTTTTCAGTGCCAACACATGCCCGGCTCGCACGCCTCATGTCGCCCCTCTCAGCCGGGACTACTTCGTCGTGTTCAGATACTGAATGGCAGTCTCAGATGCAAGGGTTTCAAGGATATGACGACTTTTACAATGACACAGACTGCGACAGTATTGACGACAATGAGACCGACATCAGCGATTCGTGCTTTTCCCCCGACACACGGCCATCGAGCTTGATTACACCAATTACTCGAAACTCGGTGACCTCAACTGGAAGTCAGAAGCTCTCTCTGACCCTCAAGATCCCCGCATCCACGATGTGGCCGTCAATGAATGGGTCCCTCAAGGGCTCTCCAGTTCCGCCGACGCCTCCAGCCAAGATTCCAGTCTCGCCAGCAGCGTTGTCAATGCTCAGCCGTTCTGTACCTGCCTCATATGCCCCACCTTCACTTGATGGTAGTATGACTTCGGACCAGGAGTCTATCATTAGTGCACTGGCTACGCCAGACACTCAATCTCTACCAGACACCAACTGGGATGCCCATGATATACACGTTCGCCGAGATATGGACGGAAGTGAAAGTGACTTAGACAATGGCGATGCCAGCTCAGACATTCAAACTGTCCCCATTGCCATCGAGACGGAGCATGAAGACTGGCGCCATGTCTTGGGAAATTTCCCCCGCATTCCTACTGCTCAGGAATACTCACCCTCGCTCTCTCCCACACCATCCTTTCATTTAAATAACGAGCCAATTCCCGAATATGATGACTTGTACGACCCCCCGACGCCTATGAACCGAGGCGCATTTCAGCCTGACTCAGCACTGGCAATGCTGCACCACACTCACTTGAATGAAACACCCGACTCCTGTTCGGAGACCTCTGAAGATCATGGCGAGATGTGGCAACTCCAGCCGCCTCCCACCCGCCCGAGGAGTGCTGACGGGGTCACCCCTGCGTCTGAACTGTCTGGATACAGTTTCACAGACCTGAGCATCCCCTCTCCCGGGGGCTTCTTTGCCTCTCTGGCGCCCCGTGCGCGCCACACTTGGGCAATCCCCAACACCACTTACCAGCCAACGTCGGCAGCCGCAGAGGGCTTCTACAATCTTCCTTGGCGTCGAGATGAAGGAGAGATTGTTGAGCAGGTAGTTGAGTGGCCTGAGCGCTCTGTTGACGATGCTCCAGTCACAGCGGTTCGTGACGAAGAGGCCCCGCTTACTGCCATCCGACTCCCCTGTGATACACCCACTCGTCGATCTATCTACCAAGATAGCCCCATGAGTGCTGCCTTTGACGCAGTTCAGGTCCAGGAGATCCCTCGCTCTGGGAACGGATATGAGTACGACGAGTGCTACGACCAAGAGCTACAGGAACGTGCAGTTGCGAGCCACGACCGCACCAGTATCTGGCTTTCTGCTCAGGCATCTTACCTCTCTGCGCTCAATGAGACAAACCCCGTGAATGATATTGAGCCTATTGAGCCTATTGAGTCGGCCGAGGAGTCTGTTAACGTCGAGGCTGAAGTCGAAGACACCACGGAAGATTCTTCGAAGAAGATGGTGCGATTCGCCGAAGGTGTTCCCGAGTCCCTCAGTCCTCTACCCCCGTTCCTTGCTAGCAAGGACTCAATCTACTGGCAAGGCTTCCAGTCTATTCGGGCACGGTCAACCAAGACTGACGGATTCATGCACCGCACCATGCGCTACGATGCTGTCCAATCCATGCGTCTCGCGATGACTGATTTGCACATCAACTGCTTGCTGGGCAAGTATGAGCTTGTTCGTCCCGAGCGCCCTGCTTACAAGGGTCCTTTCGCCAAGGCACCTCGCAACTCAGTGATTACCGCCGAGCTAGCCGAGAAGGCCCAATTTGACAAGGTGGAGAAAGAGCAGCTAGTTCTTGCTCAGCTCTCCCAGCCCATGTGGGCCATGGATGCTCTCCGATCCCTCAACGGTGGCAACCTGCTCACAAGCCCCGCTCAGCGCATGCTTGTGCGAGCCTCATCTAAGCCCAAGGCCCCACAGGGACAACGTAAGCGCAGCCTCCGCATTCTGGACCTCGGTGGTCACTCTTCCTGCGACTGGGCTTGGCAGGCCGCGTACGAGTTCCCAAATGTCAAGGTTTACACTGTCACCTCCAAGGGTCAGACCGTAAACAGCGCCATCAAAGGCCCTCCCAATCACCGCCAGGTGACCGTAGCCAACCTCTGGGAGTTGCCATTTGGCAACAACCAGTTCGATGTCATCTCCGCCCGCTCCTTGCACGCACTGCTCAAGACCGAATGTCCCGCAGGCAGGGATCGTGATGAGTACGACCTCGTTCTGAAGGAATGCATGCGATGCCTCAAGCCAGGCGGCTACCTCGAGTTCCAAGTTCTTGATGCCGAGATCTCGCGGGCGGGGACGTACGGCAACACAGCGTCAGTGGAGTTCGCCTTCAATTTGCGCAAGCGCGGGTATGACCCACTGGCGTCCAAGAGCTTCGTCGGTCGTCTCCGCAACAGCGGATTCGTTGATACCCAGCGCGCCTGGATGTTCCTACCCATGGGCACCGAGCCTGTCGAGCAGGAGCCGCTGCGCGAGACTCCTGCACCACGTGTGCAGAGCCAAATTGAAGATTATGAGGCGGTGCAGGGGCCAATTGGTAGCACGGCGGATATTGCCAGTATGACTGGGCTGATTGGAGGATGGATGTGGGAGCAGTGGTTACTGAAATTGCGAGTAGAGATGGGTCGTGAGCGGTCCATGTTGCTTGAGGGTCTTGGTGCGCTGTTTGATGAAGGGAGGAAGAGTGGCGCGGGCTGGACCTGTCTGTCTGGATGGGCTATGAAGCCGAAGAGGAGCGTCTCTTTGGCTTCGTCTGTCTAGGGGGTCTATCTTTATGTATTTAGCCCTTGCCCTGGTGGCTCGCAATTAATGTAATGCTTTATGTCTGCTTATTTCCCTTATGTATTACGACATGACAGTAAATATTCAAATGTACCAGTCTAAGCAACTTCATCCTCAGCCGATACTTTCCTTTCACTGCCGTTTTCCTGGTTCTTTTCTCTCTTCAAGTTCCAATCGGCCCCCATCTCTACTTTGTCTTCGTTTGATCTACATTACACTTAACTTATCTCTTCTCTGAGCTGAGATAGAGTCAAAGCTGGCCGTCAGACTACCAGTAGCTTTGATGTCGGAAGGAAAATAATCAATGGGGTCAATTGCATCTGCAAGGCTATAGTCACAATAAACCTCCACGAGTCCTCGAGTTCGGTAATGGGACTGGTAGTAATTAAACCGATTATCAATGGGATGACCAAGGACAGCTCAACAACTCTCCGCCAGATCCTCATGGACCAATACCTCGAAGAACCCAAGTATGCGACGAGTACCCAGGGAGACAAGAGGAAGAACCAGCGCTGGAAGTGACGCCATCTTGGAAGAAAGGCGAGAAGCACCAGCAGCGTTGGTGGAGTTGGGAGAACCTTGCTTTTGGCTCTAAGCGCTTTGCCGACAAAAGGATAACGGCAAGGACAAAAAATATGCCTTCAAGGCCAAAGGCAACGGGAAAGACTCAAGCAAGCGCATAGTGGTCTCCGACCCTGAAACCATTTCAAGTGGTGAATTTGTCACTTTTCCTCGTGAAGCTGTTATACCATGCTGCTCACGTATATACAGGGCATTTGCCATGCTGGCTTGTTTTTATCTTTTTTGCCTTGTTTCGTTAGTGTTGGAAATATCATCTCCTTGATTGCGAGTGCGCTATCGGGTTTCCCTCAACTTCCTACCGTTTTGAAAAGCAATCTTTGGAAACACCTCAACACAAGAGCAGGGCCACGGTGGGTAGTAGCTGTCTATACAGAATCATGCATGACACACAAAATGACCAGATTGCTGGAACATGATTTGATCGTCACATTTGGCCCTTTTTGGATAGGCTTTCGTGCCGTCTTGATCCGTATCAGATCCTGATTCATTCGGATTTGTGATATCACGCAGAATGCACCGAAACGAAACATCCTCGGTTGTCGATAATCCCCCTCTTTCATGTCTGACCTACCTCAAGAACGCGTAGCTCACTCGTCTAAAGGCTGCCACATTTTGCCTTGTTGGATGGGTCCGAGTGCAGATGCAGGCATCGAAGTGTGGACGCAGATCACAAACACCATGCTCTCTTCATGGATATCTTGTTCATTGCACCAATCTTACTAGCGTCGTTTCAGTTGTCGTTCCATATGTACCTTCAGATATCTTCTTTGCGAGGTGTTGTAGTTGTAGTTTGAAGGATGATGAAAGATAGATAGGTGCTGATCCATTGAATCAGACTGGAGACGGGCCGTTCTGGATCACACCTAAGCACATCGGGAGATTTCGCATCTCGACTGAAATGAACACGTGGAATGCATGTCATGTCAAATTAAGCCGACGAGGGACAGAGTATAGGTGGAGCTTCCACTAGCCGTTTCAAGAGCCATGACGGAGTGATTGTACGGATCTACACCGAGACACGCATAGTACTCCGTACTCTGGTCAAGTTCCGGTGGATTCAAGGGGACAGGTCCAAGGCTGCCCAAAGGTTTGGGAGGCTTGTGCATTTATAAGCCGCGCTTATACCCTCATTAGGTAGCATCTGCAGATTGGATGACGGCAAGTCTTCACAGAGACCTACCCCACTACGGCTGGTACTCTGGATGTAGGTATATTCTTCAATTATTTCCAGTAAAATTCGCCCTGTAAGAACTCTCCAAGGATCACGCATATTAATTCACATTTAAGCCTAAAAATATTGGCATAGGTCAAGCCGTGTTCTATACTCCGTCAAGTGCTACACGCCGGAGCAGAGTGCCCCGCTGATAGCACCGACAGCCCACTTGACTAAGCACATCGCTCTTTGGGCCCGGCTATTCTAACGGCTATTGGGAGTGTTTGTACCCGATCTTCAAGTCACAGGGATGTGCTGTAACATGATCGGCAGAAGGGAGATTGGCTCTTCATCTGTTATAAACATCTGGCAATAGGAAGGCATCTTGGATGTATAAGCGGTCAAGTCCAACTAGAAATATAAGCCTGCTTCAGCTACCGGGATACCAAGATTGGAAACGAACCTGTATAGGAACAACTGTTTGATTGGTCGCAGCTCTGTATTCCGCAGCTTCGACGCAGATTCTAGGCGATACCTCTTTGATCTTAGATCGGAAAATCCTAGTCAACCCCTGTCTATCAAGGTCAGCAGACTTGGATATTTTTTTCTCTCCCGGAATCACCTAAATAGGTTATCCAGAATGTATGGGGATGCCGATCTATTTTTTTTTTTTTTTGGCTATCGATTTTAATTGACGTCTCTAGCGGATGGAGTAGATGTAGTCTGAGAAGGTTGTAGATTGAGCCTGACACGTGAGAGTAAGAGCCCTTATCATGAGGATACTTCAAGGTGTTCTGGACTGGAAATGAGAGAAACAGTGTCCTTAGTGTATCATTTTATGGATGTACGGTGAGGCCGGCATATCCACTCTTCGCCACTGATGTAAACACCTGGAAGCTTCATATTTTTCTTATAATTCCCCTGCCCCTCCATCTTCTTTCTCTCCATCTCTTCCCATACACATCATGGCTCCACCAGCTATTATCGCCCCCTCCATCCTCAGCGCCAACTTCGCCGATCTAGGCCATGACTGCTCCAAGAAGATGGAGCAGGGCGCAGACTGGCTGCACGTCGACATTATGGACGGTCACTTCGTTCCAAACATGACAATCGGCTGCCCTGTCGTATCTCAAATTCGCGGCTGCGTTGATCGTCCCTCCGAGCCCTGCGGTCGTGGTACTTTCGATTGCCACATGATGATCATGGAGGTTAGACTTCCCCCAATACCCGCGTCATTCCGGAACGTCACGAGCTCCTTGCTGACTGTACTTCGCTTTCTTACAGCCGCATAAATGGGTCGGCGAGTTTAAGAAGGCCGGTTGCGATCTCTACTGCTTCCACTATGAAGCCGCCGTTTCCTCCGTCGCCGCCACAGATCCTACCGATAAAGAAACGACCGCTCGTACTAGCCCCAAGCAATTGATTCGTTATATTCACGAGGAGGGTATGCAGGCGGGTATTGCGATTAAGCCCGATACTCCCGTCGATGTATTGTGGGATATTATTGAGAGCGAAGACCCCGCGGAACGACCAGATGTGAGTCAGCCTGTTTCGGGCCCTTTTGCGGTCACATTCGGTGCTTTTCCAATCGCTTTCGTAACTAACTACGTTTCACCAGATGGTCCTCGTCATGACCGTGCACCCCGGTTTCGGTGGTCAGAAATTCATGGCGTCCGAGCTTCCCAAGGTCGCCGCTTTGCGCAAACGATACCCCGATCTGAATATTGAGGTGGACGGTGGTCTTGGTCTGGGTACAATCGACCAGGCTGCCGATGCAGGTGCCAATGTGATCGTTGCGGGCTCAGCGATTTTCGGCGCACAAGATCCTGCCGACGTCATTGCGAAACTGCGCGAGGCTGTCCAAAAGCGTCGCGGGGCGGAGCAGTAAGGAAACGGTTACATAGCACAAAATGGGGTTTGGGAGTTTTTTTGTCTTTGGCCTCATTTGAGGAATGTTCTCTGGAATCTTTATATTATACATTCTTAATCATGAGTTATGAATGACATTGACATGTGGGAGTCGACTGTCCACGCTTTTCGAATCATCTACACTTTCATATGCATGTACGAAAGAATTGTAACCTCAAAAAGCATTTGATGTACAGATGTCATAATCATCGAATTCGTGAACAGCAACTTCCCTCATCTTCAATGGAGGTCGCCTACTCCGCCGACTCGGGAACCAGCCCTGCCTTGGTATCATCCTTCGCACTAATGGCCTCCTTAAGCTCGGGCTTGGGTCCTTGAGGCGCCACAGCCGTCGCAATTATTTCAGCGATCGCATTACCCTTGGGCTCATTGGGTTCCATAAGCTCTTCCTTATTTTCGATGGCCACATCATCAACAATCGGACTTGGAACTTCCTCAATCGGGTCGGACTTTGTCTTCTCCGCAGCCTCTTTGCGCAGGGCGTCGAGATTTCCTGTTCCCGGCTCCGCAGAAATGGATTGTCTGATCTCGTGCACCGTCTTGTCTTGATCCGCATCCTCGAGCGTCGACACTCTGGGCCCACGGTGATGTCCAACCAACCCAAGCACCTCTGCGTTATCCACGTGGAAGTTTGCCGAAGATACAGCCGCTTGCTCGGGAACTAGGGCTGGGCGTTTGGCGCACTTTGGTGAATCCGGAGCGATGTCGGGTAATTCGGGGGCCACCGAGCCACGGTGCGCGCGGCTAGCCGCAGGTGCTTCGGCATTCTGTTCTTTCGGCTCTGTCTTATCGTCTGATTTGGCCTTCGCCTTGGAGGCAGCCTCGGAGCTAGCTTGGCGCAGGGCCAACACAGCCAAATCGTCCTTCTTGTCTTCGGGCTTGGTAACGGGGGGGGTCTTGGCTCTTGGTCGTGGAGGGTTTGGGGGTCGCGGGTGCGGGTTCGGGTTTGGTCTCGGTCGCTGCTGGCACAGGATTGCTGGTGGCGGGCATTCCACCTAGGTCTTGCACACTGTTTATTACCATACGTAGTTCACCAAACTCGTTCCATTCTTCGACTTCTTCAAGATCCTACGAGTCGATCGGGTTAGCGCTGTATTCTATAACATGACTGCATTGGAATCTAGCTTCCATGCACCGGACGATCACATACTCCCACAATGTCGCCGTATTTCACCAACCCTGGAAGCTTCTTGCCCTTGGAGCGTCGGCCCCAGAGTTTCCGGGCGGCTTCATCAGTGGCGACATCAACGGCACGGAAGGGGAGTTTATTGGCTTTGAGGATGGTCTCGATTCTGGAGGTTGCGGTGACAATGTGCGACGACCCCGCGGTGAGGGAAGTATAGAGGTAGAGAGTTGAGTCTGACATGGCGGAGATGTTTTTGAGGGAATTGTTGAAGGTGAAGGGGGAAAAGGGCTAAATGATACAATTCATTCAGGGGTCTTGCTATCTTTGATAGAGCATCTAAAGAAAAATAATTATTTCCCCCTGGGGCATTTATGACGTGGCTTGGTTATCACGTGCAGATTGCTTCGATTTCACGACTCTCCTATATACCTTCGCCATCTCTCTCTCTATCTTATACTTGCTGTATGATGTCTCTCGCTTTCCCCAATTCAAGTAAAATCTCTCCACAGTGCGAGCCGTTCCATGTGTCCAGCGGCTGTCTGCCCTGGATAATGGGCCCCAGTGTGGCAAGTTGACGTCAGATCCAGAGTTTCAAATATCTTGGAATATTCTGGTGAAGTTGGGCCTGTTCGGTTTCAGTGTGGAACAAGTTGTGTATCTACTATGGAGAGAGTGAACGGGTAACCCGATCTCCCCAAGATGCGCCACACAAAGCTATAGTTGTCACATGTCCACTATCAATCATCAACTGGGCTAAGCTCTGAGTGCATGTCCAGTGCCTGTCCAGAGAGTGTTGGATAATATGTCGACTCTCTTGACGTCAAAAAGATTTCAGGCATCTTACAACTTTGGGCACTTTGACCATCAGCTATAGATATCAGTTGACTCCTTGCGTACCTCTAGCACTCCAATCATGGGGCAGTGGGGGTGCTATCGATGACGTTTTATAGCATAGTCTACATAGATAGTTCTTGTGGAAGAGACGATGGCCGACATATAACTATCATTACCATACATTGTATGGGAAGAAAAACGGTTTCACTTCCTGTGCGTACCCAACAGCCTAATAAATATATTTTGTGTCGCGTTGGTGCGCATGTATATACTGTACATATGTATCTATGGCCAATCATACGCACGCAGGATACATATTGTGCGGCTGTGGAATTTATCCCCCGATTGGCGGGGAAAGAGCGTAAAACAGCACCACCTGGGCAGACATCCCCGTGTCATACCAGGAATATATATCCACCTCAAGAGGAAGGTGCAAGAGCCTCAAAGAACGCGTCCTGAACCGGAGGCGCAGCAACATGCATAACAAAACCAATCATCCTAGTACACAAAGAAAGATAGAGCCCACTGACTCGAATATGCCGCCTGGTTGAGAATTGGGCCATGGAACTTACATGGCGTCTGCTGTGCTAACATGCGTTCTCCCCGAGTCATGAAATACTGCAGCTCAACTGACTCGGCGTTTGGGATCTGTCGCTAAATGACCCAGCTCACTTCGTCTATCGCCAGTCGGCAAACGGGCTGAGCTGCCCCATGTCATGCGATCGACACGGGGAAGCAAGCTGCATCTGTGTGCGTTTAAATCCCGGGGAGTGCAGGAGTGTGGTTGCAAGGTGCCGCGGAGGTATACAAACCAGAAAAGCGCAAGGATGGAGGATACATATCCCCAAGCCGTTTTATCCCGAGACCAATATTTTCGTGAGATTAGGGAGTTAGTATCATCAGCTGAGGCTTGGGCACCGGGGGCATACTTATGTTAAATCAATACGGAGTACGTAGTATCGGTTGCCCCTTTCAGTGGGTTGCATTAGAATGACTTCTGCCCGAGCAGACATCTAGATATTTACAGTCTATCCCCCAAGGTGGCTTTTCATTGACATTCTGCTTGTCTCACGTGTGACCTGTCCTATTCGAGACAACCTCTTAACTGCAGGAAGCAGCTCAGAAGCTCGAGCATTAATGCAAGGGCAACTTACCAGCGTCTTGGTCGTGTAACCCGTAGGCCTAGACGAGCTCTTGTCATGGAGGGCACACTGGAGAGTCCTGTATTATGTCTATCAGTTTTTGCCATGAGATCATGAAACGTGCGAGAAGATGTCAGAAGGCAATGGTCCGAGTTGATGATGAGAGCGAGATTCGTGTCGAAACTTGGAAGATCTCTCGGCCACCCCGTCGGTGGTTGATCATCGTCCACAAATTCGCCCATTCGACGGGAGATATATTCAGAGTACAGCATAAGAATGCCCAGCCTGGCGATCCTTACTGGTTACCCCGTACGGAGGTCTCCGTAGTCCATATCCAAGTTGTATTCACTCTCATGAAAGTCTATCCGAAACAGAGATGGATGTGATCGATCACCCCTGACTTGGGTATGAGGTACTTTGTCTCGTTCTTTGAGCCCGAGATTGCCGCTCCTAAAGAAACAACGGTAACGTCAGTAGTTCGCCAACGCTCAGGATCATCATAATGGAGCAATTAATGTCCAACCATAATTAGATCAGGAGACTGATCCACGTAATCTTGGAAAACCGTGGAGCCTCCGTACTAGTATCGCGCCAGTAACTTCGTCTATCCCAAATAGTCTCCGTACAGCTATCACGTGGAGAGGATGATCCATTGCTAGTGTGTCGCAGAAAGGAGTTGAAAGAGACCATTTATTGGGCTCATTTTTGAGTGAGCCAAAAATAACTCCAACCCTTCTGAAGCTCCTTCGAGCAAGAGCAAACAGTTCTATAGGGGCGAACAAGCATAAATCAGAGCCATGGAATGTTTGCGGGAAGGACCCACGGTAGCACGTGAATCGAACCGTTCTTGTTCCGCGCTATACAACATACCTAGGTATCTCCGTCTCTATATTACTTCATTAATATGTTGTATGGATATTATTGTTTGCTTTTCATCTCTGGTTGGGCATTGGGCGCTGAGCCTGCGAGCGTCACCTGCAGCCATGCCCCAGCCAGTCGACGTGGCAGTCCTCGACGCGCCCGAGCGATCTTAGTCCGACCGTACGTGGTAAATGGATCCTAGGGAGGGTCTTGGGTTATGGCTGTGCTAGAGACGGGAAAATTGGCTCGTTTTGCGGTTTCTTTCGGGCTTCCGCTGTAGGCGCTTGCTACTTGAGGGAAAAGTGACTTGTTTATGTATTGTGCCGATGTACCCCAGTCTACTCCGTACATGTATCAGATCACCTTTTCGTAAGCAAGGAGACATCTGCTGGCTCGGGTCACTCTCGGGCTGATCCGGTTTGCTGCCTCACTTGTAATCCTTTTTTTTTTTTTTTTCTTTCTCGGCCGTCTGCAGTTTTGCTTCTAACCCAACAGGATCTCGCTTCTAGCAGGAGTCGGCTCTATCACCCGGGTATCTGCCATTGGGAAGATGGCCTGATGGCTGACCTTGATACGGATATTCCGTACACTTTGAGACAATACGAAGCCATATTGGAGGAAGGGTAGAAAGAGTAATAGAAAAAGACATGACATTACGCAAACGTCTTTAAGGGTCCAGACCGGTGATCGACTAGCATGTTTGTTGAAGTATAGTATTCTTTTGCTAAAAGTGCCCATTCTCGTATCTCATTTTGTGGGGAGTATCCTTCATCGTCGATCAGAACTTTTGTCTTTTCTTTTATCTACTCGTCTGCCCAATTTACATACTCTTTACCCAACTGATATTTTTAACTGATCGTTTCCTTCCCCGATTTATCTATACATTTACCTCGCAGATCTTCTTCATCTTGATTGCATTGATAAGATCTCTCCTATTCCACCTCCTATCCACTTTGATTTAATAATTATTTTTCCATTGCGCTCCAATTCTACGTATGTCTTGCCTATCTCTCCTCACAAAGCATACACTGACCGTTTACAGAAATACCCACCTTCCTCCATTTGATTACTGATAGACAGTTACTTCCCCGGCCATTCTGACGAGGAACCCGCCATGACTGTCAATTTGGATGACGAACTGTTCACCAGTGCCATCTCTGGATATCGCGAAGCGTTTTTGGTCCAACACTCCAACCTCTCAGAAGATGAACGAAATCAGCTCTGGATTGAACGATTAAGTCAGTTTATCCCGGCCAAAGACCGGGATACCAACTGGCAGCCAGCTGCGGGCCTGGGGAAACGGACTCGACAGGATGCGACACCACGGACGTTGCCATATTCTGATTCGGGTCTTCCTCGGGCAAAACGGAGAGCCACCGTATGTGTGACCTTGGTTACTTGCTCCAGCCTTATCTGCTCCGCCCCTCCGCTCTCGTCTCCTAACCATAGCCGCCATTCGTCCTTGGATTGACAATTGGCAGACCCCGGATCTTTTAGTCGACCTAGCCCGCGACCTCTCCCACGTCTCCTCCCCCAACATACCTCGGAACGGCGCTGCCTTCTCGGGACAAGGCTCCTACCGACACACCGCCATGGTACGTTCCCAGAGCCAGCAAATACCGTTATCCCACCAACACCAGCCAGTGGGTGGCGTGATGGGTAAACGACAATCCTTCGGCCCGGTACGGACACATCGTCGCCTCAACCATGTCGATGAATTCTCGCCAGCCGAGTATGCGAAGTATTTGGACGCATCCCCCAGTCAACCCTTTGACTCCGCCTTGACTTTCGGACTCGCAAATGGACAAACCGGACCATCCTTCCCTCAATACCCTGACCGGACGTCTCCCTGGACCGACCAGGCCCCACCAGCTGCGCCAGAGATGTCCCGCAGCACGACTACCGACTCCTTAGTTGGCGGAATCAACATGTTCCGCTTCGACTCAACTGGACCTCCCCAATATCAAGAACCGGTCAACTCCGTCCCGCCAGAGTGGGTGCCAACAACTACTACCGGTCTGCCGTATCGAGACCCCTTTCTTTCCCCCGTGTACCCTGACCTAGATCCCACGTCGTCTTCCCCGTTCTCCCACCATTCTCCCATCTCCCATCCATCGTCCTTCTCCAACCCATCATTCTCAGCATCCGCTCCCCCAACCACCTCCTTCCACTACCCAATGCCCCACCATATTTCCACTTTCGACTCAGCGGAGATGAAGTCCTGCGACTCAATCGACAGCAATAGCTCGGCGAACCAGCGCTCCCGTGCAGCACGCCGCACCAAAGAGCAAATTGCCCAGGCCGCACGCCCCATTGCCCCCAAAGTCGAATCTGTCGAAAACATCATGTCCCAGATCGACCCCCACAAGATGGTCCGCATCTCCTCAGCAGATGGCACAACCAAGGAAGTCGCCGCCATTCCCAAAGCCTCCGTGCGACGACCCCAGCGACCCAAGACATACTGCAGCGTCTGCACAGACCACCCAGACGGCTTCCACGGTGAGCACGAGCTGCGTCGCCATATCGACCGCGTGCACGCTTCCAAACGAACTGTCTGGGTCTGCAACGATATCTCACCGGGCAAGTACTTCCTTGCTAACTGCAAGGCTTGTCGGAATGGGAAACGCTACGGCGCCAACTATAATGCGGCTGCGCATCTGCGTCGCACGCATTTCAATCCCTGTGAGCGGGGTCGTGGTGGGCGCGGAAAGGATAGTGAGAAACGCGGTGGGAAGGGTGGAGGTAATCAGCCCGGGATGGACGTCTTGAAGCATTGGATGATTGCCGCTGAGGAAGTCACCGATGAGGCGGCTGGTGGTGGCTCTAACTCCAGACTTCTGATTCGGAATCCTAGCCGTGTTTCGACTAAGGATCCTGGGTATCAGCTTGCTGTCGCTGCCTGTCGTCTGGTCGAGGGCCAGCCCTCCTATATTGTGGAATCGGCTCTGCTGAAGGAGTCTGACCAGTTCCCTGACTTTTCCGATGCGCCGTTTGAATTTGATTTTGAGCTGGACCTTGATCTCGACCTCGACGTCGAGGGGTCCATGGGTTCGTCATTTTCGGGTTCGCAGCCATCCTGTATGCCTGATATTGATTCCTGTGTCAAGTGAGCGATCGTAGTCTGTTTCGCTTTTTGTTTTGTTTTTTTCTTTTGTGGGTTCTTTTGCGATTGCTTGTTGAGAGCACCGTTTGATCGGGTTCGTGTATCGTACTTTGGGACATGGTCATTAGTTTTTGAGGTTAGTGAGGGTTTGGACTTGGATATATTTTTGGCGATGTATATTCTGGATTTGCGATCAGGGTAGATATTATCGCGAAGTCCGTACTGACAGTGAGAAGCTCGAACTAATGATAATGAAAACGTGACGGTGTCACAACGTTGCAATGACAAAACCGGAGATCGTCGGTAATCAGCCCTATACTTTAGTAGTCGGTACGAACACCACAGTGTCCCGTGGCATACGAGTTCAGGTACCAGGTACAGTCCAGGCAGCAACAATACGGGCGGTCAAGTGCCAAGAGGCGTAAATAACAGACCGAAGCTATGAGTGGCTGACGCTTTCTGAAAGTGGAGTCCGGTGTGACTCAGTGGCTGATTCTCAACCAATAGGACAAGACCTAAGCAATGCAATTCGTGGCTGACTGCGTTGGTCACCGATAGGGCTGGAAAAACTGTGGCTGAGAGAATTGTGCTGGAATACTGTGGCCTAAGTACATCAGGGGTACCTAGATTCTTGGGAATTTAAATCCAAGGTATCGAGATGCTCTGGTTATGGTGAATACTGAGGATATTGGGTTGTAAAGGACTCATCGACCAATAGTAAAGAAAAGCATACACCAAAGGATCAATATTTACTAACAAATTCGGCCCGTGTGGAGAAGAAGGGGAAAGGGGGAGAGAAACAAAGGTACTTCGGAGGTACATCATCCCTGTGCTCTTGGCGGATAAACTCTACTATCGGGCGCACCGAGCAAGTACCTTTCAAGTACCCCAACAATTTCCTTTTCACCTGCAATACAACCTTCACAACGTGAGTGACTTACCTTTTCCCTCCTTCTTTCTGACACTCTTAACTTGATTCTCCCCATCTTCATCAATCTCACCTTGTTCTTCACTTTCCATTTCGCTCGCTTATCTCGGTCGCTCATCACAGCCTCCCCCTTTCGACCAATCTCGGTCTTCGCTTCGTCCCAGGTAGGTGGATTTAACCGCTGTGGCGGCCACTCCTCCACTGTCAACCTCAGTCGCATCATATCAAGGCGTTGCAAGGCCCTATACTGTTGGATGTTATCAAGTCACTAATTCGTCTACTTCGCTTTTAGACGAATATCTCCCGTCATGTCCTATCAACAGCAGCCTCCATACCCCCAGCAGGCGTAAGTCATATCGTGATCACCTATACCCCAAGATCGGCGGCAACTGTACCATAGCGTGTTTCCCAACACGTCCTTCTGTGCAATTTCCGATCGCGGGAAGTTTCACTCTTGTCTACGGCGAACGTGGATCTTGCTGGGTTTGTTGAACATTGACTGATCAACTTTCGGTGTAGATACGGTGGCTATCCCCCGCAAGGTGGCTATCCCCAGCCGGGTTATGAATACCCCCCACAGCAGGGCTACCCCCGCAGGGCTACCCGCCGCAGCAGAACGTTAGTCTTGATATCAGCAAACTCACCGTACTTAGTATGCTCACCAATTTTCAGATGGCCTACAATCAAAGTCAACCTCCGCAACAGCAGGAGCAGAAGAGTGACAGGGGATGTCTCATGAGCTGGTAAGCATTCACTTTGTCATGGAAATATGGAACAACACTAATGTGCTTTTTTCTTTCAGTCTGGCGGTCATGTGCTGTTGCTTCTTGTGCGAAGAGAGCTGTGAATGCTGCCTAGAGTGCTGCGACACGTGCTGCTAAGCTCCACGATCAATGACATCGACGATACCTTTCTTCTTCCTGGCGTTGGAATTTCTCGATACGCCTTGCAGTGTTCTAGGACAGACTACTGCATTCTTTCAATTGCAATAATTTATCTTCGTCTCTGCTTTAGTGAGCTCTTCTCTTTTTCTGCATAGAAATCTTCTCTGGACAGAATGCTCCGAGCTGGGTCAATTTTAACTCAAATAACTGTTCATCGGATCCGAGGCGTGATCGACTTGGCGTCCATTGCTCAGCTACATGTGCTTATGTATTGAATGCATCAAAATCTTGGTTCTACGGCTCTCTTAACGCTCTCTTCAGTAATTTTCGCCGGATATAATGTTGCACATGCCGGGTGAGATTGAACCTACTGTTTGTACGGCAGCCTCAACTTTACAATATTCCCGAATAGCTTCAAGGGTCCATGGTAATCACCTCGAATGGTTTCCAGGCATAACTGGCATTTTTGTTGGGTTTATTTATGGAAACTGATAGACTAAAATAATCTGGAGGCGCCTCACTTCTTAAGCTAGCTAGTCTCGGGGATGATTGGCAGAAAGCCCCTCTTCGTCCTGTGCCTAAGCGCCTTGTTCTATTGCCGTCTAGTCAGGGCAAGGACTTGAAATATTAAACAGAAGTGCCCCGCAATGAAGAGACTTATTGAACTTGATATTACTCTAAAATCTTGGTCTCTCAGCTTCTATCTACTCATTTGTTAGAGAAACCTCGACGTATATCGACAGAATTATGACCCCAGGATTTGGACCGAGTCCACTTGATACCAATGGGTTATGTCTCTTGTCTCTAGATGGCGGAGGCGTGAGGGGGCTATCAAGTCTCTTGATATTGAAGGATGTGATGACACAGCTCAATTCAGAGCGCGAAGATAGCAAATTCCTCAAGCCTTGTGATGTGTTCGATTTGATCGGGGGTACCAGTACAGGAGGGTGTGCATTGACCGAATATCTTGTAAATGCTGGGCTGACATGCATGTCCAAATATCTAGGCTGATTGCCATAATGTTAGGACGGCTGGAAATGGGTGTCGATGAGTGTATCCTGGCATACACCGAATTGATGGAATCGGTTTTCAGCGAGAAACTCAACAAAGTCCCGGTTGACTGGTCTGGAAAGATTGTATCGCAATTTGACAGTCAGAGACTCAAAAAGGCCATTGAAAATGTTATCACGCGTGCTGGGTTGTCGCCAACCGACCCGATGAATGATGGCAAGCCCCGTCGCTCTAAAACGTTTGTATGCACAACTTCCAAAGATACACTCCAAGTCACACGCCTTCGAAGCTATTCCGTGCCAAATGAGATGGTGTTACCGGCGACGATCTGTGAAGCAGCATTGGCAACATCGGCCGCAACCAGGTTTTTTGATTCGGTTTCGATCGGGAATCAACAATTTGTCGATGGTGCATTCGGTGCCAATAACCCCATTGAGGAAGTAGAGGAGGAAGCGGCTGATATATGGTGTACTACCAGCCGGGCCCTAAGACCGTTGGTGAAGTGTTTGGTGTCTGTTGGAACTGGCAATCCTGCACAACTCCCCATGAATGACAATGTTCTCAAGTTTCTCTCAAAGACATTAGTCAGAATGGCGACAAAACCCGAGAGCACTGAGCGTCGTTTCATGGCTCGATGGAGCAATGAGGTAAAGGGTAAACGTTACTTTCGTTTCAATGTCGAGCAAGGATTACAGCAAGTTCACATGACCGATTATGAAAAGCAAAGTGTCATTGAGTCTGCTACATATGCCTATTTGCATCATTCCTCGCAGAAGATCCAAATTCGCGATTGCATTCTCAATCTTTCAGAAAAGCAAGGTAAGGATTGAAAAAGAGAAACCTTGACGATGTGGTGATGAGAGGTGCTGATCATGTCCAGGAAAGACTAGCATTGATTTTGAAACAAATATACGGGTAAGACATAGATAGTGCCTATATCAGAAGATGATCTTGCTGGCTTGCTACCTGACTCTAACTCTTTGCTAGGAATATGAAGCTCGAGTTACTCGCCATCGAATCTTGCAAACCATCCAGTCGTCAGACAACCCTTTCGGTTCCAAAAGCCCCCTGGTTGGTTTGTTCCATTTGAGAGAAACCCTCGCTATGTTGACCGCGAGATTGTGGGCAAGGTAAAGCGCAGACTTTTTAGCTCCAACCAAGCTGAAAGAATTGCTATTGTCGGCCTTGGAGGGATAGGCAAGACACAGATTGCCCTTGAGCTTGCCTATCAAACACGAGAGATCTATCCGGATTGCGCCATTTTCTGGCTTCCTGTGGTTGATATGGAAAGTCTAGAACAGGCATACCAACCTATGGCCGAACAGCTTGGAATCGGCCTGAATGATAGGAAGGAGGATCTGAAGAGCCTTGTCAAAGATCATCTGAGCAAACCAAGCACTGGAAGATGGTTGCTAATTTTTGACAACGCCGATGAGATTGATATGTGGGCGGAGAGCAAAAGTTCGAAGTCTGGAGGTCTAAAAGATTACCTTCCCACAAGTGATCAAGGTGTCATTCTCTTTACCACTCGAAGTAACAAAGTCGCCCGATATCTTGCTACAACCGATATTATCAGAATCTCGGAAATGAATGAGCAAAAGGCTACTCATGTCTTGCGAAACTCGTTGGTTGACAAAGAGGTTCTTCACGACACGGAGAGTACTCGGAAGCTTCTCAGCCGCTTGACTTTTCTCCCTTTGGCTATCGTGCAAGCTGCTTCATTCATCAACGAGAACGGCACCACACTGGCCGGTTATGTGGAGCTTTTAGATGGAAAGGAGCAGAGCGCTATTGACCTTTTGAGCGAGGACTTTGAAGATAAAGGTCGCTACAGAAGTATTCGAAATCCTGTTGCGACCACCTGGCTTACATCTTTTGAGCAAATCCAAAGACAAAATTGCCTAGCTGCCGACTATCTCTGCTTTATGGCCTGTATGCAAGAAAAGGATATACTGGTTTCGCTTCTTCCTCCGGATTCGACTATCGACCAGCAAAAAGCGATTGGATTGCTCAGCTCTTATTCATTCATACGCCTAAGGAATGAGGATTCTCGCCTTGACATGCATCGTTTAGTCCATCTTGCAACAAGAAACTGGCTACAGTCAATCGGTTCCCTACGACAATGGCAATTACAGGCGTTGTCTGGTTTAGCCACTCGCTTCCCTAGAATAGACATCATACATCGGAGTGAATGGCGAGCGACGGTACCTCATGCCCTGCGGGTACTCAATCTGACCACAGGAGAAGTTCCTGTTCCCGCGAGACTTCAAGTCTTACTCAATGTAGCCGAAAGTCAAATGTTTGATTGGAGATTCAAAGAAGCTGAGCTGCCTTACAGTCAAATTGTGGAAGTTTCGGAAGCAATGTTTGGACCCGAAAACACATGGTCTATTCGAGGCCTTATAGGACTGGCAAAGAGCTACTTGTGGCAAAGGAAGATAAAGCAAGCAATTGCATTGTGCGAGGAGGTGCTAGAGATTCAGACAAGACTCCACGGTTCCGGTAGCTTTGCAGCAAATCAAGCTCTTGTTGACTTGTCAGATACCTACCACACAGCGGGTGACCTCAAGAAATCTCAAGCTCTTTACAAGAAGGTCATCCCGTACTTTCTCAGAACACTGGGCCCTGGTTGCGACGCGACGATAAACCTGATCACTCGTCTGGTCATGAGCTACCACTACAATGGACATCTCTCAGATGCGACGGAGTTATCTGTGCAATTGTTGCATATCACCAGACGAATCTCGGGACCGGAGCATCCTGGGACACTCACAGTCATGAATGGGATGGCCATAATATACATGCAGCGATGGCGACTAAAAGAGGCTGAAGCGTTATTTACAGAGGAACTTGAGATCGAAAAACGCATATATGGGCTTGAACACCCTATCACAATTGCAACAATGGCGCTGCTAGCTACTACATGGAAAGAACAGGGAAGACGAAAGGCCGCAATTGCCTTGATGACGGAGTGTGTTTCCTTGAGTGGGCAAGTCAATGGTTTTGATCATGCCTCGACCCAGACAACGTATTCTAAGCTCGAGGAATGGAAAAATCCCACGTGAGTTTCTCATAACTGCACGGGGATTGACAACACACGAACTGACATGTTTATATCAGAACACTGCGCGGCTTCCTACATAATTATCACCCTCAATTTCGGCGTGCGGATATGATACTACAGCGAAATCTCCGATTTGAATCTCCTCAAGTGAAGGGACATGGCTTCTGGTACATACAGCCAAGAAATGATCCCCTCATTCGCGAAATCCAAGAAGCCGTGAAGACCATGTCTATATAAAGACAGCTTTCGAGTGGCAAAGTCACTCGAGTTGAGGGCCAGGACACTGAAAATGTTTATACGATGCCATGACTATAATGACTATCCCAATGATCTATTTGCGGGTACAGGTGAGTTTCAGCTTCAAAGTCTTCGCTAGAAGACTTCAATCCATTTCTACTTTGGTAAATATCAAACCTAATGTTATATGTAGTTGAAGATGACAATTTAAACGAGAAATGATTCATTCATTGAGATATGCCCGGTATAGAAGGAAATCCATCCAGCAATCTGTGATGATACCCTCAAGAAACAGTTACTTTAGCATCTGTCGATTTCATACCCTAAGAATTATAGCTATTGCGACCAAAAATTGACCGGAAACTCCTTGCTCATTCCCACGGATCAATAGATTCTGTCAAGTGATATAGACCTCGGTCGCATCTCCACGCCCGGGCCCGCGGAGAGAATGATAAGTGGTTAGCCCGTTATCCGAAATTGTTGCTCAATCGAGTATGTTCCGCGCAAATTACTATCCTGGGTTGGTATGCAGAATTTAGAATTCTCCAAAACAAGCTCAAAACAACATCGGGTGATCAGATAAATATTCTGGTTGATTGTACCCGTGGTGACCCGGGGGCCCTGGCGCAAATCACACAACTCAAGAATCTTACCGGAATAGATACCGTTACCTGATTCCATCCGAGACACGCGAAACAAGTGAGGGAATTCCATGATTTATGGCTGGAAAGTATCCGCAGTCAATATGGCATTCTTGCCGCTAAGCGGCCAAGAGAAGCTTGAGACCGACGCTACAAAGCTTGTGGTGGGTGGCGCTTACCCGCTTTGGTCTAGCGTTCGCTAGATAAGATGAGGGCGACATCTGATTAGATCTGCCCTTTTCGCTGTTGTTCCTCTGTGGATCTAGTCATAGGCTAGCAAGACTTGGTTTTTCTAAGTGGAGGCACTAATTTCACCAAATCATTACTAGAGGCCGCGTAAAGCCACCGGGTTTAGTATGCGGGTCACAACACCGCGTGGTTTTTTCTTTTTTTTTTTTGATGGCTTTTACAGTCTCTTACTCCGAGTCTGCCGATCTCGGGGGTTTGTACAATATAAGTGCCATAGGTATCCCATTATTTCCGGGTGTGAATAAAGCCACTGTTTGATTTCACCTCGCATCGACCATGGGTGTCCGTCTTTTAGTCCGAAGAGCCCGAACGGTCTTTAGTCGTATGGCGGCTTCTGACGCTGGAAGCTCGGAAGAGACAACCCCATCGGATGGACCAACCGCCGAGGGAAGAAAGACGGCTTCTGCCCGTGACGATGAAGCTCAGCGACCGGAAGTGCCGGCGGAAGACCTCCAGCATGGTGTCAGAGATATCGAGGCTATCACCATGACCTGGTCCAAGCGAACCTTGATTCTGGTGTTCATAAAGTAAGCCGCCATCCCCAGTGACTGACTCAAATCATGGCTGATACAGGGTTTTCATAGTATCTGGTTCCTGTATTTTGTCAACGCCTTCCAATCCTCCGTTTTTGCCAGCTTGAGCCCCTACGTCTCGAGCTCTTTTACGGCCCACTCACTGTCCGGCGTGCCTACTGCGCTAGCAGATGCTTTTTCGGCAGCAATCTATATCCCGGTTGGAAAGATGATGGATACTTGGGGCCGTGCGGAAGGATTCCTGCTGATGACATGCTTCGCTACGCTGGGGTTGATTCTCTTGGCATCTTGCAACAGCTTTGCCATCTACTGCACTGCATATGTAAGACTTCAATCCTTTGCTATCACGAAACCGCGTCAAGGTGTTTCAAACATACTTACATCTCCTGTTAGGTCTTCTACTATATTGGATTCAGTGGCATGGAATATGCTATTGATGTGATGACGGCCGATGCTTCCAAATTGAAGAACCGAGGATTGGCATTCGCCTTCACCTCGTCGCCGTACATCATTACCGCATTTGCTGGAGCAAAGGTAGCAGACGAGTTCTACTATCAGGTCAGCTGGCGATGGGGCCTGGGCTGTTGGGCTATTATCTTCCCAATTGTGGCGGCGCCTTTGTACTTCATGCTGAAGAACAATCTGCGCAAAGCGGAAAGGGAAGGACACCGGGTCGAGGGAAAGAGTGGTCGCACCTTTTTGCAAAGCGTGTGGCACTGGACTATGGAGTTTGATTGTGAGTATCTCTTTTCTCTATCGTTTGCTTTTTGCATATACAACGTCAATAATACCACATCGACACGAATTTCTGAAGGTCAACTATTGGGTTGTTGGAACAATGACTAACCTTGAATAGTGCCTGGCGTTTTCATGTTCACAGCTGGACTGGTCCTCTTCGAGCTTCCTTTCGATATCGCAAGCGAAGCGCCCAACGGCTGGGGTTCGAATTATATCATCGCTATGCTTGTTATTGGCTTTTCGATGCTGTTTTTCTTTGCTATATATGAGAAGTGGGTGGCCCCGGTGCCTCTGCTTAATATTGTCTTTCTCACCGACCGAACCGTTATCGGTGCCTGTCTTTTGGATGCCACCTACCAGCTTTCTTACTACTGCTGGAACAATTACTTCACCTCTTTCTTGCAGGTGGTGAATGGTCTGACGATCGCTGAGGCTGGGTATGTGAGCAACACGTTCGATGTCGTCTCTGGTGTGCTACTTCTCTTCGTCGGTTGGACGATCCGAAAGACCGGTCGTTTCAAGTGGCTACTATACATCTCCGTTCCATTGTATATCTTTGCACAGGGATTGATGATTTATTTCCGCAAGCCTAATATGGGCGTCGGATACCAAATCATGTGCCAGATTTTCATCTCGATCGGCGGGTCAATTTTCATCATCGTTGAACAGATTGCCATTTTAGCCGCCGTTGACCACCAACACGTTGCTGCCGCATTGGCTTTGCTCAATGTCGTCGGCACTATCGGCGACAGCGCAGGATATACGATCTGTACTGCTATTTGGACCAACACCTTCCCTAATGCTCTCCAAAAATACCTCCCAGAATCGGCCATGTCGAACTTTGAAAACATTTACGAAGACATCACTGTGCAGACGGGCTATCCCCTTGGAGGCGAGGTTAGGCTTGCTATTCAGAAGGCCTATGCCTACGCCGAAGTCCGTATGCTTTCAACTGGTTTGGGTATCATGGGTCTGGCCATTGCCTGGACGATCTTGATCCGAGATATTGATCTCAAGAAGACTGCCCAGGTCAAGGGTACCGTCTTCTGAGAGGTATCAAGACAGTAATTGTCAGAGCTGTGCGTGTTCTTGCGCACCGATCTCATTACAGCAATCATTACTCATTTTGAACTACTCCTTGCTTTGTAATGCTTGTCTATTTGTGTCTTGATAATATCTACCCGCGATCTATTGCAATCACAAATATGTCCCCTATCTACACATCTTGCATATAAATTCATCCTATTCACAACTCATAGTTTCCCATATTTTTCGGGAAAATCTTCATGACAGGGGAAGTGGAAGATCGGCAGCGGAGAAAGGCGTGTGGATTTACCCGTCAATCACAACTCATCTCCCCAGTCATGGCCTTGACCAAGTACCCCTCCACACCAGCCAAGAAAAATGTACTTGAGCGCAGCGCCATCAGGCCAGCGGGATGAAGAAAATGCTTACAGGTGTAAGCCTCGGTGCTTTTCCTGGCAAGAATCAATTGCTGCAATATTGCATGGCCCCATGCAAGGAACAGACAATTATAAACCTACGGCCTTGGCTGAGCCGGTATTTTCCCAGACGGTCTTCACTTGGAGGTGGTACCTCTTGGTGCATGCACTCCTCATGGAGATTTACCTAATTGGGAATGAAATCTCGATATTACCGTGTCGGCACATTTCCCGACTTCTTACGCAAAAGATGCGATCAAGCTATGTCTTCCCAACCCCTCGGACGTCATTTGGTTTCATTCGGGTCAATTGGAGCACAGTGAGGAGCACGAGTAATTAACCGACATGGTGCTCCGCACTGGTGAATTCAGCTGTCTGCATATAAATACCCGATACAGCGCGCCTTTTGCTCGTACTTCCTCCACTCTGAATAGAATCACGGAGTCCAACAGGTGTGAGCTAAACACAGCAATATGCTACACAAATATCTTCTTCTGCCACTTTTGGCGTCATATGGTGCGGCTGTCACTATCTCGGTAGCCAAATCTGGAGGCAATGCCACGTCAGGTCTGCAGTATGGTGCAATGGAAGAGGTAGGCTGAGCCTGCGGACTATTGTGGTACCGCATCTAATTCAAGGTCTAGGAAATCAATCACTGTGGTGAAGGAGGTCTTTATGCCGAATTGATCCGCAACAGAGCGTTCCAGGGGAGCAGCAAGTTCTCTTCGTCACTGGAGGCCTGGTCTGGGGTTGATGGCTCATCGCTGTCTCTGAAGAACCTCACTGATCCACTGTCAACTGCCCTTCCAACTTCAGTCAATGTCAAGGGTTCTGGCACAGCTGGGCTGACCAATGAGGGCTTCTGGGGAATTGATGTCCGCCCTCAAAAATATACTGGGTCGTTCTATGTAAAAGGCTCTTACAAAGGCTCCTTCACGGCCTCTCTCCTTTCTTCCAGCGGCAAAGTGTTGGCCACTACCAAGATCGCCTCAAAGAGTGTTGCAAACAAATGGGTGCAACACAAGTTTGTTCTCACTCCCAAAGCAAAGGCTTCCGATTTCAAGAACACGTTCTCACTGACTTTCGATGGCTCGGTAAGAATTGACTCCAAAATTGCTATGCATCCCGGCTGATCATCTTTAAGAAAACATCAAGTGGCTCGCTTGATTTCAACCTGATCAGTTTGTTCCCACCCACGTGGAATGATCGCCCCAATGGCATGCGGAAAGACTTGATGCAAGCCATGGCTGATATGGGTCCTGTAGGTTGAAGTTCTTTTGTTAATCTATTTAGCCAGAAGATCGATGATGCTAATACATTTGATAGACGTTCCTTCGCTTCCCTGGTGGAAATAACTTGGAGGGTGATAGCATCGACGGCCGCTGGAAGTGGAATGAGACCATTGGGCCACTCACAGACCGACCTGGTCGTGCAACCACCTGGCAATACCAAGAGACCCTTGGACTAGGGTTGGTCGAGTATATGGAGTGGTGTGATGATCTGAACATGGAGCCCAGTAAGTACACCATTTTGCAACGATTCGCTTTACCAAGCTGACAAGCCCCGTCTAGTCCTGGCCGTCTATGCTGGACTCGCTCTGAATGGAGAAGTTGTCCCGGAGGCTGACCTCGATTTCTATGTTCAGGATGCCCTTGACGAGATCGAGTTCTTGACCGGCTCTGTAGACACCAAGTACGGTGCTCTGCGTGCCAAGGTTGGACACCCAGAGCCGTGGAAGATTCGATATGTCGAGGTTGGAAATGAGGATATGCTGAGCAATGGACTCGAGACCTACAAGTCCTACCGGTTCGCGGCATTTTACGACGCTATCACCGCCAAGTACCCCGATATCCAGGTTCTCGCTTCTACCATCGATCTGACGATTCCTGGAAATGCAGGTGGTGATTACCACTTGTATGATAACGCAGATAACTTTGTCAAGAAGTTCGACATGTTTGACAACTTTTCTCCAAAGCATCCTATCTTGCTCGGTGAGTAGCTTTTCACAACTGCGAGAACGATAACTAACATATTCCAAGGTGAGATTGCTGCTACATCCCCACTGAATGGAGTTGATATCGACTGGAGCGATACCCATTTCTCTCAATATCCTTGGTGGATCGGAACCGTTGCCGAGGCCGTGTTCCTCATTGGTGCCGAACGCAATGCTGACAAGGTCATTGGAAGCACCTACGTGAGTTGTTCCAATATACGCTTTAATAGACGAAAACTGACAAAGGAATAGGCCCCATTCATGATGAACTTGGACAAGTACCAATGGTCCCCAACCATGCTATCCTTCAACGCCGATCCCGACCAGACAGCTCGCTCTACCAGCTGGCACGCATGGACTGTATGTTGTACTAAAATCCAGCCTTAAAGTACATTCCACTGACATCAGACACGAAAATAGTTGTACAACAAGAACATCATGACAAATACCCTCCCAGCTACTTCCTCTGACGCCTTCGGTCCTCTGTACTATGTGACAGGTCTGAATAGTAAGACCAACTCGCACGTCTTCAAGGCAGCAGTATACAATAGCACATCTGATGTACCTGTATCGTTGACATTTGAGGGCGTCGGCCGTGGTACCCAGGCAGACTTGACCATCTTGACTGCGCCGGATGCATTCTCAATGAACGAGGTGGGCGGGTCGAACATCGTGAACAGCAAAACCACGAAGATCAAGGCTGGCAAGAAGGGCGAGTTCTCTTTCAAGCTGCCGAATTTGAGTGTGGCCGTGCTCACTACCAATTAATGTGTCGTCATTAGTATTGTGGCACATGTACACGGATTCTAGCATTCACGATACCATCTGTTACATAGTTGAGAGAAATATCCAACCCTCAATCTGTTGGTGCAACAATATTTAGGAATACAAAAGTTCTATCGAATGATTAATCAATCCGATTTAGTGTTTTATTCTAATTCCGCTTTGTCGCTTGATTTCTGGCGGAATATTGCTCTTGCTCCCGCTTGCTCCTAGGAACATAGTATGAATTTAGCTACAGCAACCTGGACATCAGCAAAGTCTTTCTAGACCTACCGACCATCGCTCACACTCCGGCCTGGGTCTCTGACATCAAATCCATCGATGTTTAGTACATGGCTAGTGAGTATGCAATATGGTGTGACATTGATATTAATTTGATAATATAGTGTAAGTCTGATAATATAATTGTAATAAAGTCTTGTCAAAGGAAAGATGCCTGGAGAGGTACGTATACAAAAGAGGGATATCTAACAAAAAAAAAAAGGAAATTACTGACGAGCATTGTTCAACAGAAGGTCAGCACCTTCTAGCCAGCCAAAAGCATTAGCCATATCTAACACCGTTGTGCCGGTATCATCTTTCTGAGTAAGGTCAACCAACCCACCCTTCTCAATTAAAAGCCGCAATAATCGAACATCGCGGTTTTCAATAGCCTGCATGATCGCATTCCAGTCGCGGTAGCATTTATTCGGATCAGCGCCCCGCTCGAGAAGTAACTCAATCATGGCAAAGTCCCCATTGTCACATCGTCGAATCGCTTTGACGAGTGGCAAATGCTCACCAGGTGCATTGGGGTCGGCGCCAGCGTCCAGGAGATAGCGCACAATGATCCAGTGGTTCTCACGTAGTGCTGTTGTCAGCGGGGAGAAAACACCGCCGTTCTTCCACTCGACACTAGCACCAGCTGCGATGAGTAATTTGACGCTTTCGAGTTGATTTGCTTGTACTGCTTTTTCCATGACACCCTTGTGCGTTGAGAGATCGGTTATGCGAGGTAGAATCAGTCGTAGCATGCTCGGTGATTGAGTTGCCATGTATATGGGCCAGTCTTTGCCGCGTAGGTTAGGGTCGGCACCATTTGCCAATAACCATTCCAGCATTTCTGGACGGTTCTTCTGAATGGCTGTTGTCACGGCTGTGTGGCCATTGTCGTTGCGGTCGTTGGGATTGGCGCTTCCTTGGCCCACCAGCCAGTGTAGGGCCTCCGTGTTGTTTTCCTGCACGGCGCACTCCACAATGCCCGGCGGTTTATGGAGATCTGCGCCGGCGGCCACCAAGTCTGGGAGAAAATGGAGGCGTTTGTGGGTGATGCACTTCCACGCTGGGTACTCGGATGCCATCAAATTAGGGTCAGCTCCGTGATGGAGGAGCAAGGCAAAGATATCTGGGCGGTCATCGCGGATGGCGGAGCAGAGTGGTGTGTAGATTCCATCCTTTTTGGAATTCGGGTCCATACTCGCCTGCAGCAGGATGCGCACGGCATCGATATTGTTGACACTTGTCGCTTGCTCCATCAGACCGGGGGTCTTTTTGATGTCGGCGCCGCGTGCGAGCAGGATGCGCAGGCAGGCTGGGCGGTAGATGGCGGACCAGAGGACGTGCTCGGGTCCTGGGAGGTTTGGATTCGCGTCTTTATTTATTAGGGCGCTCACGATAGATGGTTGATCGCTTTTCACGGCTTCGCAAAGCGCTGTCTTGCCGTGGTCGTCTTTGCGATTGGGGTCGCAACCGGAATTGATCAGCGTTTCGATGACTTGCGGCGTTGATCGCTTGCGAATCGCTTCGATCAGTAACGTTGTGCCATCGCGCGTCTCATCTTTGATACCGACGCCGTGCGCCGGCAGAGTTGGCGTTAGCTTGGCACTGGGGGCATCGTAATCCGAATAGCTGTCATTGCGGAGGCTCATCTCCTCGGGAGAGGCTGTGGAGTCTGTTTGGTCCATTTGGCGCGGCAGTGCTCGGCGATCGAAATAGGGCATTTTCACGGCCTCACGAGGCTGATAGTCCAGGAACTCGTTCAGGGATAGGACGGAGGATTCGTCATCCGCCATCGTTTTAGGTTCTTCCCGAATGCTTGGATTGAATCGGGAGCCGGTAAATGATCGGGAGCCAATAAATGATCCTTTCGGGCGCACGGATGGCGTTGAGCGCCTTGAATCAGGCGTTTGGCTTTGGATCGATGCGGATCCCTCAGGGTCGAAAGACTTGGCCTTATTGATTCCCATCACGGAGCGGCCCTTGGACACGCGATCGAGCGCTGCCGCTAAGCCAGCGTAGCCAATTCCTACCGACTCCTCCGGGTGTGCGTCTCCGAGCGACCAGTGAAAGGCCATGCCACTGATATGAAGGGTTTCGGTGGTCTTCTTGAGGGACTCGCAAATGCGATTGAGTTCATGGCTTGGCCGGTGCCACCCTCGCTGCAGCTTGCCCAGTGTTCCACGATGTTCATACTGAACAAGCTTCAAAATGATCTTATCCAGTTGTTGGAAGTCACGATAGGTGGCCACAAATTTCTTTTCTACCTCTTCAATTATGACATCTGGTAGGGCGCGATTGGCCGCGGATAGTTCGGTCACGCCGGCCTCAATGGCCCATAACATGCGACAGGTGTCGAGAAAGATATGAGACAACTCCCGAAATCCGTTCGGGAGATCTTTGGTGGTGCTGAGATAATTGAGCATGTGCACCGAGATTTGATTGCCCAATTGTGTGGCCAGCGCTGAGACGCTGCATATGTTTTCCTCTGGGTTGGCCAACATGATTGCGAGGTTCCAGACAGAGATGGGGGAAATATGGAAAGGAGTCAAGAGAGCGAGGGCGGATTGCCTATATCAAGAGCAATCTCTCGCCCAGCAGGTGGAAAAGGCAAAATCCTCCATCTATACAGTGGGGCCTGTTTTGCCCAACTGGGATTAGCGATCGGTCGAGATTGTGGACAATCTGGATCCGGGGTGGAAACCAGTTTGTGTTAGTGTTAGGCCCATTCAGCTGGGTCGTTGTATCTGGATCTCAGAAGTCCCGGGAATCCATTGTATGAAAACATCATCTTTGTTCTGTTCCTGTCCACCTCTGAAAAGAGTTCCAACCGAGAAACAGAATGCCATTCTATATCCCTGTAGGCGGAAAAGACTTCGCTTGCCCGTGCCAGGAGATGTGGGTCCCGATAAGCGACGAAAGGGGTATAGCGTCCAGGAGTCCAGTGCCTGAGATTTCAGGTGCCTGGATTTCTTTGGCCGTGTATATTGGACCTCGAGTCCTTGACTACGGAGTACTCCGCACAGAGAGACCCATCCAGTATCCAAGTTCGCCCCTGGAAACAAATTGATTTCCTGCCAATCCAATCTATTCAATCCAACCCCCTTGGACAAATCGGCAGAACAGTCCCAGCCTGGGCATCCCCCGTATAACCCTTTTGGGGTTGGCGTGCTGCGCCCCGCTCAGCTTCCCGAGCTCCTGGGAGTCAGAGCTGCCTTGAGAATTCACAATTCCTTGCTCCCTACGCAGCACACAGTACTCTGTACAGAGATTTCACTATAGCTTCGACATATTCGCATTCAGTCTCTGAATTATCGGGCACAAGGGTCTGGACATCGATGTTCTCAGCTAGGTGGAGTCCACGTGGCTAGATCACGATTGGATCTGACAATACGGCTCGATCGATCACCGTAATCAATACTATATTGCGGTCCACTGTTCTGGGCCAAAATTGCCACAAAGAGCCCGTGCAGGGGACAAAGCGTCTGTCAATAGTGGAACACTGTCACCACTTGACAGTTCGCGATGTAATTCCCGGTCTTGACCGGATTTATGCGAATCCTTCCAATCCTTCCTTGTACCCTCTGCGAAGTACTCAAGAGTTTTTCCCACGGGCCACATGAAATGGCCATTCCTCATTTGCCCATGTTTCTTTCCTTTTCGCCATACTGGTTATACTAGTCAGTCTACCCCTGACATTCGTAGTACGGTCGAGACGCCCTTAGAATGCAGATGTCGCAATAACTTCTGTGGTTTGAGTCATTTCGGGTAGATTTTTCAGCTTGTGTTGTAAAACCATCCCATACTCTATCACTTCCAAGAAGTCTAACCGGTCAAATCTGGAAGTAGATAAGCGTCGCGAGGCTACTCGATCTAGCACGTGCTAGGGCTTTGGACTCGGTACGCTTGGCCCTCTTGGCTGATTGGAATCTAGTCCCTTTACACCTCGGCCCCGTTGCCTGGCTAAATTGTAGTTCAGTAAAATCCAGACAGTAAAACCCAAACCCAACCCGGTCTAGGTTAGTCGAGGGGTCCAAGGGTTCCTATGAGTCTGGGTCGGACTGGGTCCCCCAGTGCTGGAGATCTGGCCCCAACTTAGGTTATCTCAGCAAACACCCTAACCTGGAACCTTCCAAGGAATTGTCTATCTGTATAATCCTGCTTAGCTAATTTATGACTACCAAGACCACCTTCTTTTATGCAAGACCGCGGCTTACAAATTGGTCTGTTGTGTGGACGGAGTATAGGTATCTTCTTCCATCGGATCACTTACAGTCCAACATATAAAAACGGTCATGTGGTCTTGTTAAGCCTTTTTAGTACTGTTCTCGAGTATTATAACAATCCAGAAACCATAAACTGTGTATACGGCTCTTTTATTTCTAACATTTGAATGCATCGCATTCTTATCCTTACTTCATTTAATCCCGACACGCGTCAAGCATCCTGAATCCGAAATTTCTCCGGTGTATCCCCCTGATTGCGCCAATCCGCAGCTTTGAATGCCTCCAATTCCTTGAGTGCAGTATGAACGCGCTTAACGTTAGGAACGAAATCCAAATCCACGTGGTACAGCAAAGCCTGGTCAACTGTAGGAACCAACACCACATCCGCCATAGAAACAGTATCTCCAAACGAATAGACCCCCTCTCTGGCCTGTTTCACTAACAGACCCTCGTAGGCCCGGAAACCGTCGGTAAATGCCTGTTTGGCAAATTCTATTTGATCCTCGCGACTATCACGAATACCCTTCACCCGCTGGACGATGCGGGAGTTGGTGGTAGGTTGAGTATCGATTGCGATGATATTCAATAGATCGCGTACCTGCACCCGATCATGTAATCCGGAGGGTAGAAGGGGAGATATATCTGGAAATCGCTCCTCGAAGTATTCCAATATAGTCATGGATTGGCGGAGGATGATCTTTTCGCCGTTGGCGCTCGTCACTACTAATGTGGGTACGCTCGCGCTGGGGTTCGATGCTTTGTATTCCTCTGTTGTGTGGTCTTTCGTGCCGAGATCGATATAGGTGTAATCAAGAGGGATGCCCTTGAGATGAGCGGCAATTATGACTCGTTGGCAGCATGAGGAGCAGAAATATGAGTAGAGGTGGAAGGTGTCGGTATGCATGGTGTTTGAAATGTTGCGTCTTCGTACTGACTGGGTGGAATGTAATGAAGGAGGGTGGTATCATCCAGGTTACCTTCGGTGTCATCGACACTAGCACTAGCACTGATGTAGTTAAGTGTGATTATGAACTTAACAAACTACTGTTTTGCCAGATATCAGAGATTCGTGAGAGCTAAGGGCTCACCCTTACTATTTTCTTTCCAACTCGCCAACTTCTATATGCTGAGATATGCCCTTCCGATATCTATCACATGTAGTATTGAGCATCATCGCTCTGGACTATGCGGCCGCCTTATCTACTTCCGCTCGTTACCACCTCTTTGTACTCCGTCGAGGGATTTCCTCGACCGGCGCGGATTGGTGCGTAGCACCATTTCGTCGGGTCTGCGCGAGACGTGGGTTGACCTCACCATAAACACCATGCCTGTCCCCTACAAACCCATATGGGCCATGTTCGGGATGTGAGGCCTTGCTGATTACTTGCCGCCTGTGCGCTCCAGACCCTTTCCACGTGTAAAGATCGAAGCGACGGTCGCGACCAACGCGAATATTGCAGAGGCCATGAAGGAGAGTCTGATCCCGCGGTAGTATACCAGCCGAGCAGCCATTTGCACATCTGGAGGAAGATCATAAATAGCCGAGACTGAGTGACGGATCTCATCAATCACCTAAGAGAATGCAAGGATTCTGGTCAGCAAGGCTCGTTCAGGGGCTCAGTAGAATCCACTGGCGAAGGAATTGTACTTTCCATTTATTGGGTATTCCACTCAAGGCCTCCCCGAGGCCTGAGTTAAGTGTATTCTGCATGATGGTGGAGGTCACTGCGACGCCCCAAACTGTCCCGAGGGAGCGGATGAGGTAGACGGTTGAGGCAGAGACGGCGTGATCTACATACGACATTGTTAGCAAGCGCGCTTGGCAGACACCTTGGTCGCTCGCGAGTTCGGGTAAGAGGGCTTGGGACAATGATAGGAAAATTATCTTACCAGCGTGGTCGAAGGCTGCGAGGAATGTGAACAGGATTCCAGGGTACACCATTCCCTGGCCCAGGTTGGCGGGGATGACATATATGAAATACTTCCATCCCGAGTCGTTGAATCGAAGCAATGTGACGAGTAAATTACCCACGAACATGAGGGCTGCGCCGACGCGCACAATGGAGGCCAGTCGGCCCCAGCGTGACATGATGATTCCCGCTATGAGACCACCCAGTGGGGTGAATAAGCAGGGAATCACCAGTCGACTGCCAGCCTTGCTGGGCGAGTCAAGGAGAATGACCTGGAACATGAGAGGTAAAGTAAAGAGGAACTGAATGCATCGCGTTAGCAGTGATGCTCATAAAGTTCATGAAACAGGTGAGCCTACCGCATATGCTGACATCCCGACGCAAACGTTGGCAATCTGTGTGGATATAGCGAGCTGTCCTCGTAGCATCTTCAATGGAATCAAAGGCGCGGCGGTTGTTTTCTCTTCAACGGCGACAAACGCGCCCAGCAATACTATACTGGAGACCAATGGTAGAACTACCCACATTGAAGTCCAAGGGAGGATATTGCCACCCAAACTGAGTCCGACCAATTGAGCCGAGAGAGCCAAAATGAGCACACATGCACCCAGCATATCGATCTGCTGCCAAATTCCTTTAGTCTGCCCATCTGGGGAGGTTTCGGTGTTGCGTGGAGGAAACCTTAAGACTCTGTAGCCCATGATTAATGCAAACAATGAGATTGGAACCTGGAGCAAAAAGCACCAGCGCCATCCGATCGAGTCAACGATAGCACCTCCGAAAGAAGCACCACAGATGCCTCCGAAGCCGTACGAGACATTCTGGATTGCCTGATACATACCCCGCTGGCGGAAGGGAATCAGATCCGAGTTGATGATCGTTGCTAGGGTACGTCGTCAGCTAGTTCGGGTTGAATGAAAATTCATAGACTTACCCATCGTCATCAGCCCTCCTCCGCCGATGCCCGTCAAGGCGCGCATGATGTTCAAAAAGACCACATCACGTGCCACGGCACATCCCAGACAACCAATCATGAAAGTGATAGTTGCAGTGAAGAAACATGACCGGCGACCCAATAGATCCGAGAATCGACCATAGAGAGGCTGGAACGCCGTACTAGTAATCAAGTACGAGGTGGTCAGCCACGAAGCAGTGTTCGCGGCGTTGAACTCGGAGCTGATCACAGCATAGGTCGAGGCAGTGATGGTGCCGTCAAACCCGCCAAGAAATACATTGGCCATGATCGCTATTCAATTGTCAAAATCTGCTTGCTGTCTAGATCTTTTTATTTGACTTACCGATTTGGATCAGCAGAAACCCTGGCGGCGGGCTCCAAGCCACCGGAGCTGGTTCAGATTGCAATAGCGGTTGCTCTTCGCTTGGTGCCGACGATATTTCGGCTTCATTCTCGTGCCTCGGCATCACCGAGACACTTTCATTCTGAGGATCCAATAATGCCATTGTTGATTCGAATGTTCAGGTCACAGAGTTGCGATTCAAACGGCAGAAGAATCCGAACGGAAATTCAAAAATTTCCGGCGGGCACTCGATGGGGAAATACGAGCGGATTATCCCCCGCCAAGTGCCAAGCACGACATCATATTCCACTCTGACATAATTAGGGCTTGGTGGGATTATAAAGGCCCATCTTCTTCTCATTCTACTCAACTTCAATTCAAACCAAGTCTAAGAGACTCAGTGCAGAGTACCCAACTAAGGTTAATGTACCCTATCATGGATATCATGACCAGCATCATGGAAACTGATCGCTGGCACAGTACTTATTATGAAGCTCCTTGAAGCCATCGCCTGCACCGCAGCGCTGTTGCCACTCGCTGCGGCGGACTGGCAATTCAAATCTCGAACCGACCTGGCCCCGCCTCGTCTGAACATCACCATCCCGGCCACAAAGGATGTCGAGAAGGGTTACCTCTTCATCGCGCCTTTCCCTGGTCAATGGGCTGAACCACAGTTCCACGGTCCGCGCCAGGAAGCTCCGTACATCGTTCGCGATGACGGTGAGCTTGTCTGGTCGGGCTATACCTACTTCTCTATCTGGGCCACCAACTTCCAGAAGGCCAGATGGAATGGCGAGGATGTCCTGTTCAGCTTCGAGGGTGATCATAACCCGGCCTATGGACATGGTCATGGTCATGCTACCATTCTGAATCAGAACTATGAGACTATTCGGGAGCTCCGCGCTGGTAACCATAAGCTTATGGATAAGCATGAGTTCCATGTCATCGATGAAAAGACTGCGTTGCTTCAGGTCTATCAGCCTGTGCCAAAGGATCTGTCTCTCTGGGGTGCTAGCCCTGAGCAGCAGTGGATCGTTGACGCCATTTTCCAGGGTATGTGGGTTGTCGAATATTTGAAGGACAAATGCTAATTCGTGGTAGAGTTGGATATTCAGACTGGGGAGCTGCTATTTGAATGGTCTAGTCTCGAGCATGTCTCTCCCGATGGTAAGTCAATTACCTCAAAAAGCCTGTAATTTACTTGTCTAACATTATGCAGAGGCTGTCCTCCCCCTTAACCCTGGTCAAGCAGGTGGAGGCTACAACTCATCCGACGCATGGGACTACTTCCACATCAACTCTGTGGACAAGGATGCCGAAGGCAACTACCTAATTTCCGCACGGGATGCTTGTGCAGTCCACAAGATTAACGGTACCACCGGTGAGATCATCTGGCGGCTGGGTGGTCTACGCTCGGACTTTAAGCTTGGTCCCAACGTCAAGTTCTGCTTCCAGCATCACGCACGTTTCGTCGAACAGGGTGATGATGAAGAAATCATCTCTCTTTTCGACAACTCCGCTCATGGAACAGAGAATCACCGAGGCAAAGAGGTCCACACCCATCCCTTCTCTCAGGGCAAGATCATTTCCGTCAACACTGCCACCTGGACTGCAGAGATTGTGCAAGCCTTCCAACCTCCCGATGGACTCCTCTCCAAGTCCCAAGGCAGCACCCAGCTCCTTCCTAATGGCAATGCCCTAGTAAACTGGGGGTCTGAGGGAGCTGTCACTGAGTTCCGGGCCGACGGTGCTCCGATCTTCCACGCTTACATGGACTCGGGACTGCTGGGCGAAGGTGTCCAGAACTATCGGGCCTTCCGGTACAACTGGACTGGTCTGCCCACAGAAGAACCCGCTATTGTGGCCGAGAAGACCTCCTCAGGTACCCAAGTCTTTGTGTCGTGGAACGGTGATACCGAGACGGCAGTTTGGCGATTCTATGCCGTCACGGATCGATCTGGGTCCCGGGAATTCTTGGGCGAGGCTACGCGGAATGGGTTCGAAACGTCTTTCTTGCTACCTGGTCACTCTTATCAACGCCTGGCGGCTGAGGCTGTCACTGCTCGTGGTCGTGTCTTGACTACCACTCGGGTTGCTCATATTCAGGATGCGATTGTCCCTCCTGGTTCTGTGATTGCGGGATCTGAAGACCGTAGCTTTTGGAGACAGTTGATCTTGCAGGCATAGACAAAGATCGACTTATGTATTGGGGCTTTATGAAGAGGGGTATTAAGGGCGATGAAGTACTAGTGAGGTGACGAGGAAGTATATAGAGATTTATGTGTGCTACTCTTGGAAATGGAAATGTCACATGATTTCACAATGCTACCGGATCTTTCAGGGTCCGGTCTGTGTTCATTTTGGTCTTTGATAAAGTTCTCATCACACTCTCGGATCCCTAGAACTCCGACTCAGTTGTGACCCTAAATAGGGCCGTTTGCCGAAATGGGAAGTTGCTAGTATAAGACGTGGGAGGATACCATGTCGATTCACAGCCAATCATGAAGCTTGAAAACACCTTAAATGTACAGTTGATGTGATATAGGTATTATCAAGTAATGTCACATTCAACCCATTCAAGTGAGATTCAGATATAGATCTTTTAATATCTCTACCTAGGTAGAGCTTCCTATATACAAATGAGGATTGAGACATCAGCTGTGCATAGTGTGCACAACTGCCATTTCTGGAAAGAGCTACCGTGGATGTTGGCTCCTTCCCTGAAAGTTCTCGGATCTGATACTTTCCGATTGCCGTTCTTTCCTTCTTTGCCTTCACTTCCTTTGCCGTCGTACCTTCCTTCTTACCTCCCTTTCTCCCCAACTCTCTGTCACGTCTCATTTGTTTTCCTCTGTCACCCTCTTGTCCTCTTGTTTACATCCTTTCCGTGTTTTCTTCATGGCTTCACCTCTTCTTCCTTCTTTAGGCTTTTCGCCAACACCGCTGATATCAGACCAGATGGTGAATACGCTTGACGGTGCCGCTGATACCCCCGGCTCAGAGACTCCAGTATCCGAGTCCGGGGAGGATCGCGACAGACAGATCACCACTCTGGCACGTTCCATCTCGCAAATCTCACAAACACATAGTGTCCGCACAGGTGTACCCTCACAGGGTGTTAACACCTTCCTCGATCCTGCTAGTGACCCAGAGTTGAATCCCAACAGTGACCAGTTCAAAGCGCGCAAATGGGTGAAGAACATTGTCCAAATGACCTCTGCCGATCCAGACCGGTACCCGCGTCGCACAGCAGGAGTCTCCTTCCGCAATCTAAATGTTTATGGCTATGGCACCGGGTCTGATTATCAGACGAATTTTGCCAACTTCTGGCTTAAGGGTGCAGGATGGGTCCGCAATGTTATGGGCCTTCAGAAGAAAGTACGGATTGATATCCTGCGGGACTTTGAGGGCATCGTTCACAGTGGTGAGATGCTGGTTGTGCTAGGTCGGCCAGGAAGGTACGTGAAATGATTCCCTCTGCGAAAGACTAATCACTAACGGCCCGTAGCGGATGCTCCACTTTCCTCAAAACTATTGCTGGAGAGACACATGGGCTCTATCTTGACAAGGGGAAAGGATCTGAAGTGCAGTACGACGGCATATCCTGGGAAGACATGCATAGCCGATATCGCAGCGAGGTCATCTACCAAGCTGAAACCGAGACACACTTCCCTCAGCTGAAAGTCGGTGATACATTGCTCTTTGCCGCTTACGCCCGAGCGCCGAGAAACCGACTTCCTCATGTCACACGCGACCAGTATGCGACGCACATGCGGAATGTGGTAATGGCGATGCTTGGCTTGACCCATACTATGAGCACAAAGGTGGGCAATGAGCTTATTCGGGGTGTTTCCGGCGGGGAACGAAAGCGGGTCAGTATCGCCGAGACCACTTTGTGTCGATGTCCTTTGCAGTGTTGGGATAACAGCACCCGTGGACTCGACAGCTCGACAGCCCTGGAATTCATCAAGAACATTCGCCTCACCACTGATTATACTGGATCCACCGCTGTTGTGGCAATCTACCAAGCTAGTCAGTCTATCTACGACCTGTTTGACAAGACAATCGTGCTCTACGAAGGTCGTCAGATCTATTTCGGGAGCGCGGCCAATGCACGACGCTTCTTCGTCAAGATAGGATTCCACTGCCCAGATAGACAAACAACTGCGGACTTCCTCACTTCTCTCACCAGTCCTTCGGAACGTCTTGTTCGTCCTGGGTTTGAAGACTCCGTTCCACGGACGCCCGATGAGTTTGCAACGCGGTGGAAAGAAAGCCCGGAGCGCAAGCAGCTTCTTGCGGAGATTGAAAGAAATGCAGCCAAACAGTCTGACACGCCTGAGCAATTCCGTCTGTCTCGTGCAGCAGACAAAGCCAGATTTACTCGCGAAAGCTCCCCGTACACACTCTCGTATCCGATGCAAGTCCGCCTGTGTCTTTGGCGAGGATTCCTGCGGCTCAAGGCAGATATGGCCATGACGCTTTCCTCGCTCTTCGGAAACGTGGGTATGTCTCTGATCATTTCGAGTCTTTTCTACGACCAACCAAACAACACCGACAGCTTCTACAGTCGTGGAAGCCTACTTTTCTTTGCAATCATGATCAGTGCCTTCGCTAGCTCGCTGGAAATTATGACCATGTGGCAGCAGCGGCCAATTGTGGAAAAGCATCGCAAGTACGCATTGTACCATCCGTCGGCGGAGGCTATCAGCGCGTACATTGTGGAACTTCCATCAAAGACATTGCTAGCAATCGTTTTCAATTTGATCATCTATTTCTTACCTCACCTTCGGCGGACTCCGGAACATTTCTTCATCTTTTTCCTATTTTCGGTAACGACAACCCTTGTGATGTCCAATATCTTCCGTTTCATCGGCGCAATCTCGCGGTCTGTGGCCCAGGCTATGCCTCCCGCTTCGATATTCATGCTTGTCCTGGTCATTTACACCGGCTTTACTATTCCTCTCCGCGATATGCACCCTTGGTTCCGGTGGCTCAACTATGTGAACCCGATTGCTGTAAATCATAACTAAGCTTTTTGCGCAGTCCCACCAGAATATGCTAACACGAGATAGTACGCCTTCGAGGCGTTGATGATCAATGAATTCAGCGGACGGTCTTTTCCTTGCGCAAACTTTGTCCCAGGCATCTTGGAAATTTACAAAAATGCGCCTCTCAGCTCCAAAATCTGTTCACAGAAGGGTGCCGTGGCAGGTCAAGATTTTATCGATGGAGAGAGATATATTAACACGACCTTTGAATACTACAGCCCACATTTGTGGCGAAACTTCGGAATTCTCTGTGCTTTCTTTGTCGGCTTCTTTGTGCTGTACATTTTCTGCAGCGAGCTTATCCGGGCTAAACCATCCAAAGGTGAAGTTCTGGTGTATCCGCGGGGCAAGATTCCGAATTTTGCGAAGAATGTTCGAAAAGATGATCCAGAGGAAGTAATTGCATCAGAGAAAGGTGCAGTTTCCAGGGAACCTCAGGACACAACTGCAGCAATTGTACGCCAGACTGCCATCTTCCACTGGGAAAATGTGTGTTTTGACATCAAGATCAATGGAGCCCCGCGACGCATCCTGGACGGCGTGGATGGTTGGGTCAAACCCGGCACTCTTACGGCCTTAATGGGTGTCACTGGTGCAGGAAAGACATCCTTGCTCGATGTGTTGGCCGACCGTGTCACCATTGGTGTCGTCTCCGGTGATATGCTTATTGATGGCCGGCTACGCGACGATTCTTTCCAGCGGAAGACAGGCTACGTGCAGCAACAGGATCTGCATATGGAAACCAGTACTGTTCGCGAAGCCTTGGTGTTCAGCGCTCTTCTACGACAGCCTGCTAGCGTTCCTCGTCGAGAAAAGGTTGCATATGTCGAAGAAGTTATTCGCATGCTCGGTATGGAAGAATACGCAGATGCCGTGGTAGGAATTGCCGGCGAGGGTCTCAATGTGGAGCAGCGTAAGCGGTTGACGATTGGTGTGGAGCTGGCAGCTAAGCCAGATTTGCTGCTGTTCTTTGATGAACCAACTTCGGGTCTGGATAGTCAAACTGCTTGGTCAATCTGTACTCTGATGCGCAACTTGGCCAACCACGGTCAGGCTGTACTTTGTACCATTCATCAACCTTCGGCAATGCTGATGCAGCAGTTTGACCGCTTATTGTTTCTCGCCAAAGGAGGACGCACAGTGTACTTTGGTGACCTTGGCCCGAACATGAAAACGTTGATTGACTATTTCGAAGACAAAGGGTCGATCAAGTGCCCCAAAAACGCAAACCCGGCTGAGTGGATGCTTGAAGTTATTGGCGCTGCTCCAGGCTCTCATGCGGATAGAGATTGGGCTGAACAGTGGATCAACAGTGCTGAGCGCGCAGAGGTTCACAAACAACTGGCCGAAATGAAAGTGGAACTGTCCAAGAAGCCTGTACCCATGCAGGCTGCAGGTTTCGGTGAATTTGCCATGCCAATCGGATATCAGACCCTGATTTGTACTCAACGCACGTTCCAGCAGTACTGGAGATCTCCGTCGTATCTATACGCCAAGACCCTCAGCTGCATCATCCCAGTAAGCTAACTTCCTCCTTATCATTGGATTAGACTAACTGTTATAGCAACTATTCCTCGGATTCACCTTCTGGCACATGCCTACCAGTCTTCAAGGGCTGCAGAATCAGATGTTTGCAATCTTCATGTATCTTGTTGTCTTCCCCAATCTGGTCCAGCAGATGATGCCTGCCTTCTGCGCGCAACGTGCTTTATATGAGGCACGCGAACGGCCTTCAAAGGTCTACTCATGGGTTGCATTCCTGACGGCCAGTATCTTCGTGGAGTTGGTATGGAATATGATAATGTCAGTTCCAGGATTTTTCTGCTGGTACTACCCGATTGGTTTCTACCACAACGCAGAGCCTACACACGCAGTCATTACACGAGGCGGCCTCATGTTCGTGCTCATTTTACTCTTCATGATGTTCACATCGACTTTCAGTTCCATGGTGATTGCTGGAATTGAAAATCCTGATACTGGCAGCGCCATTGCTCAGACCATGTTCTCCATGTGTTTGGTCTTCAATGGGTAAGTTCTCAGCGGGTCTCTGGTAGTTGATAGGTACTAATGCTGACTGAACTTGCAGCGTCCTCGCGAAGTCTTCCTCTATGCCTAAATTCTGGACCTTCATGAATCGCGTGTCGCCATTCACCTACTTTGTGTCGGCAGTCATGTCTACTGGCCTCTCTGGGACGACGGTGCAATGTTCTAGTATTGAAGTTCTCACTTTATCACCTCCAGATGGACAGACTTGCAGCGATTATCTGATCCCTTACATTGAGGCTACCCATGGCACATTGTTGAATCCCGAGGCATCGATGGACTGCAAGATCTGCACAATGTCTCAAACGGATCAGTTCCTTGGAAACCTCGATATGGATTACTCGGATGTTCCTCGCAATATCGGTTTGCTGCTTGTCTACATCGTGTTCAATATCGTCATGACGTTCGTCGTGTACTGGTGGACCCGCGTGCCTAAGCGTCGGTCACGGGCCCTTGTGAGGACCTAGGAAGGTCCTCATCTTTCTTTTCGGGTTGTGGGGTGGTTTGTTTCAGTCAGTTTGTTTCCGAGAGATTCTGTGGTTCCACTCGGGATTTATCACGAATACTCTCCCGCTTTGATCTTTGCTCTCCCTGGCACAGAGTCTTATCTTGCCAGTTTGTCTCTCCCTGGTACAGAGTTTTATCTTGCCAATGTATCGCATACATGTAGCTTATCTCAATGAATGTATTATTTTGCAAGTTTTCCGGGTGTAACGACTGCCAACCATCATCCTTGTAGATTGGTCCATTATGGTTATCATTTTTTTCACAGCCAAACTAGACTTCGACAAGCCAATGGAATGAGCATATTGAGTGCAGCTCATGTTTAACAGCCAACTTCCACAGTGACAGCCTCTCCATAGTCAAACACAGAAGACCTGAACGTATTCTCCGAAAAGCTTTCCAAAGTCATGAATTTGAAACCCACCAGACACGCAAGACCTCATTTGTGATTTGAATCTTCGGAATCTTCATATCATTACAGAATGCCCCGATTTTCTTTTTGGTGCCTGACTTGATATAGTAATAAGCCTCATTTTGCCCAGGTGCCCCTGTTCGCTCTGCTGCGACTAGAGGGCATGTATATGAATGTGGATATTGCCCATGTACAGCCAAGAAATGGTTTCGCCTCCCAATTTTGTGCAAGTTCACTAAAAAATGATATACAGCTTATGATAAGATGGACCTCGGTTTCTGCGACATTACTTCTTACCGCCGCCTTTTCGTGTTGACCCTCTTTCATAGCCATCATCCGATACCAGGCTCATCATATCGCACCCAATGCCAGAATGGCGTTCCCAGTCAACGATCATGAAGTAAGCGCATGGAAAGCCAAGCTCAAAGTCCTCCGTCTCAAGTGCGAAAGTTATCTGAAGGACGAGATTGCTGCCAGTTGTCATAACCGCAGGCATGGGAGTCCGAAGAAGATTATGGTAACAACCCGATCTACACCGATGGTTTCCTCGTGTTGGATTCCATTAGAGACTGGAAGGTTGGCAGCCCTCCTGGTGACTGGAAGACGCACTTTGATCCAAGCACCGGGACGACTTGGAGACCAAAAGACGTGCGTCTCTGCGACGCTAGGGTAATCTACGCCCTGCTGACTCTATCCACAAAATACAAATCTCAGCATCTTGCTTACGACTTTGATGCCACAGGCGACGTCCGAACCTCCCGTGTGCCCCGTGCTCCAAGCGTGGTTGCGGTCCAAAACAGCGTGCGATTTCTACTTGCTTGGAAAGGCGTATACGTGTTTACTGGTGGGTATAACCACGCAGGATGATTGCTAGCTTTGGACTACGATAAAGACCCCCCTCGTCTTGTGGCCGGTCTGGTTGCCGCGCCTCCACATCTGAAGATAGATGATAACCTCAACACAGACGAGGCTGAATATCACCCCCCTCGAATGGAAAGGTCGGCTAAGGTCAACAATATCTGGGAGCTCGGGGACAGAACTTTCAATGTCCGACTATGCAGCACTCGCTAGTGGGAAAGCAAATGCCTCATATTGTCCAATCGCAAGACCGGATACTAGACAATTCACACACTGGACGGAATTCACCGCATGGGCATGATTAGCCCGTCCGCCTGGAGTCGCAGCACCAACACCACCGACTTCAAATCCTTTTGCATGCCCAACCAATACCCTGCTCTTACATATAACAACTGAAATCCCGTTGAACAGACAAAAGTCATCCAAATTCGCTGGAACCGAATCGCCGACACTGAGGGTCCAGCTCTGAAGCAACAGAAGACAGCCCCAAAGTACAATGAGGCCGGCCGATCCAGCGACTCGCTCGGAGACCAGGATGACGCTTCACCAGTAACAAAAAAAAATCAAAAGAGACAAGACGGAAAAGAAAACTTGGAGACGACCCTGGATGGGAAAGATGGAAAACATCGGTGTGATATGCAAGGCGTTCGCATGACGCAAATAAGGCTATGCGGCTCTGAATTATGAACAAGGACTCATTTGCTCAATGTTATTCTTGCCTTATATTTTCTATGTAGTATGATTTCAGCCCCAACGTCTGTGTGAAGATAACGCTCTCGAGCTTCGTCTGCGGCACATCGTGAGTCGTATAACTAAACCCGTAACATTGATATAATATTTAGGTGATCGACCCATGCTACCTGGGGCTGTCACTGTCAGACAATTGAACTTTCCCAGGAGCGTCTTGTTCTCGGTGCTCAGGAATCAGGACTCAATACAAGAGTCTTGGGTAGTCCAGGCATAGATACCTCAACTGCAACACCGGCCGAGATAGCCCAATACAGAAATCAACCCCGAGACTTGACTATAGGAAATCGGAGGATGTCAAACCAGCTCTACTATGAGCCTGTATATTCTATCGGATCCCGGCTGTTGTCTGTGGTCTGATGTACAACACATATATCTATCCATCCACTCTAGGATTCTCATCTTACAATTCCGTCTTTCCGTTACACCCTAAATCATTATGACAACAAAGCCTCTCTCCGAGATCTTCGCCCAGCGAGCAGGGGAACTGCGCGAATTCATATTCTCCCAGCCTGCTTCCAACTTCGCCAACAACCCGTGGGCTTTGGCAAACGCCATCGAGCATTTCGCCAATGAGGTCGGACACATGATGATCTTCCGACAACCCAAGGTCGATGTTGCGCGCGAGCAACTCCTCGCCCAACAACCGGCACCACGCACTATCATCGAGTTCGGCACGTTCGTGGGTAAATCTGCGCTTGCCTGGGGTGCTATTCTGCGCGACATTCACGGCGACAAGGTACCCGATGATGTTCACATCTATACTTTCGATCCCAACCCGCAGATGGTTGCCCTGACCAGGGAGTTTGTGAAGTTGGCCGGCGTTGAGGACTTTGTGCATGTCCTCGAAGGTCCAGGTTCGGACTCTCTTCGGACATTGCATGCTGAGGGCAAGGTCACGACTGTCGATATGGCTTTCTTCGATCATTGGGAGCAATTCTATCTGCCTGACCTGAAGCTAGTTGAGGAGCTGAAGCTTTGGCGTGTCGGTTCATTGGCAATTGCTGATAATACGGATTTCCCTGGGGCGCCGGACTATTTGCAGTATGTGCAGGCGGGAGGCAGTGGGATATCGGGATCAGTGAAGTATGAGACCAAGTCTTGTGAGACTACTGGTGGGAGACCTGGCCCTGTAAGTCTTGTTCTTTTGAATTCTGTTATGCCATTAGGACTAATGAATGGTTTAGAGCATCGTCGCTGTGAGCACCGTTGTTGCACTCGAGTGAAGTATGGCACAGTAGACTGGGTGATGAGAAACACGCTAAATAAGATGCTATGAAGATATATACGAACAATTGGAATGATCGAAGATCACTGTATCCTTGCTCCAATGGGCCATATCTACATACTTGTTCTTTATAATCGACATGTTTTCGTGATATTCGTGTCCATCCAAAGAATATATATCTACCATAGAACGTCAAGATGTGCCCCAACATCAGCCTTGCGGTCTAACCTAGCCATTTATTAATCAAACTCCTATTTTATATTTGCTAATGGTGAAGACCTCCCATGTCTATAAAACAGAGGACCTGTTGGGTTCCCGGGCCGATGACCGTCTCCCCGCTTATCGACTGGCGCGGAATAAACAACCTCCTCGACTGTCCGCGAACTCCATGCCAACACCTTACTGTTGGTGATCGGAACATCTTCAATGATACAGCTTAACCACACAATTTACCCGGAACACCTTGAGACGTCCTAATCGCGCTCTCCGCCCCTTGCTTCTCCGGCCACGCTGTCCGTACCAGCGCCACACTCATCATGTACGTTCCACCTGCTCATTGAATCGCACAGCAACTAACATGCCGGCCAAACATAGGGGTGTCTTCTCCCTAATCATCATCAATAAAGCTGGTGGTCTTATCTACCAGCGCGAGTTCCAGGCTGGCTTGCGCAAGCTCTCGACAAATGACTACCTCGTCCTAGCTGGCACCTTTCACGGGTAAACTACCAGTACCCATCTCTCCCATGGAGTCCCCAATTGACTGGATTTCTATAGTGTTCATGCAATCACACGCTCAATCACACCGAAAATCCCCATCTCCCAACCCGCTCAGCCACCCGCAACCTCTTCAGCGGGCACAGCTGCTCCTGCGACGTCCGGTTACTCCTACCCAAATCCCGGTGTACCAGTCTCCGGACTGGATCACCTCGAGACAGACAAGTTTCGATTGACTTGTTTCCAAACCCTGACGGGGACAAAATTCTTGCTGTTCACGGATCCCTTGACTGGCAGCGTGGATACAATCATTCAGAAGATTTACGAGCTCTACGCGGACTTCGTGATGAAGAATCCATTCTATCAGATTGAGATGCCGGTGCGATGTGAGGCATTTGATCGGCATCTGGGGGCGTGGTTGAGGGGGAGGACGTAGCCCCGATGGGCGATGGAACCACGCAGAAAGGGGATAGACATCATGACTTTACGAACTAGATACGTTTTGTTCCTGTACTTGTGTCCGGATATCACTCCGTCTCGTATAATACCAAATCACATAATATATTGCCCTTGCACACTGTAGAACGTACCAGAAAAGGTCGACTTGAGAGAATACAAGACAAAAGCAGAAGGAAACGCCGGGTATGCATCACGGTCATATTCAAATCTCCGGTCGGACTTTACGCGGTGTCCATCTTGTCCTCGTCCTTCTTATCTTTGTCACCGCTGGACTCGCCATGGCCCTCCTCGGGAATATTTCCCAGTTGCGTCTTGGCTTCCTGTTCTTCCCGATCGCGCTTCTCCTTTTCCTGTCGGTTCTTCTCGTCCTCCATCGATAAGCGCAGGGCGAATGCCAGCTCGGGATCGTTCTCGGCGGCATCGTCAAATCCAAATCCGCCAGCCTCGCCCTCGCCGCCGCCTCCGCCGATCTCGGCATCCTCGCCAGCCAGGATCGGGGTCAGCTGTAGCTGATCGCTGAGAAGATGGGGTCCTGGTGGAATGATGGCGAGGTGGGAACCATCACCGCTCTTGACATTCTCAACGAAAGCCTCCAGCTTCTTGGTCTGGTCGGATTCCAAATCTCCGAAAGCTATCACGTCGATCGACACGTTGTTCTTCTTCATCTTCTTTGCGAGCTTCACGAGGGTCTTCTCATCTTCTTCGATGGGCGAACAGGAGAATACGATGATGCGTTGACGCTGGGACTTTTCCATGCGATGCTTGAGTGCCAACTGAAATACCATCAAGATTAGTTACAGAGCTTCGCACCTCGAAGATCGGCTGGAAGGACTTACCGCTGCAACCTGGATGCTCGAGCTGAGGTGAGCTGTGCCGTGAATCTTTGTTCGGTGCAAGCCAGCGAGAATTGCGCCGAACTCAGGTGTGAAGGTGGATAGCACTTCGGGGCCCTTGCCGCCCATGCTCATGAGGCCGACAGCCGACTGGGCGTTTAAACGCATCTTTGCATTGTGAATGATGCTAACAGCATCGACTTGAGATTGCCACCGGGTTGTTCTGTGACAATTAGTCATCGTCCACAGAGGCAGATATAGTATCATCGGATGTACTCACGTGTAGTCTCCATTGCGACTGCTTTCGCTGTTGTCGACACTGTAGCTTGGAGTCAGCAGAGAAAACTAACCTGGAGGATGGACAATGACGGACATGATCATAGTAGCTTCCAGCGTCATGATGGTGGAATCTAAGGGAATTAATGATGTAAAGGAGGGCAGAACAGCGAGTGAATATGAGAGCGGCGTATGGGTGATGAAGACGGATGACGAAGGCGAGGTGGAAGCTCTGCATTCTGCCACTTCTCCCCGCCTGAGCACGCTGTTTGTTGTGGTCCTCCTTGCTCCACACCTTAACTTTGGCCCTTGTACTTCGACACATCTCAGTCTATCTCCCTTGAACTCTGAACAATGCCTGCTATTAAGCGCAAATCAGACGCCGTGGACGCCACGCCTACGGGTAGTCCTACTAAAAGGATGCGTCTGACGCAGCACCAGAAGCAGGCGCTGATGGACAATCTACAACTTGAAAGTGGGTTGAATTGTGGGTTTACAGAATGAATACGACGCTAATTTTGCTACAGTCACTGAGCGTGCACGTAAGCTTCGTGCTCAATATGCCCTTCAGGCAAATGACCTCCGGGCGCGCATTGAGCGACGCGTCAATCGGATCCCCGTCTCGCTACGCAAGGCCAATATCGGCGAGCTGCTCGAAAAGCACAATGCCGCCGCAAACAAACAGCAGGTTCTGTCGCCTGCCCGAAAACACTCGCCCATCAAGGTGTCCCGTAATATCGCAAGCATCTCCGTAGAACCAGAAACCACACGCGACGGTAGAGCTCGCAGGGGAAGGTACGATATACTCGAGCCCAATTTGTTTCTTTGACTGACAGAATCTGTAGCCACGATGGCCACTTCTCCGACAAAGAGAATGCCCCAGCCAGTCGCGAACCCGAACTCAAGAATCCCAAGCGTCGCGTGAAGCCAGCCGGAGCAGGCGGAGCCTCGCGCGTGGCGTCTCAGGAAGTACGGGGCAACGAGAACCGAATTCTATCTCCCAAGTCCAACAATTCGAGAACTTATCCCCACTCACCCTTCCGTGCATCCCCTGAGAAGGATCAACCCTCATATCTGGCGCGTCCAACCTCACCACTAAAACCGTCCAGCCCGCTGCGATCACGCGGCGCCACTGTGTCTGCAGTGAGGGATCAGCGACCTCCTTTGCAGGCCCAGAGAACTACCACACGTGCTGCAACGGGGCCCAAAACTATTCGGTCACCTTTGCCACGCCCAGCGACCCGACAGGGCGAGCGGAAGAATAGCACAGGGTCCACCGCGTCTTCGGGTACAACGGTTACCAAGTCCACACGGACTGGCACTGGCGCGAGAAAGCCCACTGCAGCATCTACTGCGGCTACCACGAAGAGGCCGGCTTCTCGCATGCAAGCTGCATCGATGGCTGTCAAGAATACACCCACTACTGCTTCGATGCGCAAGACTACCGCTCCAGCTGTGACTGAAACTGCGACTCGGACCCGAGCGCTGCGCAAGCGGATTTAGGACTGTTTACGTGATCGCACAGGCATTTGTCTTTCTACTTTGGAGTTGGGTGGGATTCTGTTTATTTGAGCGTGGGTGATTGCAGACTCTAACAATTTGAGTCCGGGTGGTGTCTTCCATGTTGATTCTTCGGCGTGGTATCATAATAGGTGTTTTTCCTTCAGTCGGGTATACAATCATGGCTTTTGTCCGGATATCCGAACCAAGTTCTTTTCAAACCAACACTTTGCTGTACAAACATCCTTGTTTTTCATTAGTCCACCAGTCCGAAACAACATAGGGCAAATACGAAACCACGATGGCTTTTGTACCTGTCAATTGAACTGCCTTTGCCCCCACACCGCTCTTCTAGCGAGCTCATGTCGATTCCTGCCCATTTATCATAACACAGGCTTCACCCCATACCAAGAGCACCAATCGGCTATCAGAATGGAGATCATCCAGGAGGATCGTCCCAAACCACTGACGGCAAGCTCGAGTTTTGTTGGCAGAACTTCGTCGTGCGACAAGACGGCATTCTATACTGGGCGTCATGGAACGATCGATCATCGAAACCTACTGATATCAATCAGTTGAAGAATTTGAGGACAATCAAAACAAACGACAGAGGCCCGGAAATTCAGGAAACATGGGCTGTGGCGTCAGAACAAGACTGTTAGCTGAAAGCACCAGGCTTAACCGATTTCTTAAATCCCGAACTGGAGGACGATATTCAACGCGAGCTTGAAGTATGTGAAGTCCTTCGCAGGCATCCACACCCCGATATTGCTACTTAATACGGCTGCCGAGAGAAGAACGGTCGGGAGACTGGTCTTTGCTTCAAACGGTACAAGCAAATCTTGGCCGCGAAGGTCAATCCTGAATCACTGAACAAGAAGCATTTCCGGACTAGTGGTCGCGAAAGGATCGAAGATTCCCTGAAGCAGAACTTCCATGGGATTCTTGATGGAATCAAGCATCTCCATTCCCTTGGCCTTGTGCATAATAATATCAATCCGTCTTATATCATGTTTGATGAGTATGGTGTCCCGGTGATTATTGATTTTGAGAGTTGTCGGAAGACAGGAGAATCGTTGGAGACTACTGGAGTTGGACAGACAATGGGTGGTATGATCCAGAGAATGAGCTTGCCTTGGAGAAAATGATTTGGATGCCTTTGAAGAGTTGGAGATTTGGTTGTTCGGCTCTGGGGGTGCATATCTGTTCCACGAGGAGGATCTCTTGAGGGAACCTTAACGCAACATCGCCAATCAATCTTTTCCTTGCCTTCCCTCGACTTGAAGTATCCCAACAATGCATGGAATGGGAATTCTGGACAAGTTGCGGGTATTAGCGTCAGCCCTGCTTCTGAAGGGAGAACGAGGTGTCTCACAATGCTTCGTTGGCCTCGAGAAATCCATAGGCCTCGAGTTTATGAGTGATCGCACACCATCTTCCGCGCAAAAGTCTCGATGGGATGCAATTCACTGATAATCCTCTCGAAATCAACCGAGCCATGTCTCCTGTTGCAGATCAGAGTAAATGTGCCGTCCCTGAGTAGACTAATGCAATCAGCCGGAGTTATCGCATATCTGCGGCGTTAGTGTAGCCCTAAGTCCGGTCCATGATGCTTAAAGCAGACCTATCGATGCTCATGTCTGTTTATCATTATCGTTACCAGAAACAATGGCTACTACCCACCTGACCTGGCTCATTACTGGCTGCTCCTCTGGCTTTGGCCTTTCCCTAACCCGCGCCGCCCAGGCTGGGGGACACAAGGTCATTGCGACCTCGCGCAATCCATCGCGTACCCCGGAGCTGGTTGCCGAGATCAAATCCAAGGGAGGCAAATGGGTCCAACTTGATGTGGACAGTCGCGACAGCGGCGAGATAATCACTGAGCTGGAGAGCCGTGGCGACCATATCGATGTGCTAGTCAACAACGCCGGCTATTCCATCTACGCCCCTATTGAGACTGTTGACGAGGAGGAGGTAAGAACCCAGATGGAGACTATGTACTTTGGTCCCTTACGTCTCATCCGTGCTATTCTGCCCCATATGCGCCAGCGAAAGTCTGGCGTGATAGTCAACATGAGTAGCGGTGCTTCGCTTGACGGGATTCCCACTATGGGAGTATATGCGGGTGCAAAGGCTGGATTGGACGGTATGTATCGACAATTTCTCATCAAGTGAAAGAGATGGCTGAATATGAGTTCAATAGCCCTCACCAAGATTCTCGCTAAAGAGGTTGCCCCATTCAACATTCGCACCCTGACTGTCATTCTCGGAACCTTCAACACCAACATGCCTCACTCGGTAGTTCTGGGCAAGACTCCCTTGCCGGAGGGCTACAAGGGAACCTTCACCGAGCAAGTTCGGGGTCTTTTGATCAGTGGGGCGATCAAGCCCAATGGTGACAAGGACAAAGCAATGCAGGCCGTGTACCAGGTCGTTACTGGTGAAGGATATGGTGAAGGTCGCCAAACGGAGAAGCTTCTCCCTCTGGGCAGTGATATGACCCCTCGACTCAAAGGAGTCCAGGAATACCTCGGCCATGCTTTGGGGGTGTTTGGCTCTGCAACCAACAGCGTGGATGTCGATAAATAGAGTTTTGGGACCTTCAAAACTCATCACATAAATAGGGATAGCCTTAGAACTGTTCGCAGCATCGATAGTCCGAAGCCTAGCAATGAATAAAGGAGAGGTGATTGTATCTCAACATCTCCAATTCAACATCACCCTGTATGTTTCCAGGTTGTTCCTGCAGAACCCGGAGTGGGTCACGAGACACCCAAGACCCATGGACCCGTCATGATTGACCCATGGATGTGCAGCGGGCCCTTACATTCCCCGATTGGGCGATTTCGAGCCGCATAAACCCGCGTCAAACCATTCGAAGTATTGGCGAACCTACAATATTGAACCTTCTGTTAGCGTCTTTTGCTATATGAAGTTCTTTGTACGGCAAGTGCCACCGAGCTGCGAGACACAAGCCTACTAGAGGTGTTTCCCAGTGTGTGGTTCCCGACACTGCTAACTTCGTTCTATACAGTCTCGATTAGTAGACTCAGATCCACTGAAATGAAGAATGCTTTGAGGGTTCAAGATACAATTTCCCATATGATACACTCGCTCTGAAATGTTGACCCGTCCTTTCTGGTTTTCCCTTGAGACAGTCAATTGCCGATCTTCTGTAATTCAAACTTTTGGCCGGGTTAGCGGCATCGATTAGCACTGGCGATCTCCTGAAAAGTGGATCTATAATTGCAGATCATTGCAAAGGAAGGAAAAGGAAAGAGAATCTCCGAAGTTTTAGGGAGAACTGACTTGTATAATAATAGCTCCTGAGCGCTGCCCGGAGAGTTTGCATTGTCAACATCATCCGCACGCGAGCTACGGGAATTGTCAGGATGTTCGGTCGATCTATCACTGCACTCCTGGCGATCGCACTTCTCACCAATGGCGGCCAAGCAGAACAACAGACCCAAGGCTCTGGATTTGAGCAGATCGATCAATCAAATTATCGATTTCTAACCAACAAGACCAAATGTACGTATGCTTGACTCTATACATTCTTTCAATCGCAGCTGACCATATATCTAGCTCATGTGGTGGAGAGCCTTCCAGATGTTCATTTTGAACTGGGAGAGATGTACGCGGGATTGATGCCCATCCGGGATCATGATGCCTTGTTCTATATTTTCCAGCCAAAGATCGGGGAACCAAGCGACGACCTCACAGTTTGGTTAAATGGGGGACCGGGATGTAGTTCGATGCAAGGGTTTTTCCAGGAGAATGGACGTTTCACCTGGCAGCCCGGCACCTACGAACCGGTCATTAATGAGTACTCATGGGTGAATTTAACCAATATGTTATGGTGAGTCATTAGCCAGGGCTGAAGTTGTAGTAAACTCACCGTGTTTAGGGTCGACCAACCAGTTGGCGTTGGGTACTCAAATGGTACACCCACGGCGACCAACGAGGAGCACATCGCTGCCGATTTCGTGAAATTCTTTCAAGAATTCCAAGATGAATATGATATCAAGAACTTTCGAATCTTCCTGACTGGTGAGAGCTATGCGGGCCGATACGTGCCCTACATCTCCGCCGCCATGCTCGACAAGAACGATACCGAACACTTCAACCTCAGCGGTAAGACTTGAGAATGCCATCCTGCATTATATGGGTAGCACGTTCTAATCCTATACCAGGAGCTCTGATGTATGATGCTTGCATCGGCCAGTGGGATTATCTTCAGGCTGCACTCCCCGCCTACCCCTTCGTTCAACAGCATGCCGAGCTGTTCAACTTTAACCAATCATTTATGGCCAAACTGCAAGATACGTACGAAGAATGCGGCTACAAGGAACATTTCGATGAGTACTTCACTTATCCGGCCTCTGGAGTACAGCCACCCAAATATATGGACTACTCCGAGTGCGACATTTACAACATGATCTACTACGAAGCTTTCACTCCGAACCCATGCTGGAATCCTTACAAAATCAGCCAAACCTGTCCGCTCTTATGGGATGTTCTGGGCTTCCCCACAGACGTTGCCTATCAACCGGGTCCCGCAACTTATTTCAACCGCACCGATGTCAAGAAAGCTCTGCATGTTCCTGAGAATATTGACTGGGAGCTTTGCAGCGTGGAAAGTGTCTTTGTGAGCGACAATCCAGGGCCTGAGCAACAATACGATGAGTCTGCAAATCCCACAGAGCATGTCCTGCCCCGAGTTATCGAGGCAACTAACCGAGTCTTGATCTCGAACGGAGATTGGGATTACTTAATTATCACGAATGGAACGTTACTGGCGATCCAGAACATGACCTGGAATGGCGAGCTAGGCTTCCAAAGTCGTCCTACCGCCCCTATTCATATCGACATGTCCGACTTGCAATACGGTGCGGTCTTCGATGCTCAAGAGGGATATGGAGACCTCGACGGTCCACAGGGGATGATGGGGATTCAACACTATGAACGTGGTTTGATGTTTGCAGAAACCTTTCAAGCGGGTCATCGACAGCCCCAGGATCAAGGGCGAGTGTCTTATCGTCATGTCCAGTGGTTGTTGGGTGAGGATGATCGTCTTTGATGCTCTTCTCCGTATATTCGTTTTTGTTTCGATAGATCATTTATTCCGAGCCTCCAAATACCTTGAAAAAGACAGATAAAGATGGTAGCAATAGCAAAGTGGTTTTTATAGTGGCGTTTGACTTCTCTCCACGGGATCTATGAATGACTTGGATATCATAGGTGGTTTGGAGTAGAGCATATATCGATTCCATAGAACCATCGTTTTTGAATGGAGAGAATCAACTCTTGCTTATAAGGGCTTGTACATAGGTTGGCGTGATAGAGGAATTGGCAGATGGGCCAAATCGACGTCGCTTGCAGCCATATATAGCTGTCTTTCTAGTGCCGTCTAGAGGTATGTAATAAATGCGTGTGAAAACTGCATTTCTATTCTTTTAAGACCCACATGGTAGGCTCGCAACCATGATTTTACAATAGAAGTATCTGGGCAATTACTCAGCACAGGTATGGCAACCATGTCGATTGAACTAAGAAAGGAAATAAAATCTCCCAGGGTCTTGTTAAGCAAAAGACCTGGGGACAAGAATCAGAAGAGAAGAAAGGAAAAAAAAAAGGGTCTAGGTATAGCCGTAGCCTGGCCCACACAAAAAGGAATGAGCATGCTCAGGAATCGAAAGCGAGAGAGAAAGGAAAAAAAGGACATTTATGGAGCCCAGAGGGACAGGTATGGGTATGGCTGATCCCTCGAATCAGATGCAGATGAACAAAAAAGAAGAAATAAAAAGCAGGGAATCTCAGCTATGGAGATAGAGAAAAGAAACAGAAATCAATAGCGACCAAGTGGCTTGTTGATCACTTTTGGGGAATTTTCATCGGTAAAAAAAAATGGGGGAAAGAACTCCGTCAACCAGCCGTATCACTCGACAAAAAGAAAAGAAAAAGGACGCTAAGAATTTCCCAAGAAACGAGAAAAGAAAACACTTCACGGAAATTGTATGAGATAGATGCAGGATGAGGTTGGATGATGTACCACAGTATTGTAGCTGTGCAGGAGGAGTGTAAGGAGATCCAGTCTACCCAGTGACACCCATGGCACCTGCACTCGGACGCGGCCTATATGCCACATTTGATGATTGACCATCAGGTGCCCCTGCAATTGGCTGGCTACCATTGCTGGTGCTACGGTCACGGTGATATGCTGCCGGGGGAGGAGCGAAATCAAGTCCAGCCTGGGCGTTGGCGCTTGCCGAATGAGTATGTCCGCTAGGCCCTGGGACATGGCGCACAGAACTTTGCATCTGCCAGGCTGCATCTTGAGATGGATCGGTCTCGATACGCGCGGAAGCCGGAGTGCTGTTGCTTCGGTTGGGGGTGGTGATCGTGAATGTCTCGCCACCGTTTTCGGGTTTCTGTGAAAAGCTGCCTCGAGCAATATCCCCGTATCTTTTCAGAATTTCCTTGGTTGTCACTTCGGCATTCTCCCTGAAAAGAGTTGGATCGCCCAAGACCGATTGTAGGTCTTCTGGAATCTGTTGATAGAGTCAGTATGAGTCTGTCGACACCTCAACCTGGGTGACCTACCTCGCAGAATGCATCGTTATACGTGATCAAGGCATTGACAGCCTCGATGGACAAGAAGCTTTCGTCCACTGTGCTGCTTTTCGCATTGGGGTAGAGGATATTGGGCGTGATGACAGTTGCAAGATTGTGAATGTCCATCTTGCTTCCAGACTCTTCATCCACATGTGAGAAGGATGATGTCCAATTTAAGAAGGCAAAAGAACTTCCATCGTATCGCGATGGGCTTTGGGAAGTAGACAGCATGTCAAGTGAAGTAGCCGCCTCTGTTTCTCGGCGTTATCCATTTCTGCGACAGAGATTAGCATTCCGCAAGCAGACTGATGACCATATTATCAGAACTTACTTTGTGAGACGACAAACAGCTTGTGTAGCTTGAAAGTCAAGAGCGGATCGGGCATCTCACGGAGGAACTTCTTCAAAAGAGCTGCGATCTGCACAGGAGTTTCCTTTGTCAGATCAACTGACTCGTACTTGGTGTCGATCAGCTCTGCAGTATCCTTTAATCGGCGGATGTTGCCGTTCTTTCGGAAGACGCCCTCAACGGACATGTCCATCTGCCGCATAGCGCAAACAGAATCATCAACCAACGTGGGAATACGGAGCGCACCAGGGCCAACGCCGTGACTTGACTCTGTACCCTCCTTTTCGACCAAATAGTCTAGACCGACACCGAAAACACCCTTCTTTTTATTAGCCTTCTTGTTGTCCTTGAAGGCTCGGCCAAAGATGTTCCATATGGTAGGTTTGCGCGACTCAATAAGAGAAAGAAGCTCTTCCATCGTGAAATGACCCTCTACCAAGGGTTCCATCTGTAGCACAGCAACGTGACGAACGATGAAATATTCCAAGGCAGTTAGTTCTGAGAAATAGCGCTTGGTTCGGGTCGGCTCTATGAGGGCCTCCAAATTTCCACTCGATACTCCCCGCTGGTGGCCATGGTTGTATCTGGGCATCGGCTCTGTCCCCCCAAGGAGTTTTGGGCCCGCATGCCTGTAGGCATTAGGTCGCTGCTCTTTGGCTTGTTCAGCCGCAACAATGCGGGGGATATCATCTAGCGTCAAGGCATCCTGGGCCCCAAAGGTCAAATCGGTCACGGTTTCGCCATTGGCATCCCGTTCTTCCACAATCTGGAAACCGTGGCCCCTCGGGTCACTGCCATCGTTGCCTGATGAACCTGGTCGGGCACTTCTGCCTTCTGGTCCATCGATGATTCTGGATGCGCGAGCCCGTTTGTATGTTGTAGATAGGGTTCGCTCGTTGCGAATAGACCGCAACCGACGCATCTCGCCGACGGTCTGCTCAAGGGATGTTTCTTCCAAGCCATCTCGCGAGCCACCGGCATATGACTGGCGTCTGTTTGCCCGACGAGCCTGGGATGTGCCTCGCTGGCCGTCTGTGTTCTCATGATCATTGAGGTTGGGGTCGGCTGGGGCGGAGCAAATTAGACAAACTGCCGGCGGGATGGGGGTAGTGTAAAAGTGTCTTACCGGATGTATCAGGCAAGGTTCCACCGGATCGAAGAACGGCGAGAAGCCGTGCGAGTGCCACTTTCAGCAAGAAAACGAATTGTTGCAATTTTGAGACTGGAGTGAAACCACCCTTCACAGTGGAACCAAGGTTCATCTGATGGGCGCAAGCACCGCAGTAGACTTGCTCCTCGCTCTCACTCCACCGTGCATCTTGCAGATCAGCAGTCAAGTCATTCTGACATGATTTGCACGAGAGATGAGGCGGCTTGATGTGCCAGCGACTTTGACCCAACTGAACACATTCGTCGTCAATTGGTTCTTTGCAGGCGATGCAACAATCCGAAAGTTGATCGGCCAAGCCTTCTACTCCAGCCATCAGGTCGACCGGTGTATTGTCATTTTCGTGCTCTGCTAATGCCTCCAGATCACGGAGGTGCTCCAGGAAGTTATGTAGCCCGTCTGGTGCAGACTTCTCGCGTTCAAGTTTGAGTGCACCTTGTAGACCGATGCGGATAAGGAGTTTGAGGTAATGAGCTAGACCAGTCACCAGGGACAGGAGTTCCTGGGTAACGCCAAGTTTGCGTACCCCGGTTTCCTGGGTTTTCGATAAAAGAGCAAAGAAAGCGACAATCTTTTTGCAGAGCAGTTTGGCTTCGCGGCCGTAGGAAAGTTCTGGTTCAGAAGGATCAGCGATCAGTCCCGACGGTGTGAGATTAGCGGTGCGAGACTTACCTTTTAACTCATGGGATTTGATATAATCAGCAAGCTGATCGACTGCCCCGAAAAGGATTTCCACATGTTCAATGAAGCGTTTGGCTACGAGAACACCATCAATGTAAGCGCCGTTGCTCACATGAAGCAGCATATCTGAAATGCATGCGGCGGATGATTCTTCAAAGGTAGAGAGGGTATTCCAAATATTGAAGACCTTCTCTTCCATAAGGTCTTCTTCATCGCGAATATGCTTGCGCTCATCTTCACTGGCATCCTCGTCCACCGGTGGAGGCTCCCATGTTTGACCAGCAGGGGATAACCGGACATTCCAGAACTTGTGGATCATGTAACATTCAGGGTGCCAGTGTTGGTTTTGGCCGTTGCGGAAGATCTCGACAAATTGTTTTAGAATCGCAGTGTGGCACCCATGGCACCGCTGGGCAAACTGGGTTGAGTAGTGAAAGTGGCAGTAGACCTTGCTCTCGTGCTCATAATAGGAGTCCTGAGCACCAAAGACGGTCGGACAAACTGAACAGGTAAAGTGCTCGATATGATACTTCCGGTCTAACGCTGTAATGTATGATCCGCGGAGTGCGCCGCCGCACTCGTGACATAAAAGGCTGAGTCGTCTAAAGTAATCGGTTTCACAAAGCGGAAATTGGCAGCTTGAATCTTCTGAATCGACGGGGAAAAACTTGGAAGCAACGATCTCGCCACAGTCCTGAGAGGAGTAAAAACGTTAGACAAGGTCCCCAAAGCCCCAACTAGAAGAAGCAACTTACTTCGCACTTGAAGCACTCCAGATGAAAAGTACCGCCCAATGCTCGAACAAATTGGCCAGTGAGTGGTTCACCGCATTTTTGACATAGGCGCGACGAGGCACCGGGGGACTTATTTTGACGCCCGTTTACTCGTGAGCGATCTCGAGGTGTTGAACGGTCGCGGAAGCCAGCCTGGTCAGGACCCAGGCCACGACCTGAGCGCCCATCCTCCTGGTTCACGGGAGTAATTGGGCTTGCGCCTGCCGTTCGTGTTGATGGTGAATCGAATGGAATTAAACTGTCTTCGGGAGATGTGGGTGTGTTCTTCGTATAGCTAGCCCCGTAGCCAGAGGTGTCAACGGTGGGACGGCCGCTAGGGTTGCCTGCAACCAGACTGGCTGGGAGTCCACCGGGGGGGCATCTTGGTCCCCCGTCAGCAGAGGGATGGTGGGATTTTGTTGAGTTGAGTTACGCCGAACACTGCATGCAAAGAGTCGAGGGTAAGGGAATCAGCGAGGTGTGGTAGACGTGGGTTGACAGGGAGTGTCGAATCAAAGATGCGACACGGTTTCAAGACTAGCGGTAAATTGAGGGTAGGCTAGGCGCGTACGGTCAAGAGTCTGATTCTTAAATTAGAATCTCGTGCCTTGGCTGGTTGAACCGGGACCTCTATTGTTCCCCAGAATATACTCACCCTCACGCCATGCAAAGACACGCGGGTGTAGCCGATGTAGTAGGGAAATAATGCGCGCGCCAAATGACTGAAATCGAAGTGGTGAAGCGGTATAGAGGAAGGTTGTGAACGAAGGGTCTGAGATCGCGCAGGCTCAAGGACGCGGGGGCCGATTTCGAGGGGAGAGCTTTCAAGGTGAGACCAACAGGCGGGGATTATCGAGCGTCAAGCATCCCAAATCGAACAGGCAAATGCTCAGACTTCAAGAGAGAATTAAGGTGCAAGGGCGAGGGGAAAAGAAGTGGGCTGGGGAGGAATGGAGATGATGGGCTTGGGCATTTGTTACCCCCCCCTAATTAGTCCAGGACCCTGGGTCACGTGGGTCTATACAATTCCCATGTTTACTTTTATATTAGGGGGGTTTGCACTGAGCTATCTTGGATTTTTTTTAGACATTGGAGTATACGTGGGATTCAATCAGATTGGATTCAATCAGATGAATCTAGCAAACATCACCATTGCATTGTGTACTGCCATATAGACACAATGTATGTCCGTATTGTATGTCCCATCGTGCTTTTTTTAGAACGTCCTGCAGATTAGTTTATTTCGTATTACTCATACCAGTAAATTTTGGAAGATATGTACTATTATTTGTCAAAAACATCTTCAAGAGTATCAAAGGTCTCATAACGATGGATAGTACTGTTGGTGTATTGATCATGGTCTTCATAGTCTTGGGGTATGTAATTTCTCCCCAATACCTCACGGATATACACCTGAGACCTGAATGTTTACGGAATACTTCAGTGACATACATTACACATATTGAGTATACCGTGTAGACCGTAATTTTGTCAAAGATGTCTACCGAGATCCATGGACTAACCATTTCATCAGGCTGATCATTACATCCAGTGCTCTGACCCAGAAAGTGGGAGGCTGGAAGATGACGTGGGGAGACAGAAATAGATCAACCGAAAAAGATCAGAACTATTGAAAGATATCCTGAATGTATGGTCGGCATGAAGTATTTAGTATTGTCTATAAAGGAATGAAAATCAAACATAAAACAAGTTGAAGCGACAAACTGTCAAAAAGTTGCCCGGTCGATTTCACCCTTTCCTCTTCTTCCTTTGAACAACCATCTTGGCCTTTGATACCCTTCAATAATTTCTCATTCTCTTTCCCTATCTTTCTTCTACACTACAGTGTACAGTGTATGATCAGCTCACACTTACGAGATGAGTGACCAGTGCACTCTGCGCCTCGTCCGAGTACGTTTCCAATCCATTTCGGCAAATTACCCGGACCAATCACTAATCCCCGCATTTTGGCATGAAACAGGAGTTGAGGCAGGTTGAACGAAGCGAGCAACTTGGTATGAGATCTCCAAATTTGGGCTGCTCGACGGTTCAGGTCATTCGGCGCGGAGACTCACGTGCTGACCCTCATAGCTTTCACGGTTCGTTATGAAGAGAGCAACATTCGTGATATCCAGGCCCTCATCATCGGGCCTCCAGGCACCCCATACGAGCTGGGCTTTTATGAGGTAAGATCCACCCAGCCTTCCAAGGGCCCGAGCACGCGTGAACTACGGATAGTGGATTGATGTGTCTAGTTCTCGATCAAAATTCCATCAGGTAGGATGATCTGCTTTGTTGTAACAGATGCCGGCTAACTCACAGAATAGATTACCCAGCAACTCCCCCAGCTGTGAAAATCCGGACCACTAACAAGGGCCGCACTCGGTTTGGCCCAAATCTGTATGCCAATGGGAAGGTCTGCTTGTGAGTGCACCCTGTGGACTATTGAATTTGTGCAAGACCCAATACTAATGATCCATCAGGTCAATCTTGGGGTAAGCTTCACTGCCAGCAATATGGATGACTTTGAAAAAGACTGAACATCATGACAGAACCTGGCATGGTTCTCGAGGGGAACAATGGTCCCCTGCACAAGGTCTCGAATCCGTGATGCTGTCAATTCAGAGCCTGTTGTCGTCAAATCCGTATACCCTGGAACCAGGATTTGACGAAAATGATAGGGCAAATGACACGGAGAACATGTAGATCTACAAATCTAAGGTAGGATTGCTATCCACTATCTCACTCGAATTGAAACAGAGCTTACATATCAGATCTGTCACGAGAACCTACGACTAGCAGTCATCACACCGCTCGAGCAAGCATTCCAAGCCCCATCCCCTACCCGCCGAATGGCGCCACGGGTTGGTCAGGAATCAAGTGCGGAAGAAGACAGTGAACTCGAATACGAACCTGAGCCTGCATTGCTCAATCAAAGCAAGTTCTATGACTTCTGCAAGCGACGCTTCCTGTGGTACCTCGAGTTCTACCAGAACGCCATTGAAAAAGGCATCGCCGACGAGTCACGGAGACAAGGAACGTCATTCATCCAAATGCCCTTTGAAGGCTATGGTAATGCCATGACCGGGGAATGGAATTATCTCGATCTGCAAACCCGTCTCTTGGCTCTTCGGGACCGATTGATGGAAGAAACACACCGCTGGCCCGTCGAGGGCTTGGTTCTGGTCAAGGAGGATGCTGGAATTGCAGTCAAATTGAGAGGCCAGCATGAACAGATAGCTGCAGAAATGAGCGCTTATCCCCAAGTCCTTGATTTGTCACTCGTTGACGACAACCCATTCGTCTGGAGACTTACATACGTGGGTCGCAACGAGTCAAAACTGGAAGGTGGCATCATTAAGATCAAGATTTACATCAGTCCCCGACACCCAGAGGAACAACCTCGGGCTTTTGTCGAATCGCCGCTATACCACATTCGCGTCTCGAAGCTGGGGGTGTTGATGTATCTTCCTTCGCATGCTGAAGAAATCGGCCAACACATCGAGGGTATCATCAATACACTGGAAGACGACAACCCCCCGTACAACCCCCTCATGACCGTGAATCCAGAGGCAAGCGCTCTGTGCTGGGGCTCAGAATCAGATCGCAGGCTCTACAGACGCAAGCTGCGAGCATCTCTGGAGGAGTCCTGAGGTGAGCTAACTCACTATCCTGGAATGTGAAAATTTGCTCAGCAATGTGTCATAGCGGGGGCTCTCTGATAATCTCCACAGGTTATTATCAACTCCACCTGGCTTGATCTGTTCCAATTTCCTACCACTACTATGTTTTACCCTGCTTGAGCGATATTCTTTACGATGGGGGGTGCTATCTAACACAAGAAGATCGATATCCATAGCAGAATAGTATTCATAGATACATGCAAAGGGCCTTTTAGCGTCCTCTAATCATACTTTCTACCAAGTATAGGAAAGCACTCGACCGATACACAACTGAGACATGCGATGCAGTTCAGTAACTGGGATATATGAAATAAACAGGTCAGTGTCTCCGAACTGGGGCTATGTGATTCTTGTGAAGTTCATGCAGCCGTGCAACGGGTGGGCTTTGTTAATACAATCTCAAGAGACTTATTACGTGGATATCTGTGGAAGCGAAACTGGTAGTTCCTGGAGTGCCATCGCATGTGGATTTTCGATTTCAAGTGTTCTCCATGATCATGTTTTGATGGAAGGTATTAAGATCTCAACGAAAAGCAGAGAGCTCAAGGGGTAAATGAAGAAGGTGAAGGTCGAAAAGTCGCGGGTTTAGGTAGACGTTCCTTGGATAGTCCCAATCTTCCAATGTATACGATTCATCCTATGTAGAGGGAATTAGTCCAGTTCTACACATATTTCCAGCATTCTAGACGGATTGTTTTTGATGGCCACTCAAGTATTCAATACTGTTTTCATTCAATCCTTCTTCAAATCATGCTGAAAACTTGGGCCAAATACTTGCTTGACGCGACTCAAATGGGATATCATAGACACCATAATGGGGGGATTCGGTGATAATGTTAGATTGGGTCTAATAAAACCCGTAATTCAGTCTCAAGGAAGGACTCGGTAGTAAGATATATGAAGAATCGAAAGGAATCTATATCGATTCTGATTTTGGCGTTTTGTTTCATTCTGGCAAATGTTGCCCCTTTACCGGTAGATAGAAAAGATAGACTCGCCGGTAGCCCAATTGCATTGCAGGAGTAGCCTGCAAGTTCAAAGACAGAGAAGTTCAACATTTCATTTCAGTATAAAGTTGAATCGAAATAGACGATTGCCCTGAGGACTCAAGCCCCGTGGCCCGCACGGATCACCTGATTATCTCCGCCAACTTCCCCGGCCCCCTTTCACTCAACTCCAATCCCCCATCTTCTCTCAAAAAAAATCATATCATGTCGGCAAAAAGGCGCACATTGGAGTTAGGCAATGTCCTGGTGGTTGGAGGCTGCGGCTTCTTGGGGTGGCACATTGTCGATCACCTGCTGAATTTCCCCTCCGAGACCGACCCCAGTTACGCTCTGCCAAAGCCCGTGGGCGATGCGCGTTTCGAGTACCCGACTCTCGGATCGCGCTACCCTGATTACCACTCCACTGTCTCCGTCGTTGACTTGCGCACCACCAACAACCGTCTTCCAGGCGCTCAGTACTATGATGGCGACATCACCTCCGTCGACTCCATGTTGGAGGTCTTCCGGGCTGTTAAGCCCGATCTTGTCATTCACACTGCGTCGCCATCTATGATCGAGGGCAACAAGCCCCTGCTGCACAAGGTCAATGTGGAGGGAACAAAGACGCTCCTTGAGGTCGCTGGTGGCGAGCATGGCGATTGGGGTGGTAAGTGCAAGGCTTTCGTCTACACCAGCTCCAGCTCCGTGGTCCACGACACACAGAGTGATCTGAAGAATGTCAATGAGGAATGGCCATACATCCGGGGTCCTGCGCAGAAGGAGTATTACTCCGAGACCAAGGTGAGTGCTTATCATCATTTTAAACACAGTTTAATCGGGATCAATCACTAATCAGACCCTTGCGTCTATCAAGGCCGATGCCGAGGAACTCGTCCTAAAGTACAACAAGAAGTCCGCCAACGAAATGCTGACCGCTGCCATCCGCCCGGCCGGGATCCACGGAGAGAAGGATACAACCGTCACACACAAGATCCTGGAACATGGATCCCAGGCTTCGGATCGAGTGCTTCGGATGCAGCTCGGTGATAACGACAACTTGTTTGATTTCACCTACGTCGGAAACGTGGCTTACGGCCACCTGCTTGCTGCGCATCGACTTCTCGCGACCTATGACCTTCACGCGGCTGGCAAGGGCGGGCCCCTCGACTACGAGCGCGTTGACGGCGAGGCTTTCAACATCACCAACGATTCCCCCGTCTACTTCTGGGATGTGACCCGTGCCATGTGGGCTCTGATCAACCGTGTCGTTGAACCGGAACAGGTTTGGGCCCTGCCCGAGGGTCTTCTTGAGAGTGTCGGTGGTATCGCTGAGACTGTCATGGGATTGTTTGGCAAGACCCCGCGTCTCACTGCCCGGACAGTGCGATACTCATGCATGACTCGCTACTACTCGACTGAGAAGGCTAAGCACCGCCTGGCTTTCTTGCCTGTTGTGCCCTTAGATGAGGGCATTGCCCGTGCCGTTGGATATATTGTTGCCCAGCAACAAGCGGACGCAGGAAAGAAGGCATTGTAATATGAAATTAGATCATGAGATTGAAAAGGCATCTCACGCTGTATTAATATAACTGTTTGCCCCGACGAATGACAGGATTTGAAAAGAAAGTCCCGTCATCACAGGTGGTTTTTCTGAAGTCTAAAGAATGCTGTGAAGCGTTGTGTTTTGAATGATCGTCTTGATGGACTATAAAGTGAGAGATATATTTTAGAAAACCTGGATTTGTTTCACGGTCCTTTGATACAAGAAGCATCGCCTATGTAGCCTTGATTATAGTTTGATATACATGCAGCTATACCACTAGATCAAGATGTATCTGGAGGGAGTATATATCGGACAGTTTCCCTAGTTCAAACCTTTGCCAACCTCCTGGTAGATACTCCGCACTACCCTTCTTCGACCGACGTCGGAAATCGAGGTAGCAGCATCTATCCAAGACCATCGACTCTGACTTTGGACCTTGGGAGTACTAGCGACCGTCCACGAGTCCCTCGAGCCCCAGTAGGGAGACCTTGGAATAAACCTGTGTTCATCTCCCACGCGCCACTGAATCGGGTGCAGAGTCCAGACCACCCTTGAGGCTGACCTTGTTGAAATGAGGAATTAATGGCATCATATTACCTCTGCCAATAATCTGCGTATCATGTTGCCCCAGATTACCAGCAGAATCTGCACCGGCAGATGACCCACAGGCCCTCATATCAGCCCGCCTAATTGCCTCGATCGATTCAGGCATTCGAGCCTGCCACAGTGTAAAATCATCCTTAAGCTATGGGAGGTGTCGGTTAGCCCCTGGATGCTCCACCAAGAGGCTAGCCCCTTCCATGGCGAGATTCTACCCGACTCAGGCGGACTTGGGATGGCATTAACCCCATCGGCACTATTCCCACACAACTTGATTGGCGAAAAGACGCGAGTGAGAATATCCTGGAGCAATCCCGCCGTGCAGCTCTCGAGTAGCTTTCACTAGACCCAGAGAGACTTGGGTAGGGATCTCATCACTCGGTTGATAGCAGGTCAATCAATTCCATTTTACATAATCCGACACAACTGCCCGGCCCTGGAGAAAAGTGGGCCATCCCGTGAGCTCTTCAAAAGGTAATTGGTCACATGGAAGTGGACGCTTGTATGTTTGACTGTTTAACCTCACATCCCACCTCATGAGAAACTTGATTTACTGAAGAGTCCTCCAGTATCCTCCTGTAGCTCATCGGAGCTAAATACCAAGCTGCAACAATGTCCAATACCAAGAGGCAGTGCTGTGGCACTGATTGCGACAATGACGCTGGCACCTTGCAATGCCCGACGTGTCTGAAGCTGGACATCAAAGGCAGTTACTTCTGCTCCCAAGACTGCTTCAAGAGGAATTGGGTGGGTTACCTCCGCGCGGACATCTCCTCTGACTGAGGATCTAATATTGATTGTATTCAGACCACACATAAGGCGATGCATAAGACACAGAATGGTAGCAACCTCATCCAAATTGCATGCACCAGTGACTCATGACTTTTTTCTCTAATCGTGATCTAGCTGACCGATTTTACAATCCCTTCCCGACATACCCATACACTGGCTCTGTCAGACCCGTGTACCCACTCTCCCCGCGACGACCTGTTCCCAAAACAATCAAGCACCCTGACTGGGCCGAGACTGGTATCCCAAAGCGTGAGATGCGTTTGAGCAGGACGAAGATTGATATCTTGGATGCAAAAGGTCAGGAGGCTATGCGTAAAGTATGCAGGCTGGCCCGAGAAGTACTCGATATAACTGCTGCAGCCATGAAGCCGGGTGTGACCACCGATTACCTGGATGAAGTCTGCCACAGAGCTTGCGTCGAACGAGAGGTGAGTCTGACTTACTTTTCTCCTGTCAAATATATCAGCTTGTCAGCTAAAACGTGAGGCAGTCATATCCTTCACCACTAAATTACAACAACTTTCCCAAGTCATTATGTACATCTCCGAATGAGGTTGTATGCCACGGAATCCCCGATCAGCGGGTTCTTCTTGATGGCGACATTCTGAATCTCGACATCTCTTTATACCACGGCGGATATCATGCCGACTTAAACGAGACCTACTACATTGGTGACAAGGCCAAAGCGGATCCCGACTCGATCAGACTTATTGAAACAACACGGCAGGCCTTGGACATGGCAATCGAGATCATTAAACCAGGTGTCCCGCTTCGAGATTTTGGTAAGATTATCGAGAAGCACGCAGCTTCTAGAGGCCTCAAGGTAGTCAAGACTTGGGGTGGCCACGGTATTAACACGGAATTCCACCCTCCACCTTGGATCCCTCACTACGCAAAAAACAAGGCTGTGGGAACATGTAAACCGGGGATGACATTCACGATTGAACCTATCCTGGCTTTGGGCAGCAGCAAAGAAGTATATTGGCCAGATGACTGGACAAACGTGACGGTGGATGGGCAACGGACAGCCCAATTCGGTGTGTGCAGACCGTTTACAGGACAGTTACAGGCTCTAGACACTAACTTGAAAATCGATAGAACATACTATGCTTGTCACAGAAACAGGCGTCGAAGTTTTGACGGCGAGACTCGAGAACTCTCCAGGAGGGCCAATCCTCATACCGGAGGTTGCAAAATGAGATCCACTCGGAAAGCAACTAAATGATAGAATGGAATGATAGCATGGGCGAATGAAAACCGATCCCACAGGGCTACATACTTAGGGCAGGCGATCTATGGCATTCTGATTCTGATTTTGATTCTGATTGGGTTGTAGTCACTACCATATTAATAGTTGACCGCATGTGCCTTGAATGTATGGGATATATTCAGAAGCAAAAGCCAAGTGAAGATAAAACTTTGGATTTGAGTAAGCATTTGCTTGCCTACGTCTTACCGAACGTGTCCATATTACTATCTCTGGTCTCATCGGTGGTTTTCACCTCGGTCACAGTGCCGGCGTTCTTCCGGTCAGAGTCAGACCCTCCAGCCTCCTGGGAGTGCGCATCGCGATGACGGCGTCCGGCTCAGCCTCCACTTCGGAGTAGCCTGGAATATCGATAGACCACCCTATGGTCATTTCAAAGTACCACTCTTTGACGGGCACCGTCAATGGTTGGCTCGATCGGTTGACTCGGCCAGTTGGCTGATCTGAGACGCAAAGTAGATTCCTTTGTCACTGAGCACCTTCAGGGATCTTCATCCCTTTGATGTACCGCAGAGTGACAATACAATCAATATCCGATCACTGGTTGCGTCGGTCGATGTCGAAGTTGACCTTTCCCATGCTTTATAGTCCGTCTCGGGGAATGCCCACACGGAAACCGGTCTCCGCTTGCCCAACGCCAAGGAACCCGATTACATCAGTCCAGTGCCAGTCGGGTTTGAGAGAATTGTCCATGCGTTGGCCATGTTGCGTATACGGTCTGGAGTTCGATCTGCTGGACGCTTTTATCCTATACCGAAAAGTGAGGAGAGTCAGTGAATGGACAATGTGATGGATGATTCCTTTTTTATTTCTCCTAGAAGAGATTTTCGATTCGAGTTACTTTTTGCCAAGGTGATAGCGAAAGGACAAAAGAGATCTCTCATGGAACTTGTGAAAAGCGTCAAGTGGCATAGAAAGAAGAGATTGGGGAAGGCAAGCAGTAGAGACGCTTGTATAGTAACTCTGTGGACCGTTCAATGTCCTTTGGTCTGTTTGAATCTGGCTCTAGACCTTCTTCCAGATCTCCTTTTGAATCTCTCTTGTTCTTCAACCTTCCAAGCTCAGAGTCACCTATTCGGTAGTGCTAGACCAACGAGCGGTGATCCTATCCCCATGGACCTAGGCAAAGAATATTCAGAGAGATTAGGCCATATTGGGTGGGTGAATTTTCCTATTTGCCCGATATCAAAAAGCAACCATGAAATGTCAATGGTACATCGGATACTGTCAAACGATGTACAGTACTGAATCGGCCACTTGATGGAGAGATACTTGTCTACATCTGTGCAGGTCCATTCAGGTCCATTGCGGATTTCCCCCGAACCCGCATTTTCCGCACAGAACGGCGATGCTGATCAATCAGAATTGCAGACGTCCATGCTCAATTGAATTATGACCTCTCAGAGCGAATGACTCAAATCACGTTCATTGCCAGATTAGTAGCTTGAACCCGCGCCGATGGGCTATTTAATCGCAGAATCTTTCAGTGGAATCTCATTCAAGAAACATCTATCCTATCATGTCTCTCTTACATACTATTCGCCATGACGTGAAACCCATCGCCTCGTCCAGTGTACCCCGCGAGCTAGACTTAGCCCCCACCCCAGTCGAAGATGTCCCAGACACGCAGGTCTCTGTGGACGACAACTTGGCTCCTAGAGTCGGCCAACCTGTCTTTGAACGGGCACTGCTCAGTCGAACGACTAAATCACGTCGAGTGGTTATTACTACATTGCTCATTCTGGCTAATCTCGTACAGGTATACTCTGAACCATCAACATCCAAAATCCAAAGTCCCCTGAGACTGACAACAGTAGATGACAGTCAATTTTGCAGGTGTTGCGGGAGGAAGCGTCCTGAGTGAATCATTACGTGTGAACGACACCTACGCCTCGTGGATTGCTGCAAGTTATGCGTAAGCCGCAGAGTACAGAGACATTTGTGATTGACCATCTCACTAACACGAATACAGTCTAACCCAGGGTACCTTTGTGTTGGTCAGTGGTCGACTGGGAGATGTTTATGGCCATCGAGAACTCGTCTTGGCGGGGGGTGCCTGGCTCACCATCTGCACTCTAGCTAATGCCTTTTGTAACGAGTTCTTCGCCTTTGTCACGATGCGGGCTCTAGCGGGTCTTGGAGGTGCGCTCATCATGCCTAACGCGGTGGCTATGATATCCAGTACCAACCCCCCGGTCGCGTGCGAAATCTCAGTCTGGGTCTCTTTGGTGCGTCGGCACCAGTAGGAGGATACTTCGGGGCCTTAGTCTTGGGTGCTTTTATGCAGCGGACGGACTGGAAGTGGTTTTTCATTTTCGTGTAGGTGACACATTCAGTTGACCCTGACCAGTAGTACTGATGATGTTTCTTTTGATATAGTGCCTGCCTTGGTGTTATCACATTCACTCCGCTCTGGGCGTTGAGTCCGCGAGAACCACCGGTCGACCGAGATGGAAAGATCGACTGTATTGGATCGGCTCTTGGAACAAGCTCGTTGATTCTGTTCAGCTTTGTTTGGAAGTAAGTATGCTGGTATCGACCTGGTTTATTGCATTCTAACCTTCCCGCAGTCAAGCACCGAGTGTCGGTTGGTCAACCCACTATGAGATTGTTCTCTTGATCAGCTCGATCGTCTTATTCGGAGGCTTCTTGCTTTGGGAGAAGAAGTACGCCGCGGAGCCCATCATGCCACTCGACATTTTCAAAGCCCCATCCTTCCTTATGCTGCTCTTCGTCGTGCTTCTCAATTACATGGCTGTAGGAACCTTGATCTGGTACCAGGTCCTATGGCTCCAAAAGGTCTGGCACTGGTCTCCTCTGCAATTTGCCGTGGGCTGGACCCCATTCGTGATCTGTGCCACGGGCGCTGCATGCCTGGCGGCGTGGATGATCCCGCGAATGGCAGCACAATGGATCCTGGCCATTGGAACAGTGACGATCTTGATATCCAATGCGCTCATGGCGACCGTGCCAATCCATCAATCCTACTGGCCCCAGATCTTCCCTTCCGTAGTCCTCTTCTCATTCTGTCCGGACTTTGTGTACACAGCTGGCCAAATCATTGCTAGTAACTCCGTCCGTCGTAATCAGCAGGGGATTGCCGGGTCTGTCATTGGCACACTGAATCTCTACGGGAACAGTCTGGGACTGGGTTTCGCATCCACTATCGAGGTGCAAATTGCCCGCCGCTCGGGTAGCCAAATCCTGGGGTATCGAGCGGCACTTTTCTTCGGCGTTGCCATTAGTGCCGTCGCGCTTATACTTGACGTCTGCTTTGTCCGACTGGTCAAGGATGACCGGGAAGGATGGCATGAGGATGACCACATGGAGGAAATTGAGCTGACGGAGCAGGCCGAAGCCACAGGTGTCCATCTGCAACATACTTAATGTAAGTCACCAGCTGTAACCATTGAGAAACCGGCCAAATATCGGCAGACTGAGCGTGGGGGTGCCGGGCGAATGCCGGGTTGAGCTTGGAATGCCCAAAGCCACATTGAGTGGATAGAGAAGGTCAGAAATCTATTTGTCAAGCTTTTTCACCTCTTATTTTCGGCCAATGTCCGTGATACTCCACACCGTGACCCCGGTTTAACGGGCACCGTATGTGTACCTTTTTTTTTCCCCACGTTCTTTTAGACTCTAATTCCTATGGCTCCCCGGGGATATGATCTCATTCATGACTTCGGTGAGAGAAAGGAGATCAAAAAAGAGAGGATAAAATGTGGAGAGGCGGGGAAATTGTAGGCGATTGGCCGCATGCCGTATGTTGTATGTACATATGCCGATTATTCGGAGTGGATCTCGGCTCGTCTCACTTTTCTGGCCTTAATTGCTTCTGTTTGTTGACCGGTTTCTTCCGTTTGTTTTTTGGGGGGTTTTGTGGGGTTTTCGGCTTTTTCTTGTTTCCCGGAGCCTGTGAAGTCGGAGAGTGAAGCCCGTGATCCCGTGATCCCGTCCAAGGCTTCCCGATAGATCACGGGGTGCACTTCCCCCCACTCCCCTTTCAGGCGGATCCTATCAAATACTGCGCTCGCCAGTTTACATCTTCTAAGCCTAGGAGTCCCCATATCTCATCTCATGGATGGGAACGTCATTGGTAAAACCCGAATCTCGGCACCCTCGTTGTTCCGTTCCAAGTTGAAATTCAAGGGCCCCGCTTGGAACCCCCCCGCGTACTTGGCGTGGGGGTACCATACCGGGGAAGTCTAGGGTTTTTCATTTCCTATAAGAATCTGCTCTCGCTGCTCAGATTCTTTCGGCAAAATCACACACAATGGCAGACGATATTTCACGGGAAAACCGTGACCGGATAGAGATCGAAGCCGAGAAAGAACGGAGTGAAAATGTCGAACACATTGCCTCATCAAAGCAAGATGGCATGCCTCCAATGGATCCAGCTCGTCGGTTAGTCGTCGAGAAGAATCTCAAGCGCAAACTCGATGCCCGGTGCAGTCTGTTTGTCGCGATCTACAGTGAGTGATATTCTACCGTGCAATTGTTCAACCTATATACATGCACGAGACGATACTAACCACTCATTTACAGTCATGAATTATTTGGATAGAAACAATATGGCAGCAGCTCGTCTCAAGGGTCTGCAGGAAGATCTTAAACTCAGCAACACCGATTATTCCACATGTCTGAGTATCCTCTATGTCGGATACATCATCATGCAGGTACCTTCCAACATGTTCATCAACCGCATCTCACGACCCTCACTCTACATCGCCGTGGCTATGTTGCTGTGGGGTGTTATTTCCACCTTGTCTGGCAACACCAAGACCTTTGGTGATATGGTGGCTGTCCGTTTCCTGCTGGGTTTCGTCGAGGCCGCGTTCCTGCCCGGCGCTCTGCTCATCCTCTCCAAGTGGTATACACGCCGGGAACTGACTACCCGAAATGCCATCCTGTTCTGCGGTAACCTCATCTCCAATGCCTTCTCGGCACTCGTCGGTGCCGGTGTCCTATCCAACATGCAAGGTACCCTGGGCCACGCCGCATGGCGCTGGCTCTTCTGGATCGAGGGCTCGGTGACTATGTTCCTTGCCATTCTCGCCGCGTTCATCCTACCCGATCTGCCCCACAATGCACGTGGCTTCACTGAGGAAGAGCGTCAAGTTGCACAACTTCGCATGCTCGAGGATGTCGGTGAGGCTGACACCGATGGTGAAGAGCTGGGTGCCTTTGGAGGACTTCTCCTCGCGCTGCATGACCCGAAGATCTATGTGATGATGTTTACGTTTGTTGCCTATGTTGTCGGCCTCAGCTTCAATGCTTTCTTCGTAAGTCCTTCTCCCACCAATCGAGCAAGTCGGACGTTTTACTGACCTGCCGGCAGCCTACTCTCACAGGTACTCTCGGATTCGATTATGTTCCGACTTTGCTGATGAGCGCTCCTCCCTGGGTCTTTGCCTGTATTTTCTCCGTCATCAACGCTTGGCACGCGGATAAAACACAAGAAAAGGTCTGGCACATCATTGGCCCGATCTGTATGGGAACTGTCGGATTTATTATTTGCATGGCCACCCACAATGTCGCAGCTCGTTACGTCGCATTGTTCCTGCAGGCTGGTTCCTATGCCGGATTCATTGTATTCTACTCATGGATCAGTTCCTCGTTCCCCCGTCCTCCTGCCAAGCGAGCTGTCGCTATTGCCATGATCAACGCCTTCAGTCAGCTGGGCAATGTCGCTGGTTCCTACGTCTGGGACTTGTCAGATAACGGATACCGCTCAAGCTATGGAATCGTGCTGTCCATGTTTGGTGTCACCATCATCGGATGCTGGTACTTCCGCTCGATGCTTCTCAGCCTGAACCACCGGCTCGAGGAGTGTGAGCTTGCTGACAACGCTAGAGAGGGTTCGAGTGAGAATGATATCATCGATAACCCAGACGTGTCATTGCGGATGCGCAAGGGTTTCAGGTATCTCGTTTGAGTGGTTTACTGTACGAACCAGGTGTTCCCCTGGTTATCATTGCATCTGTCTATCTTAGAACTCCATAGTCGGCACTAGCATTTACCCAGCTCCAACAATCAAGTGATGTTAAGCCGATGAGTATATCTCGACTGTGGTTCCTATCCCGGTAACCGTGGAATTCGATCTGTGAACCATGGTTATTCAAACCTTAGCCTGGGTATCTTCTGAGCTCCTTCCACGGTTCCACGGTTCCCCTGGTCATGTGCTCCCAGTCTCCATAGTCCACAAACGTGTAGAAAGGGTCTCGCAAGTTCTTGATCGCCTGGACGGTCGGGTCTCAGTGATGAGCTCTTTTCTCTCTCGTTGAAGTTGAATACCATCGGGAGATCGATGGATAGCAGGCCTGTACCCAACTGATGCTTACTTTAACAATAAAAAAGGACAAGGAATGGTATTAACTACAGCTGAGACTGCCTATGTACTAAGAGCAGAGATGTGACGCAGATCGCATGATGTGGGCCGGCATTGCCCAACGTCGTAGACGGTGTGCTGTAGGTGCAAAATCCATAATTCCTCAAACACATGTCCTTCGAAATTCTCCCTCCCTCACATACTGGAGCAATGCCAATATCGTGTTGTACAAGCAGGCCCAGTTGATTTCAAGGAATGTGGAAACGGGTCGCCGGTTGCATTACTGGGCATCATTGGCTGCAGAGGCGTCATCTGCATTAGTATTCTGAGCGGTAGCTGGCTCATCTGTCGTTGGCTGAGTCCTCGGTTGAACGGTCCGCGCGGCTGTGGTGTCAGCCCTCAAAGGCCGATTGTATGCTCTCATGAAATCATTGTAGATACGCTGCCATGTCTCGCTGTCTGCCTGTCGTTGAGTTGAATTCCGAAAATGCATAAGAAGCTCATTATGCACGGCAATTTCCTCTGATTGTGGCGCCGTTCGCACTGCCTCTGCCATGAAACGTAGGCCAATGTCATAGGTCAGTGCGTCAAGCACAGCTGTGATATCCGTTTCGGTACGTACGGCCTCGTAGATTAGTGTGTCACGCATCGTGGCGATATCCTCGTCACTGCGTACCTCATCAGGGACGCTGCTCAGTGCGGGAGATAGAGTTCGACCGAAAGCCTCGTATAGGGTGCGAATGCGGTCAATCGGGAAGGGGCCGTTTGTCATCAGGTAAGTCGCCACAGGATTTGTGGACCATGAGTGGAACAGGAGCTCCATGTTTAGTGCACTGATTCTTAGGTTGCGGTGCTCCACGCTTTCGATCATCGCCATTCGCGTGGCGAAGAGCATATACGCGATTGACACGGGTATCATCCTAGGCAATGGATTGATTGGGCCGGGGATGACGCCGCTGGCTGAGGCTTCGTCCCGAGTGCGTCTCAGAGCAAGGGGGATACGCAAAATTGATGGTGGCGATGGGGGTGGTGATGGCGACATGGTAGACTCATCGTCGTCTAACAAGAATGATGATGGATCGTCTGGCAGAGACATGGCTCAACGTGCATCGACTGGCTGTGAAAAATAGCAACGGTGTCAGAGTCGGCAGGGTGAAATAAGTAAAGATATGAGGTTCGAAATGTGGTTGTCGCATCAAGGAGAGGAACAAACAGATGCAAGTAAGAGTAAGTAAAAAATGTGTCAAGTGTGAGAAGTGTGGGATAATACGTCAATAGGTCTGAATACTTATGTCTCCTCAAGTCCTGCGATCTCCTTCTCACTCACTAGGATCTCTCTTTTTTCATCCACGCACCTTTACTCCAGAGTCAGTCCACCCAACACCAGATATGGACATAATTGTTCGACTCCATCATCCCGTTAGACATATTAGAGACTTTTCATATCGGGTCGAGAAAAAGGAAGAAGGGTTCTATTCTAATTCTAATCGATTGTGAGTCTAGATTTATCAATCCCCACGAACCAAACTGCGGTATTGATTATTAGGATCTTGCTCCTCTTCTTCCGCCGATTGAATCGTCCTCTTCACACGACAAGGGGTTCCAACAGCGACAGAGAAAGGCGGGATATCCTTTGTGACAACAGACCCGGCTCCAATTGTTGAGCCCTGGCCGATCCGCACACCGGGAAGAATAATCACATTACTTCCAATCCAGCAGTCGTCTTCGATAAAGATCGGATGACCGAATTCAACGAACTTGCGGCGCGACAGAATGCTGGTATCATGGCCAGCCGTGATGATACTGACCCCAGTTCCAATCTGTACACGATCGCCAATGACAACTAGACTGGTGTCCAGGATAGTAACGCTATGGATTGTTGGTATGTTTCAATGAGATGTAGGGAGACAAGACCGACTCACTTCCAATTGAAGAAGCAGTCCTTTCCAATCATGGTATTACATCCATAGTCTGTCATAAATGGTGGCTCGATGAATGTCCCATCGCCCACTTTCCCGACGAGTTTCCGCAATAACTCAAGACGCTTGTCGCCGACCTCGTCATATGAGACCGTCTTGGTGTCCAAACCATTGTAATCCGCGTTAAGTCCCCGGCACACATGCCGAGCCTCTTGCAGTATCGGAACTGTTGGGTTGTACCTACAGAAGTTAACAATGCACTGTAAGTGTATGAATGCATACATACATCATGCCGGAGATCATACGCTCGTAGTCCTCACACATAGGCACTCGTGCAAGTCCCCGAGCTAGCTCAATGATCTCGGGGCGTTTCTCAGTGGCAGCCATCTTGAACAAGATATTGAGACAGGGATACAAGGATACACGGATGATAGAGACCAGGGCATATGATATATAGGTCCCCGACTCACCGCCACCAAACGGGGGAGATTTGCCGACAATTCCCCGGTGGAGAACGCCAAGAGAATGGATGGCCTTCCTATTTAGGCAATACTGCCAGCTTATCAGCCTATCTACTCTATCAGTCATACACTCCGTACTCCAGATTTACATGGCATAGGTCGTCCTTGTAGGGCAAGATAATTGATGAAATTGATATCATTGGCAACATCAAAGACCAGCTGTTTAGATTTTCAATGTACTATGTATCGAACTTGCGAATACGTCTCACAATTTCTTCCACATCCTCCCAAATCCGTTGTCGATTTCGCAACCCCTTGAGCTCATTCCAGTTGAGTTGGATTTGCATAAAGACACGACGCCACTCAGTACTCAGTCTAGGCAATCGCACTTGATCCGGGATAGTCACCGGGAGCGGAAATCGGTACCCAGCAACTTTCTCGGCAGCAAGCTCTGTGTAAGAATCTTCAACCAAGAGCCGTGCATAGTCACTCCGCGATTTGACGATACACTTGATATCGGCTGCCGTTAGGACTGTCCAGGGCAGAGGATTGTGTATGCATTCAGATTCTTCCCACGCTTCCCACAGCCAGGGCATCTCTTTGCGTACCAATCTATACCACACACTGTTTGGAAGCTCAGTGAATGTCCTAGACGCGATGCTTAAATGAGCTACATCCCTAGAGCCTAGATGATCGATGATCATGAGCCGAATTTCCACAGGAAGGGAAGAGAGACAGTCGGCCTGTCTATCATGAGATGTGGTAGGGCGGTTCGTCACGGGTCGAGATGACTCAATCCCATAAGCTGGGTCAGATGAGGAAGGCAATCCATCTGTGTTGGTCGCGGAGAGAAGTAGCTCGGGTAGCCTGGGCACATAAAGAGGATTGGCAACCAGATATTCAGTACCCGGCTCATGGGACCACCACTGCTCCTGTGATCTTTTCACCTCTTTGGCTCGAGGGAATGATACAAATGCACCCCAGTCAAACTCGGCATTACGCCAGGTCATGAGGCCTGTCACATTGATGCGTTGAAATTGAACTTTGGATTGTCGGCAAAAGATATCAAAACACCACGGATGGAATGGCATGGCTATATCATCCGATGCTGTCTCTCCCTGGCAGGTGTCAGCTTCGGGTTTTGCTTTGAACACAGTCCAAGAACGAGATGGAGAGATAAGCCTACTCGAAGTTTCACATTGTCCGTCTCTATATCTTGTATCCCATTCCGTGCGGGCCAGACCGTTGGGATGTCTGTATCACGCGACGGCGTTCCATCGCAAATTCCCGACAAAGACCAATCTCCATTAATCTCCCAGGGCTCATGTAGCTGGTCACCCTGCCATTGATCCTTTGGAGTGGTTTTATGCATCAGGAACTGGGCGGTGCGACAGCCTCTTGCCTCTTCGGGTGAGATAGCATCAGCCGAGTAGCCTGACATTGGACTATCAAAATACCCAACGTGCAATTGGGATTCTCCCCTCGTGGCGCTCCATGGATTAAAAGTTTGCAATACCCAATTGTAGTACATATGATCTTCGGTGTCATCATCTTCATCGGTACTGCTGTCTCTGCCATCTTCGCTGTTGGGCGCTTCTTCTTCTTCTTCTTCTTCTTCTTCTTCTTCTTCTTGGCTCATGCCTTCGGTTGATTCGTAATCAGAGTCATATTCATATGGCTCATTCTCCTCGTATTCTGTATGAGATTGATAATCGGGATCTTGAGCGATGTCGTCATTCTCTGCAGAATCAACCCCGTCTGTCTCGTCGCACTGGTCTTGGACGTCTTGAGAGCTAGGCACATCCAGCTCCCCAGATGTTAGGCGGAAGATGATATTGAAGCTCACGCCGCAAAGATGGCAGTAAAACTACCAAGCTGTTAGGTATGCCTATTGAATAATACAAAACACTGTACCTCGGAATAACCTGCACACCATTGTCAGTCATAGGCTGCATTGTTTTGCGGGTAGCATTGCTATCCACGTACCCATTCGTTTGCAATTGACCAGCGCCGTATATGAGTATTTTTACCCACAACCTGCTCGACGATTCAAACACGACTAAATAGAAGGAAAAGTGCCACGAGGCTTTTCTCGTATCCGCAACCCCTTTTTGGACTAGATCAATCCTGAGGACTGTGATTGGTCAATGTACGGCTATCTGCCTAAATGCCATAGTGTTTACGGTGTGGGAATCCTTTTGTTATCCTGGAGACGTTCTGATAGGTTATTTGATGTTCAGTCAAGGGTCTATAGACTTGTTATATATATTCACATGGTCCGCAACTACATCCTTACGCGCGTCCCGCCGGACAGCATCAACATCAAATGCAGCCTTGCTGTGGAATATAGTCTCCATCTCTTCAAGGCTCTTACCTTTCGTCTCTTTCACAAAGAAAAAGACAATGATTGCCATGATGATATCCAGAATTGCATAGAAAAGGAAAACATAACTGCCCCACGAATTCATCATGTAGCGCGTCACTAGGGAGAAGAGGAAGTTAAAAAGCCACTGCGTTGAGACTGCGACCGAGGTTCCAATCTCTCGAATTCGGGTTGGGAAGATCTAGATGCTAAATTAGTGGTTGAACGGATGAGAAAGAAGGATGGTGCTATTTACCTCGGAGGTGTATGGCCACGGCAATGGGCCCCAACTGAATTGATAGATCGAGTTGGTCAAGAATATCAGAGCGACCATGCCAACACCAGCTGGAGTGGCTTTTGCATTGGGCTCTGGCGTGGTTTCCTTGACGACTGTGACGACAATGAAGCAACCAGCCATCAACAGAGCTGATATCCAAAGAGTTGGCTTACGTCCCCACATCTCGGAGAAGAACAAGATATAGATGCCAACAGTGATGAACTTCTCGGCGCCAAACAGACCAGTGATCAGAAGGGACTGGTTCGTGTTATTGCCGACCAACAGTTTGAAGAACTGAGGGCCGAAGTAGGCAAGGGCGGTCATGCCAGTGCACTGTTGACCACAGAACATGAAAACGGCGAGCAGCAGTCTGTAGCGGTTGGCGGGCTCGAGAAGTTCGCGCTTGTCGAAGCCCTCGGTGGCTCGCAGCTCTTTCTCAAGTCCAACTCGGATTTCACTGAACTCTGCCTTCACTTCGGGACCTATTGAGTGCTGATGAGCCCTGTGCCCTATTCTTGTTGTTTGGAGGGTGGATCATTACCTTGACTAGCTCGCATCCATGTCAAGCTTTGCCATGCTTCATCAAAACGACCCTTCTTGGCTAACCAGCGTACACTTTCCGGCATAACACAAAGGCCCAGTGCAAGAACTCCAGCCGGCACCATCTGGAGACCAACGGGAATCTGCCACTGCTTCGAAGAGACAGGCAGGGTGAGCTTCACGGCATAGTCAATCCAATAGCTTAGCATGACACCCAGTGCAAAGAGCCATTGCATTCCTGAACCTAGCTTGCCTCGGATTTCCTTGGGTGCCATCTCGGCGTTGTATGCTGGAACGACCGCAGTGCCTGCACCGAGACCTAGACCGGCGACAAATCGTCCAATATAGAAACAAACGAGTGAGTGTGACGGTACTACCTGTAAAATCACACCGAGACAGAATACAGTCATGGCTGCCTGGACTGTTCTCTTTCGCCCGTACCGTTCGGACACCCAGAAAATTCCTAGGGCCGAGAGAAATGCACCTACATTCTGCAAGCTTACCATCACAGCACTGACAGTTGTTTGATCCGTATAGCCGAAATCATCAACGTAGGACTTGAACTCAAGGATACCACCTGTCCATCAACTCTGTTAGCGATGGTCACCAACTGGACTTTCTCTTTCGCCTACCAACAATTCCAGTGTCGTATCCAAACAGGAAACCGGCCGTACAGACAAAAAACCCGAAGAAATATGCGCGGAAAACCCCGAGCCTGGTTCCTGACAAGCCCATGCTGTGCGATGTACCCCAAGGAAAGAAATGGTGAAAGCAAAAGACAGAAAAGGATCGAGCATCTCTCTTAAATGTCCGATCTCCAAGGGATGCTCCGATCTACAATCCAGCCTCCATATAGCACGCAACTTGTAATGTCGGATACGCCATAGCACGCCATATCAAACATGCCTCTCACTGGGGCTCAACTAGAAGACGATGCCCTATAAGAGCCAGGTGGGCACTCTACGGACTTGCTTCTTCTTTTGTTCTTTTGGAAGAGCCGTTTCTATACATTCGTCGCAGTATCTTGTAGAGCCTTGCCCACATTCCGCCAAGAAAATGAATCATCTCGGCTGGTCGTTTCGCTCGTCCCGACACGAATATCTATACTACATGTAGCATATCTGATGATTACTCGATTGGCCACATAAAGAGATAAACCAGTTCAATTATCGAGTCGTCACAGAGCTACAGGAAGTCCTCGGTATATTCAACATACTCTCGCATAAAGTCCTCCATGTTAAACTTATTCTTCAATCGCTTCTGGGATAGAATGAGATTTCCGGCTTCAAGGTACCCTTGTCGGAAGGTCGCAAACAGTGCCGGACTTCTCGTGACATGTGGAATAAAATGTTGATTATCCCCCGTCACCATGGCTCCTTTGAAAGCTTGATAAACAACATCGGGATCATGGGTCAGGTCGACTGCCTCACACTGCCCAAAGTCCAAGAGATACATCTGAACCGCGCGGTGCTGCGAATATGGCCCATCTTCTAATCCCTGGGCGTCTCTGATTGATGTACCAAGTACAAACTCCACATCGTCGCCATTAATGGCGGCACCCCAGTGTAATATTGCATATGCCTTGCCCATCGCGCTTGCAAGCGGGAGAGTTTCGATGCCAGTCTGCTCCATCGTCTCAAGGTACAAAGGGAAATTTCTCAGCGGGGTTCTGTGGTCAATGCTACCATTGGTCTTGCCGAGGTAAATTCGGGCGAGGCAGTGCTTGTTTGCAGGGTGGTTGAGGAGAGCTTCAATTTCAGTGCTGTCAAGATTCTGCTCGGGGGCGTAAATCTCAGAGATCAAGGCTGTTCGCACGACTTTAGGTAACGGGAGAATTCGTTCCATCATCACAAGATCCCCGCGCATACGGTGAGGCTGAGGAATTTTTGGTAGGATTTCATTCCAAAAAGCGCTGTTTCCTTCCCTGGAAATCAACTGGAATGGTTTCGGAACATGAACTTGACTGTTGATGAGCCGGTATTTCTCAAATGCGGCTGATGCATTACAGTGCAATATGTACTCATGACAAAGGTTAGATCGCAACATTTCGTTTCCAGGGGTTTCCTTTTTCATGGCCAACGGCTTGCCAACCTGTTCAAAGACCGCTCCCTGTAGCCCAGCTCCAATTTGATTGAGCAGCTGCAAGTGAGGCCGAGAACACGCATTTTGAAAACGGAGGCTGAAAGAAGAGGTGGTTGAAATGACGGAATTCAGACTAAGAGAAAGTTTCAAAATCTCCGAGTCGGCCATCGGGCTAAGATTTGCTGCGAGAAGTTGGGAAACCCGTGAGCTTTGGGTAATGGCCAGATCTCCCGAGTGGTTTGAGTCGTCACTCTTGTCTTCACGTGGTTGGTCCATGGTGATATCGAAGAGGTTGTTGATGCGTCGAATCGATGGAGCCTAGTTTTCACATCGAGCCACGTGCCACTGGGCTTCCAAGGCTCTTTGGGTTATTGAGATCACAGATAAAGCAGATACAAGATAGATTTCAATATCGAGCTCTGAAATTTGACGGACAATTCCTATTGGGAGTCTTAAGTCAGAGTTGTGAATTGAAGCTCTCTTTTCAATAAGTACAAACCCCAGTACTGCCTCATTTGACTCTCAAGATTGAGAATAACTTATAGATGACGGCGAGATTGTAAAGCGATGGAAATGTAGTTGACAATCAGAGTTGGGTCTTGAGACTACTCGTTGCGTTTGCTCTCCGGCCAATACGAAATCTTCAAAATGGATTTCTCATCCTTCCTTCTCATATCCTTCATCTTTCTCTATTTTTCAAGCTCTTTTCTCTTCCTTGCCACTCTTTTCTCAACATTCTGACTTTACCTTCTTCTCGTCTCTCTCTCTCTCTCTCTTCACTTGACAACTTTGTCTTCAAGGTAGACAAAACGTAGTACCTACACCTCCTACAAATGGGTCCAGCTAACTCGTGGAGTTGACAGACCACCACGATGCGTATCCCAGTCACTTCCTCAGACCATCCCAACCAGCTCCTGCGGAAGCTGGGCGCTCCACACAACCCAGACCTTCCAGTGAGCTCTGCCTTCGGTCTGGTTGGCCTCCAGCGAGGCTGGAAGCCAGGCTCTAAGACTTGGAAGAAGAATTGGAATGTGTGTATGAACGACGAGTATGACCGGCTCATCGGTGGCCGTGTGAACAGCCTCGCTACCTGGCAGGAGCTGTGTTCAAAGGTCGGAATCAAAGGCTCCTTTACCTCAATTACCCAGTGTAAAAAGGTATGCTTCTGGTCTCGAACAAATCAATATAACTCGCTTACCAGTGTATGCAGGCACTAGCCCGGGTCCACGTCAATATTGTCGATGTCCTAGATTGTTGGAACTCGGACGCCATCCCGATTAGGTTCAAGAACAAGGAGGCCCTCGCCGCATACACCCGGGCCAACAATAAGTTCTTTAGTCGACACATCGCCAAACAAGACAAGGTCCTGCGAGTTCTTCTCCGTCAGCTTGTTTAAAGAAGCTCTTTTTCGACACAGCGACATGTCACTATGAAGGCATATGATTTCAGTGGAAGTTTTTCATGGACTACAACCTCGATATTGGCAGCGATACAATGGGCGAGTTATGGATCTTGGGATTGCTGAAACAAAGACGAATTTGGCACATTGAACATCTCCAAGTGGTGATTTCCCCTCGCGATAGATAGGTCTACCATAGAATATTGTACCTGTTGTACCTTTACTGTACGCGACATGCCCCTTACGAGGTGTTGTCGTAGCTGTCTTCACTTTTTGCTTCATTTTCACCTCACTTTCCTTTTCACTTCTCTATTTCCTCACCTGTCATCTTCATGTACCACTCCTTTCTTCGGAGCCTTCACTGCCTCCTCATCTCTATATTCTGAATCAGCCCCTCTATTACCTCCTCATCAAAGTAACCAGTGTTTAATCCCCACACTTTCTGCTGATTGGTCAAGCTAACTTCGGTTATCAGCTATACATAGGTGGCCGCTGTGATGTCGATCCTGCTCACAACTTCGGATTATCCTAACGAGCTTCTGTGAAACTTCAATTCAACCTGACCCCGATCTTCTCATCAGCTTAGCCTTTTATCGTGTGTGCGCCCAACGAGACTTGTAGCCCAGCTCAAAGATTTGGAAGCGTAGTTAGGATATTTATATGGATAGCACGTACAGGCGATTGGTTGGCTGCCGAGTTACCAGCCTTGTTCCCCAGCAAACTATCCATGGATGTGCCAAAATGGGTATCGAGGATTCCTTCACGTCAATTGGCCAGCGTAAGAAGGCACGATCTTAGCCTTTGAAGATCTCATATCACTTGTCTACAACTATAGACCTTGGCCCGTGTGCACGTGAATCTCGTCGACGTGTTAAACTCTTGGAACTCGGATGCGACTCCCACTTGATGCAACAATATGGAGGCTTTTGTAGGATACAAAAAGGAAGACAAGAAGCCCGTCGAGGCATCGAAAAGCAGCAGCAGGTCCTTCAGGCTTTGCTATGCAAGCTGCTTGAATGGTGCAATGGGCTATCTTTAGAGAATTAGACACAATATCTTCCCTCTTGTGTTCCAACCGTAGCCCTCAGTAGAAGTTTGGCGTTTCTATGTGTTGTCTAACAGCCATCTCTTCCCAGCTGCAGCTTTTATAAATTTCCCAGGTATGACGTGGGTAAACACAATATGCAAGAGCCTGACATGGCAGGCGCGACTATGACAGGCTCAGTAATCTTGGTGGAAATCCCATATGTCGTCATTACCATTCCATACCCTACCACCATTCTGCAATGTTGTTTTCTCACAGCTATGCTGTCTTTGGATATCCTTTCAACGATCATAAGCCCCACGCTCAATCCGCCGAGAATGCCACATTCGACTACGTTGTTGTCGGAGGGGGCACAGCAGGTCTAACTATCGCAGCATGACGCGCAGAGCAAAGATACAAGGTAGCTGTGGAGGCAAGTGGCTCCAACGAGTACATGCATCCATTGGCTCGAATCCAGGCGTCTTCGAGTTTTGGGGTTGGTGCAGATGGCCAGGCCACGACTCCAATTGACTGGAACTTTGTCATACACGGTGTTCCGGGGGCAAATTTTTGTGATTTTCATTCCCCAAGAGGGAAATGTCTGGGCGGGTCGTAAGGGATCATGCGGAAAGATACCAGTGATATCTGCTCAGTCGAATCAGATTCGCATCCAATTTCATGATATATCAAAGGTAGGTCATCTACTGACCTTGTACTGACGGCAACGCGAGAAATTATTCTTTCGGTGGGTGCTTTTCAATCCTCACAGCTCCTGATCGTTTCTGGCATCGGTCCTGCCCAGGTGCTCAGTACATACGGAATCAACGTGATCGTCGATTTACCTGGAGTAGGTCAGAATATGTGGGACCATGTATTCTTTGATCCCTCTTACCAGGAAGATGTGCCAACTCTGGTGATGCTAAAAAAACGATTTGAGCCATCTTCTCAATCAGCTGCTGATGTGGCTTTTCGGGGGCAATTGATTCTTAACGAACCCATCGACGGACTATATCGCATTTAAGAAACTTTCCCCAGAGTCCCGCTCTGCACTTTCCGAGACCACCGAGGATGACTTGTCTTTTATTCCGAGTGATTGGCCGGAGCGCGAGGTGAGATAAATGAATTCCGCTCTGTCTTCAGAACGTCAGACTGACCGCTCAGTTCACTTAGTATATTGCAGAATCTGCATATTCGGAAACCTTTTCAAATCCATATACATAGCAGCCTCCGGCTGAGCAATGTGCTAGCATTGCTGCGGTCCTGGTGGCGCCAACCTCACGGGGAAACGTGACTATTCGTTCCACTGATACGGCAGATGCCCCAGTGATCAACCCGAATTGGTTAGGAACAGAGACAGATCAACAAGTTGCAGTTGCAGCGTACCGGCGCGCTCGTGGTTTTTTTCGTTCTGGTGAAATAGCGTCTGTCATCATTGGCGAGTGTTTCCCTGGGTCCGACGATCAGACCGATGCGGCAATATGAGATGTCATCCAAAGCACAGTGATGACGATTTACCACGCAGCTTGCACCTGCAAGATGGGTAACCAAAATGACAGTATGGCTGTGGTTGATAGTCGAGCAAGGGTGGTTGGGGTTACATGCTTGCGAGTTGATGCGAGCGCATTCCCGATCCTCCCACTGGGTCATTCCCAGTCAGCAGTTTGTGAGTGTAGCTCCGCCGTGGTGATATTCTTGCTCATTGACACAGACATGCTAGCAGAAAAGAATGCTGCCGATATCATTTCCAATGGATCGAATTGAGAATTCGTTTTTCCTACGTATACGGAGCATGGAACACTGAGTCGGGTGCGACCACTTTTCAATGAGCAGAGAAGTCGGACGTGGGAAGCACTGTCTATCCAATATCATGATATATCTTCAAAATACATTTCATTCAATCTATCAGTAGTCGCTGGGTGGACCCGTAGCCAAGAATGCAAGGCCGACTCACAATGCAGGTCGATTCAATGTGATCGGATATCCGTCTATGGTATCAAGCTTTCTAATCTTATAAAGCAATCCATTGATAATTGTTCAATTTGTGGAAATTCAAGGGGCTACCAGGCCATATGGAGAATAGTATCTCTTTTCAAAAAAAGAATTCCAAAAAAAAAAGGAATGCAAGGGAATTTCGTTAGAACCAAGTCGGACTGTATATTTACCGAATCATTAAACTTACACATAAGGGCTCTTGACTTTGTTGGTATCTGTTTTCGAAAAATTGCGGGATTCTTCCGGGGGTGGTACCCAAGTATGGAGTATTAATACTGATAGAAGTGATGGCATCGGGAAAAGAAAAGAAGATGGTACTATATGGATGTTAGCGAACCTCTATAGTGGAAACGGGCCAGCTTGAAAGGTGGAGGGCTCCTACAACTTAGGGTTTAACGACGATCGAAACAGCACCCACTGGTCAGTCTCCAATAGCACAATTCATAACTCAAGCGCCAGTGCGCCGTCAAACGTAGTACACATGTCAACGTTCGAGCAAGCCGGAGTCCCCTCAGTGGTGGGCTCGACATTTTTTGTCTGTTGCATAGTGACATCCAGATCGATTCCATGGTGTTATACACGCTCCAACCGTTCACTTCGATTGTGCAGCATGACTACATAGGATGCGCTGGCTATCGGCGGTTCTCTGGTTAAGTTCGTCGCGGCATGTCTCATAGGCTCGGGAGATATAATCTTTCCCCGGCGGCGCCAAGTGGGTTTATCTGCAGAGTAAGAAAAGGTATCATTTTGGTATTTTGTTTTCAGCTTCCAAGGATATCCAGGGGGATGGAATGTCAATCTACCCTTCCAAAGCACAGGACTCACTTTCGACCCCAGGCATGAACGTAATGCCTTGGCATTCAGGCCCTATATGATCATGTGTCCTTGCGGTCTTTTCGGCAGTCATGATCTCTGTCCCGATAATTCTGTTGTGTTTCCTGTTTCGAATATCAGAAACAGCAGTATGTTGTATGGTATTAAAAAGTGCACACTAACCGTAAATGACTAAGATCCCTCTGGGTACGTAATCACCTGTAGAGTTTCCGACGGGAAAAGAGTCAAGTTGAGGGTGGTATGTATATGAAATACCGTATTGAATACAAAAGACAAGTATAAGAGAGAGATAATATGGTATAATACCGTATAGTACAGTGAACTACCCATACGCACATGAAGATCCCCCCGTATCAGCTGACTACCCCGCAGATTCCCTTGAACCCGGTCTATATTGTTATATGTAGACCACATAGAGAGTAGTCAACTCCACGGAAAGACCAGGATATTCAGGGTTGTATAGCAATTCCAGAGGAATGCAAGTTGGGAATAAGGACCAGGGGCCAATCAAGTTGATTCTTTTCTTCTGGTATGGTGACAGGAATCTGGAAATCAAGTCCCCATACGAAGTCAACTGTCTGTACAGAGTATGAAGTAGTTCATAGCTTTATAGACAAAAGTACTAAAGCTTGGCTTATCTATGCAATTAGTAATAGTTACATGGCGACTCAGGCTTATACAGTTACAAGTGAAAGGTCTTTAGCACAGGGTTAAATATGTTCAATATATATATAATATGCCTATCTCTCTATCTCTTGATCCATACCCCCAAACTGATCAAATCGGCAGACATAAACCTATATACAGAGAACTCCGTACAATCTCAAACACTTATATCTTCCCTATCTTCCTATCAAATTAAAAAAAAAAAAAAAAAAAAAAAAAAAAAAAAGAGGTGGGAAGTACGGAGTGCGTGGTGCAGGAAACGCACAGCTCGCCAATCACCGCCCTCGACTCCTTCGATTCCCCCCATTCACCACCCTCCCTAAACATTCCCTCAACTTTTTCATTTCTCGTTTCTGTGACCTCGGGTCTCAATTTTTGATCAAGTTTCGTGTCCTTTCTCCGGTCAGCCTCCTCTGGGGTTGACGTTGTTGAAGCGCGTCGCTGTCGCGCCATTCCCCGCAGAGATACGACTTCCGTTATCCTCCGTCTAAACGTTGGGTGTTTCAGCTTGTGTCTACACCTCTGATCCCACAAATTTCACGGATTCGGGTCGACTACCGTCACTCTCAAGTTCTCGAATCGTTCTGGCCCCGACTTTTACGCCTGTGCCATGGACGGTTGATGCTACGGATGAATCAATAACCTCGATTAAGGGCACCCGCGCTGCCCAGCAGACGGTTCTGCTTGGCTAAAACATCCTTTTTCTATTCAATTTATCTTGATCCATCGTACCGTCGCCTTTCTGCCTCTACCCACTCGAATCTCCGGGTCGCCCGAGCGAGTCAGTATGGCCAGCAATGATTCCCCCAGACCACAGTTCCTTGCGCCTCCTGCCGTCACAGCGCTACGGCAGGAGGCTCGGAATATCGACCCGAAGATGGTTCGAACATTGAGCGACAATATGCGAGAGGAACGTGAGGACTTGAAAGAAGCGGCCGAACAGACATTGAACATCATTGTGGATATGGACCTGGATGGTTGCATCAAATGGGTCAGCCCGTCGTGGAAGCAGGTGGTTGGCTCATCCCCCGAGTCAGTGGAGGGACATATGATATCGGAAATCCTGTTAGGCAACAAGGATGTGTTTCGCGATGCGATCGAATCCATGAAACAGGATGATTCGCGGAGTCGTTTCATTCGCTTCGCCGTTCAGATGGGACCGGATTCGGTTCTGAAGTACTCGCCTGAACCATCACCGGTGGCTACACAGAACCAGACGGCTGGAGAAGAGTCAGACGACAGGGAGGAGTCCCAGGAGCAGGAGCAAGAGCATAATCACAATGTGCTCAACATGGAGGGGCAGGGAATCATGGTCTATGACCGAACAGACGATGAAGCTGGCCATGTGCGTATCCCAACAATGATTCGTCTATCGTTATACTAACATCTTTCGCTCACAGACCATGTGGATGCTACGACCGCTTACCGAGCCAAGAGAAGTGACGATCGATCTGCCGCCTCTACTGGTGGAGTCGTTGGGTGTTGGAGCAGAGGTGCTGGCAAATTATCTGACAGAATTGGCCGAGGCTGCAGCGACAGAACCCGATCCTGCCAAACATCCAGCCCCAACTCCCGTCCTCTGTCGCATCTGTGAACGCCAGATTACGCCATGGTGGTTCGAGAAACACTCGGATCTGTGTCTGCAGGAACATCGGGCTGAGATGGAGGTACAAATGGCACAGGAAAATCTCAATGAGCATCGGCATCTCATTGTCAAGGTCTTGGATGCTTTGGAGGCCCGACAAGGCAGACCTTTCATCGGCAACGATGGAAATCCAATACCCCTCCCTCAAGCGGAGTACAAGGGATTAGCCATCGGCCCCTCGACTTCTAGCTCTGCGCCGTCTTCCGGCCCTGTCTCAGGCAGTAATTCAGCGCCCGGCACCCCGCCTCGGTCGCGAGAGCATTCCGCCTCTGGTGCTATTCCAAATCGACCCCGCTCCTTTACAGTACGGAGACCACTGGCTCGCATTGTAGAACTCGTTCTTGACCTGTGCGATACTTCACTGGAGATTAGTATGCCGATGATAAAGGAATCTTCCCGGACAGACACAGAGGACTTCCGAACGTTGTCACCACAATCTGAATCGCGGATCTCCCAGGTTCTTCAGTGGCAGTCCCCCAGCGCCAACACTTTAGAACAAGAACAGGGCTTGGCGGCTTTGTCGGCAGACACCGAACAAGCTGCCAAGGCAAAAGTTGATGCCGTTGTACGTCATCGCAAGATTGTCGAATATGCCGAACGAATTCGCATAGAATACACCGTTTTGGTTGAGGAATGCATTGCGGCCGCACTAAGCAAAGCGGAACGCATAGCTGCTGGTCAGCTCAGCGATTCCTCGTGCTCATCCGACGAGGAAGTGGCGCCCGAGAACAATATCGACAGCAAAGTCGCCCCGGACGATAAACATAGTATTGCCGAGGAAGAGTCGCTCTCACGAATCATGAGCCACGAATTGCAACAGAAGGCATATCCAGCGGCACCTTCTCCGCGGCGACCGACATCTGCGCTGACTTTGTCAATGCGCAATTCACCAGATCGGTCTTTCCTCTCACAATCGGAACGCAGACCATCCTCGGCAGCAGTATCCACGGGTTCGAACAGCCCATTAGAATGTCCCACCCCACGATCTCATAAGAGTGCTGCAGGACTTCTGGGTACATCGCAACCTTCTCGATTGGGCCTTTCCCTAGCAGAGATCGATGCTGGCGACAGTAGCGATGGCAGTTTACCGTCTTCTGCCTTCACGGGAGCTGTCAGGACCGACTCACCTTCGTCTGAGAGGAGCTTCGATCGAAAGCGCCGGAGCCTGGTACTGCCCGGACTTTCGAGCTCCCCTCGTCGGCAGCCTTCTCCCGCTCGAGGTTCGGGCCCGCACTCCCCGTTGCGCATGCCCAAGCCCCGTATGTCTAGCGGTGCTGAAAGCCTGCCATCTCCCGTTGCATCTCCATCTACATACGCAAGTGAGTTGGCCCTTCATCACTGCCGCCACCATCGCCGACAGTCCTCGGCAAACTCTTCAGATGTTACGAAGCCACCACCCTCCCCACGCCTATCTTCGATGAGCCAGCAACAACCTCGGCCTGCCCCATTGTCTATTCGCGATTTTGAAATCATCAAACCAATCAGCAAAGGTGCTTTCGGTAGTGTCTACTTGGTGAAAAAGAAGGCCACCGGTGAGTATTATGCAATGAAAGTTCTGAAGAAGGCCGACATGATTGCCAAGAACCAGGTCACCAACGTCAAAGCCGAACGTGCCATCATGATGTGGCAAGGGGAGAGATGACTTTGTTGCCAAGCTTTATTGGACGTTTTCAAGCAAAGATTATCTTTATTTGGTGATGGAATATCTCAATGGAGGTGACTGTTCGTCACTCGTCAAGGTGCTTGGGGGTCTCCCCGAGGACTGGGCCAAGAAGTACGTCGCGGAGGTTGTGCTTGGAGTTGAACACCTTCACAGCCGAGGCATTGTGCATCGCGATCTAAAACCCGATAACCTTCTGATCGACCAAACGGGTCATTTGAAATTGACTGATTTTGGACTCTCACGCATGGGCTTGGTCGGTCGTCAGAAAAGGGTGTTGAAGAACCCCGATGAGTCTGCCCCAGACCTGCTGAAGCAAAATTCCTTCCCCCGCGCCATATCGATTACATCTTCTCGATCGGCATCATTCGACTTCCAGGCGAGCGCATCACCTGGCTCTACTCCATTGATTACCCCGGAAGTGTCCGCCAGTGCCGTCCAGCCATCCTATTTCAGCCTTAACCAAGGTGCTTCGACCCGACAGAGCTCTCGGCGAGCTTCGGGATACCGCAGCGATAGCATGGGCAGTGATGGTTTCAATGGAATGTTTCGGACGTTTTCCCTCAATGACAATGCCCACGAACCTTCTGCGTCATCACCGAGTATGTTTTCAACCAGCATGGTTGAAGAAGAGGGCCAAAGCGAGGCTGGCGAGTCTCCTCGCCTTCAACCCCTGCAGCCAACATTCAGCAATCCAATGGCGCAGAATACTCCTCCCCAGCAGAGCATGATGCCTCCAGTGATGGCTCTTTTTGACCCCGAAGATCACGATCGCCGTTTTGTCGGCACCCCTGACTACCTAGCCCCGGAAACTATCAACGGTGTTGGGCAAGATGAGATCAGTGACTGGTGGTCACTAGGATGCATCATGTTTGAGTTTATCTTTGGATACCCACCTTTCAACGCGGATACTCCAGATCAGGTCTTTGATAACATTCTCCATCGCAGAATCAATTGGCCTGACGACCCAGAGGAGTATACTTCAGCAGAATCATTGGATCTCATGAACAAGCTCATGACTCTCAATCCTCGCGACAGAATTGGAGCCAATGTGGAAGAGAAGTTCCCGAATGGCGGCGCAGAGATATGTAGTCATTCTTGGTTTTCTGATATCAATTGGGATACGCTGCTAGAAGACAAAGCGCAATTCGTCCCCAACATCGAGAACCCGGAGGATACCGAGTACTTCGATGCCCGTGGCGCTACTCTTCAGGCTTTTGCAGAGGAGTTAGAAGATGAGAACTCGCCGCAGCCATCAGTCGCCGCTGGTCCTGACCGGCCTCATGACGCACTGTTCAAGGTCCGCTCCCAAGTCAACTCGTCAAAACGACCATTTATGCCGCTTCACATTCCTCCTCATGTTCGTGATGCTCGGGATTCACGAAGTCGAAGACTAAGCGAACCGGCTTTGGCCGATGATTTCGGCAGCTTCAACTTCAAGAATCTTCCGATGCTAGAGAAGGCCAATAAAGATGTAATCCAGAAGATGCGCCAGGAGGCTCTGCAGGCGCAGCACCGACAATCTAATGGATCGTCGGCCGCTCAAACGTCGGCCACTTCATCCCAGCCCTCATTGGAAGGGAGCCCGCTGCCCATATCACTCCAGCGAACTTTGTCACAGAACAAGGGCAATAATCGACCTTCTTCCCCATCAGGCCTGAGTCAGACAAACTCATCCCCCAGCAGGCCATCCCAGCCATCTTCTCCCCTCCTAGTTCAGTTCAGCACTGGGGCTAACCACGAACGGCGCAAGACGTCCGGCTCCTCGTCAGCCTCTCACCAATCAAATGGGGCATTCCAACCTTCCTCTGCTGACCAGGGCCGTATGCCCAATCTGAGACTAGGCTCAGTGGCATCCTCTCCTGTCAAGCCCAACCGAATCCCAGCCCATTCGCCCGATAAGACGGGCAACAACCAACGCCAGGGCAGCGTCCCAGCAAGCCGTACCCGATCGCATACTATCGGCTCCCAGGATGGAGAAGCGTCCTCGTTCCCAAAAGAACCTTTCGTGCCGCATCACCACAAGCGCCGGAGTCAACTCTTTGATATCTCACCTTCATCTTCTGACAATGAGGATCCACGTACAAAAGCACTCTTGAAGGTCCAACGTCGGAGACAAAGTTCTCGACGGTTATCACAAATCAACATTCTAGAAGGGCCCTTTTTCCGGCCATTGGACGTGCTCATTTGTGAAGACCATCCTGTCTCGCGGCTGGTCATGGAACGCCTGTTCGAAAAACTTCGCTGTCGAACGATTACGGTTACAAATGGCGCAGAGGCTGTCAGATACGCTCTTAGTGAGGTTCAATTCGATATAATCATGACTGAATATCGACTTCCTCAAGTCAACGGGGTTGACTTTGCGCGAATGGTGCGCGAGACGCGCAGCGCCAACAGACATACCCCGATCATTGCTGTTACAGGCTATTTGAAAGATCTTCCGGAGAATCACAATTTCGATGCCCTGATCCAAAAGCCGCCGACTCTACCCAAGCTCACCGAGGCGCTTTCCCAGTGGTGCATGTGGAAACCTCCTCCACCGGACTACAATCCCTCCCAGCCTGTTCCTGCTCCGGGCTCTGGTGCTCGGGCTACAGCCGTGACAACCGAGGACAGTCCTAGTTCCACATCCTCTGGGTTTGTTCTCAACCCCCCAGCTCTTACCGCGGGTCCAGCCGCGATGATTCCCTCAGCAGCAGCGTATTTGGAGATATGGAGTCTTTTAAGTCCGATGAGATCCCAGTAATCATAAAGCGAAATTCAGATGATTGGGATCAGGGCCACGGTGGATTGGGGATCTCTGAAGAGCCAGCAGAACACCCTAGTAGCCCGAATTCCAACCCTGTGCCTGTGCCTCACCTTCTTCATGCTGCCTCAGCACCGGCGGCCATGGATGCAGCTGGGGGCTCACGCCCCGGAGGCAGCGGTCAAGCGAATCCATACGTGCCAAACGGGAATCCCTCGAGAAGAAACGGTATGAGGGTGCGGAATCGGGTGACGATGAAGACGAAGAACTTGGCAATTCCCAAACACGTCGCAGCCCACCCTCTCGAAATCGCCGTCCCGGCTCTAAACTGGGGATTGAGATGATGCGGACCAACAGCCGAGGCAGCGTTGTCAGTGGCAGCGAGGAACTCCTGAAGAAGGAGAGGGAGGCTCTTCGAAACCAAGCCTCCGCCGACCACGAAGGCAGCGATGGCTCTTTGGGTTCTCCGGTTAGCACGAGTCTAGAGGATCATTTTGAGGCCCTCAGTATTCCCGAGGAATCGGAAGGCGAAGAGTCAGTCAGTCCCGGTGCGTCCTCTCCAAGGTTTGGAGCATCTGCGTCTCAGCCTCATCGGCCCTCTCTGGTACATCAGGATACCTCGATCTACTCCGGACCTTCCCGGCGTCGTACATCGAAGACGAGCTCGCCACCGTTGAGTCAGGGCCAAACCACACCCCCGTGGGACCTGCCCCAGAGCAACATCTCCCATCAGACTAGCCTGCCCATCACCCCTGAAGTCAAGATCTCTGGCAACACGGTGACCCGGGACGCTGATTCAGGCGTGGATGCCGACTGTAGTCCCACACCGGACGCTGACGCGACCCCACGACCTCTTCATCCTTCTCCCAGCCTTGACCCGGAGCAGACGCCTCGTCCAGTGGAGCGTAATCGCTCGGACTTGAGCTTCACATTCAAAAGATAGACGCCGTGTTGTTTCATTTTTTTTTCGGGCAAAAGCTTCTGCCACATTGCGATATCTTTCTATTCTGTCTACATATTGTCTTCCCTGTAATCTTTCCTGTGTTTATTTACTGTCTGGATTACATTATCACATCCACCCTCTCATGTCTCTTATGTCTGAATGTTTTCTTTGTCTTGGAGCAAGGTGTTCCGGTCTCTTTTTTTCCTCGCCATCGGGGACTTTTTTTTTTTTTTTTTTTTTCCGCGGCGACAATAGGCTCTCATCCTTTTGACTAGTGATTGAAATTACATCAGCTTGACGCTGTTTTCTTTTTTTTTTCTGATACGTCTCTGTATAGGCAATGATTTTGATGTTTCTCTTTTACCGGACTAGGGTATTTGTGTCTGTTGTGCAATATAGGGTCTCTCATGTAGTGCTTCACAGCCACCGTCCGCATCAGACCGATGATTTCGATGACGAGTTATGATTGGACACTCGCGATGATCTCACTCCTAAAGAAGAGCTCGGTTAATGGCCTTTCTCTTTCTATTTTCAGATGCTTGGCATATTGTGGGGCCAAGAAGTTCCTGAGACATTCAATTTCTCACCGTGAGGATGTTGTACTCCATACGGAGTTGGAGAGAATCACTCCATGCAGAATTGTACACTGGAATCCACGTCATGGTTATATCACCTATGAAACACCTGTAGACATTTTTCATTGGTCTTATATTGTATGGACGCGGTGACATATTCCGTGCATAACATGGACACAAAATTGTAGGCCCTTGGCGGTCTCCGTGATATTAAGCATTAAGCCACTAGAGTATAGAATACCTAGTACGGAGTACGGAGTACTTCATACAATATATGTATCATAAGTACTTTCTATCCATAGGCTTTACGATATAGGGGATTGACAGATGTACCGAGTACAAGAAAGAGATTCCGTCGCCACCAGGTGGATCGACAAAACGTTGGCGCACCGGTCGCGAAGATAATTGGCCGGGGATTGCGTATGCAACAAAATACTTGATTGCCGGTAGAGCATAGTGGGAATAGTGGAATAGTGGGAATAGTGGAATAGTGAAATCGTGAAATAGTGAAATAGGGAGATTGTGAAATAGGGAGATCGTGAAATGGTGAATGGTGAATGGTGAAATGGTATAAAAGTTGAGCCAACAGACCTCCGTAGAGAGTACAAGTAAGATGTATGATACCCCTATTTCTCTCCAATTTGAAATGAAAGGAAATTGTCCATCTCCATAAAATAGATCGAGATCTTCATAAAATCCAACGAATCCAGAGGTCCAGACTATGCGCTGTACTGGATCCTCCACTCCAAGTCTCGCTGTCTCTTCTCTTGCGTATCTTCTGTGTCTGTCCCTTCTGTCTCTACCTTATACCTAATCTCTTTTCCTTTTGATGTTGAAACCCCTATAATATACCCCTCGCCACATTCCAGCCAAATCCTTCCCTCTTTCTAATTGGCCCGGTGCCGGTATGTCGTCTCCCGTCGAGGAACGCAAAACATACGAAAAGGACAAGCGAAAGGACGCGGACAACTCTCCCACTTCCGACGATGGAACCTGTGTCACCGAGCCCGACACGGATCGTAACGCCGGTCACTTGAAGGTGGACACAAGTTATGCTCACGATGAGCAGCCGCCCATGCGCACACCCTCCGCCCGCCGGGAACAAGCTACTCGTCTGGACGATGACTTGATGCTTCTACAAGCGGAGCGTATGACATCGCATTCGACCGGTGTCCCGGATGATGAACACGATCGCAATTCCATTAATCGCGCCCGCTCGCGTCGCTCCGAGAACGTGGATGAGTTCGATGAAGCCACCAACCCCCTACACGAAAAGGCGGCAATTTACAAACCTCCCGAGAAACCAAACACCCAGATTGCCGTCTTTGTGAAGAAATTGCACCAGTCGAGTTTCCTCGTCCGCTACTTGACCTACATTGCCCCCTGGTCCTTATCCTCTTGATCCCGTTGCTGGTCGGCGCTCTCAAGTATCCCAATGCCAGTGTGGGTGGTGTAGAGTTGATGTGGTTTTCGATTTGGTTGGAAATTGTCTGGTTGACTCTCTGGGCAGGACGAGTGAGTTCAATAAATTTGTCCCCTTGACGATTCTTGGCTGATCAGTTCCATCTTGTCCCCCTCTAGCTTGTTAGCAAGTGCATGCCTCCAGTGGTTGGACTTCTTGCTAGTGTATTTACCAATAATGCGAAAAAGTGGCGCGACATGGCCAAACAGCTCGAGCTTCACGCAGCGCTCTTTTTCTGGTGGCTCGGCGTCGAGATTTCCTTTCTGCCCACCATGAAAAATCATCATGTGAATGGTGATAAGGGGAGCAGGGGCTGGGAGATCACGCTCAACAAAATCATCATTGTCATTTTCGTGTGGACTATCCTGAATTTCATCGAAAAGATCCTGATCCAATTGATTGCCATCAGCTTCCATATGCGGACCTATGCCGACCGCATTGAAATCAACAAATTCCAGATCGGCAGTCTGACCAAGCTGTACGACTGGTCTCGATCCACTCTCGCCGAGAAAGATGATGCGTTTGAGGAGAAGACCGAGGAACCAACTCCTGCAGGCGTCAAGACTCCGTTGCACTATGCCGGCGTGGCCCAGCGGAAGGCCAAGGGTGCCTTGAACAAAGTTGGAAACCGCGTTGGCGATGTCGCAGGTGCAGTAGTGGCGGATGTCACTGGTCGTACAGCCACTCGGAGCACCGATGCCTATCAGGTCATTTTGGCGCTTCTTCGAACTACCGGAGGCTGTCAGGTATTGGCGCGTCGTCTGTATCGCACCTTTGTGAGAGATGGGTTTGAGACCGTTTTTGGTGGTGACCTGAAAGCCGCATTTGAAGATGGCGAGGAAGCCGAAGCTGCATTCGCCATGTTTGATCGCGACATGAATGGTGATATCTCTATGGAGGAGCTGGAGGCCGTTTGCGTTGACATTGGTCGTGAGCGCAAGTCCATCACTGCATCTCTGAAGGATTTGGATTCGGTCGTCTCGAAATTGGATGATGTCTTCATGTTCTTCGTATTTGTGATCGTGCTGATTGTGTTTTTGTCGCTCATCTCGACCTCCGCCGCCGGTGTGCTCACTTCTGCGGGCTCTGCTATTCTGGCTCTATCTTGGTTGTTTTCTGCTACTGCCCAGGAATTCCTTCAGTCGGTAATCTTCGTCTTTGTCAAGCACCCCTTCGATGTTGGTGACCGTGTGACCATCTACGGCAATTCTGGTGATTCTGGTCTTGGTGATGATTACTTTGTGAAGGAAATCACTCTTCTTTACACCGAGTTCAAGAAGATGCAAGGCCATGTGGTGCAGGCACCAAACAGCTACCTGAATGGGCTCTTCATCCTCAACCAACGCCGCTCCGGCGCACTTGCCGAGGCAGTTCCAATCATTATCAAGTACGGCACCACCATCGACCAACTCGACGCCCTGCGACAGCGGCTCTTGGAGTTTGTGCGCAGCGAAAAACGTGACTTCCAGAACAACATTCTGACTGAAATGCGTGCGGTCACGGAGAACTTCTCGCTCACGCTCAACATCGTCTTCTTTTACAAATCCAACTGGCAAAACGAGGGTCTACGTCTGCAGCGCCGCAACAAGTTCATCTGTATGCTAATGGTGGCTCTCCAAGAGATCGGCATCGAGGGCCCACGCATGAACCTCCAGGGTGCCAAGTTCGACATTCCCTTCCATGTCAGCAATGGTACCACACGCGCTCCCGAACGGTCTGCAATCGATGCCGACGTCGAAGAGGTCCCGATCTCAGGCGAGTCCCACCATCTACCAGAGAATACCGGAACCAGCAGCAGCAGCGCTGCCCGTCACCCATCGATTCTTCGCAAGGGTATGCACACTGCCAACGCCCGTGCCCGCGGCCCGTCTGTCTCCCAACGCAAGCATGTCGATTTCTCCTTGGGTATGTCCAACATGGCATCCAACGATGTTATGGGAGATGTGTTTGAGGATCGTGGTGTGGTCGTGGAGGATGTCGTTCGTACCGCCAACCGCGACGCCGCTGAGCGCCGCATCCAGGAAGAGAACGAGGACGAGGAGGAGCGCCGGAGTAGCCGCACATCTTCCCGGAATCGTCGCCCCTCTAACATGAGCGTTCCCTCCAATAACGACGCCGGTCGCCGGTCGAACGACGCCCACAGCTTCCGTAGTGGCCAATCGTCGCTCAGTCGCAACCGCTTCTTCCATCACCGCAGCAGCATGAGTCACGATCGGGACGACTTGATGGAGCAAGGCCGCTTTGCGGAGCCTACTCCGCCTCCACCGGCCGCGGTCCATGGTCTCAAGGAGCACCCCAATTGATTTGAGATGTGATCGTTTCAATCTTTCATTGATATCAGATATCATCTTCTCTGAACATTCTGTGTCATCTTTTCTTTCCTTTCTTCACACATGACGCACTATACATCGACAGAACTTTGTGTTTCTACTATACATATATCCCTATATCGGCCTTACAGCTCTTGTTTATTATTTGACCTATCTCTCATACATAACATTTAGGTTGAGTCTTGGTGACTCGATCAATAAAAATCTTTCTTTTCCGTTGAACCATCTCATTTCAGCAAGTTATCAAACGAATACATTTCCTCCAGCTCATCTCTCATACGACATGTACACTCAACTGCACTCTGTGGACCAAACACGATGGTATTGGGATGTCTTAGGCGTCCATCTCGTGAGAATCCCAACTTCCAAGAGTTTACAGCTTCTCAATGCATTGATCTCGAATTTCGTATGAATTTTCATTCCACACGAGCGCTTGATATCCGAAACTCTGGGGATTCATTCTAGACCACGTTTCCACCACTGATCATGTTTTAAATGCATGTCTCATAACTGCACATGGAACAGCGGGACGGTCCAAAAGGTTGTCAGCATGGGGGAGGGCTCAATCAGCCAATTTCTATGTCAGATTCCTCAGTGGATGAGGTCCAGCTTGTCACCTTGACACGGTTAATACAACTTTCAATTCGAAGCGACCAGCAGGTATGTTGGAGATCTGACTACTTAATGGACGATTTTGTTGTCTCACAGCCTGTTTTAGTATGAACTGGGGAAGAGAAGCCATGATGCAAGCCATAATCAATGATTATGCATCTTAGACAGTCTCCTTGATGCATCGCTTGCGAAAAAGTGAGGGATTTGACCATATGTCTGACGAAGCAGGCTCAAGCTGTGTTTTAGGACCTGTACTTTGTTAAGCAAGCTGAATGGTGAGCCTTTTATGGTGTCTGTTGAATAGTATAGAAGGCTTTCGTGTGAGTTTCCAACAATGTGACATTTCGAGACCAATGCAACGATCTTGATAGTAGAAGTCCATAATAGCTTGAATTCTGTCTATCTTGAGACAAGCTGGGTTCCAACATAGTTGATGTTGTGAGTCCTGTGTTGCTTCCACGTCAAAGAGATCTGCCTGTTTTTGTCCCCCAAACTTCTCTTACACACTTCTCTCCCCAACTTCTTCCTTTTCTCATTCCAATTTCTACTTCTGATAGGTGTCAGTACTGTCAACCATGCGAGGCGAGGTATGTATACTTTACCATTCTGCTTTCGATCATGTTGACGGGTTCAAGCTGTCTATACACTTCCCTCCCCATCTCTTTGGCTCCTATCGACCCAATTACCAAACGCAAGGAAAAAGAAGAGACATTAATGTTGACCTGCATCTACCAGATCTGTCATTTACACATTGGCCAGGCTGGCACGCAGCTTGGTAACGCTGCCTGGGAACTGCACGTCTCTTCATTATCTCGTATTCCCTACATCATCGCTGATCAAGTTGCAACTCAGGTATCTACTTGAACACGGTCTGAGGCCCGATGGATTCATCGACCCCAATAGTACTGATGAAGCCGCAAAAAGCGGATCTTACGAGACTTTCTTCACTGAAACTTCCAGCGGCAAATATGTTCCCCGTTCCATCTTCGTTGATCTTGACCCATCGGTATGTGACGGACCGTAAAATTGCCAAAAGACTCCACAGCTAAACCATCGTGGTAGCCCATCGATGAGATTCGGACCGGCACTTACCGTGATCTTTTCCGTCCCCAGCAGCTGATTAGTGGGAAGGAGGATGCTGCAAATAACTGTACGAACTCATCACCATGTGGATGGAAGGTGCATGAGGACCTAACATGCAGCAGATGCTCGGGGCCATTACACCGTTGGAAGGGGGATTTCTGCAGAAGTGATCGAGAGCATTCGTTATGTGACTGGTACGAAATTACGAAGTTGACCGCGGTGTATCACTGCTAATTTCTTGACAGAGAACTGTCAGTCCCTCCAGGGCTTCTTGATTTTCCACTCCTTTGGTGGCGGCACAGGGTCTGGTTTTGGTTCACTGTTATTGGACCATCTGACCAGCATGTATGGCCGCAAGTCCAAGCTGGAATTCTCAATCTACCCTTCTCCGCGTACGTCGACTGCCGTCGTCGAGCCCTACAACGCCGTCCTCTCAACCCACAGCACCATTGAGAACTCCGACTGCACCTTCCTAGTTGATAATGACGCCGTGTACGATATATGTCGACGCAACCTGGATATCCCTCGTCCTGGATATGAGCATCTGAACCGTCTCATTGCTCAGGTAGTGAGCTCCATCACTTCCAGCTTGCGATTTGATGGTGCACTCAACGTCGACTTGGCCGAGTTTCAGACCAACCTTGTCCCATACCCGCGTATCCACTATCCCCTGATATCGTATGCTCCAGTGATCAGTAGCCAGCGCAGCTCGCACGAAAGTTTCAAGATTCAGGATCTCACTTTCCAATGTGCGTGAAAAGTATTCCAATTAGTGAGAGTCTTCTGTTAACTCAGTCATAGGCTTTGAACCCAATAATCAGATGGTGAATTGCGATCCACGCAAGGGCAAGTACATGGCTGTGGCTTTGCTCTACAAGGGTGACGTTGTACCCCATGACTGTACTATGGCTGTGCATGCTCTCAAGACCAGGGGTACGTTCAGTCTGGTGGAGTGGTGTCCTACCGGATTCAAGTTGGGTATCAACTACCAGAAGCCTGTGCGTCGACCCAACGATGAACTTGCCCCTGTCGACCGTTCGGTAAGCATGCTGTCAAACACCACCGCTATTGCTGAGGCGTGGAGTCGTCTCGATCACAAGTTCGACCTTATGTACTCCAAGCGTGCATTTGTCCACTGGTACGTTGGTGAAGGGATGGAGGAAGGTGAATTCTCCGAAGCTCGTGAAGACCTCGCGGCACTTGAGAAAGATTACGAGGAGGTGGCTGAGGACAGCACCCCAGAAGGGGTGGAGTATTAACTTGATTACTCTGAAAACTACCTGGTATCTTGTCTTGTTGCTCTCTAGCCAACATTGACATGATTCTCGATCTGTCCGAGCATAACCCGCACTCTTTTTCTGTAATGCCTATTCTTCGTCCACGCTCTTCTGCGGATGTGTATTGGACCGACCATGTGCCGAAATCGATTGACCAATGGAGGGATAGGTGGGAAAGGATATCAAAAATAAGAACAAAACAAAATCAGATTGAAAAATCAAATATCAAGTCTATGAGTATTGCCTGACTTCTCGCCTTGTTCTATAAAAACCTTTCAACCTTTTGGTGATGACGCCGTCAAATGCTCCATGCAAAATTATTACTAGTGATACAAGTTGAAGATCGTCTTCAACTGTCAGCTCCGACATTGAGCTCCCGAAGGGCTTTCAATGCATGCTCATAGGTCCACATTGTCACTGCACTTGCGGGTGCTGCCTTGAGCAAACTGACTGTCAAGCCGCGGTACAAACCACGCACGCCCTGGGTGCGAAAAATCATGGCAATACTTTGAAGAACGCCCTTGTACTCCGGGATATTCCGATGAATGTAGCGGGTTCTTGTTGGGCCCTGTACCTGCAAGCGCTTTCGCACCAGGTCAAGCGGAAAGACACCCGTCTTAGCTAGAACACTGGCCACAACACCGGCTGCGGCATCCCCTGTACCGAACGGCAAAGCATCCCAGGTCATGACTGGTCTGACCGCCTCGTACGTTGTGAAAAAAAGTCCCATGTATGGCACAATTTGTGCCACAGCGGCAGAACATCCCCTGTAAAACCCCGGTATGCCCTCATGGCGAGCGATCTCCCCGATTGAGGCGCGCAGCGAGCCATAAATACGGTCTGGGCCTTGTGCAGCGAATCGCGTGCGGAGAAGGTCAAGCGGGTATGTTACCCCCGTGGCACATCCTCCTGCCACAGCACCTGAGAGGAAGGACTCGACAGGTTGGGGTAGTCGGTAGGAGCCGAGTTGGGCGAGGGCTTGGGTTGTTCCCCGATACGCGGTAAATTGCATGGCGCCGTAGCAGACATACATCATTTCGGCGGGGATATTGCCCTTCCAGAGGCCCTGTGGAAAGAAAAATAAGTTAGGATATTGAGATTTACATTTGAGGAGCAACGTGTTCTTTTCAACGTACTGTGATTCCCTCTTGCTTCATAATCGTCCGCATGGTGGACAATGTCCCCTTATAGACAGGCCCCTTGACATTGAGATGGGAGGCAGGGTCTGACAACGAATGTATTTGCAACTGCAACCTAATCTTCACGACGTCCAGCGGTGCAATACAGAACCGTGATATCAGCCCTGCAATTCCGCCGGCCAATACGACCTGCCGCTTGGTGCCTTCATCTTTGAGGTGTTCGCCCCCGGCCGACATGAGTGAGTGTTTCCTCTTACAGACTCGAGATGTCTGTATCAGTGGGTTATAAGAGAATTGAATTATGAAAACCCATATTGCATTCGTTAAATTCTTGGAATGTGAAAAACAAAACAACGTCAATTGTCCATTTACGTAAGTTCCGGGCACCGCCCGAGCGATGTCATTGAGAAGAATGACAGTTCTGCCTGAGGTGTTCATGAGAGCCTGAGGTATAACATACTGCCTTAGGCAGATCATCAGGTCCACGGGGAGCCGAGGTAATTATAGCTCCACTCCACCTCCATTCCATTTGTCCCGGGTGGTCAAGGTAAATTTCCCCTCCATCTCTCCCTTTTACTGATCGTCGCTTCTTGACTGGTTACAGGCACTTCATGTTTCGTCTCCGAACTTCAGTTACTCGCTGGCAAGTGCCATCAGCCTTGCCATGCTCTACCCCGCGCCGTAACTTTATAGCTGCCTCCAGTAGGCTCAACAGCTCGGTAGAGCCAGAATGTCGTGAAAAGTTGGAACCTAGTGCTCCGAAAATTGAAAGTCTACTGTCTACACCAGAAGAATCCAGCAATCCCAAGGGCGATATACAAAGCTCCATCACCCAAGTGGTTGGAAGAAGCAATCGCGCGAATGGCGTCCTTCCAAAAGTGGGCAAAAAAGGGTCGATCTGGACCGGAAAAGAGGAATTGTATCTGCATTTGGACAGGGGAACAACAATCAAATTGCCATATACTTATCTGCGAGATTCATGCCAGTGTGGATCGTGCAAGGATCAACACTCGAAGCAGCGCTCATTCCGCACAAGTGACATCCCAAAGGACATTTCTCCAAGCTGGGTCAATTGGGATGGGAACAAGCTTTCAATTAGGTGGGCCAAGGACATTGGGGAGTCGCAGACTGCACATGAATCAACCTGGGACCGTGACTTTCTCAGAACCCCCATTTTCAACACTCATCGTCAGCACTCGAACCGGAACTCCAAACCAATCATGTGGGGACGGGCCCAAATGGAAAGAAGTCAACATTGGGTGTCTTACTCGGACTATATCGCCGATGATTTCAAATTTGCCATAGCTATGCAGCAGTTAGAGCGCCTGGGCCTCATTTTTGTGAAGGATATTCCAGACTCACGATCGATGGTTGAAGCCATTGCAACACGGATGGGACCGCTACGAAACACATTCTACGGATCAACATTTGACGTCCGCACCGTTCCGCAGGCGACGAACGTTGCATATACAAACCAGTTTCTTGGATTTCATATGGATTTGATGTATATGAACGAGCCACCGGGATACCAGCTCCTCCACTGTCTGGAGAACTCATGTTCAGGCGGCGAGTCGATGTTCGCAGACACATTTTCGGTTGCAAAAATCATGAGTGAGAGATATCCAGAAGATTATAAAGTGCTTCGTGAGCAGCGGCTGGGATACGAGTATAGGCACGAGGAACATATTTATTACAATGAACGACCCGTCTTTGAGCATGACTCCGACACAGGTGACCTGCGCCATGTCAATTACTCGCCCCCCTTCCAGTCTCCCCTGCCATCACGCGATGAAAAAGACCATGATGCTGGATCAGTGAACAAGCTGCGAGACGCCCTGGCGACGTTCGCTTCAATTATTGATAATCCGAAGCACACCTTTGAGCTCAAGCTTAGTCCGGGCGACTGTGTCATTTTTGACAACAGGCGAACCCTCCATGCCCGCCGCCAATTCAATGCCAGCACAGGATCTCGTTGGTTAGCTGGCGCATATGTGGATACGGATGCTTTGCTATCCCGCTTTTCCGTCTGTAAGCATAAATATCCACATGTCTGGGCAAAAAAAGCCAAGAAAGACTTGGCGGCCAGCAGCAGAGACGATAATCAGGAAAGAAGTGAAGCATCAGAAGCAAGAGGTGAAGGGAGTGGCTGAAGAGGAACGCAGAAGATCGAGTGAGAAGCAGAGATTGATCGGATTCGTGACAACAGCACAGAAGATACAGGAAAAGGATAAGCCAGTTCAAAGGACAAAGATCAATTAACCAAATATTGAATCCCGCGAGTTGGCACGATTACCTCCGCTCTCCCAGATGATTGTATTATACGAATGCCAAATATTGCTAGTCTGGAGTGTTGTACATATAGGGAACGATACGTTGTAAATATAATGTGTTCGTATTTCGAAAAACTGAGCACAGCTTTAGTGCAATCTCTCAACACAGTCATTGGGCTACAGGGTAGATCAAACTGCCAATGCAAGCTTCTCGAAGAGGATGTGTTGAATCCGTCATGGTCAACAGGAATGATCTGTGACAATGGATTGGTTTGATTCAATGCTGCTTATTCCAATCAAGAACATGTCCCGCAACGAGGCAGATATGATCCATAGGATTAGGCATGCATGTAAGCCACATCAAGACAAAAACGTTTATCATTATGTTAAAATTTTAGCATCTATCCCCAGAGACAGGGGGTCATGGGTATCGTGCAACCAGTAACTCAAGCAGCCGCGGTGGGCTTACTGACTGAGTGATCAGTGAGGAAATCGGGGTCGTTGTTGATTTCCTCGCGGACCTGTACCATTGAGTTAATAATTGACCCAAATCACCAGACCAGGGTGGAACACGTACAATATCCAATCCACCAACCAATTCACCATTCACCCACAATTGAGGGAAAGTGGGCCACTCAGCGTACTCCTTCAGACCCTGTCGCACATCCTCATCGGCCAAAATGTTGAAGAATCCGTACTTAACACTACGCTCGCGTAGAATACCAACCAGCTGCCGACTGAATCCGCACTGTGGGTTGCTCGGAGTTCCTTTCATGAACAGCATGACAGATGCTGCCTTGACCAATTGTTCGAGGCGGGCAAAGAGTGCCTCCCGGGATTGTTCGGGTGTCAACGCTGGGGCAGACGCAACAGGGGTTGCGTTCGCCGCATCAGCAGAAGGGGGCTGCGAAGCGGTAACGGGAGCTTGAGTTGCAGTGAGGGGACCGTCCTCACGAGGAACAGCAGACAGCGGTGGGGGAATGTTAGCCTTCACACTGTCCATGGGGCCGACGGCACCCGCAACATTTCCGCGGCCGGCGTGGCGCTCGACAGCGTCACGAACCTTCACGGCGTCACTGCCGCTGATTGATTCCAAAATATGGCCGCTACGTAGGCACACGACGAATGGCACGGCAGAAACGTCATATTCCTCCGAAATATCAGGCAGCTCCTCCGCGTTGATGCTGACAAACGAGATGGTGGGCGGGGCAGTGGCGGGGTACTGCGAAGCGAGGGCTGAAAGCACTGCACCCATTTGGGCGCAAGGAGCAGCCCATGGAGTGTGGAAGTATAGGACGACCAAGGCAGACGGTGATAGGGAAGAAAGATGCGACGAGAAGTCGGCCTCAGATGTGATTTCAGTGAGTGTCGACATGGCGGAGTGCGAAAGGTGAATGCAACGACTGGAACTGGCAGAGGCCGGAATCAAAGAACAGATGTATCACTCGAAGAAACGGTCAGACAAGCGTCAAAATGAGGCCAACGTTGAGAAGTGACGAAGACGTGTCAGAGGAATGGCGTGATGAATACCGAAAATAAGCCCCCTGCACGGCGATCCCAGATTTGCCGGTTATCAGATCGTTCGGCGTCTCTGGCGTCTCTTGTGTGCCGTATGTAAGGCGGAAAAGAAATTTGCCGGGGTGTGATATCCAAAATCACATGATACCAATCTGCCAGAGCACGTGATCTTATCGCTTATCATCATGAACCTTTTTCCATGTTGTGATTTCAGCCAAGGAACTGCACGACCGAACATTGGAGTCAACATGGGACGAGAGAAGAAGAGAAAGCTTAGCCCAGATGACCCAATGGGTCAACCCACACCTCAGGGATTCGGCGTGGGCGATACCTTGTCCCGCTTGCAAAGCGATAACCCGAGCAGCGAAGGTCCGAATGAAAGCCGTGCGTCAAAGAAGCGCAAAAGAGTTGATGGCGAGAAAGTCAAATACCCAGACCTTACATACGCCAATGGAAAACTACAGGCACCTATTCGAATTGCCGATCTCCAGGGATTGCTGCTCTATTGCTTCGCTGATGGGATCGCGCCCCAATGGATCTCCATGAAGCATTCTGGCCATGTGCGCAAGGTGGTTGTACTGATGGCACCTGGCCTAGAAATGGGCATGTTTGATGGGACAATCTCCGTGGAGCGAGAACCAGCCACCGGAGGGCAAGATACTACACAGGAAGCCAAGTCGGATCACCTGGGAGCCGAGGAGGAGTCCAAAGACGAACGCGCAGCGGACTACGAGCGATGGAAACAGGGCCTCCCATTGCCAGACCGCTCGCATCGCTTCAACCCTCGATCTCTCACACGCGAAAACCTCCCCAAACCACTTCAGCCGCTGGCCGACATGTTTCCTCATATCTGGCCTGTCAAGGCACCCGGAGACAACAAATACAACAAGGTCCACTCGCCACTGCAAGCCATTCTCATGTCTTCGCCCCCAAAGACCAAAAGCGATGACTCCCGTAAGGGCGCGCGGCCCGCAAAAGTCGAGAAAGGCTTCCAACCGAAAAGAACACCAATCACGGCTTTTGTCACTTCACGCGAGGATCTCCTGGAAAACGATTTTATTCTGCATCCTGTTTTCTTCACTTCTGATGACGAAAAGACCTCCCAGGTGGAGGCTCGTCAACGAGGCGGGCAATCGGCGGAAGATGGATGGGTGGATACTCAAGTTCCAACTTTGGAGTCTGCTCAACCACCTGATACTGAAATTGAAAGCGGTAGCGTCACTGTTGGTCGGGACGTCTTTTCACTGGACTGTGAGATGTGTCTTACCGAGGGGGGTCAGTCCGAACTCGCACGCATCAGCATGATTGGCTGGAATGGCGAAGTCGTCCTAGATGAACTGGTGAAACCAGCCCGGCCGGTAATCGACTACCTGACGCGTTACTCTGGGATCACCCCAGAAATGCTGGAACCAGTTACTACGACTCTTGGTGATATTCAGCAACGACTCCTGACTCTTCTCACGCCGCGTGCGATCCTCGTGGGACACTCCCTCAATTCAGACCTTAACGCACTCAAACTTGTCCATCCTTTCATCGTCGACACCAGCATCATTTACCCACACCCGCGTGGTCCGCCACTAAAATGCAGTCTAAAATGGCTCACCCAGAAATACCAAAACAAGCAGATACAGACCGGAATGGCCGGGCATGACTCGATCGAGGATGCCCGTGCTGTCCTTGAACTTGTGAAGTTGAAGTGCGAGAAAGGCGAGCGATGGGGCACGAGTGAGGTTTCCAACGAGAGTATCTTCCGTCGGCTATCGCGCTCTACTCGACCGAGTCATGCCCCTCGCCCCGGCGAAGAACGAACAGGGGCTGTGGTTGACTGGGGCAACCCGGAACGTGGATTTGGTGCCCAGGCGACTGTTTCGATTGGATGCCAGGATGATGATGAAGTCGTCAGCGGTGTCTCAGCGGTGATCAACGGCGACGAGTCCAATCCCTCTATCCCACCCAACGGTGTTGACTTTGCCTGGGCTCGCATTCGTGATCTCGAATATCTTCGTGGTTGGTGCAGCCGTCTCCCCGACCCCAACAACGCCAACGAATCCACAACCCTTTTCCCTCCTCCTGAACAAACCACCCCAACCACTGGCACTGGCAATGGAGACTCGATAGATCTTCTGCAGCCTGACGTCTTGGCTGAGACTGTCAGCCAGACAGTCTCTAATATCTCGCGCATTTATGAATCTCTCCCTCCTTGTACCCTATTCATGGTTTATTCTGGAACGGGCGATCCACGTGAAGTGGGCCGCTTACAATCAGTCCACAAGAAGTATCGCGAGGAGTTCAAGTCTGGCAAGCCATGGGATGAGCTGACACACAAATGGACTGACGTTGAGGAACAGGCTTTGAAGAAGGCCTGTGAGCGTGCCCGTGAAGGTTGCGGTTTCATGTGTATCAAATGATTTGGGCGAAGGTACATTTGGGCAATACTCCCGATGTTTTCATGCGACATGATGATTCCAAAAATGTTTCCATGGGCGGAAAATAGGATATGTACGCCGAGGGCCTCTGAAATACGCCGTTACACTATTCTATCCCTTGTCAGAAGATTCATCTCTTACTCTTGTAAGCGCCGAGGTGGGTGATGCTTGGTCGCCGACGGAGTAACACCTTGCTTTGCTAGATCGTAGGTGTATCAGTACCTCCAGGGCTCCCTAGGTATACTATATGGAGGACATAAGTTGTTGCCCTAGGCTCTCTGGGCTCCTTGGGCTAAGATCGAAGGGGTTCGCTAAGTGTATTTTATCTTCACTAGGCTTAATCATACCAGTGCTCGATCTAGGTTATCGATTGAGAAAGCATCTAGTCGAGCTACTTTCATCATGGCGACTGATATGGCGGTCTTGATGGCTTTTTTGTTATTCTGTCGGCTTGCGTACCAACTCGAGTGTGTTGCAACACTTTGGAATTGGATCTAATCAAGCAACCTCTCAACTTTCCAATCTTCTGAGGTTGGTAGGATGGGATACGAAACATGAACTCATCACCCTTCCAGGTGTCAGAGCTGTAGGCTGACATCATGGATGTAGTATTTGACCAGAGTATCAGCTGCATCAATCCCCGAGGAATATTCTCCATCCTTAAATTTTCATAAGCTTCAAACTTCAGAGGTGCCGTTTTCTCCCCTTAAATCACCCGATAATGAAGCCCAAAAAAAGGCATGATCGTGATAGAGCATGCGGCTACGGCGTGTCTATGGGTGGTGACAGAACCTCTGTCGAGACCAGCCATGAACGATCTGGGAATACGGACCTTCTGCAAAGATACCGCTTCAAGCAACATTGATCTCTATACAAACAGCCACACGCATCAGACAACACTAGGGCTTTTCTCATCGCGCATAGGCTTCGCTATACAGGGGAAGACCTCCGAGAAATTGTCCAAGAAGAAAAATCTATCACAGCGGGATTTGATGTTACAATTAAAGATGCCAAGGAGAAAATTGATGCTTTGAATGCTAGCCACTGGCTGCTGGAGCAAAAATGGTGGCATTATCGTTCCTGTCTAAGGGGCTTTCAACTAAGAGCAGTTGAGCTATGGCGGTCGGTCTCATGGTATATTCACCACATGCTCGCTGAAAATCGCGCTTGCCGACAAGGACGCCGTGCTCGTGGATATGGCTGTTGTCTCAATCGCACGGTCAGGCATACGGGAAGGCTTGGAGTTGGACATTGTACCTTTCGATGTGGATGTCGCCGGATGAATCGGGGCTTCGACAGTCCTGAAAAGGATAAGAAGGCACTGAAGGAACAATGTCGCAAAGGGATCATTATACTTGCCAGGTATCTTATCACGCGAGTTGCAATCTAGGGGCTTGTTTACGATAGCTATGACAACCCTTTTGATATGATTGATGCACCACCAAGCTATAGATAGATTGACGCAAAAGACCAGACAAAAAAGAGAACAGGGGTGTAATTTGCTATCGCTGTATGTGACCTACCTAGGTAAATCAACCGTAGGCTAAGGGTTAAGTAGAAAGATTTATGCACTCAGCGGATTGTAATAAATAAAATCAATAAAATAGTGAAGATCGATTCGGACCGAAATGATACCTAAGCTAGGACTGACTGCATAAACGCCTTCAAAAACCGCCAAGAATCATAATGCCTTCTATAGAACTTTGTATTGGGAGGACAACCTTCAGCTTGATCTTCTTTCTCTGCTCGTCAGTCAGCATGCCCTGGATCGCCTGAGGATAGAGTGTAACTTACGCAATTTTCAACTCTCTGCATTCGGGAGGTACTCTAACAATATTGCTTTCGGCTTTCACTTGTCGTGGGCGAAATGTTTCAAAGCTGGATGGAATATAGACGTTGCCGCAGCCTAAATCCACCTATCCAAGAACGACATATCACATAAACAGATAACGCTACGTGTTCAAAGCCCCTACTTCGAGCTCCATATTTGCTCTCCAGCAACCCTTCAATATGAACGGGGGTGTGTATGGAGTACTCCGTATTCCATGTGTAGATAGCCCTGTACGGAGCAGACCCACCGGATTTGGTGGGGCGGTGGGAGATTTCTCCCGAGGCCAACCTCTTACTCTTACTCTCGCAATGAATCCCTTCACACGGGCAACTGCAGCCTGGTACCCGGTCGGTTATGCGTCCGAGTTCCCAAGTATCGATGATGATGCCCGAATCGTGCCAAGATGCAAGGCTTTCAAGATTCCTAGATCAAACGGTGCCATGGAACAAGTCGAAGACATCGATCTACCCGGAGAACTAAAAGATCAAGTCCTGGTCTTCAAATTCAAGGGAAAATATCATGCGATTGATCATGTGAGTCGGCTTCTTCTCATGGGAAGGATTGAGCTCATCCTTTCTAGCAATGTCCCCACTCGTCATTCCCGCTTTCACGGGGCAATCTCTTTGATATTGAAGACTTTGGCGTTGTCCTCAGCGCAGGTCTCACCTGTCCAAAGCATGGTTGGTCGTTTGATATATTCTCCGGACGCGCCGATCGTGGCAACTACCAACTCAAGGTGTGGGAGGTGGAGCTACGCGACTCATCGGCACCTGGGAGTACGGATCAAGAGGTTTGGGTGAGACGGAAGCAGAGAATTGGTTAATGTTGGCCTTCTTCTCCCTCACGCTTTGGACTATTATCATTAAAGGTCCACCCAACTTGAATTGACCTGCGTAAGATCTCAGTTACAGCGTGACGCCAGTACTCCTCGCTGAAAATGGTCTTGAAATAGGCCCCAAGTACGCGGATCTCCCTTGAGTGGCTGAATATCCGCAATACAATCAATTTATTTCTCACCTCTTCATTATCCAACTATTCATGTTCAAACCCCCATATGGGTAGCCCCTCGATGCAAAATTGCGGTCTTGGCTCAAATGTGACCTATATATTGACTTGAACAGGCGCCGATGTGCTTGCTCAGTTGATAAGATGAGAAGATCGAAGCCCTTGGGTGGAGGAAAGCTGATGAATTCAGGAGGAGGTGACCAGCGACCTTGGAAACTTCTTGGGGAAATAGTATTTATTTGTGTCTTTGTATGTGTTGAGATGCCCGCTTTTTTGGTCACGCCTCATTGAGGGCTTCTTAGATGAGTTTGGTATTTCTTGTCTCTCTCAGGTTACCCGTCACCTATACGAGCAACTTGATAGCGAATATCCTTTGATCGCTTTGTAAGGAGTCCGGCTAATCCTATGAGTGTAAGATCGGCAAGAGGGCGATCCATCCGTACATTAGGCGGAGTTACGTGTATGCCGAACAACAAACATACTTCATACCGATTATCATGGGGAGACGAGTGCAAGCGCGAAAATATCTCAGAACGCACGAGAAGCGTGACTCCATGTTTCACTTAATTACACCTAGCATCACAAAAGAAAATACCAACAGCGAAAAAAGATTCGAGAAAGAATCAAAAAGTACGAAGGGGAACTTGATTTCGATCTACCCTGAATAATTCCCTTCTCGTTCGATATCACATCAAATATGTCGGCATAAAGAACTCGTCACCGGTTGCTCGGATAAAGAGACTTGATCAAAGTGTGTGCACGTTTGGGCAAGCCAGCACGGTCGCAGTGCTAGTGATAGTCAATGTGCGGATGCCAGGGGAATCAGTGACCCGGTCCGGTGCCGCAGTGAAGACCGGCGAAGCATCAGACCCATTTGTATCGTTGGGCGCCGAAAGAGTCGGGGTCGGGGTCGGAACCTTGTCCAAGGTTACAGGGTGGGAATAGTCTGAGCACCAACCTATAGTCTTAGGCACAATTCCAGGCTTTGTATATCCAGAGGTCAAGATACTGGCAGTGCTGGGTGATGGAGAAGGATGGACGTGGGATAGATGATGAGCGTGGGATGGATGGTAGAAAGGACGGGAGCTGGGAGTAGAGCTCACCGTAACATAAACGGTAGACGCCGCAGCGTTGGGGCAGGTGGAAGTAGTCGGCAAAGGAGTGTCCACGCAGGCGGTGCTGTCGTCGGCATTGTGGACGGTGAACTTTTCACCCTGCGCGTAGATGATGTAGACGTTGGTGCCGTTGATACCGCTGATTTGGTAACCCCAGTCGGGGATGGTATCGCAGGGGATTTGGACCGAGTAAGACAGATCCGACGTGGGGACGTCGATCGCCAGCGGAACATAAGATGGAGGCCAAGAGACAAAGTTCCAGAGATAAAGACTAAAATGGGAAGGATCGGTATCGACGCTAGTCCACTCGACGTTGACGGTGGATCCGGCTGCGTAGGTCGTGTTCGCAGCAGGATTGGTGATTTCAATGGCTGCAACAAGCGAAGCGAGCGAGACGATCAGAGGGATCACGGCGCGCATCATCTTTGATTATCGTTTCTTTTGCTCAATCGAGAAAGTTAAAGGAGTGACTGATGATGCAAGCAAGGGATTAAAACAATAAATAGCAACAAAAAAATAAAAGAATGACTTGAAGTTGGAAGAGTGTCAGTTGAAAGGTAGAGATAGGGGCGATAATATAAATACTCGATTGCGGAGATTACTCTACAATCTCCATTGGGAATAAACCAATGATCGGAAGCTCAATTGCCCTAGAGTGGACTCAAGTGGACTTGAGTGGTTCCAACCGCCAGCCTATTTTCATAAATTACATTAGTTATTACTTCGGATATTCGTGATTGGTAGTGTTCCGAGACAATTTGGATGTTAGATCCGTGCCCAGCTTTCCTTTCAGCCAGAATACAGCTCGCTGTACGGAGTACATCGAGCGAGGAATTCAGACAATCACCGATTGATATTATCCTTGGCCATTGAAACGCCACAGGGTCAAAGCCCACGGTTCGCTCAAAAAGATCGCAAACTGTCAACATGCCTTTATTCCCCCTACCAGTACCGATGGATCCTTAATTGCTGTTCATCTAGTCGGAATACTAGATCTATATCCGTGCGAGTTGACCCACCAAATGATGCAAGTTTCTCGGACCCTTCTGGTAAAGATTAACAAAAAATTGTGTTTCTCAGCTCTGAAATTCTGATATCTCGATGATCTCAGTGACTTCTTGCTTGATAAAGCTGGCACTTATTATACACGCATTCAATCCTCTGAAGTTCTTTCGACCAGAGTCTTTTCGGTAATTTCCACAAGAGAGCGACTAACTATACACCCCTAGACCGTTTTAGGTATAGGTTTTCGTAGGCAACCATTTATCATATCATAACTTGTATAATTTAATCTAGTATTCCTATAGTAATTTGCACAGTACCCACGTGATTCTTGGCTGTGTACAATGTGCGCCCAAGCGGTTTGCAGGGTTTGCAAGCTACTTGATGCCTAAGGCTTCACTCAGGACGCAGTTCACCTGACCTGTGTGCCGTTAGTTCATCTGACCTGTGTCCCACCCAAATCACGTGACCTTTTCTTATCTTATCTACACCGGTCAGGTCAGCTCCTACAATTTGTATTTAATACATATTAATACCCATCTAATAGTATTATAGTAAATGTGTATTTTAAAAATACCTTGATAAGGGTATGACTTTATATTAATGTCTTAATAACGCGTTAATAACGCCTTAATAATGCCTTAATGATGTCTTAATGATATATTTAAGGAGAAGAAGAGCTTATATCTATAGGTGCCTAGGTATATAACGCCTTAATAACGCATTAATAACGACTTAATAATGCGTTTACTTAATAATGATATCTAGTTAAGTAGTTTATTATAACTATATAAGGATGGATTCTAAGGTTGTAATACAAAAACCATTAATAATCACTGATGGGCTTAG